TGCACATTCCCAGGGCGTGGACCGCTGTCAGCAGATTAAATACAGCAAGACTCCTGATGGACGTCACAATTCACTACATGCATCACAGTCTTAATACTGCGCTGCCACTTCCGCGCACGCCATTCTGTCCGAACATCCACGGATATGGTTTACAGCATGTAATAACAGTAATAGGTTCCTTATGGATGTGAGACATGAGCCGAGCAGCTCGGTTGGTGCACAGAGAGGGATGGTAGAGGGATGTGGAGTCGTGTGACATGTCAGGGAAACGTTGGTGTCACCCCAAGAATGCTGGGAGAAGTGGTCAGTTTGGTTTTTGTCCCAGAATAACTAATGGGTTAATCCCACAGACATGGACTTCATCCGTTTATACACAGATTTGGGTTTATAATGGTCTGATGGTAATGAAACAAGAAGGGGAAACCCCTGCTGGAATCTCCCTTTCTATTTTGACCTTAAACATAGAGATGAGGAGGACCACCATGAGCACTTTGAAGCTTCAGAAATTATAAATCTAAGATTTCAGAGTCTTTAAAAATGCTTGGACATGTTCACATTTACATAAATTTTATCTTGATTATCCCACCAATGACAAAACGTCAAATTCTGATTTGACAGTTTCCCGCTTTAGCTCTGTAGATCTTAAATGGACTCAGGTTTATAATCAGCAGTGTTCCTGGATCATTTTGGTTTTGTCTTTGCATGTTACAGTTTTAATCTGCATTTGTGGATGTAGCATCAATGTGTATGCTGTACACATGTGTATAAGTTTCTGTAGCCCTTTGTATTTATGCCGCTGTCATTTTGGAATTTCCCCCTGTGGGACTAATAAATGTATATCTTATCTTTTCAAGCAGTGCTCTCATACACTGGTTTCAGGGGGTTATTTTGTGCCCCTGCAGTGATTTCCACTACAGAGTCATGTGTATTTTGAATGCAGTGCCACCTTAGAGCCCCAGAATCACAGCTACCTGGAATCAAAGCTCTTGGCTTTGGTTCTTACATGCAAAGGTTTTGTCAGGATCTCCTGATGATACTGTGAACCATAATGATGAGATGCCCAGATTCTTTGCAGTGTTATGCTTGAGAACATTGTTGGAACAGTCGCTCTCATGAAGTCGTGAACCTCTCTCTAAGTGACCTGCTGCTTATACATCGGGAGGTTTTTTTTTTTGCCTTACACAACCTTTTTCAGTTTTTGTTGTTCATACTGTTCTGTAACAAACTGCTGGCATCAAATTTAAAACACACGTACGTATTTTCATGAAGCATCAGCATTTTTCAGTTCCATTTGATATGTAAATACAGAGTTGAAATGATTTGTAAACCATCAGAGTCTGCTTAAACGTTTTGTACAGTGTCCCACCTTTTTGGAATCGGGTCATATATAGACATTCGTATTTGTTTCAGTCTGATTCATAACCAGCTTAAAAGTCCTCAAAAGAAGCTGTAGCAATAACCATTGAGCAGATGGTCCTCCATGAGATTATGTTGTTCACCTGATAGCTCAAACTGAACATACTCTCTCTCTCTCTCTCTCTCTCTCTCTCTCTCTCTCTCTCTCTCTCTCTCTCTCTCTCTCTCTGTCTCTCTCTCTCTCTCTCTCTCCCTCTCCCTCTCTCTCTCTCAGAGCTGCAGAGGGAGGGCAGCATCGAGACCCTCAGCAACAGCTCGGGTTCCACCAGCGGCAGCATCCCGAGAAACTTCGAGGGTTACCGCTCTCCCCTGCCCACCAACGAGAGCCAGCCTCTCAGCCTCTTCCCAACCAACTTCCCCTGAGGAGTCCCACCTCTGCCTGGAAACATCTACCACCATCTAGCCCACCTGACCCACCTCATATCCGTCTTCACCGACACTCAGACGTGTTGAACTGGAACCAAACTGTGTCTAGGGTTTGTGTTGTGATCCCGGCTACAGACAGTGTCAGTGTGTGATTTCTGGGGTGGATTTGAAGGCTGACTTTTTTTAGGAAGCTGGATGGCGATTTCAAATAAATTTTATTAGACCTTTTCATCCCTATAAAATTAAAAATAGTTTTGTTTGTACCCTCAAGTTCCTGACTTATTCTGGTCAAATTACCCCCTTTTAAGGTAAAGGATATTTTGACAGCTGCTCAACAATTAACCAAACAAAATTCCTGAATAAGCAGTTTTCACACAGAGTATTTTCATACAGCTGCGGTCGCAGGGGAACTTCCATTATATTGATATCAGATTTTTAATAACGGACCAGAATCAGCCCTCTCTCTCTCTCTATCTATTCCTGTTACCGTGTCGTTGGCAGAGACCAGCCGTCCTCTCCTCTCCGCAGCTCTGTCTGCCCTTTCCTCCTCCGCCCGCCCGCCATCATTCTTCCTCTGTGTTTGAAGTTTTACGGTGTGCCTATTGTCTGAGCGAGCCGTCAGAAAGGGAGCGCAGACAGAGGAGAAATGTTTATTCCAGTCAGTGACGTGTAGCAGCCGTGTGAGTGAGAGTGTGTTCGCAGTTGGCTAAATGTTTTTGATTAAATTTGTTCCTGCTCTGCCTTTAATTTGATACAGTAATGAGACGACACCACGAGCAAGTCGCTGAAATAATTTAGATGTTAATGCTGTAATTGAGAAATGTGTCTGAAGTCATTTAGATAGAAATATGTACCCCAAACCTTGGCCTTTCAGAGAGAACCTTTTAACTGAGCAGAGTAATACACTTTATGCTGTATTTTGTACATTAGCAACCTTTGACCAAAATAGATTAATAGATCTCTAAAATGTATTTTCCTTAAATGCTCTAGCTTTGCCCACTGATAATCAGAAATTCCTGTATGAACACAATTTGCCTGTTTGTTAGCAGAATGTTTGACTTGGTGAAATCTGAAATGCACTATTTACAGAGTCACCTTAGAAGAAGCATTCCTGTGTTTTTCAACCTAGGCCCTGTTTTTATTGTTGCGCAGTACTGGGATGAAGATGACTGATGGGTAGAGAAATTTTCTAATCGATTGTTTCTGCAAACTCCCCCAAAAATAGGTTGTAGTGGCTGCAATGTAATCCTCTCAAGCAAATGTAGTCCATTAAAAGTTCTTGTTTTCTCCACTGATCAGCTTGGATTGATAATTTGAAAATTTGACAACGTTTCAGACTCTGTTGGTCAACGTCTGCTCTGATCATGTCATGTTTGAGATAACCCTAACTGTCAACACTTTTTCAAGGTTTTTGCTGCTCATGCTCTGCAGAAGTCCAGCTTTATTGCAATAATTGAGAGCGAATTTTCTGTCAACAAGCTTTCTCACTCAGCGTGAGCACATTGGACCTGTGCCTTTATTCCACTTTGAACAGTTAGATAAGGCTAAGCTTGTTATCAGCTACCTTTGGTGCCAATTTAGTTTTGAAATAAAACTTTTTTTTGTTGTTTTTTTATGATTATTCAGGAGAGAGGTGTTGCAAACAGAGGTATAAAACATGGAGAGTAGACACAGATGTAGAAACTATAAATCGCTGTCTTTTTCACCATAAAGAGGAAGCACACATGAGGAGGACATGGATGATAAAGAACAGGAAAACCAACAACCATCTGCACAGAGTGTCAGGCCAAATCTGCATCCTGGTGTTATGCACCCATTCAGATTGTTCATTGATTACACTATGTGTCATTATCATGTTACTGAACAATACTGTTACACATTATGTGTTTTCGTCTTATAGTGCAGGTCTACAAATTCTCGATAGCAGTAGATGAGTAACTCCCATGTTGTTTTGGTGAAATCCAATCAAAGGGTTCGTCGTTTTTTTGGAGTGAGATTTGACACAGCACACTCCCTTCAAAGTTAGTTGCTGGTCTACTCCTGCCTTTCTTGGCTGGCTCTACTGTGTGGTTGTGTTGCTTCACTGCTGTTTGATTTCCTCACATCTAACACAATCGAAAAACAACTCCCATGTCCTGTGTGGTTTTTGTCAGTGGAGTCTGGTGAGATCCTGAAGGGGCAGATTTAACGGCTGTCTCTGCTTTTAAAAATGATAATGATCTTTCACTGTAGGTTTTTTCCTCTAATGTTGTCAGCAAAAGAGGACTTTGCTCTGAAAAATAACTTTGCAGCCATTACATCCTGTTTGACAGCTGCACTGTGGAGCAGCTCTAAACGGTTATCTCTTATATCCCAGAACATGTAATAACAAGAAAAGTTCATCTTTAAAAATACAGGAATGCTCCTTTAACGATGGTAGTGTACAATCCCACATGTCAGAGTGTTGTCGTTCTGGCTGCATGTCACGATGGCCTGTTGTTGCTCAGTCGCTGAATCTGCTAGTTTTAAATGGGAGCAAATGCTTGTTGTTGATTAGTAAAACACTGACTTGTTTTTGCAGCATTCATGCAAGAAAAAAACATAATAAAAGTCGAGGAAATGAAGCTGTGTGTGTGTCTTTTTTTTTTTTTCCTCCCTGTGATTGCTCCTAATTGTGCCGTTCAGATTTCAACCGTGGCGGTGACCATCAGCACATAGTCCCTGTGGTAATTAGTTCCATATTTTTTAACAGGCAGTAAAGTGTTGTTAAAGGGTCTTTTTATGGGCGACTCTTTGCTCTTTGTTCTGGCGGGGGGTGGAGGGACGACAGGGCATGTTTGTTTCTCCGCTAATCAGCACAAAACTTCAAGTCTCGGAGCGCTTTCTTTCCTCCTGTCCTTCTCAAAGTGAAGCATTTGAAGTCATTCAGGCTCTATTAGATTAGAGGTGGATTACTTCTTATATGCTTTATTTCATCTCATTGATGTGTTCATAATCTATAGTCGTAAAATTATAAAGAGGGCCCAAGGAACATTTCCAAACAAAGAACAATTAAATCAATAACTTATTACAGCTTCAAAAGGCCAGAAAACATTGAGAAATAACCAACAGTATGTCTGCATTTAGAGACACATATATTTTAAAAAATCCAATCTGTTCAGCAGGCTTTGGACAACTGAATGAATACATAAAAACAGAGCGGTTACAAAGTGTGTTTATTTAGCTTATATGCAGGACTCCATTAAAATAGAGACAAAACAAACTCCAGCTGGCAGCATGTGTCTGCCACTTCACCAAGAGGAGAGGACGACTGCATGCAGCGAAGACAAAGAAGGAGAACAAAAGTGTTTCACTGAAGATCTTTATTTCAATCCAAGAAACTAGAAAAAATAAATAGCTTTATTTTCACAAATTTACACCACTTTTAATGTGCTGGGAGTCATTCCTTCAAAACTTACCGAGGAAATTAAAGTGGTTTGAATTGAACAATGATAATACACTAAAATCCTGCTATCTTGGAAAAATCAGCACTTTTCATAGATGCAACATGCAGATATTGTCATGTAGCTATATGAGAAGAGGCCTGTGCACGGCTGACTTTGTGCTCTCAGCAGCATTAACTCGTGAGGACACATTTTTAAGTAAATGAGGAAAATAAGAAAGTCAACAGGATCAAACCTGTGCTTTGAGTTGTGCAGCTACTGAGTCCAGATTTGTTCAGTTTCTGACAGAGATACCTGACAGAAATTCATCGAACTTTGATTGGAAATAAACTAAAAACAGATCTTAAATTTGACATTTTTGATGGCAACATTTTAACTGAAACAAAACCTGAATTTTTTTATGCTCATATACACTAATGCTGAATGATAACACATCAGCTCCTTTAGGCTTTGGCTTCATGTCAGCGGTTGAGCTTGTATTTTGCTGAATGATTGCAGGCTCCTCTCACTTTGGCATTTTAAAACGTTTCAAGCTCCATGTTTGTATTTCATCTTTTGCTGTGTTCAATTCCTCTCAGTGTATGAACCCACTTCACTTGCACGATGTGTTCAGTTATTATTTCATAAATAAAACCAGTGGGACCAGGTTTGAGTGTAGCAGCAGCGTACACATGGTGCATGTTGGCCTTTACCTAGTCAGAATTTTCCAGACCTCTTGCAGGCTTCATTTCTCAGCAGGAAGAAAAACCTGCCCTGGCTTCTCCTGAGGGAAAACTTTTATTTGTTGCTTTTCCAATGCAAGTGCTAACAGTTGATGCAGATGAATATAATCCTGCTGTTTGTCCATGTAATCACAGCGGCTCTCATTCACAACAATAACCACTCTCTACTCCCTGCTCAGACCAGCAGCGGAATACTGAACACCTGATTGCAAAATTAGCAGGAAGATTACTGGGAGAAATTGAAGTTTCTCCAGCACACAGATATTTTTGGTATAAAAGCTGAGTATAACAAGCCTGGTTGTTTTAGTAAAGTAAAAAATGAACTACATTTACAGTGTTGTCCAAACCATTAACATCACGTAAGAGGCTGTTTATGAAAAAATCTGAAATCTTCCTGATGTTTTATTCTACGTATGAAATGGCAGAACATGCAAACAACACGTAGTCGTTGGAGCTGTCTCTTAATAGCTACACTGGCTCGTGAATGTAGGTATGCACAAATATTTACTCATTAAAATTTTCTCAGAGAATTGTTCTGCAGAAAAAGCACACAAACAAACATGAGTGCAGGAAAAAAACAAGATCACATGGACAAAAAACTTGATTAGATTTTAGAGAGGAACTGTGAGAGAATTTCATGGAAACGGATGAGAGATGACTGTAAAACCACACAAGATTCACACAAGATGTTCATTTCTAATTTTTACAAGCCCTTAAACTGTTAGCCCTTCCTGATCTGCGACGAAGGATGACATGTGGAAGGAGAAAAAAAGCAGCTAAATTAAAGACATGGAAAAACTTTGAGGGCCTGACACTTCACTGATCAACTCTTTCTTTCAGGACTTACTTGTGATGATTCCTGCATGTTTTACCAACACATCTCCTTCCCGTTAAATCCTGAAACAGCCCCGTCTGCTTCTGTGAGGAGAAAGAGAGAAGAGAGGTTTATATCATGACCTCAATCACAGAGACATTTGATAACATATGATCAGCAACACGGACACAAGGCCAGAGCTGATCCATGATGATCATTCATGTAATAAAACACCATTTAGAGAGCAGGTAGATCAATTCCAAAAAGCATATGCTGTTGTGTAACAACAGTTTTATTCTGATATGGCAGGAATATGTACTACAGCTATTCTGTGCATATTCTACCATCCCTATATTATCTCCATCTGGTTGAACTTGAACTGTAAACACTAAATCTGTTACACAGTTTGTTCAGATTATTCTTGATTTTTATTCAGATTATTGTTTCATTCACATATTTTACTGTGTGATCTCTTTCATTTCTGGCAGACTGAGATTTTTGCCAGGTTTGCACCCCTCCTCCTGCATCAGAAGCTGCTTTCAAACGTGCACTTTAGAAAACGTCCCCAAAATTTCTGGAGATCTACCCCTTAAATTTACCTGAAATGACTATTTACACATGAGCCCTTTACAGCGTGAGGTTGAATCTGTTCAATGTTACAAATAAAGAGAGGAGGGTGTATATTCAATGACCTGTAAGCTCAGTCTGCTGCTGTCAGCTCTGAAAATGGAAATGATACTTTTCAGGATCAGCTTCAGTTTCATTCACAACATTTATCACTCAATAGAAACATTCATCTTTGTCTGATCTCTGAGTTACTTTAGGTGTGTGAATCAGTGAAACACCGACACCTGGACTGGATTTGAGTGCATTCACTTTCCTACACTAAGAGGCTTGAACATCTCATATTAATTCACACAAAATGTTCTGGTTGGTGATAATTTTCATTAAAAAAATTATTAAGAATTATCCCCTTTTTTAAGATTTTGCTTTATACTTGAAAAAAAAAAACTTACTCACTGCAAAATGATACATTTACATTATTTAGTTAAAAATAATAAAATTAACTGATGCTGACAAATGCCTGACTTATGATGATCTAATGTGTGGCTCTATCATCTGCTCATGCTGCCCATCAATTATCAATATCTTGATAGGATCATTTTCCACTTTACAGATTAAATATAAATTTCATAAATATCTATTTACAGTTATTTCCATCCTGGGCTGTGCGATCACATAAAACATATTTTCCATGCATTCATCTGCACCAGTCTGACTGAAGACACACTCGGACTGTTCTGCTGGTGGAGAGATCGCATCGATATTTACCTCTTTGATTTCTTATCATATTAATGCATGAAGAATCTGTTCGTGAACTGGCCATAAATCTGAACTTATAGAGTCACAGTGGTTTAATCTTTTTGAAAATCATGAGTGGAAAAATTAGTATACATCATGCATGAATCAATTTGTAGAAAGGCATTACTAAAAGCGTTTGATTTGATTGTGAGTGTGAGGTGCAGAAAAAAAAGAAGAAAACAAATCTTTATGAAAGTCTGATCTCAGATTTTCTCAGTGATCCTTGAACACGACACAGTTAGAGACATTTTGCAGCTTTATTTTCATTTCGGGGTGATTTTGTTTTTAAATGGAGGCCTTCATTTCTAAAGCACAGTCGCTAAATTTATCGTGCAGGTGTTTAGAAATTGTTATTTTAACCAACTGTTGATTTTTCCCCTCGCTCTGGTCTTCGTGAAAGGATAGTTGTGTTACTTTAATTAAAAAAGGTTGTAGGTCGCTGTGTGTTTGGTGTGTTTTGTGCATTGTGTGTGCTCTTCCTCCTCCTCCTCTTTCTCCTCCTCCTCCTCCTCTGGCTGAAGGCCTGCAGGTGAAGCCTCCGCTGCGCTCCTAATCTGATCCAATGTTCCCTCCGCCGCAGCTGCTAATTCAATTCCTGCGCGCTGTCAACACATCTGCAAAACACACAAAGATGATTCCGCTGCTTTCAAAGAAATGCGACACAACGAACATGAAGTGATAAAATAAAGTCAGCTGCTTTGTGTTAAAAACACCGGAGCTGAAATGTGTCCTTGTTTAAAGAAAGAGTTCAGAGCTTCTCCTGGAGGAAACTTAGAAAAAAAGGGCCGAGGAGCTTAAAATTTAAATAAATCTCATTTCATTTTGATTGTGAAGGAGCCTTTTTATTCAAGGAAAGCGCAGCAAAAAAGAAAAAAGCTTCAAAAACACCAGAGACACCTGGTAAAAAAAGAGGGTTTGGATTTCAACATACAAGAATATATAATAGCGATTAAATAAAGCAGAGAGGGGAGCGAACTACATTTTATTGACATTATATAGATCTTTTTTCTTCGAAATCTCCGTTTAAATTAATGTAGAGGCCTTTTTATTGCAGAATCTATAGGTTTAGATCTAGGATGGGCCCTCCGGAGCAGGTGTGTGTCCACCTGAAATGAATTTCTCCTTTTGTCTCTGCGTCATGCGCAAAAAAGGACGAATATATAAAGAGAAGTGCGATTGTGAAACGTGAAATAATATGATAATTGAAGGGATGCATTTGGTTTATTATAAACCTGAGGTACGGGTATCTGATGCGTAGATGTGAGTTTGATATTTTCCTGTTAAAATCTGTTTGTTTGTTTGTTTGTTTGTTTTAAGGAGAGAATAAAAGAGAAGTCACAGGTGAGCAGATGTTCGTGTTCAGGCTGATTTACGGAGACCATTTTGTCCGTTTTAAGACCTGCTATATTTGTTTCCAGTTCCCACTAGAGAGATGATTTGCTGTTGTAACTTTTTTGTTTTCTTTTATCTAAATTTAAGTCCACACACGCATGCAGAGAAAACACGCTGAAAGTCTTTTGGTGATTCCAGAGTAAACAGAAAAATGAGTGTGTGCAGGTAAGGAATCTGTGCTCAGAGGCACAGCGGGGAGTTTATCTCCAAGTAGCAACCCGACAGCAGGAGGGATTATTTCATGAAGCGATAAAAAACAATCCGAGACAGCAGTTAGTAATCGTGCTTCATGTGGACGCATGCGTCACATCCACAACCACGACCAAATCATCACGTGGAAATAGAGAGCGTCATGCTGAGGCCAGGCAGAGTGGGTTTCCCAAGGGTCCCTGATGTCTCGAGTATAATTGTATTAAAGTTACAGTCCGTGGAAATGATTTTTAATTGAGAATACACAAACTCCCTGCGGGGGAAACTTGTTCTGAGTCTCTGTGAGAGTCGCAGCCTTGTCTGCTGATCTAACGCCTGTGGGTGTGACAGCTCTGTCACTCTCCTCCGGCTCCCCAGGGTCACTATAGCGCCCCCACCTGGTGGTCTACCTGTCAGTCACACACACCCACAGCGTCCAAACACCACCCTAGAGCCGCAGCTTCCAGTGAGCAGGAGGTTTAAAGCGGCTGCAGAGCTGCATGGGACTGGGAGGGGGCTGGAGCTGAGTGGTTGTACTTTTTGATTGAGTTTGTCATGTCCGGGAAAAATGTTTGTTTTATGGAGGAGCCGAGAAGCATCAGGTATTAGTCTGCTCCCAAAAAGCATCTCTTACATGGTGTTGTTCCAAATAACATGAAAGTGTGGTTCAGTGTGCGCGTTTTGCTTTTCCTGCAAGTGATATGTTTCATTTAGCAGAGTGAGCCGGGGAGGAGGAAATGGAGGAGATGAAGGAGAAGGAGGAGGAGGAGGAAGAGGAGGAGGGCGGCTGGTTGCTGCACGAGGAGAAGGAGGAGGAGGAGAAGGAAAAGAAATGGTTGGAGAAGGAGGAGGAGAAGAGAAGGCAGAAGGAGGAGGAGGTGGTGGAGGAGGAGAGGGCCGCTGGTCGCCGGGTTTCCATGTGACAAGGGGAAATATGAGGGACTTTGACAGGTCTTAAACGGTCTGGCGCCAAGGCCTCAGTCTAGCCGCTAAATATAGCCGAAGAGATGATGCAGGGAGATGGGAGGAGAAGATGGAGAGATAAAAGGAAGAAAAGAACAATGTCGAGGGGAGGAAGGAAAAAAACAATACTCGATTATGGACGAATATGGCGCAAAACTGCTCCGGTTTGTTGTAATTAGAGCGTCTCTGGCCCGGATCACTAACATGCACAGGGGCCAAATCAGCGGGACGGAAGGCGCTTTTACGCACATTTTCACATCTGCAGCTGTGTTGTTTAGTATTGAGCGGACGGATCAAGGACACGGAGAGGCTTGAGTCAACTTCCTACTGTATAGGAAACGTCATGCAAGCAGTGAAGTCACTTTTAGAGCAGTGTACAGTCAACTTTGAGCGTCAAATATCTCAAATTGAAGCATCAGAAGCTTCTTGTTTTCACTCTTTTCTGGGTTTGAGAGCCTGGAAATGTTGTCAAACTCACAATTTCACTAAAGCTCAGACACATGAATAAATAAAGGGTGATAAACTTGAAATTGTCTTCAGATATTTCACACCCCGAGTCTCACATCCACTTACTCCTAAAGAACAAGTGTAAGCAGCGTGTTTACTGTCTGCTCGCATTAATCCCAGCACAGAGAATATGTTAATCTATCAGCGCAGTGCCCCTTCCTCTCAGCGCAGCCCTCCTCCCCTGGACTTAATGACTTTTAAATCGCGCGTAATGGAGATTTCTGTGCCACTGACGGCACAGAACAAATAAATGGTGACTCATTTGCAGCAGCATTGTTGATACAATTATCCAGCTGCGTATTCCGGCAGAAAAACCGTTATCCTCCTCCATATGCTGCTAATCTGTTTTCTTTTTCTGCTCAGTCAAAGCTCAGTCCGAGCCGGTACACCTCTGCCATTGCATAAATCTGAAGGGAGAGAAATCCAAACAAGGCAGCTGTCCGGACAAATTATCACAGATACACAACACCCTGTAACTCTGAGACAACTGCAGACACGAACACGAGAAGCTGATGTTTACAACACCTGGTTGAGTGAAAATACACCTCCCAATAACTCTTTTTTCCTAATTTTTCCACTGTGGGAACACTTGATGCTCAGGTGACTTGTGTTTACAATAAAAATGTGTGTGTTTCCTGCACTTCTGGGAGTCACTCAGGTATGTTTCTCTCTGTTGTATCCTTAGCTGCTCCTCTCCGGCCTGCTGGCTCTTTACGCATGGCTGTATCAGTGTGATGGACACCGAGCAACAAGTGTGTAACGCAGCGGAGATGTGCAAACATTTCATGCCCTTAAATCACATAACGAGCTGAATGTGCAACACAGACGCGTCTCTGCAGATATTTATACTTTAAAGTCGTTAAAAGACATAAAAGTAGTTTGTTTTCTCTTTTAGAAACAGTATTTTTATTGTTTAGTTGCTTTTTGGAGGCAAGTTTGCAGTAGTTTAAGGTGGATTTTACGCATTCATAAAGAGGGTTTATAAATATTGTTGAGGACATTTTTTATGGCCACATGGGGATTTTGTTTGGCTGTCAGAGGAAGCCGCAGAGACGCCGCTGAGTTTCAGGGTTAATAGGAAATGCGCAGTTGTAGCTGACAGCCTCATTCAGGGGGATTATCACTTTTTGTTTCACTTTTTATCGAAGCGCGCTGCTCTCTCCAACACACAGAGAGCAGCTGTTTAGCCCCCCAAAAAAGACGGGAAAAAATCATATTTGACACCGAGTCATGACCGCGGCAGAGGAGTGGAGCTGAGCCGCACAGGAGGCTGCTGCAGAGGGGCCGGGGGGGGGCGCGCACATGCAGGACTTCAGGGTAAATATAAAGAGACAAGAGATTGTTCTTATTGTGGCGACTGGCGCCGCGCGGCTCTTTAACAAACTGAGTTAATCAGGAGCTGCAGTTTTCTGAGGCTGAGGCTCAGCAGAGCGGGGAGCAGAGGCTGGTGGTGCAAGAGAGGGAGGAGGAGGTGGTGGAGGTGGTGGTGGTGGTGGAGGGGGGCCCGCGGCTCCCGGAGTCCCGCACTGTCCTCCGGTTTGACAAAATACAACCTGTCGGAGATTACACGCTGCACCCGGCCTGCCCTCAGCTCCAGACCGAGCACTAAATCATCTCATCGCTGCATGTTTGATGTGGCAGTAAAACGAGACTCTGCAGAAATCCCCACAAACTGCACGATTCAAACTTTTTTCCTCCTGCATTCATCATTTTAAAACCTCATTCAAAAATACAACTTTTTTTTTTTGCCAAGAAGTCCCCAAGAAGAAATGTAACTTTTATTACTTTTCAAAGAGTTGATATCGAAGTGAGCACTCACCCGCATTTTCTTTCAAAATTCACTCATCATCACTCATCTGGTTTCCTCTTTTTGTCTCCACACAGCAGCATCTGGGTTTGTCTTTTCCAGCCTCGTCTCTTTATGACGCTGCGGCTGCTGCTGCTGCTGCCTTCCCGTCAGCCCGATCAGGAAAACGCGCACAGAGATGTCTCTCTCTCTCTCTCTCTCTCCTCTCTCCCTCTGTCTCTCTCTGTGTCTCTCTCTCAGTGGGTTGAATGAGGCTGGAGTTCAGCTAACACAGCCGGGGCGAGTGTGAGGCAAATCCGACCTAAAGCGTCAAAACAGCCGATAACATGGAATAATTATAAGTCTGTTATTAAGGAGGGCGACGCGGAGAGCAGCAGCAGCAGCAGCAGCTCTTTGACATAAATCTCTCCGGAATGCAGAGCCGGAGCTGCTAGCCGCGGATTTACTGCACGGAGTTGTTTGGAGAGACAGTGCTAAACGTGCTGAAGTGGAGCTGCTCCTCTGTGTTAAGGTGAGTATTAGACAGGGAGGCGGTGGACAGGTTCTCCGGAGGCGACATTGTTCAAAACGCAAGCCGAGAGAGGTGATGCCTCCACCGGCCAACAACTGAGGGCTGACCCGGTGTTTGGCTTGGAAATGGGGGTGGGATTTCCCGATCTTTCCTGTCATTGGTTAATATTTTATTCTGTTGACATGTTTTCTTACTGCTAATGCTTCCGACACCTTCTTGTCCCCCCCTCCCTCCTCTCGTAGAGTCTGGCCGGAGCTGTCAGAACCACGCCTATAGGGGCCCACAATTGGTCCAGAAAGCGTAAAATCAGCAATCAAAGGGGCTTGGTTCATTAGTGTTGGGGATGGAGGCAGGAAGGACATGTGAGATAGTCACAGATCTGCAGTGAGCGGGGCCACATCTCTCCAGTCAGTGTGGGATGACTGAAGCAGAGGAACTGTGAGGCACACAGCGCAGCCGGGCTCTACCTTCACCGCGCCGCTCTCGCTCAAGGATCGGCTGAGGAACCAAAGGAAACGCACATCAAGCACAACTCCGGGCTCTTTTCTTCACCCTGATAACGCGCCGTGTGCTTGACTCGGCGCCGGACTCCTCTGAAGCGCTTTACAAAAAACTCAACTGCTGGCGAAGCGCGGACATACACCGGGTTTTGGGGGAAATACCACTTAAAATCTCAATTTTTTCACTTCGGTTTTTGTGGATGCACCGATGAGAGATCCAGTTTTTACAGGGACTGCAATGGCTTATCACCCTTTCCACGCACACCGGCCGACCGACTTCCCCATGTCCGCCTTTCTAGCGGCCGCGCAGCCTTCCTTCTTCCCGGCGCTCAGTCTGCCTCCCGGGGCGCTCACCAAGCCCATACCGGACCACGGCCTGGCCGGGGCGGCGGAGGCTGGGCTCCACCCGGCCCTCAGCCACCATCAGGCGGCACATCTCCGCAGCATGAAGAGCCTGGAGCCCGAGGAGGAAGTGGACGACGACCCCAAAGTTACACTGGAAGCCAAGGATCTTTGGGACCAGTTTCATAAACTCGGGACGGAGATGGTTATTACAAAGTCCGGAAGGTAGGAATTAAACACAAACATGACCTTTAAAAAAAAAGAAAGATTAAAGCACCGGCACTTTTTTGCGCGTTTAGACAGAGAATGAGTCGCTGCTGTCAAGTAAAGAGCGCACAGAAAGCGATTTCTTCAGCTTTTGAAACGGCAGCCTGCGCGTCAGGCCTGACTCGCTCCGTATTTATTTCCCCTTCGATTATTAGTCAGTTTCACCATCAATAAAATTTAGAAGATAAATTAATTCGCAGAAAGAACTGAAAGCCTTAAACTCACACAGGTCACTACATTTTTGTTTTTTAAAAAAGACTGAGGGACCAGTAGTGTGAGAGCTCTCCAATCAGCTTCATTTTTCCAATTAAATCAAATCAATCGAGCATCAGTTCATTCAGAAATATTTATGAAACATTACCACCCCGATCAAAGTGAATATTTGGAATATTTCAGAGGGCAGAGGATAGTCGGAGCTTTTTATCAGGTTTTTATCTCCTCAGTCTGCATTCTGAGGAGGCAGCAGAGCTTCTGGGTTTTATAAACAGGCTGTCACTTCAAAAAGCAGGGACGAGAAGAGCTGTGGTCATAAATATACTGCTCAGCTTTGTAGTGCAGCGTTTGGACAACACACACATATATACGATCACACACACACACACACACACACACACACACACAACCGAGGCTGACATACACACAAACACACTACGTTTTGTTGTGTTGCTTCCGCGTAATTGCGCGTAATATCTGACGATTACAGTGTTTTCTCTTGTTTTCTCTGCGTTGCCTTCACGGCCTCTTTTTGTCACGTTTATTCAAGTGTTGCGTGATAGTCCTGCTGTTTATGTTAACTCCCCGTGTGTGTGTGTGTTTCTGTGTCTGCAGGAGGATGTTCCCTCCGTTTAAAGTGCGGATAAACGGGCTCGATAAAAAAGCAAAATACATCCTGCTGATGGACATCGTGGCGGCGGACGACTGCCGCTACAAGTTCCACAACTCCCGCTGGATGGTCGCAGGCAAGGCCGACCCGGAGATGCCCAAGAGGATGTATATCCACCCGGACAGCCCGGCCACCGGCGAGCAGTGGATGGCCAAGCCTGTTGCTTTCCATAAACTCAAACTGACCAACAACATCTCAGACAAACACGGATTTGTGAGTACTGACGAGTTTTATTTTTCCCTCTCTCTTTTGCCTGAGCAGTGATGTTTTTCATATTTACACTCTGTGCGAGGTGTTTGCTGCTGGAACAAGACGGGCAGGAGGTTTAGAGGTGTTTTTAAGATGGCATGAAATTTTTATGAAGCAGATGGGGGGAAAGTGGGTCGTTGTTGCAGCTACATGACAGGGAGAAACAGGCAGGGGAAATGAGGAATTATATAAAAAAACGAGCTCTGAATTCTGTGAAAATCTGCTGCATGGAAATGTCAAAGCAGCACAGAAAATATATCAAATTAAATATTTTAAAGACTAATACATTTCACATGCTAACTCGTATAAATAATCTGTAATTGCAAAATAAATGTGCTCACAGATGAGTCCATTTTCGCTGCTGGATGTTATTACTTCCAAAGCTGTTGACACTTTGTCGCCACTTGACTTCCCACCGCCGCTGACATACTCTGAGCTTATGTTTCCTTGCAGCTCTCCAAATTATTATCAGCCTGCATTTTTCGCCCCCGCATCTGCATACTTTATTCCAACCTTGCAGCAGCAGATCAGGCTTTATCTAATGCCACAATTACACTTTTTATTCTGCAATTCTCACTGTTGTTTTAATAGACAGAAAAAAATAAAAACCAACATTTCATCTGAGCTGAGTGTTTATAAAGAGGATTAAGGGATGTATCGTCGAACCGGACGATAGAGAAATGGCGTTAAATGAGCTTAAATGGCGGGGCTGAAAGTCGTGTTTAATACTCCCAGCAACCTGTAACCTCTTATCAATTATACATCATACAGTAGGCACTGTAGGCTGCTGTTGATAGATTTTCTCCTTGTGTTGATTTGTATTTTAGTAAATGTATAAAATAATCTGGATGATCTGGTGTTTATCTCTTTTACGCACAACATTTCTCATATTTTATTCTTGGCTGCTCAATATTTTGCACGAGGACTGAGATAAAAAAAAAGTGGGGCAAATGTTAAATGTCTGAGAATGTCCATCTGACTGGCAGGCAAAGTGTGCTTCCGACTGGAAACAAATTCAGCATTTACATGTCAGTCCAAATTTGCAATCGGTTACAGGCACATCTTTGTTTGTTTGTTTGCTCGCACACGTCTTATTTAAACATTCAAGTGCTGCTTGTTATCTCTTATTTTGATCTGGGATCAGTGCTTTATTTTTCTTGACTTACACGTCCGGCTGCAGCGTAAATTTTGTGATTTATATCGATTTTATTTATGTAAAATGCGGGAAACGTGTTGAACGCTGTGCATGTCAAACAGCAGGCCCTCCGGCTGCAGCAGCCTGTAATGTGTCCATACTTGGTGGTAAATTAGACATGAATGAAAGATAGAAACTGCATCAAATCACATTTTCTGCTGCGGTTGTGAGTCCTCGTGACAACATGTGTGGCCTGGTCAGGTTTTTCCCCCGTCGCCTCGCGCTAATTACAGACAAGTCTGCTCACACAATAATTAAAACAGCATCAATAACAAAGATGATCCTCGACTTATACTCTCGAGGTTTCATGTGGACGAGACGTCAAAGAGGGGGCATGAAAAAATTCGTGATATTTACTCCAAAGCTCTGTGTGTTTGCGTGTGTTGGTCCAGACAATCCTCAACTCCATGCACAAGTACCAGCCCAGGTTCCACATAGTGCGGGCCAACGACATCCTCAAGCTCCCCTACAGCACCTTCAGGACCTACGTGTTCCCGGAGACCGAGTTCGTGGCTGTGACAGCGTATCAGAACGACAAGGTGAGTCACTGCGCACAACTGTCTCTAATATGGCTGCTATACTTTGCATAATAAATGTCCTACATGCGTCCCCTCCCCTCCTCTCCCCCTCCCCCGCCGCCGCCAAACCCTGAAGACTTAATCTGATTTTGTAGGTCGCCTAATTTCCCTGCAGAGGACTCCCATGTCCCACTTGATTTTTGTAATTGCTGTTTTGCCTGGACTTGTGGGTGTAGCTGATATCTCCAGACTATGAATTCAAATTTCCAGCCAGAGTTTTTGTGTGGCGGTGTGTTATCTGGAATCCATGCGCCATAAATGCGCAATTACCTTGACCAGTAGTGAATAAATTGGGCGTATAAACGTGGAGGGAGTGTTTCTGTGTTACAGTGCAGCAACAAATATGGCCGACCTGTCCTATTTTTATTATTGATGTCTTGTCAAGATAGTACAAAAACCGTCCCCTTTAGTATTATAATCTAATTAAAAAATAAAATAAAATCAGGCGTTTCTGGAGCAAGATTTGGTATGACCGTGTTAAAATCAAGATTATTTCACTCTACATTTTGCATTAATGTTAGAATTTCCATTATGTCTGTATGTGGTTTTGGTACATCGTATGAAAACCTAGAATATTTTTCTTGAGGTTTGGTTCATGTGTATTAAAAACCAGCATATTCTAAATGAGGTTTTGTGTGGAGCTAAAAAATCCGGCTTGTATAATTCAACCATATCCACATTATAAAAACAGCAGGGTCTATGTATGGTCATATAAATTTAGTACATGTTTACTGAGGTTCGGCGCATGTGTGTTAAAATGTAATATTTCAGAAAATATAACACAACTTTAATAATCTGTATTTCTGATTCGTGGATTTGTGTTTGAAATATGAAGCATCAGTGGAGGTTTTTTTTAACTTGTAAAGTAACCATAACATATTTCAGTATACAGGTTAATGTATGGTCATAGATCTGGATATTTGAGAGGGTTTCGTATGTATGCGTAAAACCAAGCTCTATAGACTGAGGTTTTGCACTGGTTCTAAAAATCCATCATATCTGGATTGAGGTTTTGTTTATGTGTTTATTTGATGGTATTAATATAAGCCCTCTTCATGCCTCTTTATCCTCCTTCATGAACCTAATTGGGGCTTGTGTCCGCCGGGGTCTGGGTGCTGTGGTGTGTGTGTGTGCGTGTGTGTGTGTGTGTGTGTGTGTGTGTGTGTGGGGGGGGGGGTCTTGTTGTAAAAGTTTATTGCAAAGAGTCACCATCGATTAGAGGCCCTTTAAAAGGCTGGTCACCCTGCAGCCGCAGTGGACAGATGCTGCCAGACACTCTCTCTGCTCAAATGGCAGAACGCCCTGAAGCGGCTTGTTCAGGGGCCACTCTGTTCAGGGGGCCTACTGTAGCCGGGGTGAAGCACGTGCAAGAGCCACGCAGGCCTCTGTTGTCATCGTGCCCACGCAGAGACATACCGGGAAGCAGCAGCAGGAGCAGGAGCAGGAGCGATCCAAACCGCGTTATTAATTATTGATATGATAGTCATCTGTTCAAGTATTGCTCCCTCTGTTTCTTTTTTTCTTGATCTGGGGGGACTGAGGCTTGTGTGGCCCCCATAGAGGAATATTTCGCGGCAGAATTTCCCTCCAGGGACCAATGAGAATAACGCTCTATCATTACGCTTTTATTAATAATGCAAATGTGAGGCCTGCAGTGGCTCCTGTCCAAACACGCTGCTGTCTCTCTCTCTCTCTCTCTCTCTCTCTCTCTCTCTCTCTCTCTCTCTGTGTTAATCCAAATATGGACCAGGTGTGGACAGGAAAAAAAACACTGCTTTAGATTATGTGCTTCTATTTGGTAATATTTGTTCTTAATCTTTTATGTTTTGTATTTTTCCCATAGATAACACAGCTGAAGATTGACAACAACCCTTTCGCCAAAGGATTCAGAGACACGGGGAATGGACGGAGAGAGAAAAGGTATCAAACACCTGCAGAATTACCTCAATATTTAATTATTCAGTGTGTGTGTGTGTGTGTGTGTGTGTGTGTGTGTGTGTGTCCACCATCTTTTTATTTTGCAAGGTCATGGTGTAACAGCCAAATTACCATGTATTATTATTATTATTATTATTATTATTATTATTATTATTATTATTATTATTATTATCACTACTAGTGTTATTATCATTATTATTGTTATTATTCCTAACAGTGCTAATGTCGCTGGCAGGAAACAGCTGACCATGCCGTCGCTGCGGATGTATGAGGACCAGTGTAAGGGGGACCGAGAAGGCGCAGACTCGGACGCCTCCTCTAGTGAGGCTCCTGCCGGGAGAGACACCGTCCACTCCCCGCTGGGAGCCGGTTCCAGCCCGCTGAGGTTCAGCAGGCCCAGTCGAGGTGAGAAGCAATATTATTTATGTCCTTTAAATGCCCATATATGGTCATACATTAAAGCATAAAGGGTGTGTGCAGAAAATTGATGCAATATATTTTAAAATTATAAGTTAGAATTAGAAGATAACATAGCTTGATGTGAGGAAAACAGCAGTGAGAGGTAATTTAATTTTTGTGTAGAATTTTTTTTTTAATCATTATCATTTTATTAATTATCTTGGTTAGCACTCCTGGATTTCTTCATGCAATGACGCCACACTAGATCTGTTGTGTTGGAGTTTGACTAATTAAAATCCGCTTTTAACTCAGTCTGAATTTGGAGAGTTCCTTTATTAAGGTTTAAAACTGTTCTTGGCACAAACAGCTTTTTTGTTCCACTGATTTCTAAAATAAATCTTGTTAATCATTGTTTTTCTTTCCTGCTCTGATCCTGGAGTTTTACTTCTTTAATTTTGATTAGTTTTAATCCTAAACCAGAAGCAGATTTGAAGAGGCCGGTTATTCATGTGGAATGTGTGTTTCTGTTTTAATGTTTGAAAACTCAGAGGCTTAAATTTGAACACAGTTCTTGTATGTTGGCCCACAAGATAAAATCTCATAAATATAAATGTAAAATGCAGGAAGTGTGTTCCTTTCCTAATGAGTGAGCATATGCTGGGAAATGTGCAGGGTGGATTTTAAGAGTTCAAGGCTCCCACCAGGCTTATGTGTCCATTCATGTGTGTGTGAGAGTGTGTAGTACTTGTGTGTGTATCTCTCCATGCACTCTGCTCACACCTCTTTGTCTCTGTATGAATCTTGGTCCTGCAGACGACAAAACATGCACTGACAGTGAGCAGGAGCTGGAGCATCATGACGAACTCTGCAACGCCTCCAATAGCCCAGGACCTGAGCCCGTGTCCCCCTACAGCTCCAGGTGTGAGGAGCGCGTGAGAGAGCGACCCAGCACAGAAAAGAAGGACGAATCCATTTTCAGTATAAGGAACCTGGAGAAGGACAAAGTGGACAGCAGGAGCAGGAAGGACACTTCAGACACGTTGACGAAGGACTCAGAGGCTGGAGGAATCAGTGCCAGTAAGGACGCCTTCTCCCCTCTCATGGTCCAGACTGAGAGCCCCTCGCACTTCAGCCCGGGCCACTTACAAAGCCTGGCTCTGTCTGGCCTGCACAGCCAGCAGTTCTTTAACCCTCTGAACACCGGATCACCCCTGTTGTTTCACCCGGGCCAGTTTGCCATGGCCCCCGGAGCCTTTTCTGCCATGGGCATGGGGCACCTTTTGGCCTCCGTATCTGGAGCAAGTGGTTTGGAAAATGGCAGCCTCTCCGCCCAGGGCACAGGAGGGACCCCCAGCCCCTTCCCCTTTCATCTGTCCCAGCACATGCTTGCCTCTCAGGTAAGAGAGATCAGCCTATCAGGGTTTGATTTAGTTTGTCTGAACACCTGTAGCTCTGAGCTGGCCTCAGCAGGAACAGATAGAGGAGAGTGTAGGAAGGATTGGGTGTCAAGTTTTGCCTCCTCGAACCACAATCAACACTCTGGAAAATTCAAAGAACAGGCATTGACTTTCAGCTTTACTGCCAAAAATGAGCAGGCTGAAATATTATGTATGATTATATGTGATCCAGAGGCTTCCATCTTTAAAATCCTCACTTAGCTTTATCCAATCGGGCTCATATGGAGGACAGACTGTGCCGCTCTCCTTTCATTTTGTTCAGCTGTATTATCAGAGTCATACAGGCAAAATCAAATGGCAGAACCCACTGCATGAAAACACACAGGACTTCACTGAAAGTATTTGTAAGAATTTTTTTTACATTTGTTTAAAAATTACAGCCCTGAAATCTTTTTTTTGAGCTGCATTAAGTCAATGTTAAGAAAACATACACCTTAACAACACTGTGGGGGAGTGTTTGTATAAGAGCACTATTGGTCTATGATAAAAAATAGATTTGGTGAAAAAAGATGATTTTTTAAAAATAATGAAAATGATCCCGGAGTGCTTTACTACATTAAATAATAGGAGTTTTCACTGTGATAGTTTAACGTTTTATTAGATAACAGAGGTCATTTCAATCATATTTGTTCTTTTACTTTTTTCTAGAGGTCTGTTTAAAGTAGTTCTGCCTCTTGATTTTCTGCTTAAGAATGAAAAAAAAAAATGTTTTGATATCAGAATTGTCTTTTTCATCAACAAAATCTGTTTAAAACATCATCAGAAGGAACTTAGGTCTTTGTGTGTTCAAAAAAAAGTCACTAAATGTTTCATATGTCTGAAAAAAAGTGTACACTCTGTGACACAGCCTCTCTCCTCTCTCCTCTCACAGGGCATCCCCATGCCTCCCTTTGGCGGTCTCTTCCCGTATCCGTACACATACATGGCAGCAGCTGCAGCGGCGGCCTCAGCCTCGGCCCTCCCGGCCACCAGCAGCTCCAGCCCGCTCTCCAGGAACCCCTTTCTGAGTTCATCCCGGCCTCGCCTCCGCTTCAACCCCTACCAGCTCCCAGTGTCGCTGCCGCAGAGCACCAGCCTGCTCACCACCGGCCTGCAAGGAAGCCTAAACCCCAACTCTGAATCCTCCAAGCCAGGCAGCAGGGAGACCAGCCCGGCCCCAGAGCACCTCAGCAGTAACCATAAGACTGGAGGGTCAGTCGGGAGGACCACATCCCCCAAAACCTCCATGAAGGACTCAGTGAATGAGCTGCAGAGCATCCAGAGACTGGTGAGTGGCCTGGAAGGCCAGAGGGAGCCGTCCCCAAGCGCAGACTCTCCCAAGTGATGAACACTGAGTTTGGGATGGAGACGAACCAGAGGACTATAAGTGCAAATGTCCTGTACAGCACATTACGGAGACTGGGATGAGGGTGAGGCCGATATGGGTCAGTGAAGGTCCATAACTCTTTTTTTTTTCTAACAGAGCTGTAGAAAAAAAGACCTTTAGTCCACGATACTCAATAAAACCTTTAAATGATTGAGAAGTGAGGGTGGGAATCCCTCTGAAGTCTTGTGACCACCATCAGACACCAAAACTTGTCCTTTTGAATCCCCAGTGTTTTAGGGTTAGCAGTTCTTAAAGTCAGGCATACCTCTACAAAACCCTGGGACACGTGTCTACATTGAGAAAACTAAAAACACAAAGATAGCATTTAATTAAATATTCCTGACAGTATCCATGTAAAACACATTTTAGAAAATTTAAAATATGACCACTTCATTTCATGGACTCAGTGCCGGGGGTTCTTATCAGTGAAATTCTTATCATATCAGAGGAGGACCACACATGGCCAGTATCGGCCCCCAGATATCGGTCTAACCTACCTGTGGTTCCACGGACTGGTGGCCTGCAGGAAAGTGTGTGTAGAGTGTGTTTAACTTGAAGCAGCCTGCTTTGGACCTGAACAGGAGCCTCATTGCGTCTCAAGCTGCATCCAAAAAACTTTTTCTGTTGGTTTCCAGGCCTGATGATTTCAAAAAGGTATGGAAGTGAAGAGCAAGACAGAACCGCTTCTTATCATTTCATGCCAGAAAAAAAAAATGTTTCTGAACTATTTATGTAATTAAAGATAAAAACAATTCTGTAAATGAAGCTAAGATCCAAGATTATGCAATTGGTATTAATTTATTCAAGGCTGTATATTTGCGTGTATATATTTCCATTTTTTTCCTTTCTCCTCTTCCTTTTCTTCCTCCCCCCTTTCTCCCTTTATTTTACATGAACATAAACTGTAAATGAAAAGCTATTTAGCGCTTGTTGGTTTGACAAACTGTATGATGAAGCATCAATGATTTTTAGAAGACGTGTGTGCCATGTTTTAGTCTGCATCCACCGACAAACACAGAGGATCAGAGGGAGGAAGAGCTCCACATTCATTAAAAAAAAAAAGACAAAAAAAAAAAAAAAAAACACCTCAGGTTACTTCACTCCAGTCAGGAGACAGTCAAAGCAATTCCTCCTCAACAGGCGCGTCATTCATATCTATTCATAAATATATTTAAAGATGATGAAAGTATCTTGTTTATGCTGGTTGTCCGTTTTTTTTCTTTTGTTTTTTTTTTTTTTTTTTTTTGATTGTCTCACAATTTCAATAAAAAATCGTTGTGCTGAAATCTTGCAGATATTTCATTCTTTTTCTTGTACACATTAAATAATTAAAATCATCTCTTAATGTTTTTTTGGATCATCTGTTTTAGAGAGAAGAGCTGCACACACAGATAAAACGTTCTGAATGAAGCCTTCTGGTTTTACGCACAAATTTACGCACACATGGGGCTTGAGCGCCCTCTGTTGGTTTAATATACAACAAGAAAAAGGGGGCTGATAAAAAGACCTATTCTTGAATGTGGTGTTTTTAACCTAAAAAGAAAAAAGAAATGTGTTTGTTTTCATATATTTGAACACTATATTTGAGTGAGATTCGCACCTTTCACCTAAAAAATGTGGCTTTTAAAATCAGAAGAAAAACATCAACTTTCATTTTTTCTTTTTTCTCATTTTTAGCCCTTTCTCTCTCTTTCTCTCTTGTTTTTAGATTATTTTCTTTGCAGAGTAGCAAATAAAAATATGTTTAATTTACATTATATCATGTCTGTCTCCTGCAGTCCGGGTCTATTTCAGGCAGCTCTTCAGTCAGCGTCAATCAGCATTTCCTCTTCTATTGTGTACCGAGTTTTTATTTTTAGAAAGAGTCGAGTAATGTAAGTATTTATAGGAAGAGCTTTCTCTGCTGCTCTCACACACATCCTCTGTAGACCCCTGTTTACCTCAGCTGACAGGTTATCATCCTGGATACTGTTGCTGCTGCGCGTTAAAAATATTTGTATCGGCAGAATAAAAGCAGAGATGATCGCCTTTTTGCTGGAGAATAGTCTCTGTTATTCCTGAAATATAATGTGTATTATCCCACCATAGATAACGTGTTTGAAATGAAATGTGTCATGCACATTGTTCCTGTACATTCCTGGTGTGTAATGCATTCGCCTTTGGTGCGTGTGCGTGCATGCATGGTGCACAGTGTCTGTATATAAATGTGTGTCTCGGTTTAAAGGGTTAAGCAGGGGGAGTTTAGGGCAGCAGACAGCCTTTTGTCCGGGACCCGGCGCCTGTCGCCTGCCTGCCGGCCACAGCCTCCACACCGCCCCGCTTCCTAATTAGAGAGCCCCCCTCCTCTTCGCCTCTCCTCTTCTCCTCCTCCTCCTGTTCTTCTTCATTTTCTTTTCTTTCTGCAGCGATAATCACAAAACTCTCATTCTATTACGGGGGCCATTGTTGCCCCTCTGTTATCTTCAATTAACAGAGAGAGCGGCTCGACCTCGCACTCTGGGAGAAAAAAGTATTTGTCTAAATCAATCAGTCAATGAGTGATCAATAGGCTCCTGTGGAGGTCCCGTGGATCATAACTAATGACTGCTGACGGCGTGGGGTAAAAAGGCCAAGATTATTCACAACTTTGTTAAATGATCAGTGCAGGCCTGTGTTGTTAGCGAAGCTCCGGGCCAACAGGAGAAGTTACACATGCAGGGCAGACAAACAGCAGCTTTTCCTGTTTTCCCTGTGAACCTAAACACATCACAGAGAGCTGACAGGTTTTTATCTCTTTATCTACAGGAGATAGTTTAGAGAGAGAGGGACTCAGATTACACGCACAAACACACGCAGACCCACTCTGCTGTCCTCAAGTTTAAGATTTCCACTTTCCTGTTTATTCATTTGTTTAGTCATCATGAATTTATAAAGTTTCTCCATTTTACTTTAAAATGGGATTCAAAAGAGTTAATCAGCAAAATTCAAAAGAAAAAATATTTATTCAAGAAAAGTTTGTTGTAGGTTGTTGTATTTGGACTTCAGTTTTTTTATTTCCCTTTCTCAAAAAGTTTTATTTTTACTCTCTCAATTATCCAAAAAGCTTAAAGCACAAACCAAGTTAAAGCCCAAATTTACTCTATATGGATATATAACAGGCTTAGAATATGATGCAGTGATCCCAGTAAATGAATTTAAGAAAGTCGAAATTAGACTGAATTCAATAACTGCAACTGATTTATAACATTAGATCTTAAATGAATGAAATGACTGTTATTAGTAAACAGATACTTTAGACTGTGATACCGTGAAGGTCAAATTTGTTTACTAAATCAGCATTTTAATTTGGAAGAATTTTTTATGCACTTTTATACAACGCAGGAACATGTCATAGTCAATAAACCATCACATTCACCAAATTATCAACAAACCTGCTGACTCGTCCTACTAAATATGAAATTGTTTGTATAAAAATGGTTCAAGTTACATTTTGTCTTCAAAATACATTGTTTGATGAAAAAATAATGCTGATTTAGTTTTGTGTCAGGTATTTATTATTTTTATTCTTTTGTTGTTTTTATGTAAAAAAAAAAAAAAAAAACTATAATAAAACGTGAACCTAACGCTGTGTTTTTATGTTGTATTGCTTTGTTCTCTCAAACCTGTTGCTCTTATCACGAGTTGCTCACAGCACAGGAGTGAAAATTGTACCAGGCTCCCAGAAACCTCCTCCTGATCCCTGCAGACACTGACTGATCTGATCCCTGAGGGCTGACACTGAGCTGTGACGCAGCTAAGAGCCAATACCTCCAAAATTAACAAAAATATTCTTTTTACAACATTTTAAAGATGCAAAACACTTCACAGGACAAAATATATTCTCTTTTGTCCGATTTTATGCCATTAAAACTGCAGCAAAGGTCCTGTACACTCTGTGTGAATGAAACAAGAGTATTGGTGCTGAATATTGGTCTGCTGGAGCTGGGAAAGAAGCCCAGAAACCTGTGTGCAGTCTACAGAGTGTGTATTGTTAGACTGCGCCTCTCTCTCTCTCTCTCTCTCGCTCTCTCGCTCTCTCTCCCTCCGTTCCTATTGGCTGCCAGGCTCAGGTGCAGCCTTCACACTGGCCCAAAGTGGAGCAGGAGGGATCCAATCAGAAGCCAGTGAGGAGGTGGGGGAGGAGGAAACACACACAGAGCCACCAGAGCTTCTCTCTCTCTCTCTCTCTCTCTCTCTCTCTCTCTCTCTCTCACACACACACACACACACACACACACACACACACACACACACACACACAAACTCAAATGCAAAGCAGGATTTTGTTCAGACTCTTAAAGTGAGAAGTGTGAAAGGAAAAGTGCAAATTCCTATCAATCAATCTTTACTGTAACTAAAAACACACACTGACACACTGAAAAACACACAAACACATACACACACAAACTAGGCAGAACACACAGGCCTGCAAAGCTGCAGCATTAGATGTAAGCATGAAAAGAATTAAAGCGAAGACAACAAATACAAACTTTACAGATACTTCTCTTAAATGGGAATAATCGGATTGGATTAGACAGATTGTCATTGTAGAGTTTTTGATATATGCAACAAGTCATACTGCCTGTGAGGGTGATTTTGTGAGAGAGTGTGGCTGTCCTCTGGACTTACAATGCCCCAGCGTGCAGGCCTGTCGCCCCCTCCTGGACAGAGAGGAGGTGATGGACTCTGGCTTGAGTCTGAAAGAGCACAGAGGATCAGAACCCCTCTGGAGTTTATTATGGCACCCATCTTTGAGAGCATTGGTTTAATAAAACCCAATCTGATAGTCAGCTTTTTATGTCTTTGGTGTTCTTCTTTCACAGTCACAGGACTTATACCTTCTACATTTCAGATAGATTAATGTTGGATAAATGGTGCATGGAGCCTGACACTAAGACAGCGAGAAAGTCAGTCAGTCAGTCAAACCATCAGCTTTCTTTGCTAAAATATGAATCCTGTTCAAGGACTGCACTTGCAAGGTGCCAGGATGCTACATCAAGTGACCATCAGTTAATTATCCCGTTCATACACAGCTGGCAATGACAAGAGAAACTGGGTGGGATTCAGCGTCTTGCCCAAGAACACTTCAACATGTGGACTACAGAGGCTGGAATCAGGCCGCCAACCTTCAAACTGAGAGACAACTGACAGCCGCCTCAGAGATCTGTTCAACAGGACCTCGGCTTTATTTATTTCTACTGCACATATTGTTGTTCTCAATCTGCAGGCCGGTTTGTGTTAACAGTCAAACACAGGATCTACCAAAAGAGAGAGAGGGGCATTTTCCTCTATTTCACACACAGAAAAGACTCAAATCATACAGCGTATACTCCTCTAACTTTAAGATATTAAAAGGAAAAATGTTACATTTTGTACTTTCTTGCTTGTGTGAGTCAAAAATCTGCGGGCAAAATTTCTTGTTTGTAATCAAGACAATATTTGAAGTAGCACCGGCTCAAATTTTTATCCATTACATTTATGAAATCTTTCTTTTTGTCTTGTAATATATAACAATAAGATGTGATATCAGAGAATGTCAGGGTAACATGGCTTCTGTTAGGTGTAATTAGATATTCTTACCATAAATAAGACAAATACACCCTGTGAGATGTGAGTTTTTGTTGTGCATCTGTGCTTTTATCTCCACTAAATTACATTAAACATTTTAAAAAAAAATGGTCTTTTCATGTGCAAATAAGGACTTTTTAAATAAGCTAAAGCTTGTCTGGCCCAGTCAAAGTCCTATTCAAGTGAGAGTTTCATCCTGAAAGAAATCATACTTCTTTTTATATAACCTTTTTTTTCCTTTTTACATTAAGCCCGTGTTAAATGTTCTCATATAATAGTTTTACAGCCCTTTTCTCTTTTATTTTTGAAGTTTTATAGTGCATCAATTTTAAGACTTTGAGTTTATGGACTTATTGCTCCTATTATTCTGTTTTTCAGGACTCCTTAAATCTGGTTTGGTCCCAGGACAAATAACCACTAGGTGGCACACTTACTTACTTGACAAGTAAGTAAGTAAATGCTGACTGTATCAGTGTCTTCACAGGCCTCACTAAAGCATCAGTTGGACAACAGCAGCTGATTTAAACAATTAAAAACAGTTTTTACTAAGACTGAGAACCTCTATTGTTTCACTGGCTCCCTGTGTTTTCAGAGGGTAGAGTTAAAGTTACAGCTGCTGATCTGCAAAGCACTGAATGATGATGGTGATCCTGTCATACAGGATGAAAACTAACACTGCTCATTTGGTCTGATACAGGTCTGCTGACTTTCCCCAGAATTATAGCCAAACATGGAGAAGCTTCGTTGAGTTTTTCTGCTCCAAACAGCCGGAACAAACTCCCAGAATGCATCAGGTCCACTGAATCCTTCAGTTCTTTGAAATCCAGACCGAGGTCTCTGTCAGTACCTGTGTATCTTCATTACACAACACTCTCATATTTAGAGCCTCTTTTTCTCTGCTGTTTTTTTAATCTCCTCTTTGATTTCTAACCCATTGGTTCCTCTTTATCAGAGTTTCTTCTGCTCTTTTGATCACGATGTTCAAATGTCTTGTGTAAATCTCTAATGCCATTTTTATGACATGCGCTCTAGAAAGAGGCTTGCCAAGCCTGATCCTTAAAACACCATCAAATACTGTTGAGTTGTGGTTTATGTGATGTAACTTCATGATGAGCCTTAAGGACTGGACTGAATAAAAGCATCTGAGGTCAAAGAAGAAGAAGAAGAATTTTCAGGACAACTGTGAAGAAACCTGCACATCGTTTACACAGAGCATTGATACGAGATGAAAAACTATCATTTTCCTGCTGGTCTCCATTTCACCATCATGTTATAAATGTTACACTGAGGCTTTCACAGCGTGCTTTTGATGCCTCCTGAGGCTCATTGCCCTTCTCTCTGGCAGGAAAATCTTCATGCATGGAGGAGGAACTTTTTTCAATTTAAGGATCAGTTTTCTTGAAATCTAGAAGCGTGCATGAGAAGCTGATTTGAGGCTCTTCTAGTCTTGCCTTACTTGTTGCTAAAGCAAACATGCAAAGTAGCTTCTAGTGAATTTTACAGACCTTTAACCCTCCCCCCAAACATCCAGTCCAATCTGCTTTGTTTGTAGAGCCCATTTTTACTAACATTAATGACTGCGCAGTATGATAACAAAGCAGAGATAAATAGAGGGTAAAACAGAAAGATAAAAGCACCATAAACTAAACAAAAACATATGAGACACATAAAAGTAATGAAATCACATAAAAATAAAGTTTAAAGACTAAAACAATTACAGGGATCGCTCAACTCTCATAGTGGGTTTAAATCCATGACAGAAAATAAAGTTTCAAGATAATATTTTAAAGTTGTTATACTGGAGGAGTTTTTTTGTTCACAAGAAGCAGCTGATCTGCAGAGCTCAAACACAAACCCTAAAGAAGTGCAGACTCAGAGCTCAGAGGTGTACTGAGGTGCTAATCCATTTAAAGATCTTAAAACAAACAATAAAGTCTTGAAATGAACCCAAAAATGAACAAGAGGGGCCAGTGGAGAGAATCAAGCATGGGGGAAGCATGTGCTCCATGTGCTGCAAACAGCAGGATGGACGTATATTCAAGACTCTTAAAGCTCCTGTGAGGAACTTTCAGCCCCTTTAATCATTGCAGTCTTTGTCTAAAAAACTGTCCTTCTGACAAAAAAATCTCATCCTGCTGACTTGCGACAGTCAGTCGTCTATTTATTTTGAATGACAAGTGTTAAAAACCAGGGCTGTTTCTCCAGCTGCTTGTCTGACTCCTACCCTCTCACTCTAGTCTCAGCAATTAAATTATATAATTGAAAAATAGTAAATCTTGATGCTGATGGTCGTGTTTGCCTTTGTATAATACGAGGAAGCATAAATATGAATTTCAATCTGTTTCATAAATGTAAAAAATTAGAAATAAAAATTTTACACAGGAGCTTTAAAATGCCACAATATTTTTATTCTGTGTTTAAAGTCATTTTGCTGCTTTAAAAACTTTTTTGTGTGTAGTTGGATGTTTTGTTTTTGCACTGAACTGTCTTCGGCCCACTTTCACACAGATTTCCTTCCACAGAGTCATGTTGACTGAAGATCATCCAAGGTTTGTGGTTAAAGGTCAGGGTGCGTCCCATAACATGATTAGATTTTACGTGGAGCTGCAGCATTTTGCACTGAATGAAATGTTGGGATAAAATACGATTCTTTCACAGGGAGGTATGAAGATGTGTAAGTCTTTTTAAAATCCCTGATGAAAAGCCATTTTAATCTGTCTTTTTTGATTCTTTTCTGAGGCTATCTCTATCTTGAGATGAGTCCTGCTGCATGTTGTCTTATATAATTGTGTTTTTCTTACATTACACGGAGTACGTGTCAGGACTTAAAGTGAGAAATTTCCTTGCCTAATATCAGTCAGAAAATAATGCAACTCTGCTCTTTTTTCTGTAGATGACATGCTGGATAGGTAGTAGTTGAACCCCGCTGCATTACTGCCCCTTTGCACGCACCCCTGTTTGTTCTCGAGCGTACATTCGTGCAGTATGGTTTGGAATAAATTCAACATGTACGAGCTTCATGTGAAGAGTGTGTGTCATGACACATCCTCTGCAGTGACCTGCTGCTGCTGCAGAGACAAATTACAAACTGAAAAATGTCGAACATGAAAGCCATAAATCAGAGCAGAGCCAAACAGTGCGGGCGGCTAATGAAGAGGCTGGATGGGGTGAAGCTGAAGACCTCTATCTTTTCATTCATTACAGCTGAAGGAAACAGCAGAAGCTCGTGTGGAAACAGACGCTTTTCACAGTCCTAGATCAAACAGAGACAAGACTACGAGCTCAGATCACAAAGTGTGAGCCCGCTGCACAGCTAGGGCCTGAGTGAAAGTGGGCTTTTGATCATCCACGAGTCCTTGTTTAAAGAAGAACTATGTGGGATCTGAGCGTCTGACCCCGCAGAGATCATTCGCTGTGATGGCACTAAGAGGCCTGAACTTCACACACTGAGTTTGACACGGAGATGAACACAGCAGATTAGCAAAGACTAACAGTCTCTATCATGATGAACGGATGACAGGGCTGAGAAAAGACGCTGAGACTAAACCGCCGGCTCTTCTAAAAACATACAAACCTCCTGCCTGACACTCCTCTGAGCTCAGACACATGTAAAACACAGCCTCGCCTGCTCAGATAAACTGTGAGCGGCTCAGCAGACAGCGGTGTACTCAGGCTGGAGTTTGACTAATGCTACTTCTTCCAGAGGAACAAAGAGAGTGTACAGTGGTTTCAAGTGCTGTTTACCACTAAATGACATCTGAAAACATACTGATTTGTGCATTTTATTCACTGTGCTGCAGCGACCTAAAGGATGCAGAGGATAATGCTGCTACTTTGTAAACTCGTGCAAAAATCCTAAACAAATTGGCTGAGACATGCTACAAATGAGAGCAATAGAAAACAAAACAAAAAAAAGCCAAAACAGCTTCTTTAACACCAAACATGATGCAAATACATCAGTCATGCACCTCAGAAAACACTTAATTTGCTGCAACCACAACAACAGACATGCTCCAGACCTCTAGGGGGCGCTCAGTTGAATGCTTTGTAATGGTTTATCATTGACAGGAGAGTGAGGAAGATAAGGAGGAGATATTATTTTTTTGACATAAACTTAAAAACATGATGTACCTATTTGCAAAAACTAATCAGGTTGCCACATTGGTAGCCATTTACTTTCAATGAATCCTCATTTTTGACAGAGTATGAACAGGACGAGTTCATACTGGTGGGTGTTTTACAGAACAGCCTCTGCCACCAGCATGTGAATGTGGTGTGTGAAGGAGTGAATGTGTGTGATGTTTAAGTGCTTTGAGCGGTCAGATGACTAGATTAAGTGCCATATAAACACAGTCCAATTACTTAAACAGAGTCTACAATAGCTGACAAAATGACCGCTGGTGTAATTAACAATAACTCTCCGCTGTAATCGATTCTTTCCAGCATAATTAGCTCCTTTGTTTTATACTGTAGGGCAGCCAATGAGCATGCAGAGTGATTTTGCCTCCAGGATTGTAGAAAATCAATGGAGACCAGAAATCTACTCTTAAATATCAGATTATTGCATGTCGTATGTTGTAAACTTTCGCACTAAATTTAAAACATATAAGCTTTTTAAACATTTTGTATTTCAAATGGATCTTTAAGGCTTTCACTCAGTGTCCGTCTGTCTTTCTTCTTGTGCAGAGTGGTAGGGCGGCACCTCACTGTCCTCAGTTGTCCTCTACAGCCCCTGTATTCAAATCTTATATATTTTTGCATAAAGTTTGAGCCTCTTTGAAATTAAATTCAAATGATTCTACTTTTGCAACATCCGTAACTGGAGACTAAAGATCCTGGAGAAAATTTTACCTGGTTATGAAAAAGGCTTAAGTCATGCTGATATCCTCGTGTGACCTGAAAGAGTCAACAAGAATATCAGCCACAACAATATAACTTACTTGATAGTTATTTCTGATGCATGTTACCAAAACCAAAATTGAAAATCACATAAATGTACAAACAGTATGTGCAGAAATAAATCTCATATTGACATCATCATCTAAGGATATGTCTCCTATGAATCCAATACTCCAAAGGTCTCTCTCCTCCGTGCAAACAAAGGTCAAGAACAAGAGGAAAAACTCTTATAAACTCTTCAGTTTTTCAGACGACTGCTGACGACTCACTCGCACCTAATAAAAACAGAGACAAAGTAAAGTGAAGGAAGACAAATGGGCGTCCCGCTTTTATCGCCTGCTGCAAAGCACAGCTGAGAGGACAGGGATGTAAACTAGGAATCCCTGAGATCCATTTAATGAGCTGAATCAAAGCATGCAAAAAGACTAGAGACGACTTCGTCTGTGTCTGTGTCTTCTGTTTTTTTATGAGTTTGTCACAGAACAGGGACTGTGGTGCTCTGTGTTTGGTTCAGCAGTGTGATATGGACAAAGCCAAACGACAGAGGGAGTCTCAGCAACACCGTCTGACTTCTCTGAGCTTGACTTCTCAGACCAGAAAACAGAAAAGTACAACTTTTACCCAAGCAGAAGAACACTTCCATAGTCTTTTTAATGTTTAATGTGAGCTTATTTTTATGAAGCCACTCACATACCCCAATCATGTATAATTGTAGCCTCTCAGCTGCTTTATCTGGCGTGTTAGAATATAAAACAGTATCATCAGCATAAAGCTGTCAAAAGGCCCTGTACAACTTTCAGGCAGATCATCTGTAAAAAAAAAAAACAAATATCAGTGGACCTAGCATTGAGCCTTGGGGAATACCTCTTTTATTTTGTAATTGAGCAGATCTTTTTGAGTCGATCTGCACACTGCTTCCTTGACTAGAGATAAGAGGCAAACTCAACTAAAAGTTTATCATTCTGAGCAAACTATAAGATTGTGTGTTTTCAGACAAAAGACTGGATTGTCTTATTTCACAGTTTATGGACAGTATGAACTACGGACATCCAAGTTTGTGTGCAAAAATACCTAAAAAGAGGGTTTTTCATCATATGTCCCCATCAAAATCCTGTTCATAATCTTTCAATTCTCTCAACGCATTGACAACTTTCAATCTTCTTCACCAAAATATAAAAAGTGAAAAAAAAAGACTGCGCACCCTTATTCTAGGTGAAGAAAAACAAAATTGTAATTTAAATGATCACATAATAATCTAAATATACAGAAATGTTTGATTCCTTTTCTACCAAGTCTGTAAAATGCTGCTATATCCTACACACTGCTAGCTTGGCATCACTGGACCAACACAGCCTGATGAATTAATCAAGAACTGTTCAATTTGTTAACATTTTCAAGGGGCCTTAAACAATGGCAGAATGGTATAGAGCTTCTGAAATTGGATACACAGACAAACCACTAGTCAGATTAATGCAGCATGTGTTGTACGGCAAACCAACAGAAATGGAAACACTCAGCTGGATGCAGAGTGAAGAAATACAAAACTACCACAGCAAAAAGTATGTCGATTTTATAGATATCAGAAAGTCAGATATGAAAATTCAAGCACAATTTTACAACTGTTTTTTCTTTTGAATTAAAATGTGGAGAGTCATTTGACCAATTCAGTATAATTCAAAGTCCCTGAGCTAACCTGTTGAACATTTCAGACTGTAAGTTTTGTAACTTCTCTTCTAACTGACTGAAGTTTCATAATTTAGAGTCAGCCATCTTTAATCTGCAACTGGAAACCACCTCCAGATAGTGTCCAAATATATAAGAGTGAAAAGACCTTTCTGCAGAGGAACCCCTCAAATCCAAACTCTGAGGTTTCCTGCGTGATGATATTGGGAGAAGGAAGAACAGAATCAGGGGTTTTCCCTCCTGGGAGGTCTGAGCAACAACTTCCAGCATGCTGGGCTCAGGTCTGTCAAGTCTCTAGGATAACCAGGTCCCATGTCTACCGGGTCACATGTTCAGGGATCAGAGGAACCCGGAGGAGACAGAGTGTTTCTGAGAGTGTAAGTAAGACTATGGGTTTGACCAGATGGTGAACCGAGCAGCACATGATGCCCACATACCGCTGACCTGGCAGCCACTAAAGTCCCACTGGAATCACCAATTGACCCTGACACTAATATCATCAAGCTGCGCTCCAAATTAAACGGTCACTGCAAACATGGCTGCCACTTCAAAGAGTCTGGGGGCTTACTGCTGGAAAACAAAAGGCATGACACTGTTTAAATACAAGCAGTAAGGAACCACTGGGATGGAAGAGGGGTGTTAGTGAAGCTGCATTAGCCTGCTATTGGACAAGTTCAACCAAAAAAACTTTCACACTCTCAAATACTCAAAAGCACGGCTTTGAAACAGAGGACCGCACATTCACCACAGTGTCTGCTTCTCTACACGGGTTTCATGTTAGTTTTAAATGAATTTCAGGGATCACTTTTGAAACATGTCCGCAGCTACATGGTATAACTGTTTACACCCTAACAGCCAGCCTGAAACCTTAAATCCTCAGGTGGAGCTTCTTTTCTTCAGTAATACTTTTATCCAAAGAAGAGTGATTCTGTTTCCAGGATTCCTCCAAACATCTGAGGAGATAAAGTTTAAAAATCAGTGACATCTTTTGAATCACATCTCAAACTTACTATTATGGACTTGCTGTTACTTGGTATTGTTTTATTATTGCCATTGAGGTTTTAATTATTTGGACAATGATCTGTTTTATTATTATTTATCACAACTTATCCAATTGGGGTCTATATCATACGATCTGAAGACATCTGAGATGACAAAATAAGCTTCTTGCTTTAATTTGATACCACATAAAAATAATAAAAAGTACATAGGGTGCTTACATGGTCCATTACATTTTCTATTATGTTGATTAGGCAAAAATGTCATTTGAGAAGTTTTTACCCGATTACTGTACATGTGGAATGTAAACTGATGCTTCTTAACAAGCCACATAAGTAAACAAGACCTTTTATTTCTGAACCTACTGCTGCAGGACGGTGTGGAAAGAGATCAAAATCATTCTGCAAAAACAGACGTTCTCACAGTCTCCTCAGAAAATATTCACATGAAGTTGTTCATTTAACTATTTAAAGATGGCAATTTAAGTAACTTTTCTTTCTATATTCACACCTTACACATGTGCAGGACAAAACAGCAAAGAGATGAGCTTTTCATGGGGGAACCAAAAGTTCCCTACAGGATCTTTAATTTTGCCTAACTATGTGCAGCTTTAGCCTGCACAAATACAGAGCAGCTGTTTAACCACAAATCTTTGTAGTAGTTCTATAAGAAAACACAAAAAATGATGTTTTTTTTTCCCTTGCTATGACTGCTATTTATTAAATGTGGAGATTCGTGACTTACTGCTTGTAGTTAAAGATGTGCAGAACTACTTTTTGAAGTATCCTTGACTCATAGCTGAACTAACCTGCAGTAAAAGTGTATCGCTATCCACAGTATTAGGGTGTGTGTGTGTGTGTGTGTGTGTGTGTGTGTGTGTGTGTATGTGCGTGTCTGTTGTTGGAATGAGGGAGGACGTTGACTCAGTGTGAGTAAGTTTTCCCTGGTGTGTGGTGGAGCTCGTTGGCTCACTGTTTGCTCTGAGCTGGAGGTCAACGTCTCGGTTAGAGAAAACACACACTCATTAATGCCGTGTGTAAGCAGAGCTGATCTGTGCAACACATGTTTGTGGAGTACAGTAAAAATAATTACCCTTATGGTGCACTTTTCAAACTCAAAGTTACTGTATCAGCATGATAAGGTTCGGCATTTGGTGTTTAAAATTATAACTAATAAATATGCAAAAAATGAAAACTTCACATTATGTCAGTGACAGCTGGTCAGTGCAGGTAGAGGAACACATCTGTGCCGTATCTGGTGAATAGTACAAAAACAAAGAGGTTTTTTTTGATGCCAAAGTGCTTCAAATGGTTCAAATAGTGAGGACTTAAACTGACATTAGTGTTTAGGGCAGAGTGTCTTAAAACAAGCTTAACTGACTGACCTGGTCTACAGCAGGCGATAGTCTAAATCCTCTCAACAACAGTGACTTGCTTAGATCCTTGGTGGGTGATATGCTTGCTACAAACTCATGCCAGTATTAAGTAGCCACTATAGATGCCAGTTAGCTCAGACACTTACTTTAAAACTGCTGGAAGAAACAGGAGGTTATGTATGCTACTGTTTTTACAGCCACGGAATTTAGCTTATTTTTAAAGATTCTGACCAAAGCACTCATCAAGTGTACACCGTACCCACAAAATATTCATTGGCCTTCTGAATGCCTGTTTGTTTTTGCACTCTTTGTGGACGATGATCTGCGCATTAGGTGTAGGACGTATAAGCCGCTGATATATTCTGAATTTTGATATTTTTGCATCCAAGCTTTGCATGATGTTAAGTACCTGATGTCTAAGATCACGCTGCATATGCAGCTCATACAAGGACAAACTGTGCTGACTCCCAAATGTGTGAAACCAAAAATTTGTGGCATTTTAAAGCCTCTCCGAGAACCCAAACCGCCACTCACCTATTAATTGACCACAGAGGATTTGAGGCAGGATCTAATGTGACCACAGAGCTTCATGTCTCCTCATAATTAATATGTACTATGCGGCATGTTTAAAATAACAAAATAACACAACACCAACACTGAAGACTGAACAAATAATTATCAGAGTGAGTCGATTTTGATTGTGTTTGTCACTAAAAACACTTTACACTCAATAAAATGTCACTGGATCAAGTTCAAATTTGATTAAATATTGATACAGTAATACGGTGATCCAGGACTTAAGGTTTAATAAACACAAAAACCCAGCCGAAAGCCGACTGGAGGTTGGCCTTGGACAGCACCTCACTGGAGGCCTGCGGAGGAGTCGAGACACAAGTCTCCACCTCATCTGTGGCGCTGCATAGCCACCAAAAGCTCAACACCGACCTCGAGTAAAACCAGCCTATCAGTGATTAGATACCAAGAAGTGTGGAGAATGATGTGGGGGAGGGTCTGCCACTGTATCAGCTAACAGGAAAAGGAGCCTTAGCCACCATTTTGACCGGAGAAAAAAGGAGCAAGGAACGGGGTAGCGTGCATTAGCTTAACCCCTTTCCACTTTCCAACCTCCTGGCAATCACAAAAGAAAATATTTTGTCAGCGAAAGAAAAGGCAAGACCCCCATCACGGTAAATCTGACACGCCATCAATAACTGTGCTTCAAATGAGTAAAATCAAAGCGGTTTATAAGCAGAGCTTATAAGAGTTTTCAACTCTGGGTGGCAAAACCACAAAAAATGAGCACAAACACACTGAGAGAGACGACAAATCTATTCTGTATAAACAGCCTCTGTGAAGGTATAAAATATTACACAAGAGCAAAGTGTATGAGATTTCTGTGGAAATGTGTTTTTTCAGATTGAATACTCTCCACATCTTCTGTTAACATCCCGAAAAATATTTTGCTTTACACTGACAGTATTTGTTAGTTTATTTTTTTATATATATATTGTTTGGTTCTGATATTGTGTGTTTTTTATTTTTTGCATCTTAATGAAGGTTTTTAAAGCCTCTTTTACATTAAGTTTTAACAACAGAGACTTTGTGGTTGGATAATGTTTAAATTTTCAAGGAAAGATCAAAAAGAATAAATAATTCTGCAACCTTAAGCTGAAATGACATTGCCTTTTCCACAAACTTGATGGGTAATCATATGAAACTACATTATAGGGAAAACAGAAAAATACTGACTCTTTTTCGGTTGTCATTTAAAACAAGTTTATAAAATACCCTGTCTCCTATGAGCCATAACTGCCCTGCTTTATTTTACGTTACCATACTTTTATATTAAAGTCTTACGAGTTTTAAACTTGTCATTAGCGTCAGAAGATGAGGTGGATTTCCTAAATACATTAAGAATACCTAATATAATAGGCCTGGAGGATTAGCATAGTTTTCCTCTGAACAAGATATATTTCAAAGTACAAAAAGAAAAGATAAAGCTCTGGCATCATCTGTGGGGAGATGCAAATCTAAATATTCAAACATGCATAAACAAAAATATCTGATGAGAAAAGTGATGCAGAAAGATATTTGGTGGAGAGTTAAACATTCTGATTAATTCTGATGCATGAAAAATACATTTTGAGTTTGGAATCCGATGAGCACATGAGACGCTGGCATACTGATGAAGGATCATATAAAACTGTATAAATACCGGGTAGAAAATAAGTCATGTGAGTGCTGATGTCTGAAGTCATATTTCCAGTCACACACTTATGTCAGCCAGTCTGCAGCTATAACCTCCTCCTGCTGCAACCACGTGACGGTGGGAGTGCGTGGATGTTTAGTTCCCTCCAAAACATCAGCTCAATTCTGCTGCTATAAAAAAATCTAGCTGTTTGATTGCAGCAGATCTTTGCAGAGGGGCTGCATGCATGCATGTCTGGCACCTAGAGGAGTGACACACAGCCCGGAGGAGAGAGAGAGAGAAAGAGAGAGAGGACTGAAGGAGCACAGAGGTCAGGGCTGAGCAGGAAGCAGAGCAGGAGGTAAGAATGGACACAGAACACTGACACTGAGCTGAAGATACTCAGGGTTTCATCAGTAGGATGCTTTTCTTACAACAGCTGCTTTTTGTGTGGGGTTTGTTTTGATTTTGCAGAGTCAAATCCTGTTGAAATGAGAGAAAAATGCTGGAAAATTTGTCAGATTTGAGATTTCTGATACGCTTCCGCATTTAAATTTGAATGCTATGGAAATTTCAGCAAGATGGCACCAAATTTCATCCATGAGAATCAGCGCTAGCACGTGATCTCTGGGAGCATTTTAATTCTTGACATAATGTATCTTATGTTGTGCTCTGCAAGTAACTCATATTTTGGGCTGTTATGTTGGAGCAATAAGGTACTATCATTTTTTCATGGTTTAATAAATGTTCATGTTATTTCATGTGTAACATGCATGAAAAAATACATTTTAATCTATATGCACTGTGGGCTGCAATGCTCAATTCCAAGCAGAGAGAGACCCACGATTCTCTCCTGCAAAAGTACCAGACTGTGCAGACTCTGACTGAGTTCAGGCTTTAGAATAATTGCTCTCTGGCTAATTAGACTATTTGTCTAATTGGCTCTGACGGAATAAGGGCATTTACTGAGATAAATACAGCCACATCACCATGAAGTCTTTTGCAGAGTTTGTGCACGCACTTAAGCTCACTGAGGGCACTTTTTTACAGCTAATAGTTCAATCAGCGAGCAAATTACATGTAAAATAAGAAAAGAAAAGAATGGAAATGACTGATTTATCGCCTTTAGATGGGAGTAAATTGCGCATAAATGCGATGTTTAGAGTATAAGTGGTGCAGAGTGGGAAAATGACTGTAGTTATTAGTTTGAGGTTGCAGAGTAAAGCGGCTAGCAGCAGCTCAATATCCACTTTTCAACAGTTGAAGAAAGTTGGAGCTGCGTGTCTGTCAGCAGCGAAATCACGCACACTCACACACTCGAACGTAAGGCCGAATGACAAACTGTGGCCGTTCATTCGTTCATGTCACCATCAGACATACAAGTCGCAGTGGCGCGTGATTTACGCACACGCCAAACAGTTATGCGTCATTTAGAGCAAAACCACGGGCGCATATTTCACCTGCAAAACAGCGAGGCCTCCACGTCACTCAACCACCGTGAGAGGTGGAGGGTTATTACACACACGCACACGCACGAAGAGCAATCCACAAGTGGACTCAAGAGAGCACTTTTTAATATTGTTTTTAAGTTTCCACGTTCAGCTGAAGAAAAAACACACTTCCAACGCATAAAATCAGCCTTCTTCGTGTGTTTTCAGCAATTCATACTAAATCTCCAAACCACTGCAGTTAAACTTCATCTAAATCGAGTCGTTTTATGTTTCCCCGTCCACACCTGAAGAGAAGAAACCTGCAACTTGGAGGCCCGTTCCCCTCCTTCAGTATATCGTGGGTCGAGGCACAGACTAACTCATAGACAACATAATAAAATGAAAATATGACAAATAATTTAGGACATGTATCTGAATACTTTCTACAATATAATTTAATAAATGTTGATAAAAATGCATGTAATTTGATGCATGTAATGACCCGTAACTGTAGCAGGCCATGCTGGGGGAAGACAGCGCGCATATCTGTTTATACTGAACGCGGCACTCATGCAATTTTTTTACACTCAAAAAGACTCATAAATAAAATATATAACAGAAGTCAGGTCCACTTATTTTGAAGGCGATACGCAGTAGCGGAGCTCTGCAGAAGTAGGGGAGACCGGGGTTGATTGTCACACTTTTTACTCCCTGATAGAACCCACAGTGATCAGTCCCACAGTGGACAGTGGAAGATTTTTTTAATGTTTTTAAAATGGGAACCCATGTCATTCTTCTTCATTAATTAAACAAAAATTAAACAATCAAGGATGCTTGTGTGACAGTCAAACCCAACACCAGTGAGCTGTTCTCTGTTATCCATGGAGTTTTGATAAGAAAAAAAGACTTAAAAACATTATTCACTTTTTTATTCTCATTAAGCTTGAGGGGAATTAAGTTTGTTTTCAAATCAGTAACAGCTTAATTAATGCTTACCACTGCTCTTTGTATTTGTAGGTTTGTTTGAATGATGTTTGTCAATAAATTAAGCTAAATGAAGGTATCTAGTCTTGCAGAAAAGTCAAGGATGTAAAATTAGGAATTTATCTGTTTGATTCATGCCAGAGAGAGAGCTAGAGGGAGAGGAGGGGACTGTTATGTTTTATCAAAAATATTTAAGACCATATGGATTGAAGCATGGATTTTGAGTATGCCAACTGTCTTTCTGAAGAGGTTTGATGAAAATAAACTAATAAATAGGTAGAAATATTCCAAGTAATCTGGGTTACAAAGACAGATTTGACAGTAACCTGCACAATACGTGCATCACAAACTTGAGCAAGAGTGTAAAAACCAGCCCCATCTCTAAAAAAAAAACTTTGTATTAACAATGATTATCCTCATATTGACAGATGTTTGATGCAAAATGCTGTTGCTGCTATTGAACTTCTTGAAATTTTTATTTTATACACATTGGTATGAAAAAAAATTGGTACTCTGGCCCTTATGTGTCTTCTAATCTAATGTTTGACCTCTTGACACAGCCCTCTACTGCTTGGCTATAATAAACACTGACAACCTGTGAGACAACCTATCCCGGTGTCCCCTATACCTGACTGTCAATTTTGAACGGTGTTCAAATGGCATGACACCAAATTTCAACCACGTTAATCTTATATTTCACATAAAACAGACCTTCAATGTTAAAATGCGGTGTTAGGCTTACAGGTCTCTGGATTTCAACATCTATTTATGGCCTACAGATTGTCTTGGAGATGCTTTTTAGGAGAGGTGGATTCACAGAGAGGGGATTTCCCGTTAAGCGGAAGATTACATAGATGGTGCAAGTTTGGGTGTTATGAAAGCAGCTGTTGCGTTACAAATCAATTTATTGAAATTATTTTCTGGTCACAGAAGCATCCTTTGGAGGAAACAGTTTTTGTCTTTAGGGCCAATCTGCATTTCTTGTGGCACTTCAGTTTATTGAGGAGGAAGATGGGTTGTTAATGTGCACAAAGCTTTATTAATTTATTTATGATTGATTTTGCACCATACCAACAGGCGCACCTCCTTAATAGCCTACTAAAAAGCATAATTCAAAGGCTGCTGGAGGTGGAGTCCATCCCTCTGTCCTGGTGTGATTTGTTAACAGTCTATTGACAAGTCCAATACCATGTCCAGTAATCAGTCCCTAAAATAAAGAGACAAAAATCAATCGAACTGCATCAAACTGACGGCAGAGGTGACCCGGTTAGTCACGCAATGAGGACGGTGTTTTAGGTCGGGATGATTCTGGGTGTCACCGGGGATCAGAACACACTCAGTCCGCCTGGAGGGCTCTGCTCTTCGGCTGCAGCGTCAGAGCCGGCCCGGTGAGAAGAGCACGGGGACAGATCTCTCTCCCTGGTGCTTTCACACATCAAGGGGGCTGAGCAACTTCGTGTGTGCATGTGTGTGTGTATGCGTGTGTGTGATACCAAGAAAACACCCCACCAAGTTCCCCCCTCAGAGCTCAGACTGCGCTCTGCACAGGCGCAGAACGCAGCTCGGTGCCGGAGAAAGCTGAAGGGCACTAAGGCAGCGGAACCATCCGACCCACGGACACTTTTCCCGCGGATAGCCACGGCTGCAGACCCCGGAATCCCAATAAAATACAGACGGGTTGAATCCCACGTGCGGCCGCTGTGTGGAGGCGACACCCCGCTGTCTGGAGGGTGAGGAGCGCGCTGCACAGGGATGGATTTAAGCAGATGATAGCTGAACGCGCGAGGTACAGTATAGAGTGCGTGTGTGCTGCCGATCAGCTGAGTGTTCATTGATTACCTGCCGATTATGTGGCTGCTTGTAAACAGAGCTGTCTGATGGATTTAGGGGAATCAGTGAGAAGAGAAGAGGAGAAGGCTTTAAGATGCAGAGGTTATCCTTAGTGAGGGGAATCAGACAACTGAACTCTCTCTGCACCACTGATAACCTGCCGGATTATAATCTGACAGCAAATACGAACATAGAGTCCGAGAAGGGGGATGCAAAACTGTGTTTAACTACAAACTACAGGGGGACTATGTGTCTGATTTGATTAAAGAATACAATCATAATTCTATATTTTCATCTATCGTCTGTCATTTCATTATGACATTGTTATTGCTATTGTCTATATAGACAATACGATTTTCGTCCCATCCTGCATAAACATGATAATTTACAGAAGACTTTTTTACTATTCATGATTACTATAAATATTTGACTGCATATTTCTTTGTGAGAAACTATCAGGTCTTGGTGTGCAGCTGCAGGCGATCATTGCATTTATGATCATCTTTAAAAGAATGATTTAGTAGTCTATCTATTATTAAATATCTGTACATATTTTGAATTTATTTATTAAAATACATATTTAATGCTCTTTTTTTATTTAATGGCTCAAATATTGGACTGTATATGGCTCCAATAAGAATACCGTCAACAGGAACGTAATTTAATAACATATTTCTAACAAGTGAACAAAAACAAACACGGCAGACATTTTTCTCAGTTGTTTTTATGTGCAAGTCTTTATTAAATTTAAGTTTTTAATGATAACAGCAAATTTGGTCTCGCCATTTAAAGTCCGTTTGAGCTTTTCTGAAAGCTTCCATCGTTTACTATTTTATGAAAGTGTTTGATATGTGGCTGAAAAATGCATTGTGCGTGACTTTTGTTATTTATATTGTACGATGTGTTGTAATAGACACACTCTCCTCCATCCATTTGCAGCCCAGAGAAGTTAAATTTAGAAAAACTTTCTAACACATGATTGGAGGTTATTTTTGCGCATTAATTTTACGCATTAATTTCTAGCCTCCTCCCTGCTGATGCTCAGCTCTGGCCCTCATGTGTTACAGCTACAGGCACAAAATGGCGGCAGATGAAATTTTAGCACCACTCTCTTATATCATTTACACCCCCTCCTCTTCCCTGTGTTATTATTTTTATTTTCAGGTCAGCTCTCTTAACCTTTACTCACAAATTCATGTTCAGATTTTTTCCACATCTGCACAGCAAAGTGACAAACTCTGTTTATCCCTGCTGTAGTGACTTCTTTTTGCAATGCTTTGAGATCTTTTACAAGCTCCAACCAGACTCCATGTAGGATCTTATGCATTTAAACACAGCTCAAACATCATGAATTGACCTCTGGTAGCTCTTCAGGATAAAACTACAGCTTGATGTTTTCCTTGTCTTGAGTTTTTCTGCCCGTGTGTTGACAGATATCAACATATAGTGTGTGAGAGTTTCATGCCCCTGCACCCTTTCAGACTGAGAGAGACCTCACTGACACAAACAGAAACAGGATTCTGGCTCGTGCCACTCAATTCAACAGTAAAAGGCCCAGTTTCACACTGTTAAAAAGAAACACTCCCTGTCAGCTTCTATCTTTATTAGCTTTCACAAATGTCTCCATCAGTTTACACTGGACGCCGCCTCTCCACTTTCATGGCTGAGAGAGCGGCCGTGGTGTGTTTACAGGCCTGAGGAGTGAGGCTTTCAGGGACAGGGAAGAGAGAGCAACAGGTTTGAAGCTGGCCAACAAGACTAGGGGCTGTTTTCTCTTGTTTTTTTTTCTTCACAGAGGTTAGTGGTTTGGATAATTCAGAGTGATATAAAGTAACAGGAAAGTGAACTACAGTAGTCAAAACTCAAATTTTATACGGTAAAATAAATTTGTCTGTCTGAATTTTGAATCCATCCATGAAAGTATTGTTTTTTTTAGTAGTTTTAGTACATAATAAGGAGAAATAAGTGCTTTGTTAAAGTCTCACAGTAATGGGGAAGAGTGAAGTCTATTACTCCAGACATGAGCTGGAATAACTGACTGTAAACTTTGTCCTACTTTTCAGACATGTCATTTTTCCACTGGGTTGAAATTATGCTCTTCTACTCATTACTGTGTTGCTCTTGTTGTTTATGTATTTTCTCAATTTTTGTTTACATTTGTAAATTAAGGAAACCAACAAGTAAATTACAGTTTAGTCTCATTTTGGAGGACTTTTGCTGTAGTTATATATATTTACGTAGTTATTCAAGAGGTCGCATAACTTTTTTCCATCTTTTGTGTTGTTAATAATTTAAACAGCTAAGTCAGTGTCACTATTGATAAACCTCATGTAAGTACGTTTTTAAGGGGGTTATATTTGTCATAAGAAATCATTGAATCCAGACTTAGAACTAGTAAAATTTTAATACTCCTGACCGTTTTCCCTTTTTAAAAGTCCAGAGGAGACTCTTGGGTATTAGGACACCTCTGCTCACCTCTGAATTATCTGGCAATCTTTTTTTACGTTTGCATCAGTCATATAAAAAATGCTTTTAATAGGTATCAGTTGGAAATGGAAACTGGTGACTTATATGTATCTACAAATACTTAGTTGAGCTTTTGGGGCAATAACTTAAGACAAATGAAGCAGACTGAGTAATCCTGCTTGGTTCAAAACTCATACCTGGACTTCCTGATGACTATTTAGTGTTATTGTGCAATATTTTTATCACATGTGCTCTTCCAATAGTTCATCGTAAATAGCGCTCATTGACCCCAAGGGTCTGAGGCAGGCCTGCAGCTCAGCCCGGAGGACGAGAAGTAGACACAGACACAGATCAGAGGCGTGTGAATGATGGTCTGCAGCGGCTTTGTAGGTGTCAGAGACAGAGGGGACATATGACTGTCAACATTATGACAGAGATGAATTTATCCTCTGTTTTAGTTTGGGAGTGTTTTTTCCTGTTAATTTTTCAGATCGTTTTAGAGGCTTTGGGGCTTCTCATCTGAAAACTCACATCCATGTGGTGTGAAAAAATGAGGGCGCCTTAATGGCTCTCGAAAAGACCCTCTGGATCCTCTTTGTTGTTGGTTGGATCTTAAACTTTATGCGGCCAATCTAAGTAGTTTGATGCAGTAAAGTGCTTGGGTTCATCAGAATTAAGTTTTAGTGTGCGTTTGTTGATTTGTGTTTCTTTGAAGATGATGTTTTTTGGTGTTTAAAGCTCCTGTCAAAAAGTCTCAGTTTGTGTTAGTTTTGGTACCCGTTGTGGACAGCGTGGTATCTCTTACCTTCTTTTTAAGGCAAAAACTTCTGGCTAACTTACCACAGTCAAATCTATCACTGAATATTTGCATCAGAATTTAAAAACAGAGTCTGTGTTTGCAGTGTGTGAGGGATTACTTTATTTGACACCTACCCCCAGCAGCTGTTTCAGATATGGAAATGACAATGAAGAAATACTCTACATTTTTGAGAATGGTTTCATTCTTTTTTTAGATCATACAGGAACCTTAGTATTAATTTTCATCTGTTTCATAACTAATTTAGAACTCCACACAGGAGCTTTAACTTCTATAAAGTTGATTTGTATATCTACCAAAAGCATTAAATGGTCAACAGCAAATTTCATGTGTGCATGTGTTTCATGTGTCTCACCTGACTTTATCCTGTTCATGTGTAAAAAGGAGTTTCTTGATTTCTTGTTGTGGAAAATTAAAGAAAAAAAAAACTGTAATGAGCACTCGTTCAGCCCAGCAGTTAATGTTTGAATTTTGCACAGAGGATATTGATATTGTCAGTGGTTTCTGGATGACCTCAGTGTCCCAAAGTCTCAATGCTTATTTTCCCCCCTTTTCAGTCACTATATATCCAGTTTATCTTCATCTTTGCTATCTCATGAAGGTAACAATACCTTGCCTGATTGTTACTCACCTTGCCTGACACCCACCCTGTCCTACAGTGGTAACAAGCATTGCAGTTACTTTCCAGGAAATATAAATCTGCTGGCTGATAGTCTGGTTAGCTTTTGTTCATCACACTGAGGCTTATGACTGTAGCTCATTTCATACACAGAGATGATACCTTCACAAGAACTTTAAGGTCTTTGTCAACTGCTTGCGTCCACAAAGAACTTTTTTGAAAACTAGTTTTGGCTCAAACTCTGTATTTTTGTGGTCCGTAGTAACTCTGTGGGGCTAAAGGGACCACATTGGATGGTTCTATATCAGCACTTAAGTGGTTTATGTCAAGAACTCTTGGTTCATAATCATTTAGATAAGGCTATGGAAAATTTTGCAGAATAGTAAAGGTTTCTGTTGGCTTCACTTCCATAGTCACATTTTTAGCACCAGTTAGCAACTTCATATATTTATAATTTCTTTGTTTTTTCAGTTGCATGATTCTGCAAAGCAATGCAAAAACATGGAATGTTTGATTACAGCTGATGATTTGAAGCGGTATTTGTGAACTGTGTTAGGTATAAAATAGTTTCCAAGTGCTGTTTCTTATGTGTTTTCATGGTTTTTAAATTTCCCTCCAAAGACCTTTAAACTCACTTTTTAATTGGCAGCAATTCATCTGAGTGGTTGAAGTTGAATCTAAGTGGTTAGCAAGTTGAATTTCATCTGGCTGCTTTAGAACGGTGAATACCCATTAAATTACGGGCATTAAAATACATGCATGTTGAGTGGGAGAGCCTTTTTACATAAAATATAATCTTTTTTTGGAATAAACTTGTGCAGCCTGAGTGTTGCTGCTCTTCACATGTGTTCCTAGACCAAACCCTTCTTTTTTTGGTTGCACTTTTATCTTTGACTACATTATGTCTGTGTGATTTGCAGCCGAGGCTTTGATCCACAAATCTGAAATCAAATCTGAGTTTTTGACTCGGTGAGTTTCTCATGGAGCCAAACGTCTGTGAGTCTGCTCGACTGCTTTAGTTAATGAGATGATTAGTAGGTTGGGGTTTAGGGATGAGATAATGCAGGATGAAAAAACTCATGCAAAAGTATGTGTCTGATAGAAGCAAATCAGTATGAAAAAATGAGTTTGTGCAAGAAGTTTGCTCCAGTGCATGATGGGATGCAAAGATGCTCGTCCTCAACGGAGCTGTTTCAACACTGGCTTGTCTATTTTGATACAAAATGACTGAATATCACTCAAAAATAAATAATCACAGAATAAATGAAATTTAAAATGAATCCTTGTGTTGTGAAGGCTTCCGCTTCATGTTTCCTGTTTTGCACATATTTATATTGATTATGAGCAAGAGAGCTGAAATCTGAAATACAAGAATTTATGATGCCCATGTTGAACGTTTTAAATGATGGCAGTGAAGTCAGGAAAGTGCAAGACAAATGTTGTAAACAGCAATATTTCAAATCTTGATCTTCAAACGTGTCAGCAGTGCATGTTTACTAAATATGAGGTTTCCCTTCATGTTGAGCTGAAACTGTTTTTCATGTCTACATCCAATAATAACTCCACTGTGAATACAACTTGGCTCAAGTTAACTTGAGTTTTTTTCCACCATCAAATGATTTTCTTACCAACAGCAGCAACTGGTGGCCGTACGCTCCGTCTGTCTGTTCTTCAATCCAACAAATGACACATGGAGATGAGGCAGCTCAGAAAAAAAGTTTCAACCTGCTGGAATTTTATATCCATATTTGATTTTTTTTAGTATCCTTTTATAACAAAGTATTTACAAAAGCTCTCTAATGAAATGCATATGTAGTTCCTAGTTTGTAACATGGATAATAAAAACAAAAATTTGAAATGAATCCCAAAAGCTTCATAAAAATGTATCCAAAAACAGAGCCAATCATCTGCTGAGCTGCAGCATAAAATATTTCACTGTACACGGCTTTCATTTGAGGGTAAAGGGTGTAAAGGAACTAAAATACATGTCCTGGGAAAAGGCAGATCAATCAGCTGGCTCACAAGCATCTAATACAAGTAACTGCCATGATAATAATAATAATAGTAATAATAATAATAATAATAATAATAATAATAATAATAATAATAATAATAATGACCAGCAGAAGTTATAAGTTGGTGAAGATTGAGGAAAAATCTAATTTTTTAAGACAAATTTTGTCTGAATGACAAAAACTGACAGAAATAAAATTGCTCAACAAACAGACTCATGTAAAATCAGAAAAGGCTTTCCCCTTTAAACATTTTATAAGAGAGGGTTGTAGAGAAATCCCTGACTCGGCTGACCTGATCACCTCGGGCAGATCGCTCCAGAGTTTTAGAGCCAGCAAACGCTCTGTCCCCTCTAGTTTCTCCTCTAGTTTCCAGTCTGGCACACGGTAGAAACAGAAGACCTCTGCCTGAGGATCTTAACGTAAGGTAGCTACATGTTATTTTTGAACAGGCTAACAGGTCTGATTTGTAGATAATTTAGAGATGAGCAATCAGTGAGATCGTAAAACCAGTTCTCAAACATGTGGTGTTGGTGTGAAAAGAAAAAAACGGAGTAATGGGATCGTGTTGTTCTGGTTTAAGCTCTGACAGCTGAGTTCTGCACAGTCTGGACTTCAGGGACTGATTTTTGGTGTGGGAGGGTAAAAACGCCAGTAATTGATTCACAGAGAAGTAAAGGCATGTAAAATTGTCTCTGCATCTTTCAAAGTTGGAGAGAAATGTGCAATTAAATTAGTTTACTATCATTGTTTGAAAGTTGTTAATAAAGTATTGATGGTAATATGAGAGGTATCCAAAAATGGTTGTAGGCTCAGTTTTTTTGGTCTATATTTTATTTATTTTTTTACATAAACAAAGAAGCAGAAGTTTCCCTGAGGTTATAACTTAGGAAAAGCCATTGAACGGTTAAGCTCATTCTTTCTATATACTTTTTTGGTGACATAAAATATGCTTCAATGCAACTTTTTAACCACGTGACTGTGAAATGAGGGGATTTGGATGATACATCAAACAGAAAAGGCTATAAAAGTATTTTGAAATAAAAGAATAAAATAAGAAATTTTCAATTCTGTCTCATGTAGATCATTATTGTTTTATTAACAGAATAATTGGTATCTTAGGCAGACATAATTTTCTCAAATTGTAGAACATAATGTTGGGCAACTTTGAGGTAATTCCGTTATCAAAACTGCAGTACATTGAAAAGTATATTTAGGTTTTGGCAACTCTTCGAACTACCTAAAACTTGAAGCACTTACTGGAAAGAAAGTGACGCACCATCTGCACAAATATGTAAAATTTTATAAGTGGAGCTTCGCTGCGGTAAGACAACCGAATGTGCTTTTACAATAGATAAATATGTACGGTGGCCATGAAGGTCAAATACACAAAAACTTCATGATCACAAAAATGCATTTCACAAAACACAAAGACAACTTTCCTTTAAGTGAACTTCAACTTTTGTTTTGTAAAATGATTATCTGATTTATATGACACGTTTGTGTTTCATCAAACATTTCTGCGTGTCGTGAATTTTTTTTGTTTCATGAAATATTATTACATTTTATGAAATGATTTTCAAGTGTAATGTTTTAGTGTTCAGTGAAATGTTTGTGCTGTTGACCTGTGAGTTTGGGATGTGTAAGTGTATCATTTTCAGGCGGGTGTGTACGTGAGTGTACCTTATATCTGAAGTGTCCCATGCCAGATGAGATTTCTCTGTGACAGCTGGGTATTTGTGTAATCCTGCAGAGATGCTTCAGGAGAAAGTTTCAGTGGTGACGGATGAATGTATGGCCGGCAGTGGCGGTGGTGGAGAGGAGACGGATCTCCTTCCGGACCAGTCCCGACTTAGCCTGTCCACAGCTCCCAGCATCCCCAGCTCCAGTGAGCCTGACCAGGTACACACAGAACCTCACAGTATCCTCTCATAACTGCTTTTTATACTCTTTAATTACATTCAAATCATAACATGTAAAGTTAGACATCTTGTGTGTTAAGAATAGATTTAGACTTTAATTTTTCAAGGTGTCAGCATGACTAAAAATCTGCAGATGATTGAATGTGTTGCTCTTCAGTGTTTATATTTGTACCTGATATTCCAGGGAGTGATGTATTGCTTTGTGCTGAGCGTAACAGCCGTGTTTGTTCTCTTGCAGAACATCGAGAACATTAAGGTGGTTCTTCATGAGAGGGAGCTGTGGAAGAAGTTTCACGAGGCTGGCACAGAGATGATCATCACTAAGGCAGGCAGGTTAGTCAAGCTGCAAACACACACCATTTATCAGTCACAGTCTGAAACCAAAGATGGAAAAATCATTACTTTTAGGGAGGCGGGGGGTTCCATTTGGTCAAAATGCAGTAAATATCAATTAAACACCAGCTCCACCACATTTATCATGGCCCTGCTGTTATTTATAAGGAAAAGTCATCTTTTATTGTGTATCCAAAGCTGTGGTCATGACTCCAGAGATTAACACACTGGCAGTGGAGCCAGTTCACCTGCAGAAATAACTCGAAACCATTACGGTACAAGTTGACTTTTGAGTCATGTGGATGGATGTTGTCTGCAGGCAAATCCATCAGAGAATGTATTTTTATCATGATGGTGAACGGGTTTGAAGGAAAATGTTCTATGCTTATTAATTTACATACACATGTGTTCTCACAATACCTTTCATTAGCTTTAATAGTGTCCTGAATTTTTAAAAACGGAAATAGGCCACTTAGTATTGTCAACATGTGCTGCAAAACCGCAGGCACTACCTAGTACACTGTGAGTGAGGGGTCAAGTCGTTCTTAAATGATCCAAGTCAGTTAGGGAATTCTTGTTGCCTCCAAGTTAAGATTCAGGACAAGCACACACACAAAAAAATATTATTTCTGACAGCCATCTGCCTTTGAAAAGTTCAGTGTGATTTTCATTTCGTGCTTCTACCTATTCAAACGAAGTTCTCTGTTATCTTGTGTCGCATGGACTTTTCTTAATATCCCTTTTTATTGTTTGTGTGATGGTCACGTAGCATCACCGGCTGAATAACAAATTAACCCCTTACAATTTAAAAACACCTCTCTTAAAAAAAAAAAAAAGGTTTTCACCAAGATGTTGCAAATGCTATTGCAGAACTTCCCGTACAATATGCTTTAGTAACCTTAAAAAAATCTGAATCTATGGAAAATTACAAATGACCTGACATTCAAGTGACGCATATGTAAGACAAAATGCCTATCTTCTTCTCTGCGAACCTCTGTTTAGCCAGCTAATAGTAACATATCATGGTTAAAAGTTTGTCTCTGAGGAAGAGACAGAAAGTTCCTGCAGCAGCGACTTGATAATTGAAAACACAAATGACTGGCCGTCTCTTTGGATTTAATGCGACCTGAGGATTAGACAGTGAGGCCTGTGGACATTAACCAGAGAATGAGTACACTCTCAGATCGACCTCCGCCTCTCATTCCTCACGGGATGTTTTTTTTCCTCCTGTAAAAAAATGTAAAAGGTCACCACATTTTTTTCCTTAATGCTGCATAACCGTAAGAGATGGGCTTTCCCTTGTCCAGCTGATGAAGTGGGCTCTGAATCCTTAAAGCCCTTTGAAGAGCTCTGCAGAGGGGTTTAACTGTGCAGCTGTGCTGGGAAACCGTCAGCCAGTCTGCAGCAGACACGCTGAAGGTCTGGCTTTATCTTTAAAGAGCAACAGATCTGAAAAAGAATTCACACTAAATGATATCATCAGCAGACTGAATAATTCAAGAGTGTTATGAATAGTGGATGTAAAACTATTCACTGTGTTATCATGGCAGAACACATTCAGTCAAATTAGAAGCAGTCATGGCAGGGAGGCTGTTTGAGTAGCACAGGAAAATTCAGTACGACATTGTCTTGGATGGGCCGATGGAACTAATACATCTTTTTTTTTTAAAGTAGACTCTCTCTGATAATGTTTTAGATAATAATCACACAGCCAACAGGAAAATGTGAGTACGGACCCAATGACATTGCCTTAACGTGTGAGGGATTTACATCCATTCACTTAATGTATACTATGCTAACTAATATTAGATCCAAAGTACTATGTTGGGATAATATATTGAAGGAAACTCACCCTCCAGATTTGGCTGCAAACTACACATTGGCTACGTTCATACTGGAGGTTATGATGTACAATTCAGATTTTTGTTAAATCCGATCTTTTTGTGCGGTCGTTCACATTACAACAATGAATGCGACATCTAATGTGAGCAGAATGCGTCCGTGAAGTGACCCACATGCGCACAAAGCACAAATTGCTGTCCGCGCCTGTTTGTGTTGTCGAACAATGGTGACGTTTGTCACATATTGATGACGTATAGGTTGGATGAACGCGCCTGAGCGTCCTCACTGCAGACACATCGGATACATATCCGATTTATATCCACATACAAAAGAGGCGTGGGTCGGATTTGAAAAAATCAGAATTGCACTGTTCACACTTACATGAAAAAATCAGATATGTGTCACATATGGTTAAAAATCAGAATTGACCAGCAGTGTGAACATAGCCCTTGTTATTACCTGAGTCAACATGTATCCTGTCAGTCTGTTTTGGGTGAGTCTCAGTTTCACTGTCAATACAAGTATACTACTGTAGGGATGTGAACAAGGAGAAGATTTACAAGTAATTACCAAGTCTTGGGTTTGCTTGAGTAACATCATGATGTAAATTGTAAAAATAGGTTTTGTCAGGTCTGTCTTCAAAGGGGAAAAACAACTTTTTGAAGGGAACTGGTAAATTTTGACGCTTTTCAGAGGTCACCCAGGTAAAATTGTTAGCTGCACTGTCAAGCAGATATCTGTTAATAATGATAAATAAGTCCTGATGTTATTACCACCAATTAGAGCTGGGGTATCATTGTGGTGGAGTGTGATTCGCCTGCTTTTGCTCTCCATACAGTCTGTTTTACTACTAAACACCAAAGCTTGTTCCAGCTCTAAACAATAACCAGAACTCTTCTCTTATGAAAACCCAGACCCAGTAGAGCAGGTTCATCACTTTAGTGAAGAATTTGTTGAGATTAGGTATTGATAAAAAATGTTTAAGAGCAGATAGTTAGCTTCACTTGCATGCAGATGTCCATTTGTTGACGTTTATAAGCATGAATCATCCTTGTTGACAGTTAATGGGTTTTGGGATTGCATTGCAGCTGATAGGTCCCTGTGTGTGGCCAAAGCCAGTTAAAATGCTTGTGGTTGATACTCTTTGCACTATTAACAAATTCCAGAAAACTCTCAACACCATTTTTTTTTTTTTTACATAGAATTTGTAATTACAGAATGAGGGATTCACCAAACTGATTTAAATTCATCCTGAAGGAAACACACGTATTTTACTCTGCTCTGATCATTTAATAACAGAAATGAGTGTTTGTTAACTAAGTGTTATGTGCATTAGTTTAAACAATATGTGATTAATAAAACTGATATTTGTTTCAGGCAGGAATGAATGTTAGTATTAAGTAAAATTCCCTTCCCTAATGTAAATAGTAATGAGAGGAAAAAGAATCAAAACTAAAATTAGATCATCATTTTCACTAAGATCAGGCGATTAAATCTTATGTATCACAACACTCCACATCTGGCATATGTGATAGGTCACTGTCAAACTGCCTCCTGTGTAAACAAAGCTAAGAACAAACAGCAGGCAGACCCGGGGCCAGTTTCTGTGGTTCTGTCCATCAAAACCAGTGTTTATGATCAACATGCAGATCATGGTTTACAGCTGAGGCATTGAGCTCTGTAGTTTCATGTATTTCTGTCTTATTACCCTTTAAAACGAGGCAACAGTCAACTGAGATTCCTCACCAAAGGCTGGATTTGTCTTTCAGCAGTACTCTGTTCAACCAAAGAGTTGTGTTTTTTTTCATTACTTTGTCAAATGGTTTTCATTTGAATTACTCCAGAGGTATTCCACGGCATCAGAGAAAACTGAGGGTTTTTGGGTTTTTTTTGTCTTGGAAAAAAATACTTGGTGAAAAACCTGAAAAGAAAAAGTTTTATGTGCTTTGAATTTGTCTTTTCTCTTTTCATACCAACAACTTAAGAGCTTGATAAATATTTTCCTTCAAATCTTTAGGGTCTCAACCACAGACTGCATCGAACATGGACATCATCTCAATTACATTACACATAAGAAACTGTAGCGGGGTTATGAAGGCTACAGATGGAGGTTATCATACTGCAAATGCTGACTCAAACAATCTTTAGATCAGGCTTTAGGGATGTAATAAAGTTGAGTCACCAAACCTAGAGTCCATGTCAAGTCTGAAGTCCTCCTTGTCGAAGAGCAGTAAAATCTTTGAAAGCAAAACACATGATTCAAGGTGTTTTTTATAAGGCATCCTGGTGGGAACTGTTGAACAAGACGGCACATACAGGTGCTGCTCAAAGTGAATAAATTATCAGGGTTTTAGTAAAAAGCAAAAAAGTCTCTATCAACAAACAAGTTCGAGCTCCTCTCTGTCTCATAAATACTGTGACATGGTACAGGTAATTTATTTTGCCCTTATTATGCAGATTCATGCATTATTCCTGAGCTTGATATAATAAAATATTCTCAAGGAGTTTTAATAGACAATCTTCAAAAAAAATAAATAAACATGTTTATTTCTGCTGTAAAAATGGGCTCTAATTGGGATTCCTATGATTTTGGTGGGAACTCTTGAAATCCAGTGCTATCTTCCTCCATATTGGCTTTATTTTACAACATTTAAGACTGACTCTTGATCCTTTCACTCATGTTTTACTTAAAGCAAAACGTTCAGGTAATAATAGTTAAAAAAGTGGATCAGTCCAGGATGTTCTGATCTCGGTCTGGTCTACAGTACTTGTTTTCTACGTTTTGGTGTCCATCCAGGGCTAACAGTGTCGGTGTGTTACATTTTTAAAAAACTAACAAGATTGTCAAAACAACCGCAAAGGCAAAAGGTAGAGGAGGACATGTTTTAAAAAGATAAGAGGTCTTTGGTGTGTATGTGGAAGTGAAAGGTCAAGTGTAAAGAGTGAAAAAGACTTCGAGGATGAAGTGGAAATGTTGATCTGCAGGGCGAGACTGACAGGTTTAAAAGGAGATGTCAAATGTTAAGTGTTATGTGCGTTACTTTAAACAGTATGTGATTGATTGTCTGCCAGTTTAAACTTGTTTTCAGTTGTGTCTGAAACCTATGCTCAACTTTGCCTGTGGGATTTTTTTGTGAAAAGTTTTCTGTATTTGGACCACAAACCTGAGATTAAAAAATTGGTCTGGTTTTTTAAGAGTCACAAAGTTACTCCTGTCTTAACCTGACTAGATCCCTATTACTCTAAACTCATAGTTAAGACCAGACTATCTTCTGTTTTAGATTTGCATCTGCTAAAAACTGTCCTTCTTGTATTGATTATTGCCTAAAGATGTTCAGAGTTTACTCTAGATCCTGAGCAGAGGCATATGAGTATTGGACTGTTGTGATGATAAATTCAGAGAGTGAAGCCGTGCAGCTCGAGCAGCATGTACTGCATCACATCACATCATATCACAGGAGCCTGTGCGTTCAGTTAGTAATGATCCCCTCCAGTCTCGCTCCTCTTGTTTTTACCTGTTTGCTCAAAGTTAAATTAATACTTCAAATTCCAGCAGATCACCCACACAGTAAAAGTATGTTCACAGCTTGGAAGAAAACTGGATTATGATTTTATGCTTGGACCGGAGACCCTGCCTGGTCTGTTGTACTGTGTAGTGGTCAAAGAAGAAATAAGATAGAATAACATAAGATTACACTCTTCAGAGGGGACATTTAGATATTTGGAGACATCTTGAAAACACAAAATTATGATTTTTGCATGGCGTGAAAATAGATTTGTATCTGTGTCTCTTAAAAACATTTCACTCACTACAATCCATGTGATTCTAATAATTATGTTTGTAAAGTTGTTGGCAAAAATAGCCTAGTATAATAAAGGGCAAGCAGGGAAACATTAGACCTTATGAAAGGTCTCTGAGTTTAGAAAGAGTTTTGGACCTGATGTTGTAACGTGTGAGGAGGGTCGCTGTGGAGGTGACAGCAGAGGAGACGCAGATGCATAGCGGCCAGACCATCATGCAGAAGGTTCCACGTTTTCCCAACCCTCTGACATGAAACTCTCTCAGTCGGCTCACATGCAGCACCTAGCTGAGCCTGCCAGACTTGTTATTGTGAGTGTCACTGTCCAGGCGTAATCCTCCCTCTTCAAAGCACCCGGCGCAGCTCTTCCTTCACTCTCCCTCTTTGTACACAGCCCGTCAAGAGAGCAGCGGCCGCTTGATAAGACGAATCCGGCGCCCGCAGTAGGCCGAGTCTACGAGGTTGTAGCGCTTCATCATCCCCCCCTCGCTCCTTTTGATCTCCCGTGGTACTGGAGATTCCCAGAGAGGAATGGATCACTGCAGGGCCTAAACATGTGGGATTGTTAAGAGAAACAGCTGGCTGGGCACAGAAACACACACACACACCCTGACACTGATATCATACACACACTCTCTAACTTCCATTTCTCATGCTCCGCTTCAACCCACTCACTTAGTCACACTGCTGTATGTATATATCTGCCTTCATGTTGTCCGCCTTTGAAAATCCATCCTCCAGTGTTGCACTACCTTTGTTTTTTATATAGATGTAGCAGGTATGTCACACCAAGATACACCATGTTTTATCACATGCACATAAGATCATAAATACTGCAGTGAGACAGGCAGCTGGATAACAATGAGCGCACTTTCACTCCTTAAGAGCTTCAAGTCCATTACAATAAGGTGCTAAATCTGCGAAATTGTATAATGTACCATACTGGGTCTGATTATAAATTTACTCCCTTCTTTACAAGATTAGTTTTAAAAACTACTGGGAGAAGAGTTCATCTTTTCTTATAAGAGTAGAGTTCTATCTAAGATAATTATTAGAAACACACTGAATAAAATTAGATGTCTAAGTACTTATTATTTTGAAGTAGACATCTGCACACACTGCAAACACCAAATTTCAGTTCAATGACAGCTGCTTCATGTCATTGTTGCATTAATAACCTTTACAAAATCTGCATTACAGCTCTTCCCCCAGTGAAGGAAACCTTAGTCCACTTTTTAGCCACTTTGTTATGATCACTGTCTCCTTTTTTTTTATCCACCTGGTTCTGCAGTTTTAAGTGACAGCTGGCCTCAGCCATGAAGGCGAAACTGCCTTTGCAGATAAATTGTGCCTTTTAACGCTGTTTAAAATTTTAGCATCAAAAAGTAAAGACCCTGAATTCAAAATGATCCAGTATTTGCAGATGTATTTCAGGGAAAGCCAAGGATTTATAATTAACTGGTTAACAGCTACAGGACACAACCCTGTCCAGGTTGTATTTTTGTGGTATCAATGGAATTATAACACAGGACCTTATGGGATATCCTTGGTTTTTGGGACCAGCCTCAAGTGGACACTCAACGAACTGCAGTTTATAGCACTTTCCCTTTGGCTTCATTTAAAAAAAAAAAGCAGAAACCATCAGATGAAGGAAAAAAAATCAAATTAAAAAAGAAAATGTACATAAAAAAAGATTCTGTGATCTCAGTTATGAAGTGACATTAAGACAAAACCTCAAGTTTACCCAAAATCTAAGATAGTTACACTGCTATCTACCTAAAATCAATAGTTTGTAGCATTGATGCAAAACTATAAAACAGAAATCTTACTTATTAATCTGAAATAATTTGGATTATTATGACTGGCTAAATTGATGGTATAGCAACCACAGCATAGCACATAGCAAATGATCAGATGGTTTATGTTTAAATATTTTTTTATGAACTCTTAGTATGACATGTTGTCCCAGCCTTAGACCAAAATGTATTTGAATTTGGGTTAAACTATTTTTACTTTGTTTGGTGTCCCAGCTACTGTTCAGATATGAAAAAGATGTGATATTCAGTCTGGTGGACTTTTGTGAGGAAAACACACAGCTTTCGCTCTGATCCATAATGGATGCTGACTCGAACAGTGAGACTCAAAACTGTTATTTGTGTATGAAACTGTAGTGTATTGGTGTATCCGCCTGCCCAGATGGACTTATTACCACAAACAAAACCAGTCACTTGGTAGTTATGACCATTTTGATACACACAAATCTGATGGCCACATGTGTTGACACAGGCATCCATCTGCTGTGTCGGTACGGTGTGAGTGGAGCCAGAGAAGAGCAGAGGTCTGCTTTGAATGTTCCTCTGAGATTAACCCGTCTTTCAGCGAGGATGATACTGGGACTGATCTCTCCCACTGATTGGATTTGAAGCCTGGGAGAGAGATTTAAGTTACCTGCCCTCAATCCCCCTCCTCTCTGGGTCTCTTACGTGAGGGCATATTTACAGTAACATGATCAGACAGTGTCAGGCGCTATGAAGCTTTGAAGAACGGCATTTGCACCAATCTGAACAGCAAGTATAAAGGGTTTTAATGCTGCCTCTTCTTTGAAAGCATGCAAGGCTTTCATGAGACAGTCCTCCAATGTTTGAGCACGTTGCCATTGGCAGCACCCACAGATAAACTCCAGGCCCTTTTTGACTTTAGCCTCTTGAGCAATGACGAGCCGGCAATCTAAACTGTTGTCCGATACGGGGTGCCATTAAAAACCACTTAGGGCTTTATAAGGGGGCACAGAGCCCTTTGCAAAATTTCCTTTGACGCAGATGGGATGAAAAGTTTTTGGTTTCCCAGAAGAGGTCAGGAAAGGTAGCTCCCTTCATGTGTTTTATGGCTTTGAGTGCTATATTAGCATATTCTGTCTCTTAGTCTGGAGGCATTTAAAAGATGAAAGTTAGAGAGTGGTCCCGTACGTTTTATGGCCTCTCAGTTTTCCAAGTATGAGAGGATTTCATGCTACTAAATAAGTGTCTGCAAGGAGGCAAATCATTACCAGGTCAGAAATCTATGAGACAACGTCAGGAAAATAACATTGAAAGGTTTGGGGAAAGGGTTTTTGTTCTGTAACAGTCTCATGTAAGTATCTGATTGATCTGTTTAGAGGAACAGCACCTTGCTTTGCTTTGCATTGCTTTACTAACCTCACTCAAACATGTTTTCACGTTGCATCACGTTTACACGCAAACTGAAAGGGGTTTATTGGTTTGGTATGTACACAAATGAGTCTGAGGAGGGGAAGATATCATATTACAGGATATCAGACTTGGTTTGAATTTAGATATGTGTATTCTTTGAATGTTTTACTGGAAAAGTAGATCTGGGGAAAGCCATTTCCTCAAGTGCATATTTACGCATTAGGACAATAAAAAATGCATTTTGTAAACAAACAGCTGAAAAATTGTTAATGAGCCATTTTAAAGTTCAGTTTGTTATACCTTAAAGGTTGGAAATGTCTTCAAGGCACTATTTGTTTCATCTGCTATATATATTTATTTGAAGTTTATTTTGGGTTTTATGATTAAAAAATGTCTCATCTCTCACAGTTTCTTCAAGATTGCCAAATGTTTCATCCATTAAAGTTCTATAACTTTCCAAAAGGGGTAGAAACTGTAATGGAATCTTTTCTCAGTTATGTAATAGAAAATACAAGATGTTTGGTTAAGGTTTGTATTTCTGTCAAGCAGCAAACTGATGTTAAGAAAGAAGCTAATTTGATGCATAAAAGAAAGGGCAGTTCCTTGTGTGTCCACCTAAGCCTGTCTCCAAAAGTCCAGGAAGTCCTCAAATTGATTCCTCAAATCAAATAAACATGTTACAGCCAGTTTGGTCCTTTACCCTAATGTTCCTATTTATGAAATTGAGGTGTGATTCCTTTTAACAAGTTATAAAATAGAACTACTGTCATGACCAGAGTATGTTTTTTTTTCCTTGAAGTAGATCTAAAAAGGTGGGACTGTCTCATGTTGTGGGTCTTGACTTCTCAATGCAAACATTTGGTCATAAATGTAAAGTGAAGCAAGTGTACCTCATGTGATTGTCTAGATTAAGGCGAATGAAAGGCTGGCCACACTATTAAATAACTGAAGGGGATTAATGATCCAGATTTTAAGAAATTGGTTATGAATAACCACTACACAGCAAAGAAATGTGGTATTACATAGTACAATGTCAATTTATTGTTATTTAACAATCTAAAGGTTATTTAAAAAAAAAAAACACAGAGGAAACAGTTTTCATTATAGTTGTGTTTTGCTATTAAGTACTTTTCCAAAAATAACCTTGTAAAAGAAGGCTAATCTTATAACCAAAGTTATCAAATATTTGCACCAATATGTTTGTTTAAGGCTATAAAGTTATGCATCATACAGGGTTTGGCTGATTTGAAATACAAGTGCATGTGTTTTAGTTATTTGCCAAGCAGCTTCACTGTTATCTCCACTCCACCCCTTTAGTTGATGGACCACATCCATGTTTTGGACATCCTGTGGTTTCTGTTTTTGGGTGTGGACCTATGTAAGCTGTGCTGGTCCTTGAGATAACTTTTTTATCATATAGGTAATTGTTGGATTAAACATTGCTTTTTCAGCATGTTGAATCCATTTAAATGTACTACTTTTTCCCTTTACATTGTTTCAATAGGAGGATGTTTCCAAGCTACAAAGTGAAGGTATCTGGGATGAACCCCAAAACCAAATACATCCTGCTTATTGACATCGTGCCAGCTGATGACCACCGCTATAAGTTCTGCGACAACAAGTGGTAAGTTGTTCAAACTAGATTTTTCTGTGCTGGTTTTGCCTGATGAATTTCCTCTTTTGGGGCTTGAGTGACTTGGATTTATTGTGTAATAAAGATGCAGTTAATCTTAGTCAAAGTGTGATAAAAAAGTTGTCTGTACACAGTGTCTAGAGAGTCTGTACAAGTTTGCAAGCCAAAAAACTAAGGCTGTTACTCATGAAGAGTCAACCATGATGCTGCTTTTAAAATACACTCAACTCTGTTACTGCTGACTCTAATGACCACTTTAACCTTTGAAATAAATGCTTTTTGCTGTTGATCTGTTTTTGAGAGGGGAAGGGTTCAACCTGTTTTCCCCACACAGCCCATAATGTGCAGTTTCTGTGCAGCTGTGTAGCTCTCCTCAGTACAATCTGGTTTTGACATATAAAGTTTGCAATCCTACTAGCTACTGGTATGGTATGGTAGCCAAGCTCAGCCATGGCAACTTGTAAAGGTGAGAGGCACTCACTACCTACAACCAATTCATTAAACAACTTCTCTTGGAGTTGCACCACCTCTCCTCTGTTGTCTTAAACTGAGGAGTGAGTCTTTTTACTCAACGCTCCACAAGCTTTCCTTACTTAATAGTCTACCTTCTTTGTCTTTATGTGCATGATAATAATTTCAATAAGAATAAAACGCTGTGACATCTCTTTTATTTTTGCAGGAGATCTAGACGGGGGGCAGCGTGCTCTGGGTGAATGACCATAAAACAATAAAATACAAATGTCTTTGCACTGATGTATTGATCAGATCATGCTGGTGCATAGGCCACAGACCAATCGACAAATAAAAAATAAGAGTGCAGGAAAAGTGGGAAACATCCCGGACCCAAACGTTCACATAATCACTCAAATGACCTGGTGTCCAAAATCTGAACCACATCTTCTATATCAGTTATCTTCACAAAGGCAAAATCATATCAGCCTGGTTCAGTTTCATGCCTGACAGTGATTGCAGATCATGCATGGCTGAAGTCCCTCACTACAGGGTCTAGGCAAGACCCATTTCCCAAAGAAAAAAATCCTTTGGAGTGAACCCAATGTTTGTCTAGTCAACTTTGGAGGTGACAAATTTGCAGCCCTCTACCCTATGGCACGACACTTGGATTGCACTGCCTGGGAATAACAAAATAAAAGGCAAAATCTCAAGCAGAGAGAAGTAATTTTACAGCCATTTGTTTCTCATTGTGTGGCATGGCCTGCAGTCAGTGGGTTCTGGTGTTTCTCAGCGACACCTTGGCCAAGCGTAATTAGTCATAATGTTTTAGCACAGGCCACCTCCTTCCACTCTCAGGGATTAAATACAGTGAAGACTGAGAACAGCGGAGTTCACTGCCACTTTGCAGCTGCATTATGGTAAAGGGACTTGGTTCATGTGCTGACTGGGGCAGATGTTTTTAGATGGCGAAGATGTAAACTCTAATCGTTGTACACCATAATCTTTTTAAAAACAAGTAGAGATGACACTAAATTAGCTTCATCTCTCCATAACATGCCTACTGCTTTTGTCCTCATCTCTTTTTAGGATGGTGGCTGGCAAAGCAGAGCCAGCAATGCCCGGCAGACTATACGTGCACCCAGATTCACCTGCAACAGGAGCTCACTGGATGAGGCAGCTGGTGTCGTTTCAGAAGCTCAAACTGACAAACAATCACCTGGACCCCTTTGGGCATGTGAGTACCAGTAACCCAGGAAATATTTAAGGAGATGGGTCATGTTCCTTCAGTCTGGGTGATATTTTTTAGCTCTGCAATTCTCCTATTAATTAAATTAATTGTTTTAATGTTCAAATTTTAAAAATAAGGTTCAAAATAGCAGTGAAACAGAGTCAGAATTAAGTGGGTCTGCATGGTTCTCTGCGGGGACATTAATGCTTGAATAGTTGTCTGACTTTTACTTGAGTGAAGGTGGATTTGCTCCCTATCATTATAACCCTGTTTCCTCCATTATCACAGCCCTATATTCAGTATGGATCAATCTGTTGCTGAGGAAAGTAATGTGACATGCTTGTGATAGCTGTGTACTAAGAAGCAGGGGCATGTCCAGACTTTTGTGAATGGGGGGGGGGCAGTCCAAGGCCCTAACTTCAGCAGGGTGGCATGATAAATGGAGACCGATAAATAGCATACACCGTTGCGTCTAAGTTCTAACACTTAGCATATGGTTACATTTAGCATAAATCCTGTTTCTGATGAGGCAAATAGCCAAATCCCCACATTTTATCAGGTCTTTTTGGGTCTTGACCTTGACGAGTGCACCATATTACAAACAACTCAACAACTGCCCCAGCATTTTAGATATGGATTACTGACAACCAATCACAACCAGACTTATGCGGTTAAACTGGTGCGTTTACTACTGACTCATGTTTTTGAAAAGGGTCGATAGATCTAATGTCTCAAGTATCATCCTGAATCATGGACAAAAATACTAAGACAAAGACCACACTGTCATAAAGGTTCTACCTACCGTATAACTTTCAGTTCTTAAATAAGTCTTCAGTAACTCATAATAATGAGTTACTGAACAGTTTTGATTTTGACCAAATGTTGGTGCCCATCAGTGGTTCTAAAACTGAGTTAATATATTACTGTTGAACACTAGCTTTAACGGATGGTACCAAGAGTCTTGATGAAGTCCCATCAGGTAGTTTAAGTCCTTTCCAAGGAAAATGTTGAGTGGCTTGGTTTTGCAAAGGGACTCCAACAGGATGAGCCAAACTCTCTGCTTTGTCTCAGGGTCCTGCTGCTCACCTTCTTGGGGCTCTTATCTCCCATCACTCACTTTCTATGCATTATCCTGTACTTGTTCAACAACTAATGGTTAGAAAAAATGGCTGAACAGCAACGACTAGCATTCACTAGATAAGAACAAAATAGTCCCAATCAGTTTGAATTAGACTCTGAATTAATTGAATGGCAGAAGTAGAGAACTACTCTCGCCATGATGACACAAGGTCCAAAAAATATCCACAGCACTCATCTCTTGCTGCAGGAGTTCAAAATAGATGGGGACTCTATGGCATGCTTACCCAAGATCAAATGGAAATGGACTCTCATTTTCATGAATTTTTTTTTAGAAAAAGATTTATTACTGAAATGAGTGCTGAATCCAGTTTCACCCATTTTGGATACAAAAAAAGGTCTAAAGACAAGTAAAAATCAAGGGTTAAATTCTGATCGTCATAACTGTTTAAATGATGAGTGAAGTTTTGATGAACAGACTTGCAAGCAGTCTACTATTTGGTATATAAGGCAGTAAACAGGTGACATCCCGATAAATAATTGTGCTATTGTACTGATAAAAGCATGTGTGAAGCGTTTATTCATTTCTCCCCCAAGGATATGTATCTAATTTGTTTTTCATGTCCTACATAAAACTTAAATGCTCAAATATTCACTGAAATTTCATTACCAGAGGGAACTCTGCACAGCCCAAAATCTCACCATGTCAGACACATCTCAGCGAGAGAAAGATATCTGTGAAACATTCAGCTGATGTGAAAAATCTATTTGATATGTGTGCAAACAGCCAAATCAAAAATCATGAAGGTGTTTTTCACAGGCAGATGTCGGAAAGAAGGATGAAAGAAAGCGAGGCTGCAGAGGGAAGTGAAGAGTATGACTGTGGCAGCGCTCCCCAGGGGGACTCTGGGATAGCTTGTCTGAAGCCATCCCATCAATGGGCGGGCTCATTAGGTTCATAACCTCTCAGATCAGTGGCGGGGCCCGCTGTCAGATTGAGTTGAGTGCCTGGCCAGTGATAAGGGCGAGTAATGAGGACAGAGCGAGTTTGAGGCCAGGCAGAGCCCAGATGACGCCCAGACCAGGAGGTGTTTAGTGGAGCAGAGCTTCACACAGAGCAGTGAAGGAACTCCAAATCAGCAGTCATCATACTCATTACAGATTAAATTTAAATGACTGAATTGATGGAAGTTTTTCTTCTGCTTTCCTAAATATGCCCTTATATGGTTGGGTGCTCACCACCATTATGGAGTTCAGCAACAAGGCTAATTTCTTAGTCCTTCTGACCATCATTCTTCTTTATTTAGCTGCTTATCCTTCAATAATGATCAATGAACCATGCTTACACACTGGTATCTTGCATTTTGGTCATTCAGCCAAGTAAACCAGAGAATCACAACCATTTCAGACAACAACACTGATCACTACTGACATTTGTTGCCAACAGTTAGTGTCATTTTTTTTATATTTTGGGGCTTTTAATGTCTTTATTGAGCAGAAAGGACAGGGGTTAGAGCACAAAACGAGGGAGTGACATATAGGGAAGGGGCTGCAGCAGGTTGGACTTGAGCTGGGGCCACCTGCTTGAGAGCTATAGCCCCTGTACATGGGGTGTGTCATCTAACCACTAGACCAAACCAGCACCCCACAGTCAGCGTCATTCTAAGGAAAACAATGCCATTTATTTGGCAGTCAGGAGGTCAAGGGCCACCTAAATGCTTTGTTAATATGTCAATATGGTGACTGTCATTGTTGGCCTACAAAACTCCCCTGAACAAACCAATGTGTGACATCACTGAAGCTGTCTTTGCAGCCATTAAAAAATCAGGATAAGCAGGTTTCCTCTGCATACAAAGCCCAATAAAAAGGGGATTGCTCAATAATAAAAATAAATCATAACAGAAAATACACAAAGACAAGAGATTACAATATCTTTTGTTAAAATGCAGCTTTCTGTGAGAGACTGATTTAAATGTAATTCAGAGGTCTATCATGTACTGATGACTTATGCTCAGTGGTAATAGAAAAACACTCTGTGTTCTTTTGTTTTATAGCTGTTGAAGTAAACAATACTCTGAATGTTTTCCTATCAGGAGAGATGAAAGCAGACATGTTCTTTAGCTCCTCATGATCTGAGGAAAGCCTTCCTGATCACTACCCTCAGACCATCACCCAACAGTCTCCTGTATCACCCTCAGACTGCAGTCAGACAGCAGGGCAGACAAAGGTCAAGAGAGAGCCTCTGGTGGACCAGCCAATAGCTTATCTCTGTCTCCAGCCTGCCTCGGCAACAGAAACATGTGAGCACGGGGCCATTCAGTGCTCAACCTGAGCCCCGCTCCCTGTGCCCCGCTCAACCTTTGCCTCTCTTTGGGAGCCCCCTGGAGGAGAAGGCTCCTCAGGAGAGTGTCTGGCAAATAAGGAGGGGAGCCGAGGTGCAGAGTTTGATGCTAATCGGCCCTGACAGAGCTGGACTAGTGATGACCCTGCCCCACTGTTGCTAACGCTTCACTGGGCACAGCACTCAGCTGCAGTGAGCAGACTGATGCTAGTGAGCCGACCTGCAGCCACCCAAACAATCTAAACACTGGGTCTGCTCAACACATGCTTCCTGCTATACTCAAACAAAACACATTTAGACTCTGGATCATGAGTGATGGAGATAAAAGATGTAGGAAAACAAGTCAATGAACTAATATATTCTAATGTACACTGGAAAGGCTACATGCAACTGAATAAATCTAGAGGGAATAATGTAAAACAAATGCAAAAGCACACTCTGTGAACATACTATAAATAGAGTTAGATCTCATGGCAGGATTTTAGACATCTTAAATGGTTCCAACTTAGCCAGGTGGAGATATTTCTATTTCATTAGTACTGCTATAGTTTGCTGAAACATATAAAATGACAATAATTCAGTTTTTATTTATCATCCCTTTTAATCTTGAATAATAGGGCCTACAGTCTCCGCTCCCAGGACTTTTGTCATTTTTCTGTTTAGATTTTCTTATCTGATTACACGAAATCAATGTATCAGCAATCAGACCTGGAACTCCAAAGTCTGGTATTTCTGAATGCATTCAAATCCATTATAAATTCCATTACATCTAGGCTTCAGGAGTGCAAATGTTTTATTTGAGTGCAAAATTGGATTGAAAATCGAAAATTCAATTATTATTTTATAACTGTATGTGCTGCCATTCTTGGTCAGGTCTCTCTTGCAAAAGAGATCTTGGATCTCAATGGGACAAACCTGGTTGAATAAAGGTTATATCAATAATAATAATTATAATAATTTTTAAAATGTGATCAGAGAGGAAACCAAATGTTTTCTTTCAAAGGCTAAAATTCTTTAAATCTCTGCTGATATTAACTTATATATTTTGAGTGAAAGGAGTGTGTGCTTTCTCCTTTTGGTTTTATACATACAAACTTTAACTTCAAGAGCTGATGCTGGTTTGTTTTACATGTCTAATTCTTGATACTTTATGTTAAATTGTCGTCTAGATCCTCACCAGACCCACCACAGCACTAAAGACACAGCTGCAGTTAATATGAGTAATTATTGCTATATTTGGGAGTGCTTGTTGGCAAGCACTGATAATAATGCTGCCTATTGTCACTGTTTGCTCATTAGCTAACCACAGGAAATGGGCAAGCTTAACTTCTACCCTTTATGAATTTTATTAGCAGCAGCTGTGCTTTCCATTGAGTGCAGAAACGCTTTGTAACAAAGAGTGAACAATGAGCGCTGTCATAGCTGCGCTCTGACTTTATCCGACAAATATCTGCTGATGCTTCTTCAAGCATTTTTATGACTTTTTACACCTTATAAACTCTTACCTCACGGGAGGTGGGCTGCTGATGTAACCTCAAAATCATGAACTGCTTTTGAATAATGGACCGGGTCATCTGTTTTAATTGGAGTCAATTAAGTTGTTATGGCTCCCTTTACTGTTATGGTTGTGTTCTTATACAGTCTTCTGTTGTAATTTTGTGTTATCCTGTTATTCTGAACATGAGACAACAGTCTTATGTTTGAGCATCTTTTTAAATGAGATTATGCTTTCAATGTCTCTTGGCATTAAAATGTGATCACGTGTGCAAATAAAGCACTGGTGGTACTGCTATTTCTTAGTAATGCCATAAAAATGAAAAACAGTAGTTCACTGGTTATTTGTCCAGCTAGGTGAAAACAACAAACCTTAGCATCTCTGACCTTCAAGGCTTTCAGCTCTAGTAATGGGAATACTCTATATCTGTTTTTAGGGGCATTTTCTGAATGTTGTTTCAAGAAAATATTAGCATTCTAAAGTTACTTGATCCTAAAATAAAATGATATTTCAACCTTTATGATGAAATGACAACCATTGTGGAAACAATAACAAAGGCTGTCATAGGTTATATGTTTTACATCATGTTGTTGGTTCTTTCAAATCAGTGCGTTTTTATTGAAATGTTTTGTCATTGTGTTGTTCTACAAGCCTATTTGTATTCCTCACATTTCTCCTTTTTTATAAAGCACTTTGTAATCCTGCACTATATCAATAAAACTCATAATTATTATAAGTTTATTGTTATTTAAAGACTTGTATGTGTTTTGTTAGATTGTGTGAGCAGGTGAATAAACTGTCAGGCTGAAATGCCAATAAAAGAGGGAGTGGTAAATAAAAACATGTGAGATGCTTCATAAAAAAAATGATCTGATAGGCTTTTGAGTGTGAGAATATGATATCAAGTCCTCAAACCTGCCAGCTTAACATTTCTGTTGAATGGATCTGTTTTGTCAGTACATTATGTAATCAGGCTTTGAAATTGCCTTTTTTGTCAAGCTGATGATGAAAAACACAAGATGGGAAAAGGGAATGCGATAATTTAAGCCATCTGACATCCACACAGCTGCTCCCACAGTGTGCACTGTACCAAGGTATCTGCTTATAAATGTTGCAGCAATAAGTTTCAGAGGTGAAATGTAAAGCCTTCTCTTCTTCCTCACAGATAATCCTGAACTCGATGCACAAGTACCAGCCAAGACTTCACATAGTCAAAGCAGATGAAAACAACGCCTTTGGATCCAAGAACACCGCTTACTGTACTCACGTCTTTCATGAGACCGCCTTCATCTCAGTAACATCTTACCAAAACCATAAGGTACAGCACAAACTCCTTGTTTTTTTGTCTTTTTCACGTTTAACTAAAATGAATAACTTAAAGGGTTGAAAACAGCCAACAGTCTTCATATTTTTTGTCTAATGCTCTGTTTGGTGTGTACTCTACGGAATAAGATTTTAAGCAAATGTCTTCTTCCTAGATCACACAGTTGAAGATAGAAAACAATCCATTCGCCAAAGGATTTCGAGGGAGTGAAGAAGGAGATCTGCGCGTTTCAAGACTACAGGGGTATGTTAACACAGGAAGATGTAAAACCACTGAGTACACTACAAATCTCTTGTTCAAATTCACCAAACAGCCTTTCAGGAGCATTTTAATGTGTTTGAGGATTTAAAAGATTTGATATGATAAGGGTTGGCCTGTTTATCTTTCTCATGAGATTCTGCATCATGTCTACAGGAAAGACTATCCCGTGATTTCAAAGAACATGGTTCGACAGAGACTCATCACCTCACACAGTCACCTAGCAGGGAAGCTTGGGACAGGAGTGCTCTCTGGGCACCCTTCAGTCCTGTCATCTTACCAGTATGATACTGGGGTTCCTCCATCCAACTCAGACCCACAAGACCCTATCTCAAATCACTTTCCTCAAAGTAGAGATCCCAGCCTTTTGTACCACTGCTTCAAGCACAGAGGTATGCTTTGTAATCCATTCATCTGATGACCTGCCTTTACAAGATAAGATTGCTTATTCCAAAAACCAAGCTGTTAATCACATCATTTTGCAGATAATACCCGACACCTGGAGCTTGGATGTAAGCGGCCGTATCTGGACACATCATCAGCTGTCTCAGAAGAGCATTACTTCCGATCAGCTCCAGCTTATGAGTCATCCCTGCTGTCGCATCCATACTGCACCGAGGCAATCAACTCAAGAGAAGCTTGTATGTACAGTGCCATGGACACAGAGTCTGGATCTGGGGTCGGGGACACAGATGACCTGACCAACTCCTCTTCCATTAATTGCAACATGTGGGCGACAATGCAGCCTTATCCTCGCTACGGCGTGGAGGGGGTCCCATACCAGCCCTTTGCTGCTCACTTTCCCAACGCTGCCACAGTCACGTCAGTTGTACCACACCCAACGTCGTCCATGGGGTCACGACAGCCACAAGCTGACTTAGGGGTCTACAACTCATCCACATCCCAGCGTGCTCTGCCTATCATCACTCCATCATCCTCTTCTTCATCCTGCTCTCCTTCTATTCTGGGATCCAGAGATAGGTCAGGTCATCCACCACTGTACCACAAGAAGCCAGGATCACCGCTTCGACCTCACAGAGATTACTCAGCCTATCCAACTCAAAGCACTATTTCCATTCGTGATCCGTCGTATCAGTATCAAGTGGGGCTGAGCAGTGCAGGGACCCATTGGACTGACAGCTAATGTGGACCACTGGAGAAAACAGTTATTCAAGTAAGAAATTAATGAAGTTGCCAAATCCAACTTGGGGCTGCTGATGCCAAGCAATGAGTGGACAAGGTCATTGCTAATTGTCACCCCCATCTTCATTCATGTGTTTTTACCAGAGCTCTATTACAAACCTTTTGTGTGGTCTACAGAGGCTTTCCTCTATCACACATATGTGTAGCCTAAGTACAAGCCTGTTGAGTCAGAAAGAATGGTTTCAAATGCTCACATACAAACTGTAGGCTTGAGTGGAACTGACAGTCTATCAGAAGGAGCCAAAGGTACGAGAGTACTAGTTGTGTTAACACAATTCATAGTCTGACAATATCTTCCAAACAATGACCATGAGGAGAAAGGAGAAAGAAATCCTGAGTAAAGAAAGGTCAACACTTGCGATTCTTGTTATTGAAGAAAATAAGAGGCACAGATAGATAGCATATGGGTACAGGATAGTTTTCAAAGGAAAACTGACACTGATGGCCACGTAATTTTTCAAAGATGCACATCAAAAAGGGTTGTTGCAGTTCAGCATTTTTTAAAAATCAAATTGTGATATACAATAAAAGTACAACACAAAAATTGTTATTCCAACTCTCCACACTTCCTACCTTTACTGTCCTGCTGACACCAGTCATCCCAAAGTCAAGGACACTGACTAAAAAGGAATTACAATTACAGAACAGTCCGCGAAATTGTTCTAAAGACTATTTTAAACTTTTATATCAAACCGGAGCAACCAGTGCTTTTCTAGGAGATTTTTGTGGCTGGATAACTGAGCAAGTTCAGCCTTGGGCAAACTCAACCCTTTAATTTATAGATCTTGCCAACCTTTTAATTGTTGTAGTGACAGGGCCAGTCATTGAACATCATGTCCAGTCTACATTAAGATGTAATCTCAAGGAACAAGACAGTGTCTGTAGGTTTTACTGTACTTTACCTTAACGTGAGGTTGAAGTTGCAGTTTGGTTACAAACATTTTGCCAATGCAGACATGCCTTCAACCTGCACTCTCTGCATGGCCAAATGTTGGGGATTCTGCAGGTTTTGAAAAGGTTTCCCTTGTATTACTCCAATAAGCTCCATGGCTCCAGGAAAAAAAAAACAGTGCTGGTCTAAATGCCAAACCTGGATCTTCAAAACGGTAATTCAAAGCCATGTTCAATGTTACAGAGCCTGTGTTCACTTCCGTCAGACAAACTCGAAACAAATTAAAGTCCCTGCCATCCTCTGTAATACAGAATCATTTTAATCTGTGCAATGGTGGTTCAAATTGCTTAATTGTTGGTTTTGGCTTTTTTAATTGTTTACATAAAATGTGCCATGTGCATGTGCCAAAATTGAGATTCTCTTTGCCTAAATGTTGAGGACTAAAGTGATTGCAAAGTGAGATCAACAATGTCACAAAACTGTATAAAGTTCATCCTTCATAGACTAAGGCTCTCAGCATCACACTCTTTCTTATAATGTACAAAAGCAATGGTTAAATCAAGTAAGAAGTCCCCCTAACAACAACCCACTGTGAGAGTTGCAGAGGTCAATGCTGTGTGATACAAGCACTCGTTTTAGGAAAGTCTTGGTTGTGTGTGTAAGACAAAGCTGCTGTACTGCTGGTCGCCAAAGCTTGGCTCCAAACTCATGATTCCAAACAATACTAACAGCAAAACGGGACAGCTAAGAACTTTCAGGCAGAACCAGATGGGGGCTTAAAGAGCTGTTGTCAAGCCATTGCAAGCGCCGGAAAAAGAGAGCTGCACTCAAATCCCACTCCCAAATGACTGACTTGGAAAAAATCTGCCTCAAGACTGCAAACACAAAACAGCATGAGCATGCAGAGGCACTGACAGAGGAGGCTCTCAGTAGCATTACATGCAGCAGAGTTTGAACTTGCAATTAAATGAGTGTTTGTTGGATATGAAGGTGATTCCTTATGCGTTTGTGCATTGTTCCTCTGTTTGATGTTGTCAGGTTCAATATGACGTTTTTTAATATATTGACATTTTTGCACACCTGATAAATAAACATTTTCATGCCTCTGATTGTTTTCTACATTTAATCAAAAATCTCTATAATTCACCAGATTTGTATCTAATTAAAAGTGATTTGGAAAATTGAGAATGCTGTTATCAGGTGATATCAGCTGATTGAACTACTTTCATTTTATCAGTTAGACCATTTTCCAACCATGTCTGAGGTTTTCTTAACAGTGTAGTATCTCTGTGAAAAGTGTTCACCTTGATTTGCCACCTTAAGATTGTTGTCCTACACAGTGTTTGGAAGCTATGTGTATTTTTTTTACACTTATGATAAAAGTTACCACCTTTCAAAGATGAGCAGTTACCCCTATCAAGTCTTTGGGCTCTATTTTCGTTCGCGCCGGTGAGGCGGCGGAGGGCGGCGAGCCCCGCGCAGTTGTATTTTCGTCTGGCGGAGCCTGGCGTAAGGCGAGTTTGGTATTTTCGTGGACTGAGTCGCACGGAGGCGAGCCGAGATCCGCCAAGCTGGGCGTGGTGGCGTGGCAGGGGGAGGTGTTGACAGAATCAGCTGGCGCAGTGACATTTTCGTGCTCGCCACCGGCGTGTAACGTGCGCTGAAAGCTCGCCGATTCAAACCTGGTCAGCTTTCAGCGCAAGGCGGAACGCAGCTGGTCTAGTAGTATTTTGGTAGACCGGCGGCGTATCGACATACGTCACTGATGCCTCACCGGCAGGTTTCCACAGTGTCAGGCACATTTCAGTGCAATAAATAATCATCAACAACTATTAATCTGAGTCAGCACATACATTTAGATCTATATCGATATATTCTGATCTATATCTGATCTATATCTGATCTGATGAGCGCGTTTGGCACGCGTTTGGGCACACAACCTGACCGAATCAATACAGCTGAAACTGCATCAAATTAAACTAAATATCTAGTAAATAAACACACATGATGAAGTTAACAAGATATGTAATGTGTCGCCCTCCTTTTCTTTCTTCCTCTTATTTCTCGCACAGCTCGACCTGGACACGTCTCCGTGTCCTCTGTCCGTCTTGCTTGCTGCTGCGGCTGAACAGCTGATTTGTTTCAGTGCTCAGATGCGTTATCTACTTTAAGCCGACATACGGATATTATAATATTCAGTTTTGTGGGCCAAATTTATTTTATATGCCAACATCTATGAAAGAAAGAGCCAGGCCACGGAGCGCGATGCGTCATTTACGCACAGATGGTTCCGATTTTAATGCCATTTTTGGAGTTTATGTTGTGATCTGTGCGCTAAACCCACCTTTGTCACGTGAGGTTTGAATATATGCAACTTTATGTGAGTGTCTTTATTTGTGGAAAAGGGTGTTTGTCTTACCAGTGGGTCCAACATTACGCACACCAAATCTATCTGTGCTCAGATGAGAGAGTGTGGAGGACACTTGTTGAGGAGCTGCCCTCTGTCGCCATCGTGTGGCATAACTGTCTTCAGACATCTCTTGATCTCTTTGACTACTTCATGAAAATAGTAATACGCCTCGCCGGTGGCGGATTTAAAGGCAAGGAGAGGGGCTTATGTGATTGGTGAAAACAGGTCTCGGCTGTGTTAAACACACTATACGCCCTCTCTCCTCCCCGTCAATGACTTATGCTGCCGGGAGGAGCTGAGTTAGGGAGGGGGGATACTTACGCCGGGCTGCGCGGCTCACCAAAATACCAAAATGTGCTTGGGAATGCCTTGTCAGCGCGGCGGATCTGATTGACGCTGCGCTTGCGGCACGTCTTCGGCGAGGCACCAAAATAGAGCCCTCTGTCTTGCCTTAATTGCCTGTTCTCAACCTGTTGTCATTACCAAACTGTCAAATATATCAGCCTAGACGGTGGCCCAGAGGTTCAAAGTATAATGATGTTGATGCTTTTATACCAAAAAAAAATAATCTTCATAATGTGACACTCTTGGTCAACAGAAAGGTTGAAAAAAGGATGCTTGCTGGTCTAGCAGTTTTAGCATGTGCCCCACGTACAGAGGCTGTAGTTCTTGATGTAGCAGCTACTGGTTTTAGGCCTTCAGCCTTTACTGCATATCATTCCCCTCTGTACTCCCAATGTTCTCAGTCTTTCCAGTTATCCTGTTATGCTAATGCAAAATAATCAGAGAACTATGAGAAAAAAATGGACACCTGAGTTTTATCTCCTGGTAAAATCAGGGGACTGTTGACACTCAAAAGTTAGTTGATACTTTAGATTATTAACTAATTATTAACTACTTTTGATTAACTAGGCGTGTCCAGAACAATCCTCATATAAATTTTAGTCATTAAATTATCATTTTAAATTACAACTAGTCATCTACAGTGACGGTAAGAAAACACACAAAAACTGTAAAAATCAAGACCAATTTATGAAACATTACTGAACCAACCAGCAACCTCCGGTCTTGAAGAGGGGAGACACTGCACTCGCCAAAAATGCAGCTCACTAAGGGTCCACCTAAGGCTGGCTCCAATAGCACTGGAAGCCATTTATACATCTATTCAAAAAGGTCTATCTTCCCAGTATAATAAACATGTTTATAGGCTGGTTCAAAGAACTATATTAGTCTGAACAGCTCATTTCTCTATCTGCACACACTGTATGAGAGGTGATTGAAAAAAGAAAACTCTTGAGTTTTGAAGAAAAGTCCATGAGTTTGGAAGGACTAGGGACATATGGGGGACCCCCTTGAAAACGAGATCCTGGATCTCAAGGGGTGTTCCTAATAAAGAATTTCCAAATCAAACACGGTTAACCTGACTCATGAGTGGGCACACTGCATTTGTGAGTGAGGAAGCCACCTCAACCTCTTTGCCTCTCGCAGGGTTGACCTAAAGCTAGGTTGAGTCAGCATATCAATGTCACACATAGGCCTCAAAACCAAAGGGCGACATCACTAAGACCATGTCCTTATTTTCTGAAGTCAGAGTCGATGATCATTCAGTGTCGAATGATTTGCCACGTGTGGCTAAATTTAGCAGAGCTAGCACCACCAGCCTTTGGCCCTCCTTGCAAAGTTAACATCTACATTCCTGCTGGTTACAGCCCAGGCTGAGTGATAAACCAGACACAGCCTACATAGAACTTTATCTTCATTTCCTGGATCAAAATCCAGACAAATCATGGTTTGCAGATAAATGTGAAAGCAGAGCAGATTTTGGATTTTGTGGAAAGGAATGCAGAGACAGCAGGGTGAGTACATCAGCATACAGGGCACTGCTTTCTCTCACACAGAGCTCTCATTAGATCATGAGTTATGCTGATGGCTAGCTCCTGGCTCATGTCAGCACCTCTTTCTTTATCTCCCTCTCAGCTGTTGATGCATTTCACATGAAAGGAGGATGATAGTTCTCATGAAGAGAGTTACCACTTAAACCAACAAATCATCACCCAGCACTCTGAATGCTGAGCTAGAACTTGTCTGATAGCAGAGATCGGACAATTATTAACCTGTCAAAATACAGTTATGGTCTCTAATATTACAATTTAACTAGGTAAGGGCAAAACCAGTCTCTAGAGATGTTTTAATACATAAGAAATTCTCCAACATCCTCCAATACAAAGTTTCACAATTTTTAAGACAAATGTATTTTTCCCACTTTGTGTCAATGATTTATGCCAATGCTTTTCAAATACAACACTTTCAATGTTTTTGGATTTCACTGGGCATTGTCTGGACACTTGAAAACTTGTGAAAAACAACAACAACAAAAAAAAAACTTGACTCTCCATATGGGGTAAAAAATATAAAATTATGTTGTAGGTTCAACAATTTCTTGAGATACAGTTTACTTCTTCAGTTTACTTACTAAGTTAAAGCCATTAGTATTTAAAACAGCTTGACATTTTTTGTCATTTATGAAGTTCGGCTTTCATATTACAAACAAAATTAGCACCAAGAAATCACAAATAAAACTGTCCAAAGGCAAAAATTAAAGAAGAAAATCCCAACATACTACCAGTGGTCTTATTCTGGTCCTCTTCAAACTTCAGCCTTCGATGTGAATGTGAGGGCAGAACCAGACTGCTGCTGGGGCCAACCAGATCTGTAAAAAACATGAAACAATGCTTATGGTTGATAACCAATACATGTAATCCAGCTGTATGTGTGCCCGTGCACAAAACTCAGAAAAAAACTCAAAAATTTCCAAGCCTGAGCCAATCCGATGAAGCAGAAAATATTCGGTAAAGTCCACAGTAAGTGAGTGAGTGAGTGAGGGTGATGTTATCTTTATTATGCAGTCAGTGCAAACATGACAGGATGAATAAAAACATATGAAGTGAACAAGCAGAATCATTCTCAACACAAAAACAGTGAAGATGTCCACATAGAGTAGGTTTCTATACGTTACCTCTGGCCTTTATAAAATGTGAAACTTTAATCATAGACGTACAACTGTGTGTTTTCAGTTGTATGTCACCATTCATTTAATACAGAGAGTGCTTTTTAATGTATGTTTTTGGTCACACTTCTCTGGGTTGGGATAACAGAATTTTTGTTTTTTATATATAGAGATATAAAAGAAAATTGACAAATGTACCAAATCTTGTATCTTGAACCTTAAAATTCTGTCCCATAAAAACAGAGAGGGTTGAGAGAAAGGTTATCTGAAGTTCTGAAGTTTACACCGAAGATCCCCGACTGCAGTTTAATGGCCCAAGAATTTTGGTCAAAGGCTGAAAAATGCATTAAAGGACAGAGCAGGCAAATTGAAATTTATGTTATCTAACTTTCCACATAAAACCTCAGTCAATCTCATTAGAAAGAAGCCAAGTTTAAGCCCCTTATGGAGCACAAGTTAACCAGGCTGAGCCAGTTCCCTGGTGAGAGACCCTGGGTCTGCAGTCCATCTGGAAGTGATTGAAGAGAGATCTGGACGTTCCCTTCTCCCCTGCATCGTCCTGCCCTCGCCTACTGTCGTCCCATAATCCCGTCTAACAGCCGCCTGGGCTCGGCTGGCCCATTTTGACGCTCTGACGGGCTTAACTTGGTCCTCTTGTAAAAAAGAAAAAAGCCTGGGTTTTTCGGCAATCTACTCCAAAAAGACACTTTAAATATCAGAGGGGGATTTAATATCAAGTCCATTAGAGCTTTCCTCGAGCCTGTAAATAGTCAATTAGTGAATAACTCAGATGAGGTCCACATGCAGAGAGATTTGCCACAGAGGGGACAAGGAGGGTCTCTGTTTCAGGTTACCGTTTATGTACCTCATGTGCAAGGTGACACTGTGGTATTAATAAAGCATAATGAACATGCAGAAGTGTTTCATGTCCTCTTTCTTCTACTCCTCCATAAAATGATCCAGAGGAAAACAACACGCACGGATGGATTAGCAGCAGTGGGCATTGCTCAGAAGAGGACCGGGCCAAAAAGGCTCAGTGTGGGTTCAAAGCTCTGGTGGAGGGTTAAACTGTGTTTGTGTGTCTTGATCAAACATACAGCTGGTTGGCAGCAGTTTAAACCAAAGCTAAATCTGCTGTATTAAACAGGACGTCTATATTTCAAAATGGCCTTGGATAAAAGCATCTGTAAAAACTAATTATCATTAGAATAAATTCCCGGATCAGACATTCAGAGAGGACAGAGACACAAGATATTTACGTCCAGGGTTTGACAAAAACATTTAACATTGGAAAAACTCAGACTGTTTGATGGAGACAAACAAACATAAAGTACAAAGTATCAACTTTAGACTTGTGGCTTTTAAGTTTTATATGAAAGAAGACAAAAATAAATCAAACTCAAAGTGCTATCAAATCCAAAGAAGGCCCTAACTCGAACTATCGTGAAGAAACACAGTGAAACTCTGCAGATTGCAAAACAAGAGGAGCCACGCTTTGCCTCCTCAGAGAAGGTCATAAATCACCAGGAGCTCAGGAGGAAAAATGTCTTTGGAAATTTGATTGTGAGTGTAAACCTCACTGTGAAAAAGAAAAAGGATTTCTGTCACTATAGCAGCATGAAGCAGCCTGAGGAGATGCAGACTGACAACTTTAATTTTACTGGGCAATACATTTTCTATCTGGCTTTTGATTCTGCCTCTGATTACCTGTTTTGTTTGTTATAGCTTTCATTTGGCAGAGTGAGTACTTGTTACTATTCTGGGTCTGTTTGTGTTTGGGGTTATTTCTAGTTTAGTTAAGTGTCGCATAGTAACCGCTGGAAAACTTAATGAAACACATTATCCTTGCCCTGTCCTCTTTAGAGTTCAACCAGAAAGTCAAGCAATGTTTAATAAATAGTCCAGACTTTGCATGAAAACTTGTGCACATTAAATACTCCTCTTTGAAGAAAGCTTATCTGCAATCTCAGAACCTATTACCATTCATAGCGGTTAACTATGAAAGGCCTCTTAGAAAAACTGCTAATGTCAGTGTAATTTCAGCGAAACTATAATTTAGCACTGAATGACCATCATTTCTTGGTTTACCTCATCTGATGGCGGAGCATCCCCTCATTTGTACTTTTAAGGGTCTCAGATCAACAGCAAATCAAAATTTACACAGAAGCTTTAGTTTGTCCTACTGCAGCAAAGTATGAAGACCCGAGTCTGAGTAAGTCTGCTGGAATAACGTCATGACGCAGATTAGTAAAACGTGAAAAGATAAGCTTTGTCAAGTCAGTTCATGAGAGGAAGAGCAAACCAAAAATTAGCTGAACGGATGAATCCATCATGGCAGTTCCATTCCTAATAGACAGGAAATGTAAACATTGATTGATTGTTTGCAACAGCATCAAGTTTAACAGTTTTATCTGGAACAGATTGTTAGCTGCACTTGCATGCAGATCTGTGTTTATAGCGATAAATCACTGTCATCAGATTTCCCCTGTTGGAGGCTGGGATGCCATCACGGTGGACAGTGTTCCTCCAGCTTTTTACATTTCATACTAACAGGTTCCTTCTGTGTACACCGAAGCCTGCTGATTCAAGATTGATCAATGCAAATCAGACTACAAATTTACGTACCCATTAACAGATGAAGTTATTATTGACTTTTATATTTCTATTGTTGCTTAAAAAACAGACTCAGCGTATGAGATCTGGATTGTGGTATTGGAAGTGGAATGGTTTTGTAGTACCGCAGGTATTGTCCACTTATTTATAAAGCAAATAAAGTATACTGAGTTATGATGATGTACTCTGATCAGTCTTTGAAACGGTTCATTTAGTGGTGGTAACTGCAGCCACAGGAGAGAGGGATGAGGATTCTCCTCCTGAGTACTTCCTCCTGAGTCATAGTTTTAGCCCATGTTTGAGTTTTTTGGAATTAAGAATGACTTTTGAATTGCTTTTTTAAAGCAAAACTGCCATTGTGGTCTTCAAAATCGTTCTGGCCTTGTAGGGGGTGGGGGTGGGGGGGGGGGGGTCGATAAATGGTAAAGGAGCCAGAGGCTGAAAGCAAACCCAGGCCCACCAGCTGAGGCAAAACCTTATGTGGGGTGTGCATGTAGACAGCGAGACCAGTGACGCCCTATAGGATAATCATTTTAAATCAAATCAATATTTTGAGATTTTTACAAAAAGAACTTTAAATACTTGAGTATTTTTACTAGCATGAACCTTTAGAAGCCTGCTGCACCACCTCTGCTTAACTTTTGTATAAGGTTAGGATGTTAAGTCCACACCAAACCATACACAGGAACCAGTCACATCATCATTGAAGTTGTTTGACTGCACCAAAGAGGACCTGAGGTTTGTCTAAACTAGTGGACCATAATGTCCACACAAACAGAAATACTGTTATAGATAAGATGTTGCCAGTCAGAGAAAACTTTTTGTGTTTATAGTGTTTATGTGTCAATCCTATAATAAGGTAACATGTTACCCGCACTAAACAGCTAGTAAAACTCTCTACTCCTTGTCGTCTCCAAGTTTACCTCATCTGTCAAAACAGTGCCATGGCAACTGCTATTTACTGAGGACTTTACACCTACACTGCATACACCTGGGTTACATACACTTAAAGGCAGGTTCTGGATTTAGGTTGTAACTTGTGTTTATGTTAAAAGTATCTCAGCTAGTGCATTACCTAAATCATTAGTGTAGTTTGAACTCCACCTTACATTGGAAATTACATTAAAACTACTCTATGTTTAAATTTACCCATAGCTGGGAAAACCCAGTGCAGTACTTTAACTCTTGTAATAATCTGACTGACCAACTTTTACTTGTGTTAGAGAAATTTTTGACAGGGAGTATCTACCATCAGTAATGAGTCATGACTATTGAATAAATGTCGGTTTTGTAGTTTTCTGTTTACCTCTATAGCTTTAGAACTGCCGATAACACCTTAACAACTGCACAGCTCTTAAATCTGAAGACAAACAGCTTGTGTTTCCTCTCTGGCTGCTATTTTTATGAACTTGCAGAAACACTGTAAAAAGATCCTGTTGTGTAAAGCGACTTTTTTTTTTTTTTTACTGGATTTTACCTTTATACTTCAATAAACCCCTCATTTGAAGGTGAAAGAGAAAATAAGAGTCATTGCCATTGTGTGAACTGTAAACTCTGGTTCCACAAATGTTTCTCAATAAAATTCCCCAAATTCATCTTTCAGAAAGGGTCATCTTACTCTTTTACAGGCCAGTGTGACTCTATCTTCCTGTGCCATAAAGATCACAAAAAGCTCTTAAACTGTTCAATAAGAGACCAGTCAGTTTTATCTCGTCTTATAGCTGACCCTACATAACTTAGATTCACTGCAAACATCCTCGCTCTCTATCATGCGTATAGACTATAAGTTGGATTACATTTTTTTCTGCACTAACCTCCATTTGCTGCTGTGCGCATCATGTGGCTTGTAAAGTTAAGCCTTGCTATTTACAAGCGACAGATTGGTCTACTTTCTAGACCGAAAACAAGAGCTTCAAAAGCCAACCTACAGCCGAGTATAAAGTATTAAATCCCAGTAAAACTTAAACAGCTTTTTGCACATAAAAGCCAGGGTAAACTTGGCTTAAAGCTCAATGTTTTATTCCTTTCATTGTCTTGGGAGGAGCCGTTTAGCTGTTATTGGCCAATGTAAAGTCAGTGAGACGCCAACTACTGGATTCTACATCTTTCCGCTTCTCTTCTGGTCTAAACGGCCAGTTTCAATTATAAAGAAACAGAGTGAAGCTAAAATGCAACATGCTACTGATGGAAAATTATTAAATTATACTCCAGTTGTGATTAAAGCAAATGATTGGCCATGGCTGAAATGCTTCTCGATGTCACTCCTACTTTAAGCCTCAGGGACACTCCCTCTGGATCCCTAACTACTACCCGGTTCAGCCCTCTGTCACCTCTGGCTGGAGTCTATTTGATGTCTGGCTCTGCGAGCACCATGACACAGAGACCCAAAAACTTCCTCCACCCCTACCCTATTAGAGTCATCGCAGCTTAGTGAGTTTTGTTAAGTGCTTGCACCTATTCAACAAACTCAATGGGGCTAAAGAAACTTACATAGATTTAGTCATCCTGAAAAAGACTCGTTAGATCTTGCGTTGGTATTTACTCACAGGTAGAATGATCTGGAACTGGCAGAGAAAACACTGACTCATGAACAAAGTGTGACAGTGACTCCTGCTGCACAGACAGGCAGAAGACAGGATTTTGTAAGGAATGCAATGACACAATGCGGACCAGCAGCGAGATCTCCTCTTGGAGTACGTGTACCCCCTACTGGCTGAAATGCTTCTCCTCCATCTAGAAAGAGGAGACTCAACCTTTGAAGGTCTCGCTTTGCATGCTGATTATCTGTATTTTGCAGAATCACAGAAAGGAAAACATTGAGTTTGATTAACTAATTTCATTTTTTATAGCATCCTTGGCTTTACTATAATGACCTTTAGAGGTTTGTTTAATTCAAAAAATTAAATTAAAAAAAAAAAAAAAAAACACAAAGTACTCAACTATACAAAAATAAACAAAAAGTAAATTAGACTTTGTTAGAGAGCAGGAGAGCCCTCATCACCGAAGAACTTAGTCTACTATGAGGTGATCTGTCATTTGCATCCTGACTAACATCATTCTTATAGAAATGTATGTTTTAAAGGTTATAAGGTCACACAAAGGAGACTATTTATTCTATGGAGAAGGTTCGCTCTATGTTATAGTTACAGGCATATATTTGATTTTGGAGGATCAATTTTATTTTTAAATATACAGTACAGTATGTTAAAATGATTAATATCATTTGTTTATATTTTTTTGAAATGGAGCATTTTTTCAATTATTAAAAATGTGTGAAAAAATTTGAGTGGGTTGGTATGCAAATTTGAGCTTTGACAGTCATCTTACCATCCATGAAAAGTTTTGTGCTGTAAATTAAATTACAAATAGTATTGAAAACATTCTCTATATTGTTCGCGGATGCCATTACGTTAAGTGCATGGACAGGTTTTCTCCAGTGTTGCTTCTGCCCCTCAGAATTAATCCCCATTGGCTAGAAACTCAAAAACAAAACACTTTTCATTGCCTTTGTTATGTAGCTTAATATCTGAAGAGTAATGCCTGATGACAACCTAGCAACCTAGTTGAGGAAGTTATTTCTGTGAAATATTATTGCTGTTTAGTATGTTTTATGTTGGTATAAGAAATGACTTTATGTTTGAGATGTAATTAATTCAAATGTTTTTTTCTGTTGGTGTCAGTGGATACTTTGGTTGAGTGGCATGTTAGAGCCCGTTATGTAACAATGACCTGAAAAGTAATAAATAAAATGTAATAAAGTTCGAAATGTAATAATTGGTCAATAATGTAATAGAAGTGTTGAACCTGAGATATAATTAAAAAAAGTAATAAAATCCATAATGTAATAAGTGACCCCAAATGTAACAAACTGCAACATTTTAGGCAAAATATGAATAAGATCCTGGGCTCAGTCTCTTGTTAAATTATCAACCAGTTATATTTTTTTAAATAACATTTTGGGTGACTGTCACATATTAGGCTCTAACACGGTACTCATATATTACATTGGTTTTATAAATGTTGTATTGTAAAATATTTGAATTAAAAGTGTTGTTAAATGAGCTCATGTGATAATAGATGGTAAAGTTTAACTAAGATTTTTGGTAAACAGCCTTACAAAAATCTTTTTTAGTGTACTTGCATGACATCAAATTTTATTAATCTGATTTATTTGAGCTGTTGGAGCACTATTTTAAACTCCTATAGAAGTTTCTATCTATTATATTTTTGGTTTCATTTACTAATACTGTCCTCTAAAGGCAACCAAAAAAACAACCTAAAAAAGGTATTTGGACTTAAGGTTGTGATACCAAAATGAGGAACTTTTTTTGTCTATCATTTATCTTTACATGATACACATAAGGTGGTTACCACAACCAAAGTTTTCCAGTCATCTTATTAACCAAACATTTAAAGCTGGATGTTTTCTCTGCCTGTTTGTCCGGCGTGGAGGGGCAGAGGTTATGTGTAAGTCCTTATCTGTGTTTGTGACCTGTGTAGGGCAGAGCGGTCACACGAATATCCTGCTAAGATGTTTGTCCTTCAGTAAATCTGTAATCACAATGCTCTGAGCCGGCCCCTGAGAGCTTCATCTTTAGCCGCTGACCCGGTCCGGATCAAGTCTTTAAGTTTGGTAAGTACGGTTTACCGGGGATCACATGCAGCAGGCGGCCAGGTTATCCAAAGCAGGAACCATCCCCATGAAGGTGATTAAGTACCTAAAGAAAGGCTGGGTGAGAGGCATGGGACAGCTATGTTTGTCATTTTGCGAGCTCTGGATGCTGAGCTCATGATGAGATCAAGGAAAAAAGATCTCCAATTTGTAACACCCTCTTTCTGCCACTCTCGTTTAGAAAATGAATAACACTGTTTCTGACAACAGCGAAAAAAGGAGAAAAAAGAAAAAAGATTTCAGTGTGATTGTATTTAAGTTTAAATAACTTTCTGGTTCAAAAAAACGTACGTAGCTGTCTACTGATGGATCAGTCAAATGGAAAGTAGAACAAACTTTGGGTAATTCTGACACATTTTCCAGTGGAGTACTTGAGCACAGATATTTATAACTTTGACAGAAAAGTGAGCTGCCACGGATGCTTTTTGTTTTTTCTCTAAGCGCAGCACACCGATTTAAATATTTAGCATCATCCCTGTTGTGAGTTCAGATGAAGGGCAGCTTGTGAAAGCCTCATTTTCATGTAAGGAAAGGAAATATAACAAACAACCACAACAGAAAGGTTCTTCACTAAAATCACCATCCTGATACTGAAAATATCTGTTACATTTAAAAAAAAGTCTTTGTCAGTTTATGGGGTAAATATCCATGTACATCACAGCAGATTGAATTTGATCTCTCTGTAATGTCACATCCAGAGTGTATTCAAAACAGCTTCTACTTTATTTTACAAAGTGGCATAATAAATATTGTAATATATTAGTATACAATGAGTTTTTGTTTAACAGAGAATTATTGGTGTGTTTAAATCTGTGGAAGTCTAATCCATTCACTTGAGGGGAAAAAAATCTACTGTTACTGAATAAAACGGATAAAATTTAAACTTTGAACTTTTGGGTCACTTTAAGAGGCAAACATTTATGACTGTTTAGTCTGATCCAGTATTATTTTATTTTGGATTTTAAACACTGGGAGATGCTCGTGTCTTTGAGTAGCACAGGTGGTATTATTGTCATGTTTTTTTTTTTGTAAAGGCACATTATGGCAGTTTTTTCAGACGTGAATTTCAGATTGTTGAAGTGATTCTTCAGGATCAGCTGAGATGAATTGGCATACTTCACTGATATAAGATGATGTATTTTAAATACATTTAGGCTGGCAACAGGGTGACTTAAGAGACAACCAGACAATGGCGGAAAAAAAACAATATACTAAAGAAAGTCAACTTTTTCTTGTAATCCAAATCCATCTTAATTCAGAGAAATGGAATTCTTTTACAAGTGATTCTGATCCACTTCTGTTTATATCTGCCACGTTACTGCTGAAAAAATCTGTCCTGGAAACATACTGTGTATTTTTATCTTCAGAAGTTTTTGTATATTTTTTGTATATTTATGCCTGGCTGGCCCATGGTGGTAACTCAAGAATTTCCAATGTTAAAACAAAGTAACTTTATCCATCTGTGAGTGCTATAGACTCTACTGTTGGTCCCAGTGAACAATTCATAAAAGCTTTTATCAACAGCCAAAATAAGCCAAGGAAACATGAACAAAATTAAAGAAATACTATAAGAATTTCTGTGAAAGATAGTGTATAGGCAAATGTGAAAAAATCTGTATTAAAAGACTACTGTATGCTACCTTAAACAAAATATGTGTTATTTAAGGATGAAGGGAGGTACTGAACAGTGTCCATTGAAAATTGCCAACAACAATAGACTAAAAAAATCTTTAAAATGTAGTAACTACTTTTTATGCTACACATTGACTTACACACACCACTTGATGAACAAAACAAATAATCCAAACAGTTCAAGGGACAGAGGTGTAAAAAAAAGGCCTTGCCCTTGTAGTGTAATCTCAGAAAATCTGGACGCCAGGTGTCCTTACAGCAGGTGTTGGATTACCTGCCAGCCTTTCCAGGACATAACCCTTTGTCCTGCGAAGTTAGCGTTCGATAAGAGGACTAAGCACAGGTAAGAAAGGTAAACTTGGGGATTTAGGTCCTCAGCTCTGACTCCAAAGAGCCTTAGCAGGTGATTTTGGGCTCATCCTCTCAGGGCTTAGGCTGTGACGATCTGACAAAGCCTGACCGTCAAATCAGGTGTCTACTTAACGCAGCACAGCCAGGTTGATCGGAGAGATGGCTGAAAAACGGGTCGCACATCCGTTTAGTGTAGCTGTTTGAAAGGGTATTTAAAGGGTGATCCCATTACACTGGATTGAAAACTCCAAAACAGGTCCAGGAAGGATTCTGACAGCAGCTCCTGGCAGGGAACATTTACAGAACACATGCCTCCAAGAACTGGTATATCTTCGTCACAGAGGAGGGAATAACCTTCAGTGTTGTGTCGGTCTAAGAGGATGATTAACAGATGTCACAGAAGCCGGTTATGTAGCTGTCAGATGTCTGAACTTCTACACTTCTCACACATCAGGACCACTTTGATTTCAGGCAGTTGACACGGCTGAAATACCCAGCAAATCTACGATGTGGTGTACTGAGGAGGGGATCATTCCTATTCTCAGGGTCAATAACTAAGCCCAATACCCATAATACTTTTCAAAGGAATTACCTGATGTGTGGAATTCAGTTAAGCTTTGCATTACGAGGACAAGCGCAATAGCTTGTTAGAGGTTTGAAAAAGTGTTATAGAAGTCTAGAGGTTAATTACATTAAACTGCTGTTTTTAGATTGTCTGCAAACCCGATAGTCACTCATCGTGACTCTAATCTCACTATCCAATGACCTTGATCTATGGCTGACTCCAGCCAAAAACAGTCAAAGCAGCTAAGGTACTTAAGATTCTTAGAAAGCAAACTAATGAAGAAGTGGTTGATAAACAAGCTGACCTAAGACAGGTTGATATAAGGGAGGATCAGAAACACAGACAAATTCATGTTCAAAGCATGGGAAGTGCAGCAAGGAGGTCAAAAAGAAGCATTTGTGTGTAAACTTGACACACCTGTCAATGGACATAGTATGCATCTATGTGTAGAGAAAAATTCATGTACAATGATGACATTTCAAAATCAGTCTCTAAAAGCAGGTTTAAAGGGAAGGGTTGTAAGATTGACCTTAAGTCTGGAAATTTAAAGCCCAAAATCCAATGAAGCTAACACAGGAAAGCAAAACAAAATAAAAAAAAAACTACAGTTCTTCAAGAGTTCACTTAGGCCTAATATTTGATCATCTTAAAACTACAAGTTTTATATGAGTTTGCATAATAAGAGTCATAGTTGAGCAGCTGTAGAGACATGGACAACTGTACAGCTCCTCATCTTTCCTACGGACAATTCTACTGACCCTTTTTCTCTCACTATTTAGGTCATAATTCCATCCTTGCTTCAGTCAAAGCCCGGAACCAAAAGTAGGTGGTTTACGTAAAACCCTTCGGTCAGTTTGAGGTAAATGCACGAGAAAATCAACCTCCGACTTCATTATCTCCAAATGTTAGTGTAACTACATGAAATTCTGCTTTTCATTTTGGTGTTGACAAGCATTAAAGACTGTATTTGACAGCAGGGTTTTACTTCTTTCTTAGTTTTAGTAACCATGTTTTTCTGCAAGTACTGCCGCAAAAAAGTGATGAAAAAATCATTTAGTCCTAAAGGAAGTGCCAAAGGTTTCAGTCTCCAGTGTAATAGCCTTTAAGAACACGACTGGTCCCAGCTGTGAGAACCGGTCGTCTGTCCTTTATCATCTCAAGTGTTTGTTTGGAGTCGTGTCATGTAGCCCTTGGTTTTTATCTGGAGGTAGCGATGGCAAAACAAGCTGAGCGATTATCATCACCAGGGCCAGGAAGGGTGGGCAGCGGCAGTGGGCCTTATCGTGTTTATCTTGCCGTCCTTTTTCATTTTCGACCTAAACTCATTTGCACCTCCTCTCCTGTTGACCCCACAGCCTCATGTCTGATGTGAGAGGATGACACCTCCCCTTCCGTTGCGTTCTTCCTGCAGGCCCCACTCCTTGTCTAATGAACTCAAGACAAGCGCAATTACTGTTAATGGGCTGGATAGGATCTCTGTCCCCTCTCTGCCATGAAAAACATCCGCCCACCCTACAAACGCTCCTCCTGAGGTTTCTACAAGGATGTATCAGATTCTGACTGCTTTAGCTCCTCCTGACACCACACATGTGAATCATTCACAAGAAGGAGGTGGATGAAAGGGTGTGTTATGTGAAGAGGTCGGTGGTGGAGCTGCTATCTCTGATTGCTTTGATAGTGCAAGCATGGAGCCGAAGTTTGCTATCACTCACCCAAATCTGCCAAACAGCCCAAACAATGACAAGAACTGAATCCTCTGATAGCACAAACAACATCCTGATATAATTACACAATCAGGAAATTAACAAGACAGAGTGTCTGCAGCACTCGCAGCGTTTAACATGCGCAGAATGTGAGAGAGAGAGAGGAGAATGGAGAGGAAGGGTGGTGAAGAGAAGGAGGAGGTTGAACACCATTTTGGAATTATAACTATTTCAGTCTTAAGTTTAAAATTTCAGAGACTGGTGCTGATGCTGCCTCACAACCAAATAAAGTTCTAGCTAATGTGAGTATGATGGCATTTTGACTCTAATGTCATATTGAGATCAAGCACCAAAGTTTACTGACCAAGCCATGAGGGTTTCAGATTAGAGGCCAGGGGAATTGTGGTTGAAGCCGATACTAATCGAGACATTTTGTGTCATATTTAGTGGCACTGTGCATGGCTTAAAATGAAGAACTTGACAACATTAATACACATTAAAGAAATGCTCATTTTATAGTAAATGGACCATGATTATATGGAGAATTTTTCTTGTCTTTTGACCACTCAAAACACTTTTAAATTCCCTATTACATTCAGACACTGATGGCAGAGACAGCTATGTAAAGTGCACATCAGTTTTTTGACTAATCCCATTCATGCACTACTGCATGCAGCCAGCATGGACACCTTAGCATGTGGACAGCAGGACCAGGGATTGAACCCCATGACCGAAAGCGAGACGACCAACTCTACCCCCGAGGCATAGTCCCTTTTAAACTCCCTTTACCACAGAAATACAGGTCCTTAAAGTTAAAGAGTGATAATGGAAGAGTTTTAATTCCAAATACATTCATGAAAAGATTTGATCATAATATTGAGCCAAAGATATTGAAAGCAGTGCTGTTAAAATTGTGCAATTGTGATTTTGTCAGCGTCTGACTTGTCAGAAGTGTCTAACTGACTCCAAAAGAGTTCAAAAACAAAGGGACAGATGTTGGGAAGAGTCTTTGAGATATATCAAAGGTGAGGCAAATAAATGTGTCAAACAATGTGTTAATAATATTTATCCTTTAAACACATTCAGTATTTTAAACTTTTTAAAATTAATTGAACGCTGTTGGTTAAAAAATACTAAAATCCCTCCTTAAACCTGTCTAACCCAGTTACTGTACCATGCTTCTCTTTTTGAGAGATGTTGCTAAGGGAGAGAAATAAGCAACAAATTTTGTTGTTGAATTTGGAGGTCTTGTTGATTCTGATTAAGTGTGTCACTCATTACTAAAGCAGACAAAACAACACAGAATGAAGCTCAGGTAGTCGCCATAGCAGAGTACTTAAAATGAATGACGACTGTACATTAAGTGATCAAGCAGGTGAATTAGTGCCTTGTTTAAGTCTTCAATAACCTTTGTTTCATTAATATGACGTTAAGTACCGACTGGGTGGAGGAGAAATTATCAGGACATTGACATGACGATCCATTTGTCAGTGTCAAAGAAAACAAAAGGCCTGAGTAAAAATTAATGAGTTCTCTCAGATTGCCTGTCCTTCCAAAGCTTATTTTTCCATTATCACCGAGTGCTGCTGAAAGGCCTGAACTGGAGAGAGCTTTAGCTGAGAGACAGCTGTCAAGCAGGCTAAGAGAGCAAACATTACACTTTTATCCATACCTATGAGCAAACACACACACACAGACAGGCAAGCAAACACATGTGTGCGCAAACACTATTCAAAAGGTGAGAGGCAGCGCTCTCCCTGACACCCACGGGCCCCGCTGCCTGAGAATTTTTTTAAGCTTTAGGCTCCACTCCCTGATTTGCTTTGCAGCTTAAACTCTTGTTGCTTCTGCATGTGTTTGCCTGGCTGCTGTTTGTGTCGTAGAGTGTGTGCGTACCAGGTGAGAGTGTGTGTGGATGTTTTTGTTCAGATGACACGAGTGTTTGCTTTGGGAAATCTCTGTTTGGTTTGAGTGTGCTGCAAGCAGTTGACACCCCTGGTGACATTATTATCAGTTTTTGAGCTGGTTGACAGTTACATGAGGTAGGTTTGTCAAACATAACACGTTTTACTGGCATATTTTTCACCTTTTCATAAGAGCACGATTATGGTCTGATTTTGAGCGTAAAGCAACAAATAACTCTTCGCAGTATGCTAATGTAGTCGTCCCGGAACTTGGCTTTAGAGGAAGCTCAGCAGCATCATAAAGCAGATAAACGATTTTTTTGGGGATCTACTGATCCATAGAGCAGGTGAGGAAGAGTTGTTGCTTTAGTGCATTGTTGACTTTGACTGACAGAGGAAAGAAAACAGGACAGCGATGAAGCCTGACGAGTTGATGCATGTCAACGTGCTGTGATGAGCATCAGGACACCACCAGAGTGAATAGAAAGGAAATAATGTGTGCAGGTGTTTTGACACTTCATGATTTGGCCGTTGCATCTGAATCATCAGAAAAACTGTCTGTACGTTAGTGCCCTACAGGAATTGGTGCACAATATGGCCTTTTTGAGACAATATCAATAATTGATAATGACCTTCTCCTGATGGCAAATACCAGTATGTTTACCGATATGTTCCTTTACATTATCGTAGTTTAAAACGTGTAGTTTATGCAAGTCTAAGAGTCTAAGATGCATATCATTAACCAAAACTACCTGAACTCTCTATCATTAACACACAAAGAACACCTCTGACTTCTTAATAGACCATAGACCATCTTCTCGTGATGTTCTGCTCAGGGTGAGAAACTAGTACATCATTATCCTGCAACACTAAGGTGCTCCAGGTCAGACGTTGTATGAACCTTGGTCCTCAATATTCTAAATGACTGTGGTCATTTCACTGCTCCCTGATTGTTGAGCAGCCTCACAGACGGCCTCATAGTCAGAGAGGATGAAGAGAGACACTGGGTCACATCTCAGTCAAAAAAACTGACTTGGCAGTCCTTTAGCTGACCTCAGCACACAGCTACTTCCTGTACAGCATTACCGTAGCTTGTGTTGGTGACCGCTCAACCCAGAAATACCAGCAACGGACTAAGACTCAGACCCTCAACTATGTCATCAACTTGTTTCAATATTCGCCCATCCACTTCAGTGAAGAGACAGAAAATCAGTCTGGATAAATTGGCCAAACAAAAGTGACAAGTGGACCTAATTGATGGCGGTGTCTTGCTGTCTCTGAGTAAGCCACTCACCTCTAAGAGGGATCATGAATGAGAAGAATTAGCCCAAGAAACAGATGTCTGTTTAGTGTTGCCTACCCAACAAAAATAAGCCCCTTTCAAACAAGAACTAAGTTCCTGGAAATTTCACAAAATTTCCCAAAGCGAGCTGTATGTTTGAACAGAAACACAAGTTTTTCCATACCCAGAATATTTCCTCTCATGTGTCTCATGTGAGAACGCAACAGCAAATCTACCAAACAATTCCCTCTAAGCAGCGGTGTAGGGATGTTGCTGTTTCTCATGTGGTGTTCTGTCTAGTTTTGCTACTAGGTTGAAAGATGCTGCTGTAGTGCAAATCAAAAACAGGGGGAGTTGGTTTCCGCTACTAATCAATACTTCCAGGTCGCAGATAGGGACACATTTACTGGAAGAATAAGGCAGGTAAAGCGGCACATACCGAGATTAAAATTATATAAAAGGTGGAGAGATGTCTTTATACTGACTCCCTCGCTACAGTATGTTTAGGTATTTCACTTGTCTATCGATACTGTGTATATGTTTAAATACTTGTCGTGTCGATGGCAAGGTAAAATACAGTCGCTAAGGTATATTTAGCTATCCCAATTTTTAGTAATCACACAGGGATGAATTTAAGTAAAGACAAATATACCACAGATTTAGAGAGAAACAAAATCAAGAGAATAAGATAGAAAGGTGATCAAAACCTCTGGAAGAAAAAAATGAAAGGATCAGTGGTTTTGATTTGAGTAGCAGTGTAAAACATTACATCCTGACTACTACAGAGGTGATTTGATGTCATGATCAGCCTCCTAAGATCAGTGTCACTAGCGGGGTCAGATTACTTTCTGGGTCAGATCCTCTGAAACTTTCTAAAAATTTTCTGGAGTGCACGTCTGAAAACGCATACAAGGGTTAAATCCTGCAACAAAGCCCAGTGGTGAGCTCATGGAGACTTGACCACCAATCACACTTCATCCAATGTATCTTAAAGTAGGGAAACAGCGCCCCACTCTGTCCAATGAGAGTAGGACAAATGTGATGACTTCATTCTCTGCAGGGCAGTGTGTCAAGGGCAATGAGGCTTAACGACTGAAGCAGGAGGTGGTTGAAGACAAAGACAGCATGTCTGCAACACCTTTGTGTGGCAGATAAAGACTATTAGGTGACCTCGTGATCAGTAAACATACATGCACGCAAACAGAAATACAGCCTGTCGTATTAATTGGACACTATTCTGAGCACAACAGGGGTGCGAGGGGCTTTGTCTCCCTGAAACTGGGTCATGAATGAAGAAAGGAGAGTAGAGGAAACTGCATACAAATTGGCTGTGGGGGTGGGTCACTGTCACCTGCCCACCCTCCTTGCTCATAGCTGTGTTTGGTTGAAATTTCACACAGCTGGGATGAGTCTGCCTTAAACCTCCTTTTGTGTTTCTGTCAATAATCATGTTTGCACTCTCATGATCCTATGGCTTTAGCCTTGGTAAGTTATTTGCTGCTGCACCTCTACCACCTACATGACTGACTGATGTATGGCTTCTTCTGGTACACAGAGATCAACACAGCAGTTACTGACATGTTTTCTTTTCTTTTGCTTTCTTTTATCTCTTCGTTCTGCCTCCCAGTTTTAAGGCGTTTGAGCAAACAGTAACTTTAGAAAACAGCATAACACGAAAACAGCGTGAGTCAAAATGAACAAGGAATCCCTGGAAGTTCATGTTAGGATACATACTGACATGTTTTTTTAGTTTTAAATTTGCAAGCTGCATTTATTAAGGTAGAAATTAATAAGATATAATTTAGTTTATTCTTGTTTGTACAAATGATCAATTTAATGCATGAGCTGACCCAGTTTTTTATTTTTTATTTTTTTTACAGAGGTACTTCAAGTGTTCTCAGGACAAAAATAAGTCTACCAAAAACTAACCCTGTATCCTATTTACATAGTTTGTTGTCTGTATAACCAGCATGTACAAAAACTGCTAGAAATTTTTCACTTAACTGCTTTGGACAGCAGTCTCAAGTCTGGGCAAAGCAATTATAGACAATATAATTAAGTAATTCATTAAAATGTGCACGACTGTCCGTGTGCCTCTCCTTTTGGGTCCGTTTCAACTCATCACTTTGTCTCACCTAATGTCCCGCCCACAACATTATCTGATTGGACAGATGTCACACAACCGTCTTTTGTAACTGTGCTCAATGTGTAACTGGTTAACTCTCAACTCTTGTATATGAGGTTGAACTTTTCAGTTCTGATTTAAAGTTTGATAAAGACATTTAAGCAACATTTTGTGTTGCTGTTTTATGAATATTCACTTTTCTAAATTTTGACAGGTTTCTTATTTTCAATATTAGTGCGTATAAACTCTAAATATAGATTACTCATCTTATCAACTACAAAGACTGATCCCAATGTCAGCCCTGTCAGCCCAATATCAGTTGACCCCTGGTCTCAAGGCAGGTACTTACAATTACAACTACAGTATTTGTTTGTTATGGCACAAAACATCTTGGGATTAATTCAAATTGTGCAAACATGGCAGTAGCTCAAAACCAGCATGACACGGATATGCAAAACATTTTCTTCAACGTGCCAGAACAACGCTAATACCCAGGTGTTGTATTGGGCGAGACGCACTACTTCTACAGGGATTCCTATAATACCAAATTTCCAGGCATGGTCTTGTCTGGTGATGAAGAAGCACACCATGTACTTCCAAAGCAATTTCTCAGCTCCACTTCATTTCCAAAACCTCAAACATGGACTCAACGTTTAGCCATTGGTGCTCGAGTTGAGAACGGCCATTATTCTCTGCTGTGGCCAAAATCACCAGCACTAAAACAACCAATGTGGCACTCAACATACAGAAACAGCAACACCACATACAGAACTGCAAGAGCACAGTTTATCATCTTTCAAAACTGCCTTGAGAAAGAAAATTAAATTTATCAGCTGACTTTTGAGCCAAAGTAGTGAGGACGAGTTCATTCATAGTCAAAAAATGCAATACTTGTCTTTCAAATGTAGTGGAGTAAATACAAGTTTCCCAAAAAATAAAACCCAGTCAAAGTAGAGGCCTTTGAACACTGTGTGTGTGTGTGTGTGTGTGTGTGTGTGTGTGTGTGTGAATACACTGTTAGATCTACAGTGGCAGCCTTATGGTTGAGCTCTGAGAGACTGGGTGTGAGGAGACCTATTATCTTAGCATCAGTGTTGTTCTAACGTGTTTTGACCCTAATGAAGGTTACATGGTGCTCTGACATGTCCCATGACCCCACGCTCCGGGTACACGGGGGCAGTGGAGGGTCAAGTGATGGATTAAGAGGATAACACGGTGATATTACATAGAGCTGGGATGTATTTTCTCCAGCTAAGTCGCCTCCGCTGTATGAAAACAACAAAAATACCTGTTAATATTGATTATTTATCTATACGCCACGCACTGACAGATTAGGAATGAAAAGGCTGTTATAGGAAACACTAATCATGCTGTCTTAACTCTATCTGACCTTGTGCTGAACTGCTGAAGCAAATTATGTCTCTGTGAATGAACCTCAGATCTGACCTGACTTCAACTATTTTACTTTCATTAAAGACTGAAATAGCATCTGCGAACAGACCTGTGTGCTTAAATTTCTGTCAGACTCGATGACAGAGCTTTATAAAAATAAAAAACTCTGTTTTATCCCTTAACATCATATTAGTTGTTTTTCAGTTATTGATTTACTTTTGTTTATTTTAGATTTTAAGTTTGAATCCTACAAAAAAAATTGTAGCACAAATTCAACAGTATAAGCAGAGGTAGAACAATTTTCCCTCTTTTCTGTAGAATATAGTTACTGTTATAGTCTACCGATAAAAGATGTGGCAACTCAGACATGGCAAACTTAAAAGAACAAAGTTATTATTGGGAGCATAAAGTTGTCCTATAATAAAATCAGACTGTAAATTGACAAGAATTAAAGTTTTAGTTCTTTTTATGAAAAGAAGTAATAATTTGCCAGAACGATCCCCTAATATTACTGGACTATAGTTTTAAGTTTTATAGTTTTAAAAAATAAATTAATATTGCAATATTATAGAATTCAGCCATACATTTACAAGAATAGTTTTGTAATTTTAGTCTATAGAGGGCCAAAATGTTTTTTTTTGAAGGGGGATATTAATTAGCCAGCCACCAGTAATAAAATAAGCAGTGTGAATGTCAATGAGGTTTAATAAAGAATAGATTTAATAGATGACTGAATACTCAATATTTTGACCTCCAGTCATACTGACTCCACATTAATTCTGAACAGTAAGAAATGTTTGTTAATAGATATACTTTATCAATCCCAAACTGGGAAATTCTCTAAATATACAGTGTTTTCAGCTGCACCTCAATCTTTGTCTTACCCACATAACAGCTGGTAAAGCTGGTAACACAGCAGTGTTAATTCTGACAGGATGAATCAGTGTACTCTCCTAGAGGTACAAGCAAAAAGTAAGAACACATGCACAGATTGCACTCTTACTAAGCCATGCTTTCATTTTAGTATGCAGCATAATGGGCTGCAGTTTTTTGTGGAGTACATTTAGAAAAAGTCACCTTCACATTTAGCATGGAAGGCAAATACACAAAGAGATGGGCTTTTAGAAGTAAAGAAACAATGCATCAGAAAGGCAACTTGAAGCGGCACCTGCTATGGAGCAGGAGGACCAGGGTGGAGGATCGGGGAGGACAAAGACTGAGCATTATGCGGCTGTTAAAAAGAGCGAGTAAGCGTGTTTGCTTAAGAGGTGTTGTCCGGTTGCCCCAGCGGCTATGTATAGCGAGGACGCCCATGGCCTTTGTTTTCTGACACGAACAGGGGTGGTTGAGAGCGAGCTGTGGACACCGATGCGTGACTGAATTAGACTGGCAGCACTGGGATAGTCTGCAGGAAACACCTGTATTCTCAGCATAAAAAAACTGTGCTTGACTTTAAGTGATGGGCATCTTTGATCATGGGCTATGATACATTAACACTTGAAGTCAATATTAGTGTAATATTTAGCATACAATTTGGAAGAGCCCAGGCATTTAGTTTAGGCTTACATAGCTGAATTAAAAAAAATCAGAAAGTCTTTTTCTGTATGGTAACAAAATTGCACTCAATCACAACTTTAGTCAAAGTCAAAACAAATCTGAGCTTAATCTCAGAGCCCAACAGCTCTGCTAAAAGTGAGATGGGAGTTTTACACAGATAACATTTGAAACTAATTCAGAAATTCTGGGATTACGGAAGAGATAATGAAGCAAAATTACCATCATTTACTAAATTCACCAATTGAAAACAGCTTACAGCTCCTGTGAGAAACTTTTTGTTTGTTTTGATGAATTAAGATCGATTGTGATTTCACCCTGTGCATGTCTACATTGAGTTTTCAGTGAAAAAGTCTAATCCTGCTTCTTTTAAAAGTCAAATGTGTCACTCACTGAAAAAAAAATGCTCCAAAAAAGGGAGACCATTTCTTCAATGTGCAATCTTCTCATGTGTTACAGTGATCCAGAGAGACCCAGTGCCTTATTTGCACTCTCTCTCTCTCTCTCTCTCTCTCTCTCTCTCTCTCTCTCTCTCTCTCTCTCTCACATACTAGGTATTTTTGAGCTGGTTGACTGCCACCTGTATATCTCAAGCACCACCGGTGCTGATGATTGGCCTGCACTAGAGCTCAGTATAAGAAAACCACCCAGACTCTTCAGACGGTCTGACTTCCATTCATGCTTCTGGTCTTTACGTGATGTTTAAAACTCTGGGAGGTTGGACTCCAGTAAGTTGGGATCCCCTTTACTTTCTTTCCCTCAGGATTTTTTTGTTAGATACACTACATTATTTGTTTGTGCCACCTTTGAGAAGCTAGGCAGGCCTTTTGTCTGTCTGTTTGTTCCCTTTGGAGGTAGAAATAGTCAGGCCTTGTTTTGTTTCAAGTCGATTTCTTTGGCCCAAATCATTCCATCCCATTTTTTTTTACTCATTTCAACAAATTGCTGTTTTGAAGCAACACTGTATTTAAATTTGCATATTTATTTGCTATATGACTAGATTTATATGAGCCATTTGAGGCATGCATGCAAAGACTACAAAAATGTATTGTTAAATTATCATTATTTACTGATCTATTTGATGATATAATTTCTGATGAGTTTAGAAATAATTGTGAATGATGCGGAATACACGCTATCTTTTTTTATACTCAGAGTGAACACTTAAAACTTTTTGTTTTCTTTAAAAAAAAGAAAAACTATAAATTTCATGTAGGAGAAGCTTGAGTGTTTGGCTTGTCACTTTAATGATTTTTATCAAAAAGTTCATGAGAACTGTTGTATTTTAAGTTTAATCTCAGGACTAATTGTTACAAAGATGATGATGAGAAATTTATCCATTCATGGATTTTCCATTCAAAACAAAGTACCTGTTGCGTGTGCTGTTAATGAAGAGATACAGGTACAACAATTATTGGATAGTTGATCATTTTCTTCTAAATCTGTGTTGACAGTGTGTTGAGTGGCGCATGAGCTGCATGCCACCCAAATACACATGTGGGAAAGAAAGTCTGCAGGGAAAATGAATTGGTCTGTATTGATGCCTGTCTGTCCTCACCTCAGTGTCAACCTGCCATGCCCTCAACAATAGAACAGGATTAATTCATACTTCAAACGCAGGGTTAGGCGCATTCATGTGCACACTCTGGACTTGTACACAACACTTTTTGAAGTCTGAGCTCGTGCATTCAGCCAGCGCTCCTTTGTAAATCAGAAAAGCTGCTGAATGCCTGACGCAGAGCTCAGAGAAAGTGGAATCAACCTGTTCAAACAGAGATGGGCTGAGAAGTGTCATTCCCACGGCGAGGTGTGCCAGCGAGCTTTGAAAGTGTGATGAGTCAGGGCAAGCTCTCGGGTATGTTGCCCCAGAATTAAACACTGAGTGTGTCCTGTTTGATTTTGAGAGCTCCTCTTCTTAAATGGTCTTGTCTGTCAGCGCCTACAGATTCCACTAAGAGGCCAGGACAAAGAACTTTCCCGTCATTACTCTGTCGGGATTTTCCTCAGAGCTGCGAATGATTGTGTGTGGTGAGAATAGGTGTGAGATAATTTGGTGCCAAGAGGAAATAATATGTTAAAAGAAATACCACCATGAAGGGCCAAAGTTCTGTCCAGTCCAGTGTTTGTTGGCATGAAAAACCAATGCATGACACTTTTCAGGGTTTCTGCATTCCTTAGCAATCCCTCATGCACCTACGACATGTTTTGACCCACAACGTCCCAACACTTAGAATATTTACAAAGACCTGGACCACCAACGGCTTTGCACCATCTCACTCCTCCCATTCTTCAACAATATTACTTCGCATATCTTTAAGTCCTAAACTCAAACGTAGATTTGTGACAAGTACATTTCTGACAGCTTTTAATACCTCACCTTTCACCCGTACTTTGTTGAAAGAAAAGAGCGATCCATCATTTTCAAGAAGAGAACAGTGGAGCATTTAGCGGGAGATGAGTGAGAAGTAACATGTTTGATCTGCTGACATATTTGCAGAAGGATTCCCAAATGTAGGAGTGCTTAAGCATATCTAAGGGAGTTTCCCCTCATGTGCCCACAGACAGCAGCAAAGGGCAGAAAACTCCACCCAAGGATCATTGGGATCTCACCAAATGTTTATATTTTTCAGCTTTCTTTGTATCTAATGTCACCCTTTTGCCTGAAAGCAGGGTGACTCCGCAAGAACTTCTTTTGCATTTTGTTTAGGATTTGTTTTCACTTTAAGTTATTGGTACAACTTAACAGGTCAAGGACACTTGATCATAATTACTAAGATTAAAGAAAACCAACCCTGACACACCGCGTCATGTTACAAAGGGACTGTGGAGAGCTTTGGTTTAGTTAAGGCGTTAGGGCACACACCCAATACACAGAAGCTGAGTCCTTGCTACCACAAACCTGCCCTCTTGGTAAAGATATTCATATATTTTCTGACCATCTTCTCTGTCCAATCTGTGACAAGACTTAAAAACAGTAGTTTTAAATACTTCCACACCCTTACATTCCACCTCTGCACTGCATTGCACACAGTATGTTGGTATTGGACTTATACCATAAAGAGCAAAATGGTTCAACAGGATTGGAATTTCTGGATTTAAGTGCTGTCTAATGCAAAGAGATTAGCACAATGCTCTGACCTGGGAAAACCCGTCTTCAAGCACTTGTCCTTAAAGAAACTAGATCTCCATTGTTCAAACCAATACAAACATTACAGACGATTTTAACATCATAATTCTAACACAGTGACTGCCATCTTTGGGCTTTCTAATTGAACTAATTAATAATGTCACTGAGAATATGGCTATGTTTTGTTAACTAAAATTTTTTACCATTAAGATCTGAGAATTATTAGGTTTTATCATGTAAAACAATTCATTTGAAGAGGTAAATGGATGAAAGAGAGGCAAAATACTAGCAGACAGTAGAAAATGTCTTTTGTGTTATTCATTAACAGTTATCAGAGCATCTGCCTCATGTATTATTGTCATCAGGTGGATGAGTTTTGGGATTGGGGAGCAGTGGCGTGAATTTTGCATAATTTTGTAATTTTTGATATCACAACTGAACCCCCTGGTTGCTTTTTTTTCTCCACATTCTGGAAGCAGAGCCACTTTAGGTCTGGATCCCTACCCTCTCTAGGATTACCATCTTCACCTCTCAGAGCACCTGGTAAGGGACTGTTTATTTAAGAGTGGAAGAAGTCTTTAAAATCTGTTGAATGTTTTTCTAGATCTTTACAATACGAGACGATACGATACACTTTATTGTCCCCTTAGGGAAATAAGTCTTGGACTCCAAGAGCTGCACAGATTAAGTTGCCAACTGATGACACAAAGTACTAGACCTAACAAAGACAAAGTCACACAACGCACGCACATTGCGCATACCCACATTGCACATACCTATATTGCACAAGAATCCCACAGAAATGGTCAAAATAAACACAACGACAATAGACAACAATGACAAAGAACAAGACACAGCAAGGTGGGACAAGGCAAACAAGACCAAAAAGAAAATGATAAGATAACAAGATAGCACCATGACATTATTGCACAACCCGGCTATATTTTAGGACACATTATTTAAAAACCTAGTTGAGGTGGGCATGAATGAGTTTTTAAAACAGTTCAGTCTACATTTGAGGACTCTGTATCGCCTACCAGACAGTTGGAGTTCATACTCAGGGTAAAGGATGTGAGAAGGATCAGATAAAGCTCGCTGTGCTTGCCTGAGAACAGAAAGTTCATACATGGACTGCAGGGAAGAGTTTTATGTCCTTCCCACCACTTTCATGGCAGTCTCCACCAGACGAGCACGTTTAGATTTTAACTGGACAGAGAGATTACCGAGATTACAGTACCAGGCTGACATCCCATACTGTATAATATGGGATGTCAACTTCATAAAAACTTTACTATTGCAGCACCCTCAACAGTTGTTTTGTGACCTTGGAAAACTATACAAAAACATTTTGTGCTGGGACTTAAGTCCATCAAAAAAAATGTTAGAGTTTACTTTCTTGCATGCAGCATGCCCGGTTAATGGACAGCTGCTTCAATTAGAGAGGTCATCCCCCTGCTCCCAAATAAGAAGCAAATGTTTCCCAGGATACTTTTATGAGATGCCATTATCTAAAGTAATGCAAACTATACAGCACAGTAAAACATGTTGACTAAAAGAAGGTCGGTAAGAAGAGAAGATTTGATACTATAGCCTTATAATCAAGCTCCCAGGCTGCAGAGCTGTCCTCAGTCATATGAATTTACTGTCATGATCTCATGGTGCTTCAGGCAATGTATTATTTTTCATTTAATAGCCTTGTTAACAAGCAGGATTGATTGTTCGGTTGACATGCACTTAACATGCACTTAACATAACAAAGCAGACCCAGTGAAGTTGGGCAGTAATTCAAACTTGGGGATAAAAGTTCATAATCAAACTGTAAATTGCAACTTTACACAAAGTTTCAGATATTTTTGCACATCAGCATGTCACATTTGTGTTCATGAGTTTTATAGGCAGACTGTTCAGCTGTACTTTGTAAATCAACACCATTTGGTCAGAGCAATACTGACTATGAGCTTTAAAATGGCATTATTACAATTGATCTGTATAACTGTACTAAAACACAAGGCAACCAAGTGAATGAGATACATGGACAGTAATGATGTAGCACTTGCCCAGTCTTCTGACCAGTGCAAGTGTTTCTTTCTGACACGACACACTCACAGCTGGTTATGTCACTGGGAGCTTTTTTAAAATTTTGGTTTCTAGCCCTGTGGACACTTTGGCATCTGACTTCGGCATGTGGCTGCTAGGGTGGTCGTCAGAGGTGACCCACTCTGCCACTAAGCCACAACCACCCTAATCTGTACCTCAAGGCTAAACGTGTCAAGCTGCTATAGTGGAGCTAAAGAAAGATTCACAAGACTGCAGCATATCAAATGAAAACAGAAAAATAAGATTGGGCAGAGGGATATCACTCTGCTTCAAGAACGGTGATGATGGCACAATGTACCATCTTTAAAGCCATGATCTGATAGCAGGCGCTGACTTCAATCTTTGTAAGGTGACCACAACTATAAAAAGTTTGCAAAAATTAATATCCAGTTTATTCAGTATTTCATTTTGGAACAAAGTGAAGTGCTAATGTTAACATGGCTCAGGTTCCGTATTACTGCTCTTGTCCTAATCCAGATCATACTTCTGTTCAGAGCAGACCAATCAATACTACTGATTAGTCTTTGTGACATGGTGACACATTTTATGACACCCAAAGTAACATAATTACATTTCACCATCAAGATCAATGATAAAAATGATCAATTTAAATACTTGATATACTGTATTTACTGTGGCTGAAGTGGTTTAAATAACCGAGTGTTTTTAATAGGTATGAACTATATAACTGAAAAAAGTGATTGCATAAGTGATGTGGAACCATGGTTCCTCACAATATAAACAATAACAGGGACCCAACCTAAAAAAAATTATGTATAAGCAGACAACAACTGCTAAAAAACTTGGACATGATACCACACAAAGAAGTTAAGTAGTTTAATGGATCAGAGTTTCTTATCTCTGTTGGTGCTCGACCATAAAGAGGCGTAAGATTGCATAATGGCTAATTGCCAGTCCTTAATGCTCTCCTGCTGAGATCTTTCTACAATATGAACAGCAAAAAAGGCATCAGGCTCTCAGCTGACAAATGGTTGCCACAATCACACTTATAGCATTAACCAGCTTATAGTGTAAGCACACTAAGATGAGCCCAAACAACGGATGTCTATATCAAGATTAGTCAACTTAAAAAACCACATAGGCAGATTAGGTGTCTAATTCGACTGACCCTCTGAAACAAATCTGGGTTTATTATCCGAGGAGCTCCAAACCTATGACTCAAGCCAAGTTCTAACAGCTGCTCCGGGAGACGGATTGCAAAAGATCCTCTACTACTAGATGATCCTGTTCAGAAATCCTTATCAGGCCTTAAGGAAATCAATATCATTACCTATTCGCCTAATGCACCATGATCCCCATAGTTGTCACTGAAATAACTGATTTAGAAGTAAAAATCTTTGTTCTGATAAATACAAAGGTAGTGTATCAGTTTTCTATTCTCATGGCAAAACCATTTTCAAACTGGGACATAGTTCTCTACATATGCAGTACTGCAACTATTGTCTAAAACTACCACAGGAGTGTATCATCAGAGTTTTAGTCTGAGTGTTATAGTTCTATCAATGCATATCTTATTTGGATGTTTTTTATTCATCTTTATGGATATCATGAACAAGACTGTTCAGAGTTAAGATAAAGTAAAATTGGCAAAAACAGGACCTAAATAAAATATGACAACAAAGTTATATTGCAGGGCAATATTTAGAAGTAGTGGATAACTGCCCCCGCATGAGCTACATTGTGATCCCATTTTGTGTATACTTAATCATTCACAAGTGCATGTGACAGATCAATATTTTGTTTTGTTTTTTCCTAGAAATAATATAGGTTATCTGAATTATTAATTTAAAGTAAAATATGTTCAGTTATTAGCATATTACACTTGGAAAAAAATGGAAGTAATTCACAGCCATTTATTTAGATACCCATTTAGATATCCTATAAAGAATTTTGGAGACAAGCTTAAGTGTTGAATATTTGTTTATTCTGTCTTTTCACTTAGAGATTATGAGGTTTCTTGCTGTTATGTGAATTTAAAGCCTCTGGGTTTTTAAATGTTTGTAAAACAAGAAATTTCATGAAAATTTTCACTGAAGACTTTAAACTGGGAATAAAAAAACATGAATGCTCAGTACAATAAATAAAAAAAAGATTCATAATTAGCAGCAGCCCTGATCTGCATAACTGAACCCCAGATAGAGCTTTTTAAAAATGATTCGGTGTAATGTGCTGTGTGTTACTTTATATAGTGTATGTGTGGGTGAATATGTGTTACGCATTTGAAGGTACAGCTTGCATGATAACCCAGCCTTTAATGAATCTGAGATATTGTGAATTATTTAGTACCTTTTTGTAGAAATTAATAATTGCACAGATAAAACATTGCAGTTCATCTGAAACACAGCTTAGTACCATTTCTGAGAAATGATCAACCTTAATTTCAAATCACCAGGGGGATTATTTCCTCTCTTCATTTTGAGCTGCTCAGATGAAAATAATCACCTTTGATATTCACTGGGGCGTAAATATTGCCTTTTATTAAAGGTCAGTATATCAGAGCTTACAAGCCTCCAATCTGTGCTATAACAAAGCACATTAACACACACACATGGTGTCTGCGTGCCCTCCTATTATCGGAAGATTTATTAATGTTAAGGCCTCCTGCGGTTATCATATAGGTTGTGAAGGCAGGTCGGATACAAAGACTTGAAGGCAGGTGTTGGAGGGATGAGGAGTGACATGTTTTGGCACAGATAACAAAGTGATAAATAATGAGGAGGGGGAGCTTATGACAACAATGACAAATTGAGATTAACAGGTCAAAATGACAAGGATCGATGATGCCTGTAAAGTTGTTGTGAGCGTGTCACGCCCCACGCAGAGAGTGTTGCGGTCTGTTAACCGCCTGCATGCAGACTGCAGTTTGGGTGTCTGGCGATTGCACCCAGACAGACTCCACAGCTTTACATGCAATATGGTGTCTGTCAAATTCACAGCTGAACAGCAGGAACTTGAAACCCTTCATGCGAGCTCATCATGCAAGCGCCTGAGAAAACAGTGAAGGCTGGACCAAAGTGTGTCCTAAAGCCCTCACGGCAGAGGGGGGCAGAGACATGCGTTCGCCTGTGGGCTTAGTCAAATTCACACTGTGATCCAGATGGCACAAATGCGGACGCTTTTTCACAAACAAGTCTTTTATCTCATACACGTAACGGAGGAACAGATTACTCTTCGCAACACAAGACCTGGACTTCATGCGAAGAATATCCATCTTATTTTAAACTTAACCACATTTATCTTCACATGCAGAATGACAAGTCATAGCAGGAGAGATTCACTGACTTATGTGGGATGCTTCAACTGACATAATTGGCTTATAATGATTAAGACATGCTAGATGCCACAGAACACAGCCTATAGCGACAAATCAAAATGTTTCTAAAAGTAGTTTCATGGCTTAGCTTGAGGACTTTTAAAGTCAAGAAATGATGCATTTCACTGAAGAGACAATGTTTGAATCTCCTCTTCAAGTTTTAATTGAGAACTCACTGTCTTGTTTTTGTGATCAGAAATTTTGCAAGGTTTGCTTTGACAAACTATTCTAGCATGATACACAACCATATTTGCTCTGAAGTTCACCCCTCTTTCTCCCTGCGCATTAATAAGTTTTCAGAACACAACAGCACCATTTGATTACTGCATATTAAGTGCTGGCTGACTGATTCCAATCTTAGTTTATTCTTGATTTTAGCAGCTGTATTTGATGATGGCAAATCCTGCCTATAAATAAGAAAATTCCAAGGTTTAGACATAATAATGCCTAAAATTTAGTTTAAAAATATAAATTTATTAGCAATGATCAAAACATTTATATAGTTCTGTGGTTGCCTCTCTTTAGCCACTTATCTTCACTTATCTACCAAAAATTATTTTGCTGCTTTATAAAGTCCACAGAACAATTGTAGTTTGCATCATTCAAAAGCAAACAGATTGAACTTTAATGATTAGTCAGATTTAGATTTGAAAGTACTACAGAGTTTGGAAAGTTAACCTGAATTTACAAGTCAATCAGGGTTAATCTTTTTAATCTGACAGGTCAAAGTGATAATCTCTGCAGTTTCTTGAGGACAGTAACAGCACTACACCAATTCTGAATTACGTAGATAATGCAACTTAAAAAAAGAAGAAAAGCCTTAGTAATTGAAACCCCAAAATTAATGCACTTAAATTATTTTTAAACAAATGAAATTAATAAAAGTGAATCATTTTTACCCCAAACTTATTTTAAAGATGCAAATCATGGTGTTATTTTTTCACAACAATGATTCCAGTCAAGCTGATTTCACTGATGCTCATAATAGAGGAATATTAGTGAAATACTGTAGTTATTGTACAGCTCTGCTACTATACTACAAGATTTATACCTCAACTTATCAGTTTTTCATCTTCTTTAGAAAAAGTAAACACCAAATGCTTCTGAAGTACTGAATTCAGCAGCTTTCTTTGTTTTTCCAATTATCACTCTACACGATGAGCATTTTAGCATCTTTTAAAAGAGGCATCTCCTGCCTTTAAACCAAATCATTTAAGAAATCAGCTTAAGGGTTTACAAATCAATGCAGCCATAAAAACTGTCTAAGACATTTGCAGAAGCTGTGATACTTTGTTCTGTGACGACTGTAAATCGGCTTATGGAGGATTCAGGGTGGTTATTGATTAAGAGCGGCCCCCTGGCACAGCATGTGTGCATCAGAAGTTTGAAGAACAAGTGACAAACAACAACAACAACTTGAGGATTTTTTTTCCTGATAATTTCAGTGGCTTTCCATGTCTGTGAGACCATTTTTCATATCATGGATTCTCTGGATTGTCAGTGTGGATATTAAAAGTAAGAATACAAAATAATCTCAATAATGTATAAAAGGGTACGTGTTTTTATATTAACAAAAAAACATTAAAGTAATGCTGATTCCATCTGCACACTTATTTGAAGGGTTTGGGTACTTCTTTTAAGTATGGAAGGGTTGCTTTCTCACTCAACTATAGGTATTTTCTTCCAAAATGGAGTAAAAATATAAAGGAGTCTTTTTTCCCTGCATACTAGACAAAACCAGTTGTCTAAACCAAGCCTTGTGGTGCACCGCTTACATTTATGCATTCACTAAAAATGTACCTGATCTCGGGTTGCATCTGGAGGGTACTGAATCTCTGCTGCCATGAAAGATGCAGACCGAACAGCACTCGGAGACCAACAGCCTTTGCACTGCAGAAATCTGGTGACAGAGCCCTCCTCAGGGTTCCAGATGGCATTATATGCTGCATGAAAGAATGAGAAGCAGTGAAACAGCATGTCACTCTATTAACCTTAAATACAAGAAACTGTTGAGACAGGAGGGCTAATATGTCCTTATTTAAAGGTATAGTGTGTAAAAATGGGAACATTTTATAATACTGAGCTGTCAGATTCCAGATTGAAATGCTCCCTTGCTCATCCCTCTTATAAGGGCAAGAAACTCCTGTGATACATGATAAGGACTAGCCTATCAAAATTGTTTTTTACACACTGCAGCTGCTGCTCCTCATGTAGATGTGAAATGCTCATTCTAAGTTAATAAAATAGAAAATTTCTATGTTCAGGTGGCTAAAGACTCACTTAAATAAACCTCACTGTATTCAGTAACAAGTTTGTCTTGTGAAATACTGTGAAATATTACACACTGTGTTTTTCTCTGGGTCCTATTTTTTCATACTTTTAGATAACATTTACTTCAACTCATAAAAGTTTGGAATTTTTTTTTATATTTAGGTGACAGAATAACACATTAACAACTCTTCTGTTTTGCTACATGAAATTATAGGTTTTGTGACTGCTTTAATGAGAGAAATTTTAAAGCTGTTTCCTTCAGTCCACTTCTTCACTCACCTGTTAGGGTGTTATCATAGTAAGGTTGCAGAACAGTCCGGAGGGTCTTCAGTGCTCTGAGACTCTGGACCACCAGGAGTAAATTGTCTGGATTTGATGGATGACGTGGTTCATGTTGGCAGCGGCAGCTCAGTTCTGTAGTATTGAATGTGTTTTTTCTCAGAATTGAAAATGGTACTGATTCATACCCAGCTCTCCAAAACACACCTGAAAACAAAAGTGATTCTGCATTCAGTGTTTCAAAACAAAGTTTATGTTTCTTTTCATAGTTTGACTCCTTTCAGTTGACTGAGATTTCTCAGAAATTACCTTCTGCCGCAGGAAGAAGTTCAAACCCACACGTGGAACAGTAGAGACCCAAATGGCACGGCCTCTGGTCTCTAACTCTCTGGATGAAAAACAAAAAGTCTTAATTGCTATTAAGACACATTTGAGGAGTTATTTAGATATATTTGATAAATTTGGTTCGGTATGAAAGCAGGTGATGTTGCCCAATTTTCAAACATTCATTAGTACACATCATTTAAGCTGCATGGGATATGGGTAACTGGAGCCAATCCTTACTTAGTGATTCATTGTTTTTCATTGTGCACTAGTTTTCTGTTTGTGCATTGTTTATTGCAGCAGGTTTTCAGTGACTGCAGTTGTTTTGTTGCAGCCTGTTATTTTTTTGTTTGATTTGCGGCATTGTCTCTGTTGAAGTATTTGTTTTAAACTATTGCTTTTATCTATAAATATGCAGCACATTTCTTTAAATAACAATCGTTTGGGGCGTTGCAGATCACTTTGCCCTTATAGCCATAAAGAACCCAACATGTAAGGGGAGAACTTGAGAACATGTGAACTTCATAGTGACAGACTCCTGCCTGACCAGGTATCAACCATGGACCTTTTTGTTGTGAAGCAAAAGCGCTTACCACTATCATTTTTGTTTACGTAGAGCCAAATCAAAACTAAAAGATATCGGCTATGACTAAATGCTGTGAAAATGTGACAACACAGTTCAGAAAGTGTGAACAATGACAGCAAACATGTCAGTGTTACCGGTCATGCTCACATTAGTTTTTTCTTGTTAGACGTTGATTCTCCAGTTCACACAGGATGTGGTTCTGTGACTCATAATCATTCTCAGTTTTCTTTATGTCCCTCTGGGCCAAGTGCCAAAACACCATGGAGGTGTAAAGCAACACACACTTTATGGTGTTATTTTCTCTCCTTTAATTATCTTTTTTTTTTTCACTTCACTGGAAATTTAGAGTTTAAATCGTTCTCATAACATGAAAGTAAACTGCTCACTGTGGTTGGATTAGAGAAATGTACTCATACCCGACCCGATACTGACCTTTCTTTTTGGAGAAGTGTTGTAACACCTTCTGTGTTTCTTTCGGCAAGATCTCTTTACTTTTATAGCTTGTTTAAAAAATGAAAGTCAAGTGTTAGTCTGCAGAGAACTTTGAAAAATAGCAATAAAACCTGACAGAAAACCTATGTACTGAAAAGCAGTTATGGACATTTTGCCACGCTGCTATTGTCCACGGGCATTAATAAGGTAAGTCTATTTATACACTTGTTTTGTAATGTTGCTACTTTAAGAATATGAGTTACAATAATCTTCAGGTGTCAAATTAAGAGAGTTGCAAACTATAAAGATGAGGCACATTCATTTACGTCCCTGAGAAAAGACTTCTATATATAGTCTACAGAGTTTCATGTCTATGTACACCAACTCAATCTGTGTTTTTGAGACAGACTTATTTCAGTCTGATTCCTGCAAACACATTTATCAGTCAGGCTCTACAAATAACAAAACTTTACCTGTTTTCTTGGTGTGCTGAGTCTCAGGACCATCCACTGCAGGACTACATCCTGCTGCTCCACTTTCCTCTTTGTCTTCTTCAGGAGTCACAATGTCAAACTCAATTCTTGTAGAACGAAGCGGTATAACAGGAACTTTTTTTGGAGTTCTGTGGTCCCCAACATCAACTAAAGATCTCTCAGACTCAGGTGCTTTATCGCTGACAGTTTGTTGTAAACTTTGTTCTGTCTGTCTGCAGGTTATCCAGCTATCATATGGGTCCTGTGGTGGATGTATGTTCTTATTTTTGGAGCTGTTTCCCCTGACATGTCTGTCCTTGGATAGTCTGCATTTCAAACCTGAAGACACCACTTTTACCTGATGGTCTGTTCTAGCCTGGTCTTTCTTCCTCTGACTGCTTCTGGTCTCAATCTGCTGAAGACTGACTCTTCCTGCACTCTCCACTTCACAGCCACCACCTGTCAATTAAGACCCAGGCACATCATGAGCAAATCAATGAAAATCATTTTTTTCTGGAGCTGAAAAAAAAAAATTACAATTGATTAAACAAGCACTGGAATACAGTCTTAGTGTCAACAAGACAAACAACAATAAAAGGGAACGGCTTGAGTGTTATACATTTGGGAGTATGGACTGACTGACTGACTGACTGACTGACTGACTGACTCACTCACTCAATCAATCAATCCATGAATCAATCAAATAAATAAACAAATAAATAAACTTCTGGTGATAGTCACTTTTAGATACTACCATAAGGTATCAGGGTTACTGCATACTTTTTCAAATCACATTTAATATATTTCAACAACCTTTTTAAGTCCTATAAAAGATATGTTAATACTGTTTTTGCAAACTGGATGACTTACTGATGCCATAATTGCTGAGAAATTGTCCGTGAATGAGCAAACCCACAAAGAAATTTTAATGATAACTAGATATTAAAAAACTGATCAAACAATGTGACACATTTCACTCAAATTTGACACTTCGTACAATAAAACTTTAAAAAACTTTTTATTAGCCTAAATTTCATTATCTACTGTCAGACATTTTATAATATTAGAGAACCTTAAAAAGGATCCTGAAAGACAGACTTTACTGACACACTATGCGTTGTTGCAAGGCTTGTAAATTAGCACTGGACTGACTGGTTACTGGAAGAAGGTCCCATTTTGTGTTAAATTACTGGTTTGGGCCGAGATAGACAAAAAAATAGTGATTTCAAAAACATACGGTCAACTCTGACTGCTGATGAGCAAGGATTAAAAGGTATTACACTAACAGTAGCATTTAGTGTTAAGAAAATATCAAACATAAATTTTAGCTCTGCGGTGAGGGACAGAAGAGTCAAGTTCCCTCTTCAAACGCTCCCATATGGCTGACAAGCTCCAATGATAAGCAAAGTCCATGTTAAAAAATTTGCAGGCAGCCATAATAACACCGGCCTTTGCAGTGTTGTTAGGGTTGTGTTTAGTCACTGTTTTGCATATACAACTCCTTGCAAAAACAGGAAGGGTGTGAGATGGTTTAGATGTGCTGTAAACAATGTTATGTCTCACAGTATGAAAAATGTACAAATACAAAAACCAATTGATGCAAGACAGTGAAATTTGTTGGTGACTAATTTTGTCATACACTTTTGTCGATTAAGTTTACTCATCTTTAATATGAAAACAATACCAAATCTTGTCAATACTATCACCTTTTTCTACAGGGCTTTAATTTAAAGTACTACAAAAAATATGCTCAAAAGGTGAAAGTTAACCAATTATTTAACGTGTTAAATATTACTTACAGAGTTTTATTTCTAAAAGCAACATTAATCTGGGGGATCAAAGGAATGGGGAATGTGATGTAAAAAAAAAAAGAAATTTTTTGTGTATTTTTTAAATTTGGTCAGATCCTTTGCATATTTAAAAAATGTTGTCTCAGCATAGTTTTAATGATTCAGGACTGGATAAAAAAGATGAATTAGTCTAATGGTGAAAAGCGGTCATTCACAGCCATTAGTGAGTCATTCAGTAATGCCGGCTTCCTATTAGATGCTTTTAACACACATCAGCTTCTCTGAGCGCTCTGTGTTTTGATGATGTTAATGAGTGGTCCTGCACGATTAGGGGTCTTGGGGAGGCAGCTGATGAGTCAAGAAAGGCTTTAATGGAACACTTGTCTACTCTGCTTGTCTGTGCAAATCACACATTGGTGAAGTTTGAGCTGTAATGAGACAAATCACATCAGTGTAATCATGTTTAATCTCATTTTTCTGTCTCCTCAGCCCAGCCTGTTTGATGATTGTGCATTTAGCATCAGCTTGATTAAATGACCTCAACTCCTCAGACTCAAGCAATCAAATGTGGCCATCAAACTGCTGATTACACACACCACTGTATTACACATAAACAGGGCAAGAATAATCTGTTTCTGTCAACCATGACTGAAATATAAAGGACAAGGTTAAGATTTGAACAGTTACTTGTTCATTTAGAAAGTATTTTGTTTTGGGTTTTTTTAATTTTAAAATTTCAATTTTATGACAAAATCTTGACTACTGCTAATATATGCCCCCCCCCCCCCTTCAAACTTAAAGGAAAAACCAATATGCCAAATTTTTTTTATGTAAATCATCAACAAAATATAAACTAAAATTACATTTTTATGACTTTTCAGACTCGATAAGGATGCCCATCATGAATTCAAAATATTTTTATTTAAACACCAATATTATTTACGTCTGCAGCACAGAATTTCACAACTGGAATTGAAATTGAAAGGTTGAGTCAGGCATGTCTAAAATGTCCACATTCCTCGCTCATAATCCACAAACACATCATTAAAATTAAAACAAGACTACCTGATTATCTGCAGAGAACAAATAATTTTATGGCTTTGTATTTTAATGACTTGTTAAAACGCACATTTAATCAGCACTGCAGTTTGGATACTGTTGGTTAGTTATGTGTGTTTAACTGAGGATGGCCTTAATAAGAAGTGCTGTCACACGGCATAAGCAGCTGATCTCAGATGGCCAAAGCCTCATCATCAACTGTGTGCATGTTAAAGAGAAAGCAGCCTTGTTAGTTAAAGTGTAACATACTTTGATGCCAAACAGCAGAGGCTGAATCCACAGTAATGAATTTTAATTTCACAACCTAGTTTTTACAATAATTTCCTGCGCTGTCAACAATACTGCATTTTCAGGCTCCCCTACAAGTCCTGTGGTGCTTCAGTTTTGTAAGCTTGATAAGTCTAGGTTGCATTTTAATGTGTACAAGCAGACATTTCTTTGAGATGTAGCATGAACCCTTCCATGACAGGCAGAAGAAAAAAATCTAGTTTCAAGAACAAGAATCTGCTCGGGTTGGCCCTCCACCATGTAAAGACATTCAAAAACAAAGACACAAGGGATGGAAAGTGTTGGCAATGTGTAGCGCTGAGATCAGCAGGTTAGAACAATGCTGTGTGCATGTGTGTGTGTGGACGAGCTCTGATTGTGTATTAACATACTGTTCCTATCAAGCTTCTAAAGTGCCATAATGCGCAATGAAATAACGCACTCAGACACCAATATTGTGCCATTCTGGAGTTCATGATGTGAAACCTGATCAGTGTGACTTAGTTTGCCTAAATCCCAATAATGACAAAAATTTCTGCCTCAGGAAATGATAACACACGTTTTTGACATTCCAGTAAAGCCAGGGGTTGGAAATAAATGAATTCTACCAAAGACTTTCTTTTCAATGCACTTTATTGTTACCAACCTATTAGCAGCCTAGGTAGAAACTGTGTGCTTCAATCGAAGACTAAGTAAAATTTCACCTTACCGTATTCAGCAAGTTAAATTCCTTAATTTCCTGGTTGATTATATCCTACAGAGGAGCACCCATTTATCTGTTTTTGGTGAGTCTCCGCTTCACTATTAATAGTGAAATACTTCAGTGGAGTGGACCCCAAAAAGATGCCAATTTTCTTGTGATTTTATTGTAGTAAATGGATCAGAAGTTTGCTGACATGTCATGAAGGTTTGTAAGAGTCAAGTCTCCTACAGAAGAGGAAGCTGTGCGCTGAGCAATACCAGTGTGCAGTGCAGTAAACAGCCCAACAGAGTCTGTGAGAGAATCAGTGCCTGTTTAAGACCTGCAGATACTTACTGTATATACATGAACTTGAGATAAGTGCTGTCAGGTCTCTGATATATTTGAAGGAGATAGTAATAGTTCTAAAATGCTGTTTCTAAGCAAAGATAAAGTAGTATAAGCTTGGTCTTAGTGTTTATGAAACTCTGCCAAACAAGCAGCCTTTAATCAAACATAAAAAATGGCAGAAATGGGCAGAATGGATTAAGAATTATGTACTGAAATTATAAGAGGTTTACAATGATGATAAGAACTCTTTTGCAATGTTATATGCAGTGAATTTGTCTTTTGCACTTTATTTGCACGAAAGATATTATGCTTTCTTTGATAACACTTCTTATTACTATGTCATCGGTTACCTGCAAGATTGAAGGGAGCTCTCTGCCTGGAGCGGGAAAGTCTTTGAAGCTTATTCTCTTTCTGACTGCTCTGATTTTCTACCTGCTCTTCTTCCTCACCTCGTGTCGCCTTCATTATTTCTTTTTTTTGTCCCTGTGGCAGCCCTGTGCTCTCCTTTCTGACTGAACTTGTATTCTGCTCGTTCAAAACCACAGTCTGCTCCCGCTCTTGGACCTGCTCAGAGCAACAAGGTCCCTCTGACAGCACAGCAGCGCTCTCCATCTTCTGTGGTGTCTTCACCTCTATCTCTTTCAGTGGACTGCCTCCATTTTCTTCCTCCTCAAAAAGCTCTGGAGTGAAATAAATTGTCTGGTCCTCGTCATCTCCATCTGAGTCTGCAGTATTTGGCAGCTCGCTTTCCAAGCTGGGGGGGGACTCTACAGACTGAAATTTTGGCTCCACTTTGGTTTTGCTGGAGCATGCTGGTGCCTCCTGTTTAAGAAAAGCAGCCTCAGAGATCTGCAGGCTCTCCTTGTGCTCTGAATGATTTGATGTTTCCAAGTGTTGGTCAGAGTTATGGGGTGTTTTTTCTTTGAAGATTGGCTTCTTGAAGCGGTTGTTGATGGGGGTGGAGGTAAAAATGCTGTACAGAGGCTGGGCTTTGCTCTTTTGATGAGATGGGGGCTCTGCTGGGGGGCTGTTTATCATCTGCAAACTCTCTGCAACAAAAAAAAAAAACAACAACAAAAGTTATGAGTGTAACTATTAACATGATCAAAGCTTGTTATTCAAGACAAGAGAGAAAAAAACCTGAAGGCTACCAAATCTGGTTTGGAGAGAAAAGATGCATATATGTATCATAACTGAGTCCTACCAAGTCCTACCAAGCATCATCAAAAACTGAGTGGAAAAAAAGCCATTAAAAAAAGGCCTCGTTCAAAACAGCTGATTTTACTGCTCAGACTATTTCTCATGACTTTAGAGGTGGACACCCTTTTTTTTTCTTTTTTTACTTCTGCTTGGTTTAAGCCGCACACTGGTGCATTTGACTATCAGTATTTTCCAGGTTTTTCCATTATTTAGTGTCACTTTTGTTTAAATTAGAGGAGGCAGCTGATGCATCTCATAATTGTTCATCTTAACAGCTATAGTCATTTAAAAAATGGTCTCAACTTCCACTTTATTCGACAGTTAACATTGCTTGGAGGTCCCTTCTTGTTATCAACACTTTAACTTCAATGTAAAGTGAATGCTCCTAAGTAATAATAAAGTGCTTTACCATTAGGAATACCAGAAAAAGTTACCCTTTATCCCCTATGATAGTCTTTGCAACAAATCTCCCTGTCGTTAAAACTGAATTTGAATTTGGACTAGTCTATACATAGGAGACTATTCATAAAACAGCCAAAACTAGGCAAAGCTCCTTTTGCACTGCTAAACAAGATCCAAACCGTATTATGTGTCGGCTATTAGCTATTTGAATGATGAAGAAATTGACAGCAATTTGAAATGCCTCTGAAATATGTGGCACTTGTGAGAAATGGATGCAGCATAACCCCCTAAAGAGCAGGGCTGAAAGCTCTACATGAAAGTAAATACATCAAATTTACAAGAAGAAAAAAATCGTCATCGAAATCAGTCAGAAAAATTGACAATAAAAACATAACTACAGTTAATACTAAGATCACATTTGACATACTGCCTGACATAAACAAAGAATGAAGCAGATAAGGTTGGCCCAAAATGACTCGCATAATCAGCTCCCCTTCACAAGCCGGGACTCTAGCTCAGGTTAATGGTTACTGTCTCAATGATAGAGCTCCATACTACCCCAATGTAAAATGGCACAGATGGCAGAGAGCATCTTATTGTATGGCACAGTTTGGCAGTATTTTGATCTAGAAAAATGAGATGAAGTTGTGTGTGAGCTGTGTCTGCTTAAACTGGTATATAACCACTTGACAAGAGAACTGCATCCAGCACAGGCATGTACTGTTTAAAGTTAACCTGCAAGGAGGACTGAAAGATGGTGGACTGACATCATTTACCCTCGGACCCTAAGATTCCTGTTAAGTCATTTCAACTAAATTTTACTTTTTTTGAGCGATTTCTGTGTGTTTTCCTACCTCTGGTACATCCATTTATACCTTGTTTTTAATTATGTGTAAATTCAAGAACTTTAATTACTTAATCATGGTAATTAAGTCTGTCTTGTGCTGTCAATTGCGAGTATAACAAAGATATTTTCACAGTGGACCAAATCATCCAACAGGTACACATAGAGAAACCAGGAAAAGCCTTAACCCAACAAAACTTCTCTATTTCTAAATTTATTTCTTATTTCTAATTCTCTAAGATTCTTAATACTGTATGAATAAGACTAAGATAAACAGAATCAGAAGAGCCTTTAAGAGTCATAAAGTGGCTCACCATAAGGTGACACTGGTATGCAAAGTAGCATTGCTGCCAAGGCTGTTTTCCAAATAAAGATATAATTGTGAGCTTACGCTCAATATCACCCAAACAAAGGTCAAGTGGATTTAATTAAAAGCAACAGTCCAACATCTGCTCATCAGCTCGCTCCAGCACCACTCGGGCACGCAAAAACCTTACAGTAATGAGGCAAGCCACTCAACTGATCCATGGCCCCCACCCCCAACACCCAACCTCCACAACTGTGAGGGGTGGGGCCGTGGTGGAGGGGTGTGCTTCTACTGCTGCTGCTCCATCCGACCCCTCTCCACCTCAGCATATTCAACTGCTCAACCCTGTCGTGACCCCAAAGACAATGGGTGCTCACCATAACGGTGTGCAAACACGTCACCCCGGCATCATTTCTTGTGGTGATGTCATGCTCTTACATTCTTTGGCAACAAAAAAAGACATGCGTCTTTTAGATCGCTGTCTTTTGAAAACACAGCTGCTCATAAAGCATCAGAAATGCAGGGAGAAAAGGACCATAGATTCCAAACAGTCAAAGACATAGTACACTTCAAACCTGCAGAAACCTTAAACCTTGACAAATTGACTGAGCAGACCTTTACCCACTTCAGAACATTAACATCCACTTAACATCCTTTTCTATGGCCATAAAATTTAGTGTTACAGCTGCTCTTTTCATAACTTTTTCCACTTTAAGACACCAGCTATATCCTCTTTACCATGCAAAAATACACTGTATTTAAAGCAGTGTGAGGATTTGACCCAGGATACGTCTCTACAATCAAACCCAAAGCTTTGCAATGACTGCTAATGAAGTCACTATGCAGTACAAAAATTGTGAGAATTATCCAATCAAAAAGAGATCAAAAAGACTCCTCAATTTAAGGGAACAAATGACAAGCTGAAGTGATGGCTTGAACTCATGTAAACAGGCCACAGCAGTGCCTCGCAAATGTCAACGCCACTGTAGCCTGAGCTCGAGTACGGAGTAATCATGAGCTGGAGGGATTACAAACCCCACATGATGAAAACAGGTGGTACTTTACAGGGCTGCATAGCTGCACAGGAACTAAACTTTGTTGATCACACTGAAAATCATCACACACAAAAATAAGTTTTTTTTGTTTTGTTTTTTAAATGCAGACCTCAAAAAAACAGACAGCATTTTACAAACTATACTCTGGACTTTGGGATAGATCTGTATGAGTGACTCACATTTTATTTTTTTATGTATTTTCAATGTAATTTTGGTTTAAACTTTCATGAAGAACTTTCAGTTTGTGTTGATTTTGGTGCATCCTGTGAAAAGCAGTACAATTTTATCCCTCTGCTGATCTTGTCCTGTACAGGATGCGTTTCATTTTGCATTCTCCTAAAATTCAGTTTTATCACTCATTACGAATTGCTGAAGCTGGGCAATTTACATTTTTTTTTTTTTCATGATCTGGCACCTAGCTTGGGACCTCAGTCAAATGCGAGTCCCAAAGACACACTGTTGTAAAAATATTGATTATATTCTACAGCTCACCTGCTTTTTCTTTTTGTTCAGCCTTTAATTGTGTATGGGAGAAAAAACTGACGTTTGAGGGGCTCAGGGGTTCAGGCAGCTTGGCATGAGAGCTAGGTGTTTGAGATTCTGAGGTCGTGGTTAAGCTCTGATCCTCAACAGGTACAGCCAAGTGACCGTTTGGAGATGAGTGGGCTGTAGAGCTGGAGGTCTGACTGCCTGCAGGAACCACCTCTGTCTTTGACTGTAGCTGAGAGAACGCTACAAGAGACTGCATGGCGTCGCTGAAAGTGTCATGATGCTGGACGAGCTGGCGGACCCATTTAGACAGACCTAGGGATCAAACAAACACACACATCAAACACAGACACACACACACACATCAAACAGAGAACAACACCGTCAACAGTCTTACAGTGGATAACTATTGCCATCTAGTGTTCAAGCTGAGAGGCTGTGCAGTCTGAGAAACAGTTCTGAGTACCTGTGATGTACTTATTGGGATTATTCTTGTACCGGTCATCCACTAAAATCAGGGCGCCCCAGTCGTTCCTGTGGCGGATGCATCTTTAAAAGAAAGGTTTAAAGGTTTCAGCATGAAAGGCAGAGATCAGATTCACATCCTGCACTTTGTAGAGGACAGATTTACCTCCCCAGGGCCTGGTTTAGAGCTCTGTAGGCCTGGATCTCATACCAGCGATGGCCTGAAAGAAGGCCTCTGGATTTGCAGTGCTGATCATTGTACTTCATCTTCTGTTCCACCTGAAAGCACAGGTGAGTAAACAGATGGGTAAGTGTTTTAGGGACACACTAAATGTATCAGTATATGGGATTACATAGTCACACATGGTTATAGAGTTATCACTGGTTAACTGTTTATCTATTTATGTTTTCAATACGCATAAAAAGATCTTAAGTAAAGATGGACAGCTTGAGGAAATAAACGATTCCTACTTTTTAAAAGTTACTTTTCAAATTTGGTTTTCTGACAGCTCAAAGAGAAGGTGGTCCACTCCCTCACACACTGTTCATTGGGTATGTCTATCGTGCAGTAAAATGTCTACCTAAAACAAGGATTACAACCTGGAATATTCCGGACCGAAATTTTTCACATACACATACAAAAAAAGTTATAGAAAAGCTCCCTACATAATTTCAAACTGTGTTTTCTATCTAAAATAGAAGCTGAAACATTTTCTGCTCTGAGAGTTCCAGGTCTGGTGCAACAAATTTGACACTAAAGCAGCTTCTTAAACATACTGATGGTCTACAATCAGCTTGACATTGCTCACAACCAGCTTACTCTTTTCGCATATGTTTACAGAGTGTTGTTATAAAGAGATGCAACACAGTGGTTAGCATACTGATGTTCCTACTTCTCCAACAGGTGTTGATGGCATCTGTTTCAAAATCCTTATGTTCTTTTTATAAAACGTCAAAATTCTTCAATTTCCAGTGTCGTCTTTCACTAATTTTCAATAGGATATAAAATCAAAATCAGATTCCATCAACTTTTTAATCAGCATCCCAACTTTACAGGAATTTTTGAATGATTATTATTTCAGGCATTCGTACATGGATGTCAGTTCCTGCTGAAATTTTTATTAAAATCAAATACCTTGCACAATTGCTTTTTTGTGCACCATCAGGATATGATGAGATATTTTCAAGCTCTCTGGCAGTTGAACTTCTAAATTTGGAGGTAAAAGATTGAATTTCATGAGCTCAATGAAATCAATGCAGAAAAGCCATTTTAAGACACCGAGACAGCCAGCGTGATTTATTTCAAATTAAAGACCTCTTACAAGTAAAAGTAAGACTTCATATTTAATGACCTTGACTTTTAAAAATCTAGTTTGAGATTTTTTAAGTTAATTTTTTTTTAAATCTGCATGAATCCAGAAAAAAAGAATAAAAATAGTTTGTGACAATCATCTTCTAACATCCCCATGCCTAGACTTCAGACAATTCTCTCCTTTAATATTTTGTGGAAAAAGGTTTACATTGTGTGCATTTATATCACTTCCACTTACTGGATGTGATAACACCACATTAGGTATTATGCTAGGGCAAGAGTTTAGCTGTGGGGAGACTTAAGTTTGTTGCAGATGGTTGTTCATCATGAGTCTTGTTCTGCTCAAATTTTCAGTCGGTTAAAGAGAGATCCTCTTTCTAATTTGATTAACCCTGGTGGATAAATGTGTGGAATCTCTAAATAATGGAAAAAAGAACAAAGCTAAGGCCTGCTGTTTTGGGGAGGTGTCCAGGGATCTTTTGATTCGAAACTTTTTGCCATTAAAAGTGATTTTGTTAAAGGATTGCTGGTTGATTTTACCCCTGAAAAAACCCATGACTCTTTGATCATTGAGCAGGTGCTTTCATGCTAATATCTGAGCGTACACTTTGATGGTAAATCACACCTGTCCTCTTATGTTAATTATCTGTGTGCAGGCAGGCTCAGAGAGACAGCGACCATATTGAAAGTTTGACATGATTGTGCATATTGATTGAACTTATTCTTCATCATTATTATCTGTTTTATGGTTGCTGTCTTGTGCATTGCTTACTTTCATGTAAAACTAATTTGCACTGAACTCTACGTTTGTTCACTGTTGTCAAAGACTATTTTCCCCTCAGGGATATTTAAATACATCATCCCATCATTTAAAGAAAGTAAAATGTTTCGATTCGCTGTATTAGTGAGTCTCCACTCCCCTGCTCCTGCTTCGGCTCAGTGGCCGGATATTAATCTTCTGAGGAAGTTTGTTTGAGGGACCTGTATGTCTGCAGAGCAGTTATGTTGGGTCAACGTGTTGAGTATTTGACATCAAATCCTGATGATGGCAAACATTTCAGTGTGTTCATTGTATCACCTTTCAAGGTTGGTGTCTGTGGATTTACTCACCATCATAAATACCAGATAAACATGAAAACTGACAAAAAAAACACCAGAAATAAGCCAAGATGACCCAGGCATCCCATTACATGAACAACAAAGCTAACTGTAAAATTTTCACACACTTTTTCTTTATCATTGCATTTGTTTCCATGTATCGCCTGAGATAAAACATCTTGCAATTCCAACACATTTTCTAAACCAACTCTACTGAGAGAGAGAGCTTCGTGTTTTCTGATACATAGGCTTCAAAACTTGTTTCTCAGACAGTCTTAAAAGTTGGAGAAGAACAGTTTTAAGTAGATTTTTATAATGAAAAATAAAGATGATCCCAGAGCAGCTTTTAAAAAAGGATCATTTGTCACCTAAAAACTCTTTACTGCCACACGCCTGGCTGTACCTGGCAAAGAAGGTTTCATTTATGTCCATAATAGCGAATTAGTTGGATTAATCTTGAACAACAAGAAAATAAGGGGATGACGGATCTAGGACAAAGTAAACCCCAAACAAATACTACTGAGGACCTAAAGGGGTCGGCCCTGGCTGCCCCTGCAGACAGATGTGTTCTGAAAGTAGAACAGAAGGGCTAAACAGAGGCAATGACAGAGTGGTGGGGGTAGAAGGGGGCAGACAAGGTGGTCTAGGTGACATGAAGCATCCCTGCACAAAAATGCCAGGAAAGCATCCATCCATTTGCATCTGTCGCTGCTGATTTTAGCGCTAACCTTTCAGAATTGACAAGTGAAAAGTTCAGCTGGCGTCTGACGGGATGCCATGCAAGGCAGCCTGCTGAACAGGGCTTTAACTGCTTTTGACAGGTACCGTGTGTTCGCCCTGAGCCACCAAACACGGGGGCAGTGGCAGGTACAGCCTGCTCCCTCACGCGCATCACGCAATGCCACTGTGGCCTGTCTGGGCATAAACAAACAAGCAGAGTCACAGGAAATCCTAAATGTCGCCCCAAACTTGGACTATGACTAATAACACCTTACCTAAGAAGCATACAAACAACAGAGGAACACCTGGGAATGTTTACACACTCCAGAAGACTCTTATAGTTTGAATCATGGGAGGTTTAAGGTTTTAGATGTGCAAATAAGACAATACAGCAGGTTAACAATGATAGGCCACCCCCACAGCCCTGTCACGAGGAGGATTGTTAACGCTGCTGGCTTCATGGTGCGATGTTTGCCAATGTATGAGACACCAGAGCAGTTTAAGAATCTACTTCTAAACACACAGCTCGAGCAGAAAGGCCAGTAGCCTGGAGCCGGCAGTGTCATCTAAATCCAATCACAGTCCACTTCAGCGTTCAAGCCATCACGTCCCGGCTCTGTACCATGTCATCCTTCGATCTAACATGACAGGTTGCATATGTGAAAAAGCCAATTCTGGCTGCTAGCAAGTCTCACAAATGTGCAAGAAACCACAAGCTAGAAGGGATTAGTTAAAATGTCAAGAGATCACTCGCTTGCTTTGGCCTTGTCCTCTACAGCTACCTGTTCATCCCTAAAAACATATATTTGACCAGTAGGCATGATTCGCAGCTGAGCGCATCTGTTTGAGCTACATTTTACACAGGCTGTGTGTGTGTGTTTGTATGTGTATGTGTGTGTGTGTTTGTGTTTGCGTCAGTGTCAGTGTGCACGCCCCTGGCAGTCCGGGACATCTTGTGCCTGTCACTGAGATTGCTGAGCGCCTCATCTGCCACATAAGGCCTAGCTGACAGCTGAGTGGCTCGTCTTGAAAACAGTGTCTGTGTGGGCGTGCGCATTTGCTGCACACACACAGACACACACACACTAACAAGGGCATTAGAGTATCACACTGCTTTCCAACGTGCACAAAGATCCACTCACACCAAACTCCAAACTGAATCTAACTTTGTCTTTCATTGTTTCATTCTTCATTTGCACCAAGATACTTAATAAAACTTGTTCCAAGATTTTACAAAAAAAGTTAAAGCTGCAAAAAGCAAAGTAAGAGATAGTGAAAAAAGACACGACAGTAGAACTCATTAACGCAGCAGGAAGAATCTAGTTTGATAGCACCATATTCCCTGAATTTTTCAACACTCCAAGTATTGCTGTACAATGACTGTACATTACATCTCCTTCAATGTCTCCTCTCTTATTTTTTTGCATAAACTGCAGTATGACTAAGTGCCACTAAACAATTACCAGCTCCAACCGCAACATGACACACTCAGATTCAGCTGCTGCGGATTCAAGCATGCAGAGAACGAAGCAGAACTGGAAACTGGAGATATGACTGGCATAGAAATCGCACTGCCATTTGCACATAGGCAGGGCAATGCAGAGCCATGGAGACACTCTAAAGCACAAGTATAAAGCACAAGGCATGTAGTGCATCTTATGATAAAATTGATCTCATCTGCAGCTGCTGATAACCTCATTTCCATTCTTCACCTGGTTTCTCATCTCCTCTCATTTCTCATTACACTAAAAGGTATTAAAATTGATTTTGAAAGTGTCAGACCCCACCCTTTAGTGTTGTTGTTCTCATTTTGTTGCTATTTTGTGAAGCCCTTTTTGACTCTTCTCTGTTAAAGGTGCTATATCTAATAAACTTTACTTACTAAGCAATGATGACAGACTTAACAGTTTTGTGCCTACAGTGTTTAGTGTGCTACAATATGGTGAACCCAGCACACCACACACAAAGACTCTTTTCATCATCAGACTCTCAAAACTGGAAATTTCTCATAAAATCTCATCTGGTCAAAAGTGACTTGAGAGTTTTAAACATGGCAGACTACAGGAGCTGACTGTTGCTAGGTGCTTAGGTTCCTGGTGCGTTGATTGCAGTACTAATTCCTTTTCAACTCCTGCTCTTGTCCAGTTGGTTGTTGAATGTTTTACCAAACACATGTACTAAACACTTGTGTTGTGGCCCTGTATCAGCAAGTGGTTACAAAATTTCTGTTGCACATCTAAGTTTATGCTTTCCATTCACTACCATTGCCATCGCTACATTTGTTGTACAACCTTCATCAAAACTGACAATCAAACTGTTGTGCGTGACATTGGATAGAGTGCATGCTCGGCCATTCTTTGTGTTCTTTTTCACACAAGAGGTTTTCTGATTCTAAGTATTGAAAATGTTCGTTATTTACAGTTTCAAGTTTGGGCAACTCTGATCATCTTCCATAGAGATTGAAAGGAAGAAAAAACACTCTCGACACACCACAGGCTAATCTGGCAAGATAATCTTCAGAACCATCAAATAGTCGGGCCTTTGCAGACTTCTTCAGAAGGAGGGAATTGGCCTAAAAATCGGCACAACTGTAAAGTAGCTTAAACTGACAAGGATCCCTTTGGGGGTCATACACACACTACTAAAACACACACAAAAACAGACAATTCCTTTAAGGGGGCTTAGGTGCAGCTCAAGCACTCCTTTTTACGGTCAGGTAGTGAAATTCAGCAGGGGACAGAAAGCTGGCACTGAATACCTGACTAGATTCGCAGTCATGTTGATCAAAGACCTTCACATCTAATCTGTGGCTCACTTTGTAAATAAAAAAACAAAGTTAAAATTCCTACCCCCCAAAAAATGTTAACTTCTGTTTTGGGACTGAATGTGACAACTTTGTCATGTTTGCTAACAATTTTAAACAGTACCTGGCATAGTAATGAATGGTGTGAAAATGTCGACATGTTGTTTGCGTAAATAAAGGGTTGATGGTCCATCAACAAAGAAGAATGTCAACTCAGATGTCTATTTAAGTCCAGCCTGTGGTGCTGACAAGGAGTGAACAAGTGTGGATCATGTACTTTATAGCTCTCCTTCAGTGGCTGATGAAAAAGCCATGTGGAGTGTCCTGAGTAAGCCTGGAGCATCCATCACCCCTCTTTTTTTGATGATTCCCATAAACTCTCCAACATTCCTCTAAAATCCCCTTTATCCATCCATTTTACGTGCTCACAGGCCTTCGAATTAAACTTCTTTCGTGGTTGTCCTTAATAAAGAGCAGCAGAGAGAGGTCGGCTGAGCCTGTCATTAAACTTCGAGAGATGCTTTATCAGTTGTAAGTGTCTTTTTATTGCTTGTTAAAGCCGCTTATTGTTCGACTCACTCACGCAGGACGTGACTGTTAACTGTAAAACATGTGATTGCAAAGAAAAAAAAATACTCAACGTAAATGTAATTCCAGCTTTAGCAGAGCTTTCTCTGCAGAGGACTTTTCAAGTTCAACCTTTGATCTTTGTCACAATAACACAACAGGCCTGTAAAAAGCCATGCTATGTGCTTAGGCTGGAGCGTCAGAGAGTTATGCCTGTCTGGGAATGCAGGCCGTGCAGCCATCTAAAATGCTGGAGCAACTTAAATGGAGAGAAGCTGGGCGCACACCTCTTATCCTAGCAATGGGGTGCTGCCGTGTGAGTGCAGCGTAGAGTGAATGAATTAATATGTCTGGGTCCATGTGTGCTCTTAGGAGAATGTGCACATGTTAGCACTAGTGCATGGAAGTGTCAATGTATGAACATGTCACGCACATGTGTAAGTGTGCTGGTTTCAGCTGGAGACATATGGTGTGAATGTGATCAGGTGTTATTGTGAAGCATTAATGGAGGTGAAAATGTGTTCAAGGGGAAATGAACTTTAACACTGTTTTAATAAGACGCAATACAGCTGCTGGTGTTTTGTCTGGATGAAACTTTTTCAGAAGCAGAATTAAGATTTAAAAAACTTCAAACAGACGTGTATTTTTGGTGCCACAGAAGAGCGAGTCTGAGAGGGAACAGAGAAACTAACTTCCAAAAACTGGAAAGCCTCTGATAAAGATCCAAAATGGAGCAGAAAAAACGTGCAGTGATGAAAATGATACTACAGTATCAATTTAATAGATCAAATTTACTCTCAGTGGTCATTCAAATTACTCATAATATTAGGCATGAGTATTGAATATTAGCTAGTGGTTCAATAGATTATAAATTTGACAGCGTAGAAAACACAAATGAGCCAAAAATTAGAAAGTTTTTTTTTTTTGCTGCAACTGGAAAGAACACAATTTAAAATCCATACTTTTAGTGGTGCTAGGAACGACCCCCCCCCCCTTGCTCATAAACCTTGCTCATCATCTGGAGTGCACAAGCTGTGGGATGTCTCTTTTAAACATCGACATTAACACTAGACTCAGAGTCTAAAGTAAAGCCACACAGTGTGACGTTACTTTTGTTTACACTTCCAGTCCCACACCTTTACTTTTCCTATAATACACCATCTTTTTCTCTTCTTCTTCTTATATCTTTTTTAGGTCTCTAAAATGAGAAGCAAAACTCACAATCTTGACAAACATTCAAGGTTCTGATGTGACTTTAAAATACATGACAAATTCATATCATCTGCCTTCGCCTTCAGCCTTCCTTGATCTTACTGCAAGATTATGAAAGGATGTGGCAGGAGACGGCGGACTCTCTGAGGATTGCAGCACTTGTAGCAAACAAACAAAGACTGTTGATGTGGAGAACAGAATCTGTCATTAGGAATGCAGTCTCTTTACGCTCGGCCAGCTCTACCTTCTCCTTAACTAGCTCTGGCTCCCTGAAACCTCCTCTTGGTGCTCTGCTCCACCCAGCTCCTGTTTTATTCTACAACAGGCACATTTTCATATAAGTTTGACACAGAAGAGTTACACTGAAACATTATTTTTAGGACACTAGAAACTGACTTTCATTCACTTTTTTGGTAACTGATGTAAATTTCATAAATGTCATTTTGTGTTTAGTTGGTTATTGTGTCTTTTAGATGAGTCAAACCTGAAAGTTCTTGCCTGATTTGCTTTGGCTCATTCAGCTGAAGCAAATAAAAAAGCTTTGTAAGAATCAATATTTGTTACTCATCAAGGGTAAGTTGATTGCAGAGCGGACTGTGCATGTGGAGGCACATGTCTACAATATGAACGGCTCATGAGTGTGTATGGGAATTACCTTAATTACAGGCTCTATGCTTGATGATTTAAATCTACTGTATTAACAACTTTGTTGAGGAGCGCCATGACAAGAAAACTTATTCAGTTTGCATTAACACCTGCCCTACCTCATATAAGTGTTCTTTCACAAACTACTTGAATCACTTTGTGCCCCATCAGTCCCCTCCATACGTTACCATCACATTAATAAAGCTGCAGAGAGTGCTTTTATGGTCAATGGCAAATGAAGTCAGAGTAAAATTATTTGGCTTTTCTTTTTCTGTGCATTACCCTCCCTGTAACAAATTAATGCTTTTTGACAGTCCTTATTTTTTCAAATTTCACTTTCTTGATGGCATTAAAACTGTATGGTGCGAAGTATATGAAACATAAGACTTGTTTTGATTGACATAATACTTGTAAAGCAGGAAAAATACATGTAAATTTAGGTCATGGGGTAGCATTTGTTGGTAACTGTACTGGGTCTTGTTTATGAGAACTAAGTTTTATCATTCAAGCCCAACTGAAGCATGGTTAATTGCTTGCTGATGCATTTGCTCAACCTTCTACTGACGACAAGTTAAGCACAATTATTGTTTAGGCTGTATGTGGACTATGATGGTTGGGGTTAACCATGATCAAAAAAACTGAGAGCGTCAGGGTAGCAGGATAAATTTGGTAAAATTCCCACCACACAGGTTGGATGGGGTGATTAAGTCTTTTATCATACAGCCAGTCTAAACCTGAAAGAGCCTCACATCATAATGACTATTTTTCAAGATGTGAACTGGGAGGATGTCTGCATATCCATTTGTTTACAGGTATCATGGAAATAAATGCAAAAAATCCCAGTGTAGGTCAATATGGCTTTGACCATATTCATGTTGAAAACATTACACTGCGACTTTCACAGCATGCTTCTTCTGTCATATCCTTCCTCCTGAGACTACCCTCCGAAAGGTTTTTTTATGTGTTTGAGATTTTTGGCTGTGTACATTCCTTTGACTTTTGCTATCAACACAAAATACTCCAAACTACCAGACTTTTTGCTCAGTTCTATTATCAGCCCAAACAGCAAATTGAAAGCAGGAAGAACTTCTATCTGCAGCAGACTTGAGTGCACCCCAAATCAAGGCCAAAACAAAGAGAAGTGGAGAAAATAAATCTGATTAAGAAGAAGCGATGTCCTGAGAGCTGACAGTGGGGAAGCTGACAGCTTTGGCTAAGGTGAAAGGGTCTGGGAAGCTTCAATCACCCACACGTCTGCCCACACTGACAGATCAGGTTAGTGAAAGCTCCGTCGTGCTCTGACAGCAGGAGTGAAGGGGAGGAGAGGCGGGAGGCAGGGAGAGAGTCAAACTTAAAGGTCAACTTTATCTGCTAAGGACAGGGCAGACACAGCAACATCGCTCTGGGATTTTTTTTACGGATCACCAAAAAGAGACGCTCTCATTTGGTGTGTGTGTGTGCATGAGTGTATCTGTGAGTTAAGTTTTTGTGTTCACGCTATCCAAAATGTTAGCTTTCGGCCAAAACATTGGCTATGTGTGCATTTCACAGACGCTGCTTTTGTCGTGATACCAGCTGCTTTAACAATAGCAGAGTATAGCTCAAGTGATAATGATCAGGCTTTTGTGAGAGACAGCAGCTTGTATCTGATCAGAATATCTTGATAAGTTTTAGAAAGTGTTAATGAAGAATGGGTTTATAAAAGTGTAAAAGATAGAACAACAGAGGTGAGGGCTCAGATTGACAGGGTTAGCTCAGTTATAGCAGTTTTGTTGTGATTTTCTATGTTCTAAAATAAAATGTTTATTATTTTAAGCCAAAAATGGACTAAATAATGATCGGAGAAAAAAGTTTAAAAAATTAATATGAATCACAAAAAATGGAAGCAAGTTCAGAAAAGTGAAGTGACATTTATGACTAATTCTCACATTAGTTTGCAGAAATCTGCTGGTCTAAAATATCCACAAAACAGCATGTACTTTAACTGATGGGCTGCTCCCAAACTCTCCTTAAAGAGCACTTCATAGAAATAATCATTTTTCTGTCAGTCTCACTGGTTTCTTCTGTAGTGGTGGCAACAGTATAAATTTCGGTGCATTTAATGACTCACCTACAACTCCTCTTTTTGCAAAACTTCAAAGGTCTTTTATGTAGTGAATGCCTAAAACCCACAGGTGTGATTTTGGTGGGTTTCAGGTAAATTGAATGGGTCCTGACTACAACTAATATTTCTGGGCAAATAGTGCAAAACACAAGTTCATAATAAGTTCTTAGATATTATCATACACTTTGTAAAAGCATAATCTATTTGTTTGATGAAAAACTAGTACCAACTAGGGTGTTAGGTTTTGATTATATAGTCATCAAAAACATGCACATGCATTATGAATCAAAAAAACGTGAAATTCTGAAATGAAAATTCGAAGTGAAAACTGTACATTTTTAAGACATCAGGACCACTTTTAAGTATCAGATCTGCAGAAAGGCTCAGCTCTAAAGAGAGGGATGATATGACGAGTTTCTTTTATATGAAGTAAAATATTTCATAGCTTTCAAGAAAGAGAAAAATGAATGCGTTGTTTTTGCAAAGTTAGTGAATTTATAAGGGTATTTCAAATATCAGGGTATTTTCATTATTATTATTATCATTATTATCATTATTATTATTATTATTATTATTGTTCACTACAACAACATTCCTGTAAGAAGCCTATAACTTAATATTCCGTCACCTAAAATAACCTGCTTTATACATTTTTAACCTCTGACTTTCTCTGCATCCTAATTTCTCTTTAGAATTGAGTGTTTACCTACCTATTAACTCTGATATTCTGGGCGTGAAATTGTTGGCCCGCTCACTCTCTGTTGTAAGATTTATGCACCTCTGAGCTCTACTTATCAATATTAAACATTATAAATATTAAATAGGATGCCACATCATAACAAGCTGTGACTAATTTTAGGTAGTTATTGCTCTAGCTAAGGCACTAAACCCCCTTGATGAAGGAAGGCTAACATCTTTAGCTGGTGCAGAAGTATGTATAATCTGTCATGTTTAATCATTTTACGTGTTAGTGTCTTACTGGCTATGCAACACTCTCTGGTCCCACTGGTAACTCTGTTATAATCATGGGACGGTGTGGTGGTGGTGGTGGTGGTGGGGGGGGGGGGGGGGTGTTACTGTCAGTGTTGCATTCTATATATTGACTAAGTATCTGTTGAACTACAAAACCCAGATGAGCACATGCCTGTTAGTTATTTTGGACAGGGCTGCTGAAATGAAATGTAGGGCTGCTTCAGCATCCTTGAAAAGAGTCTAAAAACACCTGTGCATAAAAAACATTCATGCAAGAGTCTGAGCAGCATATTTGTGGCCTGCTGTGATTTTACTTACCTGAAGATCTTTGATGTTTGGGAAGGGGATTCCAATGGTCACCACGGCTCTGGCATTATCATCTGTAAAGTCCAGACCTTCACTAACTTTACCCCTACAGACCGCAATCAGCAGAGCACCATCTAAAAGAAAAAAAATTAGGCTAGTCTGAATCTGAGTGAGCTTTTTACATGGAGAAAAACTCAATCCCCAACTATATTACCTGGATGTGTTAGGCGAATTATGAGAAGTTGGACTACGGTAATAGATCAGTTATTTTAAACAACATGTAAACAGACTGACTGATGACAGAGACCTCTACATCAAGCAGCAGTCAGCAGTGAATGATCCCATTCACACACCAGGGGCTGTTTGGGGTTGCACAAGCACACTTTAGCATAGAGAGTCATGCAAATGGCACTTTACATTCACATGCACCACTTTTTTCTCACCTCTTTCCTCGCAGTATTTGATAGCATCATAGTAGGTCTGAAGTAGTTCATCGAAATCTCCCTTCGCACCCCCGCGGGGCTCTGTGATCACCGTTTTCTTGAGTTCCAGCTTCTCCCAGAGACCCGTGTTGGTCCATCGGTCTCGCAGCTTGTCCAGCATCTGATCAATTGACACAAGAGAATTCATGCTGTTAAAAAAAGAAGAGTCAGGGATAAAATGAAACAATGCCGACCAGGAGAAGCTTTTATTTTATTGTTCCTTATGAAAGAGGACTCTTATTGACTGTGCAGCAGTTAGATGTGCAAACAGTATGCCAAGCACCTAAAAGGAATTATTGTTGTATCTCATTTGGACACTTTTCAAGTATGAAACATATTGCTTGAATTAAAAAAAAAGGCAGCATTCAGCAACCCAGTGTTTACAAGCTTGTCTTGTTACAGCTTGTCTTTCTTTCTTTGCTAACAGTGGATAGAGAGCTCATGGGTTTGAAGTGCCTCTGTAATAAAATCACTGTTCCTGCACTATTGTTGGTGCAAAAAGTCAGCAGCTCTCCGGGGAGGCACATTGATCTAAAAGCCTTCATCCTAGCATGGCTCCACTGTCTGTGCTGTGCAGATTATATCCTTGAATAAGCATGGCTTCACAATCAAAGAGCAGCTTCACTGGATTGGAAACGTGTTAGAAGGGTCAAGTAGAAGTTCTTCTCAGAGTCAGCAGAAAACTTCTCAACATGGTTATAGTTGCAACTGATGAAGCCTGAGCAAAAAGCAGATGGTGCCACCAGATGGAGGGAAGTTGGGAAGTATTCGACAACATCTTGTCGCTAGTGCACTTATTTTTTCGACAGTATGGACAGAAAACTCAATTATTTCATTCAGCTTTTTTTCTTTGTGTGTTTTGTGCAGAATAGAGAGAAGCATCAGAAGCAGGAAGGAAAGTGAGACAGTATGAAAGCGCTGATAGTTACTTGCATGCCAGTGTGATAGCGGGGAAATGAAGCGTGGGGAAGATTTCGTCAGGTCGTTGCCTCCTAAAGCAAGTGAGGGCAGGACGGTTGCATCAATAAAACATGTCACAGTCACTAAATATGCAGTGTTACATCGACGAGGACCCCCCTTACGTGCATCTTCAACTTAGCAAACTGTTTGTCCTTCAATTGCTTTCCAGTGCAATCCTGAGCGCAGCATTAATGATTCATGTTATGTACTTTAGGCAGATCTACCACTAAACAAATCAGCCATTATCTGCCAGGCTGCACTTAGAAAGGAGCTGAATCCACGAGCTGAGTAAAAACGCTCTAAACATAAACATAACTGCGACACAGCCAGTAAACAAAGAGTCAAAGGCAGTTTCTTCATACGAAATAATGACTGTATCCTACATGTACAACTTCACTGACTGTGGCTCAAGCATCATGGTTACATTTCTGTCCTTGCTTGATGGGATACCCAAATATCTTCTTAGCGTTCCGAGCATTCAGGACAGGGTGCTGGTGTGGAGTATACACACTGCAATACTTCAAAAAGTTTACAGTAGTCTAAAACCATCTTTTTTTTTCATCTGTAGGCATTTGTGTCAGTCACTGTCAGTGTTGCATTTGGCAGTGGTCTAAACTGTAAGCTGATCCCCGCTCAGCTCTGAACTGGAGGGGGCAGCGGCTTCAATGTGAGAACTGAACGGTAACTTCCCCTCAAACTCAATGTGTTTTCTTGATTTATCTGGATTGACAAACTGCCTGATCTAAATTAGCTGGTTCTCATTTTTTAACCTGGTTGTAAGCTTAAACTTTCTCAAAAGAGCAAATATCAACACGAATTGGGGTGCGGGAAAGTCACGACACTGGTTGTGCAGTAGGCTACTGTGCTCTGCTGTTGACTTGTCGATTTATTTTGGAAATATTCAAAATGAAAAGCATAACTTTTTCTTAAACAATACTTTAGGGCTTATTCACAGTCTAATGTGGTTTATCGGATTTATCTAGAACGTACACTGGCAAGTAAAGTAGATCGTAGTTTTTCACAAGTATTGCAAAGGAGAAAACTCTTTTATTCAGAGCTTTATGGTTGTTTGTGTTTGTAAAAGGGGTAATTAAAGGTATAATGTTCGTTCCAAAAGTTCTATTGAATTTTTTTACATCATAATTGTACTATTAAATTACTTGCATTATTATTATTATTACTATCACATTTTTACATTTCCTCCATTTTGCTCAAACATGGTTCTCGTCCCAGCAGTCAAGTCTTATTCTGCTGGCTGCAGGTGATCATGTTTTGGAGAAGTCTAGACTTAATGAGTTTATTGATGAAAATGATTGACAGCTCTGATGAAAAATGTGGGCAACTGCAGAATTTTATACAGGATTGGCGAAAAAAAAGGAGGAAAGCTAAGAGGAAATGTGACAAAAAATAAAGTGCCATTGAACTTCCAATAACCAAGTGTCAGTTTTCTGCTGCTCATACTGACCTGGAGGATCTCTTAAAAAAAAGCCTGACGTGAATCCTACAGCTCAACTGGCCTGTGCTCCAAAGTACATCACCACTGCCCATCAAAGTACTATTTTAGCTTCATATTTTCTATGGGTGGAGATGAGGGCCTGTCAATGATACAGAAGATATGACTACCATGCGACTTCAAAACATTAATCCTTTTTTATGTAACTCATTTTGATGTTACAGATCTCTACGTGACAAAACTGCTCTTCTTTGGTTTGATTAAATAACCCGATAGTAGACAACAGAAGTCAGAGGAGTGGTCTGGCTCAAACAGCAGGGTGCAGGTGTGAAGTGTTTCACTGTGCACTCAAACGTATCTTTAGCACCTTCAGCAAATGCTTTCAGCCATGTGAGTGTTAGACACTCAGCACAGAAATTACAGACACAAAAATTACATACATGCGCAGCTTCATGAATAATTTACGGGCAACATCTGACAGAGGTCTGGTGTTTAGCGGGCAGACAGGGCCGGGCTTTCGAAATTTCCATCTAAAAGCTCATTTCACACTACTCTTTGAATAATTACAAGTTAAAATGATTTTAAAAATTAAAAACAAATTTTCAATTATTTAAAGCCTGATTAACCATCATTTGGTTAATTATCAGTTTTGCTAAATCAAACTTTCACATCAAATTCACAATCTTGATATATGATGGTTTTTCTGAAATACAACACTTTGACATAAAACACATTTTATTTTTCTCTGTAGTTTGAAGGAAAATAATTTTAATATGATACCTTTAAAACTTTAACAAAAAAACAAATTACTATATTTCAGAGTAGTAATGGTTGCCTAAATTACTTTTGCTGGTTTGGTTTCTAATGTGAGAAATGACTGACCTTTTTTATATACATTTTTAGCTGTATTTTAAGAGCTTTTAGGCATAAGAAGTCCAAAGAATTAAGAAATTTCTCTATGGTGAACGTTTTTTCAAACATCAAGTATAAGCTATTCAAGAAAACGATAGTTAGGTTTTGAGACAATTCATTTATAGGAGCAAAGCACAGTTACCTTTACTTTAAACGTTTCTCTCAGGATCTCACAACTCCTCCAAACATAAACTATGTTTTCTACTTGTCCTCAAAAGACAGAAAAGTTGTGAGGCAAAAGTAATTTTATTTGTTGCCCACCACTTTCAGACTTGAACAAGACATCCTAAAGGGGCACAGTTAGGATTCCCAGGCATCAGAAATGGCAATGAGCAGTATTTAGCACATAAGAGGGCACAACAAAGTGTGAATAATTTATTGCCCTTTCTAGGCATGGTAGGTGCAATGTTCAGCCTCTGCCAGCGACATGGTAAAGTGGGCCAGGTCTCTCTGCCAATTGGGACAGGGTGGTGAAACAAGTAGCTAGAAGCAGTGAACTGTAGTCTTTCTCGCACTTTTACACTCCCTTCGTACTATCTCCCCATCTTTCACCTCCTCTTCATCCGGCTCTCTCTCTCTATCTCCTTCCTTGTGTCCCCGGTGTCAGTGAGCTGTGTGGCGACACATCGCAGCTTCTCTAGTGCCTGCTGAATTATGGAGGGGGTCTGGAGGCGACGGCATTAATGAAACATGCAGCCAGGAGCCACATTTCTCAGTGGCGAGGGGAGACGTGTTGTTGCCGTGTAAATTATTCAGCCTCAAAATATCACAGCAACCATCACGCCAGGACGGGTGGCAAGAAGCCACCTGCCACCTCTGGCCTGCCACTCTTCCCCTGTCGTCTGCTCTACACATCCCAGCCACACCGCTGGTGACAACGCAGCGCTGCAGAAACACTGCAGCCGCCCAGAGAGAAAAACTGCTGCAGACACGGCTTCATTCTCTACTTTTCACTTAAAGAAACATTAATGTGACTGTATAGAGAAACTAACACCAACTGAGTTGGATCCAAAAGGTCTGCTGTCAAATATAGCTTTTCTATTCCTTACTTATACATGACTGCAACTCTCATTTATAAGACACAGCAAATCACTATGCAATTTAACCAGTGTATCCCATCCTCAGTATCTTATGCACACTGATAACTCCAGGGACTGAAATTCAAACAAGCAGCTGGAAATTATTATTCATATAATTAGTAGTAGAGGTAGCAGTAAGTGATTTAGTATTACCATTTTATTATTAAGATTATTACACATACTTTTGCTGCTAATTGAGGCTGCACAGAATGAAATTAGTACTTGCCCACAACTGTATAAAGTGATTACACTTGCAAAACTTGAAAGAATCCAAAGCCACGAGTAGTTCCTGTTAAGGCGCGAGCTGAAAAGGCGGATCACTGGAGCTATATTTGACCTGTTTTTCATGTCGTAAACTCTTTCACCTCCAAAAAAAGGCTGAGCTTAGTGAAACAGCAGTAACCCTGAAGTTTCCACTGTAAAACCTCTTTTAAAACAGCTCTAAAAGAATCAGGAGGGATACGCTACACTGGACAAATTGACCCACGAGTCTAATATTCTCCCAAACACAGACAGAGAGAGCCTCTCTTTGGAATAACAGCTCTCCTGGAGCTTTGTGATTGGTGCCTCAGGTGCCCCTGAGCTGCAGCTGAGGACGGTGCGTGCTGGAGGGTGTTCACCCTGCAGTCCGCTTTGACTTTGATTTGACACATGCTCTGCGGAGCCCAGGCGCCAGCAGTGGGTGCGTCTTCACACAGACAGCGAGGCGACATCACCTAATGGCCCTTATCTCGATCTCCTTTAAAAGCATCTTGTATTCCCTGCCATCTTTTCACCTCTGCAGAACCTTTCTTTTCTTTCATAAACCATCAGTTGCCCTCTTCCCAGCGGAGCTTTGGACCTTTCCTTTGGCAGCTGGGACCAGACAGGAGGCCCTCTGTGGTTTTAATGGGCATTAACTGGGGGGCTGTTGAGGCTTAAGTGCTACAAACCACAGTGAGACTCTATGGGAAAAGATGTATGTGAGACCACGATTACAAGTGTACTTTGTGTGTATGTGTATCTTAAAAAAGGAATGTATTGAGCCGAGTGCTGCCAGCCAACATGCTCCGGAGATTTCCTGGCAGTTTTTTAATTTTTAACCAAAAGTAAGGCTGAAAAATCACAACCTCGATTACAGAAACAGCTTTACAGCACTCTCCAGCCCAGACCTCGCCACTTCCCGAGGCCGTGGACCAAGTGCTCGCTGTGCCCCCTCACCCACCCCTAAGTGCAGCATGTTAGGCACTTTTTAAATTGGAGGTAATAAAGGCAAATCAGTCAATTGTTGCTAAACAGAGGCATACAAGCATGACTGCAGCAGCTGAGGATGCACACATAGAAGATACCTGGGTGTCTGAATAAGGATATTTGACCACCAGTTTTGCATTTTCCTTTGTTATCCATATGATATTGTCATCTCTCACTCTACTCCTCACATAGGTCTGGTAGAAAAGTGTCACCTTTTCATCCTCTCCTGTAATTTGACCACGTAGCAGAAGTTTTATTCCAAAAAAAGCAGATTTTCTGTCCTTACACTGTATAAAGAAACCTTGGTTTAAGACAAAGAAAAAGAGGTAAAAGCATTGTCAAAAACTGGATAATGTAACAAACTCTTCTTCTAAAACTTAAATGAATGTTAGGTTGTCACAAATCTTAAAAAACATCATGAAAAAATCATTTGGTATCTTGAGTTCACAAGTACGGAAAGAAAGAACAAACAACCAGGGAAACAATGCCAGGAGTCACTGCGGTAGTCAGAGTTCAGTCATCGCAATAAACTTACAACACCGACACATCTTACTGTGTATGTTTGACTTTGTGTTTCTGTGTGGGTTAAAAACAGAACCACAGGGTGCACCTCTTTGACCCTGCAGGTCTGTGTGCCTCACTGCTCTCCCATCTACAACAGAGCAAATTTTAAGAGGGGCTGATAGCCATCACCTAGACACACAGAACAGGGATGTCTGCAGATGACCTATCCTCTGTGTTGCCCACACACACTCACACACACACATACACAAATACACACACATGACAGCGCAGACGGGACTCAGAGGCACCAATGAGGCCTCCACGGGCTCCAATTAATACCCCAGCCCTTCATATCCCCTCATCTCCTCATCTTTAAGAGCTGACTGCAGATTAAATATTAATGCATGTGCATAGAGAGAGAGATAGAAGACTCCTACATGGCTATCAATAATAAAAAAACATCCCACAGCTCGCAGTCGCCCCACGGCTGGCATCACAGGCTGACAAAAAGAAAGGTAAAACGAGAAAACAACGAGGCCAACGGTCTTAGCTTCCCCTCACAGTTTGGATGGCGGTGTCATCAGCTGTTCGAAGAAGCAACTTGATAGCAAGCAAACAAGGGATAAAAATCAAGGATCGCCACATGTGACACTGTGAAATACAAGTTAAACATGAACCATGCTTACACGCCAAAGGCAAAAACTACATTTGCCTCGGGCAAAATGCTCGAGTAAAGGCCCACTGTTTGTTGGGAAACAATTTGTCCACTCAGCATGATGTAACAGCGAGTCGCATTTTAACAGTGATGCCTTGTTTTACTGATATTATATCATTTTAAACAACATGTAAGAGGTGAAGAAGACAGACAGACAGACGGCCACAGGTTAAGATTGTTTAAGACAGTGAGTAGAACGTAAGAAGCTAATATCTTTAAAAGAGTTTTTTGGACATAGATTGAGGAGGGAAAAATCTGTTAACCCATTTTCTAAAGTCATGTCGTTGATAAAGGGGAGACCTGTGTCAAGTACTTCTCTAAGATTGGTCAAAACCCCATCACATTAATCAATTATCAACACCAAATGATGCCAGGTACAATCTGATCACACATCATATTATTCCACAGAGAGAAGCACATTTCACCACTGCCTGATCACACCGAGGCAAAAATGTTTGTTCCTGTTTCTGCAGAGGTCCACTCACCCTGTCGAACATTACCTTCACAGAAACATTCAGTTTGATGAGACTTAAGACTAACAAGAAAACAACTGCTTTAACCTGGCTATGAAAGTGAGTCAAAATGTTCAGTTCAATGTTCATTTGTACCAGAAGTAGGCTGATAAGAAGTTATTGCTGTGGAAGCGTTACTGACCAATAAGTCCCAGGGGTTTTTTTAGATGCATGAACGAATCTTTTTTTAAATCCTTAAAATCATCTTAAAATTTAATTTTAGGTCAATATTTTTTTTAAAGCTTTAGTCGCAAGGTAATAAAAATCCTTCACTATACATTATCCCTGGGACAATTGAAAAGCAGCAGGAAGGAGCGGGCTTAGGGCAATGGGTCCAGAGTAAGGATATGTACATTTAATTTATTGTTTTATATAACTAAATGTGGATATCCCTAAAAGATTTTAATGGAAGTCCTGGGAGCTGAACGATGATAAACAATACTGGAAAAATGAAAATAAAATATTGTGTGAAAGCAAAATTCTAATTTTAGACATTTTCTCCTATTTAAAGATCAACATAAAGAAAAAGATCACTCAGTATAAACTGTAACAAAAAAGCAGAGGGTACTTTATTTTAAAAGGGGTGTGAGCCAACACCCCCAAAGGGAGTAAATCATAAAAAATATTAAAGTTATACAAGAAAATAATACAGAAACTTATTTTGCTAATACCCAACTTACTCTACCATTGAATTCAAATTTGTTAGGTATATAAATATAACAATAGGTTGCAACAGCTACGTCTCCTACCCAATGTCGCTGACATTCTGCCCTTATAATTTGGTTGTATAAAAAAAATGTAATTGCACATTGTCCTCCTGTTTTGTAATAAAAACAACAACAACAGAAAAAGTCTTTTTTCCTCTTCTTCTCCAAATTTCAGCTTACATGTGTTGGGTTTCCCACAGACAGTATGTCCATGGACTAAAATTGCTAATTGGTGTAACACATAACATGTGCAATGTGGACAAACACACAATGATAAATTAAATCCACTTGACCCTCAGTAAGCTAAAGTGACAACTGAGCTCCTGTGGACATTAATAATTCATGAACAAAAACGCAGAGCAAACAAAGGAGGACAAAGTGTCTATGAGTGCGCTCTCAGAAGCGCCCTCATTAACTGAAACAGGATACAGTTCTGTGAGGATGACGCCATTTAACAAGTACTTGACAAGTACCGCCATTGATTAGTGCTGATCTATTGTAGCACATGACACCACTGACAGCTGCCTTCTAACAGTGGGATCTGCTGGAATCCACTCTGGGCTTTGAAAAGTATAACTTGTTTTACATAGCAAAGGTTAAAGCGATAACTCTACAGGACTAAAGCTAAAGAGAGGACTCCAGTTCATCTTACAGTGTCTAGCACCTCCAAGTGGTGAACCGTGGCAACTAAAAAACCAGAGACAATAATAAACCTAGATAAAAAATCAAAAATAAGTAATCAGTGAACATTTTATACTTATAGTAAACTAAACAATCCCCTATAAACAAAACTCAAGTGAACACAGTTGATTTAGGCCTCTGCTTTTAAATTCATGCAGTACATTACAACAGTCCTCCAGTGAGAACAGGACTATATTATTTACCCACAGTAAATTACCACTGTCAGAAATGTAATGTAATCTGTTGCACATTATGTCATTATGGAGGACAGGATTTCATGGTCTCTTATTTTTGTTAGTTTATTTTAGGATGACTTGTTATTTTATATATTGTATCTAGTCTTCTTACAGCTGTAAAGATACACTATCGGACAAAATTGTGTTTTTACCTTATAAGATGGCACAAAGCAGAGCACGCCCTTAGACACGACCTGGCACACGTGGAGCAGCAGGGCGCCAAACTCGTCCTGGAAGGCATAGGTTTCAGTGTGCTGGAAAGTGGCGCAGAGTTTTCTGCCTTGGGGTCCTGCTCCAATAGTACCCACCCAAACCTGAATAAAAAATTTAAAGTTCATGATTATTAATTCACTCTAGATATATTGTGAAATGACCAGCTAAGCAGAACCGTATACAACAAACTGTGATGTGATGATCAGAAAAACTGGCTCAGAGAACATCAGGTCATAGTGTTGCTGAATTCGAATAAATTTTGGAGGTTATGTGATGCAAATTACGTGCTGAGCAGTATTTGTACTCTTTAAGTTGTTTTATAGACATAGGCTCAATTTTTGTCAAAAGTCAATAGCACATCAAGAAATCATCAGCAGTAATACTGAAAAGATCATGTGCACATGTGAACCCACTGACCTGGGACTTGTTGATGACATGGTTGGCCTCCAGCTGGATGGTGAATTTCACCCCAAGTTCAGAGGAGAAGGAGCTCATGGGGGACAGGGTTCCTGATGTTAGCACAATGCTGTGCACAACCCCACTCAGGTCGGAGAAAGCCTGCCAATAACAGGCACAGATTTAGCATAAATGATGTCATAAAAGTAACATCATTTTTAGGTGCAGGAATAAACTTTTAAAGACAATTTTAGATGGTTGGAAGTTACTCAGTCTTTATATTCACAAACTTCAATAACAAATCGGTGTGGTCTCCCATGGCAGATTCTCTCACCACAGCGGGGTTGAGGCACCAGAAGCTGAGCGTCAGAACTTCTGTCTTAACTCGAGCGCTCTGGCGTTGTCTTTGCCGAGGTCGAACAAAATAGCCCTGGTCATCAGGGACATCAGGTGGGACCTGGGTTTTCCATGCAAAGCTCCTTTGCAGAGCGACCCGGTAGTCATCAGCAAATCTAAAACACCACAGGAAACAAACTGTTGTCAGATCATTTCTGTATTTGGACTGGTGTGGGATGGGAAGTTGTTCTAGTTGACAATGTTTGCTTCATCGCTGACCTGCAGTTGTCCCTGAAAACAAAGTCCAGCACGACAAAGAGGCTTTTCAGGACAATGGAGGTAGCTGAGCTGATTGTTGGTACCTCCACCATTTCCTCTCTGCCATTAACCACACCAACACGTTCCTCTTTCTCCAACACTGCAGCCAAGTGTTGCTGATAGAGAAAGTGAGAAACAGGATTTCAGAAAAAAAAAACACATGGCATACATGGAATATAATATAAGACGCTGAACTGTCTTTTTAAGACTTGGCTTTAAAATTTTTGATTAAGTACAGTTCATCTAAAATATGTAAGTTAATACCTGCAGATAAAACTGAAATACATAAACCTGCCTGTCCATAAAAAATGTAAATGGAGCTCAAGATTAGGACAGATGCATAAATCTGTATGAAAACCAACAAAGATATATTTTTTAAACCAAGAAGGCATGTTTGCGGACAAAACTAAATTCCCCTTGGGAATAAATTAAGTTTTTCTTATCTCATCTTTAAAAACTATGTTTTTGCTGTTTTTTTAAAGATTTTCCTAACTTTTAACTCTTAGGAGAGAATAGGACATAAATGGACCTGTGCATGTACTCAGCCTCATGTCTATTATCTTGGTGTGTGTGTTTTTCTTTTTTTGTTTGTTTGTTTGTTACATTCCTTGTAGGAAAAGTGCTTTACAAATAAAGTTTGGTTGATTGATTGATTGCTCATTGGTGAAACACAGTAACACAGATAACCACAAAATGGTCTACTGTGTCTGCGATGTTTGCACACGTTTTGATGAGCCATCACACATTCATCTAAGATCAATGTTGCTTGTAAATGAATCTCATAGCAGAAATCATCTGACTTACTGACACCAACAGCCACGACCAGTAAAAGTACAATTTAACAACCTGTTGAGGGTCTGTTACAACTGTTCAGCAATATTTGACAGCTCTGTCACACCAAAGATTTTAGTGATCATGACACATTTACACCTCTGGATGACAAAATCCATAGTTCTGTGCATGACATTTGGTACTACCACCCTGAGGCTGTCTGTAGTGAAACCACTGCATATATGGGCTGTACTATTGTGTAGAATATTGTTCTATCTAAATGGGCTTCTCTTTGGTAAGTGGTATGAATACACGGTACAACCCTGCAAAGCAAAAGGTGAAAAAGTTGAAATTAATAGTGGTGGCAGCAGCTGCTACTCATTCTCGGTGGATTTCCTCCTCAGGTTTTCTTGTGATACTTTGGCTAATTTTACCACACAAATAAGTTTTTGATCTTTAAATTCTCCAAACATCTTAGTCTGTGGAGATCTCTCTTTTTCAGGTAAATTCATGATTTTTATCTCAGAATGCCTAAATATTGTTGATAATTTGTGTTTAGCTATTTTATCTAAACTAAAACAACAAAATTTCATTTTTTAGACTTTATAAGGACACCATACCAGACCATTCCTCAGTACTAAGTCAGCAAAAGTTATCTTTAGCCAAGATATGTGTTGATACCTTTAAAATGTTGAAGGTATCAGCGGTGATGCCGAGGTCATGAAAGATGTGCACTATATCTGTCCCATTCCAGACTTTACTGGCACTCTCGTAACCCCGGTCTGACAGCAGATTCTGGCTCTCCTGAATCCAGCTACAAGACAATGCATCAGCCTTAGCATAAAGACAGAAAATTCTGAGCATGATGGACGAGATGATAAGCAATATGAATGAATTCACTGATTCACTGACTTGATGAGGCTGTAGCAGAAGTCTCTGAGCGGCTCATGTTTGGTACGTCTGATATTGTTTTTGACCATCCCATCGAGCTCATCCCTGGAGTTTAGCAGACTGTTGTTGTCTAAAGTGTAGCTAGCACTCTCCCTCGCACAGTCTTCGATGTTGTGGGCCTCGTCCAGCACCAAGATCTGGCCGGTGAGGTCAATGTCCATCTTTTCAAAAGAGAAAAAAGAGAAGTTAATCTCTAAAAACTCCACAGTATATTCACTCTGATTTATTAACAACACCTTTGCCTTCTCCTCTGGGCTCTACTCACACTCTGTCTAATCACCGGGTCCAGCAGGTAGTTATACGGGCAGAAGATGATAAAAGCCTCCTGCATAAGTTCACGAGCAGCAAAGTAGGAGCAGGAGCGGATCCGTTTGCCCAGTGAGACCAAGTCCTCGATGTCCCAGGCATGATGGAGCCCGTGGACGTGCTGCAAGCTAAACTGGTCCCTCATCTTCTGAACACCATGGTAGTAGCGGCAGGACCTGCCCTGTTAGACACACATTTTAAAACTGGGATGAAATAATTGAAGGTTTGCTTTTCTCCTGTAAACAGACAACTAAATCAAACTCAAGCTACTCTTCAAGAATATTGAAAAACATCTTAGTAATCTCAAAAGTTAGATCTGAGAACCTGGACATTTTCTGAGTGCTATTTTTATTAGCTGGTTATCAGGGCAAATGCAGCACAGAAGAAACAAATACAAAGTAGATAAAGCCGAACATTAGCGAGGGCAGATGGTGAAAACGGAGTAAAACAGACACGGTCTCTTTTCTTACATGGTCCATGTAAAAACAAGACTATCTTCAGCATTTTCTATTGTTCTGAGATAACTGGGCTGTTCAATTTCAGTCGCCCTGGTTTCCAGTTGAATCAGAGGTGACTTACAGCATTTCAGAGGCCACCTGTGATCAGGTGTCACAGCTTTTGTAACCATCAACATGTCCTGACACTCATACAGAGAATGTAAAAGACATGGAAAGAAGAAGCATCTCATGTACCGACAACCAATTACTCTGTCAAAGCAGGTGTCTGCCTCGGATGTCCCACCCTGATCTTTAATGGTTTAACAGCTGGAGGTGACACTGTCACACATGGATACTGTACATCTGTGGACTCGGTAACCTCCAGACATGATAATAATCTCTGGATGGAGACGGTCTGACAATGATGTGCTAAGCTTAGATACTTAACGACACTGAACCCCGTCTGTAAAGAGAGAGAGGGTGGAGCAGCCAACGTTATGAAAGGACAGACTTCTTACATCATTGTGTAAATGGAGGACAGGGGACCAAGAGTCATCATCCAGGGCTGAAATATGGAGCCACCATGGAAGTGCTAATATTTGCAGTTGTACTGGGGAGTATTCTGTAACCAGTGCACCTGTTTACCTTGTATTGAACTTCAGAGTTAAAGGGGAGAGTGGCTCTATATGACAAGTTAAAGCTGTGAGCAGTACGCCGGGTGTCCTTTGCTTATTCTGTCTTTTTGCATTTTTGTGAGCCGGTTCTGCATATTTAACACAAACTTCCTTTCTGTAAAGTTTATTTTACCAACATGGGGTTAAAGTAGTTGGTGTTCAATCTCACTCTCAAGGAATAATCAATTGAGCTATCTGTGGCACCTCAAAACTGTTGTCTTATCCTGGAGAAAAAACTGCAATCCACAGTGACAAGAGGATCAGTTATTCTGAGCTTATTTACAGTGAAAAGCATTGTTCTGTAAACTGTCTTAGCTTAGCAGCAGTATTAGCTACAAGCACAGATTATTTGCCTTTTGGAGACTGGTTTACACTGATGTTTATGTCATGTGTCTATCTACAGGGACCAAACTCAGGACTGGCTTCCAAAAACCAACATGGTGACAGTCCGAATGCCTCACGAGTGGCTTCAAAGAGGCAGCTAACAAATCAATGTTTGCCCTTATAGTGGCCATGTCCTCAATTTCTACTGTTTACACTTTTCACTGAAGGCTGTGCTTTTCTGTCATAAATCACTGTGTCCACAGAGCGCAGTAACCTGACCCGCACCAAACTACACCCTTAGGCCATGAAGACACAGAGAATCAGCAACACCCACTTCAGTGAGGGGTTATGACTCGGCCATGTGACAAAGTGAGACGACTGTCATGGAAGGCAAACACCTTCAATGACAGCGTAATTGTCCTCATTACAGTAGGCGCCTCAACTTTAGGACAGTATAGGGGGTTACAAGTGTCTCATGTCTCCATAAAAAGACTCGTTCAATGGCTTTTGACATTTCAGTGTGACAAAAAGAGCCTGCCCAACCGATTGTGGATATTGTAGCAGCATAATTGTTGCTCTGAGGCGATATTGTTTGAAGAGTTTTTTTTCAGGAAGAGCAAGTTACATTTGGGTTAGGGTTACAGTGTGACTGAAAAAAACCCAGTTCATACAGGACAAATCAACTGGAACAAAAAAGGCAGTGTGAAAAATCCTCTGTGCTTTTTTTCACTAAGTTATTGGCTTTTGTGATGGGTCAATAAACCAAACTTATTAAAGCACTAATGGGGTCAATTCTGATTGCATAGAGATCAACTCGGTCCTGTAAAATTCATTTAAATGCAAGAGCACAGAGAAAAGGGGGATTTAAGGGGATTAGTGTTTATCTGCGGTCATTCTTACATCTTTGTTGTCCAGCAGCTCCTTGCAGCGTTCATTACGGTTGGCATGAGGCACCACCATGGGGTTGACACAGGTGTGATCTCTGCTGGATAAGATGGTCATGGGCGTACTTGAGTACACGGTACGCTTTAACTCGTGGGCGATCTGAGTGATCTGTTTGTGTGTGCGTGTGCCAAAGAAGATTTTTCGAATCTTCTTTTTCCCTTCTTGGTCTTTGTCCTTCACAGTATCTTTGGTTGCAGCACAGGGGCAATGGGAGCAGGGTTCAGGAGTCTGAAAGGAAGTAGACAAATGCCAAGCCAGTTTAACATCTGGACACCAGAGCTGTAAAACAGTCACACATAAGGACAGTGATTATCAATGTCAGCTGGAAAAAAACAGGCACCTTCTAACTGACCAAACCCTGATGGGCACAAGTTTGTGACATGTGACTTACTTTATGCAAAGTGCCTACATAATAATAGTCTGAAAAATCATGTGTTTGCCGCCCTAATGCTGTTTAATAGGCCGCTCTGTATGCATAGTGGTCACATGTTGAGCTGGACGGGCTCGGGTAATTCTGGCTGTGTGGAAAGGCCAAATTCTGGGTGGCCTGGGCCCCACTTGACATCTGATGGCCACCACAATAAATTATTTAGTCGATGTTGCAACAGGCTAGTTTTCTATAACAAAGTGGCAGATTTTGAATATTCAAAATCTTTGAAAGGAAATGCAAATATATACTATTTACATAGTAAATGGGTTATCAATATCTGAAATGTTTTCACTCTACAGCAAAAATAAAAAAAGTTAGTCTTACTGTTCCAATACTTAAGGAGGGAAGTGTGTCTCCACTTACAGAGGCAACCACACAACCCTTTACATGTACTTGTTTGCTGACTTGTGTGACCAAACCAATAACACAACATTTTTAATAGGGAATATTTCTCAATGATGTCCATTCATCGCCCCACACCGTGACTGTAAACAACATTAGTATTTGTGATTATGATAAATAAAGCAAGAGACTCATCAGGGTTTTTAACTGCCTGAGTAGTCTTTCTGACTAGCGGTCTTGTTTGTCTTTGAAAAACCCATGAAGAAGCATATAGAATTTGTATCCATACATAAGTTGTCCTGTCACTCAGCACCAGGTGACCTTTAGAGGCTGAAAGATGATCAGCTACCTTTGTGGCAGCTGAGAAGATCTAGCTACTTCATAATTGGCTGCCCAGTGACGTGGTGGATTCTTTTTTCCTCCTCCTTCACAGGTGAAGTGTAGCCGACAACGCTTGTGAAACTGATCCTGTCTGATGTGTTGGGCTCTTTAAAGCAATGTACTCTTTGACTATTCAGCTGTCAACATTTACCATCCAATCACAGGTTTCACCAAAAAAATAAGTTTAAAATCTATCATCTAAGAGTCTCTTACTTGAACTGTACTATCATAATTTTTATCGGTAGTAGCAGAAATAGTTGTAATGGCAATTTATCTATTTACGTAATAGTGCCAATATGTAAAGATTTTCTACATCAAGGCAAAAATAAGCCTCTAGGCACACCTGAACTCCTGACATCTTTAGGTGTGAGGGATAGCTGGTCTAAGCCTGCAGGAGATGTCTTTAAGTTTGAGTTTAGTATGAATATCACTGCAACATGTTGAAGGATGTTTTCAAGATACAAATACCATAGTCGTAAAACACAAAAAACAGACGAACGTGTAAAGTAGGAACAGCTATAAAGCAGCAGAAAAACTTAGAAAGCAGAGGAATGAACGTCATCATCCCTACCCTCTCATCCAAGGTAAATTTTTCAGACTTTTACCTGCTGCTTTCACAGAACAACTCAACCCAATCTCTTGCGGAAATTTTCACACACTTTTGTCTCTCTCTCTCTCTCTCTCTCTCTCTGAGCGATACAGAGAGACTATCGCACTCATTTATAACTAACAGGTTAGACTACAACAATCTGGTCCACTAAAGAGCACAGTAAACCAGCCATCAATTCAAAATGCAGCAGAATGAGTGCTGACAGAGATCGATCTTTCTTTAGTCATTTTTAACTACATTTGTTTGTTATTAAAAGTGATATGCAGGTAGAGCTTCAATATACTATATACTAGACTATATTTTTTAATATACAGTATATGTTAACAGATAGTCGAGTATTATCTTATTACTAAGCTTTTAAGAGTCTGTATGTGCACGAGTGCAGTTACACATGCAGATGTTAATGCCAGTGTGTTTTGCTTATTCATGTTGGTTTTCAGTTGATTTTTATATTTTGTTTGTCTCAACTTATTCCATTGTATAATTACTTTTGCTGTCTCTCATTTATTAGAGTAAGCCAAAGACTATATGCTGAATAAACACTGCTGTTTCTATGAAATAAATATTTAAAAAACTAAGTGAGCGACCAATATCTAAACTGTTTGAGAGTCTCTCCACAGATCCTACTTATGTGGTCTTTGCACTCGATAAACAGCAAACAGTATGAGCCCACTGCTCCTCATGTTCTTAGACTTTGATGAAAATCATCCTGCCAAAGATTAATATGTTTGTGTTACTATGATAAATAAACACTTAACAAACACCTTTTAACCAGAATTCCTCAACAAATGGCCTGCATGATTCTACATAAGAATGAATGGTATGCGTTGTCACGCATGGTAGCTTATGATGGGGATCAGAAGGTAGCACTTCTGATGACAGACGAGCAGCTTGAGTTTCCCGGTGGCTCAGATTTTCCGAGCATGTTTGCCCATCAAATATTACAATGTGTGATGGAGTGTAGGCCAAAGGGAGCCCTTAGAGAGCCGCCTCTCAGAGTTAAGAGGGATAACGAGCCCTGAGCCCATGTGAAAAACAAACAGAGGTGCTGCAGGGCCCCAACACCAGTTCAGGTTACCTTTCTCCTCGGAACAGTTACGCTCCACAGCCTGGGCCCTGAGCCCGATCACCTTACCTGCTGCTGCCACATTAAACAGACCCGTCCAAATATCCTGCCCCAAGATGGCCAATAATTACTTATTCATTGGCAGGTGGGGGGAGGAGGGTGGGCTGGGGCAGTGTAGAAGGGCTCACTGAAGAATAGAGGCCCTTGTCAAAAGCTGCAGCAGGAAACAGCTGACACAAGAGTATCCTTTTACGCGCCTGCCTCCCTGAGATGCCAGGACAACAAGGTTTCAAGCCTGGCCCCACAGCCCGAAGCAGACACCCCCTGGAAAGGAATGTAGATAACTGGCAAAAGGGGCAAAGTGGACGCCAGCGTTACTCGCAACAAGAACATACCTGCTCTTTCAGCACACCACAATTCCACTGGTGTTACTGCTGCTAGCAATGAGAGTGCCCTTCCTTTGTCTATTTGACAGCTAGAGAAAGATTATACAGTATTAAGGATGGTGATTAAATGTATCTAAATATGATAATACTTTTGGTATTGTTAGGTATAATTGGTCAATCACACTAGCACACCAGAAATGACACAACAGCCAACAACAACTGCATTTGTCATGCCTGTATGTGGAAAATCACAATTTATCTGCAAGTCATGTGGTCACTGTTCCCTTTGAGATCTCTTCTATTTTCAGTCAACAACATCTAGGCAACAATGGCAACAGCTCAGCTTGCAGCCCTCCCTGACATCCTGCCCAAAGACTCACAGTTTCCCCTGCAACTTCCACTTTACAGTTTAAATCACCTGGTCCATTTATTTCAGGTAAGAGAAGACTGCTTCAGACTTTTCCCTCTTCTTAGAGACATGGAGAATGATGTGTACTGAAGAAATCCTGACCCAATCTAGAGCAAACATCTTTAGCTGCCGCTCAGCTCACAGCCCCTGACCAGACTATCAGTAAAGGGCGACAAAAACTGCTGGTTTATCAAAATAAAGTTCAGTGCATGAGAGACACATTTAATGCTTCTTGTGACTTATAAAAAAACACATACTGCAACCGACATACCACTATAAAATCCAAATGAGATATATTTTTTGTGTTACGGTACCTCTTCCCAAATGCAATCTATCACTTTTAAATGATTTTAGCTAAACCAAATGTTAACAGATGAGCCCTCTTTTATCCTCAGGCCTGGGTCAGTTCAACTGCACAGCATAATTTCATCATATAATGTGATGAGAACAAACACTGATCAATACTGCTGAAAACACATCTTTTTGTGCTATGACATAGACCCAGATTTACTCTTCATGACTCGAGTTAAGTACAAGTTTTATGAAGTTAAACTAGATATATTTAACACATGTGCTACGTTAATGTTGGTTTACCAGTTTTCTTCTGTTATTATATGTTAACAGATATACCAAGTTTCCACCTACATTACCAAGGTGTAAGCGTATGCAGTGGCAAAAGCTCTCTTGAATAGACAGAACAGAGGTCAGTGGTGTTACTGAACACCTCAGAATATTCACAGGTAGGCTTCTGTTGCTCTGTTCCCTGCCAACACCTGAGAGATGGAAATCTCACACTCCAGGGGGCCAGTCGGAGGGCAGCAAGGGGCCGCAGGCAGTGGATCACTTGGGTATCACTGGCGCCTCTCACTGGACACCAATTTGCTCCTCATTCCACAGCTTTGGAGGGCTTGGAATTCACCCCAATAAGGGTGGGCTTCAATAACCAATACCTGGGAAGACATGACACCGAACACCCCCTCCTCCTGATACGACCACACTATGCAGGTAGAGGCCCTGGCAAATATCTGCCCTCTGAAGCACCTGTTTATCCCTCGGGCGCAGTAACCAGCGGGTGAACCCCATTCAATATTTATCCCCATGGCTTTCACAGATCAGCGGCCCAGGCGAGGCAAACCCTCTTAATTAAAACTGGAGCTTGCTTCAAAGAAGCCCATTCAGGCCGTCAGTCAGCGCTCACTGGACAAAAGAGCCCAGGTCATGTAGCTGCAGGGAAACCAGAGCCTGACGCGCTTTTTCGACTTCACTTTCCCTCCTCCTCTTTTTCCACCTCCCACCATCGGCTCTAAATCCAAACCACACACCTGTGGCAGGTTGGGCTCAGTTTGAGAGAGTACAACTATTCCTGTGAGCTGTGAGTCAGAAAAAAAGACAGCTGAGCATTTTTAATGATTATGTCCCACATGTTGATCTCTGGGAGCTAGAAAATAAAAATCACACTGTAGATCCACCTGGTTTGGTGCTGTCTGAAGGGGATGATGACTCAGCTTTACTGTTTTTCCATTTAAAGACCAAAAACTAATTACCTGTAACTCACACCAAAACACTGAATCATAATACATTTTCAGATCTTCCAAAAGCTTTTCATTTTATCTATCGAGTTTTAAGAACTTCTTTCACTTTTCTTTTCACTAATGTACTCTGATAATTTCAGAAAAAAAGTGCCAAATAAAACAATAGAGAGGTTACTCTGTGAAAACAAAACAGTTTAATCTCAGTTTGGTTCAAACTTTACATTGGAGGTTTTCATCTTATTATATCTTTTTGGAAGTTTTGGTTCATAGTTGTGTTAAATTGTTTTGTGTTTGGTGTTTAATATTTTGTGTCCTCTTCAATATAATCCCTGGAAGCCCTGTATCAGCCTTCTCTTTAATGGTGTGCGTTTTTTAAAAATTATTATTCTGTTCTATTGTGGTTTTTATTATTTTATTTTATTATTGATGTTACTGTCTTACATATTCAGTTTTCACTCTGTTTTTTAATGTTGACCAAAAAGATGACACATGAATAAGATTTTTGATATTTTCTTATGACAACATTTGTTATTAATTCTTGTTGATTACTTGGGCAATAACATTTACAAAATGTTAAAGTGAGCTCATACACTATCTTCCTTTTAATCTGTATGGCTACAAACAAATACATAAACATCAGTGGGGTGTTTTCATGTGCTTTTGGTATGTTATTTGTTTTCATTTGCATTCATCTTCTTACCTTTCTTTATATCTTTTTAATACATTTTTATATATATTTTATATTACATTTATTTTTTTTATAAAGGGGAGACTGTAAGACTAATCACCAAGGGAACACCATAGGTGGAGTTTCATTTCAATCTTGACAAGCTTCCTCTCAGCTTGTTCTTAGTTTCCTGGTAAAACTAACAAGTTTCTGTAGAGACATGCATGCATCCATGCAGTGTTCAAATGTGACTCATCTAGGACAGCGCATAAGAAAGTTTAACCACAGTCCATTTTGTGGACTCTATCGCCACCTAATGGTGAAAGTGAACCCCTAGACTGGCAACAAAAAACATGGTTTAAATCGACCTATGATGTAGTTTACCAGCTTAAATGGATAAGGGATAAGGTGTCATACACCCATTCACAACAACAGCAACAAAGCAAACATTTGATTGTAAGAACATGTTCCACTGATAAGAGCAAGGACGGCTGTACTCACAAAGAATGATGAGGACGGAGCAGGTGCTGAGCTGGGGCGCTCTGTTGTCTCACTACAAAAACCTGAAGTCTCGTTCTCCACCTCTGGCTCATCATCATCGTCTATGAAAATCACTCCCCGCTCCAAACGTTGCCTCTTACGGCTCTGAGGAACAAATACAGGAACAATACTTAGTCACCAGGCTGGTATTTAACCCACAACATTGCTGCTTAAGAAGTGCCACAAACACGTCACAAGACAGCTTTTCTTTCTAAATGAATTCACAGCTTTTGTTCTGTAGTTCCCATGACTACCTTGGGCTCGGCAGTACGGATGCGTTTCCTGTCAGGCTGGAAGTCATCATCTCTTTCACGTTCAGAGTTGAGGGAGGCCTGAAACTTCTCAGAAAGGCGAGCAGCTAAGGATTGTTTCTTGGGCTGCGAATCCTCTGGTACAGGATCTGTAAAACAAAGAATGAACAAAATTAAAATAACACAAATACAGCAGCCAGTATCATATACAAGCAAGCGATGTGAGAAGAGTTCAACGCAAAAGTGACAAGTGCACTGAAGACTTCACTGCCAACCCCTTTTGTTTACATGAAAATTATGTGCAGATCACTAAAAAACACATTCTTGTCAGACATGTTCAGCTGAAACATAGAAATGAAAAGTTGTTACTTTTCCCAGGTGCTGAAGATGCTGGTTCTGCAGGATCTTTGCAGGATGACTCAGTGAGGTCTATAACAGGAAGTTTCGCGGCAGGTGGGGCGGCAGGTGGGGCTGCAGGTGTAGCTGCAGGCCTCCTGACATTGCTGTGGCACACACACTGACAGGGGGTAACATCTGTTTTCTTACAGTCTCCGGAGCTGTTATCTGGCTTGCCCTTGTCCACTCCAGGGCTCCCTCCTTGTTGTAATTTAGCTGTGGTCACACATGGAAACACAGATAGAACTGTAAGGGGTATTACCTACTTAAAAGAAAACCTCACCTTAAAAATACAGAAAGTGTTCACAAACTCAAACATTAGTGATGAAGACCAAAACATATATGAATGGAAGGAAACATATCATTCCTAGTGTCACATTCTGCTGACATGGATTTCGTTGAGCAGTTGTTACCTGTCGAAATGCGAGTTTTGGTTTTGAACATCCTTGTTAGTTTCAGTGCGCATACAGGTGACTTTGCTTTCCCAAACACCAATGCACCAATGGCAGGTAAAACAAAGTACTGTTTTTGTCCAATGCTGTAAATTTTCTAACAATTTATTTAAGACTGACAAACTTAATCTCCAATCAATCTATATACCAGACATTTCTTATTGGTTTGAAAATAGCTATAAAAAAAATACATTGCACACTTGTTCATTCAGAATAAACTCACCAAGCTGAGACTTCTGCCAGCCCAGGGCTGAGCACAGCAAGGCCAAACTCTTTCCACTCCCAGTTGGACTCTCCAACAAACAGTGCTGTCCATGGTTTAGCCCTCGTACAATCTGTGGACAATATTTAGACATATATACACTGTGAAAAGGAACAACTCTAAATTTGAAGACATAATCCCAAAGAAATTTGAGTCAAAAACACCAAAAGATTGCATGATAATAGCAGGTATGGAGATGTGTTAAAAAATATATTTCAAGTATGATTTGGCATTCTGTTGTCATTTTGGATACCTGTACAGTAAATAGTGTCACAATCTTCAGCCCCACCCTCATTAATTCCTGCGGGAACTATGAAGTACCCAACAAATAACAACAGATCAGCAGTCTCATAACAATCTGCTTCCCTCCCCTTTACTGCCCCAGATAACTTGATTCACTGTAGATCAGCTGTAGAGTGATTTATTGACAGTTTGATGCTCTATTCTCCTTCAGTCCTGGGAAGTAAGAGAGACAGGAAGGTAAGGAGCACATAATACTAGACAGCACAGACGCAAAGTAAAATTTGGTCACTTGTAGTGCTTTATGTGTTTCCAGCAAAGGGTAAAGCACACAGCAGTCTGAAGTGACACAAAGTAGTTCAAGTTAGACCTGAAATCAACAATGAAACTCTAGTTAGTGCTCACTGGGGGGTTTCAGATAATAGTTTGTGTAGTCATAATGTTGGGCGAAACTGCAAAACCTACTGATTACAATATGTGCTATTACACAAGACATCAATGAATGAAATGAATAACTGCATGTATGGATGGATGAATGGATGGATGATGAGACTCACTGAGTTCATCATGGCCAGCTGGGAGGGGTAAGCCTTGCAGGGGAAGTTTATCTTCACCCCTCCTATAGTGTACTCCACTGGGGATAAAGCCATATTTCCTTGTCCCTGTCACACAAAAAATGTATTTTTGCATTTCGAATGCTAGAAACACTTCTGATAATAATTTCCTGACACATTACACTCTAATAAATGCCAAACACTACTGGGACAACACATGGAGTAAAAAAATATATAGCACACAACAGGCAAACGTGCTTAAGACTATCAAGAGCCAACTCTTAGTTTAGCTTTTTAATATGATTCTTGTATTACAAAGCCTTCTGAACACATGACACCAGCTGTTACCCATCGTTAGCTAACTTACCTGAGATTTGACAGACACCTGCTAGTTACCTTGCACGTGCTAAAAGTGCAGTTAGCTTTTCGACCGTTTCTGTGTCAAGACAGCATCCATATTTCATGGTTAAACTGATACACTGGACGGTCGGCAGTACAACGAAACTACTTTAGAGAGAAAAAGCTGTTCCGTGTTATCGTTAATTCTTTCACTGGTCTTCCCGCTCTTACAAAAATCATATAAGACCACTTCACTCAAAGTTACTCATATTACATTATACCGTTTCCTGTGCTTCCTTTCACAATAAAATATCTAACCGAAAAACTTGTTCAAATTATGAGTGCAGTTCGTGATTTTTCTCTTAATGGTCTATGGAATAATGCGTTAAGCTTTACTCTTTCAAATATTTCTCCTGGATGCTAGGTGTGACGAATAACTGTCATATGTGGCATTACTTTTTTATTTTGAAAGCTTAATGTGGGCTTTTGTTTTCAACTTGACGAATCCAAAATGACGGACATTGCGTATGAAAACATCCGGGTGTGCCCCAGCTCTGCAGTCACAACTTTGATGAGTGGAAGATCATTTAGTCTGTAGGCTGTGAGAGGGAAAATGTGTGGAGTGATAAATAGCCAGGAAAAAATGATAAAAGGCATTTGAAAAAAAAAGATTAAAGTCAAATTATCCAAACAGTAAAAAAATATGAGAAATAAGGATTTAAAAGTCAAATTATTTGGTGACATCTACAGTCATTTTGACATTTCAATTTTCAAGTTTTTATCTCAAAATTATGACTCATACACCTGACTTGTTTTGACTTACCAATTTGTGAATTTGACTAGAATTTTCACCTACAACTATCGGCTTTTGTCGTAGTTATTAATTTTATCCTGTACTGATGTCTTACTTTCTTATAATTTTGTCTTTCAATCTCAGAAATATCACCCTCTTTATGTTGAGAAAGGAGATCAGCTTTCGGACAACAAAAATCATGTCTGGATGTGCTGTCAGGTAGAAATAGCGATCAAAATCCACCGTGACAAAATCTAACTTTCTGGTTGTCCACTTATCTTATCCTTGGCAGTTTTTAACTTTGTACTTTTGTTTATTTTTCATTGTTTGTATTTCGTAGTATGAGTTACAACTCGGGCATTTTGCATGCCCCAGCCGATTACCGACAATAAAATGTTTTTGTTTTCTTTAGGATATACATGATTCGTTTTAAATGACTGGTTTTTTGTACTTACAAGAAATATTTATCTGCATAAAAATGATTCTTTTCTGATTCTGTCTTGGTTTTACTTTGGAGCGAATGTGTTTTCTTTAGAGCGGCCCAGCCTCCTTCTTATCGTCGCTGATATTGCAGGCATGTCCAGGCAAAACCCTCATCAGAAAAAAAAAAAATCACCATGAAGTCATCACACCCGTGTGGTGAATGTGTAAAAGGATTTTGCTCAGCATCATTATGGGTAAAATTTCAATCTCAGCATTAAAAGGACATGGATTTCCATACTTAACTATGAACAGGTTTTAAAAAGAAACTGAATTCAGTTGTTGTCATGATGTATTAAATTTTGTAATGCTTCCCCGTATAAAAAGTATCTTACTTTTATATTTTACTTAACTACTCCGTTTTTCAGTAGCAGTGGCAACATTTTGCAGTTTTTCGTTTTCTGCCTGTATGGTGATTTCTATTTATATTTTTTTGTACATAACCAAAGATAGTATACAGTTTGGAAAGTTCTGTTTTAAATCTTGAGGTTTAGCTGCCTGTAACAGAATAATGGCTAGAAAAGATTGAACTACTCAATAGTTTTTTACTTTTAAACTTACATCATTTACTTTCTCTCCCATAATTCATTTTAAATTACCTAGACTATGTCCTACAATTTTAATTCCATAAGTGGGACTTCTTTATCTGCTGGGTTCAACTTTTTTACTTTTTACTGTCAAGGCTTAGCCAAACACCTTTTTTTATTAGATTTTTTAAAGTTAAGTACGGTCTTTTATTGACATGTAGGAGAATGGAAAATTACATTAAAAACCCTTAAAACAAATGAAACAAAGGGTAATGTACACACGTGACGGACAAGGTGACATCATGTGCTTCTTTTAATGTATGAATAGAACAAAATGTATCTACGGAAATGTGGAATAAAGCATTAAAAGGTGTAAAACTTTCAGAGGCAGAGTTGAGGTAAATTAAGATTTTCAGGACATGTAAACTCTGTCCTTGAACATAAAAACACAAACACTTTATGTTACAAAAGACCTTTGTCACTATAAAATATTGTACATGAAGGAAAAGAATAAAATGTTTTGTTTTTCTCAAAAAGGAAGTCAAGTAAGAGGGTAGAACCAAAATGCAATATCAACATTTCTTCACTCACTTTCACCAACTTTAAACAAAAGCAAGAGGCATTAAGAATAAAATTATAGCATTATTTTCCTGCGTAACATAGAAGTAGCCTCACTACATGGAGCTTTTTTTTTTTTTCAAGAGTAATTTCCGGGTAAGCGATTTTCCACATTTACACGGTACACATACACTTTGTGCTGGTAGCAAAGCAGCTGTGTAAACCAGAGATGTCAGTTTTCAAAACTGATAATAAACAGAGAGAAGTTTAAAACAGTATAAAAAAAAATCACACATAGATCCAGAGGCAATTGCAGACGGTATCTGTAGAGACGACAGGAGTATCATCATTGCTCCAACAGCTTCAATCACCCTAATACAAGATTAAAAAAAAAAAAACAGTTCATAATGCTACAAATTTCTGTTGGAAATTGCACTTGGCTCAATGAAAATACATCATCATATTACACCAGTTCATGATGGATGCCAATCATATCTGTGTCATGGACATAATTATTAGTTCTTACATGAATCATGCATTTCACTTACGTAACAAAATAACAAAAGAGGCCACAGAGGACTGGGGGGGGGGGGGGGGGACTCGACTTGGGATATTACAGAGTTATTCAAGAAGTGACTCGTCTTTATGTATTTTCATACTAATTTCCAGCTCCAATTTTCATCTGCTCTTCGCTGCATCTTTTTTTAATTAAAAACCAGAAACAACTTCCTTCCAAAGACATTTATAGCCACTGAAATAGTGCAAAAATATTTTTATATAAAGTCCATGCAGAATGTATTTACTCACAGATGAGCCTTGTGCATACATCAGTAACAATATGACTGCAGCTGCAGCATGGAGGGACAATAGCTTGCAGGAGAATGCAAACATACACCTCTCTATCACCCAAACAAAGCAGAAATAAAACACAAGAGAGAGACACAACAGTGGATGCATCAAGACTAAACAAGACTGGGAAGATCAGCTGAGAGACAATCCTGTCGATAGGGATCAGCTGCTTGTGATACAGCATTTTCTTATCCTCAGGATTGTGTGGTTTAACAAACACAGCATGACATTGATTTTGCCTTGATTTGCATCCACTAGTGTTGTAGTAATCAGATCCAGCAGGGTGCGCAGCATTTGTGAGCTGAAACTGGACTTATTAACTGCATTAAGACTTAGAGGTTAGTGAAGAGTAAGGGACAGAGTGTGTCCTTCACTTTGTTGGGCGGGGGGGGGGGGGTTCAGGGTATACATTATGTTCACCTATTCACACTCACTGGACATTTTGATTAGCACCAGCTCCTATTAGGATGCCAAAAGGAAGCATTGCAAATCCCATTTTGTTGTCAAAAACTTTACAGAAAGGCAGGGAGGAAAGGAACAACATGATTAAAATGTCCGACCCACTGAGGTGTGGGCATCCAGGAAAGTCAGGGAGGGTGACTGGTCAGTCCAAATTCCTATTAATAGCTGGTGGGTTAAGGGTGATTATAAGATGATAGGCACCTACAGTGACCCTACCACAGTAGACTAGATAACTGCGTCCAACATTTGGAGATGAAGAGGTGCTCAGCTACACGACACACTGTGCTGCAACTCGATCCTTTATTTAAATCTATTCATGCTTACAGGAAATCTAGTGTTGACAAATGAAATGGGTTTTCTGCTCATCCACTCAGTCCAGGTTCATACAGTCAATAGTCTGGGGTGGGACATCAGTCTTTTTAATGAAGACTCAACTTGGACACAGATTCTTCATCGGTGACATGATACTAGAAATTGGACTCTAAAGTGTTGCTGACTGAACTACGACAGTAGCAGCCACAATGGCAGTCTGGAAGTGGGAAAGTGTTACATGCAGGTTGTGCTGGTCCCTAGGAACCAAAGGAAGTCTTTGTTTTGGAGCCACCTGAACGCGTAGGAAAAAACTTACTGCAAAAGCTTAAGCACAATAAAGGGCTGTTGGACATTCTCAGGAACACAGATGATGAGGAATTGATGAATGAAGGGTTGGAGCAGGCTCACAGGGAGTAAAGAGAGAAATACCATGAGTTAAGATTCATTATAAGTTATGAAGAAAATATATAATACATTGGATCCAGTCCTGAACAGCTGGGGCACACCGCTTTCCTATGATGCAGAAAATTATCTTGGTGTTGTCTCAAAGTTTTGCACCTTCAACATATGTCAGGTAAGTGACAAATGAACTCAAAAGTGCCTCTAACTCTAATTAAACTTTCAATTTGTTCAAACTGGACACAAAATAATCAGATTATGAATCAAGATTAAAAATACTAGTATTGAGAGGCAGCAGTCAGCTGCAGCTTAGGGGATCAGTGTGGCCCAGGTGTTTTGATGCATTGTGCGTTAAAACTTAAAAATCATCCATTAAAAATCATCATTTACAACCTCACAGGGGCGGACAGGTGTTATATGACAAAAGCAGTATACAGTTCAAGAAAGAGAGCAAAGAAATGCTACCAACACTTATTCCATATATTCATACATCACTTTACGTGATGTAGTAGCTTATGATTTGTGACTGTAGCAGCACCTTCAGTTTATATTCAAGACAAATCTCCAGTGATTAAATAGAATGAAAGAATAAAAATACATAAATATGTTTAAACACAGGGTGATCACACAGTAATATACAGAGTGTGAGGAGCAGAGGAAGCTGTAGTGGAGCTCGACTTTATATGCTATCATCCAGGAATACAAGAGTGTATAAAAATATATGTTATAACCAACAGTTTACTTCAATACTCAGCCAACAAAATTCATATTTACACCAGCATCATCTATAGATATCAGTGGGAGGTGAAGTAAGACATGAATCAAGACACTGATTCTGGTGAAGCTGAGGATCTGTGTTTCTGGAAGGTTTTCATAAAGAAATGAGATGTTTTATGGAGAAATAATCACTGTTGTACTTGAGCTGTACTGTACTTTTGCAAGCTCTAGAGTACTTAAGATGAGAGCCACATGTGAAAATGTGATTTTGCTCTAAGATTAAAATCAGTTTTAACTTAACTGACAAAATTACAGCCTGGCGCAGAGTTATGACCTAAAATTAAAGCTGTTTTCAAACATGCACAAAACACCTAAAAACTTTTTCAGGCTAGTCTGCTTGTAACACGAGAAGTTACAATTTTCAACCCAGACTTTCCCTGTACTTTTCCCTGTCAGCCTCAGGGTGAGTCAGAGTGAATGTGAAAGCAATATTTAGTTGTGGATATTCAAAGCAGGTCTTTGCAGGACTGATGAATTTTTATGTACGATCTGTGCAAAACTGAAAGATCAACAAGTAATCAGATGGATTAAAAACTGTTCAAAAGACAGACTTGCTCAAATCCTGCAATGTCTAACAAAAATGCAAAAACTGTCATCTTAGTGTAGATCTCTGTTGCTTCATCAGTTATAATTCTGTAAACATTAGACTGTGGCTTTCATATTGTGCTTTTGATGTCACACCCTGCCTCCTAAGCATTCCTTGAAAAAAAGAATACCCTAAAAAATTTCCCACAAACATCCGCAAAGTGTAAAGTTCTACACTGTTAGATACAAAGGTATTAGAAGGTTAGACTTCATGCTGCAGTGGGCACCGTGCAACATTTACAAAGTGTCTAAAAAGGCAGGTCAATTAAACCTGACGCATTGATGACAGTTTTTGCCTTCATATCAAAGCTCAATGTGACTGGACATATTCTCTGTATCAATGAAGGAGTGGAAGCACGTTCACATAAAACTGATTCTCCAAGAGGGCAGGAGAAAAAAGTCTGGGCAAAGTCAGGGTTAAAAGGTTCTGCTGTCTGCATTCTTACATGAAGCCCATCCTGAAATTTTCATTCTGCAGATATATGAAAACAACTTGAGTTTAACTGATAAGTTCACTCGAAATATTTCAAACTGTTGTTCAAGTCCTGGACTGAATGACTGAGAAGCACATGTCATTTTGAGTGTTGGTAAATAGCAGAAAAGAGAAGACTTAAGCTTAGACATAAAGAGAATTTGAACTGTTTCTATTATTGTGACTGAAATAAAGAACACATTCAGATGTATAACAACTTGGTTTGGCTTGATTTCACATCACTTCATTTGTGCTTTTATATTTTGACATATTTCAGTCTAACAGCTTCTTTTGGCCTAATTCTATATTTCTTTCAATTCTCTCATTTTTCAGTGTTTTAAATCTCAAGAAAGCACTTTGAATCACTGATATATATGGTGCTTTATAATAAGATGCTCTATATTTCTTCGTTTTTAATTAAAACCCTTTAATTTCTCTAAATTTCCTTTCTGCCAAAAAAAGTCACATTTCTGACCTATTTTTCTATGTCTACTTCAATCAAAGCCCTCTAACTCAAGTCTCAAATATTTCTTTGCTGGTTTGTATTTCAATTTTTCGTCGCTTGGAATGAAGTCAGGAGTCTGTGATTTTGGGTCAAAACTATGAGAACTCACCTGGGCGCTGAGTTATATCAAAGACTTTGGACTTTGAAATAAAAAAACAAATACCTTTTCGACATATGACCCTCTTCTTTTTCAGCACTAGATCAGAGTTAGCATGTGATTATCCTAAAGAGGAAAAAGAAACATTGGAGGAGGCAGCACGTCAGTGTAGTGGAGTGTGTGTGTCAGCAAACACACACTGTGTTCTTATTATGCTGTTGGAGGATGGGGGAGACGTTATTGGAATCCTTCTGTTTCTTCTCTGCATTGTGCTGGACCAGCGGCGGTCTTTCAGCAGTCCTCCTCCGGGCTTTTTTAGTCGACGGGCCAGTCGATGATGATGATGATGATGATGATGATCCATCAATTGTTCTTTTACTGTTTGTGGTCCTGCAGTCAACTGTCCTGTCAGACGTACCGGACGGACTGGGCAGCTCAGTGCTACTGTTTGAACACAGTGGAGTCAGAGAAAAAGGGTCGGACAGGTTCATGTGGAACAGGCTGTTGCTTCCTGAAAGTCCGTCTTTTCTCTCCAAGGTGGGGAGGAGCTCACACACAGAAGGGGGCAACTCCTCCTCCGGGGGCCGCTAAACAGAAAGAAAGAAAAAAAGAAAAACACACGAGAGGAAACTTCATCATTTATTCTGGTATTTAGAACCATTTTGGCATGTTTTGGTTGTGTGAATAACTAGCAGGTGTAGAATGATCTAAAAAAGGACCAGTGGGTTGCCTCAGACATCATATAGGACAGCTTGTTGTGCACTACGGCTAAAAAAGACCATGCATCAACTGTTCACTTCACTGTAAGAGCTTTGGCTCAATTTTGGTGATAATACTCACTACCATAAATGCCAAACTTCACTTTCAGTGTAGTATTTTCACATTGTCACCTTCTGTCTCTAAGCATGATAAGTTGCAGCAGCGGTGCTGCACAGCGTATTGAAATTATGCAGTCTGCAACGACTCTTGGTGGAAGAGAAAGTGAGAGCTATTTAAAAGGGAGGGGCTGTGCCAATGCTCTGCTGTCAAAGAAAGGGGGGGTGGGGGGTGGCACCATTCAATGTATGGGACATAACTGGGGCAGCACAGCAGGTAACACAATATCATTCAGTCTTGGTTATTACAGTGTCATGATCGTGATGGGTTGAAATCCCAATCATAGCTCGAATCCAATTAATCACCCAGCTCTACCACCCAGTTACTTCTTCACACTGATTCTGATTTTTACTTTTTAGAGGTATTTTCTATCCTTCAATTACTCCAATGTCCTGATGTTACGTGACAGTCCTGCAATCTCACAAGCAAAGCAGAATCACTGTATTGTCATATCATTATGGGCAATGTATTGAGTATTATATTGTATTTTGCAAGTCCTCCTCTTGATTTTGTTACACCTTCCAAACCAAAAAGAGAGATAAGATCATTCATATTTTTTCATTAACGTACTCTAGTGGCTCTTGACAATTTCAGACACAAGAACTGAACTTTTGTGTGCCCTGCTCTTACCTGTAGGAGTGGGGTGTCAGCCCTGGCGATGGAGGTAGGAGGACACTGGGAGATCTTGGACAAGTCGAGCAACACCTCTTCATGGTGCAAGGTGTCCTGGGATGTTCCAGACTCCTGCAGGGCAATTACAATAGCACTGGTGTTGTCAGCACGTAGCATGCGCTGCCGCCATCGCAGGAGAGCATGACTGACCAGCTGCCGGGCGCTCGATACCCCACACGGTGCCTGCAGCATGGAGGATAGTTATTATATTGAAGTGTTTTAATGTTAAGACGACACTGCTCTGTTATAAAGTCACTTTGGTGTTTCCCAAAAAATGACAGTGTACCTGTGACAGTGGTGAAGGTGGAGGGGGTGGTTATTTAAGACATTGAAATACATTAAAAAATTTAAATTGTTTTGTGAAATATTTATGTATTATTATTTAACTGTACATTGGTTGTGCCCTTATCCTTCAACATGGTGACATTAACACGGGATTACAAAGCCACAGGATTTATGTCCAGACTGATGACTGCTAAGAAAAAGCTTCACAAGTCTCTCCAGCCCTCACCATCGCCTCATCGTTGTTCTGACACATGGAGATGGCCTCTTGAGGAGGGACCATGTTCCACAAACCATCGCTGCCGAGGATGATGTAGCGGTGTTTCCTGGGGTCGAGGGTCACCACACTTGTGTCAGGCTCTGGAGAAACCACAAACTCTCCACTGTAGAAGTCATAGCTCCACAGGTCACCTGATGCAGAGAAGAGAAAATTATATTGAAGCCAGAGATTTGTTGCAGAATCAGACAAAGAACTGGTTAACTCAAAAGATTCATTTAGGTGTTTTGCTTTTCTCTCAAAAGAAAATTGTTTTGTACTTTTCACGCCTTCCTTTGAGGGCCAAATATATCTATGTAGTACCAGTCATTCAACTGTCTTGCCACCTCAACAGGTCATTCACTGAGATTACTGTGATTACCATTGTTCCTACCTAGAGCTCGAGCTACTGCCAGAAATGGTATCTGGTCGATGACTGTGCTCCGACGGACTGGGCCATTGTGACTCAGCCGCGGTCTCTTCCAGACAACCCGATTCACTCCAGACTTTTTGATCACGCTGTTAAAAAGATTTAAGGAGAAAACAAAGAGGTATAAACATTGATTACATAACAGCCCTCTGTTTAATACAGTGTCATCAGAGTAAAATTCCTTCACTTTCTCTTGATAGTTTCCTTCAACATATTTTTTAAAGAGTTTCTAAGAGAAAATAGATGTACCTGTTCTTAAACTGTACAATAATTGCGAGTTCAGACCAAAACTCTTTTTCGGTATTTCGGTAAGTAACATTCAAGAAAGCTATATAATATTATAGCACTACATTTCATTTGATTCGGAAGCAGAGCCATGTTGTCAATTAGGCCTTACCTCCCTCCTAGACCTTCAATACGCTCTCTCTCTCTGGGTAGCTCAGGTTTGTGGTCTTGTGTGACTTCCACAGCTCGGATGAACGGGTCCGTGGGATCATCCTGGACCCCCAACACCACTGCAGAGTCCCCCACATGGGCCACATACATGCGGTTTCCTCGGATAACAACCACACTGGCTGTGGTACCAGATGTGCTCGGAAGGCCTGTGAGTGTTTTTGGCCATTCAGCTGTGAATATGGGAGAGAAAAAATGGGTTTAATATTAACCATAAGAACAGAAAATCATATCGTTACCATTTGATTTTTATTATGCTTAGTTTATTTTTCTTTTTTGCCTTCAATAAGAGAAGCTTTTGCATAAACAGTAAATGCAGAAAGAGAGGGGGCGGCACATGAGCAAGGTTTGAAATCACACAAGGCTGCCAGGATGAGGACTCAGCTGTAGACAGGCCCTTAGTCTAGTCTGATTATCTGTCTTTACAGAGGAGTTTTTATGATGTCTTAATTCTAGTGAACCTTTTGGATGAAATCTTTTTTTCCCACTGTGGCGACAATTGTAATATAGAATTGACAATATGCTAGGTCTGATTTTATTTTTGACTATACCTACGACTGTGATGTTCCCCCTTCTGCCCCAGTGTCATGATGTTTTGCAGTAAATGTTTAAATTACGTAAATATGCATGGTTTAACTTGTTTGTCTCCTGAGAGGAATGAAGCATTCCCACACTGGCGTCAACATTAAATCCTGTTTATAGCTGGTTTGCCCTTTTACCCAGGAAAGCCCTGGTCAGAGTTCCTCTGTCTGAAACAATCCTTCCACAGAAAATGTATGTCTCGGAGCTTAACCTGCTCCAGTATCAGCAGTGAGGTCCAAACATGATGTCAAAAGAAAACTATCTAAAGAACAAAAAAATCCTCATGCTTGCTGACTTCTTTTCACAGCCAAAACTTTGCAGGAGTTATAAATATCAAAGGGAATGAGTGGTGAAAATCTACCTTTGTTTTTAACCAGAAAATCAGACCTGACCACAGGCACCAAAGTTCAGCATGAATAAAAGACAATCTCGCTCTCCGTGGTCTTAATAGGCTATCTACGTATGTCAACAAGAGGCATCAGCGTAACACTGAAACTGCTAAAATAGAAGTTTTCATGGTACCTTCAAAGAGCTATAATTTGCAGTACAACAAATTGTTTTACAACTCTGCTGAAATTAAAAATCCCAGTACTTAAACATTGACAGTTAATAGTTTATATGGAAAAAATTACAAGGTTCATGTTTATCCCTTATTCTTATTAGTTTAGTCTTGAGTGTAAAACTCTCAGTTATTCATAGTGAAAGTGTCTTGTGTAAAATCTATTTGTCATAAAGGTAAATTCTGTCTTAGAATTTTAACTCTGTCAACATTTAAACATCAATGTTGGATGGCAAAATAAATGTTTAATCCATGGTCCATGGTCCAAAACGTTCAACACATACAGAAACTTCTCATAGCGGAAGAAGAAAGACTGAATTTATCCCAGAAAGGAAATTCAATTCAATTCAATCGACCATTCACAAATACTGTATCTGCACACTACCAATCTTACTAATAAACTGCTGCTGCCTGTCAAATGTAGGCACTCTGACTTACAAAAGTAACATCACAGGAAAGTGATACAAAACAAAGACTCCAAAAATAACAGTGGTATGTGTATCTGTTGGTTAATATCATATCAGATCCAGGGCTGTGTTTGGCCTGACAACATCATGATGAATGAAGGGTGAGTCCAGAGGACACATTGATCTCTACCCTCAACTTTTAACAATGTAATCAAAGTGAGTCATGTGGTTTGTGTACACAGTCTGTCACAAACTGTTGAACAGCTGACATGCCAGGGCATGTCCTCACAGACACCTTAGTAGCCAGTGTCTGCAGAGCAACAGAGTACACAGAGGCTACTTCCTGATTCACAAAGCTGTCACACATAGAAAGAGAGAGGGAAAAAATATAAACCCTGCTGGACCAAAGACTGGACATAAACTTCTGGACAAAATGTACTTGTGCACTGAGGAAGGCTTTGTTTATAGACTTCATGGCTAATACTGCATTTACTTGCTTTGAGGATGTTTGGAGGTCCCAGGCTGGAGAGGTGTTTTCATTATTATCAAATGAGCCAAGAAGTGGAATACTAACGTTTGGTTTAAATATTAAGGCTAAATTGTGGATTGGTTTTTTTTCGGCGACAGAAACTGATTCTGATACCTCTGTATGACCTACAAAAGCATATGGATAGACAGTTTGGGCATCATTTACATGTCTGTATCTACAACTATGGTAGGTATGAAGTGTCAAGCTAACTTAAGCTACCTTATTGCACATTTTTCACAGCTGAAACTGCTGAAAGTATGCAGGGTGAGTTTTTATTCAGATACACTACTTGCACATGTTCAAGATAAAATCAGCAGGAGATAAGGGGTACTACAGGGTGTCCACAGGGGGTGCCAAAATCAACAACCACAAGTTCTTCAAAAGAGCTTTTAGTGATCGTTCAGCAAGGACCGCCATGTTTCTAAAAAATTTGACATCAGGCCTGTAAGCTCTGTTACCAAAAATAAAGCAGCATCAGAGTTGTAGCATCGGATTAAGGCAACTGTTGTTGTATGAAGCGACTTCTCAAAATAAACAAGCACAGATGGCATCTTGAAGTTTAGTTTGGTTTGACAGTGTTGTGATTATTGAGACAGCTGTATTAAGGGTGTGTCTCGTTAAACTGGCATACAAACAGTTGACTGGGACAATGCACAACCAGTTCCAGGCAGTGGGTGGTGTTAACCTGCAGGACTAAAGCCTTGTGGTGCTAGCTCTGCTCAGGCTAGATATGCTCAGGAGCCCAATAAGAAATAGCAGATGTTTTGACGCTTGCATAACCATACATTATGTAGTGTTATCTGGGTGTTTGCTTAACTCAGAAAACAAAGTTGGTAAGAATTCATATTATATTTTTAAAACAAGGAAATAAGTCAGTCTGGAAAATCTTTTACTGTGATACACTAGTATCGTGGGCAATTTATTTAATTGCCTTGCATGTTACCCAGTGCCTAAAAACACCTACTGCAGGGTTTGATATGTCAGGACTGCAGCTGAAATATACAAATTGTCCAAACTGTTCTTTGCATTGAATTGATTTCAGGGAATAAACAAGAGTTTAACAGTTATTTATAACATGCAGTGATAATTAAAGGAAATATTACCATTTTGTGCACACTCACATTCTATTTTTCTTATCCTTCCTCAATTTTGCAAACATAGTGAAGATGAATCATGTCTGAAACTTCTGTCAACTTGAACACTTAACTTCACACTTGGTTCCTCAAAAGATGTGAAAATCTTCTACTGATTCTTTAATGTTTGTGTTAATTTGGTCATAAGCTCTTAAGTCTCCCCTCTTGTATTTTTTACTTTTCAATGAAGTTATTCTTCTACTTTTATATAAACATGCTTGTAAACTCAGAGCTTATCTTTCAAGTTGATGTGTCTGTTTGACATGACCTTTTTTTATAAGGGTGATAGGAGAGACTTGGTAGGCTGAACAGGCTTAGTGATATAGATCTCTGTTTTTGTTCTATCAAGCAAGTATGAATATTGTCATTATGATTATTATTTGTCATTGCTGGTGTCACGATAATCCCATGTAGGCAATAAGCTGGTCTGAAACTCCTAATTAAAGGTAAACTGAAATTCAGAGCAAATATTTTAATCAGATCTACTTTTTAACTCTGACAATATATTCAGTATTGTACAGTATCACACCTCCTATCGTATCTTCACTCATGTATCGTGATATGTAGGATGTGATGTGTAGCCTGTTGTATCATAAGAGTTTTGCTTCATCATGATTATTATTTGTCATTTCTGGTGTTACAATAATCCCATGTAGGCAATAAATTGGTCTGATCTCATGATTAAAGGTAAACTGAAATTCAGAGCAAGTTGTTTAATCAGTTCTACTTTTAAACTCTGACAATTTATTCAGTATTGTACTGTATCGTACCTGCGATCGTATCGTATCTTCACTCATGTATCGTGATATGTAAGCTGTTGTATCATAAGGGCTTTGCTTCATCTCAGACCAACTAAAAATATATAATAACTTTGTAAAGGTGTTTTGAACTTACGTAACTTCTTCCACATAGCAAGATGGCAGGCAACAAATCCTTTGCGAATAGCAGCGCACACTTCTTGGTCACAGTCCGACCAGAACCCCCGCTGTTTCTTTATCAACTCCCACAAATAGTCCCGTGCAAACTGCGCAGCCTCGCGACCCCCGTGTCCGTCAAACACGGCAAAGAACGCCACCGACCGGCGGGAATGGTTCACAGGGCTCAGCTGTGCTCGTGTCGGGCTCGGACCTCCTGGTGACGGTATTTCCACAGTTTGACTTTGGTCTTCCGTTCGTATTGGTTCACATGGTGCATCGGAACCATGGGAAGAGTCCCCACCGTCACCGGTGTGGTCTATAAGAGGGTGGTCGGCCGGAAAACAAGCCGTTGAGTTTTCCCCGCGACTCTCGTATGGTTCACCCGACGTCGGCTCGCCTTCTCCCGGCTCGGGCTCCACTATGACCTCGGTCACATCTTCCATGTATTTCCTGCCTCCTTGGTCGGTGAAAACACTCACTCGCATTAAAAGTGCGTTTTCCATTGCCTCCAGTTCGCTTTCTGGGGATTTTTCGTTTCTCTAAGCATAAAAAGATATCCGAGAGTACACTAAACTGTAGTGTACGTCCTGCCTTTGTTTATGTTGGAGCGTAGTAGGCATGCTCAAACGCGATGACGTCAGAGCTATTCTTCTACTCTTCTGCGTTTACTGACAGCGATAAGAAGCTGTACCGCCATCAACAGGACCGCCACCAAATGGCATGGAGTGGTCCGCCTATGATTTCAGAGCTTTGTGATTGGCAGCAGTACAGGTCCACAGACTGTATAAAGAATATATATGTAAAGAATAGTATATACAGTCTATGGACAGGTCATATATCCCACCATTTCCATGAATGGATGGTTGATGGACGGAATATGGGTCAGACCAGAAAATAGGTATGCTCATCAATTCTTTTAAATGCTTTCAGGGTTTGTTTGTTTTATTTATTTATTTTTGAAATTATGTTTTATTTATTTATGTTTTTTTTAATCTAATTGTGAATTTCTACCAGAAAGAATTTATTAGGCGGGTGCATTCATGAAAATGAAAAAAAAACCACATACATAACCCTGAAAAAAATGTTTGTTTTTTTTCAGTATTAGGTGTCCTCAATAACATACTAAAAGTTAACCAAAGTTTGACCGCTAGAAAGGTGTCTTTTTACAAGATGGCATCTATGATGGGTTGGAAGCCAGGGTAGACACACCAAGTAAATAAGGTAAAATTTTTAACTAACAGATACCACCATGAAACTTCCCAAGTTTATAACTTACATTAAGACAAATATTTTTTGTATTACAAGTTTTGTCAGATGTTATGTTTGAATATGTAAATGGGGAAATATCTAATTAAATATGCACTAATTAGCATACATTTTCAGAACCGAAAACTGAACAATAGATAAAGCCCCTTTCAAAATTCTTGTTTTATTTTGTTGACATACTACAGTCAGAAGTTCTTGTAATGTCTTATCTATCATACAAATATGCTAATTAGAATATTATTACATGGTCAAAACATGTATCAGGCGCCAGTATTCATGGTCTAGAAGGAATACAAAGGAGTAATGGTCATTTTAAGGACCTGAAAAAACACATGGTGATATTTGAATTTTTAGGGATGGTGACAGTATTTTCCAATTTACAGCCATAGTGAAAATGACACCATTCTAGCGGTCAAACTTTGGTAAACTTTTAGCATGTTATTAAGGACACCTAATACTATAAAAAAAAACAGCTGAGAAACCTTTTGTTAGAATTTTCTTAGGGTCTAGTCGTATTTGCACCTGACTATATGGTTGGTGTCAGTTCTGGCACCCCATGTGGAAAGAGCTGTCTTTGCTTATCCTCTTTGTTATATGCTGAAGTATTAATTTATAACTGCAAATTTCATCTTACTGGTTTTGACAGTCAAAAATATCTCTCATTGTGAATATTTTGGGGGAAGATTGTGAAAACAGAGTTGTCTCTACATCTGCAGGGGCTGGACCTCCCCCCTCAATTGGGTTTCAAAAAATAAAAATAAGGATTTCAAAATATTCTGTCTTGTTGATTATAGCTTAGTTTCCTTTTGTTTGTTATTAGAAGGCATCGCCATAATTTTAATCAGTTTTATAAATGTAAAAAAAACTCAGCACACAAGCTTTATTGCTTAAAAAATATCGATTGACGGCTTTATTTATTACATGTCATGAGGTCTCTTGCAGCATTCTTTGCGGCATATTCAGTATAGGAGAACAGCAAGAAAATGATACACTAACACAAGAGTCACTGAGCTTAAGCTACAAATGTTTGCTACAAATGAACAGAAGAGACTGTCCTAATGTGGACTCGATCAAACTGAAGGATCAATAACATTTTATCGAAAGGATAGTATATGATTACCAAGTGGCTATACAAAATATAATTCTGACAGGGTAAGCAGGTCTCTGACACTGTGTTGAAGGGTCTTGTTTTACCTTGAGATGGTTCTAGTATGAGCCAAGAGAATACTCTTATCTCTTTGCAGGTGGTCTTCATGCTATGTTGCAGCGCAGGATGATACAGACAATAGTTCAGATACATGTCAGCAGATTATCAATGAAAAGACAGTTAAGCCATTTCTAGATATAGGATTTGTCCACTGGATGTCACCCTTGTACCTTGGGACACTGCTGATACAAACCCTCTCTCTCTGTGTTGGAAAAGAGTCAGAGGAAAGGTGAGGGGCTCATCTGGGCTGGCAACAACCAGCACAAACAGCCTGGCTCCACAGCCATTCAGTGAAGTCAGGATTGGACTTCTCATGTATCTACACATTTTAGTCACTCAAGCCTTCTGTGATTAAGAATTTACTGTAGTTACTTTCTTGAGAGCTCAATATGAGGACTTAATTTGGTGGTTTTATTTTACAAATAATTATAATGTTAACATGTTTAATTTTAATATGAGACATAGACAAGATATTAATTGTGAAGTAAAAGTATGTCAAAGTAATCCCAGGATAAATCTACATGGTGCTCAGAATGGCTTTTTCAGGGGGGAATGCGCTCTATGCACTGATCCACTACTTCCTGAACTTAAGGCTGCTTCTTTATTTCCTGTCTTACGCCATTGGACAAACTGATTAATCCAGGTGTGTCTGAGTAGTTACAATGATAAGTCACACCTGGATTAATCAGTTTGTCCAGTAATGTAATACAGGAAATAAAGGAGCAGCCTTAAAGGGATATTCCAGCGAAAAATTAATTTAGTGTCAAACACACCATAACACAGAGGTAGACACCCCCTCAAGAGATGAATGTTGCTGACCGCTTGCTTCTCCAGTTATACCAACTTTAGTAATGACCACAGATAGCAATACACAGTGGTCTGAGGAGCCATACCCAAACCTCAACCAAAACGGCACTCTATAGCCACAAATAATGCTCAGAACAGCACCTAACTTCATCAACAGTACATATAGGGTCCCAGCCATAGCACTAGCCACCAAACATCTTCTTAACTTTCCTTAACTTCTTTAACAAAGAGACTAAACACAACTCACCTACTCTCTTCCAGCAGCCGCTTGTTTGTAGCGAGACCTTGGGCCAGTCCATTACGGACTGCTGCGGGGTGATGCATTTATGATCATTTTTTCATGGAAATGCAATCAGACCGAGACGCTGAGGCAGAACAACTACAGTGCAGTGCAAAATGATTAACATGGTGGTTATTACTTAAAGGACATGATAAAGTAATGATCATCAGACCGCTCCTCAGACCACTGTGTATTGTGTATTGCTATCCTGCGGTCGTTACTAAAGTTGGTATAACTAGAGAAGCAAGCAGTAAGCAACATTCATCTTTAGAGGGGGTGTCTTACTCAGTGTTACAGTGCGTTTGACCATAAATTGCTCAGCTTGTGATGTTATCAATCAGTGAACCCTCTGAAAAGGAAAAGGGCACAAACAGGTAGTTACAAAGGAGAAAGGTCCTGTTTTCCTGGTTGAATTTATTATTATTTTTTGTCTCTTACAGTTCAATTCATAATTTGTCATTTCAAGTATATAAATAAGTGATTTTGTAGCATGGCAACAGTGGAGGAGACTTCGGGGGCGCTGGATTATGGAGAGATAGTTGGGTATCAAGGAGACAGTAAAGTTAAAGTTTTTCAAACAGAGGCTGAAATGCAGACACCAGCTGAAATAAGTTAAAAAATAATGCCATTTGTAAGTCATTAAAAGGTGTGAGAAAGATGATATAAAGCTTATAAAATGAGCTTTATACCCCCTCTTTAAGATTATTATAACTCTCATCCCTAGAGAAGCAAAGTCACTAAACAAATATAGTTAGGACAGTGGCAACATGGCATGTCCTGGTCTGACCTATCACAGTGACCAGCCTAATTTTTCACTTTCTCGGTCATGAGGAAATTATATCATCTGAAGAAAGAAAACTTTGGTATACTGACATAATGATAAAAAGGCGGGGAAGTAAACAACCATGATTTGCTTTTTGGAACCCAGTGCTGTTATGTCAAATAATGGATAAATATGTAAAGAAAGAAAGCTTAGGGCTGCCTTAACAATAATTAAGTGGAAACACTGATTAAGCATTTCCATCTATCTCTACCCACAAACTTTGAGCCACAGAAACCATTCAGGGCTCCAAAAATTCAGGTCATTGAGGAAATTATGGGATGTACTCAGGATTTTTGTTCATTTGAATTTTCCTCACTTTTAAATCATTCTCATTATTGATGCATTATGTAATTCTTCAAATAAATTTGAACTCATTCAAGCTGATTCAGACCTTTCTAATACTTCAAACGTTTCTAATACGTTAGGATTTTTAATTATTTAAAATTTCCCCTTTTCAAATCATTTTCACAATTCATGCATTATTCAATTCTTCAAACATAATCCCATTTCTACATCTACAACTACTACTAATATCACTTTAACTAGTACTTTCACTTCCACTTCTACTTCAACCACTACTGCAACTATTAATACTTTCGTCAACTGCTACTTTTACTTCTACTACTGGCTCCACTACTTTGACTTCTAATTCTTTTATTCTAAAACTAGTACTACTATTAATATGACTACTTATATAACTAATTCGACTACTTACTATCATACTACGACTAGTACTACAACTTAAACTTATGCCACTTCTCACTTTTCTGTGTTTTAATGCATTTTTTTTCTTCAAAGAATTTTTTTTTGCAATTTCAGAAATTTTATTAGCTTCTTTCAGCATACTATGTGTACTTCTTCCTTTGTTTTTGGCAGTTTTAATTGCTTTTTAAGCTTTCAGCATTTAGGATTCAGCATTTCCACGCATTTTCTGCAATTTTTCTAGTTTGCCTCTTACTGTTTCATACAAGTCTTTTCTTCATCTTCTTCTAATTTGTTTCTTTTATATTTCATTTTCTTCAAATATGCGTAGTGTAATTGATGTTATATTAAAATAACAAACTTGAATTGTTTCTCTAAAATACCAGTAAAAACAGTAAAAAGGTTGGTTTTTTGCATCGCCTGCACAATGACGTCACTGCGTCAACGCCAGTGAGTGTTTGCGTCGGGACGGGGGCACGGAACTGCGGCAGGGTCGACGAATAATTGAAGATGAAGGGAGAAAATGGAAATTGAACAGCGGTTTTTAGAATCTTAGCGGTAGCTCTATTGCCTGTGGCCTCATTGAAAGGTGAATTTTATATGAGGCCCTGCGGAGGACGTGTTTTAATCGCAGTGAGGTAGCGAATGTAGGAAGAGTTGGGGAGGGCTGTAGCTGCTGGGGTTTTTTTTGGAGAGGGAAAACAACATGGCGGCGGTGGAGCTCGAATGGATCCCAGAAACACTGTACAACACAGCTATCTCTGCTGTGGTGGACAACTACAGCCGGTCAAGAAGGGACATACGCTCGCTGCCAGAAAATATACAATTTGATGTCTATTATAAGGTAAGACACAACAGTCAGTGGCTTCAGGTGTATCCGACAGCAGCTGTTAGGGTTTCTGTAATCAGCTGCTAACACTGATGCTAACGTTAGCAAAATTCTCGTAACGGTGCGCTAACTTAAGGCACTAACTACTCTCTACAATCACCCTAACGTCCTCTAGCTTACACTGCTTCTTATATTTCCAACCTACACATTTCAATTACACAATTTATTACAGATCTTTTGTTGATTCAGCTTGATGCTTTGATTCGGCAGCCAGTGGTGTATCCAAAGGGGTGGCCAGGGATGCCGTGGTCTCCTATTGAAATGTTACTCAAGTCTAACCTCTGGTTTCCCCCCGAAATCCCCAAGTATGGTTGAATGTATTTAATCAGAGTCAGGGCTTATGTTGAGTAAAACATTTAGACTATGTTACCTTAGGTTAGTCGTATTCGTTGCATTTATCTATGTCATTAAACACAATTAACCCTTATACTGTGTTAGTCCTTAGGGTACCTATACAGAAGCTTTTCATGATTTGCAGCTCAGCTGTTCCTTTTGTTAAATTAGTGCCAGTGAAAATCTTCATTCCAGCACTACTCAGCCTGAAACACTTCATTTTGACTGCTTTACCAGCAATATAATTATACGTGCTGCCTTTGTAAGTTATTAATTTTCTTGTCTTGGTGCATCATACGGACACTTTGACTTGGAAACTGTGAAACATACTGGCCATGCTGGACAGGAGAATAAACATGTAATTCTTTCCATTCTTGTTCACTGAGCAAAACGCTTGACAGCTCTTTTCTATAAATTGCTTATTTTCAATCTGGTCTCTCTACTCTTTCTGTTGTAGGTGGAATTGATTCATATTCTTGACCTGCAGTAAGAAAGTAGTATTACGTTTGATAATACATTCAGCCTAAAAGTGATCTGTAAGTTTATACCAGAAAGAAAGTGTAGTGTATCCTAGAAAATATGCAAAAACTGTTACACTCATAATTCATCTATACTTGTGTGTTCCATCTTTTAAAGGTCAATTCAGGAAACAACAACATAAAACATTGATTCACTGATTGTAAAAATAGGAACTTCACTGGCTTGATTCTTATCCTTCATATCTGTCTGTAGGGAATGTTTTTGCCAATTAGTTTTGTTCCTCCATTTTTAAGTAGTTTCCATTAGGCACGTAAACTGACTTGTGTTGAAAGATCAGAGCTTTGTATTTGTCAGAGACAGTAAATATAAAAAAGATGAACTTGAATACATAATTCCATTCCCTATGACCCACATAAAATGGTACATGAAGCAAAAACAGGGCTCCTTTGAGTACCAGCTGGGCCATATCCTGTATTTTGGAAATGCTGAGATCATAAGTACAGCTCTCTTCAGATATTCCATCTGCTCCTTTGACATCATTATAAATAAATGCATCCATATATGGTTATAGACACTGTATGTTTCCAGTTGTCTAGTGGTATTTGTTATGTACAGTAGGGTTTAGCTAAGTTAAATTTCACTGCCTCTAGCAGGATAGTGTGTCTTCCTGCAGCGTTCAGCTAACTAGTGCCAGCTCTGATGGCTTGCTTGGTGGAATCAATTCTTTGTTCCATTTTAGTGTGCGCTGTGGGGATAGAACAATTGTGTATTGTGTGATTATAATCTGAGGTATAATCACAGTTTCTCAATTACCACAGTTATTATGCATTAATTACCTGAGATTTCACAATACCGCTCATATATAAAACCACAGAAATGGTCTTTGGAAATATTTATGTAGTATACTGCTGCGTTCTGAAACAAAAATAGCAGTGTAATAGAAAAATAGTCGGAACACAGTAGAACACATCTAGTTTGTTGTTCCACTTAAACTGAGAGCATTCATAGTAATACTGTATCATAGAAAAATAAGAGTAAACAGTCATTTTCCCATTGGATTACAGTCTGATAGTGATGATTATATGGGTGGGAATCACCAGTGGCGCCGTGATACGGTTTTATCATTATACTTGGGCCAGGATACGATATCATCGCAATTTTTAACATTTTGCAATACACTGAGTATTGTGACACAATACATTGCGATTTATACAAATTTTTTTCAACTGTTTAGCTAATTTAACATTTGTTTTTCCTTTATGTTTGTCTTATTTACACAGTGTTTTATTTTCAAACTTTATATGTCAGGTTCATCTCCTGTTTACATTCCTAACTGGACAAACAATTGATTTTATTTTTCCATTGTCATAGATTTGGCTTCATATTAACAATGCATTTGAAAAAATCAGTACTTGGTCAATGAGATGATACGATATATCACCAGACAAAATATTGCGATGCTCTATCGAGTTTTTTCTCCCATCCCTAGATGATAATATGAAAGTTAAGAGTGGACAGTGGCCCTGAGAAGGCTACAGTGATGAAGGACATGACCTCTACACCCATATGGGTGATCATTGCTCTGGTCACTAGTAGTAAATCCAAAACCTGAAAAGACATAGAGTACCTCTCTACAAGCAGTGTTTATCCAGACACACTATGACACAGTGTGTCTTTTTCAAAGGAGTGAGTGAGTTCATATAGTGAGGGACTATATGAACTCACTCACTCCTTTGAAAAAGTCCCTGTCACTGCCTTTAAACTCAGTGAGTTTATGAGTGATCGCTTTTGTTCCTGTGGATGCTTCGGTTTGTTTCTCGCTGTCTTTGGGTCTGAATGTGATGAACAATACTGCCTCCTCTTAATCCCCCAAATTGCAGTGTGGTACTTTAAACAGGTGTTTCCAGTTATTTTGGCCTAGTTCTGTCATCACACTGAAAAGTGCTGAGACACTTTTATGTAATTTTCACTGACATTTATGGCAACAGTGGAAGACTTTGTGAAATGAAATGCTCCTTTTACCGAGGAGATGCTGGTTTTCATGCGTTTAATTTTGATTCGTCAAGCCGGTTTGTGTTAAACCATTTCTTGTTTTCTGGTGGTAAAAACAGTGATATTTATTACGTAAGACTCAAAAAGTCAGCTCCCAGTTTTTTTTCAAAGCCCAAGACGAGCTCGCTCGCCCTCTCTCTGTATAAAATTGCATTTAGCCAGATGGTTGACATCATTAGAAGGTAAATCAGAGGAGAGTTTGTGTTCTAGTGTACATACACATAGGTAGAGTGGGAGGTGAAGTCGGTTACCTTTACTGTGACCCCTGTCAAACAGGAAATGAGCGTAAGATGAGCTCACTGAATGTGTTTCTGACCTACATTTACCCATTTCTGTGCGACTGCCACATGTCTGTCCTGTCATTGTGATTATGAAGGCGTAAGTACAACAGTTGCACCATACATGTAACACACAGTTATGTCACAAAAATGAAATACCAGCTCAATGAAGGCTTTGTTGCATTCTGTATTTGAGATGTTCATTTGCTCCTTAAAAAGCACTCACAATGTCCCAGGCTTAACTTTGCAATTTTTGTCTCTTTATGGTGTTGTCTTGTTAGGAAGAGAATCAATCGAAGCTGTCAGAATTACAATCTACTGCTGTATCCACACGTGCACAGCACTCCTAAAAAGTAGGATGCACTTAGTTTCCACTCTGACTTATTCAGCTCCCACTTGGGTGGGGCCAGCGTATGCATGCAAGTGTTGGACCCCATTCACACCTTGTGCTCACATCAGATCTAGGTGATCGGATTACAAGAGGGGAGACTTAACTGCCGGAGCAAACCAGGGATGTGTTTTAAGTAATGGTACAATGACTCAGAGGTGTTGCAATGATAAGAAATTTGAGGGCAGTTGGATGGGCGCTTTGTTTTGGCATGTTCCAGTTGCAAAAGCAGCTGCCAGCTATAGTGTCGCCAGCCACGCACTGCAGTTATTTCCTAATTCAAAATGGTGAGTTATAGTTATAATATAATGAGTGCTGTCCCAATGCGATATTGATATCTGATATCGGTCCTGTATCAGCTAAAAAACAATTATCGGATTATATTGGCCTTGCCTGCATCTAAAATCTCTGATATCAGCACTCTGGTACAAGCAGTCCATTCCAGACTCCACTTCGGCACCTTTAGCAAGCAGCGCCCGGATCCAGCATGCTGAATCCACGTGATCACAACAACAGTGTGTACTAAGGTACTAACAAAGTAGCAAGGATTAAGAGTGATGTTGGCTGTGTGGCAGTATTTGTTGTTAAATTCTGAAAACTACATTGCATCAAGTGAAAAACTTGTCATGCAAAAGTTTGTGCCAATATTGGATCAATATTGGTTTTGGCCAGTACTGAAGGCTACAATATCAGTATCGTATCGTAAGTAAAACAGTTGTATCCAGACACCCCTAATTATAATGATCTTGTTATTCGTCTGTAGTTTGTCTTGACTCTCTTCTTCACTCACAGGCCACTGACATGAGGTTATGAGTGTAACCAAGACACGCTATGTCTATCACTCTGAAAATTCCTTAAAACTCTTCATTGTGCTCCTGTAGAGGATGATGTTTCAAAAAAAAAAAAAAAATTTTTTAAAATAGGATCCAGTTGGCTTTTTGATCACAATGAAACTAAGCTAAATCTTGTTACAGCTGGGTATTGACCAGAATCTCTCATTTCAAGATTGTGATACTTTGGGTCTTAATTCCATTCAGTGATTCAGTATTAATCAGTATCAATAATCAGTACGTTTTGATATGAATTCAGTAACATGCACAGATGACAAAAATACACAGATCATTAATGACAGAATCGTCTATTATTTGTTCAATAGAAATGTTCATTTCCTCTCATTTTTTAATACTCTGTTGACACATAGTTTAGTGGTAGTAGTGTTGTTGTAAAGGCAAAAAACTGCCACCACAGAGTTGTGCCATCGCCTGCCATCTGTCACATCTTGTAAATATTACTCAGTGATTACCACAGCGTCCTTTTCACGTCATGACCTGCCTACTGAGACTCATGCACCCCATCAAACAGGGAGGACTTGGTGCTTTGTTGGAAAAAGCAACTCTGGAAAATTTGTGGAGTCTGGCTGCCCTGAAATTTTCTAGATATTTTCAAGAGCGTAAAAAGGGTGGAGAGGTTATTGTGAGAGTTGTTGGGTGCTGTCAGAGGCTTTCTAATGCCAGGCTTGATAACGTATTTACATTGAGTGTCACTGTGTTGCCTTTTAATATCAAAGGTTTTATTAAAAGTTGAAAAAAAAACACCAGTTTGAAACACAAATAGGGGAAGTGCAGTGTCTGCATTTTGAAGGATCTTCTTCATTATTTCCAGGAAGTGAGTCTAAAACCAAAGTAATATACAAACTAAAATCTCAGCCAGCAGGTAACTTTGAGTGAAAAGTCTGAAGATCAAAAACGGTCTGGTAAACCATCTTGAAAAGAACAGCACGGTATATTTGTAAATGGTTTCTGTATCAACCTTGAGGTAGTAGATGAAGACTGATGGACCACTCATGTTTTGAAATAAGCCTTCACCTTTTGATTCTCAAAAATGGCTGGCAAGAGAATTGTCATATCAGTTTATTCAGAAGTCGTTGAGGCCAACAGTCCCCCTCCACAGACATCACTATGGAGAGCAACTGAACACAACACCTTCCAGCTGAGTGCATTTTGATGACAGGCTAGACAACAGCAGATTTTTTGTTCTAGCTGAACAACAGGCAGCATTTTTAAGCTATCTAAAACATGAATAACAAAATCTAGATTATAAAAAGGACTAACTGTCTGCATGACAAAGAAGACAAGTATGTGACGTGCAATTACCTGGTTCAATATTTCAACTCCAATATACTGTATATGTGAAAGATCTTTCGACACTGGAGATGGTCCACATTACGCTCCTGCTAACAGAAGCTTTGAAATGTTATCATCATCAGTGAGTGTCCATCCTCACCTCATCTCTTCATCTCTGTGTGTCTTTCAGCTTTACCAGCAGGGCCGGCTCTGTCAGCTGGGAGGAGAGTTCTGTGAGCTGGAGGTGTTTGCTAAAGTGCTGCGGGCTTCAGACAAAAGGTAAGTACACAATGAAACTCTACCTGAAACCTTACACCAGCCTCTCATTGGTGGCCTTCCACGGGGGGTTTGGATACTGTACACACTTATTTCAGTTTATTATATGAGTGTAGGGCTGGGCGATAAACCGAAAATTTACGATACTGAAAGAGGGAAAGACAGGTGAGGAGATGGAGGACGGTTCAAAAGTTGTAGCGACTGGAGCGGCGGCTGAAGTAGATGAAGTTAATGTTGGAGGGGGTGAACAGCTTGTGGAGTAGTTATCATCCATTTATCATTATCAAGGTGAACTGCTCAATGTATTATGATATTGACTTGGGGCCATATTGCCCAGCCCTATACGAGCATGTTAAACATTGTGGCCTGCAAGCTTGATTTAATGAACAGCGGGTGCTAGTGTTTCATATGGTTTACTTTATGTACGGTCCTAAGCCACCACGTTTTTTAAGGCTTCATCAGACCTAGATCACCAGGAGGCACACTGCAGTGTAGATATGGACACTGATGCCATCCTATTACTTCCTGCATTTGGATCAGCTTTGGGATTGAACCAAATGAAGTAGCCAGTCAGGAGGAGAGTCACGGTGTATTTATTCTCCTCTTTAACCTCAACTACAATATGAAATGCGTGGAGGTCTGAAGGTGGAGCAAAGCTGTTTCACCTCTGACTGGCCCTACGAGGCAGAACAGGGATTAAAATAAAAGGAAGATGGAGGTGTCAGAGCCAGCAGGGTGGAGCAGTGCTGTGTTTATTCAAATGTTTGTGTGTGGTTAATAGAGGTGCAACAGATCACAAATCTGTCAGTTCAGATTGGTTTAAGGTTGAAGGACTTGTTTCAGTTCATTGATCGACCAAAATGAGAGATTTCTGTAAACTCCTGTAAGCCATGACTCTAACTTTGGATTTCAAGAAACAAGAAATCACTGGGCAGTCACAGATGCTCTTATTGACTCACTATTTAACAAGAGTGTTGAAAATCATACTCAACAAAGAGAGTCACTTTGCTCTTAGATTAAACTATTTCAAACTTTAACCTAATATAAAAGGTAGATCACTTGACCCAAATCAAGAAACAACTCAGCATCTAGTCATCTCCTGTGAGTGTGAGTCTGTGTGTGTGTGATCCAGCTGTGTGGTCTGTGGGTCATGTGAAGTGTCATTGTACCTGTTCTGTATCTCAGTGAATTAGGTGCCTGTTTACTCCTTATGCTTGGAGACTTTTGACAAACGTAATATTTGTTGAGTGCTGCTTTGTCTCTGCCTGCCAGCTCAGAGGATCCACACATTGCAGTGTATGTTTATACCAGTGAAGAGTGGAGCTGTCTGTTTAAGTTCTTCAACAATAAATGTCTACATGTCGGCATGCTGGGAAAGCTTTTTATGCAGACTTTGTAATGAACTCACACTGTTGTGGGGTTAAATGTGTAAGGTATAATGCATAATGATGGCAGAATTGCAGTTTACAAGAGGCTGGAAACTCGATGGGAGAAAATATTTGAGTCTGGGATTAGTAGACATAGTTTGCTCTTGAATGCGAGAGAAGTTGATTGCAAAAACAGAGCTCCTCATCAAGGATGGACTGGCCGCTGCGTGGTCATTGTTTCTGTGAGCAGATAAGATTAGTATACCTCCGATATCTGGATATCCCGTTAATAAACAGAGTGATAGAGAGAAAATTGGCTTTTAAATCTTTACCCTGCACTGCTGAAAGAGAAAACAGGTCGTTAGTTTCCATGCAAAAAAATCCAGGTACTGATCACAGCTTACAGGTCACCATACTGCTGGCTAGCAACAGTAACAGGAAAGTCGATCCACACGCTATTCCTGTTAAAACCATATAAATGAAGGTGTTCGGTACATGATAGTGTTTTGTTTATCAAAATGAAAAGTTAAACTTCAGGAGTTTTGCTCGACAGGAATAAACACATGATCCTCCACTTAAACTCAACATTTAAAATCATGTTCTTGTTAGAATACTGCTTTACATTTCAAACCACGATTGATGATCCTCCAGAAGTGTCATTTGTGTCCTCCTGTATATTGTTGTGGTCTGCAGAGAAGACAGTAACAGTAAACACTGGCGTTATCTTTCACTCAGGAACGTTTAATCTGTGATGTCACTGTTAAGGACTGGCGACTGTAGGCTCAAACATGACCACAAATATTTAATGATTACTTTTAAAAAACCACTCGATGCATTCCTCTGACATAAGCCTCCCCTCTGTCCTCTCCTTTGCAGACACCTCCTGCACCACTGCTTTCAGGCCTTGATGGACCATGGTGTGAAAGTGGCCTCAGTCCTGGCAAACTCCTTCAGCCGCAGATGCTCATACATCGCAGAGTCAGATGCCCACGTCAAAGAGAAGGCCATCCAGTTTGGTTTTGTGCTAGGTAAGTTATAGGGAAGGAGGATGAGAGTCTCATACATACTTAGTGAAAGAGAAACAGTGGAGACGCTGTTCATGCCACTGATTAGGAAAATTACATCAGCGATCAGAGATAAGCCAGTTGATTGTGTGTGGTCTACATTGATTTTCAAGGTTTAACTGCGTCCAATTCATTATTATTATTAACTACATGCTTTAGTCAGATGGAACGATACGCTCACTGATGCTCGGTTCATTGGAGGATTTTTTCTTCATGAACACTGTTTTTGTTTGAGCATTACATAACACACTGTGTCATACAAATTACTCGCTGTGCTTCTATGCTTCATTCTTTGATTGGTTTACTTCCTTTTTAAATAAAAAAAATATTCTTTTAATAATGAATGGATGGAAAATGCATCATAACAACAGCTGTGTAGTAGCAATGTCCTTGTGGTCCATCTTTCTTCAAACAGATTATCTATTTATTTAACAATTGACAAGAACAATGCCAATCTTTTATGGATTCAAAAGAAAACTATGAGGATGAAGGTCAAATATCCTTTAGTGAGCGGCCCAAATATTGTCTGTGTGAGGGAAACACTGGCAGCGCAAACTGGACTGCAAACTCTTGATCTCTTTCTGCTAGGGATGTGCGCGGTTATTTGGATATTTGTGTAAACAGGGCTGTCCCTGCTATCCGTTAAGTAAATAATATTCGTTTATTCTATTAAAAAAAAAAAAAAAAGGGAAAAAAACAGAAAAAAGCGAAAATATAAATGTGTGGATAATTTGCGTGCGACTCTTTCTGCCTGGCTCGCTGCTCTGGGCTCGCAGCGCTGGCCTGCAGCATCCATGGCATCGTGGGTTAACTTCCTCAGAGCGAATCAACACATGCGATCAGCCAGAGCGATGTCAGTGAGAAAAAGAGCAAAGTTTAAGTCTAGTTTAGAAAATAAACGTTGTTGAACGTGATGTTGTCTGACTCGAAAGACTCTTCATTTTGTGCTTAAGGTGTGAGGCAGGCCGATGACGCAGCAGGCTGCTTGGCTTGAGCGCAGCATGACATACTTTATGTCATTCTCCAGCGCTAAAATAAGATTCTGTAACATATTTTAATACTAAAAGCATGGCTTTTATGTACTCTTGATATTTATTTCAGATGATATCTGGCCATATAGATCGACATGTGCTCAATTTGGGCTATTTTCTGGGAGTTAATTAATTTTCGTGTATTCGAATATTCGGTTTCAAAATGGTCGTTTAAACGTCAGTGAAATTAACCGCTGGGAACATCCCTAGTTTCTGCCGTGTCAGTACACCTTCACTTAGCTAAAGACATAAAAGAGTCAAGACACCCAACAAAAGAAGTCAAAGGCAGACACTGCCCTCCTCCCCTCCCTTCACCAAATTCTTCTTACCTGATTGGACACTCAGATATGTGCTGCTCCCAAACCAGGATCTTGGCAAAATTATTATAATTTTTTCTTTTTCACCCAAAAAATGAACCCATAGTCTCTCTGCAGTAAAACCCGTCTGGTTTGAAAACAGTCATGGAAACTGATGTGTCGTCTTTTGTTTCCAGGTGGCTTTCTGTCTGATGCAGGCTGGTATGGAGATGCAGAGAAAGTGTTTTTGTCGTGCCTGCAGCTGTGCACGCTCCACAGTGAGGTGCTCCACTGCTTCAGAGCTGTGGAGTGCTGTGTCAGGTCAGTCACAAAACTTTGCTTGCGTGGAAATATAGTGTATTTAATTTGCATATTTGAAAGCATTATATTTATCATTAAAAGAAATCGCATTAGGAAACTAGGAATGAAGAATGTAAGCATGACTCTTGTGGGTTTTTAGACAAAAAATAAGTGAAGGCCTCCATGGCATTTAGTCAGTAAATTACAGAAGACACACCTGACATTTTTTGTCTCTCTTCTCTACAGGCTGCTTCATGTCCGCAATGGGAACTGTAAGTACCACCTGGGGGAGGAGACCTTCAAGCTCGCTCAGTCTTACATGGACAAACTAGCCAAACATGGCCACCAGGCCAACAAGGCAGCGCTTTACGGCGAGCTCTGTGCCTTGCTCTTCGCCAAAAGCCACTATGATGAGGTACATTTGTTACATCACCTGTGGATGTTATATATACATATATATATATATATATATGTTGTGATGAAATGCCCTAAAGGAAGAGTGAATCAGTGCCTACCCTGACTTGGTTTCTTAGTGTAATGTCACACTTTAAAGATCTTTAAAATCCCAACAACCTTTACACAAAAAGGTACAGAATAATTAAGCCATTTTTGACTCAGATATAAACCCTTTAAACACACACGTGCTCCTAATATGTTGTAGAAGTGTTTAGGAATCAGCCCTTACATTTTCCAAAGCTGTTCAATCACATGTTTCTCACTGTTCCTAATTTGATTAAGTTTTGTTGGTGGTAAGCAGGACATGACATTAAATGCTGACTGTGAAAGTCAGATTCACAACTTGAATGTTTCTGAATATTTGCTGTGGCACTTTTACTATATTGGCACAGAATGCTTACCCTGTAAAATTTCAGGAAGCTTTTGGTTTTTTTTTGTCTGGTAGCTACTAAACTATGGTCATAGATTTGCAGGTGGTTAGTTTCCTTTAAATCAATATGAAAATGGACTTTGCAAATGCAGTCCCCTGACAGATCCATTTACAGTGCTGTTTAAGAGCATTGTGCTCCTGTTGGGTAATGATCCTGCCAGGCATGGGTTGAGACTCTTTTCTCTGTATTTTCAGGCATACAGGTGGTGTATAGAGGCTATGAAGGAAATTACTCCAGGGCTGCCTGTCAAAGTAGTGGTTGATGTCCTCCGACAAGCCTCAAAGGTAACGAAAATCACACAATTTTAGCAGTTTTTATATGGGATCTGCAGGAAACAAATACAGAATGTCTTCATGAGGATGTCCTTCCAACAGATAATTGTGTGATCTGTGATTTCATTTTTTCTTCTGCAGGCCTGCGTGGTGAAGCGAGAGTTCCGAAAAGCAGAGCAGCTGATCAAACATGCAGTGTTTCTAGCAAGGTAGCATGCTGTGTTTTTAGGACTCACTATTTCTCCTATTCCTCTTGTTGTCATGAATTCTGATCGAGTGTTTTGTATCTTCCAGAGAACATTTTGGACACAAGCATCCCAAGTACTCAGACACGCTGCTAGATTATGGATTTTACTTATTAAATGTAGATAACATATGCCAATCAGTCGCTATTTACCAGGTATGTAGAGTGATTTTAGACATTTGAGCTTTCAATTCCTGTTTTTATAAAACCTCAGGGTGAGATATTGTCAGTGTAAAACTAATAAAAAGTCTTTTTTTCCCATAAATTTCAGACAGCACTGGACATCCGACAGTCTGTGTTTGGGGGAAAGAACATTCATGTCGCCACTGCCCATGAAGACCTGGCCTACTCCTCCTACGTGCACCAGTACAGCTCTGGGAAATTTGACAACGCTCTGTGAGTACAATGAATCTTACAAACTCTGAACTATTTCTGGACCAGCAGCTAATTTCATTAGACATAAAGCACAAGACTGTGACTCTCCACTGGGCTAGTCTGTGTTCTCTTATTCCCTGTAATGGCCGTTATGCTATGTAGCTGCAGGCTCTTTCATTCACTAAAATGTATCCACTATTTTCGACACAGTGACACAGCACAGTAACAGATACATAAGTATAAAGGTTAGAAATGAATGAACAAAATTGATTTGAGAGTAAAATGTAAATTTGCAAGTACAAATTAGAAAATGTTATCAAGAGATTGAAAATGTCGAGTGCAAAAGAGAATTGAAAAATAATGAGACTGAGGTGCGAGTGTCAAGTGAGGGAAGAAAAATGTAGTTAGGGGTGGAAATCGTTAGTTAATGTGATTCAACATGACATGATATATTGCGACACAGTTAATACAGTCAATTACACCATAACACAGTAATGATAACATCACGACTCAGTGATTCTGTGATAGCCATGAGATGCAAGACAGTCATATGATAATGACACCATAACATCTGATTGGCTGAAGGAAAGGAGATTCCCCTAAGAAGGAAACGTGCAGAATAAGTGTTTGAATTAGCTGTATTTTGGTTTGTTCTCACTGAAATGATGAAACTGTGTTTTGAGTTTGTAAATAAAATTTGTTGCTCTAGTGAAACAGTCAAAAGACTGTAAAATTACCTGTTTTGAAAATAGCATTTTTAAATTTTGTGCTTCAGCCCCTACTTTACGGGTGCTGGTATAATGCTGCGTTCGAGTTACCTGGGAAGTCAGAAGTCCAAGCTGAAAATGACGTCACTCCCTAGTTACCAGCGTTTCAGTTACCAAGGCAGAAAAAAGCAAAATCAGAAGCGGAAACAAGATGGCTGCATCTACAACAGTTAGCTAGCGCTTGCCTTGTTCGAATATTAGGCAAGCACTAACTAACTTTCGTAGATGTAGCCATCTTGTTTCCGCTTCTGATTATGCTTTTTTCCGACCAGCTTTTCCTTGGGTGTGACGTCATTTTCAGCTCCGACATCTGACTTCTTAGGTAACTGAAACGCACCAAAAGTCTCTGTAGTTTGTTGCAACTAGGAATGCATTTTTCATACATGTACAAAATAGGCGGCAGTAGTCACATCATACTTTGTGTCATGTGAAGTCCACCCACCTTATCGCAGGTGGTTGAAACGCTCTACAGACTCAGATGGATCCTCCACCTTTCCCGATATTTCAGCACAAGAATAGCTTTTTTGTTCTGGTATTCAGTTTAAAGTTACACCCGTCAGCTCCTTCTTCCAGCTTACCAATGTTATTGTACTGTCAGTTTCACATTAAATTGGCTTCTGTTTGCAAAGGCCACCTTTTTTGTGGGTCTCTGGTCATGAAGTAGTACTGGAGCTCTGTGCTGTTTAATCAAAATATCCATAACTGTGTTCCATTTTTAATGATTAGGGTTGAAATGTGAAAAGATCTGAGTACAAAGTCGAAACGACCAAAATAAGCTGAAGAAATGGAAAATAAAAATTAAAAGATGAAAGTTAATGTTGGTGCCCCGGGTAACGAATCCAAAATTTTAATCAATTCTTTGTACCTCTGGCTGGATTAACCTTGCCCATGTTGGTAATTTCAGTTTTATGTAATCAGTTAAAATGGTTTTTGCTTTTTGTTTGTTTCAATTACTTTATGATCATAAAAAAAAGAGAGGCGCTATTTTAGTAAAAGAAAAATCTTTGAGCGTCTTTAAGGTACAGACCTTGTCAATGAACCATCGGGGAGGAAAACAACAAAAAACGTCCAACAAAATAACAGTTCTTTGTAATCAAGGGAAGTGTCAAACTCCTTGTGATATTGATCGCTCTAATCTCGCTCTTCGCTTCAAAACAGCACTCTTCAGCGGAAACACTTTTCCTTTCTTAGAAATGTTTATCCTGAATGAAATGAATTTCTTGCCAAGTGTAAGTTGGATTACAGTTTGGCTGAGCTGCTGTTTCTGTCCCGCAGATTCCATGCAGAACGTGCCATAGACATCATCACTCACATTCTGCCTGAGGACCATCTGCTGCTGGCCTCCTCTAAGAGAGTCAAAGGTAAGACACGTTTCTAAAGACAGTGCCAACTGTGTGAAGGGTTCAGTGGGGAATATTTGGCAGGCACTCTCTACCTAAAAGAGTCGCTCGACATTAATTTTATGTAACCTTTATAACTTCCTGTTACAAAACATTTTGGAATTGTTCCACTAGATTGCTTCACTGTGCGTAAATAATCAATAATGGTTGCAACACAATCCAAGCATGTCAACCAAAATGGCTTTTTTGGTACCAGCAGACTCTGCTTGTTGTTGTCCAAACAGTGAGCAGGTGGTCAGGCACTGGTATAAAGGCTGGTACAAATGACATGATGGGGGCTTGACTAAGGTCTAAAATTGGCTTCATCTTTGTTCAGCTCTAATCCTGGAGGAAATTGCCATTGACTGCCACAATAAGGAGACAGAGGAACGCCTCCTTCAGGAGGCCCACGACCTCCACCTCTCCTCTCTGCAGCTCGCAAAGAAGGCCTTTGGAGAGTTCAACGTACAGACAGCAAAACACTACGGCAACCTCGGCCGACTCTACCAGTCCATGAGGAAGTTTAAGGTACGAAAGGGTGATCTGTCATCTGTCTCTTTTGGTTTATATCATGACGTGATTCCAGTACTGTAAATTAGATTACATTATCCAAAATGTTGGTGTCAGCCTTTACAAGCTAAAAGAGTTCATCCTTATAAGCAGAAATAAGGAGGGGCAAAACAAGAGTTCTTTAATGTCACAAGTTTAATCATACATCTCAAGAACTGTCATTCTGCCATCTGACAGAAGCAAAAGTCGCTGAGACGTTCGATTGAAAAAGTCTTGATACCATAAAAACCTGCCAGAAGCCTCCACTTCAGTCTTTTCATGACATACTAAAAAATAAAGCCTCAACCATATTTCTGCAAACGCCTAACATTTCTACAAATTGAGAAGGAATATATTCCATGACAATCAAATGTTGTCTCGTGCTGCCAAGAAGATGATACCTTAGAGAGATAATCTACTTCATTTCACTGTCATGAGGAACTTTTTGTCTTGCGTGTGATCCTGGTCTCTGTCTTTGTGTTTGATTTTTGTCTGTTTTTCGGGGCGCCCTCGTATTCAGGAGGCAGAGGAGATGCACATCAAAGCCATCCAGATCAAGGAGCAGCTCCTGGGTCACGAGGACTACGAGGTGGCTCTGTCCGTGGGCCACCTGGCCTCCCTCTACAACTACGACATGAACCAGTATGACGATGCAGAGAGGCTCTACCTGCGCTCCATCGCAATTGGTCAGACACAGGGATTACTTATGCTTTGTCTGGTCTATATGGAATAAATACTCAGATTATGTTCTCTTTACTTTAAGCAGGTTTTGTTACAGAATACAGCTAATTCTTCCAAAAGTAAACCTGTTTCTAGATACCAGGAAGTCTGTGAGAAATCCTCTGAGAGCTGACTAACCTTCAAACATTTCCTGTTTCGCGTGTAGTCCCAAATTCTTCCCTTGTCTGCAAGTAAAAACACAGCACTGAGCAAAAGATGGAAGCTGAGTCAGACCTTTGTGCCTTGTTGATTCTAGCTTGTAATAATCAGTGTCTGACCAAAGCAGATTCAGAGGCAGCCTTGTCCAGGTGCATGCATATAGAGGGTATGAACCATTACCTTTATAAAACATAGCCTCAGACATTACTCACAAGTGGTCTGTCATTCAAAGCACTTGTGCCCTAATCTGAACATCCTGAAGATTGAGTTAAATATAAAAAATTACCACCCTATAATGTGTGCAGATGACGAAATTAGTATTCACTTTTGAGGTTGTGAATGTGTTTATTCTTGTTGTATATTTGCTTTTTTGAATGAATCTGAAAGTGGCCTCTGGGGCTTTCGCAGACCAGCAAACAGCATGAAGTACCACACTCACAACCGCGAGAGATTTCTGACTGAAAAACTATGAAGCAAGATGAAAGAGAAAAATCTGACCTGAGGATTTTTCCAGTGTCACAAAGGTGTCTCTTTACTAAGATACTAGAGTGCCATGCTAACCCAGCTGGTTCAGCTTTTAAAAGGCTGTAAAGGACTGGTCTTCCAATAATTATGATATGACAGTATTGTCTGTGAGCAATTTACATTTTAAGCTAAACTGTTTGTACTTGAAAACTTCAATATAACATTGACAGTGCTGCAGGATGAAGCTGTGCAGTTACAGTTACTCATACTATATGCATCACTTTAAAGAGACTCCACATTCAGTTGGTTATAAATATCATCTGATTCCCCTCCAGTCTCTTGACTGACATTTTTACCCGTTTGCTTAAAATAAACACTTAAAATTCTTGCAGATTATCCAAACAGTGAATGATAACAGCTCCTTAAGCAGACGTTTTCTCAGTACCTGCTGTTATACAGTAAAGTTGAGTTTGAGAGCTGTACTGCGTGTAGCTGTTGGATTAAAGGTGAAGGAGAGGCGACAACTGCCTATTAAAGGGTAACATTGCTGTCTGTCATTGTTGTAATGCAATAATAGTATATACTGTAAATTGAACTCTCTTTTCTTGTCTTATAAATCAGGTGTATACATAAAAGTCAGGAAATCTTTACCCAGCTATAGTGAACCTCAGTTGTATTAAGGCAGAGCACTGAAAACAAAGCACGCAAAATTAGCTTATTTTATGTCCTAAAATCAACATTAACAATAAACCCATTTGGGCTCAAAAGAATTGGTTGACCTTGACTGTGGTTGCATGATTGCTGACATGGCATGTGATGTTTCCTGTCTCCTCACAGGTAAAAAGCTATTTGGGGAGGGCTACAGCGGGCTGGAGTACGACTACAGGGGCCTCATCAAACTCTACAACTCAGTGGGAAACTACGAGAAGGTTTTTGAATACCACAACGTACTTTCCAACTGGAACCGACTGAGGGACCGGCAGTTTGCTGTGGCAGACGCCCTGGAGGATGTCAACACTACACCACAGCAAACCCAGGAGGTGGTACAAGCTTTCTTACTGGCTCAGAGCCTGGGCCCTACCCGCCCCTGTCTCGGCTGATTTTATGAGGGAAGAGAGGAACATTAAAAAAAAAAAACACACACACAGGGGCTCTGAGGAGGACAGTGATGAGCCTAAATGTGATGCTCCAGTTGCACACAGTAAATAAGTAACACAGTTAATACAAGGATCACCCTCAAGTCAGCTGCCAGTACACACACAGACACACACACACAGACATACACACACATTTAGTTGTGGATTTTAAAGCTAGAGAAGACACCGCTATTGAACCTCATCAACACCCTCATGAACCACCAAGATGCGACTGCTGACTGGACGCCGCTTCACCCCACAGAGCAGACTGATGCATTTCTCTAAGAGAAAAAGGAAAAAACGACTGAGGGGGGGGTATCAGAAAAAAGAAAAGAAACCTCAAAACGTCCTGTAAGGATGACTTATGACCTCTCCTCTTCTTGTGTCTCGCTCGCCTTTTTCTTTCAGTTTGGTTTATTTTATTTTTATTTTTATTTTTATTTTTTGGGGGGGAGGGGAGGGGGGGCTTTTTTATTTGGACCAGTGTAGCTCTGAATGCCATGAGACTCATCGCAGATCTAAACCATGTTCTCCAGGGCTCCGTACACAACAGTATCTGAACCACACGCGTCTGTGAAAAACATCTCAACCTGCATCCATCAGCGTCATCACTATGTGGATCAGAGATGGAAAATGTTGGATATTTTTTGACACTTGTACAGTGAAACAGTACAGTAGATTGTACACTTCAGTTTCAAGTGAAGGCTTCTTTTTTTCTTTGCAAAGGAATGAAAGAGTACTCTAAGAAAACTTCTCAGTGGAGAGATTACAAATAGAGGAATGTGCTGAACCAGTGGGTTTATTGTTACACACACACATTACATTTTATTTTATCTCTTTTTCCAGCATAGTACTGATCTAGAATAATTAAAAATGCCAATAATTTATATGCAAAAGTGTATGTTATGTAGCCCTTTTGTTTATGCTTTCTTACTGAGTGGGCCACGAACGCTGAAGAAGCTGAACAACACTATCACAATAAAACAAGGAGGGGAAGAGGAAGATACCACATGCTCAGAGGTCATAGTTTTGTTTTTCTCGTCTTTTAGGGGAATTCTGGTATTTAAACTTGGGCCTTGCCATTACTTAGTTCCAAGTTCAGAAGAGGGGAGTTGCTGAATTAGATTGCTTCAGCTCACAGCCTGGAGGCAGCATTGTAAACTTTTTAGAAAAATGCACCTCATTTTAGTATATCTGGTATTATTGTTTCCCTGGCTGACAAATGCAGATTTTGTTCAGCTGATTCAAATTTCATTCAGTGGAAACAATATAGATTGGTTTCCTTAAAGGTTTTTTTTTTTAAACAAATACAGGTGAAATTTCTCTCCCAGTAGCTACCAGGCCTCATTGACTGAAGAAGCACTCTAACTTTTGCAAAACATGAACCTCCTGGTCTACTTCTGCTTCAGTCAGTCAGTCAGCTTTTATACTGTTGTGTCCTAAAAAGCGTTGCTTGAATCTTGTTGAACTATACAAAACACCTCAGTTAATCGATAACAAGCAAAGCAGCTAATAATAGGAGCAGAGGACCAGCAGCTCCTGTGTTTTGTGAGGTAAAAATACATTTGAGGCTCTCACACATGTGCATAAAGCTCCTGAAAAATGTCCCGACTTTATTCAGGTCGTTTGCAGTCAGCCTCCTTGCAAAAGTTGATGAGGGTTTTTTCTGTTTCCTCTCCTCTACTGCGATGATATGGAAGAAATCGCTTCACTCGTCTTCTGGGCTGTCAATTGTGATATCAAATGAGTTGATTAGAAATAAACTCAGAAAAAATGACTCTTGTACTTACACTTAGCATGAATTTGAACCAACCTTGAAGCTAACAGAAAACACCTTTCAAAATGATATTTTTCATTCTACCCATCTGTTAACATGGAGAGGTTAGTGGGCTTTGTAACTGGTCAGGCAGCTGGACACTAGGGGGAGCTGTAAATGTGAACTAAAGGAGCAGTTGATTTGTCATTCACAGTCAGTGGTTGCAACAACTGGCTAAAGTAATCTATGATGGTGAATCCAAAACTTTTACGTTTTGACTTTGAAGGATACAAAATTATAAACCCAAGTTTAAAAACTGCAGAATTCCCCTTTAAAGACGACTTGTATGTGTGAGTGAGAGTAAACACAGATAAAACTCTGGGTGCCCGAGTGCTCCACTGATAATGATCAGCCTTACACCAGCCTGCAGTTATCTGTCTGTAGACGGACCCATATTTCTAAGTGCTAATTAAACTGTTAAACCCTTAAGGGCACTGCAATGGGGACCAATATTGTATATTTGAGTGTGTGAGTGTGAATGTTAGTCTGTCAAACGTGTGCATCTGGTATTTTCCTCTCCACTCCTCCTTGTAAGATGTCCCGTCAGAGCAAGGATCTAGATATTTCCGCTTTTACTGGACTTTGTTTTTCCATCCCCTCCATCAGATTGAATGTTTCTTTGCCAGATCTCATCAGGCGTTTCTCTAAAGAGCTGCATGTCACCACAATGAACCTGTAACGTGTGTTTTAGAGTTTGAATACTCTGATTCTTACTGAGCAAAGATAATGTTTCACTGACAGCTTTTGGTCTCTGTACTCTACACATTTCAGGGATAAGATCACTTGAATTACAAGATATCTTTTCTGAACTTTAGACTTTATTTTCTTTTGAATATTACCAAATGAAGAGTCTGAGAAGTAACATTTTCAAGTTTTACACAAACACCAAAAATCACAAACACAGGACCTAAAAAATAAACTTAACATGTAACCTCAAATATATTTTTGACTGTTTTGAATTGACTCACATATTTTAGTTTTACAAGAGTGAAAATTATGCCAAAGAATCCAAGTAGAAGGATGCAGTATTTGGATATCATACAAAAACAGTAATATTAGTATGCTACATAGTTTATCCTCATTCATTTCAAGAGTTTTAAACAACCATGAAGAGGTGAAAATACACAGTATAGTAAAAAATACACAGTTTAATGAAGTGGGTCAATGATCCTTGAATTTTCTACCTTGCTAGGGCCCAGAACCAAAGTTTGGGCACCTTGCTCCAGTTTTGCAGATACTCCAGGTTCAATCTGTGAGCTTTGATCTTATTTGGTAAAATAGCCCTTAAGAAAACTTGGACAAGGATTGCTGTTGCCCTGTTGATTTTTTTTTCAAAAATTGTATTTGCAGCGTTTCCCGAAGCAGCAAAGATGTCAGAGGGCGTTTTTGACCTTGAAGAGTTGAGCACATAAATTTAGGTGTGATATGCAGCTCTGTAGAGAAACTGCTGAGAGTTTGCTCTGATGTGAAATGTAAAAACAGAGTCTGGCTTCAAAATAAGTTGAAGGAATAACCTGCAACACCTCTGGAAATGCAATGCCTTCGAGAAGCCTCCCACTGTTGTTTCTGTTGATTTAAAGTGAATGAGGAAAACGAGCTTTGCCTTGCTGATGCTTCAGTGCTGTCGGACGTCTCCCTCTCTAGCAGTGGTGTGAGTGGCTCTAGATGAGGAGGTCCAGCCTTAGCCCCCCCTTACACGGACGCTCAGCGACACTCTTGGTGCTTTGGCTTCAACAGGCACACCCTCCCACCCCTCCCCATCCTCCTCCAGAGCAGTTTTTCTAGGCATACTAGGAAGTGAATGTTATGATCCTTATTCTAAAAGAAAACTGATAAACAAAAATGCTTGTGCTCTTTTCCTACGGTAATTGCAGAATTTAAGAAGAAAAAAAAAATCTTTAAGATGCTCCTGCACTGAAGTTTATTTAAAGGACACACCCCAACCTGCTGCAATGCATTATGGCCTGTTAGGGCTACTGTCTTTTAAGCGTTTTCTGCTCCCTCTGCAATAGAACCACCACTGAAAGCTAGAGTGATCGCTCTTTTCTATGGGTTTCTCTGTTTAGAAAATAAGAGAAACCTTCATTCAAACTGAATGTTTTTGTCAAAGGAGTTTGGTGGCATCACAGCCAAGCAATATCTGTTTTTGGTTGAGTGAAAACAAACTTTCTGTAATGTTGTAATGAAGGCAGAATAACGATATACCAGCAAAAAGAAGAGATCTTTCAAGACATACTTAAAATAAATGGATGCACTCGCCCAGAGTGATTCTGTTGCAGCTATTACAGCCCCTTTTACAGCAGGTTGAAATAAGCCACTGGAGCGCCCCCAAAACAGTAACCCAGAGTTACATGAAGTACCTAAAAATGTCCTTTATTTAAAGTCAGTGTTGGAGTATTTTAGGGTGTTTTTTTTTATTCTTTTAACGATAACCCTCAGAGGCCAGCTGACTGAAGGAATGTAAGGCACAAGGCTGGTAACACCGCCAGGTTGTCTTTGTGTTCAATTGAAATCTGAAAGGGAAAATCCACAGTGTCCATGCCGGAGGGGTCGGGGGGGTCAAAGGTCAAGGGCTTGATGAGAAAAGAAAGTATGAAGTCTAAGATATTGAAAAAAAAAAAAAGCTGTGATCTCTCCAACAGCCCTGTTTTTACTGTCTGAGAGTTTCTGATGATAGACACCAAATGTGATGAGGGGATGTTTTCACTGTTGTCCTGTTACTGCTTCACTGTTAGCTGCAAAAACATTAAAACTTATATCATTGATCACAAACGCTGCATGCTTTTTTTTCTTATTACCAATCATGAGCCACTCTGGGATCACCTTAAATAGCAATTTATTTAGATCTGAGGTTAAACCACCCAACACATCCTGTCGATGACAAAATCCTGAGGGTCAAAAGAGAACAAAAAGAGAAAACAAACGAAGACTGATCTTAATTTGGAAGAAATAAAACCCACTTAAAAGTTCTCCTGCACTCTTCTGGCCAAATGAAGTATTGCAATAATAAGGGCATCATAAATTACATTCATTTGCACATCTTTGCATCTTCTACAAGGAAATCCTTTACCTAGGGTGACCATATTCTGAATCCCCAAAAAGAGGACATGACTATGCAGGGTGGAGTCACAGAGTCGTGCGTTGTAAATTTTGAGTTTTTTCAGTCAGGCTGAGTGTTTTTATGTGCTTATGTACTTCTGTACAAAACCCCCAGACATTTGAAGGATTTTATAAACTCCCCTGCACAGGCCGGACAGCCCCCCAAAAAGAGGACATGTCCTGGTAAAAGAGGATGTATGGTCACCCTACTTTACCCATGGCACAGTGGAGGATCTCATCATTTCTTAGGTTTGAGTCTCATTCTCTCACTACACACCTACAAGGTTTTCCATGCAGGGTCCACCACATTACAGTAGTAATGACAGTACTAAGTAATATCTAGCAGGCAGATTTTCCCTTGGTCTCCCTTCTTGACAGTGAAGCAAAGGTGGTCTTAAGGGAATAAAAGCCCCTGTGATGCATGACAAGTATGATCCTCTATTAGCAAAGTTTTCACCATCAAAAACATCAACACAAATTCTTGTATGCAATAACCACTCTAAAAGTTTTCGTCAGTGCTTTTTGGTAGCCACTCACTGTATACAAAAATTCTGTTCAACAATTTGGTACAACTTAGTAGCAGCACACAGCCCCCGTAATAACTGTTGTCGCAACATGCTTACTCGGGCTTCCTACCTACTCGGCTACCATAATAACCATTGTTCTAGTCTACACGCAACATTTTTTTTCTCATTCACGAAATGCTTTAATCGGAGACATTTCTGGGGACAGCTTTAGCCAGGGACAGGTCATCCAAAACGGGGACTGTTCCCGGAAATCGGGACGTCTGGTCACCTTAGTCTCAGTGGCAGGGACTTGCTCCTTTCAGCTGTGCCCTTTGTCATGTTGACGTTTATCTGACTCCTGGTTGTTTTCTTACTTCTTACTGGAAGCATAACCAAAACATCATCCGTGTACAGTGTGCGCAAAAAATAGTTTAGCTACATACCTGAAATCAGGTTGTAAACATGTTTAAATTAGCTGTAAAATAGGCATTTTGAAAGAAGACAAATGGGGACTCTTTGGATCTTACAGCCAGCTTCAAGCTGACACTTGAGGGACCATAGTGTCTTTGCGCTTTCTCAATGGCTTCATATTTCAACACCAGGGGTTGCTGCTCGCAGGAAACCATACATGACCAGAGTCCAAAATAGCCTGAGTGGAGACAGGAAAGTTGACTTGACTCCATCCAGTGGCTTCAGCTCTTCTTGTCATCTGTGCCATCGTCAGTGAGGTATTCAATGTGTGTCTTTATGCACCACATCTGCAGAGGAACAAGAGAGCAGTTTTATGACTCATAACAATACATTTCAGCATAACGATAAGGTTTGATTATTTTGGGTATTTCTGCTTACATAATAACAGCCTACATTTTTACGCAGATGATACACAGCTATCTAAGTCCCTCATTTTTGAAGAATACTTTTAATTTCTTTCTACCTCTGCTAAAAAAGCCAGCAGGCGCCCTGCAGCCAGCAGCACAGTCCCCAGTATCTGGACCCAGGGTGGCAGGTACATCCAGCTGTAGAGTAAATCTTTCTGAGAGCCGTACAGCCACAGAGGGAGGCAGTGCAGTCCACTCACCACCCACAGGCCAAGAGTAGTCTGAAACCCTATTAACAACACACAAATCAATTTACTCATGTAACCTGTGACTGATCAGCACTTAGGAGCAGAAGTCCATAAGTCATTTCTACAGCTGCCCCATTCATCAGAGGCCAAAAACAATCAGGTTTATCCTAATTCAAACAGAAGACTGGAACCAGGACAGATTCAAAACAACTTTTAAATCAGCCAAGAGATAAAACTTTCCTCTTAAGATGGTGATATCAGGCTTGAAAGAAAGAGAATGTCATGAATTAGTGAAGTAATGATGAAGTACATGATGCACCATTATATGCTAGTACCATTGTCCATGATGGCTCGTATGATTGGAGGGCTGCAGTTGAAGCTGTTCTTCCAGTGATCTCCTCTGGCACTGTGGTTACACACAAACACACACCACTCCACTGCAGACACCAGCCAGCCCCACTGTAATTAAAACAGGACAAGAGATCAAGGAACAGTAGAGAACACCTGCTGCATGACACACACAATAGATTTAGAGTAACATTATAATACTCTCTTTGTTAACCGGTTCAAACATGGTTGAGTTCAAGGAATCCCATCTGAATAAAAACAACATTTTACAAGTTTTTATAAATGAGTAGGAGGGGATTTATCTGTGACCTTAAACAGCAGGCTCCACAACATCCCTCTGCCAAGGTTGTCCACCACTACATCTAGCCAGGCCCCAAACCTGGAGGTCTGCCCCAGTTTTCTGGCCAGCCAGCCATCCACTCCTGCACACAAAGCATCAACAACATATCAAAACTGAAGCTGACTTGGAGTCAATTTTCCTGATTATCAAAAAAAAAAAAACTATGATTAAGTGTTATTTTGTCAGCTTTTTGTCAGGTTCTTCATCTGACCATCCTTAATATGATATTAAAAAATGCAGATTGATTTTATTAATATTAGTTATTGATGAGTCATACAGTATGTCAGCAGGTATTAAAGCAGAAATGGTCAGTGAATCTTCTGTAAAAACAGTTTTACTCCCACTGTTAGTAAACTGAAGTTATCTTTTTGATCTCTCTCTACAGATCTGCATCATAATATTTCAGCAAATTTGAGCCTCATTAATTACAAGTAAATCAAAAGAAAACTGGTGTATTTTCATGTTCTTACGGCACAAGTTAGCCAGTGTGAAGCCTCTGTGTAATTACGTGTTTACAGACATATTAGTGCCTCTAAGGAGATGTCAGGAAAAATAATAACAAAACTAAATACTTGCCAGCTATAATTCATTTTATTATTCTGCCTTTTTCCTGCTGTGCTGGGACATGGTGTCTCCTGTTAAAACAGCCAAAGTGTCAGTTAATTGTACTTTGGACATGCCCAATATAACTTTGATAGTCTACTGCAGTGTACCAGCATTCAGTCCGACGGTCACACCAGGTAAACAACAGTGTTTGACAAACAACTTGAAGGCATAATGTTAAAAGCTGCAAACATTTAAAACAAACAAACAAAAAAAAAACTGCACTAAAGCAACACAACCAAGGGAGGGAAAACTATTTGATTTATATAAACCTATTTGATAAAGTATTGTGGCTGCCTTCAAACCATGTGGCTCAAGTTACAACAAGGAAGTAACAATTTACCACTGGATTTTTCTGAAGTGGATTATCTACAGGAATGTTGGTTAAGAAAAATAAATATCCCCTGTTTATGTAAAAGTTTATAAGTTGTCACCTTTGTTTTGTAAAATGAATATTCACCATGTATTTCATCAGTGAAAAGATACTTGTGAATATTTTCCATCTTAAAAAAAAGTCTAAATTTAACAAATCCAGCTACTTGGAATTGACCTGCCAATAAACTTTTTTAAAAAGTGCGAAGAAAGTCCAGTTTTTGGTTACGCTTTAATTTGGAGTTTGCATCAGCTGAATACAGTTTATAGAAATGACAATAACTTGCACATGTTATGATCACACTGCCAATATTTTAGTAAAACACTAAGACTTGGTAAAACAAGATAACAACAGAGTGGTTCACCCACAAATATGTAGTTGAACTTGCAGAAACCTACAGCAAAATAATGAGATACTTTACCATCAAGGGCTATGGAGATGGAGTACAAAGAGATGAAGAGTGCCGGACTGTCATATGTCGCCCACGCAAAAAATACAAGGCAGATCCTAATGTAGCCTGAAAGACAAAAACACAAACACAACTGAGTGTAGGGCAAGGGTTAATAACTCTTTATACAGTAGCTCCTACAGTATCTTCTAAGTTTGTGTTGATTCTGGTGCTTTTTATGGACATAATAGTCGACTTTCTGACATTTCTTTGCTGATCCTCTCCTGTGCATTAAGTAAAGAAATCTAATTCTGCTCTATTTTCTTCAACTAAATTATAACATGTATGTTTTTTTTAAATCTTTGCCATGAGATATTTCAACAAAGCAGCGCAGTTTCAGACATGAAAATGTACAACAAGAAAACAATATTCCGTAATGTATGGTCTCACTTGCTTTTGTAGGCCATACAGAGGTGTCAGTACTGGTTTCAGTCTATTCGTGACAAACTTTAAAACTCCCCACTGGAGCTTTAACTAAGACAAAGATATCGCAGTGACCTTACATGACCTACAGCCAAAGTACATTCATTTGAACCCAAACTAAATGAAGTTTGCTTATAATATTCACAGTATCAATATTCTCCATTAAATTGGTTCTACAATAAGCCACTTGAATGTAGTAATCTGCCGAATAGATAAGCTACATTATTCAAGTCTCTGATCATCTACAGTATACTAGTGTCCGCCATATAACTATGCCACATAACACAGCTATTAAACACAAATGCAGTTTTCAATGTTGAATTAGCTGTCACTCACCAATAATATTGGGCCAATACAGAAGAATGTGTTGTCCCATGTGCAGTCAGTTATTATAAGGCACAGGCTCTTCGCGGAAGAAAGATGATGCAACCGACCTCGCTAACTCCCCGACCTGTCTACCATTCAAAGCCGGTAGTCATAATATAGTCACAAAACCGTTCATGTCGACATAAACTCGTGTGGTATCCACGAGCTGGCGAAGTTAGTCGCTTTCCCTGTGGCGTGCTTCGGCTGCTATCATATTCAGTACGTGACGTAGACGGATTACAACGCTGCAACGACGACGGAACGTGAAGGCAAACCCCGTTCAAACATCTGCCAATATAACAACACCGTCCCTGCATAATAATATTTTAAAAAAACGCTCCCCTGATATATTTGTCAGTTAGGAAACCGATAGTTATGTGCCGATAGCGCCGTTATTCCCAAATAATACTAAACAGTCTCATTATTTTAAAGGATGGTAAATAATTCGTCTTTGAGCGGTGAAAGATAAAAATTTGAGCTTTTCTTGAGGGGGGTCTGGACCAAGCCACGATCTAAACGGATAGTGTGGCAATATTCGCGTGATGGAAAGAGATATTCACTCATTTACGCGTAGATATAGTCATAATCCAAAAAATGCGTTTAGAAATGCGTCTATATCTCGCACACGCACTTCTTTGGTCCAGTTTTCGCCTCTAGATGTCGCTGTAATATCTAAAACCAAAATCTACCGTTCATTTTCATTCATTTTTGTCAAGAATTGTAAACTTGTGAAAGTCAATATCCGCGGTAGGGGAAGAAAGAAAGAAAGAAACATTAATGACATTAGTGTAGAGCATTTTTTGCATTCGTGCACTACATTGCACATATTAGTGTACTACATAGTGCATATTTGTGTACTACATAGTACATATTTGTGAACTACATTGCACATATTTGTGTACTACATAGTACATATTTGTGTACTACATTGCACATATTTGTGTACTACATAGTACATATTTGTGTACTACATTGCACATATTTGTGTACTACAAAGTACATATTTGTGTGTACTAAATGGTACATGTTTGTGTACCACATTGCACACAATTAAATTAAATCTGAGTGGTAGCAAGAAACAGTTTTTTTTTTATTATTATTTATTTATGTTATGTATTTACTTATTCATTTTTTGGTCATTTTAGGATACTGAACCCATCTTTTTAGAAGGACTTTATTAGAAGAACTGTACTGATCCCCGAGGGGTAATTCAATCGTAGCTAATTATAAGAATCACACTGACATAGCCCCCTTTAGTGTCTTAAGACATTTTTTTATATTTCTAACCCGAAAAAGAAGCAGAGTAACCATTAGATGGCGCTACTAGCACTTGTCAACGAAACACAGTCAAACACATGCACACATGGCAGCGTGGGATGACTGCGCACAATGAATAAAATTGTTTTTATTGTTTCCTACAAGCAAAAGAAAATAATTGGATACGTCGTGTAGATTTGTAGTAGTAAAACACCTTCGCCGGTCATGTCTACAGGCGTTAGAAGAATCTGATCAACTGACCTGTAGAGTCAGATCATGTGACAGCATGGAGGCGTCGCTGAAAACATTCACCCGTTCACCACATAAACACACCACCAGGAAACCCGTTTCACAATAAACGGATAAGGACACAAACAGACCCGATCATCTCCGCTGGCAACGTTTATTTCCTCACATCACAATGAAATGAGGGGAGCATGGGGGCCAAAGAGTCGAGGATAGGATTCCTGTCGTATGACGAGGCCGTCAAGAGAGGTAAGCCGCAAAAGCAACGGGCTAAATCCACCTCAGGGCGCTAGCTTAGCTAACTGACAGCTTTTAGGCTAACTGGTGTTCTGAGGAGTTGTGCTGCGTTGCCGAAAAATACTACTATAGCGCGAACTGTCAGCAAAGGTGATCGGTTTGCGGTATCAGTTTATGGGTTTTTCATTACGAAGGGGTTAAGTGAAATATACGAATAAACCAAGCTGCGTTGATGTCCAATTTGAAAGAATTTCATGACAAATCATTTCAGGAGACGTCTTCTATCCACCATCAGATACTACCGGTACAAAATCACTTCATATGACGCCACTTCATTTGTGACACCACTATAAGACCCGTACTCAAGCTTCAAGGAGAAACGTGTCTTATCTGAAAAATATCTTCAATCACATAATGCTCCCAGTGGTGACAAGCGCCTGAACTGTGGCTCTACACAGGCGCAAAACCGCTTAGCGAAACATCTCGATCGGTAGCACTATTCGGTAGAACACCGGTACATACAGGAGGACGTCCTGGCCAACCGTTAAAATCTTGCGGTTTAAGCGGCATTGCTAACCAGAAGGGTTTGACTCATGTCATTTAAAGAGTTAACGCCTTCCACTGAACAGCCAGAGTCTATTATTCAATTCGGGTTAGAAAATGGGGGAAAGTCTGGCCGGTTTGTGTTAAGTGTCAAGTAAAACACATGCTGAGCCTGTATGTTCCGCAGTCGCCTTTTCCCGAAAATACACATCGTTTGGTGCAGGAGTGAGGCATTATCTGCTAAATGTGCTCCAGTATGTCGTGGCCAAAAGTCTCTGTACAGACTGAGTCCACCCCGATCGAGACATTTTCTCTGGCAACTTGTAAATTGTAATGATTGATAACCTAGGGTTCGTTTGTCCTCACAAGTTAACGCAATCACATTAAATTGACACATTTTTGTATGATGTTTGGTGAGGGATTCTCGCGATGGCAACGCAAGCGTTGCTAGTGTTGGCTAACAAGGAGGGATGGGCTGGCTTTGCCAAAACAAAAGTGAGGATAGCCTTTAATATGCCGAAGATTTTTACGTTGTGCAAAAATAATCGGGTTAAGAGTGGTTATGTACGTGCTGCTGTGTGCTTGTTGTCTGATAGCTCGGCAGAAGGTTAGCTTGAGAGCTACTGCTAAGTTTACAGAGGGAAATGCCTCCAGACTGTTTGCTTCAGACCCTGTCTAGCGGATTTCGAGCCTAGCTATGTGAGATAGGCTAGTCGTCTGGGTTTGTTTGCACTTATAGATTGCTCGATGAAATGATCGGTTGACTTCATTGGCAGCCAGTCTGTAATTTGTGTCGTATTACACAGAAACTATATTGGCAACATACATATTTCAGGCAAGTTGCAAAAAAATCAAGTACAGGGAAATATCGTTTCAGACATAAACCAAAATATTCAAGGGGCCTCAATGCAGGTGCGCTCCAGGATGGGTGGCCATATCTTGCCCAGCCCCGGATTAAATTGGCCACCTCAAGAGCCCCCAACATGTAAGACTATGACTAGCAATTTGCCTTGTGAGAGGTGAGACTTTGTTTCAGATCAACCATTTGAGCCCTGTGGCAACATGTTACTAAAAGTTTGTTTGCTTTTAAGAAAGGGCATTATGTCAAGAGAGGTGCCAAGGGTCAGTAAATGTCCATTAAAAGTGAAAACAAACTGCAGACTTTGACACTGGAATGTTGCCAGCAGGTGTGTTTCTAATTCAAGGTGTGTTTTTTTGGTGTGTCATGAATCAAAGCTGTATGTCTGAGCTCATTCCCCAGGTGAATCTGCAGCCAGGTGTGTCACTATTAACTCCTTCCTACGTTTAACATTTAACTTGTCCCTCTATTGTTCCTTTAAAAACACAGAAAGAGCCACATGCAAGCTGCTATAAGAGTTTAGTCGATGCTTGAGTTGATGTTATCCCTCTGAACAGCAGAAACAATCAAATGTAACCAGATAACAATTACACCTTGCTACATGCCAAAACTGAGTGTTCGTACTGTTCTGCATAAATTGTGCTTTCTTATAGTTTTGAAATACTACATGATTTTTGGACAGCACTATGTCCAAAATGTAAATAATGGGCTGCCCTGTTGACTTCAGATGTTTGGGCTAATACATTTTAGCATACAGTAAATAAGGATATATGTCACTGTAGCATTTTATATGCATATTGAACAATTCAGTTTGAACCCACAGCTTTATTAAAAGTCTGAAAAAAATAATTTCCAGGTGCACAAGTAGAATTTATCTGCAGCTTGGACTGAGAAGAAGACAGGCACTGCACTGGTACCATGTGCTGTTACAGTGTCATAGGACAAATTACAGCTTTAATAAAACAAGAATTTTTTTACACGCCCCAAAAGAAAAATTGTGGTTTTGTTTCACCTTTCTGACAGATTCATTGTGGTCTTTCCAGGGTGATAAATGGCTGACTAATTCCTAGGAAGCCATGAAAAATAGTCCAATAGCACACCATGCACAATTTCCTTGGTTTTCTTTGTATTGGTTTGTAGTGCGTTGTTATCACTGCACTTTACCACTTCATTCACGGCATGCTGGTGAAGCCTGGAGTTGTCTGAGTTACTTAACCAAGAAATCAGAGCTGCATCATCAGAATATTTGGGAATGTGGAGCTAAATGATAGAGGTCTGCATGAAAGGTAAAAAACACAGCTCAACTTACACAACCCAGAGATACACTGGCTGTGGGAGATGAGGCAAACTATAGAATCAAATATGAGTTCAGCTCTGGTTGCTGTTTGTAATGTGCTGAATGTTAGTGACCAATCTAGAAAGAGTGCTCTTGTTTATGCACTGCCTTAGTCTAGATATTTGTAGATCTTATGATCAAGAGGGGCAAGCATTTTCTGTCTCACATCCCTGTTTAAAGATGAAGTCGTGTGGTTTAAGTTTCTCTTTTGTTTTACTATCAAGATAAATCAGCAAAATTTTCTGTCAATCAGATGTCTTAATGGTTCTAGGGACATGGTGTTACATTCTAAGTATTGTTCTACAGTATTGCTGCACTCACACATGTACAAAACTCCAAATCACTTCCTGAAATCTCAGGGTGGGCAGCAAGTGTTGACACAGATATCTAAATATTTCTCTCGTCTCTCTCGGTCCCTTAATCTGCATCTGCTGGTAAATTTTTCCAAAGAATTTTAGGTGATGTGAGAAAGCAGCGGGAAAGATTCAGGAAAATTCAGTGCAAGCAGGTCGGCAGGGGTGATGACGTTTATGTTGTGCAACTGGTTAGAACCCAAATAACAGGATGAATAAAAACTCAACAGAGGAAGAGAGGGCAAGCATTTTCAAGACAAGAACAGTGAACATGTCTGCACAGTCTGTAGCACTGATATGAATACAAAATCTGTCACCGTAGCTTAGGTCTCTGTTGCTTTGTCTGTCCTCATGTTGTAATCATTACACTGTGGCTTTCACAACATGCTTTTGATGTCATGTCTTGCCTCTTGAGACTCAGCTCTGATCCACATGACAGAGTAGAATGCATCCCTTCCTCACTCTCCCACGATAGGTGGTCAAGAGCTAGGCAAGCAGCTCTGCTCTTAGCCTAATTTAGCTCTCATTTGGAAACGCCAGACTAGGTTATTAGAGAGTATTAAAGTGAGGTTAGTCAATAGGTTGTATTACTTTTTCAATGCACGCAGCATATATTTAAGAATATCTACCATTTCATCCAATTAGTAGCTGAAGTTTTGAATCTGTATGGAGATAGATAAAGAACTCAATGATCATTATCTCTGAGATCAGAAGCTGGGATGAAGTTAGGCAGTACCTGTTAGTAACTCTTCATGTGTAATCTACTAATTGGTGTGAAAGCTGTGCCAGTGGTGTGACCCACCTGATATGCATGTTAAATTTAGAGTAGCTCTGAGTCAATGTACTGGGTTGTTTTTCCTTGAAGTGCAGTGAGATCATCTTATATTCAAGGTTAAGTAATTAAATGTCAATGTTTGGCCATAACAGAGGGCAGCTCCACCTGTCTGTCAAGCGAGTGATTGAGGCCTACCATTACTTACAGCTTCAGAGCCAGAGGGACAAAAGATGGAGAGACACAGTGATCATCTAACACAAAGTGGTGGAAAAAACAGCTGTTAAGCAGCAGAAGGAAATAAGGAGAGAGAGTAGAGCGTGACAAGGATAGATCCCAGGTTGTCCACTTGAGGCACAACATCCGAATATGGTGCACACACCTAGACCGCATGGCTAACAGTGCCCCTGAAACACTGCACTTCTTATCAAATCAGGTATTTTAGGATGCAGTTTTCCAAAAATACACCAGTAAACTCCATGGAGGACTTTTATTCATGTCTTAAAGCTCAAGTGAGGAACTTTTGTTTTGCGGTAACGTTGGTGCAAACTGCTTTAATGGACAAAGCAGTCTTTGCTTATCTTGTCCTTTACATGCTTAAGTACTGTCATCTGGCAAAAAAATCCCATCCTATTGGCTTTTGAAAATGAATCATAACAGTTGTGATTTTTTAAAAATTGAAATGATGAAATTAGTGCTGTTTCTGTAGCTTCTTGGCTGATAACTTCCCCCTTACACCAATTTTAGACATCAGAAATTACAATATAAAAGCTGTAAATCTTGTCACTAATGGTCTTGCTTGCTTTTGTACAACATAACAAAGCATTAGTTTGAATTTCATGCTGTTTCATGAACATCAAAAAAACCCTCACAGGAGCTTTAATACAGAGTGTTATAATGGTAATTAGTATGGTTTTATCACTAAGGCCTCCAAGTGATGATTCAGTTTCCAAACAGAAATGATGAAATAATATTTAAGAGCAAGTGGTGCATGGTTCTCGTCAAATCAAGGTTGTAATTGATGCATTATCAGAGAGTTGGAGCAGTTATGTAAGATGCAGTGGAGCATTATCAGGAAGCACATGGGGGAAGTTAAACCTGATGGCCTCTATGTTGAACTTTACTCCCTTGGTTGGCCATAGGTGAACTTTGACAGATTATGAGAGGGAAGCTGTTACACATTGATCAAGGATGCTCCGATATCCGTGCCATGGTCTACAGAGACAGACCTCCTTTTGTAGTTATATGTTTTTATTATATTAAACTATTTTTAAAGCGTTCGCTCCAGCCAGGCATCCTCTGACACTTAAAATCATGTCAGAACAAAACTTGGTTATTGTCACTCTTTGTGTGGCGGTTTGGACATTTCTAAAGCTGACTGCTGTTCCCACTCTGATGATCACATGTGACCACACACACACACACTCAGAGGCGGTGGAATTATCCAGCCATCCAGCCTTATCTGACCAGTCACATGACAGCCTTCCCTAATTCCCACAGCAGTCTCGACTGCAGCAATTACAGGGTGAGTTTTCATCAGCGCTGGCTGCTGTAGGATGGCAGGGAGGGTAATGGTCAGGGAGCATCCGGCGTCCTTAAAGGTTACGCCTAGATGTTTTCCTGTAGTAAAACCAGGATCATTCAGACTTCCTGCTGGCCTCATCTTACATGGTTGACTGTGCACTCTCTGTTCTCTTTGTTCACAGTTTTCTTACCATGTTGCCACCTGAGTAATACTACGTGTCTATGTAACAAGTGTAGCGTGTTGTTGTGGACGGAGGTGTTTTGTTGTCATCTTTTTTTAGCCTGACATCGTTCAAAGATAACATTAAGTGTGATGAAAACAAACACAGCAGCCAGCATATTGCCTGTAACTCTTGCTTGCTGAACCATTTGCTGTTCTTCTTGTTTTATACAATGTCTGTTTGATACACGTCCCAACATAAAATAAATTCAAAAAGATATTTTTTCACCTCCAAATCGGCTCCGATTAATCTGGGGTGGTTTATGACTAGCTTGGCTCCAATTGGCAGGATCAAGATAGTTTAAAGCATGATCATAACACCCAGACCAGGAAAGTGTTGCTTTTTTGCTCAAAATAGTTTTTCTTACTCATTGTGATAAATCCAAACTGTATGTTAGTTAATGATTGTAATGAGATTGTGATTTATTGTGCAGCTGAATTAAACATTGTACCAAGATTACAGAATTGGATTTCCATTCAATATTGACTTTTAATAGGTTATCAGTATAATTAATATCAGTCAATACAACACAGAAGTAGAGTAATACGGTCAAGTAGAGCAAACATGAAACAGAAGTGCTCTAAAATTAACCGTATGTTTACAATGAGTCAGATTTAGAGAAGCAGTCATTCAGATTTGAAAAGGTGAAAGTCCTCTTCCTTTTTCCCAGAGATCCTTATACGATAATAAATCATTTACTTGAACTAGCAAAACACTTTCCACGTCATTCTCTGGCGTCTCTAATAATCATGAGTGATAAAGTGTATCTGTAAAGAGGGCAAAGGCCAAACTAAGATAAGTCTGTACTTCACTAACAGGGAGAGGTCATCTAAGGTGTAAGATGACCTCAATTTCTCGAAATATGATTCAGGCTTTCACAACGCAAATACTGTAAAAGTCTGTCTGAATTAACCTCACTAGATGAAACGATAGTTGTGTTTTAAATAGCTCTGCACTCTCATTGTGTACATTTCATTTGTTGGAGTGAGGACTTGGTGTACCGTCTATGATTTCATGTCAGTCAGATGAAGCCAAGCTAGCTGTCAGCTACCCTCAGAGTCATCACTGGGTTTTTCAGTTAAATTGGAACAATTATGCAACATTTCTATCCGCATGGTGTTGTGATTTATCCACAAAGCCACTGCATGTTTTCTGTAAGTTAATTTGTAGTTAATGATTTTCATACTCTTAATTTCTTAGGTCATTTCACAGAAGGTAGGGAGGATACTTCCAGTACTTGACTGATAAAGCTCCGCTAACACGCCTCCTGTCTGTTCTGGCAGAGGTGTTGACTCACCTTTGTGGTGTTTCTGAAGCTGTGGGTTGTCAAGCGGTTGTATTGCGTTGTGTTATGTTGTAACACCTGGCAGCGCACCAGGTAGTGTCAAAGGGGAAATCTTGTATTTAATCCAGGGCTCTGCTGTTACACATTGAAGGGTCTGAAAGACAAACACGTACGAAAAGTTCTGATATTGCTCTGGTCAGTAACCCGTCAATGAACAGGAAATGTTTTTTTTTCATTGGTGGTTTTCATTAAAATCATGATAATATTTTACTAAAGCTTGCACAAGGCTTTAATAAACACATGTTTAAAGGATGTGAATGATCTATTATATTAGCAAAACCCCTTTAAATATCAATCTGTCAATGTTGCGCACACCCCTTGATCCTCCATATAGAGTCTCTGGAACATCTCCATGTGCTATTTGAACCTTTGTGGTTGACCACCACTCAGCTCAGCACTGCAACAACCCCGGTCATCTGTCTGACTCCTCTGACAGTCACCTGAGAACCACAAAGCCCGGCATTTCTTCCTCACGTCAGCAGGCCTTATCAGCCCAGGTGGCAAACCGCTGCTTTGCATTCCTGCCCTGTGCTCCTGGTTTGTGGATGTGGATTTGTCTACTGCTGCTGTAAAGGTTTACAGTTGAATGTTTGCTTTAGAAACATACGCAGACTGTCACTGAGATAGCTGCAAGTTTGCATGGAAAATTATAAGACAATACGACTTGTTTTAGTTTGGTTGTCAAATGAAAACATCATTGATTGCGTCAGTATTTTTGCATCTGTGGAATTTAACTTCAAACTTAATGTAAGCCCTGTGGTGGAATCTCACAATGTATGTTCATCTGTGGCAATTTTTGGACTTATATAGCAGGCTGTTACAGGCCACTTAGTTTTAAGGTGACTCAATCATTTGGCTCTGAGAATTTGAGCAACTTAGGAACACATAGTCTAAAGCCTTAAGTATCAGTTAAGATTCACAACAGGGGTGTGGGCTGTTTACTCTCCTTTTCAGTCTAATCCAACTCTGCAGTGGATTGCATGAAGCAGGGATGGGAATTAAAATGTAATTTACATTACTCAATACTCGTCACACAAAACAGCACAGGACAAAAACTCATAGCATGATGCATAAAATGTCTGCTAGCCTCTAAAACCAGTCACAAATAATACCATTTATCATTTGGATAGGTTGTGTCTGGCAAAAGACATTATAATAAGGTTGGGTTCGTCAACTCTGATCTAATCTGGAGCCTTTCAGCACAAGATACGGAACAGCAGTTTCTCCTTTGCATTTAACATTTGCCAAGGGAAATCCCTTTCCCACCGCCTCTTTGTCTTTACTTTTACTGTTTACCAATGTTTCTTTGGTGGCAATTGGCATATTTCCACTAGGCCCTGTGCCTTCCTTCTCTGGGCCTGTCTTCATCCAGTACTTGAAATAAGACATTTTGATACCTTTTAAAAGTCCTGTGCCCTGTGTGTAGGGATTTAGGTGGGTCCGTTAGGGTTCCCTCAATAACACTTTTGTTCCCTTGAAGTTCTGAACATTTATGATTGACAGGGTTATAATTAGTTACTTTCAAAATGTAAAAAGTTAAAAGAATCTTGTAATAAGTAAAACAGCAAAACATTTTATTTCAGATATGGGTATAAAGAATGTCCAAATACCTTTTACTTAAGTTTTTTGGGAAAAAATAGGGAACATGCTGATGATAAATTACTTTAACTCCTGTCACCTAAAAAACAGAAACTGTCTACGCCAGAAAATCCAGACAGGGCATGAATTCTGTTTAAGAGTTTTTAATTATTCATTTTGATGAAAGGAGCTGAAAGGCAGAATGCTTGCTTTTGAGTTTATTTTTGTTTACCAGCATCTGCAGATATAGTTCACATTAGTAACAGTGTTTTTTTTATATATTTACTGTATTAGTTACACAAGCCCTTTTAATAAGGCCAAAATAAAATTGTAATGTATTATGAACTAACTGGGCTACTTTGTTTTCATGATCTATTTCTTTTTCTTACTCCGCGATACTTGTTCGATGTCTGTCTGTCTCTGTGACAGACAGACATTGAACAATTATCTACTTTCCTGGTTACCTGGGTGACCAGTCTTGCCCCATCTTAGGATTGGTTGGCTGGAGCAGCACCTTGCCTAATGGTAAAGGCTGAGATGTAGAAAATCCCCCAAGCAGCTAAACAACACACTGAATGGTCTTAAAAACACTCAGATGCAGCAGTTTCTCTCTTTGTGCTCACACATTGCTGATTACGCTCTTTCCTCCTTGAGAACAGCTCTTCAAAAAACTAAATGGACTCATCTAGTGTGCAGGATAACCGTCTTTAAAGCCCCTTTCTTAACACAAACTACAGCGTGTTAATATGATGTGGGGAAAAAATCGTATTGCTTTGGTTTGACTAAAACTGGACTTGTAAATACGTGTCAGTCTGCTTGTTTGGCTGAAATCACACTTAAGTCAAACTTCGGGGTGGGGGCAGATAACTATATATATATATATTATCACCCATTGCTGGTAAACTGGGACAGGGTCTGTTGTCAAATATTGCCTGATCATGCGCTAACTGAAGCATGACTTAACTGTGCATGTAAACCCACAGTAGCATGCTGCTGCATGAGCTGGCTGGATGACTTGTGCTGTCTTATCTTGTTTAATACAATAACTGCAATTGAAGGGTTCGATAAAAGCATCTACTCTCCAACAGAAACCTCTCCCTCTCTAAAGGGCCCCTTTCTGTAACCTTTCAGTAACAATCTGATAATAAAGGCCATGCAAGACAGATGGGTTATAGCATGATTGTAGGGATTTATGTCATAGTTAGCCCAGTACATAAAACTAAAGCCTCTCTTTCCCCTCTTCTCATTCTCTTTAAACAAAAGCCACACACTGGAGGCTTGGCATCCTGCCCTCACATGAAAGGGAAAGAGCTTTCTAAGAACAGCACACCCTGTATGCTTCTGCCTGCAGGAGTCTCTGTTGACGGTTCTCAATGACTGAAAGGTCACCAGGGCTCATGTGAGATCAGTATTTGCATGCTGCTCCAGACGCCAGGGTGTTTCCAATTTTGCTGTTAGAGTGTGCCCAGTTTATCTAATAGGAAAGGAAGCATTGAGCCACAGCAGGAGGCTCTGCTGGCTATTGCTGTGATCATTTAGGAAAGCAGCTTCACGAGAGAAAACCTGCAGTGAATGTTTGTTTGTGTGTGCTGGAAATGCAGGTGTGTGTGAAAACTTCGAGAGCATGGAGCTGAGAGTGCAGTGGTGTGTGTCTGACAGTAACAATTCCCCAGCCTTTGTCTGAAGACTTTGACTGTGTGTGTGTGTGTGTGTGCGTGTCTGTGTGGTAGAAAAGCGTGTTGGCACACTTGCAGAAACCAGAGCCTTTGTTTGCCCTGCAGTGAATGGTAACCATTGCAGTTAATGCAGCCCACTGTCCACGAATACATCCATTGCATCACAGCATCAACAATACACAAAGTGTTCTGTATAATGTGGATGGCTTTGTGCTCTGTCCCCATTTGTCCGTGCAATCGCAACAACTTTGCTATTATCCCTTAGCTGTACTCTGCTATCAATAGTTTAATAGAACACTACTTCCATTCATTAACTTTCTAAATATTTCTTCCTTTACCTCTGGGTTGTCTTTTGTGCCTCAATATTTTCTAAAGATGAGATCCACTGCTGATTAAACAGAATTTTAAATTCAGACTGGTCAACAAGCCTTAAGGTAAGACAACCCTAATAAAACAGTCAGAGTAAGGCTGGTTATTTATCAGGTATTGTTATAGCTCTGTGCTCTGGTAACATTTTTGACAAAGTAGCTCAGCAGGACAGAACACATGCTTCTTTACATCTCTCAGAAACATGTCTAAAAACCTCTACTTCAGTCTTTTGTCCACCATATTGTTCAATAATCCTAAATTCTTTAATGTCTCAGCAACGTAGATGAGTGAGTGAGCGACGGACAAGCTTTTTATCTATTCTTTTGGCCTTGTGTAAATCCATCTGTAATGACGGATTAAAAATAACAGAAAAAAAGTCGTAAAGTTCATCTGTCACAGTCTATCACACATCAGTCTTGTCTCAGATGGTTATTTGTTTTAGATTGTTTATTGATTGATGCAACAGAAAAATACCATAGACTTCAGAACATGGCTGACATTTATGTCAGAGCACTAGGGGTGTCCTGATACGATATTGATATCGGATATTGGTCCGATATCAGCAAAAAACGAATATTGGATTATATCAACCTGCATCTAAAATCTCTGATATCAGCACTCTGAGACAAGTAGTCCATTCCAGACTCCACTCCGGCACCTCTATCTAGCAGCAACCTGATCCAGCAAGCTGAGCACACAAAATCACAACAACAGTGTGTACGAAGGCACTAACAAAGTAGCAAGGAATAAGAATGATGTCGGCTCTGTGGTAGTATTTTTTGTTTAAATCCAAAAAAGACTTTGCAGCAGAGTGACAAACTTGTCATGCACAGTTTTGTGCCAATATCAGATCAATATTGGTATCGGTCAATATTAAAGGCTACAATATTGGTATTGTATCGGAAGTCAAAACATTGTATCGGGACACCCTTACTATTCGTCATCATTCGAGAGATCAAAAAAAATTTTATATAAAACACTATCCCGTAAGTGATGTAGGTTAAATGTTCATTTAATGTCATTCAGAATGGGGAAAACATAAGATGACAGTAACATTGTCCTTGGGAGCCATGATGTTGATGCAGGTTATTTAGAAGTGCTAATAGTCAGCTCAGTTAATTGGTCTGTCTCTGTTCTGAATGTCACATTGATCAAGGCTGCAAATAACTAAATAATAGTTGAGACTTATGAAATACCAAAAAGTACATACAAACTAATGATTTGTCATTAGAAAAACTTCCAGTGACAGATATACAAGCTCATTTCAGGTTTGTCAAATGATTAGTCAGTCATTTGTACACAGCCTGCACACAGAGCGCCCACACATAATTTGGTAATTGATCAACAGATGAAAGTTTTTGTTCAGTATACTTCACGTTATCATTCTGTGATGAAAGTCCAGGCCTGGGTCGGTTAACTGTAAACCCAGTAGCCAAAAAAACACAAATATCTCAGTCTGCACAGATGTTGCAGGCACACAGAGATAGTGGCGCGCTAAGATGTGTTTCAGTTGAAGGAGTGACCCTGTTAACTGGTGATTTCCAGCCAATGTGTCGGTGGTTATTGTTGTTACAACAACAGCTGGAAATGGAAGAAGTCCTCCAGATGCCTCTCTGTCTGTTCATTACAGACACATCCGATGAGTAAATTCTTACATAATGATGAAAGGAGATGCTTTCTATTTTTTGCACCTGATGTGACGACCAGATAACATGCTCTCTCATTAGATCGTATCACTATTACAGCTCTGGAAAGAACTGCGTCTTCCTCCTTCCTCTTCCTGCTTTCCTGCAGTCGGCATCGTGGGCTAACCTCAATTAAAGATATTTTTAATTTGTTCAACTGACAAGCATGTATGACAGCATTTACCGCAGTTTGACTGTAGCTCTGTAGCCAGGCTGTAGCTGACAGTTAAATCAAAGAAGTGAAACCTCCACACTAGACTTTTGCTTGCACAGGGAATCGAGAGAGAAATACTTCACTCCTCCAGTCTACAGATATCTCATGGTGAAGTCTGTTGATGAACTCTGCTCAGATGTCTTGGGCCTTGAATGGAGGGGGACAGCAGTGATCTGTAAAGCAGCTGTCCACTGGGTGGGTTAGTTTATCTGTCATCTCTCAGTGGAGCTTCACTGATGGACAGCCCGGTCTGGCAGAACCGTCAGCAGGATGTCCATTAACCTCTAGCGTGTCTGCTAAGATTGAGTGGGTAAAGGTTCAGTGGAGTGAAAGTGTAACATCAAGTCAGATAATGAGCCCTTCAACCTCTCCTCTGCACCGCTGGTTATTAATGATACCTGCACATGCTCAGATAGGTGATCAAAAAGCTCCTGATGGATGACTTTCACATGGGCTCATAGGAGTCGTCACCAATGCTGATGTCGCCTCATATTGTTCTTCACGGTTTGAGCAAGGATGTGTTCATATTGATCCCTTCTACATGTAAAAGCTGCACAGTCTCTATACAGGTCTGTTGTAACAAACTGAAACCAATTTGCACGTTACTCTTCAGTATAGTAAACTTAGTTGAACAGTGAAAGAAATATCTAAAGGCTGTTTGCCATCGAGACAGATAAGAGCCTTTACCAAGTCTTACACAGTGATTTACATAACTAGTGCACTCATGAACGACAGCTGCTGCACAAATTTGAAATGCATTTTGTATGATTATGTACAGGAAAGCAGCTGGAGAAGCTGCATCTTATCACTTGGGCCCCAGCTTGTTCTCATCTTGCCGCTTTCTCCTATTCAGGCAGGTGTGCAGTGAATATTCAGGGAGCTGTACTAACTAAGTGTCGATAAATCCTTTGTCGATTTTGCCCACATAGTCACTCTAAGGCAGTGGTTCTCAAGTCAAGTCCTCAATGCCCACTGTCCTGCATGGTTTGGATGTTTCCCTGCTCCAACACACCTGATTCAAATGATCAGCTTGTTATCAAGCTCTGTAATGGCTTAATAACGAGCTGATCATTTGAATCAGGTGTGTTGGAGCAGGGAAACATCCAAAACATGCAGGACAGTGGGCCTTGAGGACTGGACTTGAGAACCACTACCTTAAGGTGACTTACATTTGCTCAAAAGTCAAAGCAGGTGACTTAAAGTATCAAGACTTACAGACTGAAATTCAGTTTAGTGTGTGAAGACGTGTTCAGTTTGAATTCAGGACGAAGAGAATACTCTTTTGTTCAACACTTCTCCCTCTCAGCTGCTCGGTGTCGGTGCTCGGTGTGTTTTTAGCTAATGTTTGCTCAAACTAAGGCTAATGTGTTTTCTCATGGGTTTTCGTGTCACTGCTGTGCTGATGGTGCCCCACTCTTCTGGTCATTCCCACAAGATAACACTACTGTCTCAGTCTGGATTTCATCCTGCCTCCGTGATAAACCTAAATCAATGAAGAATCGCCTTCTTCAGCTCTGCTGCTTTTTGTCATCCCAGCCAGTCCCTCCATACCACCACAAATCAGTATCCACTGTTGTTCAACCAGATTATACCAACATTATTCTTAAATGCTCATATTGATCTTTTACTCTGCTCAAGAAGGATCAGTATCAGTAAAACTAAAGTATTATATCACTTGTAAAATGCTGTGTTTGCTACCCTCTACGATGGGTCCAGGTGCAGCTCCTTCAGCTGATGACCCTCGATGAGGACACAGCCCCTGTGACACACACACACAGAAACAGATCCAGACAGACAGACTCACTGGCCTGTTGGCAGGGTCAAAACAGTGCACTCCAATTTGAAGTCCTGAAATTGCTTGCTGTATTTGAACAGAAGTCCAAAACCTGAAAAGTATTCAGTTTATCCAACTGAATAAAAAGGCTTCAGAGTATTCAAGCTGAATATTTACTGTCTGCTCAAAGAATGAATGAGTTTCTGCGAGAACATTTCAAACATGTCTTGGTTCTGATGCACACGACAGGCCTCCTCAACAAGCTGTTCTTGAACTGTGATTTGGCAAAGATTAAAAAGTGCAAATGTGCTGTAAATGCTGGAGAGATAAGGGTTAGCTTGAAGACAATGGCAGCTGTTTGGCTCTGCAGTGTCTCTTTTTATTCTCGTCTCTTGAATACAGTCAGCTCTGCCTTACATGACACACAGGGCTGCTCCTTTCTTCTGCCTCTGGAGCTTTGTGCGCTCTGCTGATCCACGTGTGTGATTGGCTGCCTGCAGAGCTGCTGAAGCCTGTGATTCAGCACTTCAGCGCTAATCATATCTGCGCTCCTATTGGGTGGCTTTTATACCCCTTTCATATGTGAGATCAACAGAAAAGCATATTTTTGTTCATGAACATATTTGCTGTTTTGTTATTTTATGTAATGAGTTAAAATTAAACCAGGCACAGAACAAGAAAGCAGTGCTCTTCAGTACAGAGCATTTCACACAGTTACATGTATATGAACACCTTGAAGCTGCTCAGCCAACCAGAGGTTCACCGTCTTGCTGTTTTGCAGTGCAGACAGATTTATCACCATCTATTTTTTGCTCAAAAATGATGATTTTGAGTGACTTTATTTTAAGGTAGCATAGTGCTTAAAAGTCAGACACAATTAAGAGAAAAGAGGACATTGTAAATGACTGGTAGTGAGGGGCTGAGGTCAGATATCAGGGCTATAGTTTCAGTACATGAGGTGTATGGTTTAACCACTGAGCTAAACTTGTGCTCCGGTGTTACACTTATTCAAATTAGCCTTGTAGTCATAAATGAGTATAACCTGATGTTGTTGCAGTGTTTGTCTTTTATACCCTTCCCTTTCCATCTCCTCCTTTCTCACTGTTTTGACCCATGGCAGACAGCTGTTCATGCCCGACCAATTTATGGGCGAGCCTGAAATCGGCCAAAACTTGACGATTTTTCGCAGATATTTTCAGAAATGCAATGCGGAGAATAAGATTCGGTTTCACTTCGAAGATGTTCCGCCATTTGAAAAGTTCCCTAACTTATCCTGTAGATGGCGCAGCGACCTCATGACAATCTTCATCCACTAACTACCTCACAGCACAGCAGAGTGACGGAAGCAGGCGGCTTAGGGACGCACAGAGGAGAGTGGTCCACCGCAATGGTAATTAAACTAGTTTGTGAAGTAGACAATAAGTCGACAAGTTTCAGTTCAACCCACTTTACGATGTTCCCCGCTGTGCTGGTCTCGGTCACGCCGAGTTAATGGTAAATCACTATGTGGTATGCAAGCTTAAGTTAGAGTTAGCCATCTGCTATTAGCCTTGCTACACTGTTAGCCGTGCCAATAACGGTAGAATAAACAACAGTACATATTACGTGATTGAGCTACTTCTCTTACTGAGGCAGCTGCATGTCTCCAGATGAGATTGGACCGGAGGAAATGTGTAATGTGAGATAAGACACGGAGGCACCGATCAGCGGCTGGGGTGGGGATAATTAAAAACGCTTTTCTGGTCAGAGTTTGATCAGTCGGTCTTCCTGTCGGCGGGAAGAGCAGTAGCCTACAGTATTCTACATTATATATTTATCCTTTTTATAACTTAATAAAAGAATATAAAAAAATCGGCTGATTAATTGGTAATCAGACTTTTTCCCCCCAAATAATCTTTATCAGCATCGGACCCAAAAAATCCATATCGGTCGGGCCCTAGTTCACATTGTGTTTGATCCTGCTCGAGGTTTCTCCCATTTTAACGCCAGTTGTTGCGAAGTGCTTGCTCATGGTGGATTCTTTTAAATAACAAAACAAGGAGTTTGGTCTGTATCTGTTTTTCAGTGGTGTAAATTTAGGAATTGACCAGTTGATAGTTGACTTAAGCTTAGGATCAGTCCTTAAAAAGGACCAGATTTACAGTATATTTTACATTATGGTGTAAAAATCTGTGATGAGCATAAATATTGGAAAGAGGGTTAAACGTCTTTAGAGCTCACCAAGTATCACATCATGGGACATCATGTAAGTTGTACAAAAAGTGAAGTGTGAAAATGGCCCTGGCTTTTATGAGGTTTATGTGTGGGACTATTTCCTTACTGTTTGCAGAAGGACTTCCTCAAGTATTGTTATTGCTGCGAAGTTGCAAGCCAGCCAGAAGTCACTGTAGGGCTCCAGGAAATAACTGATTATCAAAACAGAAAAAAACACCTTTGCGTTTGATGCACTTCAGTTATTGTGCTACAACTTCCTGGAGTTTCTGGATTTCCCAAAATTAGCTTCATCTTCCATATCGTCATGGTTTCCATGAAGTCTTACGCAGCCTCTGCCCTGTCCATATTTATCATTGCTGTAAGAAAACGAATGTAGTAGACTGTATGATGAGATAATGGCTTAAATGCCAGAAACCATTATAGCATTATGGCAGTCATCATCAGATCTAATTATTCTGACTTAGTAGAAAAAAAAAAACTCCATTATTTTTATTTTAGTTTTATTATTTATTTTTATCATTTTATTTTACAATTATTATTTCCTTAACTTTTGTCACAATCCTGCTTGTACTCACTGAAGTAGTTTTGTTGAAACTGCTAAATTTCTGCGATAACCAGGTGTCCCCTCCCCCGCTTGACAGCGCTGTTTGCTCAAATATCCCAAAGGACACACCAGTGTCCCGTCAATCCCCAGCTGCATCAATCCCGTCCAGCACCTGCATCCTTGTATTGCTTTGAAAGCAGTTTCCTTGAATTTACTTGCCTCATTTGCCGCTTTAGATCACTGTGTTTGTGCAGCAGGTGAAGTGTTCATTAACAGAGAAGAGAGCGATAGAAGAGGATTTGGCTGGATCTAACACAAGTCTTATTTCTAACACTTAAATAGAGATATTCTTGCAGCCAAGGTCGGAATGAAACTCTGGTAATCCAGACTGATAGCTCATGCTCTGGTTAAGGGTTACTCTGGAGAGGGAAAATGACACCAGAGGCTTGAATCTCTGTTTGGTCTGTGACTTTGTTAAACTGTGCAATGAAAAAGTGACTGTTTAGGACTCTAGTTGATTCAGATTTTAATCATCAGTATAAAGATTAAACTGTTCTGTCTTTTATATTTTCTGTTAGGTGATGCAGCAGCTCATACGTAATCCATAATTAGTCTCATGTTTCACTCCTCTAAGAGGCACCGTTATTACGGCTTTTCAAGAGCATTGTTTGTCATTCTTACTGTAAAACATTTTTGTCAGGCTACTCTCTCACTGTATAACTCTAGGACTGTTTAAAAAGTAGTTATCTAATCTAACAAAGGTATTTATAATCTCGTAATTGGAAGTAGCAGCTCAGCTGGCAGCCTCTAAAGTCTTTTTTTTTTTTCAGCGTACTATACTAAACAGTAGCAACTTTGATTTATTCATCATTTTATCAGGTTTTGTCAGTTTGTGTTTATCTACCAGAATCCCAAATAAGCAGCAGCTCAGCCAGCAGCAGTGGTAGTAATTTCAAAATGTTCTGCATTTTATTTGGTTTTGCCAGGGTCTGTTTTCTCAACAAAGATAACGTGTAAATCTTGGAGACAAAGGTTATCAGAGGAATCCTCACAAAAAACGTTGGCCAACATCGATGACAGCGACTCAGTTTACAGCCTTTTCTGTGTCAATAGTGAAGAAACAGATGAACACAGATTTTGACTTTATTAATAGTTTTTTCCTTAATTTTTCAGCAAAAAGTAGTCCAACAAATGTGGTCACCAACCTGACCCCAAAATTTTTTGTGAACTGTCTGATTGTTGTGTGAGGAGTCTGGTGCGGTGTTCTGTCTTGGTCATATCACTGCTCCTCACACACTGGGCTCTATTTTGGTGCCTCGCCGGAGACGTGCCGCAAGCGCAGCGTCAGTCAGATCCGCCGCGCTGACAAGGCGTTCCCAAGCACATTTTGGTATTTTGGTGAGCCGCGCAGCCCGGCGTAAGTATCCCCCCTCCCTAACTCAGCTCCTCCCAGCACCATAAGTCGTAGACTGGGAGGAGAAAGGGCGTATAGTGGGTTTAACACAGCCGAGACCTGTTTTCACCAATCACATAGGCTCCTCTCCTTGCCTTTAAATCCGCCACCGGCGAGGCGTATTACTATTTTCATGAAGTAGTCAAAGAGATCAAGAGATGTCTTAAGACAGTAATGCCACAAGATGGCGACAGAGGGCAGCTCCTCAACAAGTGTCCTCCACACTCTCTCATATGAGCACAGATGGATTTAGTGTGCGTAATGTTGGACCCACTGGTAAGACAAACACCCTTTTCCACAAATAAAGACACTCACATAAAGTTGCTCATATTCAAACCTCACGTGACAAAGGTCGGTTGAGCGCACAGATCACAACATAAACTCCAAAAATGGCATTAAAATCGGAACCATCTGTGCGTAAATGACGCATCGCGCTCCGTGGCCTGGCTCTTTCTTTCATAGATGTTGGCATATAAATTAAATTTGGCCCACAAAACTGAATATTATAATATCCGTATGTCGGCTTAAAGTAGATAACGCATCTGAGCACTGAAACAAATCACCTGTTCAGCCGCAGCAGCAAGCAAGACGGACAGAGGACACGGAGATGTGTCCAGGTCGAGCTGTGCGAGAAATAAGAGGAAGAGGAAGAAAGAAAAGGAGGGAGACGAATTACATATCTTGTTAACTTCATCATGTGTGTTTATTTACTAGATATTTAATTTAATTTGATGCGGTTTCAGCTGTATTGATTCAGTCAGGTTGTGTGTCCAAACGCGTGCCAAACACGCTCATCAGATCAGATATAGATGAGAATATATCGATATAGATCTAAATATATGTGCTGACTCAGATTAATAGTTGATGATGATTATTTATTGCACTGAAATGTGCCTGACACTGTGGAAACCTGCCGGTGAGGCATCAGTGACGTATGTCGATACGCCGCCGGTCTACCAAAATACTACCAGACCAGCTGCGTTCCGCCTTGCGCTGAAAGCTGACCAGGTTTGAATCGGCGAGCTTTCAGCGCACTTTACACGCCGTTGGCGAGCACGAAAATGTCACTGCGCCTGCTGATTCTGTCGACACCTCCCCCTGCCACACCACCACACCCAGCTTGGTGGATCTCGGCTCGCCGCCGTGCGGCTCATGCCACGAAAATACCAAATTGGCCTTACGCTGGGCTCCGCCAGACGAAAATACAACTGCGCGGGGCTCGACGCCCTCCGCCGCCTCACCGGCGCGCACGAAAATAGAGCCCACTATCTGTGCAAAACTGCCAAATGTATCATAATGTCTTGGCTGGTGTCTCACTTTTTTTTTCTTTTTCTTTTCCTGCATCAGTTGTGGTTTTGGACACTATTAAAAGACTTGAATGAAAAAGTGTGAGATGACTTGAAGTCATCAACAGATGAATCAAATTGTGTCCAACAATCAAATGTTGGACGTCAGCCCTGTGACTTCATTTTGTTTCATCTTAATTTTGGACGTTCTTTTCACAGTAACTGGTTTAAGTAATTAAAATTTATTTTCCAAAACAACAGGCCACTCATTATCTGTCATTTGTTTCCACATGCTTAGGAAAAGCAGGAATTTCTGTCTGGTTGCATGTCCACACTTGATGTTTCTTTTCCTCCAGAAGCCTCAGAGCTACTCTTGGCTGCTTTCCTTTCCTTTTAAGTCAAATGATTATGTCTCAGGAAGTTTGTCCTGTGAGTTTCTCTGCAATGCTGAGGCTTCTTCAAGCACAGTTTAGATCTGAACAGAGGTATTTATAGCTCTCCTGGAAAACAAAGTGATGGCAACAGCTGAGGCACTCTCAGTAGATGGATGAAAATCTATGAATTTATGGATAGAAAGAAAGAAAAACAATTTATGGTCAGAGAGTAATGGACTTCTGCAGTGATTAAAGTTCATTTGAGATGTGCTTTTATCAAGTTTCTGAGATTGTCGAAGAAGAAGAAGTGGAGTGCTGCAATGTGCTGCCACTGCAAACATACTGCTCATTGCTGTAAATGAGTGTGTGGGAGTTGTGTTTGTGTCTCACAGCAATGCAGGCTTAATGTTTAAATCTTTAAATCTGGGGCCGTGTGGACTCTACCCCCCTCTACAGGCTGGTATCAAATGAGGTTTGTTTGTTTTGTTGTTTTGAGCTAGTTTTCACTCAAATACATTAAAATTAGGAAATAAAGGCCCATGCATTTTTTTTATAATGACAGTAATGAGTCATAGTAACAGAATTTTAACATGGACAGCTAAAAAAGAACTACAGGGCATCAACAGTTAGATAACGTCTTGTTGTGATCTCCAGTGTTCACAAAGTGCTGATGGGCTCACAGAAAAAAAACAGTGCACATTATATCAACACTGACTAACATACTGCCAGTAGCCATTAAAATCTGAATTTATAAGATATACATCAAATGGTGTAATCAGGAATGATTCAGTTTGAAGTCTGTGAATCCACCTCCTCTCTGTGATATTTGCCTCATTAGTGATGCTGTGACATTTCTGTCTCTTTAGAGCTTCAGGTATGATACAGGCAGAACAGAGAGATACTGAACAAGCAAACGTAGATATAGTCACAAGTTTTGAAGCCCAATCATGGTGGGCATCACAGTCCTGACTTGAAGTAACTTTGAATCAGCTGAGACACAGGCAGGGAGGACTAGCTGAAACAGACTTTTTTTTAGCTTCCGGCCCATCAACTCAGTCACATATATCCAACTCTTCATCTCCAAAGGAATGTATTACTAAACAAATAAATGAGCTACATACCTAAACCCATTTGTACCTGGCTTTAAACATGTCAGATTGGTTGTAGAGATAGGCACTTTAACATTATGGACCTTATGCAGATCACTTGGATCTTGTAGCCAACCTAGAGTAGACTATCAGGGAACATCATTTTTCTTCAGTTTTGATTTTTTTTTCAGCTGGTGAGCACATCATGGTTGGAAAAATCTACTAGAGATAGAGTGAATTATCAGCCAGCGAAGTAAGTGGACTGATTAATGGCATTTTGAAATAACTGGCTTCACATCAGTGTTCAGAAAGTGGATGTCACTATCATTATCTTTTCTGATGACGAAATGATAACACTTTCTCTTATCCAAAATCTCAAACAGAAATTGACTGCCATCTTGCTCTGAAGTATGGAGTAGAGCACATAAGTATTTCTTCCATTAACCAGGCATATTCGGAAATTTATCACATAACCCTATACAAGCTTCTTTTTCATGAACTGAACAAAAATTAGTCTAAAATATATAACTGTCTAAAATAAGCATAAAAATTGGATTTTATTTATCTGATAATTTTTTAAGTGTTATTTTTGGGGCATTTTTGCTTTTATTAGAGCTGAGGAGAGACAGGATATGTTGGGAGTAGTTCCTATCAGTGGTCTCTAATCCGGCATAGATTCTACATAAATGACGCAGAACAGAGCCGCCTAAGTCTTGTTCGTGTGAGACTGGAATTACCAGAGGACCTTTGTGTCTGTGTATTTTTTTCTCCATTTTACTGACATTATGCCTTAGATATGACGTTGAAGCTTGGTCTAATAGTTACATGCAAACAGCTCTGTAAATAGGTCTCCAAATAAAAACTGTCAAGCTTGAAAAAAGGAAGATATATGTTCCTCATTATAATTTGCAAACTCTGAAGTGCCATAAAGCTCCAGCAGAAGTGGACAGTTGAGTTATGATATAGAGTTAAAACGGGTTTGGTATGAATGTCTCTCTTCTCTTCTGGGTGTATGATGTTTGTCCAGTTTGTCCAGTTGCAGGCTGTGTTGTTGTGTGCAGCTGTTTCTGGAAGCCTCCGTCACTGTTTGATCTGGATGATGTGACAAAAGTAAAGCTTGTGTTCATGCGTTTCATTTCAGCAGTGGAGCATGCAGGGTGATTGTTGCTGTTGAGCATTTAATCCTAGTACACCCACACACACACGTACACATACATGCAGGAACACATGCAGATAGACATAGTTTTGAAGTTATTTTCGGTCTTATTGTACTCGATAGCACAGTTGAAGAGAGAGAAAATGTAAAAGAGGAGGGAGTTAGGGAAGGACATGCAGCGAAGGGCCAAGGTCAGAGTCCAACCTGCGGCCACTGCCATCAGGACTTTAGCCTCTGTACATGGGACACCCTTCATCTGCTGAGCCAAACTTCCTCCCCCTAAGTGTTTTCTTTTTTTATACCAGGGAACAACACAGAAGTCAAACATGGTTTAAATCAGACTGATATGCAACTGATATTCAATTCCTATTTTCATCTGCAACAGCAGCTGTCTTGATAAGCATCTAGTCATTAATTATTGACATCTGTTTATCTGTTAATCGGATAATGCAGCCTCTTATTATTGGTTTATCGGCTTTTAAATGTAAGATCATTCTTTCAAACTCAAAACATACCATTAAAATATTGACTCAGGCCTTATGTCTGTTATGACCTTTAAAAAAAATTATGTCAGTGGTGGATGATCACATTTTTACATCAAACCTTTTTTAATTTGTGAACGAGTAGAGGTTGACCGATAAATCAGATGGCTGATAAAATAGTCCTGGCAGTTTAAAATAGTCGGCATCAGCCTGAACTCATGATGACACTGCAGCAGCCTCATCAGTATGGCTGATGTCAAGCAATGTCACTAAAGTCGGGGGGAAAGGTTAGCTGGTTAGCTTTATGCCATGTGCCAACCAGCATGATACTGACAGTATGTGTTGGCCATTGGCTGACCTGTTCTCCAATTACCAGCTGTTGTAAAAAAAAAAAAACTTGTAGCAAAGTAAGTAAGAGTGTGCTCCACAGGTTCTTGGAAGGAAAAGAGATTAGAATGATAGAAAGAGATGATGTTTCAAAGTGGGGTACTGAAAAGTGCCATGTTTTGTGTATCTGTTGCTTCCTTGTCCCTGTTTAGCTGCTGTGTTGTTTTGCAGCACTTTCAGCAGTGGTAGTAAAGATGTGAGATGGCTCACTCAGCCATTCAGCTCTGGAAAACAGTATTATGTATGGTACGAGCATGAAAAATACCCATGACATGTAACCAACAAACTAACTATTAGAACGGTCTGTAACAAATTTTGTCATCAATTTATTGTATGTTGTGTATGTGTGTTTGTGTGTGTGTGTGTGTGTGTGTGTGTGTGAGAGAGAGAGTGTTAGGCTGTGTTTATTATACAGATTTCATCCAGTTTTATGCTCCAGTGGCTGGGGCAGGGTGGAACTGAGGTGTTAAAGTAAAACTCTATCCTCAAACTGAGAGTTAAAGGGATATTTCGGCGTAAAATTAAGTTAAGGTCAAACACACCGAAACACCGAGATAGACACCTCCACGAGAGATAAATGTCTACGCGCAAACCTCAACCAAAAAGCCACTCTATAGCCACAAGTACTGCTCAGAACAGCACCTAACTTCATCAACAGTACATATAGGGTCCCAGCCATAGTACTAGCCACCAAACATCTTTTGAGCTTTGCCTGATTTCTTGAGTAAAGAAACCAAATACAACTCCCCCACTCTCCTTCAGCAGCCACTTGTTTGTGAGGGGGGCCTTGACGAGTCGATCACCGAGTGCAGTGGAGTTTCGCAGCTTAAGGAAGAACATTTATGATCATTTCTTCATGGAAATGCAATCAGACTGAAATGCTTAAGCAGAAGAACCAACACGTCTGTAGTGCAAAATGATTATTATAATGATTATTACTTCAAGGAAATGACCCACTGCACTCGGTGATCGACTCTTCAGGGCTCCCCCACAAACAAGTGGCTGCTGGAAGAGAGTAGGTAAGTTGTGTTTGGTCTCTTTGCTAAAGAAACCGGGCAAAGCTAAAAAGATATTTGAGGGCTAGTACTATGACTGGGACCCTATATGTACTGTTGATGAAGTTAGGTGCTGTTCTGAGCATTATTTATGTCTATAGATTGGCTTTTTGGTTGATGTTTGAGCATGGAGACGTAGACTGCTAGTCGTTGTGCAGTCGTTGCTGAAGTTGGTATAACTATAGAATCAAGCAGTTGGCAACATTCATCTCTCAAAGGGGTATCTAGCCGTTATGGTGTGTTTGACCTTGACTTAATGTTACACCAGAATATCTGTTCAAACCAGTACATAAATTGCAGCTTGAACAGGAGTCAAACAAGATACCCACTGTGACAAGGGCTGTAGTCTCTGCACTTAGGAAGTGTACCCGAGCTATTGAGGTACGGTCTCACCCCAGTGTTGTGTGTTTTGTTATAATGAGGAGATGTGGGGTTGACAGTTCCTTCCAAGATAAATTGCAGTGCAGCAGCTGTTCCAGTTAGTAAAGGATAAAAAGCTGAGGAAATCATAAGAAAAATAAACTTGAAAGTAACTCATTAAGTGAGAGTTACATCAAGGCACATTCTTACGGACTTGGCATGAGCTGTATTTTTCTTAATGTTTTTTAACTAAAGCAAAACAGCTTAATAACATTTCACTTCTCTCCCTCTGTCTCTGTAGTCACAGATGTGGAACTGAAGCGTCTGAAAGATGCCTTCAAGAGAACCAGTGGCATCACCTACTACATGACCCAGCAATGCTTCTACAGAGAAGTGCTGGGAGATGGAGTTCCCCTCAAGGTTGCAGAGGTCAGTAAACCATTAATATCCCACACAACATGTGCTACTCGACAGGATATTCAGGGGAAGTCAGTCCTTGTGGAACATCATTTCACTTTGCAAGATAAAGACGGCCAAGATCATACAAAAAAGGACAGGTCTATGCTTCAAATCAATCTGGAAATCTGATGGTCAGACTGTAGAGATCTTTGATGGTATATCAGGGAGTTGAAGATGTTTTGAAACCAGATCTGTACTGCTCAGACTCTGGATACAAATGATATCACTAGTACATGATGTAGGCAACATTTTGCTCACTTTTGTACGACAAGGGGAGGTGATGACCCATCCTCCATCCTTATACACACTTGCTGGTGAGGAGTTAATTAAAATTTGATGAAGTGCTCCTCCTACACAGTCTTGAAGAAATTTCTCAACAGCAGAATGAGTCTTTCCACATGTCCTGGTTCATTTTGCTTGTTTTTGCTCAGTTTTAGTGATATCCCTTGTGAAAGTTGAATTCCCCTGACTCTCCTGAAACATGACCAGGATTCTTACAGTGCTCTGTTCTGTAGGACACATCAAGACACGTGTCTTGTCTTCAGGGTGTACGTCATGTGCGTGAAAGCTCAAGCCTGGGTCGATTACGTTAAAACAAAAGAGCTCGATATCTGCAGTTTTACCCTTTGAGTGTTCATTAGACACACAAACTGCTGCCTCTCTCTCTCTCCTCCTGCCCATTTATCACCATGGCAGCAGTTACTGCGGTGACAACGGTCTTGATCTGGGGATGCTGCTGGTCCCTTCAAACAGAATCATGGCTGCTGCTGCACATCCTGACAGTTCAAAGACAGCCGAAACCTGATCAGTCTGGGGAGAAGCAGTCTTGATCCTTATTATGCAGACCCTCTGTCGTGTATTAAAACCCGGTCCTCTATGAGTTATTTGTTGGAATTAAAATATATTTGAACAGAATCAGTGTGAGCATTAAGAGGCTTCCATGAGCTGTACAAAAAAAGGATCTGTTTCAAACACAAGACATCAGGTTTGAGATATCTTTACTTTTGTTCAAACTGATTTGTAAGAGCGAGGGCTTACAGATTTATTGATGGAAAAGGAGTTAACAGGGATCAGTGCTAAAGCTGTGCAATAAATCACATTTTCAGTGTTATGGTAATCTTCCAGGGACCAGTTTCAGGCTTTGAAGGCTCTGTGTTGTAGGATATTTTGTTTCTACCGACATCATGGCATTCTGTAACACTTGACAAATACCAGAGAGAAACAACCACATTGTAAGATTTAACTCAATATATTTATTTAAAAATAATTGATAATAGTGCTTAATAAGAGGCCAGTCCAGGGTCACATATATGGGAATTCAAATGGGGTCACCTGAAATTCTTGCATGCAGTTGCAGAGCTCTGCAGGGGTCTGCAGCCAGATCCTCTTGCTTCCAAAGTGTAAGTGTCAAATGCTGTTGCATTTATTTCCTACAGTTCCTGAATGTTACATCAAACAGCGAGGTGATCACACCTCAGATCAGTCAAATACAAACATCGAATAAAACCTTGGAATTTTCAACCAAAAATCAACTTATTGGGGAGTGGGGGGACAAACTGTCCGAGCGCGGCTCGGTGGGGTGAAAATATACTGATATCAGCACAAGAAGGCAATTGAACACAAATATTATATTCAGCAAACCACCGGACGTTGATTAACGTGGTGGACGATCTTCAATCTTCCTGTCTCCAGCAGTGTTGCCAGATCAGATTGACAGTTTCCAGCCCAATCACACCTTAGAACCTGCCCAATCGAGTAAAAACCAGCCCAAACCACAAAGTTGCCAGACACCCATGTAAACCTGTAAAATCTTTACATATGCAATAGAAAACGCTTGTAAGTATCCATAACTTCATATAGCATCAAATAACCACACATAAATGATAAATAGGTTTAAATGCAACCAAGAAGCGCAGCAAGTCAACCATAGGCTACACAAATTGCAAGATGAACCTCTGGCATCCTAGCACCAGGCCCAGATTAGTAATAATGACTGCTGCACGTAAAAAGGTGCACTTTTAACCATGTAGGCCTAATAAATTTAATTATTTACATCACAAATGACCCGTATGAGGACTACTTGCAAAACAATTTAAAACAAACAAAAATGCACAGAGCGCCTCCTCCTGCCTCTCTTTTCCCCTCCCTCCCCCTCTTTTTCTCCTCCCTGCTTTGCACACCTGTGGTGCTGAAAGATGCACATGACCTGGCTGTACAGCATCTGATTGAGATTTCAAACACACAACCAAGAAAAACTACTTTTAAAATAAACGAGCAAATGCTATAAGTGGGCTACAAATCAGTCACAGTGCAAATAAGATAAGGTGACATAAAAAAATCATCTTACCTTTTACGCAGAATCTGCGTCTTTCCATTAACTTGAACAATATTGAGAACGAAAAACTCGCCAAATGTAGACAAAAGCAGCCCAAATTTTATTCACCCGCCCAATGTATTTTTTCCCCGTCTGACGTAAACGAAAGTAGCCCAATTGGGCTGAAAACCACCCAATCTGGCAACACTGGTCTCCAGTCGGTCTTCAGTGGGCTGGGCGAATCCAAAATGGTGAAAACAATGGGATTGTTCTGAGACAGACTTTTACCTGTGAAACGGGGATGCTCTGAAAACACCCCCATTAGTACTTGGTATGTTCCTCCTGATAAAATTAACCTTAGACTATAAATTGACGCACAAAAAAATCAAGTTGACCTGTCAGAATTTTGGTCGACTCAGCACCTGTCGACCATTCGGCTAGGACTTTACAGCCCTAATTTGCAACACGAGGTCTCATGTATGTTACCTCAGAGAAAAGATGAGCTCTGTCTGCTATACTTCTAAACTTAGACAGGCTGCAGCAAGATGTACTTTGTGATGTTTTCTAGTTTTTTTATCCATTCAAAATAAAAAAATTGATTGATTTGAGTTATTGTTGGTTCAGGATTAATTTTCTGCTTTGTGGCTACAGCCTCACCTGGTTACATGTCTTGCCCTGAGGAAAATAAAATCCACATTTTTGTGCTCTAATCTCACCCTGGCCATTCTACCACAATGATAAACAAGCAATAACCTAATTGTGGTTGGAAATGAAAGATTACTTGCAGAACAATATGAAACTGTAACATGACTGAAAAACATTCAATTTAAGCTGAAACGTGCATGTGCTTTTAATGTCTTGGGGTCGCTGAAGGGGTTCATGAGTCAAAGTCAGTGGGGAATAACTTCATAATTTCCAAATCTTGGTCGGTCACATGCTCAGACAGACTGTGATTGTTACAGTAATAAAGATCCTTGTGTAATTTAGAGGAATTAAAGATAAACCAGAGCTACAATCACTGAAAACATCAGATCATAAAAGGACAGGAAGTTTGATGGGTATCTTTAGTTTTGCATGATATGACATGCCTTGACGTCCCCTTTTTAAACCACAAGTAAAGCTGCCCCAGTGTGTGTCTGTGTGTGTGTGACCCACTGACACAGACACACTTCATTAACTCACTAACTATAGAGTCATGCTTACACACGCTCACGTACATTCGACACAGCTTCATGCTTCTGCACAGACACACTCACTCAAGCCCATGCACACAGCTCTGTAATCTTCTCCACCACGCTCTGCAGAATGACCACAGCGCCCCCTAGCATAGACACTGAAGGATTCCTGGCTCAGAAAGATGAACCAGTGTCTTTAAACTGTTTGAAATAATTGTTCTACTTCTGTGAAAGTATTGTGAATATTAACTGATTGATAAACTGCGTCATTAATCTTGTAAGTAACTGATTTTGGTCACCTACACAGAAATTTCTAAGTATTCTTAACTGTGTAAAACAATTTTCTGTCTACAGTCTTTCTTATACATTGAGTTTAACAGTTTAACTGTTGACGTGTCTGTTGTTAAGCTTCCAGAAGTGACTATATTTTCGGCAAGAACATAAGGCTTGAGAGAACTGCAGGATTGGTTAACACCAGATTTTCAAAGCTAAGCAATATTTGACCCCCTTGTTTTGCACGAAAAACCCCACTAGTGTTTGTGGTTGTTGCTGTCAGAGATGTTTGTTCAGGAGACACAAAGAACTGCAAGGATATGAAGCAAATATTGTGGCAAAGCCATTATCAAATGCTGCTTTGCAGATGTTCACACTGGTTATAAATGTGCTCGCAGATCCACAAATGCATCTTCAGATTCACAAAGGCTCATCCAGGCGTATGAATTAATGCAAATCCACAATGCACTACCAGGTCCACAAATGTACAAGTGTACAAATGTGTATGCAGATCCACAATGTGTGCTGTAGTTTCACACTCGCACTCAGACGTACAAGTGTATATGCAGATACATAAATGCACACTCAGATATACAGATGCTTGTGCAGATCCACACAAATTCATACCCAGCTCTACAAAAACATACCAAAGTCCACAAATGTGTACTCACAGCTCTACAAATGCACATTTAGATCAAAAATTGTGTTTGCAGATCTACAGAGTTGTATGCAGATCTCTTGATGTGTATGCAGATCCACACGTGTACACTCAGATATGCAAATGCATTTGAGGATCTGCTTATATGATGATGATTCTTTAGTATATTTACTCCAAGAGCTGAAATAATATACAGATTGTTGGTTCCAACTCGGACAGGCTGTTCACTTGTGACTTTTACTTCATTTCTTTCATGCAGGATCCACAAATGTCCTTTGCTAACTGTACCAAAGTCCCATTACTTTTCATCGTTTCCTGTGTATCAGTTATTGAAATAAACAAATACTGTGGTTAGAATAGTGTTTGGTGAAGAGGCTCCTCGTTATCAGCACAATAGAAAATAAATACACTTCAGCTTTTTCACACTGCCTTCTGTCTTTCAGGTGATCTACACCTCGTTTGGAGGCTCATCCAAAGGGCTCCACTTCAACAACCTGATCGTGGGTCTGGTGCTTCTGACCAGAGGACGAGATGAGGAAAAGGCAAAGTGTGAGTTCCTTGCGACAGCTGAACAGAGAGTTGTAAAACTTGTCAGCCTGCTCAAAACACGCCTTGTATCTTTATACAACTTATAACTTATCAGCCAGCTGCTTTTCTGTCGTTTGTGTTGTTGGGCCAGATATCTAATTACCATTCTGCCAAAACAGAAGTTTGCAACCACAGTCATGCAGACCACAAAATGATAAGACGCTTTGATTGTCCTTGTAGAGCAGGTGGCATCTGGAGATGTTTTTGAGAGAAAATGTTTCCTCAGCGTCAGAAAGACAAAAAGTAAAAATGACACAATACACAGGAAAGTGTTACATTTTGTGCTGAGGATGTTTGATTGTCCCGTAATTCAGCTATGTAAGCTGAAAGTTGTTAGTCAGTGAAGTTTGAGGAATCCAGGAACAGTCCAGAGATGAATTATAAAGCAAGCTCAGGCAAACTTTTTCTTCATCGTCTTGCTCAACAAAACCTAAAACTCCAGGAAGTGATAGCAGGTATGAAAAAGGTAGTTATCAACCCTTCCTGTTATCTCAGGCACTTTGCTTCAAGTTCCCTGGAAAGGAGAAGCTTTAACGCAACATTTGACTGTCCTTTCTTCCACTCATAAAGGAGCAATTGTGAGTTGCAATGAGGATGTAGTAATGAACAGCAATGAAGAAAATGAAAAAATTATATTATAATGAAAACCAACAGTGCCACTGTAAATGAGACATACAGGAAATTATCATTTGAAACCAGCAGTGGACCGTGATTATCAAAGCCTTTGGCAAACAAGATCGGCACCAGGCAAATGTTAATAACTCAGCCTTTAATGGTTGAACCTTTGACCCACAGGTATTACAGGAATTGCTGGAGTTTGAATGTGAATATCACCTAAATTAACAAGGTGAAAAGTTCAGGGGAAGACTGGAGAAGTTCAGGATTCATAAATCAGTGACCATACTTTGATGAAATTGTAAGCTACAGTTTGTACCAGGTAACAAACTGTGCAGTTTTGTACTGTGACTTTACAAATGCAGAGATGCATTCTAATTTTAGTGTTCCCGACAACAATTTCCTTTATCTTTGACTTTCTGTCACATACAACTCTGTTTTACTGTCACGTTAAACCCTGCAAATCTTACCACAACTTCTTCCCATGCTGAAGAGAAAAATATCAACATGGCAGCTTCAATTTTGGGACCTGCTTGAAAACTAGATAACAAATCCAAAGGGCTCTGTCCTGATAATAATACATTACCTCTCTGGCTTCAATTGGTAGAAGAGACTAGCAACCCTGTTTAACAGCTAGTTTCTAAATAGAGTGTCATTCAGTGGGCAGAACATGTCTGAGTGTTTGTGTTAACAAAGCCCACTCACTCAGAGGTGAGATGTGATTGGTTGAGTTGACAGTCATTTTACATTTTTAGTTCACTAAATCACTTCATCCTGGCCCTCTTTGATTTTACAGCCAGCAGTCACAGACCTGGAAAAATTTTCTTTTCTTCCTAGCAACACCAGAGGCTGAACAAATCCATCAGGGTGTCAAACTGGCTTCATCTATTTAACCCCTCACAGTCTAATATAAACTGCACGGGCAGGTTTTAGAGTCTATTCCTGTTGGCAATGTTTAACACGCTTGCTAGGTGCCCTGATTTTCACCAGTTGTGTTACAGCACTTCCGCTTACCTATTCTACATTTTGCTTTTCGTTAAACTGGTAGACATTGTAGTCTAGCATTAGCAGCAGCTTAGACCTGGATATTTGACCTTAAAAGAAAACCTCTGTGTGTTATTGTGGACAAAGTTCATATCTGAAGTCCTGCTCTTCTTGATTTTGATTGAATTTTGGAGGTGTGACGTTAATGAGCATGGCAATCTTCCAACAGTTAAAGTGTTTTCATTTGAAGTTGCTGAGAGTGCACTGACAAAAATGTTAATGTTGTTTTTAGGATGAGAACACTGGGCTCTAAAGATGCTGAACTGCTTGGTTCGAATAATGTGCTCTCTTGTCATTGCATCACGACACCAATCTGGCACAAAGACAAATCATATTTCATATTCTTCAGTTGATGTGATATTGTGATGTATTATTACATTGTCTTGCAATTTATCGATTACCACAAATCTCTGTGTTGTAATATTATCCTTTTTGTGAGCTCCATATCATGAGTTACCCTGCGATTTCCATCCTGAGTGAGGAGTGCAGGGTGAATTGACTTTGTGGATAGGGAGTGCTCGCTTTGTGACACTATAATCTCAGACTCAGTGCTCAACAGACTTTGCTTACCTATTTTTTTGTGTGTGTCATAGCTCAGCCCTCTGGATTAAAAATTTGACTCATTAATTATAATAATCCTTTGAAACATTAAAGTTATATCCAATTCTGCCTTTTTCAGAGAGCTTTTCAAATGCAAAGCAGGCATAAAAACACAATTATGGAAACAGGACTGATATCTGTGTGTTTCTTCTCTCTGCCTCTCCCTCATTGTTATTCGGAGAGCTGATGTTGATGCGTTGCAGGCTGAATAATCCATCAGGACGTTATTGACATTGTAGCTTCTATCGGCCTTACTGAGGCCTGCCTTCCCGTGATAAAGCACAAGTCTCTTCTGACTCTGCTGACTCTGTCTGTGTGTGTGTGTGTGTATGTGTGTGTGCGTGTGCTCACAGACCTCTTCAGCCTGTTTGCCAGTGATCTGGGTGGATATGCTGCCAGGGAAGACATTGAAGGTGTTCTGCAGGTTCTGGATGGAGAAGTCCCAGCATCCCTTAAGAAGTGCTTCAGTGAAGTTAGTAAACGCCGCACAGCATGTCTGTCACAACAAAATACAAACACACACACACACACACACAAAGAATTAAAAAAGAAAAACAGGATAACATTTAAAAACATTCAGGTCATGTCTCTCACTGGGTAGGTATAAAAACAGTCTAAAAGGAGCTGCAGTCTGATAAACTTTCTCTTCACTCACACTCTACCTGGCTCATATCACAGTTTTTATTATAACAGGGCTATTAGCCACGTACTTATAAAACAACTATTGTTAAGACTTTTACACGGGCAGCCAAAGAGATAATTCAAAGTTTGGCTTCACACTGAGATATTGTTCTGGTTTTTTGAGAATACAAAAGCACATTTTGTAATCACAACTTTGGAAAATAAAATTACAGTCGAGTCAGTAAAAATCCTCCCAGCTGAACCCAAAGTAGGAAGTGTCTTCAGTATTAGGGTGGTAACAAAAATAGCAGCAGGTAGGAACATTTGGTGTTATGTAGAATTAAGTGATTTATCATATACTATAAATACTATATTATTTATTATACTATACCATATATAATTATTATTATACCACTATCCTTCTCTTTGTCACTTCATATCTTTACCAGTGTGCAGTCTTATCCTGTAGTTACACTGCACTCAACTGCTGAACGTTTTCCAAAATTTTCTGGGTGAGCTGCATGTGTGAACACAAACAGCTGAGTTTTTCACCCTGAATTTCCCCCAGTTTTTTCCTGCCAGCCTCAATTAAAATATGTAAAGAGTTGGGGTGAGCAGATGTGAGCGAGTAGAGTGGAGCGATTGCGGCCATATCAAGCAATCCGTGTGGCTTCTAGAGCCCCAAGTGGACATTTGGTGAACTGCACCTTTGTTTTTGACACGCTGGGTTGCTTCTGGGTTGTAAAGTATGACAGAAATGAGTAAGCAACAGAACAAGTTATGGGGGAAAAAAAAATCAAATAAGATTAAATGAAAATAATAGACACACCTTTACCTACAAAATGTAGATAGCTTTGAAGATGTTCAAGCTTTTGATGATGTGAAGCAGTGGTTCTCAAGTCCCTGCTCCAACACACCTGATTCAAATGATCAGCTCGTTATTAAGCCATTACAGAGCTTGATAACGAGCTGATCATTTGAATCAGGTGTGTTGGAGCAGGGAAACATCCAAAACATGCAGGACAGTGGGCCTCGAGGACTGGACTTGAGAACCACTGATGTAAAGCATTTGAGGACGTCACAATAATTTAAAGTACGAGTATAGATATTGAATTCACATGTTTTTGTCTCCAGAGAGGCTTTAACTATTTCTTAAGTTCATCCAACTAATGAGCAGTATGTTGCTTTTTATTGAGACCATCATCCTGTTGAAGCCCTACATTAATCAGCATCGACATTGATTAATAAGGACATCTGTTTACTTCATCTGGAAAACAGAACTTAGCTAAGTGATAACCAAAAACTGGCTTTTACCAGCCCCTTCTTGTGTCAGGGACTAGTGTGTCATAATTCATGATATTTTCTGTAAGGCAATGGATCACATTCTGTTTGGGGCTCTAGAAAGCCTGATTTGAGGAATAATGAGAGAAATCCACGAAACGTCTGTCCTTTGTTAAAATATGTATTCACAATGTCACATATTCACTTGTGTGTCCTGTGTTTTCAAGAATCTGACACCCCAAGTTCTGTTCCTGTCCTTTTTTTCATATTTTAAGAAAAATTCAGTTTGATAACTCATGATTTTAAATCGCAGCAGAGGTTGTTTGTGTAATTGACCGCAAATTCATGTGATTCCAAATGTAATTATAAAAAATCAATGTTATGCTCCACAGTGAGACACTTATAGATAAACATGTTCTGTGTTCATTTTGCAAAAGAAAAAAATGATTATACTTTGTCTTAATATAAAATGTTCAAATGTAATTGGGTCACATAAGCAGAGGGAAGAAGCCTGCACACTTACTTTATGATTAAAAAATGTTGAATTATGACATCCTTTGCTCCCTATGGTCTCTGTCAGGTGATAGATTTTAGATAATGACTTCCAGCGATTAAAAAAGATGTTATTGATGTTGGCTCTTGCTTGACATTTCTGTTATAGATATAAAGTCAAAAATCTTCTCAGGGAAACAAAGGTTTAGATAGAACCACATGAGATCATAGACAGCAGACTGACAGCAGATACCTTTTGACAATCTGATTGTGTGTTCTATGTCATTGCAGGGAGATAAGGTGAACTATGAGCGCTTCAAAAGCTGGCTGCTGCAAAACAAAGAGGCCTTCACTTTGTCCAGATGGCTTCTGTCTGGAGGAGTGTGTGTCACGCTCACTGACGACAGTGATACGCCCACCTTCTACCAGACCCTCGCTGGTGTCACACATCGTAAGTACCAATACTGCTCAAGTCCATTTGTTCTGTTCGTCTGCGTGTTTGTCAGCTTATTTCCCCCTCTTGCGCTTCTGCTGAGTCATTTTCTATCTTTAGGCACGTCAAGATTAATCCCTCTCACAGTAATTAGTTCTTTTTGACCAATAAAGCTTTTAAATACAAATTTACTTCAACTTTATCGAAGTAAAGCTGCAATCTGACATCTGTCAAATTCAGTTTTTATAATAGTATCTGCTTCAGAAAAGTAATTACATACCAGAAGTGGAGGAAACTAGTCAATGACCGACAATGTGTATTTTCTCTAAATCAGGACAATTTTGATGCATTTTTGCAGATCAGGTATTGACAATCACAGAAAAGACCCATCCATGTTAAATCTGTTTTTATCATAAAATATGCTCTATCTCAATTGGTTAGAATCATCAAGTCATGAGCGTCACCCTTTACCTCACTAAATCTGTTTTATTCTGTTAGTTTCTGTCTATCTGCTTGTCCTGTTTTTGATTATGTTTGTATGTGAGAAATTAAGAAATGTGTCAAAATCAGAAGTTTGATATTCTTATCCTGAAGAGACCCTATGGTGGAAATATTTACATTTTACAGACCTCTACATTGTTCCAAGATCACAATATAAAAACGCATACAATGTTCTTCTTTAAAGTAAATTTAGCCAGGCTTTATTTTGCCAATTAAGGACAGAGGGCTGGAAAGAACGTGTCTTGTGAAGAGACGCTGGACGCTACCTTTAATCTGCTGCTCCCAGCTGATCCTCTTAACTTTGTGTCTCTGAATGTGTGTTGGAGAGAGAGAGAGTGACTGACACCCTCCTGGTCCGTGATTCTTTCTGAAACGAGAGCATGGAGACTGACTCATGGCTGAACTTAACGCTCTGAACCCTCGGCTAACCTGCTAGCTTATGACATTATGATAAAAGTGGATATCTGTGGGAGAAGCAGCTGTCAGGTCGGGATGACGTAGCTTTCTGTGAGCGGCGGTTATCAAGCGGAGGTTAATATGGTGAATGCTGGCTGTGGCAGCACCTCTCCAAGGATGTTCCCTGGATAATGGTATGGTATCTCTGCTGCAGGTCGGAGAGAGTCGCACCTCTAGGTGGGTACTGGGCCAGCCAGACTAGTTACCCCCTAATGTGAGATACCCTGTGGTTGTTGTGTTTCAGAGCAGCTCCTATTGGTTGATCGTATTTGTTTTTTGAACCTTTGAATTGGTATAAATAAGAGCGGCAACTTAGTTTAAAGAGAACTTCATATGTTTTATTGTCAGACTTGTGTAAAGAGCTCGGCAAGTTGGCATCATTCCTCATGATATTTAAGGTAACAACTAAGATGCTTTTTAAGAACCCAGGATCTAAAACACTGTGGTACAAACACCTATTACAAACGGCCCTATTGCAGAAGCGATTCCCACAGAGATTTGCCATTGTCAAAGACTTAAATGTTATTGTTTTGAGACCTGAGACAGCTTTTGCTGCTCTTTCTCCAAAACAGCTCTCCAATAAACAATTAATTTACCTTCCAAAACCTTTAAGTCTTGCTCTTTTCTCAAACAGTATCAATAAACTTTTTAATATTTGTATATGCATAAATAAAGTGCTTGATCAGAACTTAACATTGAAGCACCAAAGTCATATATTTATATCCACTAACTAACCGGTAATGGCAGTGACGGTCCGCTAAACTCTATATGCTGCAAGGTTAATGACATCTATTGTACAGCGCTCATGAGAACAGGAAGTTACAAGGTGCTTTGACAACTTGCCTAAATAAAACACAGCATGTGAACAGAGCAAGAAGACAAAACCTCAAGAAAAGTTCATAAGAAGGTGTAATAACTGGCATTTGTCATGTGTTAAACATAGAAACACACTCGGCTTGAAAGCTTGATCTTTATAGATAGAGATCATTTTGAGTGATTACAATTCAGAGCCTGTCAAAACAAGATCAATTTGAGCAGATATTGTACATTTCCCAGAAAGATTTACTTTTTGTGAGTACTGTAGGAGACTTGACCTTTTTTGCACCATTGTTTATCACTTTTGGTTTACAGTTACAGTAACCTATGAGTCATTTTGTGGCTTTGAAAGGAAACAAAAATTTGCCTTGTAAGCTTACAGAGCAGTTGGTGAGAATTCAGACTCTGGTGTGGTGAGAATTCAGACTCTGGTGTGTTGTAGGTCATCTGTATCTGAAGGATGGCCGGACTGAAAGCTCATTTACTCCTTAATGCTTACAAGATCCTTTCGCAGAGGAGACTGCCAAACTCAAATTTTCGAGTCTGCCATCATTCCTGGAATTTGAGTTCAGTTAAAGACACTGATGCTGATGCAACCTGGAGTAATACAAACACTTTACATTAACATGAAGCCTTATTAGGATTAGTTTAAAATCCAAGATGGAAGAAAACTTTCCCTGAAAACCCCCAGTTAAAGTAAGACAGTTCTAAACAGATTTGATATTTCGGTCATTCAGAGGACATTTGGAGCTTATACTCAACAAATAACAACATACAAATGACAAACAATATAACTATGAAGTGACAAAATATGTGCCAGGATAAATAAACACAGTAAATTAAAAAATAATAATCAGCCTGTGGACTGATGCCACCAACAGCGGTCTTGTGCTGTATCTGATTGTGGAAATGAGCTGTCAGCATCTTCACTCTCTGATGCACAGGGCTCTACTGTGAGCTCTCATCATCAGCCATAAGCCAACCTGCCTTGTGATGATGGGCCATTGAAAAATCAATATCAGTCAACCACCTGTGACGATCCATGCAAACAGCACTGCTACACAGAAATGCTGTTTGTTCTGCAGAACAGTTTGTGGTGCATTTTAGCCCTTAGTTAGGTAGATGCTATTTATAGATTTAGCAGTTACAAAAGCTGCACATTTAAAGGGTATGCAGTTTTTTTGTTGTTGTTTCATGTGTTTCTGTATTTTCTTGTCATTTAGTTTACTTGATGTTGTATTGTGTAAGATTCGGCATGTTTTACTTGTTTTGATGGGGAAGATTCTGTATAAGCCCTTTAGTCTTCTTTCCTCTCCTGCACAGTTTGGCTGAACTTCTTTGTTTTAAATATGTAATATTTTATGTCTACATTTATGCAAATAAAAATAACTAAATAACACATGTCAGGTTCAAAGTATTTAGTTATCTGACTGCAGGTGTTGATTGATCATGCAGTTAGCGGTTTATGGTCGGTTAGATTCAGATTCAGACAACTTACCCTGATGGCGGTAAAAAAAAGTCATATCTGCTTTAGCTTTTTTACATTATAATCCTTCACAGTTACCTCCACCTTGTGTTTTGGTGGACTACTTTGATAAAGTAAATGAAAAGGAGTGTTATAAAAGCTTTCTATGCTCAACTACAAAACTCTGCACAAAATATGGTGTTTCAGGTCAGCAAAGTCAGTTACATAATGATCAACATTATAAAGCAGACATTAAAAAGGAAATAAAGAAGAAGAAAATTTAAAAAAAAAGATGAAGAAAATAATGACCTTGAGGGGGCATTAGGTAAACTGATTCCCTTATGGCATTAGGTAAATCTAATTTTATGATTGTGGAGGTGTGTGTCCATGTAGTGGTGTACTCTTAATGTTTAAGAGCAGCCGCTGAAGTATGTTGGAACAAGGAGTGCCCCTGAGATGGATGGGTGATGCACAGGAGGTGATCCATAGTCAGGATAATGAGTTTTATAGATTAACAGTCAGAGGTTAGCAGAGCTGTCATGGGAAATGTATGAGGAACAAAAGTGCCCTCATCAGTCCTCTTGTACACCAGGAGAGATCAGTATGTATTCAAGAGGCTACAGCACATTCAAGTTTTAAACATCTGCTTGGTAACATAAGCATCAGCTGCATTGTTTTGGACTGAGCAGAAGCCTCCAGTGTTGAAAAATGAAAAACAGTAGTTACACTCGATTCTGGCTTCTAGAGCCAAAGAAATCCCCACTACAGCCCTCATTTAAACGTCATTTTTTACAAAACAGTTCTTGACAAGGTTGATTTACTAACAGGTGGGCGTGTTATAGCTGTTTGTCAGGAGGCGGAGCCTTGGCCTCAACTTCACCTTTAACGTATATTAACTGAAAGCTGTAGGAGTCAGCATTTCCCATCTCAGAAACCAGTGAGGCTTCGTCTTATACAGTCAGTGAGGACATGGCAAGCGTGTGCTTCTCTTTGTTAATAAACCAAAAGGGTGGGCAACTACCTGACTTGACTTATCAGACTTGTCAGAGGGGACTTGTCTTATTCGTAAGAGATTCTAATTTGAATAGCCACCAGTTCATTATACAATACATTATGCTTTTTTACCCAAATGCCAACCAAAACTCGGGACAGACTGACACAAAATATCAAATAAATGGTGATTTTGTTGATCTAGAAATGATTTGTTTATACACCTACAACTATTAGTTCCTTAGATTAAAGGGTCAGGGATTCATCTGAGGCGACAGCGTCCTATCAGCCTTTTTCTGGGACCAATTTAAGCTACCGTGAGGTGTTTTCGATTAGTTATGAAACAAACTGAAATGAACAGTGATGTGTCTTTTTGGTGTCAAAATGTAAACAAAACCATCAGTGACAAAATCGATAATCTCTGTATTGTAATTCTAATGGCTGCAACTGCTAGGAGGGGGCAGGTATGCTGATGAAACAGCATTTCGTCACCTTATTAAAATAATGGCCTCAAACATTTTTTGACGAAAATGAGTCTTTGGCCTTAATCGTCTCTAAATCATCTCAAGAAATGATTTAGACCACAAACTCATTTTCGTCAAAAAATGACTTAGGCCATTATTTTAATAAGGTGACGATTTGTTACTATTTCTTCAGCAACACATCGCTCCTTCTCTAAGCTTTGCACTCTGCACACCTCAAAACCCAAGCTAAGGCAAATGTTGTAGCTTTTAAGATTGAAGCTATCATCACAACCTTTATGGTTTGAGTTACAACTGCACTTGCTCTGCTGCCGTTGTCTGGATTGCATGTCATAATATTGCTCCACTTTTTAAGAACTTGTTAGGGTCCATTTGTGCCTGATAACTATGCTATGTTGGGACCAGCCTAAGACAGATGTTTGCCACAGTGTCAACAGGCAGAGATGACTCCTTTCTGCAGTGATTGGTTAGAAACTGCTTGTATGATCAGGTTGTTTTCCTGTTGAGAATCAACCTGCACTGAATGTCTAACACTGCTGGGTAAACATCTTAAAAAAGTGTTTCTGCTCAGTTTTTGTTGAATTTACAGTTGAGCTCAGAGACTTGAAGGTTGTCCTGATGCTGTACACTGCTGCTGGCTCCTTTCCTCCATAACTCTCAATAATTCATCACACTCATTTTTTTCCTACATGCCATCTCCATATAGCCGCCTTTATGCTCTAAATCATTGATTTGGCACTCAGTGCTCCCATTTACTCCTCGTAGATTTAAATGCCTGAGGAAGGAAACAGAAGTTAACAGCAGCAGTAAAAAGGTGATGAAGTTCAGACCAAGTGTCAGTGTCCTGGAGTTACCTCTGGACTGCAGAGTCAGAGGTGGCCAATGTCAACCAATCATATCAGACTTGAGTTATACGGCACTTTCCATGCATGAATGTAACACAAATATAATCATAATAGCAGGCAATGTGTCAACTTATACAACACTACATGGGATCCCACTCCGTGTAGCAGTATCTTAATTTTCTTTCAAAAAAACAAAAAGCAAAAGTCAAACAAGGTTTTAAAAAACTTATAAAACAGTTCGTCTAAATAGATAAAGGTCAGATAAATGATATAGTGATACAGAGGGTAATGCACTGGCTTTGCATTTCTGTGTTTCCTGAGGGCCTAGAGTTTCAGGGGGTAGTCCCCCACCCAAAGGATAAATTTGGATCTCTGGCCAGGAGAGAGGAATTAATGACAACAGAAATAGAATAAGCTGCATTACACTTCACACACATTCAGAACCAGAATCAGCTACCTGTTAGATTATCCTTTTTAACATCAGAACAGCTAATGTCCAAGATTTCCTCAGAGTGTATCTCTGTGTCATTGTACTATTTTTGCAGTGAATAAAACTTCTATAAGAAAAGATTATAGAAGAAATTCAGCTTTAAAAATATTTTTTTTGTATGTAACTTCACATTAACTTCATGTCCGCCCCTCTGCCTGTTCTTTTTATAGCTTTGATTAGGTGTCTCATTTAAAGCAATCCGGATTTGCTAGTCTTGTAACGTCTGTATCTGGATCAAGGTGATCCAATCAAATGATGCTTTGAACAATTGGCACTAAAATGAGACTGATGAGCTGATTCTGGGCTTTAGAGGAAGCAAATTCAATATCTTACAGACTGTGATTTTTTATTTACAAGAGGGACTGAGGAATCCAAACCAAAATCACAGACAGAGAGCTATCTCAGTCGTTGAAATCACCTGACCATAGCCATAAACATTCATCTGACTGGAAGCCGTGACCAAAGCGGCTAAAATCGAGTTTCTAGGAAGTCTGTTTTATGGCCCAGCTGGGAAGTCTTAGTGGACTTTCTGCCTGGAAACAGGCGCCTCTTTATTTTCTTGTGTCTGTGTTTTGACACCTGTCATATGGAGTGGCTCCATGCCAAAGGCTAGCTGGCTAGCTGCTGAATCCTATTACCTTAAGCTGAGGATTAGCATGCTGGAAACAGAGAGGCTGGTTCATTGACCCTGGCAGAGCTGTGTTTGCTATGTCAGTCTGATTTGTGACATGTTGAGTCATATGTGAAGCCATTACGTAAAGCCATAAAAGCCATAAAAACGTTACATCTATCATATCGACTCTCCTCACTAGTTTGCAGTCTGACAGTGTTCAAAGTAGCAACACTCACAAATGCTAACATCCCCTGATTCAGAAAGGTCCTGGAAGCCTGTTTTTGTCAAGTCCCACTTGTCCCAGTGAGTGGTTTTCTCAGTTCACTCACAGGTCACAGACCTGCCCCACCAGAGAGCTTTGGATTTCTCTGCCCTTTAGTTAGCACAGAAGTTTCACCTTTTCCCCAATTCTCATTCTCTTAAAACACCAGTTCACTGAAGTGCCCACTCATGTCCACTGTCCACACTAAATACCTGATCATCATCATCATCATAATGCTATTAGCTGTGGTTGTATTTTGTCTTCTTTGAAGCCTATTGACCAGAACAATTGATCTGTACACTTCAGGTGGAGGAACATGGAGGAACATGTGCGGTCACTGACTTATAAAAGATTTTTATCAAGTCTATAAAGAAACATAGTAATTCTGTTTTTGTTGTGATACTGTGATTTAATGAGGCTTGTATTTTACAGCACATAATTTTTTCAGTTTTACGCTGGTTGTAGTATCTAACATGGGAAGTTTACCAGCCACCTGTTCAGAGAAAGTACTTATTTTGATCGTATTCATATGGAAATTTCTATGAACTTCTGACTCGGCCATGAAGGTGAGGAACAGTAGAGGATTTAATGTATCAAAATCTCTTATGATGACCACTTTAAAATTAGAAACCCATTGATGCAGTTGTACCACCTGTTTGAGACATCTGAGAGCATGAAAATTACTGGTCTAAACTTTTAGAACAATCTCAATAGCCTGTAAACTGTTGATGTTTTTTTTTATGCGTCTTGCAAAGATTTTAACCATAAAAACACACTTTCGCAATTGAACTATAATTTACTAGTATTAAAGCTCCTGTGGGGAACTTTTAGTTTCTCTAAGGGTCTCAGGATACAAAAAAATTGTATTTCAGACTGTTTCAAAAAATTAAAGGAGCTTTAAATGAACAATTTTCTTCACCTTTTTAGTCTGTGAACTTACACAGACATTTGCGCCACCTGCCACCTAAACAGATTTAAATCAACAAGTCAAGAACATAAAACAGAAACAAAACTCTATATTATTGAAGTTTTGTACATCCTGTGTTATTGTAAATTTTGAATTCATGTGTTTTTACCCTCTCTCTCTTTTTTCCTGCTGTCCTGTAGTGGAGGAGTCCGACATTATAGACTTGGAAAAGCGCTACTGGCTGTTGAAAGCTCAGTCCAGAACCGGCCGCTTTGACTTGGAAACCTTTGTCCCGCTTGTGTCTCCCCCTATCCACGCCTCTCTGAGTGAAGGTAGGACTGCAGAACCTGTATCCCGGACTTTTTGAGATGACTCTGCTGACATTGAAAATCTTCACAGACCTCTTTTTTGTATCTTTATTATCTGATTTTGTTTTCCAGGCCTGTTTCACGCCTTTGACGAGAATCGGGACAATCACATTGACTTTAAAGAGATCTCCTGTGGACTCTCTGCATGCTGCAGGGGGCCGGTAGCTGAGAGGCAGAAATGTAAGCCATGCTGTGGTTTTTCATCATTACAGATACATTTATCTCAGAGGCTTCACAAGTACAGTCTGTGTCTTCTTTGTAGCGTTGGTCTGGGATTTAAATGTAGGCTGGAGAGAGAGAGGATGTTTTTGGAAAGTGTTACATTGTAGGTCATTAGTGCACAATCACTGGTGCTTGAAATTACATTTACAGAAAAGGATTTCCTGCTAATAGACTAAGCAGCATTACATTGGGTTTAAAGGTGGAGAAGAAAGTGCTTGCACGTGTATTTTACTTCATAACCACGACTTTCTTTCTCTATCTTCTTTCTTCTGCCAGTTTGCTTCAAAGTGTTTGATGTCGACCGTGACGGGGTTCTGAGTCGAGATGAGCTCCATGAAATGGTTGTGGCCTTGCTGGAGGTGTGGAAGGACAATCGTACAGACACACTCTCAGTGAGTTCACACACACACCCTCACACACACACACACACACACACACACACACACACACACACTGTTCTTACTGTATATTCAAGTAGGGTTTTTTTCTTTGTTAAAAGGGTATTAAACTCTCCCTCAGGTACATTGTTATCTAGTTGAAATATTAAAGGTTGTTTTGTCTATTTTGCCTGTTTGAGACCTTAAAAAATTAATATGGAGGGAAATGATAATGAAAATCAACACCCGTATTTTCTTACCATAAAAATGCACTTCTAAAAAGAGCTGTGTGATAAATCAGATTTTAATTTCAAATATGACCCCCTATGATCATGATAATTTAAGACTCCAGACTGAAGGATTATTGTGCTGCCTGCTGTGATGTGCACCCTGCCTCTCTTCCTTGAAGAGCAGAGCTCGGTGCAGTCCCTTCCTTCAAGCAGCTCTCACTTTCACTTCATCATTTGCAGCTTGTATCAATCTGAAATGAAATTTTGGAGCATGAGGAAGATGCAGCTCAGGCTTGAATTAATTGAGGATCTCTTTTGGCTTCAACATGCTGTGCAGCTGCGCAATAAACTATCAGGTAGCGACAGTTGGAGAGAGGAGAGCAGGGAGAGGAACAGGATGAGGCAGGTGTGTGTGTCTGAAAAGCAGAGGGACAGAAGGGCAAAAGAAGAGAGAGGCTGTAGTGATCACAGGAGTGCATAAGTGCCGATGACTGCCATTCATCAGATATCTGATCCAGTTAATTTGGTCAATATCGGAGCCGATATCCAATCCAAATATCGGATCCATGCATCCCTACTCAGAATAATCGTGTTCTTGATTTTCCCCCATAATCGAGCAGCCTTACATCTGGTTATCAGGGGGAATCAAAAGAGAGTGACTTAAATATGATCTTAAATAACAGTTCAGTACTTCTATCCAAACTGTTTCAAAAGGATTATCATTATTGCATGTTAGCAACGATATGAAATTCATATTGATGTTTTTTTTTTTTTTACACTTCAAACTAAAAGAGTTTACCATCAGCCCAAAGCAAAAAGAGCTGTCTCAGGTAACCTCTAATGACTCGAGGGTGCTTTGCTAGTCAGCTGAAAATCAGTACGCAACAATGATTCATCATCCACACATACACGATACATGGGCAAGCATCCAAGGGATAAATAGCCACAATTTCAGCGGTTTCAGATCTTGCCCATATCAGATTGCCACAATCAGTATGAGTGGACAATCTCTCTTTCTTTCTACATCTAGTGTGCGTGTTGCGAGTGGTGTGAAGAGAGAGATGTAACAGAGTTTGAGAGAATCACAGAGAGCATGTCTCTTCAGGCGTTGATAATAAATCAAACATTTTGTTTTACAGGTGATCATGGTTTTAGGGGTTTTTATTCACTTCTGTAACTTTGTTTCATGTCCTTTCAAAATAAAAGCATTTTGAAAACAGAAGATTAACATGAAATAGCCATGACGTAGAAAATTTAAAGCAACACAAACGCAAGTTTTATGAAGTTCCAATTTTTCTTCAGCATATATGGACGGGCTTACTTACACCTTTATTAAACTGGGTGAAAACTGGGAATCATACAGTGAACTAAGCTTTTTTGCTGCATTCCTTACGAACCTCTGATTCTTAATAACATGTTTACAGCCTTGCAAGCAGCTAAAAATGATAAACGGTATTTATTTAGTCATTTTTCGTCAGTGAAGTTCTCTGATTTTTCTTATTTAGTTTCTGAATGTGAGCAGCCGCATGCCGGTTGCTCCTCTTTGCTAATACAACTTTGTGTTGACTTGCAGGAGCTGCACAGTAGTGTGTCTGACATCGTAGAGGGCATCCTGAAGATGCACGACACAACCAAGGTGAGACCCACACGTCATTTGTCAAGGACTTAGTCATGTGACGTTTGCTTTGTGATAAAACTTTATTTTGTAATTGTGGTGCACAAAAAGTAAGCTAACTGCAGCTGTCAGTCCTTGCCAAGTTCACCTACATCAACCCTGAAGTCATCTTACAAGTCAAAGTTTTACATGTCATTGCATTGGTAGTTGTGAGCTACAGACCCACTTACTTTGACCAATTATAAGAGACTCTTACCACCCTATTTCTCTGGTGACTGTTTTTTTTTAAATTCAGTCTAACCAGCTCTCCACAAGCTTTCTTACTTAATAGTATACAAACATTTTCTTCAAATGCATGAACAAGGGAGGGAGAAGGGAGAGAGATAAGCTGTTAAAAAGCAGTGCTGTGAGATTGGTCTAATTCATATCCAACTGGAAAATCTTCAAATGAGTTTTAAACAAACCGCGGCCAATGTAAGGTCATTAAAATTGGAGCGATCCTCTTAGTGTGTTTTTTGGGGTTATGCTGCAATATTGTGCAAATTTTTGAAACAAAAGAGTGCAAAACCTTTGAAATGCTGTATTATTAGTTCATCTATGAGGAACTGGGCATGACTAACTAAGTGTGTGGGTACACTCACAACTTATCACTGATCATTTTCTTGGCGGTACTCCTGTTGTAGTAGAATAAGATTTGATGACTTTGTTCACATGTTTCTCAGAAGTGAAAAGCAAACTGCCTTTCACTGATATTTTTGGAACTGATAAAAAAAACGTAGCTGGAACACAGTTTTTTTGGTTTGTTTTGTTTGTTTGTGTTGTCAGTGTTCAGTTTGAGAAAATCTCATTCTTCAACATCTGTTTCCCCACAGCAGCTACAGTAGATGTAAAGATGACTCTTCACCCTAATTTTAAAGGAGTCATAGCAGTTTATATTTTGAATAAAGTGAACCTTTACACACTGATGTCTTTGTTTTTGACTCCTCACCAGCTGGGTCACCTGACCCTGGAGGACTACCAGATCTGGAGTGTGAAGAGCGCTTTAGCCAACGAGTTCCTAAACCTGCTCTTCCAGGTCAGAAAACACACATCCTGTCATTGTAAATCTTGTGTTTTTGTTGAAATTATGAGAAATAATCATCATCGTTTTCCTCGTGTTTTGTACATCTCTGTGGTTTGGTCTTGTTACAGGTCTGTCATATAGTCCTGGGGCTCCGGCCTGGTACTCCTGAAGAGGAGGGACAAATAATCAGGTACAAACTTGTCCCATTAACTTTATAATTTATGTTTTTGTTCACAAATTTTAACAATATTCTGCTGGTTTACTGGCTGTTTCTGATATGATTAGTGTTTTCTTACCTCCTGAACATGCCTCTGTTTGTGTGTGCTTGTTTGCTGTTTGTGTGTGTGTGCAGGGGTTGGTTAGAAAGGGAGAGCAGACATGGGCTGCAGCAAGGTCAGAACTGGTTCCTCATCTCCATGCTGTGGTGGCAGCAGTGGAAGGACTACGTTCAATACGTGAGTTAACTTGAAGAAATGCCCAAATAGAAATATGCACCAGTGTTAACGCTAAAATTCAGCTGATGGGTCAGATAGTTGCATCTCTGCATAAAAAACAAAGACTCTAAACCAGCTAATTTGTATGCAGAGAGAGGTGTCAGTGCTGTCTGTGAAAAATTGCAATTAAAAAGATGAGATAACAACCAATTAGCCAGCACCATGACAGTGTTCCTTTTGCTTAGGAGCTCTCTGTAACTTCTAAAAAAAAAAACAGCATTTGTTTGTAATATTAAGTCCGAGTAGATTCTGGATCCAGATGTGTCTCAGTCTCTCACGCAGTATCCTGCATTTATGTCTCCAGGAGCAGAAAGGCATCGTGGTGGAGCAGCCATCCATCTTGAACTCTCTACGGAGTCCCATGACCTCAGCTTCTGCTGAGTTCAGTCCACCAGACAGACTCGGAGGACTGGGGACCTTCAGTCAGGTCAGCCCCACCGAGGAGAGGTCACCTGATGCTGTGTCCAGCGCCTCAGAGGCAACAGAGAGCGGTCAGTCTGCACACAGCACAGAACATGAGAACAAAAATACACAGCAGGGTAGTCAAAGTGTTTCTGTTTTTCTCTTTGTGAAATAAAAGAGATCAAATATAAATCAGTTTGTAAAATTTGCAAATTGGGTTCTCTTTTTACCCAACCTGTTCCATTTACCGGACTTGTATTTCCTTCCACTGCAGCCCTGAGTCCTCAGGTAGCCCCCTCAGCCACAGAGAGCTGTTTCGCCCGTCAGCACAACGTGTCAGACAACAACAATCAGTGTTTTTCTGGAGCCAACGGACACCTCCCCTCACAGCTAGCAGCACAAAGACCAGGAGCCATTGACAACCAGCCTCTGGTCAACACCGACCCCATGAAGGCAAGTGTGTCTGTCTGTGTGTGTGTGTGTCTTTGTGTGTGTTCACTGCTTCAGTTTTTTTTCTGTGTGCTGAAGAAAAATAAGTGGAATGTATGTGTTGTAACAAACAAACTGTTACAGACTTTTCATCTTTTCTTAACATTTCGCAGATGTTTTCATAAAACGATCTCAAACTCTAGACTCTTTTTACTCGTGGGTACACTTTTATTTGATGCACCTCCTGACCTGCATTTCTGACCTGACCTGAATTTTGGTTTGATGCAGGTCACATGCAAACAAACAAAGACTTGTAAGTCTGAGTTATCTGCCTGAAAATCAACAGATATGCTTCATCTTTAAAATTGTGACAAAACAACACAGGACAAGAACTTTATTGAACTTGGAAATTCGTGAAACATTAAACATCCTTAAAATTGGCTCCCTTATCAGGGTTGACCACCAAACATGGAAATTAAACAAATACCCGATAAGCACTTTATAAACTGTTAACTCACCCTACAGACTCCAACAGAAGAATTTAAGTGTTGCTGTTGTTTTTGTCTTGGCATTAATTTTTGACCTTTTTTAAATGAAATTTCGACTCTGTCTTCAAAGTGCATGAAAAAAGAAATATTCTTTCCTTAACTATTTTTAGAATTTTGATCCAAACTCTCATATTGTGTAATCACTTTGTAACACAACAGCTTAATTTTTTGTCTTTTGTTTTGTTTTTGGCAGTGAGTTTTAATGAAAGGTTTTACTTTTTGAAAGACAGTTGTGGTCAGCTTCAGCTTTTGCCTTCACAGTTTTAATCATTCATCTTTATTTTTTTGTTTTGATGCAGTTTGTAGGATTATATTCAGAGTGAAGTATGTTTCACTTTCAGCTCCGGTTTTGACAGCCTGGCGACTACATCACAGAAAGCCCTCAGTCAGGAGGAGATCACATAACTCTGATCAGGCATCATGTTCACAGCTTTGCTCTGCCTCATGTTTGACATATGAGCGCAGGGAAGATCCTCAGTCTCAGAGAAGACTCCAGAATCAATACAAGCCCTCTGGATTCGCTGTCTGAACCATGCCCATCTGTTCCAAAGAGCCATGTTTTGAAAAGATGGATTTGATCCAGACCTTCAACGCATAAAAATACGATTCGACTGCTACTTTATATTTGAAGAAGTCTCTTTTTAGATATGATATCCACCTTTTTTTTTGCTGAAAGAAGAATTGATCAGAGTCTCTGTTCATCTGCTGCCACCGACTCTAGAGGGCTAGATAGTGCTTTCTTTTTCCTTTGTCTTATCTCTGTATTTTGCTGTAATAACAGCAGGCTGGGTATAGCATTTACCGTCTCTGTTTATTATCTGTAATTCAAGCAGGCGGAGGAGAGGTTTTTTTCTGCACTCGTCTAAATGCTGTGTCCCCACAGGCCCCAACGTTAACCATGGAGGGAGGGCGGCTGAGGCGCTCCCTGCAGCAGCAGCCCGGCAGAGACTTTGAGACTGTGCCAGAGCCGGTGTGGCGAGCACTCTACCACTGGTATGGTGCCAACCTCAGCCTGCCACGACCGGTGAGTTAACACAGAACGAAACACGCCTCCGCTGTGAAGCTGGATCCATGAATCTCAAACACCTCTTGAACTTAAATTTGAATGTATTGATTATGCCATTGGGTGCTTAGCTGTAATGTTATGTCTTGTATTAAGTCACATGCAGTTGAATCAATTGCAAACATGTTTCCATTTATTTAGTTTTAAAGGTAATTTCTTGTGTGATTTTGCCTTTATTGATCAATCAGCTCAAGGCAGAAATAAAATACAGCACAGGGAGTGGAGAGAGGGGCTGAGAGCCAAACCAACACGCCCACTTTTTAAGAATAAAATGAAATGAATAACCAGCCAACACGAATTAAAATACTGTGAAGAATTCTCCTGGTCAGTCATTCTTAAATATAACTAAACATGTGCAAAGGTCAAAAGTTTGTAGGTATTTTACTGAAACTAGAGAGAAAATGGAAGCAAAATTCAAGTAATGTTGCATCATAATTTCTTGTAAGAGAAAAATATTACCTTCATCATCATTGTGCACCATATTAACCCAAAATTAAATACCTTTGACTGTATTAAGGTTGGGAAAAGCCATTAACAGCCATTCAGCTAGTTGAAGTAATCCCACGTTAAAATCTGTGTTGAAATTTGGGATAAAGTCTCATTAGCAAATGAATTGAAGTGATGTAGAATTTAGTTTGTTCTCCTGGTATTATGAAAAGGACATTACAGATAAAATAAAGACCCGATTAGAGCTTCTAACACAAGCTCTAATCAGCTTGTAAAACAGTGTTACAGCTACTTTAGTCAACTTTTGTCAAAGCAGACATTTAAATATGATTTATTTCCTCAACCAATCCAAACAGCTTCCTATGACGGTGTTGTGCCCCACACAAGTCTACCGTTTTCTTAAAATAAAGTATCATCGACGTAGTAAAGCTTTTAAAAAGTGGCGCATGCTGGGGAAGAAATCAGCTACTTGCACCATACATAAGAGCAAATAGTCAGCTGTATCTGTTTGCCTACAGGGAGCACACATTGGTCAAATGTTTTTAGATTGCAGGGGAAGTATTTACTCGAGCAGGAGTATTTTTTCAGAACATGTCATAGGTCCATTTAACAAATTAAACTATAGATATATAAAACTTGATTGACGTGAGAGAGGAGCAGAGTAGAATCACCAGCTTACAGCGAGGGGCCAAGCTGAGGAGCAGTATGTGGAGGCGTGCGGAGACACCTGTGTGAGTTTAAAATCTCAGGCAGAAGGGAGAGAGCGTCCTCCCCCACTTTTTACAGCAGATTACACAAGAAGGACAACTGTCGATGATTTTTATCAGGTTAAAAAATATTGCATATTTATACTGTTTTAACAAAATGTACTTGCAGTGAAAAGTCAGGGTTGTTCAGTCAGGTGGGTTTTATTTCGCACAGGTTGACATTTTATAAACTAACTGACTATATAACTAAACTTATTATATAACTAAACTGGTTCTTAAAACTTGCCTGATGATTTGGTGTTCAGCTATCACTCGAGTTATGTTGAAAAACTTTGACAGAGCAGGAAAATAAGCAGCTATGAGAAAAGTTCAGCACAGAACAGCTGATTATTGTTGTTGTCAAATAGGTTTGTTTAAATCTGATACAGAAAAAAGGTATTTGTTGAATTACATGTAGAAACCTCTCATTCTACGTGTCTGGGTAACTCTTGCTAAGTTTTGAGACTTTCCCTCCATTTTTTCAGGTGATCGTTGACAGCAAGTCAGGCCAATCCGAGCTGGAGCTCTTCCCCCGCTATCTTCTCTTCCTCCGCCAGCAGCCGGTCACGCGCTCCCCCCAGTCCAACATCTGGGTCAATATGGGTATGACCAGCCTGCGAATGTTCCCTCCGTATTTAGCCGCAACGAGAGGTAATGTAAGCCTGCAGCAAGACCAGAGCAAGCCGTCGAATGCTTCATTGAGCCACCCTGCATCCCCCCCCTATAATCCTCCCAGAGTGGACTGATCCAGCCTGGCAGTGCTCTGGAGTGGGCAGTGGGGTGAACCAACAGCCCATGAAGGGGGAACACTGCTGATCTCTTAAAAAGATGCATAATTTCAATGTTTTCGATCTTCACAGACCTCTGAAAGAACTTGTTATAGCGCTCTACGCTCATGTGCATTTTGACGTACATTTGAATGGTGGGGGGCAGGATAATTGTGCGCCTCATCTTGTTATATTGTATGTTTAAAACCTGATCAAATGAAATTAGAAGAATCAGAATTCTCCGTCTTTAGTTCCCAACATTCAGACAAAAACTAGGCGAGCCACTTTACCGATCATTTTTGCATTTTTCTTGTTTTTGTTATACTTTGATGCAACAGCCATCCTAGATCAAGACAAGAGGGGCGGTCTACTGTCCCTCTGCAGTCTGCACCTCTCTGGTCTATATCCTAGTACTGTCTGAATTCTTTGTCAATTATTAGACAAGTGTCCCCTCCCTAAATTTTGAGATTGCAGTGAGACTTTTCAAGTTTAACATGAACCTTCTGCTGCTGTTGTTTGGATTGTTTTGTGCAGCTTGTTCCTGCTGATGTTATTTTTTATTCTCCTAGTTTTGCTGTGTCATAATTAGAGAGTGAATTTTTATGAAGTTGGGTAATGTGGATAATTTTAGAAAATGTGCTTTTAATGAGGATGGTCCAAGAAGCAGACTTATAAGAAGACAGAAGAGGACAGGGGTCAGCAAAGCAAAAAGCTAGGGTTGTTGGCACATATAAGTTACTACTCTTATTACCTTGCACTCTTATTTGTGGTGAATTTACTCAAAGACACACTGATGTGTCTTTACATCAGTGCAGGCCAACTTCTTGCAGAAATTTTATGAAGGACCCAGCAGTAAGATTCCAGGAAAGTTTTGGGAAATTTTTAGCTCTTTACATTCACTCATGCAGCCGACCCTGAAAAAGTTTCCAGGAGTTTTGTGCTTATTCTTATAGAAATTCTCACAGGCTGCTGCCTAATGGAGACTGAGACACTTTGAAGCCAACCTCAGGTAGCCACAAAGGGAATTGCAGTTATTAGAATTTTCTTTATGGCACCATTGTTCTCACTCCGAGGTTGACACTTGTTGAAAAGCATTAATGAAGTTTTCTTGCCTTACCTCAATCCAGACTATTAGCAGCTCTAATTTAAGTCATTTTCATTTAGTCAGCTCTGCTCCAGTGTACTTGCAATGGAAAGCCTAATTATGGACCTACTCAGTCCAGTGTTTGTTGTCCCATTATGTCTCAGTAGACATAATGGACAAGCATTCACTCTTGCTGCTTGTGGAGTTGCGCACATTTTCTGCAGTGTAATCAGGTTGGAGAAGACATCAGCTGCACTCAGTCGGAGAGCCGGTCCTCATCAAGTATCCGGTTTCCCCCTGTGGAAAGCTTCGGGTGCCATTATGACTCAGTCTGTGTCTGAGCAGCAGCTTGTCATTGCTCCACATTTAGTCCCTCTCCTTAGTCTCTCAGGCTTGTTTCTAGATACCTAAAGTGGATCTAATTCTCCCTCATATTCCATATAACATCTTCTGACAGCCTGAGCTTCAGAGACGAACACTTAGACAAGCGTACAGGATGTTTTTTTGTGTGTGGTTGAAAAGTGCAGCTGTGCAGATCGAAAACATTAAAATCACTACTTTTATTAATTTAAAATCAGAACCAGTAAAATGAAGCTGGCGTTGATTTAACAGGACTAATTTTGATTTTCATCTGATTTAATCCAAGGCCACTAAATCAACAGAGTTGATTGACGAATCATGTGTGCACTGATTGGGGAAAAAAAAGCCTTTTCTTGCTGCTTCCTTACAACTAATCCTCGGTCACCAGAATGCTGTTTTTGTTATTGGTCACTTGTTTGCATCTACAAAATAATGATTGTATGTTTTAAGAAAAAACACAAACTAGAAGTAATACGGGCGAGTTTTAAGACCGCGACTCCTCTCTTTGTCACCTCAGCAGGTAGTGTACCATCACCCAACGCTCCCCTCAAGAGGGTTTTGGCCTACACAGGCTGCTTCAGCCGCATGGGCACCATCAAAGACATCCATCTATACCTATCCCAGAGACTTCGAATCAAAGAGGAGGACATGAGGCTCTGGCTCTACAACAGTGAGGTGCGCCACAAAGCTCCTACTCTATCTTTTACTTTTATTTTTACACATTTGATAGCACAAAATTAGTCAAATGTGTTACTCAGGGATGCACCGATCCAATATTTGGATCAGTTACTGGCTCTGATATTGACAAATTAACTGGATCGGATATCTGATGAATGACGCTGATCCAGTGTTCTGATCGGATTGGATTGGGAAAAAATGGATTGGTGCATCTCTAGCTTAAACAGCCTCTGCTGCACAAAATTCTCAAACATGGGTTTAAATTCAACAAGATGTGCTCCACTAGATTTTAGCCTTCAAGAATTTTAAATCTTTTTATTCATATTCTATTAATCTTCTTATGGTTTTATCAGTGTGGGCTTCAGGGCTTCATGCAGCTCTGTTGGTGCAGCACATGCCCCATGTACAGAGGCGGAGTCCTTGTTGCAGCAACTCCAAATTTAATTCCAGCCTTTTCTATTTATTTCAAATACATCCAACACTCTAATGAAAAGGATAAGCACTCGGTGATAAAGTCAAACCCATCACAGCCTCGCCCAAATATTTATGCTCCAATGATAAATTATGTGATGTTCCACATAACCCCAAATGTCCCGTTTAATCACAAGCATGGAGATAGATGGGCAGTAAGAGCCAGTGCATTACCAGGGTTATCAGGTTCTTCCCTTCATTGCTGTTTTTTTTAATAAGTCATGCCCACAATGCTTCAGGGAGACTTATACAGTTGGCTCCAGCATCCCAGAACCACCCCCTCTATGCTGTCATCTTCCACTCACACCCACACCCACATGCCAACACCTGAAATGGAAGAGTCTGTAAGAAGACGTTGGAGGGATGACACAAAATTGAGAGCCGTGGTGAGAAGTCTGTTTGGGCTCATACTCAATCAGGCAACAAGGTTGTGTGCTCTACCTGCCCCTATTTTCCCATATTTATAAGGGAAAGGGGATGAGAAGAGAGAGACTGAGAGGATGAGACTGAGTAGAAAGAGAAAGACAGAGAAAACAAGGGTATGAAACCTGTTGGGGCCGCTTTTAAGCTAGGCTGAATGCTCTACCTCCCTCCATTCCCCTGTTTGCATGAGGGAAAACAGAAGTGAGCTATAGGACAGGGGCAACAGCATGAGGCTAGAAGTCCATCAAGGCTCGTACTCTCTCCTGTTAGCTTGGACTGTACACTCTACCTCCCCTAGTCCTCCACTCGAGTACTCATTATATGTCCTCCACACTTACATGTGGGGGACTGTTCAAGTTGGCTTAAAAGTGTAATCAATTGTTTGTTCTGCATTTAATTCAAACAATGAACAGTGTATTGTACTTTAAATAATAATGCATATTACAATATAGTTCCCGTTCACCTGAAAAATTCATTTCACCAGTAGAAATATGATTTTCTGCACATTTAAAGGTGGGGAATAAAGAGAAGGGGATAGTTCATGTGCGTCAATAGACGTGTGTGTGTTGGTGAAGAGAATGGGACACATTAGAGTTCAGTGTGGTTGTAGCTCCTGGACTATCTTTGTATAGAAAGAGTATTAAGGTTTTTATAAAGTATAGCTCATTCTTGATTTAGTTTAACAGGATGATGAACAGTGTAATTTGAAGTTAAAAATAACGATATACACAAGAAGAAAACACACATTTTTCTGTAAATCAAAAGCGTCTAAACATCCGTTTTCTCCTCTGCAGAACTACCTCACCCTCCTCGACGATGAAGATCATACACTGGAGAGCCTAAAGATCCAGGATGAGCAGCAGCTAGTTATTGAAGGCATGAAACACTCTCCTTTCTCTGTTTCAGTTTCCCTTCAGAATAAACAAACACCAATGTTTTAAATGATAAGGTTTGATTTCAATGTTTTCCTCTCTCTTCACAGTCAGGAACAAAGACATGAGTTGGCCTGAGGAAATGTCTTTTATTGCCAACAGCAGTAAGATGGATAGACACAAAGGTAAGCCCTAACTTGCTCATTAGCTTCTTTGGACGCTGAGGAGCAGGGGGAAGTCGGTTCTGATTGGTGGATATTATTTGTGCTCACTTATATAAAGGATAATGAAGAAATACCTGTCTATTATAAAGACATTGTGGACTTTATTAGTTCCTCGTTAATTTGACTTTCAGGGGTCTTTTCAACCTGCACACAGTCACTAAAAGGATCACATATCCATGTTACAATTGCATTTTTACTGTTTACTGATTCAAGATTTAACAATTTAATTATTAAATGAAATAAAGAAGGGTCAGGTGCCACCCTGTGAGCATACTAAAATCAAAGATAGCTTTTCTTTTACTTAAGTCTAAAAGTACATTCTTGTTTTCTATCCCAGTTCCTACAGAAAAAGGAGCTACAGGCCTCAGTAACCTTGGCAACACATGCTTCATGAACTCCAGTATCCAGTGTGTTAGCAACACCAAACCCCTCACCGACTACTTCATCTCTGGGAGACACCTTTACGAGCTCAACAGGTGAGGTTTTGACTCTTCATCCCTGCAGTATAGATCCTGTCACCCCCCTCCTAAACTGGTAGTTATAATATATGTGTATGTCTTGGTGCTTTGGCAGAACTAACCCCATCGGGATGCGAGGTCACATGGCAAAGTGTTACGGTGACCTGGTGATGGAACTGTGGAGTGGGACGCAGAAGAACGTGGCCCCGCTGAAGCTAAGGGTGAGTGCGGTCCTGACTGTCTCACACATAAAACATTGAAAGCCTCATGAAGAGCGCTATGCATAGATTTATTTTATTTTATTTTATTTGTTTATTGTACAACCTCAAAAAAGTTGGGACGCTGTGTAAGATTATAAAAACATTTATCATAATAAATTTTTATTTTCTCAACTGTTGTCTTTAACATATTTTCAATGAAAATAGAAGTTTTAAATGATTTGCAAAGCATCAAATTTTGTTTTTGATAAGATTATATACAGCGTCCCAGCTTTTTTATAATCAAGGTGTGAAAATGAAATTCTAAAGACAGACTTAGCCGATAACAACAGTTTTTTTTAGCCCCAGAAGTTGCCATCACAAAACACAAACACAGACACAGATCATGGCACTAACAGTTGGTGTCACGGCACATTCCTTTTTGTTGAATTACAGGAAAATCAGCTGGACTGGCTGTAAACTTTTAAATTAGTAAAAGTGTTTGTCACTTTGTTAAACACCCTCTCTCATTGCTGAAAACCGCTGCTTTTAAAATGCCACCATATAATTAATCAGTCTTATACCAGTGGCTGTTGTAGCTCATGAAGAGGCATCAGTATCTTTTCAGTGTGTTTCATAACCAGTTTAAACCTCCAGGTTGTGTCCAAATAAATCTTACAATCTCATTTTTTCTTCTTTAGTGGACGATAGCAAAGTACGCCCCACGCTTCAACGGCTTCCAGCAGCAGGACTCCCAGGAACTGCTGGCTTTCCTGCTGGATGGTCTCCATGAAGACCTGAATCGAGTCCATGAGAAGCCGTACGTAGAGCTGAACGACAGCAACGGCCGGCCTGACTGGGAGGTGGCCTCTGAGGTCAGTTTTCATGCTGTTTACACATCTGAATATATTAAATATTTAATAACTACTTGCTGTTGTGCTCTGGGAAAAAAAACAGTAAAAGAAATTCAAAATTTTCACACTAAGACAAATAATAATGTGATAATTAAGTTATTGTTCTACTTAAATGTTATGAAATTACTTTGTCAGCCCAGCTTTGCAGAGTCGTAGAGCTGTTGCGGTATTTGAAGTCGTGTTGATATCTGTTTGTCTCGAGGAAAAGGATTTGTAGGATTAGTGGTGTGTGATCTCAGCACTTAACTCTGTATATATTTGTGTGTGTGTGTGTTTGTGTTGTGTGTATTTGCTCCCTCAGGCATGGGAGAACCACCTACGCAGGAACCGCTCCATCGTGGTAGATCTGTTCCACGGTCAACTCAAGTCCCAGGTGAAGTGCAAGACCTGCGGACACATCAGCGCTCGCTTTGACCCCTTCAACTTCCTGTCCCTGCCGCTGCCCATGGACAGCTCCATGCACCTGGAGATCACAGGTGAGGAGAGAGGGAGGGAGGACAGATGCTGAGCATGAATTTTGCAGAACCTGAATCATGTGTGATGTTGTGATGCATTTGTAGTGATCAAGCTGGACGGGTCCACTCCTGTGCGTTACGGCCTGAGGTTGAACATGGATGAGAAGTACACAGGACTGAAGAAACAGCTGAGTGAACTCTGCAGTTTGAAGCCAGAGCAGATCCTGCTGACTGAGGTCCACTCCTCTAATATTAAGGTACACATCCACAGATCCCAATACAGGCGACATCTTCCTCAAAGCTCAGCGGCTAACACAAAGGCTGAGGAGTAATTGTAAATAATGATGAGAATGAATATAACTTCATAGACGTGTTCTGAGGGACAATAAGTTTAAAAATATGGATTAGCCAAGATTTCACAAGAATGCTAAACTGTGTGTACATCCCAGTATACTGCAGATTTTTGTGAGAGATCAACTAAGAATAACTGCCTAAATGGCAGATGCAGAGACTGCTGAGGCGGTGGTATTTACATCTGGGTTTTGGATAAGGCAGCAATATGGGAGAGTAGAAGTAAGAAAGCAAACACCGTCAGTAAAACGTGCAGACTAAAAGATGAAATTTAAAAAAAAAACGAAGAAAACTGGCTTATAATAAAACCTTAGCACAAAAACAGGACATCCCCATCCTACTCCATCAATCACCCCAAATCAGCTGGCATGTTTGCTTTGCCATAATTTAATGTACAAACTGAAAATAGTCTGCAGCTCTTAAAGATGGATTGTCATCTCTTGCACATGAGACTTTGCCAGCTGTTTCCTAGAGGGGCACTTTAGCTGCTGTCACACACACTAGAAAGCTGGTCAGCTTGAATGCCAGCAAGAGGCAAAGATGAGGGGGCGAGACATGCATCCTTTCAAAGAGGAAAACCCTGGGTAAAAATGTTACACTGGAAAACAGAGGAAAGTACAAAAACATAAATGCCAATTTAATTTTTTTTTAGGCTGCACTGGCTGTGAATTGGCTACAAATATTGGCCACAATAGACAGTATGCATGTTTAATCATGATGTTCTTTTCATTAAAGAGAGGAGAGTGAATGAAAAGAGCTCATGGGAAATAACCTCTAACACTTCTTAATGCTGCAGCTTGGTTTTTCATGCTCACTTCATCCCTCTGCTTTAGTAACACACACCCGGTCCGCCTCCTTTTGGTCGGCCTCGCTGCAGATTTTATTTTTGCACAATTGGTTTTCATCAATGTCGATCAAAGTTTCTTTGATTGTCAGAAGGCCAAGATTATAATTGCAATCAGACTTCCATTTGCTGGTCAGCCCCAGGTGAGACATATTTAACTTGGTCTATAGACAGTGGTTAAAATAGTAAAGCTTTGATTTCATAATGTTTCATGTGACATAAGGGCACAAATTTAGAGGAGGTGAGCGTTCATAACAAAGTGGCGGAACTGCTTTATTTACCAACATCACATGCGATTACATCACAAGAGGGACTCAGGCTCCTTTACTGTACATCAGCTTAATGTGTAGTAACACTTGTAGTAGTAGTAGTGGTAGTAGTGGTAGGCTTAACCAATGGGCTGACACAATCAGCATCAATCAGTCTCTCTGTCTCTTCCTTTCTGTCTCGCAGATAAACAGCGTGTGAATTTATTCAGCAAAGAGACAGCATTTAATTTATGAAGACCACAAAGTCCTTTGATGACACAAGATAAGAGTGATTTTAAAGAAGGGACATATCTATCCATTGTTCAACAGTTTTGACACCAAACAAAAGCCTTCAGCCTTTTGCCATCAGATGGGCTCAGAGTGGAACAATTAAACCTCTATTAGCCGATGAAGAGGACACACAGGTTCATATGACAGCATGAAGCAGCCAAGACACCAAATATAAAAGCTTGAGGGAAGATTTGTATCCTGTTATGAGTCTGTCCTCATGTCCTCTGTCCCAACACTGTAATTATAGAAGATTTAAAGCCATTTGTGCCTGGCTCCTTCACTGGGATTTGGCCATTTTAATGCCATGACTCACCACTCCAAGTGCTTTTGTTCAACAAAAACAAGCCTTCTCCTGACACTGTTTTGAGGACAACATTGCTGTGGTCACTGAAGGTTTGCTGGCTCAGAGAGAAGCCAGCTGGATTAGTGTAAATATCACTAATCTAATTGCTGTTGCTCAGCAAAGAAGTGCATCCCCTCTATTTTTAGTCTAGTGGCTGTTTTTGACACAGGAGGAAACTGAACCAGTTCTTTTCAGCATTTAAATAACAGTCATTCTCTGCAGCTGAGGAAGGGTCATAGGGGGCAACACTTATTAATGTACATGTGGAGTGAAGACTGGCTTGTGTGGTCCGAGCAAAGAGAAGAGCTACTGGAGTTCAAACTGCTGAAAAAGTGAAAACAGCTTCTGATTAAAAGGTCTTTGATTTTTCCACAGCAGATGTGCATCTAGAGTGATATATCAGACTTTTAAAAGGACAAGAAATGAGGATTTTTTGTCTGATAGAATAAGTAGCTGAGATGTAACATGTATCGGTTTGTCCACAGGGGGGCACCAAAGTTGACAAAAACAAAGTTTCTCACAGGAGCTTTAAAGTGAGGAGTTTTTAGCTGGTTATGAAAAAGACCAAAATCAAAAGTGATGCTCTTTACGTCCTAAAAGAATAAAAAAACAAGATTGGTTCAAGGTCAAGAGGTAACCTTTTGTCCAGGGGGCGCCAAATTAACAAAAATAATTCCTCACAGGAGCTTTAATTTGTTTTATGCAGTAATATTACCTCCCTAAGCACAGATTCTTTGATTTGATCCAGAGTCCTTGTTCACTGGAGATATTGTGTCGCTGCTGTTATGCTGTAAAGTGTTGCTATCTGATGCCCTATTATTTTGTGTTCAGAACTTCCCTCAGGACAACCAGAAGGTCCGTTTGTCTGTAAATGGCTTCCTGTGTGCGTTTGAGATCCCTGTGCCAGGTTCACCAACATCACTGAGCTCACCTACACTGACAGGTGAGCATGTTTTTATCACCTCTTTGTCTTTACAATCCTATCCTCAGTCTTATCCTTTAATCTGCTCTGTAATTGTTTGCAACCTTTCTTTTTATAAAAAGATTAAGTTTTGAACTTTTTTGATTTGTTCCAATCCACAGCTCATCATTTTTGTATTTCTATACTCCCTTTTTTTCTGCAGATATCACCCCAATCGCCAACGGTTCAGCTGCTAATGGGATTCCAGGGAACAAACCTGTCCTCATCCCAAACGGAGGACCCAGCACAGTGGTACCCTGCAGCCCAGAGACACCGCTTGCCAACGGGGTCGCCAATGGCCACATTACACCTGTGTTTGAGAGCCCCTTCATTGGATACATCATCGCCATGCACAGAAAAATGGTGAGAACTTATGCCGTAATGATACACAAAAGTGGACGTGATTTGAGCCTTTTACTGACTGCAGACAGAGCACAAACATACACAGGCACGACACACAGTTCCAATTCTCTTCCTGATAACCCAACAAATCTCACCATATCATCATCTTTGAAGTTTATTGTAAAAATCACAATATTATCATAAATAGGAGAGTAAAAATAGTCAATAAAGTAAATAATCTTTATTAGTATTTTAAGTTGTTTTTGAGCTTTGAAGGGAGCAAGGAGAAGAGATAACATGCAATATAAGGCCAGGGACCAAGCTTTGATACTTGTGCCTCATGATTTAACAGTTTAACCAACCCTCCTGATAGCATTATCCAGATCTATTCTGTTTGTGTTATTATAGTTATTATGTTGTTATTAGGGCTATCAATCTTTTTTTTTTTTTAATCGCGATTAATCGCAGAATCTTGATAGTTAATTGTGATTAATCGTGGTTTGAATTGCATGTTTAAAACTCTGTTCTTTTGCATTTCAAGGCAGTTTTAAGCTCATAGTGTAAAGTATTTCTTACCAGAGTCTTAATTGGGAATCAAATGAACACAAAGAAAGAATTTCCTCTTTGACCTTTTGTATTCTTTCAAAAAAAAGTGCCATGTAGACCAACTTAATACTATGTGTATGTTAAATATGTTTTATAACACAGGCTTTGCTTTTCAAATAATAATCAGCTGTTTCTCATTAGTGAGTTATGGTGTGCAAACAGATTTGTTACATTGCAGAGCTCAAAACTGTGTATTCTGCATTCTTGTAAGGTCATAGGAACTGCACCATTGAGAGTATACTCTGACGTCACTTTTCCGCCAGGATACACCCACTCAGTCAGACTGAGTGGAAAACCCAAGCAGCAACCTCTGATGTTGAAAAATGAAGCCAGTGTGGGAGTGCAGAAAGCTGCAGTTGCAAGTCCTCATTAATGACTGCCTGCAGAAACCAAAGGGACCCTTTTCTACCTCCTTTGTACTTGTTGCTGTTTGCCACAAGTCCACCTCAGCCCCACCTCTTTTCTGTTAATTCAAAGTTAGGTTGAGTCAGCTTTTCCAATATGGCTGCTATCACTGTGATTTAAAAGCCTCTTGTGAAAGCAATGGAGGATGTCAGCAAAATTACATCTTCATTTTATACAGTTTTAGTGATGAATTACATTATGATTCATTGCAAAACTTGATGTGACAGCAAGTATTTGGGGGATATTACGACCAAGTACAAATATGTCCATCAAACAATGAGAGATTGTCTGAGTGAGTAATCTGAGATGGCAATCTTTTATAAATAGAAAAAACAAGAATGTAAAATGGTTAGGATCATACTGTAACAGTCAAAATATACCTGAGTAGCCCAGGTTCAAAATAGAGTTATGCAATACATACATACTGTCAGGGATTCTGCAGACCACATGTTAATAGCTGCTGAATTTTTAGCTGTTTTTATTCAACAAAATCTCAACAGAGTCGTGCTTGAGCTCCAGCTGTTGTTCTGACTTCCATGTTTGTGTCACTCCACAGATGCGCACAGAGCTGTACTTTCTATCATCTCAGAAGAACCGGCCCAGTCTGTTCGGGATGCCGCTCATCGTCCCCTGCACCGTCCACACCAGTAAGAAGGATCTGTACGATGCTGTCTGGATCCAAGTGTCCCGCCTGGCAAGCCCACTACCCCCACAGGAGGCCAGCAACCACGCCCAGGACTGGTAGGCTGACAGAGAGGGAGAGACAGTGAAGGATAATGTGGGGTCACGGTGTAATGTAACGAAGATCATGAGGATTGGCCTCAGCTGATCCAAACTTCTGAGGATGAAGGCTGAGCTGTATCAGTGATCTAGAGCCGGATTCATTAACGCTTCTTTGTTTAGTTTAGTTACACCAAACTCTAAAAATAACAAACTGAAATGCTCTGATAAGATGGTTGACTGTAAACAACAACGACAACAAACTGCATTTTTAAATGATCGTATTCACACTGACCTTGTTTATGAGTGACATAATCCCTCATTGAGTTTCTTCCTCTTTGACCCTGCAGTGATGACAGTATGGGCTACCAGTATCCCTTCACCTTACGGGTTGTGGGGAAAGATGGCAACTCATGTGCCTGGTGTCCCTGGTACAGGTAAGACCATTTCATACTGAACAAAGGAATGGGGCTTCAGCCTTTTTCAAGCACCCTGATGTGCTGTGAAGAAGCTGTGTTATTATGCCTGCTAGGACTGGAGCAGTATGTCAATATTCTAGCACTTCACTCGCTAATCAACCATGTTTCTGATGTGTGGCTCAAAGCCCAGGCCAAACAGGCTCAACATAGTTCTCAACTGAAGAGGACAAAAAAAATAAATACTGAAGATTCCCTCGTAAAGAAATCATCATTTTACAGCAGTCAAGCCTTTTCACTTTTACTTTTAATGCCTTTTTTTCCTCATTGTAAACCAAAAAGGTGACAAGATGGACATTGTTAATGAGTGCAGGACAGTCATTGTAAGTAAAGTGTTGCACCCCAGAGGTAATTGTTGTTTAAAGCAACCACTGCAGAGTTTTGGATGTTACTTTGTGAATCCACTTCCTGTTTTCTGCGTCCCTAGCATAAAAAGCGTATAATTTAAAACATTTAACAAACAGAGTTGAATGTAGCTTCAAGTATCATGCCTAAAAGTGATAAAAGGTGCTATAATATGCAGTGCAAAGCTATCGTTTGTGTTTATATCTATCACCACGGCAAGATGGTCTCATACACTTTTAAAACTGATGCTCTAAGATTTCACGTAAATCCAGCAACAACAACAGAGGAGGAGCATGAATGAATCAAAGAGTAATACACTCTTCTTTGTCTGTCATCAAGGTTTTGAAGTGCTCCCAAATATATTTACTTGCCTGATGATGTTCATTTGGACCTTTTAGTGGGTGTACTCTCTTAAATGACGCTCAGATTGACCTGTTTCTCCGTGTGTTTACAGGTTTTGTCGAGGTTGTACCATAGAGTGTTGTGAGGACAGAGCGTCAGTAGGAAATGCTTACATCGCTGTTGACTGGGACCCCACCGCCCTGCACCTCCGCTACCAGACCTCCCAGGAGAGGGTAAGTTCACACACACTGGGCTGATCACCGTGCAGAAAAAAACAAAAAACATCAATATCCAAAATACAACATCTTAGATTTTCTCTGATTGGACCAGTGGTGTCTTACATGTGCTCCTCTTGGAGAACAAACTCAGAAAAGTTTGCCTGCCCCTCCTCTGAGCTTGACTTCATTTGGCTTGTGTTTTGTAAATGTGGAAGTCTTGAGACATGATCGATGTCAGCGGTGTAACTTTGTTTAATACAAACCTATGCAATTCACATTTTGACCACAAGGAGTCATTAGTGAGCTGCTTTATCAGTTCAGTCAGCTACAGAGGGACATTAAGAAACCTCAAAGCTGTGGCATCATAATGCATCTTTCTTGTGATTATGGCAGCTTCAAACTTAAATAACATCCAGAGAAACTCTTGCAGAAATATACCAAGACTGTTTTTGTTTGATAAGTGCTTCTTCTGTATGTCTGCAGATTGTGGAGGAGCACTGCAGTGTGGAGCAGTCTCGTCGGGCGCAGGCAGAGCCCATCAGCCTGGACAGCTGTCTGAAGGCCTTCACCAGTGAGGAGGAGCTGGGCGAGGACGAGCTTTACTACTGCTCCAAGTGCAAGACACACCGACTCGCCACCAAGAAGCTGGACCTCTGGAGGCTGCCACCCATTCTGGTCATTATCCAGTTTCCTTTTTGTATCTAGTTCCAGGATCGATAGGTTTTATTATGTTTTAACCTGAACATGAGATTTTAGGTTTCAAGCTGGTGTGTGCTTCTCTTCAGATTGTCCACCTGAAGCGCTTCCAGTTTGTGAACGGCCGCTGGATCAAGTCCCAGAAGATTGTAAAGTTCCCGAGGGAGAACTTTGACCCCAGCGCCTTCCTGGCCCCCAGAGACCTGGAGCAACACTGTCTGCACTCCCGCAGCGAGAGTGAGGACCTGCTGAGGGTCGGAGAGGACAACCTGTCCTCCATCTCTGCCCCTGCCGGCTTCTGTAACCTCAACAAAGGTACAATCTGTTGATTTTAGCCTAATATTCCGTTTTTAAAGTCAATCTTGTACAAAGAGTTAAACTTCATTTACCGCTTTATTAGTTAAGATCAATCAAGACCTACTTTGGTACTTATCGGTCATTGTGATAGTCAGAGTCTTCAAGGTTTTTACAGTCTTAGAAAATGTACAGCCTTGGCTAAATGTTAAAGTCAGAGAACCAAAACAATAGCGGAAGTGTTTATTTATCATTGTTATCGGTAATCATTTTAACCAATTTTACTTAAAATACACAAAAAAATACTGAACCAAATCTTTTTAATTCAGGAGGAGTTGATAAAAATAGAACATGATGGTTTGCAAATATTTAAAGCTCATATTTAATCAAAAAGTAGTGCAAAAAACAACAAAATGTCACAATTAAAATATGTGTCACTTTATGAAAAAGATCTGAAATTTGACGTCAGCTACATTTTTAAAACAGTCGGGACAAAACACAATAAATGGTAATGCTTTAAAAAAAAAACACCTGATGCAGCATCTCACAACTATGTAAGTTAATTTGCATCAGGAAAGTGACCCGACTGGATGTAAGAAGACCATTTCAGGGAGGCCGAGTCTCTTAGAAGTAAAGATAGGAATATGTAAATCACTTTGCATGAGCAAGTGGTTGTAAAATTTAAAAATGAAGAAATCTTGGTACAAAAAGGACAAGGCTGAAAACCAACACTGGACGGCCATGATCTTTGGATACTCAGGCAACACTGAAATAAAAACAGCACGACTCTGTAGAGGAAATTACTGCATGGACTAAAAAAACACCTCTACAAACCACTGTCTGTGCACAAAGTGTCTCTCTGCATCCACCTATGCAGGTTAAAACTGTGCCATGCTAAGACGGAAACTATACATCATGATGGGTCAACAGAAAATACTACAAAGGGGACATCAATTGTTGATCAGTTTGATTTGTTGTCTTGTACTATTTTGATCAAATATGGGATTTGAATGATTTGACTATATAGAGGTGGTGGATCTTCTTGCTGGTGGTCTTCTTTGGTCTTGTAGGTGCTGTAGGGGCATCACTCAAAACTAGAGTCTGTTTTCTAACTCTTCACAGAGGCTTTAAATAGACCTTGTAAAGTCTGACACATGTGATTACATAGTGTAAAACAGATGCACACCTTTTTTTATATCACTTTCCGTGTGATGGATATCTGATGTCTGTGGGCCCAGCTAAACAGACCATAGTATAAAAGAGCAATACAGCCTCTGACCCAGTTGCACAGGATATGAATGTAACTCTGTGGTTTCCTCACAGCCTCTCCTGCCTCGAGTAGAAAGTCAGCACCTTCTCGAAGCCAAACCAGCAGCCCCTCCTGCAGCCCAAAGACTAGCTCCGGAGGCCGCAGAACAGGCCGGCTACGTCTCCCTCAGCTGGGCAGCAGACACCGGCTCTCCAACAGTAAAGAGAGCCTGGATGGAGCTGCTAATCAAGAGGTTGAGTCTCGAGATGGTGCATCACAGGCGGACACAGAGGGGAGCACGGCAGGGACAATGGTGCTGAGCCACCCTGATTCTGGAGACGGGATCACGTTAGAATCTCTGAGCAGCACAGAGGCATCCAGCAGCCACTGTGACGTGGTTCTGGTGAACGGTGAGAGCAACGGGCTGAGCTCTGACTGCAGCATGGAGAGCAGCGTGGACCCTGAGAGCTCTCTGCTGCAGCACAGAGACAACATGTGTCTGGACGCCATCTACAACCTCTATGCAATATCAGTAAGAACCACACAACAGAGTCTTAATCACACATGTGGTGTTAAAGGGGAATTATGTTAGATTTTTCTAATCTGTCCTAAATTTACTACATAATTGGGAATTAGATCAAAACATAAGGAATTGCTTCAGTGGATTTCTTCAGTCTGCAACCACTTACAAGACTGAATTGCCTGATTTTGTTGCTCACAGGCTTAGATCAGAGTCTGAATCATTACTTAAAGGATCTCAAAGGGATGAACTTTAAAAAAAATGGAAAAAAAAACATCCTTTTTCTTAACTGGATACATATTTTCCATCATTCTCTTCAAAGTCATCAGACGAGTTTGACAGAACTTGACATTTTACCTCATCAAACGTGGGAGTTGTTATTTTTCTGGGTACATTTTCTTTCCAGTCCCCACTAGAGGTGTTGATAAATATTTATCTACCCCTGTGATGCTACAGAAAAAAACTCAACAAAAAAGTATGCTTCCTAAATGATCAATTTGTCTCGAAAAGTTACTTCAGAGCCATAGCCAGCTTTTGTTTCTGCAAACTGAAATAATTTACTGGAACAAGAACTTTTTGTAGCTGTAATTCATTAAGACTCAAAACATACAGGAATCGTCTCTTTTTCTGCTTGGAAACCAGTTCACCTAAAGCTTTGTCCTCTTTTACTCATCAGTGCCATTCAGGAATCATGGGAGGAGGCCACTATGTGACATATGCCAAAAACCCCAATGAGAAATGGTACTGTTACAATGACAGCAGCTGTAAGGTAAGAAAGTAGGACATCTCTCATTCTGACTCCACATCCAACAACAAACCTCAGTTTGATCAGTAAAACAAATATTTGGTTGTTAGTACAGAAGCACAGCTTTGTCTGTAGTCTTCGCATATGCATGGGGCTCAGGGGGGCAGTACCTGGTGTCTGATTAGAGTTATTCTAAGATGCAGCTGCACAAGAGCATTAGAGTGACAGTAACCTGATGAAATACATGCACAAATGAAAATAATCAAACTGAATTTATTTCTAAAAGTTAAAGGGATGTTCCAGCGTAAAATTAAGTTAAGGTCAAACACACTGTAACACTGAGTTAGACACCCCCTCAAGAGTTAAATGTTGCCAACTGCTTGCCTCTCTAGTTATACCAACTTTAGCAACGACAACACGATAGCAATACACAGTGGTCCCATGTAAGTCAAAGAACCATAAAAATGGCAGAAGTTTCTACATGATTAGCTCAGATTTCTGACTCTGCCAGTAGCCTCACTTTCATCTGTCTTGTCTTATTTCCCTCCAGGAGGTTCACTCTGAGGAAATCGACACCGACTCGGCCTACATCCTCTTCTACGAGCAGCAAGGCGTGGAGTACTCCCAGTTCCTGCCAAAGATCGACGGCAAGAAGATGGCCGACACCAGTAGCATGGACGAAGACTTTGAGTCAGACTACAAGAAGTACTGTGTCCTCCAGTGATTGTCTTCCATCAGCCGGGACTAGACCTCCTGCTGCTGTGATCAGGAAGAACCAGACTAATTCAGATCGATCTGATCACAAACTGCTAACGGCAAGAGTCAGGCTGCCCTCTCTCTGTGTTTTGGGACGCATCGCGGCACTTTTTACTCCTGATCGCTAACACGGATTAGTGCAAAGATTTGCCAAGACAATGACGCCCTGGTGAAAGCACTAAACTGGTGCACTTTGCTGAGCCAGACAAAACAAAGCCCCTCTTTCTCTTCGTCCTCCTCTTGTGTGAACAACCCTCGCCATAACATACATATGTAACATTTACTCGCATACTAACACATCTCTGAATGTATGCCAGTGTGGCCAAGTCATGAAATCTTACTCTACATTTATCACCTGTGATGAAGATATCATGTGACCTGAGCCTGGACGTCTGAGAAGAAGAAGAAGAGCACAGAATGGATTCCAGGTGTAAACTCAAGGCCAGTTTCAAAAGCCAACAGTCAGATTCAATGCCACTTTGCAACACAATGATAAATGTAATGTCTAATCTGTTGGATACTTTGATAACATTTTAGAAAATGCTTCTCCAAAGGTTTTATTAGCGATTGCGTCACTTAATTCATATGCTACCTCATCACTTCACACAATGTCGGCCAACTCCCTAAACTTCTGTGACAGTATTAATATTGAGTAAATGCTTCCTAGGTGTCATGGTACACACATTTCATTTCGCTTCACTCTCACATGTCCTAATGTGGACATAAAGGGTGTGTTTGATCCAGCAAGCTGCCAAATATCAGTGTGATTTAGTGCAATTTGACCCATAATTCCTCTGAAACTCAGAAGGGTTAAGTGTCAGTCTTGGTTTGTTGAGAGCGGGTGCCATAATTTCAAAAAGAGACACTACAAGATAAACAGTATGATTTTGTTTTCATCCTGCAGGTTTTGTCAGTACTGATTATTTTATTGTGGTTGATTTTTTTTTTTTTTAGCTTCTGAAGCCAATTCGGGTTTGAGGACAGGAGAGATTGATATCTGAGAGGGGTCCAGCTTATTTTACTTCACCCATCTTTCACCTGCTGCAGCTCTCAACTGTCAGGTTTCAGGCAACATCCAAACATTCACTGCATCCACACCTTTATCTCACACACCCCCAGGTCTTACATAGATTGCAGCTCCTATAGCACCAAAGATCGGGGCTTCATTTACCTCCTCTGTCTACTTTGTATCAAGGTCCAGTTCACAAAGCACAGTCCCTTAAAGACATCGAAGCACAAACAAGTCCACAAAGTTTCGCAGCTCTGTGCAGTTTAGTCTTACTCTGCTTCTGATTGTAGAGACGAGCTGTTTGCGTCTCCACTCTTCACCCTGTTTTTTCCTCTCATGGCACTCAGATCTGTGCACATACAGATGATGAGCTGATCAGCACGGTTTGTAGTACATGTACTAGAAGAAAGGAAGATTCTGTTGATTTGGATGCTGTCTTATAATCACACCACTGTGATGTGGTCGTAGTTGTAACTATCAGCTGTTATAATGATGAGCTATTCTTGATGTGAAGTGAGTCATCCGTATGACAAGACTAAAGGACTCTTATCAGATGTGTTTGATAGTTTATTAGCACCATGGAGCCCGTACAAAATGCTTATTTTCACATTTAACCCCCTTCAAAGTTCCTCATTGCATCTTTATGTACAGCTGTGCATCACTGCAGCAAGGTGAGGAACCATTGAGGCTTCACCCACATTATTATCTGTGCTATGTTAGCACCTATAGTCTCTTGGTTATGATTTAACCTCAGCAGTCTGTGAAGTTACTGTCATCTGTAAATACAGACTCTGTTGACTTTTTCACTACGTACGTTTCCAGACAGTTTTCAGGATCCTCGCCCTATGATATTTTTCAAACATGGTTTTTTTCATACATCCCTCTCAGTGTGTGGTTTCCCTCATTGGGCAGGGGTGAGGGGGTCTCATGACACAACGTAAAAAGGATTCTGTAGTAAATTTATGATGGATCCAAGATCACAGTTTGATCAAAATCTGACACCATTAGAATTTTTTGCCTTTTATTAGTGCAGAAAAGAGTGTGGAGTTTCTTGTACTGTAAAACTAATTCAAAGACTGCGCTGGGCTTGTCAGTCTTCTCATCTCAACATCAGCTCTTACACTTGCTTTCAGTGGTTTTTTAACATCTTGACCTCTTACACAAATTTTTCCAAGGAGCTGGCAGGAAAAATTTGGAGTAAAAATTTGCATCAAGACATGCAGCTTACCTGCTTGTGTGAGCTAGTCTAGTAGCACCCCCATCCCAACAGCATGCATAACTCTTTACCTCTTTGCATGTTACCTATAAATATTCACCCATCTAAACAAATAAACTGCATACCTGACCTGTTTTTATTCCAGGCTGTAAACATGTTTCATTTTACTGTAAAATTGACATTTTAACATGGGACCTGACAGGGATTTCTTGGCTTTTGCAGCCAGCCTGTGGACTCTAAAGGAACTGCAGTTTTTTGCACTTGGTATGTTCGTGGTCCTGTAGATGTGTTTTCTGGTGTCAATGTGGACAGAAAGTGTTCTGCAATGTTGAGATAAAAGGGTTATTATCCCTAAATAAATGTGTTAAATGCAATTATCATGAGAGTTAGGGATTGAAAAACCAGACTTTGGTTCACTTCTGTACTTATGAAACAACATATAACCATTACGTGGTTTGTTTTCCTTTTGAGAGCTGCAGCAGTTTGTGTCTGGAGTGAAGTAAGGTCAGTGAAAGCTCCACTGGACCCCTAACTTTTTAACATCATCTTCCTGTAACTAAGTCCTGCTCCTCTTTTCTCAGCCCCTTGATGTGACTCTTTGAAATGAACAAACCCATGTCTCTCCTGTCTGGAGTCCAGTCTGGTGTGTAGCAGTATGTGTGGAGCCCCTCAGGCTCGGTCTGATCACTGTGAACAGAAAGTAACAGCAGACGGTCATTCAGTCGGTAAAATGACCCTATTCGTCTCTTATATTGCAGGAGAAACCCCTCTGCATTCGCCCCCTATTTTAGCTGCTGTATTTATGAGGAGAAGGCATCATTGTGGATGTATTTGGAGAGATGTGTCACTGAATGAAACTTTATTTTCTTTTGCATTTGTTGAACAAATGGAAATGTACAGATGAGTGCTATTTATGTCTGCTTGCTCGGCTCTTTTCTTTTTTTTTACCCTCCTCCCCTCTTGTAGAAATCTGTTTCAAACATCATCACATGGCTCAAAGGGAAAAAAAATTGTCTCTTGAGAACCCAGTTTATAATGTCTGCTTCATTTTAAAGGTGCAATAGCTGTCAAATTGTCTTGTTTTGGCTGTGAATGATCCCTACAATGGCTGCCTGTGTGATGCTAAGCTAACGTACCTGTAGCTTAAACTGTATTAGCAAAAACACAACTTAAAGTCGGGGTTGATTTCAGCACAACTTCAAAAGGACTGAGCTCTGATGCTGAAATTGGACTGATCATATGAACCACAAGGACTCTATGTTAAGCCTCTCCCCTCTCTAGAAACCCTGCCTACCCCCACCCCAACCCCACTCCCCAGAAGAACATTTCAGAGTGTCGGCAGGCAGTGCAATCTACTACTGAGCTGTCTGTCAGTGTCTGTAGCCACTTTTTATTTAAGTTCACCTCTGTCAGATCTGAAACAGAGCTGTTAATTTAAAGAACGTTTTTTTGTAACGTGTTCGTCAAAAGAAAGTGACATCGCACTGACATGAAAACATGTACATAAAACAATGTGTTTTGTAAATAAGCCAATGAAAACGATGTATTTGATTATGAACTGTACAAAATACTGTCCTTGTAGTTGTATATGGAGTGAAACTGTTGATCTGTAACAAAATACCCAAGCAACAAATTAAATTCTGCAGAGGAAACGACACTAGGCTGATGTGTTTTTATTTATTTTCAATTCTCATGTACATTTTTTTATTCAGAGTTCAGAGTTTTGTATCTGTTAGTCAAGTTACAACTGCAAAAACTAACTTAACATGACTGCCTCATGCTGCTGGTGACAAAAGTATACCTGCATAATGGAAGGCCAAAACTTACAGATACAGATTTATTAAAAAAAAAAAAAAAAAGTTAAAATGAGCGAAAAATAAACCAAGATAAAAGTAATAACAGTGATGAATCATGATTGGAGTCATAGTTATGGTTAAGAATTGTATAAGTAAGACAGAAACTCTAAATTACAAATGGAAAAAGACATAATCACACCAGTGTATCAAATTAAGGGAAAAAAGGGTTTAAATTATGGATCAAAATTGTATATAAAGAGTAAACTGAAAAAAATCAGCTATTAAAATATGTCACAAGTGAATTATAATTTAGCAAAAAAAAAGTCAGTAGTCTATTCGAAGTCAGTTGATCATAACTATTATAAGATTATAAGAAGGGCTTTATAAGGCTTTATAATGACCCATGTTAGTGAATATGAGCATTCACAACAACTTGTTTATATGTATACATATATATATATATGACCAAAGTCGTTCAGGTCAAAATGAAATTAGGAAGAAAAAAAATCCCACCTACAGAATATTTTGCATTTCTGTCGACTCTGTTAGTTTCATTTCAAAGTCATTATTCCGACCCTGTGGCTGTGTAAGAGTCACTGCAGAAATTTTGTCTGCAGAGGAAAGAGAAAACCACACACAGGGTCTTTGCACAAACTTCCCCAAACACAAAGACTGCAGTTGACACGGTTCCTGTTAAGGTGGGGCTTTTTCTTTTCTGCTAAACCTGACTAACCTGCTCTCACGTTCCACTCCCAAATTTTCAAACTTTAAAACTTCTTGGATATTTGATATAAGGACACAAAAAGACAGTAACCAAAGTCATGATTCAAAATCCTTAAAAAAACAGCTACATACACAAACTGTCAAAAACATTTATTAGCCATGTGTAAGCACCAAAACAATGTTGTTGACCTCTGAAATAGAAATAACTCACTAATGCCTTTTGCTGTAGTGCAGTGGTTCTTAAGTCCAGTCCTCGAGCCCCCCCGTCCTGCATGTTTTGGATGTTTCCCTGCTCCAACACACCTGATTCAAATGATCAGCTCGTTATTAAGCCATTCTAGAGCTTGATAACGAGCCAGTCATTTGAATCAGGTGTGTTGGAGCAGGGAAACATCCAAAACATGCGGGACGGGGGGGCTCGAGGACTGGATTTGAGAACCACTGCTGTAGTGGGATCAGTTGTGCTGAAGGTGTTTGATAAAATTGGAAACTCAAGCAACCCTGTTCTAAGAGTTTTAGTGATTGACCCCGTGGTATGGTCACTTCAATTGCCATTATAACCATACCATACCCAGATAGGGATTGAAGTACAGCCCAAGTTCGGGACTGAAGCACTACCACACTGCCACCAACTGCCATTTATTTCCCACAATGAAATAAATGCTAAAGACTCTTTTGAGTGGTTTGACTTGATGTAAAGTCTATGATCTAGGTTTTCCTGGTGGTACTTTTGCAGTTAGAATTGACCAAATGTCCAAAAGATGGAGTGCAGGGGTTTGAAAACAACATTTATTCATATACTTGTTCATTGTATTCTTGTGGATTAGTGGATTTTAACCAGTGAACACAAATTTTTAAATATATCAGGTAGAACATTTTCAGCCAGATTTGAGCTTTTGGGTGATTATTCATCAATTTACTTCATTCCCACCTGACCTGTACAGACATTTTTCATGAATTTTTATTAAAGGATCTGAAAATTGTTGTTCATGAGATCCAATGACCACCACATTAAATGAAGTTTGAAGTTAAATAAACTTTCATAAACTGACTGGTGGTGGTTTAAACCCAGTATAGCAGTCTTTAAACCAAGACCCTGTTTGCAAGCATCAGGTAAATGTCACACAATGTATGTTTGCAGCTCAGACCGTCTGCTGCTACTGTTCATTTCCTCTGCGAGTGTTGTGGTCGACACGCTTCTCAGGGTGACAATACTTTCAGGCTGGAGGCTCACACCACACACAGTTAGATTCTTCAGAGGTTTTTGTTGCTTTTCTCGGTATCTCCGTGTGTGTGCTGTGAATAAACTCAGAGGTAAACCAGAGAAGCATCGGTCAGTAAAAAGGATGGGTGTTATTAAGCTGGAGTTCTTCAAAAAACACAGGTAAGGCTGATTTATCGAACAAAAGAGCATTAAAGGTCTTTCTTTGTGATTTTGTGGTTTAGGTCTGACAAGACGAAACAGCTCTCAACTTCTCAGACTTTCTTAATATTCCTCTCCTTTAGTTCATAATCTTGAAAAAATAAAGTCCTTTTATTTTCTAAGTGATTGAATATCTTCTGTTTGGATCATTAGTGTTCTTTGAAATGCTGCTATAACATCCAACAGGCTTTAGCGAAGCTTCTTCAACAGTATCAGTGTTGTTGAGTGGGAGACAAAATGTACAACATGTCCTCCACCGGGGCACTGTGTTCAGGTGAGATTCACCTTCACATGTAATTCTCTGACTCATTGTGAGGTTATGTTGAATCTAAGTTTTTGTCCTGTTGACTCTCTCAGAAGTCATCCGAGAGCCGATCATCTGGGGTCTGATCGCGGCCCTCTGCTTCACTGTTGTGATGTCCTGTATTCTTGGGATCATTTGTCTGAGAAAGTAAGAGGGGAATAAATTATTTCATGAATACATTGCAAGATCTTGCATCAGTGGGGCTTGATTTATTTGTATTTTCAATCCCAGGCCATATTATTTTGGACTTGCTCCAGTAGGGCTCAGGGTTTGTTTTTTTTAAGTCTGTCCTCTAACACAGGAGACACAGCTGGGACTTTGGTCTTCAGACTCAGACATCATTGTAAAAAGTGTTGACTTTACCTCAAAATGGAGGGTGATCGACTGCTGTCAACATCAGTTTGAATATTTGCATTTCTCTGTCATTTGGTTGGAATTAGACCATCCACTTCACAAACAAAGACACTCAAACTGAGTCATGACCACATATGAGCAGCAGCGCCTTGATCAAAAAGTGGCCAATGGCATACGATCACAAAGTAGGACCATCAAATGTGGTATAGTTAATCAGTCTTGTTCAGATCAGTATAGTACGGTACAAATGTATTTGTGTTGTATGTTAAAAAAGGCAAAGTATTAAACTCTGTGTCATCACAAACTGCTGCGGACAGTCAGCCAGGAAGGGCAGGAGTCAGAAGACTAACAACAACCTTCTCCTCCTGTCACCGGTGCTTGGAGTTAACACGTCGGACCTCCCCTCTCAAACGCTGTACAGTATTAATGATGTATACTACAGCAGTAATGAGAAACACTTTCTCTTTCAGACATCGTTCTCTGGTGAAGAAAGTCCGAGAGCTGCGGGGGAGCAGACTGTTGAGCAGTGCTGTCTCTCGTCTGGAAGCTCACATCACACCTGCGAGGCCGATCTCAGCATTGGTGGAGGAGGTGAGGAACGGGGAGGAAGAGGAGGCTCCCCAGATCCACCCTTTACAGAGCAGCAAGGTCAGGGTGTCGTCCAGGAGGCTGTGGAAAGGCCAGCAGCAGGTGAGTACACACAAATACACTTCTGGTGAGGATCATTTTACACTTTGTGGTGTCTCTTTAGAAATCAGTGTGACATTTCTGTGACTACATACATGTTTAATTTAATCTATGAGCTAAACCTCTACATTCTCTGAAGCATATTTGCCCTTTTCAGCCACCATACTCATTTAACATGTTACTTATCTGCCCTAAAGAGTCCCTGTTTCACCAAGTCAGACCTGAACCTGCTGCAGCTGATCAAAGCTGGGAAGGAGGGCGTCTTCTACCAGGCCAGGATGACCAGAGGGACATGTAAAGGCCACGGCATGTTCACCTGCAAGATCAGCAAAGAAGGTACACAGACTGCACATCGCTGACACTTCACACCTACAAGCATGTCTTAAAGCAAGAATTAAATTTGTCTGGGTTAGTGAGTGAAGTCCAAGTGAAACATGCAAACAAACTAACAGTAAAATGCAGCTCAATGCTTTTCCCCTGCACCTTTATTTTCATGTGTTGCTCACACATCTGTATGCAATAACTGTCATTATTTCCTAACTCTAAACACCAGCCTGAGACAAGCTCTAATATTTTTGGAACACGGTCAACAGACAGATAATGAATTTCATGTAACATTTCTTGTCAGACTTTTAGTATTTACCACAGCCAAGTAATAATACAAAATAGTTAAAATATGTTCAACGTGTACTGTTACTAATGCTATTAAATTCACATGTTAATATCAAGAATCTGTTTTCCCCAACTTTATTTTTTTCTTCAGGCGTCCGTCCCAAACATGTGGAGACAGAGGTTTCCATCATGAGGAAACTGATTCATCACAAGAACATTTTGCAGCTGCTGGATTGGAATATCACAGATGGTAAGAGATCCCCAAACACAAACTTTTGTTAGCTCCTGGTTTGAAAGTATTACCTGCAGGTAGTCGAGACTCATTGTCTCTTTGTGTTTGTACAGAGCCTTATGTTCTCATCATGGAGTATGTGAGCTGCGGCACCCTAAGGACCTTCCTGCAGACAAACAAAGCTCACCTGAGTGCAGACCCAGAGCTGCAGAGCCTCCTCACCATCGCTTCCTACCACATCGCTCTGGCTATGCAGCATCTTCGCTCCAAAATGGTGACACCTCATGAAGGCCTCAATTGTAGATTGAAAACAACATGCGTCTGATGAAAGTCAAACCAAACTGCTCTGCTGTGGTCTTTGCTGCAGATTCTTCACTGTGACCTGGCTCTGAGAAACATCATGGTCAACAAGTTTCCCTGGGAGGTGAAAGTTGCAGAGTTTGGCCTGGCAAGAGATTTAACGAGTATGACGAGCCGTCGGAGCAGCCGCTGGAGAAACCCACGAGTAAGACAATTACACACACATCACAGGGAATGTATCTGTTGTAATGGAGTCCGTATGGTTTGGATATAATAAATGAACATGATAACTCCTCAAAAGTGAAGCCAACACACTCAGAGCCCCCTCTACTGACAGGTTATAGAAAAGGTCACAAAGCCCACATCCTCCAGTATAACAAGTAGGTTAATCTGGTTAAGGTCCTTACACACCGGGGCCGACGCGACTATAGAACGCAAAATTGCGAAATATTGACGGGCCTGACTATACACATCAAGGCCGATGCGATTTTGCGACTTTTCCGGGGAAAGTCCCGCCTCCTTCGCCTCTGATTGGCTAGAAAAGCTGGAAACGTCATCACACGCTCAAGCCAAACAGTCAGCACTTATTGCCAATCAGAGGAGATAAGATGAGCACATGAAACTATGGTAACAACCATTAGCTTATGTTAGCACAGATGAAAGTTAAAACAAAAGCGTTTAGCAAACTGCTAAAGCAAACAAACCATCGTCATATGAGAGATCCGACGCTATGTTGTCCTTCAGGTCGTCATCTTTGTAATATTTGTGTCTTTTATCAAAAAGCACTCTGTTCTCAGACACATAAACAATCAGCTGGTTGGCCATGTTGAATCAGTGAATCGGTGAATCAGACGTCACAACAACACGCAATCTGTTTGGTCAGAAGTGGACACACAGTATGCGAAACTAAAGAAAAATCAACCGTGATCCGAAAAAATAAATGCCGCAAAATCGCAGGATGGAAAAAGGTTGCTGATGTGAACGCTTGTATTGACAGGATACGGGTTCGAAAAAAATATTGAGGTCCAAAATAATCGCACGACAAAAACGCTCCCAGTGTGAAAGGACCTTTAGAATGGTATCAAAAGTCAACCAGTCACAGCATTGCAGATAAAGTCTTTGTGAAATAACTTCTGTGTAATTTTTGCAGGTGCTTTTAAATGATATCCTTCTTTAGCTGACTTCCTTTTTGGCTTTGGTTTTTAGAGTTCTGAGTAAAAGCCAGATTTCACTGAAAAGGTCAAATCTAAAATAAACCAACTTAGGGGTCTACATTCTCTCTTGGAGAGTTGTGAGTTTTAGCTTTGTTCAGGGAAAACTTCTGTATATAAAACCCAAACTTTTCTGTTGTTTTAAACTCCTACAGCAGCGTGTGCCTCTGCGCTGGTACCCTCCTGAATACTTTAAGAACAACTACTACAGCTTCAAGGGCGACGTGTGGGCGTTTGGCATTGTGCTGTGGGAGATGCAGACATTTGGTGAGCTGATGTTTTGTATGTTTACAATGTTTCCTCAAGGTCCAGTTTTCATTTTAAAGCCCTGGTGATGAATTTCTGAGTATTTGAAACCAATAATAAGAACAGGATGGACCATGTTGTTCAAAGAAGTTAAACCAGAACACCTTGCACTATTTTTTTTCCTTTACTCATGAAAAAAAATCCCTAATTTGATCAGTACAGAGATGTCAGGGGAGCTTGATTCACTTGTTTTTGTATGAAACACCCTCATGGAAAAAAAAATCTAACATTCGCAGGAATCCTGCCGTACCCAAACCTGGAGTCATCAGATGCAGTGGTCTATCACATCTGTATCGGTCATAAAAATACAAACCCAGAAGGCTGCAGACCAGAGATGTGAGTGAAAACTGATTATCTGATTTACTGCAAAATACAAGCTGTTTTAAAATAGTCTATATATCCTAAAGCATGAACATGTTTCATATCGATTGTAGTTACATTTTTGCTTGAATTTGATCATTTTGCATTTCCTGAGCAAAATTTGTGAGTGTTTAAGAATTCAGGATTAGTGTGAACATTCTGTCTTGAGTTGGATTGATGGATGCTAATTTGATCTTCTAGTTTGATCTCAGCTCTTCATAAATATGTTGATCCTGCAGGCTTCACATCATGAGGGATTGCTGGCAGGAGCCGTACACCCTGAGACCATCTTTCACAGACATCGTCTCAATGTTGGAAAACATCATTGAAAATGATTCGGTAAGAGATAACACTGATTCAATATGTCATGTACTGATATGGATGGCATGAATGACATTGAATTTCTTTTGTATGTGTTGTTATCTTTAAATGTGCCTGTTCTAATTGGAGGAGAATAATACTCATGTCAGTATATGCTGGGAGGGTGTAATGGATGTGATATTGAGTTGAATCTTTAATCTTGATATCAGTAGGTGTGCATTTGGTAAAGAAAATATAAACAGTTTATATACCTATGTGACAGGTTATAATTTATTAAATGAAAACTCTTTGATGCTTTTTTGCAGGATTATGTGGATGTTGAGAGCCCGCAGCTTCTGGTGAAAGATGAAGCTGAATTTCATGAAGCTAAAGGTGTACGAGCAGCCAGCATCTCCTTGGAGGATAAAAATCTCCTCTAAATCATTTGACAAAGGCATCAGGTTAGGATATACCGAGACAAAGGTTTAAAAAGTCATAAATTCACAAGAATCGAGAAGAAAAATAATAATACAATGAAACTGATTCAAATGTGTGCCTTTTTAACATATACTACATAGTTAAATTTATTCTTATTGTTTGAACTGGCTTATATTTTTCTCTCCAAGTTTTAAGTTGTACATCTGTCTATTTACTGTATTCAAGACTCAAGCTTTTTATTGTCAATTTCTGCAGCATGTGAGTACTTACGCAGGAATCAAAAAGATGTCTCTCTCCAGCCCAAGGGGCAAAAATACAATAAAGTTTAATAGAGAAGAGTAGGCTTTAATATTGCACATATTGCAACTGCATCTAAATGCACACTGGTTTATTCTTTCCTGGACATGTGCTCAAGTTTAAGATCATTTGTGTTTGACAAAATTATTAAAATGCAGATGTTAGGAGAGAAATATATGTTTTTTTTAATGTAAGTATTGATCTAAATGCCCAGAGTGTTACACAAAGTTATAGATATTTAAGTTTAATAAAGTTTTTAATGGGTCATTTTTTGTCAAGGTGTTGCTAATATCAACCTACAGATTAATCTTCGGTGTTAGGGCCAAGAGTTCCACCTTTACATTAAATTCAAGCTTTTTGATCATTTTTTTAAAGAGTTGTTTCAACACTTTTTTTCAACAGTTTTTTAAACTTTACTCAAGACACTAACAAAGGTAGAAAGGTAAGTAGGAAAACTGTAAAACATTATCCATTACATTATGGTGAAAACATTGTTTTCCAGTTACACCTAAAGCTACTAGGAGTGGTTTAGGGCCAACATGGGATACTCTGTTGCACATTTATGCATAGTTGTATTGTACACTTTTTGCCCATACAAGTATATTCTCCTGCACATAAACATTTACAAGCACAGTCATTCATATTTGTACTGAGTACTTGCACACACTTGTATGTTCTCAAACATACATATATTTACATGCAGATAGTGTGCATACAGACATGCATGCACCTGTACACAAACGTGCATGCATCTACAGACATATGAAGACATGCAGGCACAACCTGAAAATGTATAGAAGTGTAAACTCAGTGAAGTGTGTGTGCATAATTTGCATGGCCAGTGCCCTCTCCTCTAGTTTGGGACGGACGTTGCGTTCAGGAACGCCTTCGTGTCTTCCAGTGAGCCAATGGGACCCATCCTGGAAACACGCGTTTCTACGACACACAAGCACCGTGAAGTCCACGGGTCCAGCTTTATTCTGTGTCCTTTGAACAGAATAATCTGTCAACAATGACTCTACGTGTGTTAGAAATTATATTTTTCTTCTATTTCGCCACTCATATTCCTATCACTTTATTCATTGACTTGCAAGCGCTGCTGCCTGGACATGTGTATCCTCTGCCGGTAAGTGCCAGCACCATAGGCAAATAAGGACTAAACTTCAGTCTCCAGTTATTTTAGGTCAACTTTCACACTCATTGAATGTGTCTGTCTGCAGATGAAAGATCTTTTGGAGTGGTACGCAGAGAAGTTTAAAGACCCGATGGTTCTGGATCCCCCTGAGTGGTTCAAGTCTTTTGTTTTTTGCGAGGCTTTGGTTCAATTGCCCTTCTTTCCCATCGCAGCATATGCCTTCCTTAAAGGTCAGTAATAGTGGCATAAAAAGTCATGGTAATAGCATATGTGTCCACTTCGTCAACTGACGATCTCACCAGACGTCCTTCAAAAGTCGTGCTATTTAGAGCTTTTACGCTCTTTTATAAAGAAAACGGGGTCATCGACATAAGTAAACATCCTTTGGGAAATGTTTTAGACATATTTTTAATTTCGGCATTAATAGATTAAGCGTATTTACTTACTCTTTCTGTATAAGTTTGTTTAGATACACTGAATCCCTTAAACTCTAAGAGAAAACAAAACCAGACAGGGTATTTTTGTCATGGGAGATGGTCTTAGAAACACAAAGATAGACTTGTATGATTTAAGGGTTGACACTTGGCTCATTATCTACGTATTTTTGTATCTTCTTTAGAGTTGAACGAGTCTGTTTAAAGCCGAAAGTTTTACTATAGGAGTTTGGTGGGTCACTTCCTTGTCCTGGCAAACAGACACTAGCTCAACCCTGACCTCTGTAGGACAGTTATGAGATAAATTAGATGTAAAACTTCTCCAAATTTGACCCTTGCTGTTGTGAAAAATATGAAAACTGCATTAAACCTTATGTAAAGAACTCTTCCACTTTCTCATAACTGTTTTATCAAATGTTATTTCCGTTAGGTGGCTGTAAGTGGATCAGGACTCCCGCCATTGTTTACTCCACACATGTTGCCACCACACTGGTCCCAATCCTGGCTCACATCCTCTTCTATCAGTTCCCCCTGAAACCCCACCCTGGACCCCAGACCCTGCAGGAACGGTGGTTTCTAGTCTCTATTTATGCTCCATACCTGCTAATACCTGTGCTGCTGCTCCTCACTATGCTGTTCTCCCCTTCTTACAACTCCAAAAACAAAGCCAAGAAGGCGTGATCTTATTCCAGCATGGAAAATAAATGTACTGTAATTATACAAGACTTTTTTTGATTCTGTGAGTGTATAGGGCTGTGTGACGTGGACTTAATAACACTATGATTTGTTATATGAGCCACATTGTTGGATTAAATATGTCTTTTGAAAATAAACACTTGTTTATTGAACATTTGTGGTGATCTTATTTGTTAAAAGATGCATTATTTATTTTACTTTACCAGTTTTGTTTTTAAATATTTTCACTACAAAGGGCTGGCATGAAGGGGAGCGTTTCTAGGCCACTGTACTTCTCTGGGCCTCCAAAAAAGTGGTAGGAAGCACTGCCAGACATGGATATAACATTGTAGAAAAAAGATCACAGTTTCCTGTTAACAGACTTAGCTACTATCTTTTGCAGCTCTGAAAATGTCTGCAAGACAAAAATTCACTCTTGCTTTTCAGCCACCAGAGGGAGTTAAATCTAAACAAAGACTAGACTGTAGCTTGAAGACTGACAAGCAAAACATTTCACTGATAGTGACCTGTTTCACCTATGTTTTCATTGTAATTTTTATTATAGACTGGGGATGTCTTTTCTAAAGACAGGATTTTTATTTCTTTGTTAAAAGATTACTGAACAGAGACATAGCCTCAGTGTTGCTACACTGCAAAATTTCCTCAGGCTTTTTGGAATCTGCTGTTAATGTATTAATCATTTGCTATGTCACATATTCAAATATTGAATTTGAATATTTCCATATTCAAAAGTGAAACAAGTGTTTTATAGAATTGTCTTACAGCATGCCATTTCTTTTTAGATTTGTATATTTGTTCTCTCTTAATGCAGTGGGATACTACAGCATGTAGCATTTTGACTGAGGAAGCTTCATAGACTACAATCTGTCAACCAAGGCCTTTTTGCAAGAGAAATAAATATGCAATGATACAGTTGTAAACAACAGAAATATAAACACATGACTCTGTTGCTTACACGTAATATGTTTATTTTGTTTAGCAGTTTTATTAAATTGTAAATAGAGCACTACTCAGTATAACATACTGTACACTCACATTAGACATGCATGTCCAGGAGGTTTTATACTGTTCATAATGTTCATGAATGTACAAAAAAAAATCCTTGGTGATTGGACAGCATGACTGAATAAACAAAAACAAAAATCTTTGACTTCTTTTGTGATACATGTGCTGATGTGCCGCATAATGATCTCTGTTTATTTACCTTTACATCTCTGTTTGAGGTCAGTGAAGTGATGTTGTGGAAAACATCAGGGCAGTCAGGTTAGAGCAGGGACAGAGAGTTGACAGGTAAGAGAGCAGCAGTCTGTCAGGTAAACTGTGCTGTTACCCAAGTGAACATAAATAAAGTCTCACTTCTGTACTTACACTCAGAGACTACAGTGGTAGAAAAAGATGTTCATTTTGCAAATTTAACATGCTTTCCTCTCAAATGTCTTAAGGAGATGTTTTTGTAAGTAGTACTCCAGTTTCAAAAGTACCTGTGCAAACTAATGCAGTACAACACCACAGCTCTACCAATGCCGTTTTACTTGGTTGCATTAGAAAGTTACAATTTGTTTATTATTGTATGAATGATCAATGTATATAAAAAAACAAGAAAGTGAAATTTCTCTATAAATTCAATTAATTATCAAGGGAGTTTCTTTATCATATATTCCAAGCCATTACGCTCGACAGAGGGACTAATTTTCGCAGCGGAAGGAAGGCTTAACCAATTCTCCGCGGAGGGATAGCGTATATAAACGAAACAGGGCACTGTCTATTAGTATTGTTTGAGTCTACAGCAGGAGGAACGGAGCCACTGCTGTCTATTGCGATGTGACAGCTCTGTACAGTGATCAATAACTGTACAGTTTGTTTTAATTACAGAATTAGAGAAGTGTCGCTTGTTGTGGATGTACATATGACTGTAGGCGACGGCTGCCAACAGTGCTAACGTTAGCTGTCCTGTGAGACTTGACGACGGAGGAAACAACGAAGTGTTCTTTTATGTCACACGGATAATATTGATGCTCAACGGATGAAACGTCAGGGTGTTTCAGGACGAGATATTTTTTTCCTCGTGGACTCTTCCCAAAGAATACACGGACGGACGCTTTCAGAGTATTTCCATGTTATTGTTAGCGTGTTTGCAGGGACTTACTATGGGCAGCAGCAGCAGCAGCTATGACGTTAGCTGTAGCATCCTCCTGGTTGTTATGTCACTGTCAGGCTAACAGATAGCTTGGCTGTCTGCAGCTGCCTCGCTCTTTTGCATGGTCATGTCCTGCAGGGTTGGCATCATGTAGACTGCCCCCCCTGTATACGTCTGGAGACTGGGTAACAGACAGAGTGCATGTGAGCCTCCTTGGAGAGTAAATGCAAAGCTGGATTGCATCTATCCAACTGGGTCAAAGACTGACAGCTGGCACTGATAACAGTTTAGCTCAGGATTGTTGCTGGCCATGGTCAGAGCCGTCTGTTGTGTTTAACATTACAAACATCCCAGCCCACTTATTTGCGGGGCATGTGAGTGCATCATGTCCTGACTGTGACTCTTATTTGTGCTAGAATGAGGCACACCAGTGGGGCTTACAGAAAGGGATATTTGCATTATCTCTGCTGATGCCTTGAGAAACAGTTTGTCACGGTTGATGAAATATCCTAAATTTGCGAGGAAGGAAACCCATCCTGAGGGCTTCTTTTAGTTTCTTTTGGCCACCCAATAGTTCAAAACCCAAGTACTTATCATTTAATGGTGTAAATGATAAGAAAAGGCAGCATTTTTTTGACAATTCTGTTTTAAAAATCCCTGAAACTACTGCTCAGTATTCAAAGAAAGTAATCTGTCATATAAATCTGCAGCACAAGAAGAAAAAGCAGAACTAGAATTGAGCTGATCCTTGGCTACAGAATTTACTTAAAGGCAAGACTGAAGGTTTACCCACCAGCTGGACCATCAGCCCATCACAATGGAGACTGTGGGGGATTTTGAGTACAGCAGAAAAGACCTGGTTGGACATGGAGCCTTCGCCGTGGTGTTCAAAGGAAGACACAGAAAGGTAAATAAACTGCTTGTCTGCAGTGTTTCTCCCCTTATTTCTCTTCTGCAGGAAAAAAAGGGGGCATGCTTCATCTGAAAATCTGGGTCAATGCAGGATGCAGTTCTGCAGCACACAGGCAGCATATGTGGGATGTCACCAATTTTAGGGGGGTGGTGAATTACACTGTTCATGACTAAACATCTACATGACAACTTAAGGCTGTGTTGGGTAATTTAAGCGTATTTTACCAGTTAGTTAGATAAATATGTTTGTGTGGTTTGGTCCATTCATGAAACCAGGATGAGTCAGGCAGCAGTGAATGACTTGCTGACGTAAAGAGGAGGCAGGATGGAGGATGGGGTGCAGTGTTTTTCCTTTTTAAGGATACAAGCTTCTCTTATGTAACAGCTGCACATTCAGACTGATTTTAGTTTTATTTAAGCATGTTTTTTCCACTTAGGTTATGAGAATCTCTTATGTGGTTGACCCGACAAAGGTGATAATTATATTTTTGGTGGAGACATCATAAATGATTTCTCCAGCCCATTACAGGCTTTGACAACAACACTACTCAGCAAAACAGGACCAGAAACCAAGGCAGACACATTATTAAAGGTGTCCTGTCTGTTGTCTTCAGTGCACCATATCATTGAAGGAGGGAAGTTGCATCTGAGTGCTTCTTGAAGACTGCTGCATCTTTAACATGTCATGCAACAGCAGTGAAAACTATCACACAGCCATAGGTGCAGAGAGATGAGCTGTGAGGTACTACTAGTGGGAGGAGCAGGTGTGTGTTTGTCAGTAAAGCAGAGGGTCAGCGTGAGCATGAGGTGAGAGAGGCTGCGACTCTGAACAGTGTTTGAAATATTTAAGTGCTTAGAGTGTTTAGGCTCAGTAAATACCTGTAATGTAAATTCTGTCAAATCAATGAGCTTCAATGTTAAATAATCAATACCTCAAAATCAGTCAGCTGACGCACTGACGCATCACAAATTTACTTTTGATGATAAAACGCAGTTAGTGAAAAGAATGAGCAAACCACTCTGATTTTAGTTATTAAATATTGATAAACTCATTATATTTCCCTGGGGTGTGGTTATTCATCACAGCAGGACAAGGTGTGGGTGGTTCTGTGTGTGAACATGTGACAGAAATACAGGAGATGACATCATTGTGCCTCCATGCTGGTGTGAAGCAGATGGTGCTGAATTCTTCAATGAACACCACATTAGCTCTTCCCATCACTCCCTGCTGCTCTAGACTCAGTGTCTGTCTCTTTATTGAGACACCATATCAGTTCATCCTTTTGACACTGACCTTTTGAACTAATACAATGTAGAGATACCATCAAACAAGGTAGGTTGACAATACTTCTCAACCTGTATGGATGTGACATTATTGTTATAGATGTTGGGCCTCGCTTTAGTAAAAACTGAGGGTTTAAAATAGTTCATCACATTTTTCTGTAGTGACACCGGCTGCTGTTTTGAATGCCACTGTGCTCTGGTGCATTCTTTACAAAGCATGACTGCAATAATTAGCTTAAAGTCAACAAATACCTTTTTTTCTTAGAAACTATAGAAAACAAAGGAGTAATTTCATAACCTACAAATAGTCATTGAATTTCTGTAGTAAATAGGAATTAATTTTTAATTTCCTTGAGGGAACTCTCTCAAAAGAATTAATAAAGTTGTATCTTATTCAATCTGATCTTATCTAATATAATAGTTTTTTAATTGCTTGTTAAAATTTCATCAACAGTTTTGAAGTCCATAATAACAATAATAATAACAATGTTAAGCAATTCTAAGCTGTGTCCTGATTTGGATGTCAAATTAATGTAATGAATTGGTCTTGACTTTTCTTGTCACAACATGCCAACGTGACGATGGCCTTTAGACCTGAGTCTTTTTGCAATGCCGACTTGTCTGCAGTTGGATGCCACTTGTTAAGACGCATCCAACTGCTTCTCAACAACTTCTCTGACTTAGCTTCATCCACAGGTCTGTGGCGACCGCACTCTAATAAATAGAGCGCTGTTGTATTTTGTGATGCGGTGGTGTGCTGACCTCAGTCTGATGAGCTGCACCTGCACACTTAACACCTGGGTTGTAGCTCAGACTTAAAGTGCTTTGTGAACATTTTCATCCTGTTTGACTGCATATTGCTTTAGATTTGTCAGCTGAGCTGAGTGGGATTTTTGAAGTGAGTTTGCCATCTGAAAGCAAAATGGTAGTGTTATTTTCTGTCTTGGCAGCAGCAGGTAGCAGAAAGATACTGCAGCGGCTTGACTACAGTGTGCCCAAAGGTGCAAAATAGCAGGTTTGAAAAAGAAATAAAGCATTGATGTTTGACCTAAATCGTACTGTGTGAACACTTACAGTGCTAAAAATGCAAACTTTATAACCAATCATCAGGAAGACTACAAGTACCGACTTATTTTTTCTCCAGTAAAATCAATATGTGAATGTGCTCAAAGGAACATTTGAACATCAAAGTACTGTATTTACTGCAGCTCTGACTCATGTTGCATCCTCTTCTAGCACTGCTCTGTTGTTTATAAAGTGATTTTTGACCCTAAACCAGTTCTCCATTGCTGCTCTAAAGCAGTGGTATGTAGCCTTGATAGCTCTATGCTGCAGTCACAGCATAACTATGGTAGGCTTTTGTCTTCGAAAAATAATGAGAATTGATTTTCTTCTGGGTTAATAAATAACAGTATGAGATTGTGCACTGACTGGTGTACTCCAGTTTCCTATAATGTATCAGGATGACTCAGCTGCAGACGGCCTTGATGAGAAACTGCATTTAATGGAGCACACCCTTGCTCTGCTTCACATAGCTTCTTGGTGTGCCAGCTGTGTATTGAGTCTTCAGGACTTTTCATCTCTGTCATTGACTGAATTATTGGTCAGTTCTATTCACATCATAGGGGCAAGACGTTAGGTGAACAGCAGGTAGAAGTGGGAGAAAAAATTGATTCACAGAAGTATCCCAATTTTTTGTTTTACAATTTTTCAATCGAATTTATGTTCACATTTTTTTTTTAATTTAACTTAAGTATAAATCTTAAAAACTGACTTATGTGTGATGTGTATTTTTTGGGGGAAATATGGTTCCTGGAATAGTCAGTAGACAATCATAATCATTCAACTATTTCACTCATGTAAAAAATGCAGACTAAAATTTGAGACTAAAATATCGTAGAATCGCAATTTAAATCGAATCAGCATCCAAAAAAATCGTAGAAGAATCGAATCGAATCGGGGAGAAAAGCATATCGTCCCAGCCCTCACAGCAGGTACAATGATCCGTTTATAATTGCTTTGGCAGTGGTGAATGTTACACCTTGCGTAAGCTCCTGTTACTGTAATATTAAGAAATCATGAAAAGGCTTAGGAGAGCTTGGGCAGCACACTCAGCTCATTGTGTTTTGTTCCCAGTACACCTGGCTAACAATTAAACCCTCTCAGGTGTAATTTAGTGTCAGGAATCAGCGTTTTGATTGCATCATGTTGATGCAATCAAATTCATCATAATAATCACTGAGAGGCTCAGATTGTAATTCTAAGAAGAGCGATGGAGAAGACGAGAGGTGCACTTTTAAATCCAGAACCTGTTGGTTTAGTCCCCACATCCAGACTGCAGCAACCAAAACAGTAATTTTACTGAGCCAAAGATGGGATTTACTGGAACTGCTACCTGCTTGGTTAGTTTGTTTGTGTGTGGATCACACAGATACTGTGCTGAATCTGAACTAACCTTAAAAAAAGAACGCAAAGTAAACTGTGTGGCAGCCCGTTGTGGCAAATATGGCTCCAGTAGACCAGCAACAAAGTGGCAACATCTGGTGTTGAAAAGTGTTTCTATGATAGTAACTTTAGCTCAAACTGGGTTTGTTTAGGGTTCAATACTAATAAGGCTGAATGATCAGTGGAGAAGAAGACACTTTCAGAGATCATTTCCCTTCAAGTTTGAGAGTGAAACTAGTGATTTAAAAAGCTAATGTTAAACTGCAAAAAACAGCATTTTTCACTGGATGTAATTTAATCCGGTGTATTTCACACAGGGATTACACTAGAGCTATTACACCCTGTTACTGCGCCTGGCTGAATCAATCTGCTGGAGTGGTTTCAAAACTTTCAAGTCACTAAGACTCCAGAATATGTGAAAACCAAGAACAGGGCGAAGTTTGAAATACCAGCTCTCCATTTGAAGGTGTAATGTATTTTGATTTTCCTGTAGTGTCTTCTGCTGCAAGTCTCCTTCTCACACTGTCTAACACCGCACAAGGTCTGGCTGCAGTGTTGCTGACGCTAATCTCTTTGTTGCTCTGTAATCAGCTGTGTGATTCATAAATGAGATCATGCTTTATTCTGGAAAATGAAAGCTCCTGTTCCTGTCTGTGCAGAGGAGACCTGCTTACTCTGCAATGCTTAACTCCCCATTATGTGGTGCACTACCAAGCCATTAGTTTGCCCCCCCCAACCCCCTCCTTCTTCTCCTCCTCCTCTTTCTCCTCACCCTCTCAGCTTTACATGGCGAGCCAGCGAGGTCATGTCTTTTTATTTTTTCTATGGATGTAGTGTCGGCGGCTCAGTCACAGTTGGCTGGGCAGGCTGTCAGTGATCTGGGGATGGATGCAGCTCAGTTGGCAGTGTATTACACACACAAACCCACATGCCCCCTCACCCTATGTCAGTCGGTGCCAGGCTTTAGGTGCTGTGCACCCACAGGACATCTCCTGTTAACCTACGTTCATTTGTGATGTGAAACATGTCTCACTCAGTTATAGATTCCTAGAGGCTCATGGTAATGTCATCGTTGTATTAATTAGAGTGAGAAGTGCCTGAGCTAATAGTTATGATTAATATAGAAAGATAATGTTTCCTATCTCAAGGCAGATCTAAATGCCATCACAGTCAGTCAGTCTTTTTGCTGCTTTGTCAGCCTGACTGAAGAGCATTAAAGAAACACTGGTTGCTTTTATTTATTTTGATTACTAGGTCCATTCATTTTGAAGAGGAGGGGACCTCAGAGGGACATACAGCTCAGCTCTGCTTCCACCATATTTCCTGTCCTATGAGTGTTTTTCACAAGGGCATCGTGACAGTGACTCCTGGGGTTTTATTTCAGTGTCCTCAGCTGTGTGTTTGCATGTGCAGCACATCTCCTGAGAGCCTCTAAACTCACGTGACCTCCAAAAGTCTTTTTATACCTGCCCCAGGAGCTAGTCTCGAAACTTTATCCCAGCACTGGGGTAAAATATAGGCCTGCTCCAGCCTTGTTAGCTTTTAGTGTAAGTAGGCTGGCCGCCGCTCGAGCTGTCATCCGAGTGCCTCGTCATTCAGCGTGTCATTCAGTGCAATGGGCCAATCTGACTGTCAGAAACCCAAGTGACCTGGTGTTATTGAAACGTATAAAATTTCATTCGTCCTTCCAGCCAACGCTCACACAGAGATGCTGACAGAGTCATTTAGACCAACAGGCTTTCAGACACAGTGCACATATTACTTATTCAAAAGCAAAATTCAAGTGCCGGTACACTAGAGCTGGGTAATACAGCTGAAATCATGCATCCTAACACTTCAATGTAGATTTGTTTTAAGTTGGACATACTTGGCATTCTTATGTGAACCATAAATAATTGTTTTGTATATATGAAAATGTATGTGGGGTAAAAAAAAGTTGACCTCCAGAGTCTTGTAACAAATATGATTGGGTAAAAGTGTTTTTAGAGAGTGTTAGTAGCTATATATTTGACTATTAACCCCCACTGAGTTACTTGCAGTCAAATAATAAATAAATAAATTGTTCTTGACAAAGTCACTACACTTGGTAGTGATGCACAGTTTAGAGGAAGAACACATTGTGATTTTTGTATTACAGATTGTACAACAAGATTATGTATAAAGGCCTATACTGGTTAGTGGTGTTTTGTTTTATCTTTTGTTTGGCAGTTCCATTTTCTTCACAAGACCACAAGACCAAGCTTTATACACTTTTCTGCACTCAGCCTCCTAAGTGCAAAATGCCCCGTGTGGCAGCTTTTTTTTAGTTTGATTTTGGGCTTATCAGGCTTCTAAGTGTTGTCTTTATTTTCAGAGTAGCTGGATAGTCTGAATTTAAATTTCTGTGTAAACAACTAGCAAATTAGTAACATCTCTACAAACAGTGAATTCCACTGAGGAAAAAGCACAAATTGAGATTATGGTGCCGCCAAGACAAAAATCCTTTGAGATTTTGTAAAAAGGTTCATGATTTCATGTCAGAAAAATCTGCGTCTGAGGAAATGAGGCTTTATTTGATGAATCCTAGTTTCCTGTAGTATTCGACTTTAAAGTAAAGCAGCCTCAGTTGAAACAAAGAGCACATGTGTGAACATTTTAAATAGAAATGTTGAATGAAAAGAAGCCATGAAGCTACTTTTATACAACAATGGTTTCCTTTCAGCGTGTTGTATGGAGTTTTTTCTGCTAACTACATTGATCACGAGACGTGACAGCCGAGATCCGCTGACGTTTATCACCCTGACTAAACGATATCCTGAGGGAGAGCATGATTCCAGCTGTATTTAAACTCTCTCCCTTAAAGCTACAGTAACACGTTTGCTCGCTTCTTTCAGCAGTCCAGCCATGTGAATTGAAAGAATGTTGTAAGTTACTGACTGGAGATAAAAATAAACTCACAAACATAATTCATTTGTCATTGCTGCAAGTTAAGGACACAGAAAAAGTTAGATGAAGTTGTTTATAATCTCTCCTTCTTGCTCTCTGCAGAAGACAGATTGGGAGGTGGCCATCAAGAGCATCAATAAGAAGAATCTGTCCAAGTCCCAGATCCTGCTTGGCAAGGAGATCAAAATCCTGAAGGTGAGCATGACCCTTAATTGCCTCTCAGTTATCTCTTCAATCAACCAGTGATCTGATATTGACCTTTTGTAAGTGTGCACCTTAAACAGAAGAGAGGCCTTGTCTTTAGGGATAGAAATGTCATTAAAGAGACTCCATTATCTGCTGCTAATCTTCCATCTTGTGTTCTGTTTAAACTCAGGAGCTGCAGCATGAAAACATTGTCGCTCTCTACGATGTCCAGGTAAGATTTGAATCTTTGAATTCAATGACCAAAGACTTTTCTTGTTGAGCTGTGTTCTAGTGTGCGTCTCAGTCGAGTGTTACATCTGTAGGTCTTTTGAAAGAGAGTGGGGTTTGTCTGAGAGCTTTTCGTTCCACTATCTATGGAGCAAGAATGTAAAAATAAGCCATCTCTAAATCTCCTATAGTTGTTCAGTGGATGAGTGTAACTATTGACGAGTCCTTCATTTTGATGCTGAGTAAGGCTGCCCTCTGTCTCTTTTGACTCAGCTGGCTGATTCAGAGTTGAGCTATTGCACTTGTTCAGTCCATGTTATCATTGTTGAGCTGAAGAGCATCAGCTACAATCATGGTTGCACTCTCTAAAAGATACGAGGAAAAAAAGACTACCGAGGTATTGTCTATGTGGGCTCTAGTTTGTAGTTTTTGTAATAATACTTGATTACTTATAAAGTATCTTAGCCAATGTACAATTAATCTCATACCCTTACTGTATCTACTGTATGGTATTTAATGCTCACCAGCCTAATTTCCCATGCTAGAGCTAGAGTCTGGTATCACATAGTCCTGCCATTTCCTGCCTGAGACTCATGTGGATGAAAATATTGTGCTCTATAAATACACAGTTATTGCTCAAGGCAGGATATTAGACCGTATCTTTCAGAACTTTCTCCCTATTGCACTTATCGCTTGTGCAAAGAGAGATGGATTTCTCCCTGATTGTTTTTCTGACAGGCTCTGGCTGCCCTCAGTGGTTTGCTGCCGCACAAATTGAACAGATATTTGTCGTTTTGAAGAGAAAACTTGAACAGAGACTGTTGTGGCTCAGCAACAGCAGTCAGTGAAACTGTGAGTTATAGGCTTTACATTTGCTTCTTTGTTATATTCCTCTCTGTCTGGACACATGGTAAAAATAGCTGTGGCTCTGTTTAAGTGTGAGGAAGTCTGAGTGGCTTCCCTCCCTTCAAACCGCTCTTCTGTTTACCGTATGTCCTCCGTCAGAACAGTCCTCTTCAGCATATCAACAGAGGAGTGTTTGCAGTGATGTCCTGAATTGGCTCATAGTTGAGTGTACTTTTAATAAGGGGATATAAAAGGTGAAATGAAGTGTAAACAGTTAAAGCGATAGTGAAGCACTTTCCAACATAGCAGAGGTCCTTCCTATGTTTATGTAATGCAGCCTCCCACCGGGACCGTACTGATCACTCCATCCACTCCCCACCCACCCATCCTTTCATATCCACATCCCTACATCAGACCAGCTGATGTAATAAACTCTTCCAGAGGCTGGTGACTGAGGATGAGGAGCACAGTCATAACCCAGCAGGCAGGATGCAGCATGATAACTCACTTCCATCGGTGACACAACTTAAAGAAACAGCTTGTGGATTTGATTTCAAGAACCGGATCTGTATCTTCATACTAAGCCCGGTCATTGAAAATAGTTCCTTGATTTAGTGCTATTGATAAAAAAGATCTCACTTCGATTTTCTCCTCTAGTAATCACTATATACCAGCTGCATATCTATCAATTTAAGTAGACCCTTTGTACTCATTTTCCCCTTTTATTGAGCTAGCAGAAGACACTCATAAAATACATTACCAGGATTGCAGCCTAAAGAAGTCCTCCTTTATCTGCCTCTGCCTGAACTACTTTGTAATATCTGCTTTTCCACTGATATAAAATGACTGAGTGCTACTTTTTACACAACTTTGTAGCTTTGGAACAACTTAAAAGCTACCAAAAATGTAGTCTGACTTACTGTTTGTGTTTCTGAGCCTTAATGGAAGGTCTTTATAGATTAAATAGCCCCAGGTTTCAGTAACAGTTAAGATACTATCTCTACTTCATCTATTATTGGCCTTGTTTGCTAAGGAGTCATCAGTGAAGTGGTGAGCACAAACAACCACGTCACATTCTGCATTGTAATCCAACAATGTAGAATTATATGTATGTATCTAAACATGGGATGGCATAGTGGCTCTTCTTTAACTAAACTGTTTTTACACTTTTATCTGATTTTCTTTCCAGAGTATCTTGATTGCCTTGCCTCTTGCCTTTTTTAGCTGGTGAAACAGTAACTAAGTAATAGTATCTGCTGAATCGGCTCATCTTTCACTTCGGTACAGAACCACACTGATTACAACTGATTTGAAAGTCACTTTTACCCATAAAAATCTGCACAGTGACGAAAACCTTGCATGTTTTCTTTTGTGCATTCAGCAAAGAACAGAAGAAGTGCTGAGGTAGGATGGTATGGTGTCAACACATTATGACACAATGTGGCGCCGAGTGAGTGAACATCTCCATTGTGAAACTAAATCAAGCATAAAAAGGAACACAAGCAGTTCCTCTCTGTGTTTATTTAGTGTTCAGCCCAATACAATGCAGGCTAGTCTATGCGATTTAGCGAGAACAGAGACCGACAGAATCAGCTTAAGTTTGGGCTTCATAAAAGTCTGAGAGTAATAACGTTTTTATTCTATTCTGTTTGAAATGGCTCCAACATTGTCTCAGTTTCACATTCGCTTTTATCTCAAACATCCTGCTGTGAAAAGACTGAGCATGTTTGGACTGACCTCCTTTACTTTTGCATCTCACCATCTGTCAAATGCCTGCTGGCATACTGTAAATTACAAGTGAAAGTACAGCCATGCTAACAGCGCTGAGAGCATGTCTAACACAGTGACATTTATTACATGTAGCTACTTATGTTTGCTATGCTCCCACTATATATAGTTTATATTTTTAGCTAAGTGGTAGCCTCTGGTGTGCAAAATAAAGCTGATTTAGAAATGGAATAAACTGCAATTTTAACAAGAGTTTGTTTGATACTGTCTTTAAAAGCCAATAAATACTCTTGATAGCTCAAGCAAATGCACATTTTTATAGCAGAATTAATCATGTTTGCAGCCTGGGCTGGGTTGCCATGCCTCATTTGTGTCCTTCATACCAGCTGTAGGAAGAAGGACAGGGTATTTTTGACAGCCTCATTAGACAATATGTTTCACAATATAGAGGCCAAGATATGATACATGTCCTGCACAAAGTCCACTGCAACAGCTGTTCTGTTGTTACATCCCTACTGACTATCATGGGACATCACACTAACCCTCTGATAGAAAGACATCTGACTACCACACCACTGGGCCACATCCACTCATCTGTCATGCATACTTCTTCTGTGTATTTTTTATTTTTAAGGGAGCATGTTTATTTATACAGACAAAAATAAAATATTACCTCCTCTACTACAACCCACACCCTCTATAATAGGAAAAACAAATGTTTGCACAGAATATATCCACAATCCAGGTACTGGTTATTTCAAAATAGAGTGTACAGACAGACCAACAGATACTGTATTTCTGCTAATGTGGTTAAAATCTATCTTATCCTTGAATTTTAATCTTTATCTTATCGTCATACTTGGCTGCATTGAGTCATGAAGTCAGTTTGAACTCTGTATCTTTTGCTGTGTGTGAGTACCTGCACGGATATGGGACCATTAAAAGGTCACACACTCTCCCGATGAGGCCTTTATTGCGTCAAAGACTTGCCCTTTCCCAGCCACCATAGAAGTGTCAGTGGACCTATCAGTACCACTAACCCCCTGCAGTGTCGACTACAGGCAGGTCAGAGGGTCAGGTTTGTGGGTCATTGTTATCAGACTTAAAATAGGTGACCCATATCATGGTGGTACTGGTAAGAGCATCAGCAGCTGTTTCCTAAAGTAAGAATCTTTATTTTTTCCAGAAACAGCGTTATTATCACCCTTTTCACATCTATTGATTATATTTTCTGTAATGTTCTTGGACACTGAAGTTATCAATTTGGGCCTAACAAGAGCACAATGAACACTTTTTAATGGACACATGCGGGCACATTTGCCAGCAAAGGATCAAGTTGCAGACTTTGCAGCCAGTGTAGCAGATGTCAGAAACAAACAACTGGAGTAACTACAACAGTCCTTGCATGTATTTGTCAGGCACACCATTAAATGAGAGATGTACAGGTGCGGTGATTGAACATTGTTAACGATGCACAGGTGTAGTGATTGAACTTTGTTAACAATGCACAGGTGTGTTGGTTGAACATTGTTAATGCACAGTATTGTCCTTCTTTTAAAAACACTGGCCCACTGTCAAATAGTTTGCCATGCACGTATGTCAGTAGCCGAAGTTTATCTGCATTTTGGCTCGTCTTATCTCTTTCTCTAGCTTGCCAACTAAACGCTGGCAGGCTGGTATACCTGCCTGTAGCTGATTCAGAGAAAAAGGCTTTTATTAGGCAGGAGAAGTCACCTGATGGAAAAACATGTAAACATGACAGAGTGGTGGTAGTGTGGGAGTATTACAAAAAATATACAGTTTGCTCCAGTGACATGTCAAGAGGGACTCAAAAGCAAGGACAGGGAGAGACTTGTTTTGAATTTAAGCATTCATGAAAAGTAGAACCAAAGAGCCACAAAAGTTCTGCAAATAAAACCAATATAAGAATTCATATAGGCTAAATTGTTATATTTATCAAAGGTATCAGTTTGGTTCTCTGAATTGGTGCTGCATCTCAACGCAAAATGTAGTATATGTTAAGATCCATTTTTAGGAATAAAGAATGACCCTTTAAACTCTTTCTAACTCTTGTTCATTTTGTATGCCATTTTTTACATGCAGTCTGAGTATTTGCATTGATTGATATACCAAATTAATCTTAAACTGCTAGGATTTATTAAATAGACTGCTGTAGACCACAAAAAGAAAAATTCTAAACAAAAATCTTTAAAAGCCAGCAGCAAAAAAAGAACTCAGTCTTTCCTCGACTCCAACAGAAGCTTGGGGCGTGACGAGACAGTTGCTCAGACCAGCTCTGGTTACATTTCCTGCTCTGTTGTGTAAATGTAACCATACAGCACGTGTTTCCGTCAACAACAGCTGATGCAGCTTGGAAGAAGCCAACTAAGGATGTAAGACGGAGCGATGATAAATGAAAAACATGTGGAAAAAGTGAGCTAAAAATACAAAGTAAACACAGGATGGAAACAATAAAAGAGGGAAAGGAAAGTGGCCGCGGGTCTTGGTTACAGAAGGGGCTGCAGCACAGCTGAGTCTATTGATAGTCACACTGAGAGGAAATGCACACCAATACACAGGCAGCAGACAAGCCGGCATGGCAGGAGACAGGAAATAGAAAGCCAGCTGAAAAAGGACACAGTGACAGAGCAGACCTTGAGCATAGCTAGCTAGAACAGTCAAGTGAATATGACAGAGGCAAAGCTGAAAGAAAACAGGCAACACAAGAAACAAAGAGAGGAAGAGAAGAAGCCCACACCAACTCAAACCACATAATTGACAAAGTGCTCTTTGAGAGACTGAGGATGCATCAAAACAAAGTGCAGCAATATCTTTGTGCCGAGGGCTGATAATGACAGGGCAACACACAATATGATACTTAATCGATTAGCTACTATAACAATAATGAATCTGCAATATTTTATAAATCTTAAGATTTAATGTTACATCATAACAACTGTAAAATAAAAACATACCTCTGAAAGATTTAGTGCAGGATTCATTTCATTCATAGATATTTAAAACAGTTGCTAAAGATTTGGTTTAATATTGAACTAACTGGCAGCACCAATGAATAAACCATTTAAATAGTCAGCCAAAGCAATAACTCCAAGTTGAAAAACTTTGCAAAGTGAACAGGTGGTCATGCAAATTAGAATCTTGACAAGGTGAGCAGGGTCATGATGCAAATCTCTCTTCAGGCTGCTCCCACATTGTTGCCCAGGATCTGTTATTATATCACAACTCAAAGAGCAGTTTAAGAGTAAACTGGCATTTTAGCCACAGTGTCAACAGGCTAAAAGATAAAAGATAAACATTTCCCAAACATTTCCCAAAAGGTTCACAAAATTTAAATCTTCAACAAATGATAAATTGCGTAAATTGTTAGCTAAGGTTCTGAATAAATGGTCAAAATAATGAGCCAAAATTGTTTGCTGAAATAGAATAAATAGCTGAAATAGTTAGCTTAAGCAACAGAGAAGCAGAACTGGTGAAATGTTACCACTTAGCTTCAGTAATAGGTAGCATCCTCAATATGGATACTCCAGTGGCGAGACAAATTTCTAATGTTAGTCTTCAACAATTCAGAACAAGCCATTGTTGGAGAGGATGAGTTCACCTGGCAGGACTTCGAGTGTTTCTAATGCCAAAATAAGTTGTGAATCACAGGATTAGAGCAGTAAAACTTTGTGAAATGTGTTGGATCTTCTTTTGTAAGACCTTCTTGTATGCATGCATGGTTTTCTCACAGACTGCTTGTGGTTTGAATCACCAGCTGCTTCATTTGGTTAAGTACCAGCTACCTGCCTCCCTCTCAAAATAGCTGTGCATTAACAAAAGACTGCAGGGCTGGATGTGGGTGTACGTGCGCCCATGACAGATTGCAGGTCCTTTATCTGTGCTGTAGTTTAGAGAAGCTCTGCTCGTTTGCTGCTTTTAATGACAGTCTTAAGCACACAGCTGAGCGGCTTCCTGTCCCCCTTCATTGAGCTGTTAATGTTAACCAAGCTGCAGTCGTGTGAGACAGACGGGTCTAATTATAAGGTGTCCTATGTCAGAGCTCTGTGCCTCCCTCGCTCTGTTCTCTCTGTCACTTTTTTTGCTTGCTATAGCCTTTTGTGTTTGGATTTTGTAAACTGGCAACTGTACTCAGTGACTGTTGGTTTAACTTGAAGAATATTTAACTTTCCACTCATCTGAACAAGATTGGCTGAATTTGAAAGGACCTCAAACCACCAAATATTTCAAATTTAGCTTTTCAAATGCTATGAGAAATTTTCCAACTCACTGATTATTGTAACCAAGGTTGTTACGAAGTGACTAACTCCTAATCAGATAAACAGAGATTATTTTATGACTGTACAACTTATCTAAAGGCCGAAAGCTGAAATAGAGAGCCTGCATGCACACAATGTCAAGTTGGTATACGCTGTTTTACAAGTTTAAGCGGATCTAACGCCACCAGCTCTTGGTCCTCCTCTCCAGTTAATGCCAACAGTTTAAGAGATCTTGCTTCTCTAGTTATACCAATTTTAATAACAACAGCATGATAGCAATACACAGCGGTCTACATCTCCATGTACAAACCTCAACCAAAAAGCCACTCATAGTCACATATAATGCTCAGAACAGCACCTAACTTCATCAACAGAACATGTAGGGTCCCAGCCACAGCACTAGCCACCAAACATCTTTTTAACTTTGCCTGTTTTCTTTAGCAAAGAGACCAAACACAACTCACCCACTCTCTTCCAGCAGCCACTTGTTTGTGGGGGTGCCCTGACGAGTCGATCATGGAGTGTGGTCATTACTTAAGTTGGTATAACTAGAGAAGCAAGCGGTCTGCAACATTCATCTCTCAAGGGGGTGTCTAACTCAATGTTATGGTGTGTTTGACCCTAACTTAAATTTACCCGGAATATCCCTTTATTGCTCACCTGCCTGTGCTGGCTATGTATATCTCTGGTTGGGTGTTTATATATGAGCTTAACCACACACAGCTAATGTTTCTCCATTGTAGTTCAAAATTCTGCCAAACTAAGCTGTGCTACATGATTCTGTTACATCTTACGCTCAGCATTTGTGACTTGTGGCCTCCATTGATAAAAAACATAACTAATTTAAGATTTAGTTCAAAGCCTCAGGAAAATCTAAAATCATAACCTGTGTGTAAATCAAGGAGACTGAAAAAGTGAACATGGGTTAGGACAGAAGTTGGTGAAAATGTAAACAGAGGAAGAGAAGGATGGGGGTTTGTTTATGAAATGCTTTGGATCATTAGTCAGTCTCCACAAAAGCTGATGTCGCTCCTGAAGAACATTGTGTCCTAGCTTAGACAGGGGCCCCAAGCCGTGTGTGTGTGTCTGTGTGTGTCTGTGTGTGTGTTTTAATTACACTGAGTACTGAAGCAGGACTGACAGAATTGGGGGGATGAAAAGAAAACAGGGGTGGTTCATGTTCTTGGATAACTTCAAGGGTTTTTCTGGAGCTCAATGAGTTTTCCTAGAAGTCTTGTCGAGTGAACCTCACTGGCTTTTGTCCACATTCTTCTGAGAACAGTCCCTCACAGACATCTAACCGCCTGTGACCAAAGCTGAGGGGAAAAAAAACCTGTTGCTGCTGACTGAGGCACTGTCACATGCACACACAAGCGAGCACGCACACACACACACACACACACACACACACACACACACACACACACACACACTAACATACATAACCACAAAGTCATCTGGAGTATGGAGCATGTGCTTAGTGTGTAATGTATGTGTGTGTGATGACCCCTCACATGATCTTGAGCACACATGTTCCTCTCTTATGTAACAGCTGCTCCTCATGGACGGTAACAGGAGAAAGTTCTGAATCCAGATGAAGTTGTTCTTTTTGAGATGTTCTGTGCTGTTTGCTGTGAAATGTGCTCTTAGACAGAAAGGCTCTGTAGAAGAACTTTTCTGATCCTAAACTGTGAGATGTTAGTCTTGTTGTGACTGGCCATGTTGTTCAGGCTTCTTTTGTTTTGCTGTCAGAGTATCCTTCTTTGTTTCTTTGAAAACTCCTTTCTTTAGATATTACTTTATAAATGAAAGTGTTTTATTACAAACCAAGTGATTTTTATATTTCATTGATTACACACCAGTATAAACATCCAACACAATTTCCATAAGAGTTGGGATGTTGTGTGAAGTTCCCATAAAATCAGGTTTTGATGACTTAACTGCATTTCTGACTGAAAATAGTAGAAGACAACATGTTTAATGCGAAAACTGGAAAGTGTTATTGTTACATGATACCTACAAATTTTAAATTTGCTGCTGGCAAAACATTTTAAAGCTGTTGGGTCAGAGGCATGTTTACCAACCCTTCTTTTAAAACTACTCTTTTAAAGGTTTGGGAATCCAAGAGATCGGTTTCTAGAATTTAAAACTGAAATGTTGTCCTAATGTAGCCATTAGGAGGAGTTGCAGGCGTTCCAGTTTTTTACCCAGACCCTTAGACCACAGAGCCATTCTGTTGTATTGTATCTAAAATGTAAATTGACCTCCTCTTGCTGTATTATAAAAGGTCCTCCCTGAAAATGTATTGTCTGGATGGTAGAGCATGTTGCTCCAAAACCTACATATTACATTCAACAATGGTGATTCCTTCCTAGATATATAAGCTAACCATGCTGTGGGCTCTTATGTATTCCCATATCATTATGGAGGCTGGCTTTTTGAGTGTGCCCCGATAAGAAGCTGGGTGGTCCCTCTGGTCTTTAGAGTCTATTGTTTCCAAAAACAATGTGAAGTTTTGTGGTCAGACCTCAGGACAGCCTCCACTTTGCCTTAGTTCATATCAAAGGGGCTCAGGCCCAGACAACTCGCCGGTATTTCTGTCTGCTGTTTATATGGGATTTTCTCTTTGCATGGTACAGTTTTAAGCTGCATTTTTTCTTATTACGCTGGAATTGCTTTTTATACTCAGTTATGTTACTAGACCATTGGAAATAAACCTAACCAAATAAGAAATGTCACACCACTTTTTAAATTGTTTTGTTGTTCATGTCCCAAACTCTTTTGAAATATATTAGCATCGTACTGTAAATGAGCAACTATCCATCACAAAACAGTCAAACTGCAAACTATCAGGATTATTTTTATCAACATATAACACAGCTTCACAAATCTTTTGGATCAGAGGTTGTGCCTAAAAATGTTTCGTGTTAATTAAGTGTGTTTTGCTCTCTCACCACCTCTTTGACTGGCATCTTTACTAGATTCCTCCCTCTGATAGACATCCGTGTTCAACAGTATAGATGAAAATGTTCTTATCTGTTTTTCCATATCATCCTTTTATATAATGACATGTTCTTGCCAAGTATGACCAAATCAGCACCGTGCTTTTGTTTACTTCATGTTGTAAATACTGTACAGCTTATCAGTTCCAGCTTTATAGGAGATCATAGACCTGCAAAAATATAAAACACTCTACTTCCTTTACATAAGGCTGAGCCACACTGAACCTCAGCAAACAGTCCTGACCTTTTGTCCTCGGCTGTAATTAGTGTTTTCGCGCTACTACTGTCACCAACACACTCATCCGTCATTCTGTGCTGCTGTGATGTCAAAAGCTCTTTCCAAGGTCTGTTTCCAAACCACTCCAGTTTACTCAGAATTCCCCAGATTACACTTAGGGGACAAAAACACACTGGCTCTCTACAACATACACACTAATACATTTTCTCCCCCACATAAACCCCTGTCCAGTTTTGCTGTAGCCCATCCCCCTATTTTGTTACATAATCTGCACTCCTGGAGTTGCAGCATGACGCAATAACTGAACAACTAACCGGACTCAATGTTGATTTTGGATCGCTCTCACTCCTGGCAGTGTTGAGTGTTTTTGTGCGTGTGCACTTAGTGTTGTCAGTTTTCACATCAGAGGATCATAAAATCTTTTTATCCCTCTGCCTTGCTGCAGATTTGGCTTCTTTACAGAAAGTTAATGACGACAGAGAAACTATTTATACGGTCCTTGTTTGGAAATACTTTGTGCTAGGACAGAATGTGTTCATATCGACCCAATGTACAAAGTCCGCAGATTTTATTTCCGATCCAGCAAATATGTGAACAGCTTAGAAAACATTGTAAACAGTTTAAATGGGTCAAAACTAGCTCCCACTTCCTCTAAGCCGTCACAAACAAAGGCTGCCTGTGTGCTGCTGTCCCCACCTGCCTCTTGAAATTCATTCCACTTCTGAGCAATTAGGCAACAAACCAAACTGAGGCAACTGCAGCAACCAGAGACGTCAATACTCAAAGCTGCCAAAGTACACACACACACAGAAAAAAATAAACATTTCTGCAGGCAGCAGCTTTTCTTAGAAGTACTCTGCTGTTTCTTGATATCAGTTTTCTCTGATTGTGAAATACTGTTTTCGAGTGATCTTCAGTGTGCACGCCTCTGTTTATGTTTTGAGTTTTATGATGTGTAGGTGACGTATGAGTTACCTCCCCTACTCCTCCGGCACCCTGACACCGTACTCCCATCCCCCCTCTTCTCCAGATTGTGCTGCATAATACATCTCCATTATGTAATCCCCCCCAGTTGCCCCCCTGCTCCAACACACTCCCCCACAGATACAGTCAGAGTTGATACTGGTGGCCCATCCCCCACCGCCACCACCTGCCCCAGTTGGAGAAATCACAGGGTTGGATTGGAAAAGACTGAGCTACTTAACAACCAAACACTCAAGCCCATTAAGTCAGGGTCACACATAGGTTGACTAGCATGTCGGCATGGCGCTGTAGCTGCTGATCAGATCACAGGATTTGTTTATATGTGGAGTGGTTAAAAAGGCTGTGAATAATACCAGACTGCTTTATGTTGTAGTGTGCTTTGAGTAAAAGATGCTGCATGACTGTATATGCATGGCAGCATTTTCCCCTGATGTCATCCTTAGGAGTATAGACTAGACAAAAAAAAGAAGGCATTACAGCTCCCCAAAAGTGTAGCCAAAGCATTTGAGGCCCTCTCTACTGACTGGTTGTAACAGACCCAACCCTTCTTTCAGCACCCTCTTGGGTGGGCTGCAAAAGCCCATAAAATCCCATTTACACTGGTGTGAAAATGTCTGATTTTAAGGCTGCATATAGAATTGAATTGTTGTCCGATCACACATGTGATTATGTAAAGATCAAGAGTTCTGCACAAGTAGGAGCATGGCTGATGTGACAGGAGGGTGCAATGTAGCTTCAAGGCCATGGTTTCAACCACCATCTCTGGGCTTCTTAATGCCTCTTTAGAAACCAGTGTGTCATTGAAGTCTCATTCTTGTTCGTACTCTGAGATAGAGTCAGATGTATAAAGTTCTGCGGTTACTTATGTACTGAACTCTGCAACAGCCTAATATTGGCGTTTTGATGCGTGATTACACATACGCTAACTGCTGTACTGCCCTGCTGCACAAGTTGCCCCCACTTGCCTCCATTACTCCATTAGACTGCTTCTTTGTTATATAAAGGCTGTAGTGTCGACATCTAATCACCTAAAAGGTAAGCCCTCGCTAAATCTATTAGTTGTAAGGCTAAATGAACTAACTACCCAGTAGGGCTTAACTTAAGCAGAAGCTTTGATCAATTACGCCAAGCATTCAATCGATCAAAAACAAAAATTTCAGCGTATACGATCCTATTTGATCAAAATCCAGGGAATTTAGTTGTTTTGAGTCCGTCACCAAAGATTTGAACCCTCTCATACCTGTTTTAAAAAGTTATGTGCAGCTGGTTGCTGCCAGTGTGGTTCAACACCCTTGGTTTTTTGCTTGGTCCATCAGTTTGAAGTCCTGTCCGCATGCAGATCATCTGTTGTGATAGCAGAAGGGAGTAAGGATTTCAGAATGTTTAAATATACTGAAGTTTCTTAGGAAAACATGCTGCTGTCAAATATTGTTCAAAGATCAGAAACATTTAGAAAAGACAAACCAAAGGGGGCAGGGAGAGACACAGCTCTGTGCGTAGAGAGGGGGAAGCTGTAGGTGTGGGTATGCCGGTTGACATTTTACAGTGTTAAATGTTCATAAATCAAAAGTTAAAAAGAGACAAACATGTTTGGAGACGGCATGCCCATCAAAAGTAGCAGTTGCTGCTGTTATGTACTGCTGGATTATGATTTTCTAACGGCTATGGCACGAAGCCATCAGCTGCTCCATGATAAATGACTTCAGAAACTGATTCTGTGTCTCCTCTCTTCTAGGAAACACCCAACTCTGTTTTCCTGGTCATGGAGGTAAGTGCAGAAACGTGACTGGATATGTTATCAATCACAGCCCACATTCTTCTCATCTTTTAAAATCCTTTCTTCGGTAAAAGCAACATAAGAAGTTATTTTATGCATGCACTCATTACCAGAAAAAGAAAACAAATCCAACACAGGCTCTCTGCATGCATCCACCCCAGTCTTTCTTGTTTTCCTCTTTGGTCTTTTCTTCATTGTGTCTAATTTTCCTCCCCTCTCTTGTTGACAACCCTGGCATCCTCTCTTACTTTCCTCGCTCATTTCGCAACACTCTCAGCTGGCTGCAGAGTAGAAAACAAACCATGACTGCAACTCAGGTTACTCTACGAAAATACACCCTTCTGATTTCTAGGAATCATACTCCCTGAAAGCCTTGGCCAAAAGAACTTGTTTTGATCTATGTTTAGACTTGTCTACTGTAGACTACATGAGCTATCCTGTGAAACTGCCAAATGACAAGGTTATATTAACTCATGGATATCCAATCTGCACAGGTGAAAGAGGAGACGAGCAGTTGGTTGCTTTACATAAACGGCTTTCTGGTGTCATAATTTCAACTGTAGGATTGTTTAAAAAAGCCGCACAGAGAGGGTCATGCCCTTGTTGCTCAGTCTGGCTCAGTCGTTGCATAGTCCACATATTTTGCTCGGCATGAAAAGCTGATCTTACTCAAATATCTCTGGAAGTAGTAGATGCAAGTGTTTTCAAAGATAAGAGCGCACTGAGCCAGCTGTGATCCTAATAAAGAGAAAATTCATTCCCAGTTCTCAGTCTGGAGGCTAAAAACACAATTAATTTGTTGGAATAATACTTAAAAGGAAAACTGATGTTTGACTTGGAAGATTTTTTTGCTGCGTTCTGCCAACCTACAGTTCAAGGAATAGTTTGAATTGGTCTCAGTTCAGCTGTGTTGAAGCTGTAAGTGAGCCAAACAGCACAACAACAGAACAGATAGTGAAGCTTTCGGCATACCTCTATGAATTTTCATGCAGAGCTGAAGTGCGAAGCTTTGCCGAGCCAAAACTAAGTCCTTCATATGAAGGTGAAGGCAGCTATTCCCTTCCTATACAGCAGCAAAACCCTTTTATCTTGGGCTTTTACTCTGAATAAAGAGCTTTCTGCACTGCTGTAAGCGGGGTACACCCTAAACCAGAATCAGTCTTATTTTGGGCACTTCTCCCCTTCTGAAAAAAGTCAGCAAAGCGTAGTATTTGATTGTTTTTAAGATCATTTTATCAGGTTTTCCTCTGAGATAAAAGTAGAATGTTCTCATTCAAGAAATGTCCTTGTCTTTACAGGGAATTTTACATTTAGATTAACTGATTAGTCTTGAGGTAAAAAAAAAACACACAGAAAACAGTCAAAACTGAGCACAATTTTTAACATGCCAAAAAGTAGAGATTTCAGCGTTAGCTTGATAAAAAGTGCGACTTATGATTCAGAACTAGCACCATCAGCTCTTGGTAGTGCAGGTAACATTCATGCGCCTTTGCTGGTTATGCATTTCTCAACTAAGTGGTTATATGCCAGTTTAATCAGACATAGGCTACACACAAATGCCTGACAAGATGCCATCTGTCATGTGTACTTGTAATTATCATAGTAGAGCGTTGTAAGCTTACGGTAGAATTCACCTCTGGGCTTCAGCCTATGCAAGTGGCTTGTGATAACTAGCACCAAGAGAGCTTTTATGGAATCTTTGAGCCACATTTAAGCTGTTCTGTCTTGGCCATATTGATGGAAGACCTGAACTTTCTGTGCTGTTATCTCTTGCATTGCTGATGGTTGCAAAGTGCTGTTTGTCCAGCAGACCAACAGGATTACACACTGTGGATCCCACTAGTTTTGCAGCAGTCTAAAACTTAAATCAATCTTTCTTGTCTTTGCTTATCCACTCAGCAGTTCACTGTCTTTCAACCCACCACAACAACCTAATCCTTCTGTTCTTGTTGTCCCTCTTGAGAACTAACTGCACTCGTCGTGGTCAGCACAGATAAAGAGACAGCCAATCAGCAGATTAATTAACAAGCCACTCTTACACACAGACAAAACACCAAAATGTTCCTCTGAGCTTTTCACCTGCTGCACCTGGATGTTAATGTTGCTGATACTGATTGTTTGTTTCCCCCATATGCAGTACTGCAACGGAGGTGATCTTGCGGACTATCTGCAAGGTAAGCATCCCACTAATCTGTCTGCACCCCTCATACACACACAGATTATTGTTCATCATGACAAAGTTGCTAATGCTGCAGAGGAGGAAAAGCCATGTGACTGCAGCTGTTATGGGAGTAGGTGTGGGAATGTGAGCACGTTTTTGTGCATTCATTATTTATGAGTAATGGTGAGTTTGTAGAATAATGCAGGTCTGTGTTATTATGTGGGGATGTTAAAGAGAGAAAGAAAGTGTGTGTGTGTGTGTGTGTGTGTGTGTGTGTGTGTGTGTGTCTATCAGTGTGTTTGTATGTGTTCATGTTTCTATGTGGGGGATGTTTCTCACCATGGCTCTGTACAAAGGGTTCCTTTTCTTGTTCAGAGCCAGTCAGCACAGTGTTTATGCTATTGTGTCACTTTCTAACAAAGGTCAGCATTTCTGCTGGTAGGCAACAAGTTAGCTTAAAGGATAAATCTGCTGTTACATATTTTGTTAAATGAACTGTGTGTTTAATAAACTGTCTGGCTGGCTCAGATTGCCGACCTTAGTGTTAAGCACATTACAGAAAGGGTCCAGGCAGAGAAGGACCTTTTTGTGAGAGGGGAATATAAATATACTATGTACTTTTAAAATTCCTAAACAGCTGTTACTTGTCCTCAGAGCTGCAATACTACAGACCTGTTTTAAATATTCCAATATCCCTAAAAGCAAAAACATGAAGATCAGAAAATAATAAGTTATACCTAAAAACTCAAGTTTGTTTCAGTGACGCCCTTCTATTACTGATCTATTTATAACTCAGTTTTGCATAAATACTGTGTGGCTGTGTGGTGTGTAGCTGTCTTTATGTCTTTATATCATACCTATAGGGTTACTTGTCTGACAGCCAAGACAAGCGAAAAAACCAGACCAGCTACTTTTATGTTTATGTACTTGTACCTAAGATTCCAGACAGACTCTTCCACGTGCCTCGTTGCCTTGGGGTGAGAGATATTTACATGTCCTCAGTCACCTAGGAGTAATAAAAATAGTTTCCTTCCGTTAAACACTTTTAAGACCTGCTAATAAAAGATTTTATTTTAAAACACTTATGATACTATTCAGTTAAAGAAGATTTGTTATTTAACAAGACAAATAAAAAGTCATGGCAAAAGCAAAATATAACACCAAAAAATTGCACAATCCTTTTCATACTAATCTGAACACTTTCAGATATTTTCAAGGTAGCCGAGTTCACCATATTTGGCACAGAAGTTACCAGTTAAAATCACAAACAGAACATTCAAGGAGTGGATGCACAGCCTCTTTCACATAAATATTCATAAAATTATTTTTTTGATATTTTAGGCCCTCTGCCCGGAAATTTTCTAAAGTTGCTTGTTCACACGTCCTGCATGGTGTAAAGTTCTCGCCATTGAACAGAGGGATGGTAGGGAGATGAGTCTTGAAAGCAGGATGTGTGATGCACATGGCTGACAAAGCATGAGAGAACTACGCCATCGTGACAGTAATTGCATTTGTATCAATGCTACCTGCAAACTTTGTACAGAGATTCGTACTGGTTTCCTCCTGAGAATGTCTCTGAGCTTTTTGATTGTGCGAAATGTCACTAGTCATATAATATGAAAAGCATTGCCCCTGTCTCTCTTACTTGCTGTAAATTTCCCAAATGCTTCCCTCTGTGTTCCCACATGGGCTCACTATTTGTGGAAATTTTACAAGAGAGCTATCTGGAAATTTTCCAGAAACACAGGAGGATAACTGTGCTGTTTGTGTTCACACGTGCAGCTCACCCTGAAAATCTCTTGAAGGGTCTGAAATGCTCATATGAGTGAATACACTCTAATTCTAATGTTTCTGCTCTAAATAGTTTCAAAGAGTTAAAATCAGGTTGCTCATTAGAACCCCTGCAAAGGAATGGCAGTTTGCCAATACATCTGTTAGATAAGCGCAGGTGTTTACACCTCTGCTCCATAAAAACACTGATTGTGTGGTCAGAACAGCCCCTCTCTTATCACTGTACTTTTGCATAATGTACCTGCCCCACATGACTACATTAACAGTGAACACAATGGGTCACGGTCAGACTTCAGATGGTCTCATCTTGAGTAACACTTACCCCACAGGTTTTAATTTCACAACCATCACAGTGTTACATTATTCTGTACAAAACTGTATGTCCGTCTGGATGTCATTAGTCACGTTGAACCCTGTGTAGGTAAACGACCATCTCTCTCATTATATAAGAGGATCTCACTAGTGAATGATTCCACCACTTACACAACTTTTCCATGTTAGTAGTGGGTCCACTGTGGTGGGCACAGAGCAGCTAACCTCTCAAATCCTAGATTAATGTTGATAAGCTTACCGGTTTGATCTTCGCTTGCTCTGTAATCATGAGGTGATAAAGGGAGAGAAAAAGGAGGAAGAATGAAAAGAGAGGAAAAGAGAGAGAGAGAGAGAGAGGAATCCTCTTAGACTCACATCGGATTAGACTTCTTTCACTACTAGAGAAGAAGAGCTTCATCGCCTCAATTTACACTATTTACTCCAGGATTAGGACTGTAACATGCTCATTATTAGCTTAAATCAAGTGAGACTGATAAAGACTTTCACAGAGTTGAAGCTGCTTTTTTTTGCTTATGAGGCAAGACAAGAAAAATGAGAAGCGCTGAGTTATTGCATGTATTTATTTCTCTAAATCGTGACTCTGCAGGAGGCCGGTCATTAACAAGCTTTATCAGGCAGCAGGAAGCATCAGAATGAGATCATTCGTACAGCCTAGGAATAACTATACTTGGAAATGTTCATGCATCTTTATGAGTAGGTTTAATTGAAGGTGTCTTGTGCATTTTTTTGCATTCAGTGTTACTCTGCAAACTGGAAAAGGTGTGACAAATGTGTCAGGTACTTTCTCTTTCATAGAAAAACACTGGCTTAGCGGATTTCTTCCAAAAGGGAACGATAATTAGAGTAATTTACTAAAATAGGATTTAATCCCCCAAGAATACAGAGTGGCTAGAGAGGTAACCACCTTGGCTTTTTATGCTAATCACATCCACTTTAGAAGTCCAGAGAGAAATCTTACCTCTAGATATTAAAGGCTGAAAATTAGGTATGAATTGCTTTGATCGAGTGTAAATATCTGCAAACGGAATTTCCTTGTTTGGTCTCTTGAAATGAAACATAAAACTTATTTCACTGACAGAAGCATTTTTATTTCAAACCTGACAAATCCTCTTTTTTAAAATCTTCTTTTCTTTAGCTAAGGGGACGCTGAGAGAAGACACCCTGAGGGTTTTCCTGCAACAGATCGCTGCAGCCATGCGCATCCTCAACAGCAAAGGAATCATCCACCGTGACTTGAAACCACAAAACATCTTGCTTTCATACGCGGGCCGCAAGAAGTCCAATATCAGCGGCATTCGCATCAAAATAGGTACAAGAAATCATATAATGTTGAAAAGAATTGATATTAAGTGGGTGCCTGTGCATGGGTTTAGAGAGCTGTTTTTTATAAATCCCATCGTCTGACGACAGCAATATTAAACATGACTTGAAATCTTTGCAAGTGTCTTTATTTTGTCATGTTTTATGATGTCATGTTTCACCAGTCCAGACTTCAGACGCCTAATCATACTACTCGCCGTAGACAAAGCTGCAACTGAGCATGTAATTTGTATTTTTCCCATTTTCTGTGTCTCATGGCTCTCGGACTAAAAGCTACTCCGCTGCCCACAATCAAAACATCATAATTTGGCACTGGACTAAAGAAACTCATTATTTTCTGTCAACACTGGTGGTGTTTCCAGTCACTATCTTGGCTCTGTTTTGTGTGCAACTTGTGTTACTGTTCCGAGTGTTTTGTCTTGTGTGCATGCTCTAGAGTCCAGCCATAGTGGTTTATGTTGCATGTAAAAATAACCCACGTGTTTACTGACCCGTTTCTCTCCTGCCTCTGTCCTGCAGCTGATTTTGGCTTCGCACGGTACCTCCAGAGCAACATGATGGCAGCCACTCTGTGCGGCTCGCCCATGTACATGGTGAGTGTGCTTTACTGCCTGTGCGTGATAGCAGCTGAGCTCAGTCCTTTTTGAAAATGAGCAGTGAGCTTTCTCAGCAGTATGTTGCATAACTCCCGCTGCCTGCTCTGGATCTTTACTCCTGACCTCTAACCTCAACAGGCCCCTGAGGTCATCATGTCACAGAACTATGATGCAAAAGCTGACCTGTGGAGCATAGGCACTGTCATCTACCAGTGTCTGGTTGGCAAGCCACCATTCCAGGTTAGTGTAGTACACAGCAGACCAGTAACAAAGATTTTACAGATACATGTGTTTTCAGATCTGATATTTATATTTCTATTTTCAGGCGAATAGTCCCCAAGATCTGAGGATGTTCTACGAGAAGAACAAGAATCTGCAGCCTATGTGAGCCTCCACTTATTTACAAAAGCTTCATTGTAGTTATTCTTATTTTTTGAGTACCTTTATGTATTTAATTGGTAAACTCTTATTAATGTAATATTTCTAATCTAATATTTTTGTATTAATTTAATTTGCTTCATATTTTATTTTGTTTTAGATGAAGTATTAATTATGTGTTCAATTGTATTATTTAGGTGCTGGGTATAGAATCTAATTGTTATGTTGTTAAAAATCCTAAAATCCAGAGGATGGATCATAGCAGAGGCTGTGATTAATTAAGATCAATGCCTAATTGCTAAAATGCCTCTAGTTATTTCTGAACTTCATTATAATCCCTATTTGCCATTCTGAGGTAAAAAATTAAGGTTATTGCCAGCCTGTTACAAAACAGTCCATGTAAATCATTCAGGATTTGAGGGTGAGGCCAAGGCCAGCCTGGATCTGCCCTGTCTGACCCACCCTTATGTATCCTCCCCAGCAATCCAGCCCTATTAACCTGGGTCCATGGCTTACATACAACAACAGGGCACCCGATTGTCTGGCATATATATTGACTTTCCTTACAATGACAGTTTTGAAGTCACATCATGTCATTATAATGCCTAAAATAAGTCATTGTGAATGGCTGCATGGACATGTGACCTTTCCATATATGATTATTCTGTGCAGTGAGGAGACAGATGTTGCAGGCAAAAACTGTGGGTTAATAACACAGATCTTGGTTTCAAACAGGATTAACAGAGACTTGGGTCTGCACTGCAGTGTGTTAAATTTTTCTCTGATAATCCACTCTAGAGGAGCAGGAAGCTCTTATTATCCAACAAAATTTTATATCACATCATCACAGCAGTCCTTAAAGACATGCTTTATTGCTCTGCAGTTTATTAAATACTCGCCTGGATCTCAGTTTCTCTGCTCCAAGCCTGCACCATAGTTTGCTATCATCTTTTAATGTGTTTTAAAGGCTTATAAAGGCAAACACAACTTCATGTACTTATGCCTTTAAAGTTGCATTAATCCATGGAGTCAGTCACAGCTATTTCAGCTGTACATTTGTCTATAATAGTTAGCTAATAACATGGCAAACAGGTAAATGCTCTGTCTTTGAAACAGCAGTATTAATCTTATGAGCATGTCAGCCTCATGTTGGTTATTTTGCTCATGGCTCAGCTGTGTCAAAGTCAAACATCGCAGAGCCACCAGCCCTGCTGTTGACTGTTTTCTATTTATGTCTTTATGCTACATTTCAAATGGCATCTTTATCAACTGACAAAAACTGATGTCGTACTTTGTGACGCACATCGAAACCAAGATTATTAGATCAGACAGAGTGACATGCAGCCAACTTGTCAGAAACAATGTTGTTAATGTTCGCATGCTCTCATCACCCAGCATCCCCAGGGAAACGTCTCCACAGCTTAGCGACCTTTTGCTCGGGCTGCTGCAGAGGAATCAGAAAGACAGGATGGACTTTGGTGAGTGAAGGCTTTAAAAAAAGAGTCTTTTTAATAGTAAATGATTCATACATTGCCCGACTTTGATTATTTTTGTAATGGTAATTTAATCTCTGCCCTCTGCAGACGCGTTTTTCAGCCATCCTTTCCTGGAGCCGACATCCACGATCAAAAAATGTAAGTTCCCACACCTGACAAAACCAGATTACTGCCTGTGACTTAAAAACATGATTAATTAGGCATTTGCTCCTCTCAGCTTGCCCAGTGCCGGTCCCCAGTGCCTCCAACACAGTGACGGACAGCTCCTGTGGCAGCTCTCCTTGCATCCGCTACAACTCTCCTCCTGTGAGTTTGATTTACTTTATTAATCCTCATTCAGAGGAGATTATACTCACACTCAAACAAAGGGATTAAAATATTTACAGAGACTCCCTGTTGCGCTCTTATTTGGCCTCTGTGGTTGAAGTACAAACAGTCCTTAAAAAGTAAAACAAGAGCCCCTTTCACACATGCAAAAAAAAAGATGTCTATACTGAGTGGACGACATGTGGGAAGACAAATGGACAGATATTTTTTCCCTTCTTGAGTGCTCCATTTCAGACCCTCAGTAAAATTTCCTCAAGAAGTAGGTGTGTGCTGTTGTGTGAACTGAGAAGTGCACCACTAGTTAGAGCAATCTCTTACACAGTGGCAGATCTCATCTCCCGGCAGCATCAGTGGGAATGAAGGGCAAGTCTATTTCCCAGGATGTCGGAGTCCACTGTAACAATGTGATTACATTAGTTTGACAGTCATCACAGCCCTGCCTGGAGGCTTTAATTGCATCTTTCAGAGGCACACCACAATTTAATCCTGTTTTTTCCCTCTCTCTCTCGCCCTCATTTTTCCCCTGTCTCTCTTTGTCTGAAATGCTCAGTCTCTTCCTGACATGCAGACACTCGCAGAAGATGGTCTGTCGTCTCCTCCGCTTGGCCCGCCCAACTTCTTGCAGCTCTCCAAAGAGTCAGCAGGAAGCACGAGCAGTAAGAACTCGTCCTGTGACACTGATGACTTTGTCCTGGTGCCCAACATCTCTACTGACAGCTGTAAGTTTCAACACATACCCAACAAATCAAAAGAATAAAAAAAACATGCAGGTTTTAATCCTGGAAAACTTTGTAGAGCAGCTGCTGTTATTTCTTTATTGCAAAATGCAGAAATGAATTCCATGAAGCTGCTCCATTTAAGAAAAAATCTTGATGAATTGGTTGACCTATTTTTGCATTATCCTTGCCATTGATGTGTATATTACCTCATAATTACATTAGCCTCCATTTCTGCTTAATTCGCTGAATCTTTGGTACAGTTGCCAACAAGGGAAGACAGTCTGCAACAGTCATTAATGGAAGAACAGGCTGCAAATGCTCCAAAATCCAAACTCAAAACAAACGTTCAAAAGAAACACAACATCGCTTAATATAAAAACATAGTAAAACAACTGCTTCATTAACAACTGCATTGCAAATAGACGAATAATACATGGCCAAAAACATGAGGAACCACTTAATAACTGCAAAAGACACACGCTGCAAACCCAGACTTCACAATGGAAGTGCTGACTGGGGAGAACCTGACAAAAGAAAGAAAGGATGTTATTTTCTTTGTGACTTAACTGAAATACAAATGCGTATTGTTTGGTACCTCCTTCTTTTCAAAGTCAGCTAACAGCATGCGTCACCTTTGCATGTTGCTGTTACTGGAGCCATTCCTCGAATGCTTTGGAATGAATAATCTCACTGACCATCATGAGTTACGTCTTTATTCATCATCTCTTTGTTAATCTGTTATCATAACCCAGGTCTAAGCATATCTTTTGGTTTTCTCAAACTGGGCATACTCTGGATGTCAGACTGTCTGGAGTGGTTATGTAATGAGAAAAAGAGGAAGTACCTAAACTGGTAATCATTCTCAGAAGAAGTTTCTGTTGTTTTCATTTAGCGGTTAATGCTCCCTTAAGCTTTCAGGCTCAGTTTTAATGACCCCAGAGGGAAAACGGTTTGCTGATGTCTGTGCGCAGAAGTTCAGGGAAATCACCACCTGGACTGCTTTTTAGTTAGATATACGTAAACACATATATACCATACTTTTTGCTTTTTGTATTTGTTTTTGCTTATTTAACATGAAATCCACGTGACTCATGTACAAAGTGTGAACATGTGGTCATATTTTCTGTAGCAGCATGCAGATGTCTCACAATTTACACTTATTTATAGACACATAGGGGCTATGAAACACATGATGTGAAGTCACATTCATTACCTGCCCATGATTCCGGGTGCACCCACACACATGCACACACAGAGCACATGTCACCAAATCCACAGACAGTAAGTGAGACAGCTGCTCACCATTTCACTGCTGTAATTGTAGACAGCAGTCCACAAACGAAAGACACTTACACTCACCCTGTTGACTGTGAAAATGAGCCCTCCTGCTCTGCACCTGCTGCACCACAAACACACACTCATACACACAAAGACACAAAGACACACGGTCACCTGCTAGTCCTTCAAACAAGTAACAAAAAGCAGAGCATTACAAGTGTCAGCTGGCTTTTTTTCAGTGATGTTAAATCTCCTGACTACCACAGATTTGCGTATTAGTGAGGCCAATAGCTTCATCATTTTGTTCTGTCCTCCTCTTCAGATGATCAGCCAATGGGAGTGGCTCGTCGGCCGTCCAGTGAGTTCCTCATGTGTGGAGGGTGAGTAAGACTCAAACTGGAAATGTAAAAATTTAGGTTTGTTATCATCTATCATCACACACACACACACACACACACACACACACACACACACACACACACACACACACACACACACACACACACACACACACACACACACACACTCACAACTGTGAACAAACCACACCACACCACACCAACTGCTTTCCTCTCTTTATACACACAGCAGTGTACTTCAGCTATCAGCTGTACTTTCTACGAAACCTCCCAAATATCAAATCTTGATTTAAAATCTCTCACAGTATTTCATTACCACAACTGGTGATCCAGTGTATATGTGGCCTGTTGATGATGTAGCAGCTGAAGGGAAAATGGCATTGCTTAACCAACAAAACAGAAACTGTATGTTTTATTTCTTGAATGAGTTGAAGCTAGATCAGCATTTAATATGTGTCTATAAATGGTTACTTTTATTGAGCTCCTCTGAAACTCGTAAAAAATTAAGTAAAAACTTTTTTTTTAAAGAGCCTGACTGAAGTATGCTGGCTGATCACCTGCAGCAGAGCATGTGTTGGGTACTGCAGGGAGGGGCAGAGAACAACCAGAGGTTGTCTAGTTCATCTGCAGATTGAAATCTCATGTGAATAAGAGACAAAATGTGCAGATACTTGGTGTGTATTCTTCCGAATTAAAAATATACTTGGGCGGTCTGCCCGGGGACTGTCGATGCGTGGGGAACACTGAAGAACCATTTCTTCTAAATATTTTTGGATCTAAAGACTATCAGGCAAAAAGATTTTTTTTAAACTCCAAACAGCAGATGCAAAGTTATTTTTAATCTTTATTAGTTTTTTTTAAAAACCAGAAAGTACCGTTACTCTACTAGTCTCTACAATGAAATATTTGTTGTTAATTCCCACAAAAGGACACAACACTGTTCAAGAAATTTACTTTGAGCACCACAAAGTGTTGGTGTGTTTAAATATCAACACATTTTCTGATATAATTAAAAGATGGTAAAATGATTAATGTTGTGACTGAGTATAGTTTAGACAGAGAGCTGAGAGACTGACAAAGACTGAGCTACTCTGGCTGAGCAGAGATGAGCTTGACTTTAATCTCCACCTTGACAACTTAAAAGTCTACCTAAACACATATAACTTTTCACACTAGTCACTGTCATGATAATAAACCAAAATCAAAGTTTACATTCAAAATCAACATAGAAGTCTGTCTTTTTAATCCAGGTAAAAAAAAAACATGTTTGGTTGTTTTGAAAAGGAGCCCTGCAGGGTTCATGGAGTATGAGCTGGATGTTGACAGCCACAAGAGCAGAAAATAGACCGACTTTGTAGTTGAAGTGTGACTAGAAGCTGTGACTCCGATTCCTTTTCACACACAGCCTGGAGTTCAAGTGTGTGTGTGTCCAAGGCTGTGTCACCTATTTTTCATGTGTTTTCGTGTCAAAGAGGCTTTATTTGTTTCTGACCACCTGAAAAACACCCTCATCTCAGCGCCACACCAGATATGGCACACAGTCACTGTCCATTTGTCACGAGTGAATCCTCTCTCCCACCTTCAAATCTGCATGATTAGTGAGTAATGATTCAGAGGCAGAGTCAAACAACAAGGTGGAGCTGTGCTAAATAAATCACCTGACACTGCGAGGGCTGCAGGCTATGAATAGACTCTTAACACACATATGCTAAAAATGGCCCCCAATAACAGTGTGAATGTTATTACTGAGCTTCAGCTGTGTTTGAAGACTCATAAACGTTCCCTCACATGATCAACCACATACAAACATGGCACCGTCGACTGACCTGTTTTTCTGCAGCTATAAATCCTGAGTCTAGTTTCTGTTCATCACAGCTAAAAATAATTGGACTCAGTTTCATGTAGCTTATCCTACACTTTTCAGTTCCCCTTTTTCATCTGTCCCTCCATCTCTTGCTGCAGATTCTAGATAGGTCTTGATCTGTGTGCAGGCTCTTGTGTCTATTTTTTAGCCTTGAGTTTTATTGACCAATTAAGTTTCAGCAGGCTTTGATGTGTACAAAAAAAATGCCCTCCATGCACGTATGGAGGGCAAAAGCAGGCAGAACACAATCCACCATAAAGACAGCCGGGCTCCTGTCAAGAGGCTGCTGTTGTTGTCAATCTAACAAGTAGTTGATCTCTATGATCAGAAATCTATCTGTCAGGCTCAGATGGTGGTCTGTTTTTAATTATGTCTTGTGGTCATTATCTTCAGTTAAAGGAATATTCCGGCATAAAATTAAGTTAGGGTCAAACACACCGTAACACTGAGTTAGACACCTCCTCGAGAGATGAATGTTGCCGACTGCTTGCTTCTCTAGTTATACTAACTTTAGTAATAACCACACAATAGCAATACACAGCGGTCTATGTCTCCATGCGCACACTTTAACTTAAAAGCCACTCTACAGGCACAAATTATGCTCACAGAGTGCAGCGAAGTTTCGCAGCTCAAGGAAGAACATTTATGATCATTACTTCAGAGTTGCAAACAGACTGAGACGCTAAGGCAGAAAAGCTACCGCGTCTGCAGTGTAAAATGATTATTTTGATGATTATTACTTCAAGGAAATGATCCGCTGCACGTGGTGAGTACAAACTTTTGACCCTGACTGTACCTGGACTTTTTCCACCAATACTCTAATTCATGAATATTCACTCAGAGCAGATCAGAGTGGATGATGGAGTGAAGAGAGACATAAGGGGGTTGATTTAAATTATTCAAGATTGAAGAGTGTTTTCAGGGGAACAGTGTAGATTTCCACACATCTGTTCACTCACACGTTGCTTTGATATAGATGACAAAAGTGTCGTTTTAGAGCAGCTAGCTGTAGCTTTGTCCGTCATCACACTAATAACATGACAACACAGTGGCTTTCACAACATGCTTTTGAAGTCATGTCCTGCCTCTAAAGACTCATCTTCCTCCATGCCTACATCACCTGCTTCATATGACAATGACATGAAAATTTCACACTGTGAGGGAGGTGAGGAAAATTTCATCGACAGAGCTCCTGAAAATTCTAGAAATTTTCAGAAGCACAGATGTGAAAGCAGCTAACCTTGACCCACTAGGGAAAACCTTTTATTTTTCTTATTCTTAGTATCACACACCCACTGTCAGGCCAACCTTTCCCAGGAAAAAACTACAAGCAGCATCCTTCACTCAGCAGTGGTTCAGAGAGTAGGAGGAAGGGGTGAGCTGTTTCCTCAACGCTGTTCCGAAGAAACATTTTTTTAATCGTTAAACAAACATGAAAATCACCAAAATGATGAAAAAACAACCAGAGCAAACCGAGCGGTGTTGGATCAGAGAAATTTCCAGCAGTAATCCCTATAGCCTCAACCGCTTTCTACAGGCCCCAACTCCTGCAAACAGTAAAACTGAAATGTTAAAACTTGCTTGTGTCTGCCACCCTTTGTTCTTCCTCCCCCTCCCTCTATAGAAAACCTGCAGCCAGACAGCCCTTTACACTACTTCCACCCTCTTGCTTCAATGTTTGCACGCCGCCTCGAGCAAAACAGTTTCCCTTTCCGTGACACTCAGTCTGTTTGGCCTTTGTTTCTGCTCGGTCTTGTCCTCGTCTAACCGTTAGGGCTGTCGGCTTTACTCCCTCCCTCTCTCTCTGCTCGTCTTTTTTTTTCCCACTGTGGCGATAACTCTTTTTACTGCATACATAAATTAGTTAACAAGTGACTATAAGAGGAACCGTTTTTTAATCCGTTACATAGGCATCCCTTGTATTTCCGTAGCACTACTCACACTCTCAGAGAGCTCCTAAATCAAAGCCTTGTTTACCCTCAGTGCCCCGTGTGTCCTCAGTTGATTGCAGTTGAGAAGGGAGAGAGATAAAATGAAGAAGGGAGGAGAAGATTGTGTGGGCTGGTGGATATGGAGAGGAGAAAGCGATTGATTTCAACAAGGATGGAGACATAACTTGAGTCAAAAAAAGCAAGATTAAAGAGGAGGAGTAAGAAATGTCAAATGATAATAAAGAAAGAGGCTGGTGTGGTTTGATCCCATCCCCCTTTCCTGGTGTGCTGGGTACAAATCAGGTCAGTATGGAGGCGACTGACTTGCAGATCTCTCTCCTCTTTACACTCTTCTATAAAGCAGCTGACCTACAAATTCTCTCTTTTGAGCTTGGACAATATTCTCCTCCATATTGAACCTCACTCTGGATCAATAATGCTTTTAGCAACCTGGAGGAAGCTGGAGAGCCTTAGTCATGTGTTTCTGTATCAGATGTCTTCAAAGAGAATATCAGCATGTGATTTTTCATCTCTATATCCAACAAAGAAACTGCTGTCTGCCTCTTTGTCTGTACTAGTCTCTACCTCACGTGTCCTTCACTCTCTCCCCCTTAGACCCTCCCAGGCTTCACATCATTACGTAAGAGTGGTTTCCAACTGGTGCCGCTCTCTTAACGGCCATTTCCCCCACTCCTCCTCTTTTTTTTTCTCTTTGTATGTAAAGCTGAATCTTGCTGTGGGTGACTCGGTCATGACTCTGGCGATCGAGAACATTTTGTCTCCTCTGGTTTAACAAAAGAATGCAAATGAGCTGTGTCTCTTTGCACTTCCCTTTCTCTTTCTGTTGAACACAAGAGGACGTGCCTCACACGTGCCATTGGCTGTGACCGCCTCTCGCCCTGCCTTCTGCAAATGAGCTGTGAGCTGATTGGTGCTGCGTCTATGTTTACATGGTAGCCCGGCCCCCCTTTTTTTTTTCTAACCCACTGACTCTGCCCTCATGTGCAGCAAAGCTAAACTTAAGTTGCTCAACCTGCCTCCACAGCGGAGGAAATAAAGAACTGGAGGCTGCAGAAACAAACTCGACGTTGCAGAGTAGCTTTTGTTTTCATACAGCAGCTTTTTAGTGTTTCAGCTTCATGTTATGGGCGTTGATACCCCTGAAGACGTCCTGCACGCATGGAAACACCAGCAACAGCCTTCAGCAGAGTTGATAACTGCCTTCGTCTACCCGTTTTTGCCCTCCAGGCAGCCTCAGCCCACCTCAGGACAGACCCCCATGGTGTCCCCACGGGCTGAGACCACCCCTATCCCAGTTCCCACTCAGATCCGCAACTACCAGCGCATCAAGCAGAACCTCTCCAGCAGCCCCACCACCACCTTGTACAGCTCTCCGAGGTAAGAGTTTCATTTTCCGGGTCTGAGGGTCGAAGTGGGGCTTGTTATCCTGCAACACTGAGTGATTTATAATAGAAACACTTTGAAATGAGCATGGGACTCATCTTGTGACGCATGTTTATATCCTCATTCTAGTCACTTTTTTCTCCTGGTTAGTTTTAGAAACTCAGACTTCTGTTTCATCAGCCGTAAAGTTTCACATTAGTTACATCAGCTGGATTTTGTGACCTCCAAACTGCAGGGAGTTTTCGTTGGCAGCTTTATGTGAAGACAATGCAGATTGGAGGGCAGAGGAAGAAAGAAGGAAGGGTGGCACCTTGTTTTACAGGAAGAATAGCTCTGCCGTTTTTATTTACGGTCGTTTACCTGAAAAGAGAGAGCTATTATGGGCTCTATTATATTGCTAATGTGGTGATTATTGCAAAGATTTACAATATAAGCTCCTGTGTTGACTTCTATTCAGCTAATAGTTTTCTAGCTTGATAAATTACAATTGAATTTATCCCGTGGTGATTCTCTTAAGCACTTCTGGAGCTTAGAGGGAAGGTCAGGTCTGCTCAGCTGTCCTATTTTCAATTGTCTTATCACTTAGTTCAGGTAGGGTTAGAGCTCTGACACTCTGTCCCTTTGACTCCTTAGAAGCTGGACTCAAAAAAGTCTCAGTAACTACACAATGTCTCACAAAAGTATATGTGCAAAATTTGAATTTGTGTCAGTACTTGCAGCAGTGATGGTTTGTCTCTGCAGCCAGAGCTGTTTTTGCCAACTATCAAAACTGGCCGGTACTTCTCAGAGAGAGGTAGCAATTAAATACGAACTGTTGGAGTTTGTTTAGTTTTCAACTGGTTATGAAACAGTCTTTGTTTAATGCTGACACAGTATGACTTGCTAAAGCAAACCAAACCATCAGTTAGAAGACTGACTGGTTGTTTAAGATTTTTCTCATGCTTCTACGTGTTGGGCTGACTTTGAAGAATAAGATAAACAACAAGCAGACTGGAAGATATTTTGTTTACATTTTTTCTAAAAACGTTCACAGTGAGCAATTTCCTGAGAAAGGTAAAATGAGGCAGGACCAGAAATTTTCAGGCAGTCAAGAGTTAAGGGCTACCCTTTTGTCTAGAGAAACCACCATAATTGAGATCAAATCAGTTTCTCATAACTTAGTAATATCTAGTGGTTGTGTGGAGTCCTCGTCCCTGTGATTTATTTTGCAGCCCTTATGAACAAACTGGTACATCTTATCTCTTGACCTGCACTGAACCCTCTCTCTCAAAGTCTGGTCCTGTCTAAAAACATTCAGGTGTACAAGTTAGTGTGCAATCTTGCATGAGGAACACAAAACAAATTTTGTTTATCTCTTAGTGTGATTCCTGTCTGGCAGCAGTTATCAGCATCAATAATAGCAGTATATGTTCTTCCTGATGGTCTGGTTTCCTTTTGTGAGTCAAAAAGAGGAACATAATTTTACCGAGTTTGTTTCATAACAAGTTAAATAATCTTCACAACATATTTTGAAAGAGTGGGAACAAAAACAGTAAAACCTCAAGAAGAAAGCAGCAGGGTAGAAACGTTTTTGATGTGTTAAATGATCTTTTTATATCTTTGTGGAATAAATGATGTTTTTTGGACACTGCTTCCACTATTAGAGACAGGCGCCTGTTGTTAACTAAATAAATAAATCCTTATTGGATTCCTAGTTTACGAGAAATAGCCCCACTGAAATGTCAAATCTCCTTTTCAAGGAAGTGTGAGACAAACTCAGATGATGGTTCTGGCTCTGCTGACATTGAACACCAGTTTCACATAGTTTGTCCACAGGCTCTGTGATCCCCTGTTTATTTGTGCTGAAAAAGCTCAAATAAATTTCACCATTCTGGTTGTTTTCTAACTTCTATACAAGCTAAATTAAGTCTATTCTCATACAAGTTTTGATTATCTCTTTGTTTCCTAGATCTGGCACAGTTCGGCGCTCAAACACAAGTCCTATGGGTTTCCCCAAGGTTGGCTCGGGGTCTCCCAGCTCCGCAGATGTCCCCCAGACAGTTGGAAGGCGTCTTTCTACCGGCAGCTCCCGGCCCTACTCTCCCTCACCTCTAGGTAAGAACATGTCTGGACATATCCCGGAGCTTTCTAATAACACTGCGCAGACAGGATTTGAAATGACTTGTGTTTGTGTTTACAGTCGGGACAATCCCTGAGCAGCTGGGTCACTGCTGCTGTCACCTACAGAACCATGAACCTCGCAGCCGCAGCTCTTCAGGAGGTCAGTCCACACCCAAAACTAACCCACATTTAATTATGCCAACTCCTTATTCTTACATCAGACTAATAATCCTGGCATTACAAAACTTTGCTGCAGGCAGGAGTCTTTGTTTTGATTCTCTCCTGTGTGTCATGACTTCATTATCCACGAAGTGCATGAGTCAGTCACTGAGTCAAGGCCTTTTTTCGAACGTCGCGATGCTGTTTTTTTTTTTTTTATGAGCTTCGCAAACGTCTCACAACTTCTTCACTGTTTGTGTCAAGAGGTTTGCTGTCATGGTGACCGTGATTTAAAAGAGGGAAGCTGCAGAGCACACAGTGTCTGAACTGAAGCCTGAAACAGATCGTGAACAGCACTTTACAGTCTTAAACAAGCAAGCAGATTTAAAGACCGGCGCTGAGTCTGTGTGAGAAGTCACAGCACATGTTATGAAAGTGTTACAAGTAGCATGACTCCCTGATGCTATTTCTGCTCCTGGACAAATGAGTCATGGAGTTATGTCGCCTCTGATTTGCAAGGGATAATTGAAACAGTTCATGATGAGTCCTCATCAATACTTCATGAGCTGCTCATTTGCAAAGGAAAATTCTTTTATCTAAAAAAACTTTGCTTTTCCTAATTTGAGTACAAAAAAATGTTTATTGGTCCAGCAGACTTCTTTAGCTGACAGTCTGGCTGTTTTGGCAGCTACATAACCCCTTTTGGGTTAAGGCACTTCATTGGTGTCACACAATTTTGACACCAGTACGACCACATAGTTACTTTAAGTCTCTGCCAACATTAAGAAACAGATACCCACCAACACTGAGGATTGTAGGTTCCATTTCAAACGTGAAACAACCACCACATTGGAGTTGATCGTACAGACGACTAAACTGGAGTTGCTGGATCACAGTTGCCTTGATGAGTCAGCTTGTTTGTGTTGTTCCTTTGCTTTAGTAAGTTCAGATCAAACATATGGGCGGGATACAGTCCTCTGTAAGTGAATATATACCGACTGTTACAGATAGCAATTTCCAAGCAGCCCCTCATTGATCTTTGAGCTCCAAATCACTGTTTTTAATGGAGCCTGGTGGCTTTGAAGGAAGCTGGCTCTGGCTGCAGTAAAGACATCAAGCCTCATTTATCAAGATCTTAAACTTGGTGTTCTAGAAGGTTTCTAAGACAAGTCTATTGTATGCCTGCTGCCTGCAGCAAGTGTTGATGCTATTTTCTACTTCACACGCTTGTCGTTTTTATGCCCACGTTGTGTAAATAGCGAGTGAACTAGCACCCACTTGAGAGACTGTGGGTGTGTTGGTCTTAAATGAGGTGTGACCAGGTCTGTTGCTATCTAGGGGGGACAGCATTCGGGCCTTGGACCAACAATAACGCGATTTAAGTGTAGAATGAGTGGCATAGTACTTTCCTGATATTTAGAGGGCACATAAGTGAGACAGTTGGATGAGCAAAGGAGTTAAGAAGTGCATTCATCTGCTTTTTACACACATACAGAAAAACTAAGCAGTGCTACTACACATAGTAAAAAAATCAGTGCACTTCCAGCTCACACTTGGAGGCAAGTTAGAAGTTTACCTAGACTGTGTTTCCTGTCTTAAGTTGCAGTTAACAGCATACTGCGCTAAAGACATCCAAGTGCAAACACACCCCTAAACTTGTAGTATGATTGAGGCCATCAGAGCAGTGTTGCAGCTATTACAAGCTGTTTCCTTTTTTTCAACAGCTGTAAAAACAAACCACTGAACCACAAAAAGCTTCTCGAAACCTTTCAGTGTTTTCTTAAACTTGCACAGATTCTCATCCAGTTTTTTCCTCTTCTCCAGGTTCCCCCGTCCCATCGTCTCAACTCTTGGGAGCTCGGTTACAAAGCGCCCCCACCCTGACTGACGTCTACCAGACGCGGCAGAAGCTCCACAAGCAGTTATCAGATCCTCTCCAGCCCTCTTCGTCCTCCTCTTCCTGCAGCCATTCCCCACAGCTCGGCAGACCGGCCAATCTCGGCTCATCCCCCACAAAGCTCCTGGGCTCCTCCCCACGCACGTCCGACTGGCTGCAGAAGTCCCCGCTGCCCACCATCATTGGCTCCCCTACTAAGGTTAGTGCAGAGATGAATGAATCTGCAGGTTGATCATGTGAAAAAAATAAATAGTAGTTGCTTAAGGTCCTGTTTGACTTTTTTTCACTTTCAGACCATTTCGGCACCCTTCAAGATCCCCAAAACGCAGGCGTCTTGCAACTTGATGGCACTAGCTGACAGTCCTGTGCCCACCAAGACCCTGGCAGATGCCCGGGATATCTGTGCCCACCACTGCAGCCCCTACCTCAGTGGACGCCCAGCTCCCCCCGAGGCCAGTAGGACCTTTGGCAGGTTGGTTTCTTTCCCTCATCTCTGCTTCCACTTCACATAAAGCACTCAGTGATGTGATGGTACATTTCAGTCATAGAGATTTCTAAAGCTGTACAGTCTTTGGACTGTGGGGCACTAACCCCACACACAAGTCTATTGAATAGTAATGTTAAATCTGAATGATGTGAAAACTACGTAAATAATGTGAAAAGTCAAGGTCCTGCGTCCGTCTCTCAACTATGTGATGTCATCGTTCTGCTGTTTGACTTTGTGCTGACGTTATCTGATGCTCCTCTGCAGGTCAGTCAGTACAGGCCGTCTGTCTGAACAGCCAATCAGAATCACTCTGGGAGGCCAGGCCTATCAGGGCAGCACTGACAGCTTGAACACGGAGCGGCCGATGGACACAGGTACATCTACAAACTGTACACAGAGAATAAAAGACAAAGACTCCATTATTAAGACAACAAGACTAAAAAACATATAGGATAGATACAGTATATATAGATTATTCATGACAATAAACCATCTTGGGCTTCTTCCCAGGCTGTAGAAACAACATAAAAGCAACATAAAGAAATTAACAAATTCATATGTGAAGTTGTAATGTCTTTGATAAGATTTCGTTTCTCAAGATGAAATTAAGAGCTAAGTGTCCTCGTCTCACAGCCCCTGCAGGTCCAAGTGGGCTGGTTCAAGGAGGGTCTGCAAGTCCCCGTACGGTCCTTTTCACTGTGGGTTCACCACCCAACAGCAGCACTCCTCCCACCTGTAGCCATCTGGGCACACGACCACGCACCACCTCAGGTAAGGACCCTCCACTGACAATGAGCTGGTTGCTTGCAAATTAGCTGTAAAACAAAACTCATTTTTCCTGCGTTAAGTTCTTCGTGACTGGTGTCCTGGTGTTATTTACTGGATGTTTTTACTGGAACTGGTAAAGAAAGAAAGTTCAAACCTGAGATTCTATAAATGTGTGGATTCTGATTCTATGAGATATTTTGGTAGACAAAAAGATCTTTGTGTTAGTCTACAATCATTATTCGTACCTATTGGTCAATTATGTTGAAACATCACTTATCGGCACTTATCTCTGGATTCTTGGTCCTCCCCACAGTGGGCTCCAGCAGTTCAGGTGGCTCCCTCTGCTCCACCAGTGGTCGGGTCTTTGTTGGATCTCCTCCTGGTATGGCCATGGGTTCCTCTCCTCCTGGAGGATACAGTGGTGGTCAGATTGGCACCGGGGCCGAGGGGGCACCCAGCAGCCTGCGCTACGTCCCCTATGGGACCTCTCCTCCCAGCCTGGAGGGTTTCATCACATTTGAAGCTCCTGAGCTGCCTGAGGAGACTCTCATGGAGGTGAGGGCTGTTTGGCACCTATTGCTCATGTTTATAATAGAAATCAAATGCCCTGAAGGTTACTCAGAGTTAGTTTTATGAAGTAAAATCATTGTTATTTTTTCAGCGTGAGCACACGGACACCCTGATGTACCTGCGGATGATGCTTTCGTTCACTGACTGTGTCCTGGAGATGGCAGCAGTCCGAGCAGGAGGAACAGAGCTTGGCGTGTCGGCCGCCTCTATATACCCTCCTCAGGACAGCGTGGTTGTGGACCAGATCAGCCAGCTCAGCAAAGAGTGGGGGTAAGGAATCACTGCATATAGAGCTCTTCATGGGTCAGAAATCATGGGTTTATATTGTATCCAGTGACGTGTGTTTAAAGATTTTATGTGGTATATATCCTTTTACGATTGGGGGCACTCTCATTCGCTTCCTGGCTTAGGTTCATAACATTAGATAAAAGACACGGTGCTCATCCCTTTTACTTTCATGTATGTGTCATAAATTTGGCTCTAAATGTGAAGGGGTTGCTGGGACATGTATGTCTTGAGTAAGCAAACCCAACCTATTGAACCAGACCCAGGAAAACCTGTGTTTTCCTCCAGTCTCATGCTGTCTGGGTCATCTGTTGTTCTGTGCTGTTGCTGCAGTGTTTAAACTTCTCCATCAGTGCCATAAACTGTGCTTGTGCTGCCCCCTACAGGCAGGTGGAGCAGCTGGTGCTCTACATGAAGGCTGCACAGCTTCTCGCTTCCTCACTCCATCTGGCTAAAGCTCAGATCAAATCAGCCAAACTCAATCCCTCCACTGCAGTCAAACAAGGTAAGACATTTTCAATATTTGACTTTTTAAACAATTTGTTTCCTGCGAGGTAACTCATCCCCGTCTTCATCATCTTCTTTCAGTGGTGAAGAGTCTGAATGATCGGTACAAAAGCTGCATCTCCCTCTGCCGGCGGCTGACTGACAAACTGAACCACTTCTTCTCTGATAAGCAGCGATTTGTTGATGAGATCAACAGCGTGACCGCGGAGAAGCTCATCTACAATCACGCTGTGGAGATGGTAGGTCCTCAGAGTGCACAGGCTGATTGATTCTTCTGAATTCCAGCAGATCAGGAGCTGTTCCAGTGAAATGCAGCTATGACCTGCATTGGCCAGCCTAATATGATCCTGTGTGTGTGTGTGTCAGGTTCAGTCAGCAGCTCTGGATGAGATGTTCAAGCAGACTGAAGATATTGCGTACCGCTACAGTAAGGCCGCCATGCTGCTGGACGGTCTTTCCAAGATCCTGCAGGACCCCACTGACATTGAGAACGTGGTCAAATGTGAGTACTATTAAATTTTCAGGGTTAGGCTGACCTTAAACTTTCAAGTGCATGTGTGAATAGAGATACATTAATTAGCTTTCAATGATCTTTTTGGTGTGAAGTAGCACAGACTAAAAATGAGAACCTACACTTAACATCATCCGACTCCTGTAATCTATCCAGTGTTTGTGTCTTACATAAGTGTCTGTTTTGTGCTAACACATTCTTGTGTTGTGTATTTTCTCTGCAGACAAAGCCAGTGTGGACCGCAGGATCTCCGCCCTCTGCTACTGCACCGTCACACTGTACGAGTAGCAGCGTTCACACAAACAAACAAACAAACACACGGAGGGACCACAACCTGAGATCATCACTCTCTATTCTCACAGAGCCACTGGTCCCTCCTGTAGCAGTTCAAGCACTTTTTGTCCATCGATATTTATCATCAGATTTTTTTTTTTTTCTGGCTGCATCACAGACTGAAGTGTGACTGATGCACAAACTTCCAACCAAAGATGACGAACAGATCCAGGAACTGAAGGCTGAAACTGGATATGGACATGATGCACACCTTCTGGTGCAGTTTCTTTCTTACATTATGACAGTGGATCTGATCAACACATATAAATAGAAACTGAAGTCCATCATTCAGGATATCATTTGTTTTTTACCAGAAAAAAAGACTATGGATGAGACTTTGAGACATTTTGTGGGCTTCAAGAGTCTGGAGCTCCACATGAAGCAGTTCATCTTTTTTTAAAAATCCTGCTTACTCTGTGATATCAGTGATTATTTACTCTGCGTTTAAGTTGTTATTGTTCTTATTTATTGGTTCAGAAGAACGGGAGTGTTCCAGTCTCCTGCCTGTCTTGAAAACCTTTAGGATCAGAGTGGAAGGAAAAGGAAGAAATTAGCAAAAGATCTCTGTAACAGACCTCAAAGAAGATGAACTTTTACATAAAAACAAAAAAAAAAACTCCTGTTACAGAAACCAGACGGACGTGTTAGCAGAGAAACCTGTTGATTTTTCACTGCTTTGTTTTTATTTTCTGTGTCGTATCCGAAGCACTTTATTGCAGTATGTGGAGGAAGAGGAGGAGGAGGAGGAGGAGACAAGTATCTGTAACTAGCTCTGGGGGTAGAAATGTGAAGGTGGAGGGGGAAAGGCTTGCCAAATCCCTCCTCTTTAAAACTTACCTGCTCTGTGTGCATGACTAAAAACTAATCAGAATGCATACATTTCCCATGTGGCTGAGCAACCAGGGAAACAACTTGATGAGTTACCCGAATAATAAGTTTCATTTTACTAAAATACTACAGCTGTTTTTGTTCTGTCAGTATCTGTAGCTACTTTTTTTAACAAGACTTGATGTTTGCAAACCTGTATATATTTATAAATATGTGGTGCATGTGACAAGTCTCTCCTTTTTTGGAAGGAGGAGTGTGTGCGCGTGCGTGTGTGTGTGAGATTCGAGTTTTTTGGGGGGTTATTGATTAAGCCGTCAGCCTGTCAGTCAAAGAGCACAAATCTTTATATGTACATATGCGAATTTGATACAGTTTATTCATGTCTGCCAAGGGGGTTTGATAAGGCTAAAACATTTTTGGCACAACAGGAGTGTGCTAAAAACCTAACTAGAACTCGTGGCAGCTTCAAAACTTTCCAGAACACCTTTCTATCAGGACTGTTGAGATCAGTATACACGTATTCGTTCAGTAGGTCTGATGAAATTTTGTGAAATGAGCGTGATGTCATTTCAGGAAATTTTGTGAGACTTGATTCGTCAAATCTGCACTGCCTAACGTCCACTCTGTCCCTCTGCCTCCCCTCGATTGTCTGCTGTGCTCCTAACAGTGTATGTACTGTATGTATGTATGTATTGGTGTGTATTTATATATAAGATATACACATGAGCACTTGCCAGGTGTGCATTAAGGCCAGTAGTATCAGTCAATGATGGAATATAGGAGGTGCCTTCTTCTCATGAAAGCAGACGTGGGCCTACTCCTCTGTACAGGTGTGAATAAATTCTTTTTCAGTGTAAAAATGTGTACAAATGTATGGACAGGCACCCAGCAGCCTGTTTTTCTCTGATGTACTGTTCTTTTTCCTACACATATCTGGGTTTTTCAGTTACCCTCGTCTTCGTCATGAGCACTCTGAACCACACGAAGCCTTTTACTGCACACAGAGTGAAGAGGGAAGAATAAATCTGACGGAAATCTCACCTGAACCTTTGCTTATGTCTGTGGACTGTCTTAGAAAAAGCATGGGTCAAACTAAGTCTGCATTTTACCTTGTAGAACCTCTAGATTATTGAATGTATGTACCCTGTCATTTTATGCCTCTCCAGCTTGTTCTGAATGCATTTTGAAGAAGTCCTTCGTCGGTCACGATCCTGAAAATGCAACACTTTCCAAGCACCGATGTTTCAGAGAAATGTCAATGTTGTGTCTCTCACAAAGGTGTGTCTCTCTCTTTGTTCTTTATGGAACATGAAAACAGTCTTTGTTATTAAAAGAGGAAAAATAAAGATGTCTTCCTTGGTAATCCTTTATTCTCTTTTAGGGCTGTCAAATGACCAACTTCAAAATCACCTTGATTGCTGAATTAAAACAGCTGCATTTTAAATCACATTTAAAACCCTAATCGATATTAACTTCAGCAAATCTAGGCATCTATATCTTCAAATCAGTTGAGTGCAATGAAATGTGCTTTATAATTTTGACCTTATTTGAAGAAATGCTCCACTGCTACACCAATGTGCTCTGAAACCATGAGTCTGAGGTAAAAAAATACCTCAAAGTATGTCACGGGTCTGTGGCAATTTTTTTAACTCAAAAACTGCTTTTGCTGCTGTTGCTTTCTGCACCTGTATGCGCAGCTCAAAGATAGCTCAGACTTGAAATTAGTGATGGTTAAATTCCCTTTTCACACAAGGTGCATGGTTGTTTTTGACTAGTCAACTCAGTAGTTTGAGACTTTTTTTGGTGTAATGTGAAATCCAAGACGATCATCTTGTACTGGTGTTATTTTCCATCATGGCAGCAGGAAAATTCTCCAGTTACTTAACTGTGACAATAACACTTGTGATTATATAAGAATAATTCTGAAGCTACTGACTTTAATCCCAGTGTTTGTAAGAAAGTCCTCTCATCGCAGTAAGGTCACTAAAAGCCCAGAGATAAATTGTATCTGACAGTTAAAGATAAATTATTGAAGATTCAGACTTTTTTATCTTCAAAATATTCAATGATTTCAATTTGATTAATTCATTTTTGAAATCATAATTTGGTCAATTGTCTCATTATTTTAACCTTTTGTTTCATATTTAGACTTTATTGCATTGCTGTAATTTAATGTCATATAAATAGCTATCATCATATCATCATAATTTTGCCATTTTATCTTGTAAAATAGGCTTTCTCTATCATCATTTATTGTTTCCAGTTTTGACTTATAATCAGAAAATTTAGACTTTTCCCTCCTCTTATGTTATTTCCAAATTTTCAATATTTCTTCATACTCTAGACCTTATACATTTCAAATTTAATTCTTCATTTATATGTTACCCGAGCCAACTTTTTAATTTGGACTATTTATCCTATGACTTTGACTTTTTCTCGAATCATTACTTAAAGGGATAAGAAAAAGTGTTGTTCGACAAAAACTCAAAAATTACAAATAAAATAAAATATGTTCCAGTGCGTAAGGTGGGAAACAACAATTATTCAGATCAAACCCTAAAAATAATGTTAGCTATAGTGTTTGTGTCACATTTGTCTGGGACAAACTGACAAAAAGCTTGGGATGTTTTGATTTTAATATTATATATGAGTAAGTTTGGAAAGCATAGACGGAATGTTGTACAAATTGAATGTCATTTAATCATTTAATGTGCAACAGAATACCAGGTTATAACTTAGCTCATACATCCATTTGCTTAAGGTGGTGAATACCTGAAATACCCGTGCTCCTCCTCTGCCGCCTGGGGCGATGTTTTCGTTGTTGTTACATTAGAAGGAGGAGCGTCTGTAGATTCTTTTCTGTAGCTGATTGGTTCTTGCTTTGATTGACATTTTATCAGACCAATTGCTCAAGCTGTACACGAATCTCTGTTCAGGGTGCATAGAAAAAAAATGGTAATTTTAATTTTCAATCAGAAAAAATATAATGTAAGGCACATTCTTATCAGAAAAAGAACTTACATTATGGAATATTCAAGTGGCAGACACACCGCATCATTAGTCATCACGTAATAATGAACAAAAAATGTTGGTCAAAATTACCTTTTTATTCACCCTTTTGTTCACCATTTTAAACTATTTTTTTGTTTGCAGTTATTAGTGGAATGTTAGCTTTTATTTTCTATTCAGGAACATAAGTCTAAATGAGTCATGCGCAATTATCCTACCAAACCTTGCGGCAATGTTTTACTTGCGCAACAATTTAAATATCCTCAAGTCGCTGAAGTTTCAGAAAATCCAAGGAGCACCTGAATGCAGCAGTACTCGTTACCGCTAGCTGCCAGCATTAACATCTCAGGCTAAAGCGACTCAGCGGCTCTGAAAGGTAAAGTAGTGCTTTGTTTTAGGGTCGTTTTCTGTATTTACTTTGATGCGTAGCTCATATTTGCTCTTAAATTTGTTTTATATCAGCCTTTGACGACAGTCTGCAATGACATCACTGCTATTAGCAACAATGCTAAACAGAGGTTGCGTGAGTTGAATGCAGTTATGTAAGGATAGTGTCAGTACTACAAAGTTACAAAGTTTTAGTGACAACTCCTTGAACTAATGTGCTATTCATCAATAATAGACAGCATCTCTATTATTTCCTTGAAAGTCCAGTTAAGCCTGTATTTGTTAAAAGGAAATCCTGAGGTAGTCATACAGGAACATTCAGCTGATCTGTGTTATTTATGTTGTACATCATTAATGTTCTTAGGTAGGGGCAGGGGCGCGTCCAACGTCTTCTTTAAAAGGGTCACAGCAAGTGAAAAGGCACCCCTTTAAAGGAATAATCCCAAAAGTATTCGCACTATTAAGTGTGTGTACTTTATGTTTTTCTTGAGGGATCAAAAGAGTGCTTTACTTAAACTAACAAAGAACACTGCAAACACAATTTTAAAAAAGGAAAGAAAATACCCAAAACAACACAAGAATTTAGTAGCAGCTGAACTCCAGAATGAATCTAGCATTGAATATCATTAATAAACAAGACAGTGAATATATACTTTTACTATTAAAGATGTCCCGAGAAGAGCTAGTGGTGCAGCGGGCCAGAAAGTCCTTCCAGACCGGGAAAACCAAACCTCTGGAGTTCAGGATCCACCAGTTGAAGAGTCTCCTGCGCCTCATCACAGAGAGACGAGGGGACATCGCAGAGGCTGTCAAAAATGACCTTGGCAAGGTGAAAAAAGTGTAACTGTCTTGTTACTAAATTCATGTCAACCACTATTGTCCAAAAGCCACAGAGAGGTTGAACTGGTTCCAGATGTGTGTTTGGGGAATAGCCACAAATCATAGTCAGATTGTTGGTCATTGTGTGATCCATTCATTCACAAGTCCAAATATAAATGTCTGCTAACCTCTTACTAAGTGCGAATAAGATAAGCTCAAACTAAACTCTGAAGATATTCCACATGGACATGGTTGAGATTGGTTGCTGTCTTGTGTGTTGCACAAACTTGTGTGTTTCATGGCACTTTCTCTTAAATTTACCCTAGAGGACAGTAAAAGGGATATTCCGGCGTAAAATTAATTTAGGGTTAAACACACCGTAACACTGAGTTAGACACCCCCTCGAGAGATGTATTTTGCTGACTGCTTGCTTCTCTAGTTATACCAACTTTAGTAACAACTGCAGATAACAGCAGTCTAAGGAGCCATAAACAAACCTCAACCAATAAGCCACTTTATAGCCACAATAATGCTCAGAACAGCACCTAACTTCATCAACAGTACATGTAGGGTCCCAGCCATAGTACTAGCCACCAAACATCTTTTCAACTTTGCCTGATTTCTTTGACAAAGAGACTAAACACAACTCACCTACTCTCTTTCAGCAGACGCTTGTTTGTAGCGGGGTGACGCAGCTCAAGGAAGAACATTTATGATCATTTCTTCATAGAAATGCAATCAGACCACGTCTGCAGTGCAAAATTATAAATATGATGATTATTACTCCAAGCAAATGATAAAGTAATGATCATAGATGTTCTTCCTTGAGCTGCGTCACCCCGCAGCAGTCCGTAATGGACTGGCCTGAGGTCTTGCTACAAACAAGCAGCTCCTGGAAGAGAGTAGGTGAGTTGTGTTTCATCTAAAGAAATTGCTAAAGGAATTGGGCAAAGTTAGAAAAATATTTGGTGGCTAGTGCTGTGGCTGGGACCCTATATGTACTGTTAATGAAGTTAGGTGCTGTTCTGAGCATTATATGTGACTATAGAGTGGCTTTTTGGTTGAGGTTTGTTTATGGCTCCTCAGACCGCTGTGTATTGCTATCCTGTGGTCGTTACTAAAGTTGGTATAACTAGAGAAGCAAACAGTTGGCAACATTCATCTCTAGAGGGGGTGTCTAACTCGGTGTTATGGTGTGTTTGACCCTAAATTAATTTTACGCCGGATTATCCCATAAGTATGTCTAATGAAATGTATGTATATTGATGCACGTCTTAGAGTAGGATCTAGAGAGAAAACAAACATCATGTGTATGTGCTACAAATTGCTTCAGGTCTGGTTTGACACAGGTGCTGACATGCAGTGCTCGAGGCAATGCATAGAATGTTGCACATGACTTCAAAATTGCGTTATAGTGTTATACAAGGTTAATCTGACAAAAACAAATTATTTAGTTTATCTTTCTTACTAAGATGATGTGTAGAACAAAGCCATGTCAATGTAGGATCTTCTTTTTTTTTAATTACCTTTGTTATTGTTTCATATTTTCCACCACAGGGTCTTGCTTACAACCTGTAATCAACATTAAATGTTAACAAAACTTATATTTTGTCAATACTGTGTTGTGTCGTGTATGTTTCCACACAAAGGCAAAACTATCTTCTCTTGACTGAGTCAGCCTTTTCCATTAAATACATCACATTTAAATAAATTTACACACATATTGAACCTTAAAACTAAATAAAAATTACAGTTAACCCCTTTCGTTTGAAAATTGGTTGAGATATGTACTGAAATATCTTTAGGATGACACTTTGGCATGGGCTTCATCTTTGAGTAAATGTAGTACAACAACATGAATTGTGCAATGTTAAAAAAAATACCACAGAGAAATTTGTGAAATACCGTTTAGCCAGTAATCAGAGTGGCAGTTTAAATTTTTGTAATAATAATTCAAGCTCCTGATTGCTGATGAAAAAACTGTCTGAAATAAATACTGGCACCTCCCTATGAGCTTTGACGGCAAACCAGACTATCAACCTTTAGAGTTACTATTTCCACTATTTCTAGTATCAACTATTTCTGGTATTTGATCATGTCTGAATCTGCTGGTTTACTTGTTTTTAAAAATTTCCTCCAGAGTGAGAAGGGGACAGAGCTGTTTGAGACTATGGGGCTGGAGGGGGAGATCGAGCTTGCTGTGGATAAGTTAGCAGAGTGGGCGGCGCCTCGACCGGTTGAAAAGAACTTCCTCACCATAACAGATGAGGTTTACCTGCAGCCAGAGCCTTTGGGAGTGGTGCTCATCATCGGGACCTGGAACTACCCCTGGGCTGTCACCCTGCAGCCGCTGGTCGGAGCCATCGCAGCTGGTAATTAATAGTAGCTCAGCTTTACAGGTGTTGTTTGAGGTACACATCACAGCGATAGCATACCTATAGCCCTTGATAAAGAAAATACATGATATGCTAGAATGATTATGATAGTCTGTAATTTGCAGGACAATTCCTTAATATTGAACCATAATATAGGAATAACAATGAGTACAAACTGCTGTTAAAGGTAAAGTGATTTATGTTGTGACACAGTAAGTCATTATGCTATTATACTCTGATAAGCAACAGAGGCGCAACATGACATGTAATACTCAATGCTGCCCACAGAGGGCACTTATGTTACACATAAAAACAGCCACAAGGTAAGGCTGATGAGAACATTTTTGTGAGATTGTATTTATTGCTTAATCAACCTTCTTCTAATCTTATCTTAAATTAGATGTCATACATGCATTTGAGCAGTTTTAGGTGCTTATCTCTAAGCTGATCAGGATGCAGTGCAGCTTTCACTTATTAATCCTCTAAGACAACATGGATGACAACAGTTTAGTAGAAAGCTGCTTTTACTTACTTTGGTTTTCCTCATCAATTCAATAATAAAGGCTGTAACCCTGTCATGCCAACTTATGTGTCTCTTTTTTCAATTCTTCAGGTAATGCAGCGGTAATAAAGCCATCCGAGGTCAGCTCTCATTCTGCTAAAGCTATGCAGGAACTCCTGCCTCTGTATCTTGACAAAGTAAGCTCCTATCTCTCTGTTAAATATGACTCATTTACTCTCGCCACTTTTATCTACAGATACATTTAATGACTGCATGCTTATCTCTAACCCTGCAGGATCTATACCCAGTGGTGACTGGTGCAGTACCAGAGACCCAGGAGCTGCTGAAGCAGAGATTTGATCACATCTTCTACACAGGAAACACCATGGTGGGCAAACTGGTGATGGAGGCTGCAGCTAAACACCTGACTCCGGTCACTCTGGAGCTGGGAGGGAAGAGCCCCTGCTATATCGACAAGAGCTGTGACATCACTGTGGCATGCCGGTCAGTCTGTGGAACAACAGAATGATCCTGATCTGATCCTTTCTTCACAGATGGGCCCACAGTCTATCTATGTGCCTTCAATCTGAAAGCATACACATTAAATGAATATGACATAATAAGATGTATTCTTTTTAAACCCACATAGCCGCATCACATGGGGGAAGTTTGTAAACTGTGGTCAGACCTGCATCGCTCCAGATTACATCCTGTGTGAACCGTCCATCCAGAATAGAGTGGTAGAAGAGATCAAGGAATGCATCAAGGTGAGTTCGAAGTCAAGATTTTCACGTCAGCTATTTGTAAGATTGGAACATAACAGACTTATCAATAAAACAGACACCACAAATGAAGAAAAACAGCAGCATCATGTGAGGAAAAAAAGAGTCTGTAGGATGTCAATAACAACGAAATGACAACAATCTAAGATTTATTCTTCAACTACTTTATTGCAGGAATTTTACACAGAAAATCCAAAAACCTTTGAGGATTACGGGCGCATCATTAACCAGCGGCACTTTAATAGACTCGTGGGTTTGATGGAGGGGAGCACGGTGGCTGTCGGTGGAGACAGTGATGAATCCCAGTGCTACATAGGTACCTGAAGAGTTTGATATTCTATTCACAAAACCCTTTACTCCACACTTTAGACCACAGGACTTATCCAGCCATAGAAAGTAATATCTGTAAATTATAGCCTATACTCTTCAAATGCCTCTCTTCTTCCTGTCCTCTCAGCTCCTACCGTGTTAAAGGATGTGACGGCAGAATCCAAAGTGATGAAAGAAGAGATCTTTGGTCCCTTACTTCCCATCATCACAGTGAGCGGCGTAGATGAGGCCATCCAGTTCATCAACGAGAGAGAAAAACCTCTGGTTGTCTATGTCTTCTCCAATGAAAAGAGGGTAAACACATCACCTCCTGCAGACATGTTTTTCTCCTGAGAGGAGAATACATAAAAGGTTTTTAACAGGATTTAGGTTTGAAGTGGTAGTAATGATTTTAGACCATAGCATATGTTGATGACCAAACCTTTGCGGTAGCATTTCATCTGATTGTGTCAAAGAAAGAGAAAAAAGAAGCAAGAAAACAGTACAATAGGAACCAGATTTCAAACAATTTGAATTTGGCAAAAAAAACAATCACGATATATTTTGTCATATCATCTGATCTCTTCTATTATCATGATTTTTTTTTTTAAAATGCCAGTTTTAAAGCATCGTTACTAAAAACTAAAGAAAGTTGCTCTTATTTCTCGCGCAGCTCGACCTGGACATGTCTCTGTGTCCTCTACCCGTCCTGCTGCAGCTGCTGCTGCGGCGGCTGAACAGATGATTTGTTTCAGTGATCAAATGAGTTTATTATAATATTAAGTTTTGTGAGCCAAATAGGCACGAAAATAGAGCCCAGAGTATTAAAGAGATGGATCACTGAATGGAAATAAAGTCTAGAGTCAAGTCTAAAGAAGGAAAAACACTCAAAACGTATCACCTCTTCAACGTCGCTCAACACTCAAAAACTGGTCGTTTTTTTTTACACCTCATATGTGTTATGTTGCCGTGTGTGTAACTAAATAAAGAGCTCTGTTATAATCAATGAGGTACACATATAAGATCACAATCAGTCATCAGAACAACTACTAAGAATAGCTCTCCAAAATGATAAAAGTGGAATGGAGAATAACATGTTTAGGCTTTTAAACTGTGTTCTGTTGTCAATCAACCTTAAACAGCCTGTACACCGCCCACACACACTCTATGTGGTTCTTACTTAATAAAAACATTTTAGGTCGGTGAAATCAACATGTCAGCGTGCTCTGGTGAAAGTTTGTCACTTTGGTAACTACAAGAAACAAACTCACACAGCAGGTACAGAGGTGCAGGGACACAGAAAGAAAACAGAGTTTCAGTAAAATTTGTTACCGTTATATCTGTGGTTGTTAAAACAGCTCCTATGGATGTCTTTTTGTCTTTGTTATTTAGTAAAGTTCCAGTGAGGAACTTTTGGTTTGTGTCGATGTTGAAAAAAACATTTCCCTCACAATTTTTTCTGACTCTGGCTTTCTGGTGAACAGCTGATCAAAAGGGTGATAGCTGAGACGTCCAGTGGAGCTCTGCTGGCTAATGACTGTTTGGTTCACTTCACTGTCAGCGCTCTGCCCTTTGGAGGAGTCGGTGAGTGTTTCAGTAGTTCAATCAATCTTCAGCTTTTCAGCCTCCTCTATACTCACAGGAAAGAGTCTGACACACGCTCTGTCCTCCTCTCACTCAGGTAACAGTGGTATGGGCTGTTACCATGGCCGGCACAGCTTCGACCAGCTCAGCCACCTGCGCAGTTGTCTAATCAAGCAGCTGAAGATGGAAGGGGTGAACAGCATGCGTTACCCGCCTCACACTACCAAGAAGCTGGGTTGGGTTCGATTCTTCATGCTGAAGAGGGTGAATGTGGGAAGGCTGTGGCGTATGGTAATGCTCGCCACGTTGGTGGGTTTAGCAGCATTTGTGGTTCAGGTAAAAGAAGTGAAAAACGCTTGCCCAAAATCAGAAAGACTTTTTCAATTTATGAACTTTTTTCAGTTAAATCTCCCTGAAATAACCTCTGGATTCTAATCAAAGTGAAGTGCTGTCTTTGGGGAAAAAGTACTATGACACAAAAGGACACATCCCTCTGCAATTTGTACCATTAAAGTAGTTGCACTGTAATAAGAGACACAGCTTACTTGTTGGATAACAAAATTTGTTTTAAAAGAGGGTATGATGCTCCAGGTTTGATGGTATCAAGTGTCAGTGTGGGTTCCCCTTTAATGCATGAACTCTAGATAAGTTTAGGACAATAAAAAAGTAGGGCTGTGCAAAAATATGAATGAAGCAAAAATCAGCTCCCTGTCCACCATAAGATGCATTTAAGAGTTTCCTTAAATGGTGTGGCGCTTCAGTACATCTCCAAACTCCTGCAAGTCTACACTCCTGTCAGCTACTTCCTGTGGTCCCTAAGACCAGGCTAAAAACCAGGGGTGACCCTAACTGTGGAACAAGCTGCCCCCTCACATCAGACTGGCCCAAACCATACCAGTTTTTAAATCACTGAGGCCATTCCACCTTAACACCTAAGTGTGTTGACTTGTGAGGTCTCTATTTTCCTGGGTTTTTTAAATGTACTTTTATACTGAATATTTTGCAGTGCTCTTTGGGTTTTTTTTTGTTTTACTGATTGATTGAACTCAAATTTACAACCCAGACCATTCCTTTGATGTCTCAGTATCTCATCAGATAAAGTCTCTGTTCAGTATAAATGAGTGCTGGTAGATGAGGACAGCTGGTGGGGTTGATTTCTCCCAACATTCATGTTTCATGTACTGTTGAAAAAAAGCTTTGGTTCCTGATTTTTTGGAACACTTGCATGTTTACGAATATGATGGATGTTTACAGCTTTTTAAATAATGACAAATCCATTTTTCCCAAGAAACCCAGATATGAGCACTCCTCCTCCCCACATACCCACAATCCCACGGGACTGGACCTTCACACAACAATGGCTTTGTCTGCTGCAGACAATGTGTTGTGTTGTCCAGGAAATCTAGTCTCATAACGCCCCCTCATCTACCCTCCCTTTAATTACCCATCGTGCTTCGCTCTCCTCTGCTAAATGGCTCCTTTTGTTTGGGTCCACCCCACCACCTTTGTTGACGTGCACACTTGTTGCTGCTCCTGTGAACGGTTTAACTATCTGTTGTGTTTCTGATTGTTAGCTAACACTGAGTTTGTGTGTTTCTTTCAGAGGTTCTTTAGATGAAGATGAGGAGCTGAAGATGAAGGCCTGAGGTGGTACCTGCACAGGTGCAGGTCGCCTCTTGAAGAGTAATGAAACACACACACACCCGCCCTATGTGATTTAACCGTCCATATCATTTCTAAACCATCTTTTTTCTTATTTATGTCTTTTAAAGTATGTCTTTAACATTTCATTCTGTTGCAAATTAAGCTGTTATTGTAGTTTTTATTCTTTTATATGGATTTTATAGCATTTTAATCCGTTACATTTCAATTTAACTAAGTGAAAAATATAAATATTTAACTTCAAAATGAGAAAACACATCAGCACTGCTGGAGGTGTGTTTGATTCAATGATTAATTTAACGGACTAACCTGCACACAGAACATCTGTTCAGTTTAATACTCAAGCATGTTTAAGATGTTTGTTATAAAGTTACAGTTCTTGCATACTGAGCGCCATACTGAGCGCCATACCCTCTGCCATTAAACTCTCGTGAAAAAATGTCATTTTTGTCCATATTTCACTTTATTATGCTCTAAAGTTTAAGGATGAGGATGTAGGAAGATTACCGTAATAGAGAAATGAGATAGGTAGGGTTTTTAATTAATATTTTGTTCAGGTGTATTTTTAAAAAACGGCATTCAAGGTCAGTCTGCTCTTTTTTGTATTTTGTCTTCATCGCTCTTTTCACTTTTTAATCAGTTGTTCATTTTTTAGACTTTTGATCCTTTCTTTCTTTCTTTCTTTCTTTCTTTCTTTCTTTCTTTCTTTCTTTCTTTCTTTCTTTCTTTCTTTCTTCAGAACAGTTAATTGTTCAAATATAAAAATTTCCAAACTGCATAAAAAATTTAAACCTCGCCACTTTGTTTTCAATTTTCTGACTTTCCTTCTAAGATTTCTTTTAAGTTGTGCACCATGTTTTATTCCAAACTTTTCCTCTTTTTCAAAGACATTTTCCTCTTTTTTGTTTGTTGTTGACTGTTTGACTACATCTTATCATTGCCTTGTTTAACCTGGATCTCCACATTCTTTATGTAGTCTGGGTGTTTTAAATCAGTTCTTTAAATTTGGACTGCAGTGTTTGAATGTTAGTACCTTTCTTACTTTTCCTCTTCATCCTCGTCTTTTTGGAAAACATCAATATCCACCTATTAATTAAAGCCTGGACATTTTGAGTCTGTGCTGCACATTTGGTCAAAATAGCGTAAATTTTCATTAAATTTCAAAATTCCTCTTTATTCTCAACAAAAGTTTTTTTCTTTTGTGACTTTTGAGCACAAAACACCCATGCTTTACTTTAATCCCTATAAGTTCCTACGTAGATTTGTGACCTTGGAAAGTCAGCTATCCTTATCAGAATCATATTATTAACAAGCCCCAAAGGTCATTATACTTAAAAACAGGCTGTTGATAAGACATACTGAACTCAATAAGGACCCTGTAAAACAAATGAGGTCGGTTTATCATGATGATTAAACCTAACTGCCAGATCAGGTCTAAAATATTTATTGCATGATTTAGAAAAGGAGAGCAACAGCCTAGTAAGCTCCAACAGTCAACAGCAGAGGTCTATGATTTTGTTTTAAGGTGGTTCATTGAATGAACTGTTATTTTATATGACTGTATACTGTATGTGATATGTAAGTGTGTGTATGTGGGGAGGTGGGGTCTGCTGTTGTCAGTGCTCTCAGTGTTTGAGGTGGTCTGAATGAAGCTGCTGGTCTCAGTGTGTAATCTCTGTAAACTGATCCTGGAGCAGCCTGTAGGCTGAACTCTGCACAATAAGGTCAGTCAGTCAGTCAGTCAGTGAGTCTGCAGCGTGTCGGACATCTGAACCACTTTCAGATCAGATCAGTGACGGACTATTCGACCTGTTTTTAGCACACATTACCCTCTGGATGTTGGTTTACCTGACGTCAGGTGAGTTCACTTTTTATCCTTTTTTGTCCTGTAAAAACAAATTTAAAGTGACACAAATTCAGCAAAAGGATAAAATTGTGCAAATATGCAAATGTATTGAAAAAGTTAGGATGATCCAAAGGCCCCTCAACTGACAAGGGCTCTAAAAATATTCCAACTGTATTTGGACAGTGTTTAGTAAATAATGGCCTAACAGTACAGACCAATCAGGAAGTCTCTGTGACACTTTGGTAGACAACAGGAAAACTTACCTTAACTGTCTATTTATTACAGATATAATTTTAAAAATACAACTTATGCTACTTGTAGACGTATATTAAACTAGCTAGATTTCAGATCAAATTTAAGATTATTTATGCACTTATGTACATGATGTAGATGTTTGCATCGAACCCTTTTGATTAAAAATAAAGTTCTGCATTTCAAATTGTTTGTTAAATTTAATCCTGTGACAACACTTACAATCTGAACCAGGGGAAGTTAAAAAATAAAATGGGGTTATAAAAGGTATACAAAACTATCCTATTATGCTGCTTTATGAAATACTCAATTCTGATTGGTCAATACTCCATAGCAACGGTCTTTTTTACTTGTCATAAAAGACTGTTGCTATGAGATTAAGGCAGTTGATGGGTTTAAGGCTCCAATCACAGAAGAGGCCAAACAAGGAAAAGGACGGACTCAGGAGAGTCCAAAAACTGTGGGCTAAGAATAAGAAATCTACAAAATTGATGATGGAGATGAAGTGCACAACAGGCTAGCAGAGCACGACATGGGATAGGAAAAAAAAAAATTTCAGACTGACAGTGAGGAGGCAGAAAACCACAACGCCGACCAATGTGGTCCTGTTGACTCTGTTTTTCCTCTACCAATGGAAATGTTTGGTTGTGAGAAGTTACAGCCATGTTGGCTATTTTTAGGAAATGTGTAGTTTAATTTGTGTTAAAAACAGCCAACTTAGCTAGATTTAAGAAATGTCCAGTTGAATGTTAGTATACAGCTAAGTTAGCCCCTTGTAAGATTACTGCAAGTGTTGTGGACGAGTTTATGTGAAAAAATAGAGCCACTTTTAAAATAACTAAACCGAGCAGTGGAAAGCCACATCAATATGGAAAGTATTGCATGTGGTCTGTAAAACTGGTATGAAATTGCTGGCTCCAAATATTTTAATTTGACAATTGTACTGCCCCCAGAACAGGTCTCCCTCTCAACTGGACTCAATCAGTCTTTCATGACTTTTGGTACTAATAATACAATATCAATTAATTATTTGCGCTCACAAAAATTGTTCCTGCAGCTCCAGAGACTCGTCCCGCAACGGTCTGCATGGAGAGACAAGCAGTAAGGCGGGCCAGAGAGGCCTTCCTGAGCGGCAGGACTCGACCGGTGGAGTTCAGACTGCAGCAGCTTCACGCTCTGCAGAGGATGATCACCGAGAAAGAGACTGAGATCTCCACAGCTCTCAAACAGGACATCAACAGGGTAAGAGAAGGTATCAAAGACGTTAGGGGCAGTCAGTGACCTTTACAGAACATGCCTGAAGATAACCCAGTGGCTTGAAAGTCATGTTTTTGTTCTCTGTCTGTTGACAACTTGAAGGATCTCCTATTCTTTTCTCTCTGTAAGGTGGAAATAGAAAGCAATATCGTCTGCATAGAATGACAGCTATGCTTGTATTTCTTACAGAGCCAGTATGACACACCACTCTTGGAGCTGATCGGCATTGAGAATGAGATTAAGCTGGCGATCAGTAAACTGTCAGAGTGGGCGGCTCCTCGGTCAGTAGAGAGAAACCTGTTCACCTTAAAAGATGAGGTTTACGTCCAACCTGAGCCTCTGGGAGTGGTGCTCATCATTGGGGCCTGGAACTACCCTTGGGCTGTAACACTGCAGCCACTGATTGGAGCCATTGCAGCTGGTAAGAAACTTTCAGTTTCCAGTATATATGGCTCTATAACCCATTTTAGTGTGCTAAATCTTAGTAGCCAGACTGTTGTGACTGTATAACTTAACAACCCAGTTGTCATGCAAATTCATTGCTCCTAGACCTAAGAGAGGTTGTTTCTTGCCAGCTTTTTGAAATTGTCTCTGTCCACTTGCTAAAGCAGAGTTGAAGTAAAATCAATCAAAACTCAAATTTTACAGTGGTGAATGAAGACTTTAGTAAGTTAATGCTTGGGGTCTGTTAAAGGCTTCCAGTGGGATTGTCCACAAAGTAGAAGTTATACCGGGTCATTCACATCCAAATCTCACGTAACAGGGGAAAAAGTCTCCTCTTGTTAGCTCCAGTTTGATAGCAGAGTCAGCCCTGCATTCCCAGCCTCCTACTCTCACTCTCTCCTCTCCGTCACTCAGTGATCTCACTCCATTCACAGGAACCTGTGTTCTGTCTGTGCAGGGAATGCAGCTGTGGTGAAGCCGTCAGAGCTCAGCGAGTGTTCCTCCCTCCTCCTCCGGGCTCTGCTGCCTCGCTATCTGGACAAGGTCTGAACACCGGAGCTATTGTTGATAGAAAGAGCTGGTGCAACGTCAAAGCCTTGCACCAACACAGAACACGTGGTGATTCTGAGGCAAAATGCTTCAGTATGGTGGGACTAGGGATGTATGCAAGAGAACTTCTAGATATCGACACCTACAATTCCATTGACTAACGACAGTTGGCCCAAATGTGGGGCATATGTGGGGCATATGTTGTGCCTGATCTGTAGCATTGCCACCTACCACCAGCCAAGGCAGTTACTCTGGTTAATGGACAATGTCATTGCACTATAATGCTCTACTACCCAGATATAAAAAGCACAGTGACAGATGGCATAATGTCGCATGGTGAGGTAGAAAATGGAGATAAAGCTGCTTGACGGCTGTGTCTGATTAAACTTCAACCTCGTAACCAGAGCAGTAAGTAACCTTTACAGTCGTGTGGATGTTAACCTGCAGGCAGGACCAAAGACTCATGGTACTAGTTCTGCTAGTGTTAGCCACACTCAACAAACTCAGTTTGACATCATCAAGTCCACATATTTTTTTCAACCAGAAAAAGATATTACATTGCAAATTCACCAGACTGCACTGACAAGATCAGCAGCTGCATATTGAAGAGGGGGGAGTAACTTGTGTATTCCTACCTTCACTGATAAGTATGTTTGTGTATGTTTGTGTGACTTTTTAACACAACAAATCAACTGAAAATCTAGCAAATGAGATCTGAAAACAAGACTATAAACACATGTACTTTGAATAGCTTTGATGCCTCAAAGGCTTTTGTTGCAGCTATTATGGCCTAGAGTGTGACTGCAGGCTGAGGCAATGAAGTGGAGAAGTATGTACAGATCAGTCAGTCAGACTAAAAAGATGCAAATATGAGGCCTGTGTTTTTATCACACTCATTGTCCAAACAAGCTTTAAATATGATTTAGTTGCATTGTGGTGTTTTGAACTAAATTATTTATTAATGAGCTAAAATGTTGCTGTTTATTTCCAGGACCTGTACCCTGTCGTGACAGGTGGAGTGTCAGAAACTCAGGATTTGCTGAGGCTCCGGTTTGATCACATCTTCTACACAGGAAACAGCACAGTGGCCAAACAAGTGATGGAGGCTGCAGCTCGACACCTGACCCCGCTCACCCTGGAGCTGGGAGGGAAGAGTCCCTGTTATATCGACAAGGACTGTGACATCAGGGTCGCCTGCCGGTAACATACAAGTCAAAAGAGTGACACATAAAAGTATATTCATGTCTTCCTTACTTGTGTGACTGATTTGATGTCATGGTTTTTTACTGAGAATAAGCCTCAAACACACATTAAAGCTTGAACGAAAGTCAGTAACAGTGTTTTTTTCTGTGTGCAGTCGTGTCACGTGGGGAAAGTTTGTGAACTGCGGTCAGACTTGCATTGCTCCAGACTACATCTTGTGTGAGCCGTGCATCCAGGGACGTGTGGTGGAGTGCATCAGACAAACTCTTCTGGTACTGTTCTCCTTCAAACCTGATTGTGTTAACAGCTTATTTTTTATAAATCCACACAGTTTGTAGTTTCATCTCCAACTTTTAATCCATCTCAGGAGTTTTACGGAGCTGATCCCAAATGTTCACCAGACTACGGCCGAATCATCAACCAGCGCCACTTCATCAGAATCCTGGGTTTGATGGAGGGATACACCCCTGTGATAGGAGGACAGAGCGACGCCTCACAGCGATACATCGGTATGTGGAAGTAAAGAAGTACAAATTTGTAGTTCCTGAATTTAGTGGTTTTCTGGTACTTCCCCTGAGTGTGTGTTGTTTTTCGTCACTTCTTGCTTTCCTGCTTTGTCTACTATTCCTATCCTCTCTGAATAAAGCCCCAAAAATTAACCTTAAAAGAAATGATAACAGAAGAGTTTTATCTTTTTTGATAGAATATTTCACCAAATCACTCAATATATCATACATGAATATTTTAATTCCAAGTAGCATCAAGGATCTTATGGTATGTGTGGATTTTGATGGTGGACAGAGCATGCAGTACAGACTCATAAAGGGCACTGGTTCTTTTCTGAATTTGTTAGATAACTGCAGCTGGATCAGGTTGATTCAATAAAGTCTTTCCTCAAAAATGTGACAAAGTGAACAGGATTACACTATCAATCCTGGATCGTAAAAACAGGATATTTCCAAACTCCAAACACTCTTTTCTAGATTAAATTGCCTGAACATTAGAGCCTGAACTCTTAACTTTTGCTGCAGAAGTGTAATCTGTACTTTGACATGCACCACAGTCTTTGAACATGGAAGTATCTGTATTTCTTCAGAAAATAATGTGTGTGAGTTAATTTTGTCAGTAGAGGAATAAATAAAATCAGATTATTGTGTTTAAATCCATAATTTCATTAACTGATGTCTATCATGCAGCCCCCACAGTGCTGAAAGACGTGCCCCCCCACTCCAGACTGATGCAGGAGGAGATCTTCGGCCCCCTGCTGCCTATTGTCACTGTGAGCGACATGGATGACGCCATCCGTTTCGTCAATGAGAGAGAGAAACCTCTGGCTCTTTACATCTTCAGCAAGGACAAGAAGGTGAGAGAAACCATCAGTAACTGCAGCAGTGAGGAGATTGAAACAGGCTTTAGTGATAAAAAACCTCCCTGTTTCACTTCTCTCTGTCTCTCTCAGGCAGCAAAAAGGATGATTGAGGAGACAACAAGTGGAGGAGTGACCGTCAATGATGTTTTGATGCACTACACGTTGAGCTCTCTCCCATTTGGTGGAGTTGGTAAGAGACAATGTTCATTTAAATTTGTGTCTTTATCAGGACAAGCTCTTCCTACTGGGCCTCTGTCCTCTCTGTATCTATCTCCACTTCCTATCCTTGTGCTAAAATGTCAGAGAGGTGAACTCCAGATCAATTTGACACCAATAACATTGCCAAAGTCTTTACGTTAGAAAAAGAAGATTAATCCATTTATTGGTCCAAAGGGAAAATCTGCAGAGCTTTTACCCTCTAGGTCAATTATACGACAATCATGGCCTCACTAATTGTTTTGTGTACCCCCTCCTCCCCCAGGTCAGAGTGGTATGGGCCGTTACCATGGCAAACACACTTTCGACCAGCTCAGCCACCACAGGGCATGTCTGATCCGCTCTCTGGGGATGGAGAGCCTCAATCTGTCCCGGTACCCGCCTCAGGACCGCCAGCGAGCGCGCAGGGTGAAGAGGGTGCTCAGGTCTTCGCTGATTGACATGTCAAAGAGGACGTTCATCTGGGCCGTCACTGCCACTGTCATCGGCTTCGGCCTCTTTATCACCCTGCTGGTCATCCTCCTCATCGCTGCGGGACTCAACTGCACCTGCTGGTACTGGAGAGGCATCTACAACTACTACTGGTGAAAAATCAGAAAGCATATATCTCTAATTAAATGCATTGTTCCCACTGTATTCAACATCCAAAATGTGTGTATTTTATTATTGTTTGTCCACAATAAAAGGTTTGTTGAAATGTTTTATTCTTTAATTTTTACTGATTAACACATTTAAAACTAGATAAACCTGAAGAGATAAGTATAGACAATTTTATGGATGTTTCAGGCAGCTGTAGACATCTATAATATCTAAAAATAACTATTTATGCAAAGATAAATGTTAAAATAGTGAAATCTAGTCCCAAAAATGATCATCATGTGAAACCATGTGGCCCCAAATAAGGTTTACAATTTACAGTCACTCAGCAGTCTCCTTTTATTACTGTCAATACTTCTATTTAAAATATTATTCACTTATTTATACTGTTATTCAAAATATGACCACTAGATATCACTGTTTGCTGTCTTAGAAAGTAGACACTGATTGTGTTCACTGCAGAAAATTACAGCTATCTAGTGAATGAGCAAAAAGAACCACAAATAATAACCTTGCATGTCTAGAAGATGTTTAATAGGAGTGATAATGTATAGTGAGCAAGTGATAAGTGTCATTAGAAATTAATAATAGATTAAAACCATACAGTCTTTAACTGTATTCTTTTGTGTTAAAACATGGTTACATGCCACTTTAACTAACTGTATCAATCAAAACACTGTTCTGTATGTGGGCACTAGATGGCGGCAGAGAGCTAAAGAGGAGAATTTTGTTCCTAAATTACCAACAGATTCAGATAAAGAAGATGAACCAAAGGCATTCAAAGTTGTTGGTTTTTGGTGTCCAGGATTTTAAATGAGAAGTAAAAGACAAATCTGAATTAAACTGGAATTAAATTGGGAAGATGCTGAGAGGCATCCAGTCAAAACAACAAAACGAATCTACATATTTAATCGTAAAAAGACAAACACTTCGCTTCTGACTATCCAAACTTAGGCAACCAAATAACAGAAATAACATTTGACAAATTTAATGTGCTGCAGTTTGCCTTAAAGTGCACTTAAGCCTCTCTGAGTCGTATTAGCGTGCACCCCATTAGCATCAGACTGCTCCTGCCCCTCTGAGACGCTGTTAAGCTCCAAACAGACGTTTTTATCACTTAATAGTTCAGTGGATATCAGGGATTCAGCTTGTAAACCGGCAGCAGGAAACGGCTGATATCCCGGCACCCTGTTTCAGCTCTAACAGACATGTATCAGTTTTCCTTTAAAGGTCCTAAAGGCCCAAATAACTGCTGCATTACACTGTGCAGACAGTTTGTGGCCTCCTGTCTCTGTCTGTTTGCTGTACATGGGCAGCTTTTCCTTTGGAGGTGATTTTAAAGGTCTGTCCTGCATAAGATTTTAGTGGCTGATAAACCTAACAGACAATGATAAAACAGCAGGGTTTGATGATCAAGACCAGCACACACACACTCCAAAAAGAAACAGATAAGCAGGCCAGCAGTGCTGCACCACCAGTCTAAAGCCTAAAAAACCATGTTTACCAGAAACTTCTAAACAGGTTTCCCCCCCACCCCCCTTCCCTTTTTTTTCAGAGGATGATATCTTCTTTTAAATCCAGAGACAGCTGGTACATTGCTTTTTTCAAAACCACTAGACTCCACTCACAAAATGTTATTTAGCCTTGCAGAAAATTAAGGAGTTTCTGGTCGTCTCATGCTTTGACCCTTCAGTTTTTCTGCTTTTTCGTCTGACTTTCATGATTGAAAAAGTTAATTTAGACTCAACACAACACTGTAATATGAATAACTAATGACTGAAGCAGCAGTAGACCAACAACTCCCATAATCTGCAAGATAAAAAGAGTTTTTGCAATTGGTGTCTGGCTGCTTTTCAATCTTCTGTAAGGAGTTTATAACTGGTTGTGGATCAGACTGAAATTACAGAAGAGGCCTCTTTATGGCCTACAAAAGCAAACAAGACCATCAGTAAAAAGACAGCTGATTTCTGTCATGCAATTCTGAATACAGCTGTTACAAGGGAGTAGATGTCAACCAGGGCAAATTGCAGCAAAGTTGAAGGAAGCAGTTTTTTTGATGTCTTTTGTTTTTATTTTTGCAAAAACGTACGCCACATCATATCTATTGACATATAAAATCAAGAGAGTGAATCAGAAAAACGTTACACACAAAAAATCAGCAGTTGAAAAGAGCCCTGTCTTTGTCCACAGGGGGGCGCCGCAATCAACACAAACAGAAAGTTCCAAACAGGAGCTTTACTGGGGCTGTGCAACTTCTGCTGGTTAAAAAAGGTGCTGTCAGAAACAGCAGACAGAACAGTCAGAACCTGTTGGTGGCACGAACAGGCACTTCTAGTAGATACGTTTACATTTAGGACATTGTGCTAAGAGTTCATGAAACAATTGTTGCTGTTAGTTTTTTTCTTTTTTTTTCTCAGTATGAGCTACATACAGTATTCATTGCGATATTGTTTCATAAATTACACTCATTGTATCGGATCAGAACAAACATTTCAGGACAGAGAATTTACACAATAGCATAAATGCCTGACTGATCATGGCGGCAGCGGCAGGCCATCCATTTTCAGTGACTTCAAAGACTGATGTAAGAGCTGTTTCTGATTGAAAAAAAGCCCACAATAAAGAGGCCAATCTCCATAAGGCATCCGTCTGAAGTGGTTTAGGAATAGAAATAATAAAGAGCCTTTCAATTTCTTGACTTCTTTGCTTTGTATTAGTCAATAAGACCCCAAAATACATAAAACATGGTCCTGGATATTTCCCTTAATTGTGTTTGCAGTTTTAAGCAGTTAGAGATTGAAACAGACATTTATTACCCCAGTTTCAGTCTTAACTGACTGGATCTGTTAGAATGAACCAGCAGTGTGGATGCTACCTAATTTGTGTCAATAATAATGTCAATCACTACGAGAAGATTGTTGTTGTCATTGGCTGCTGCAGTTCCTACAGGTCACTGAGCATCAGGAAAAGGTCAATGAGTGTCTGGACGCTTAGGGATCCAGCAGAACTCCTCCAACATTTTCCAAGATTTTGGTCTGGCTGCATGTATGAACACAAACAGACTAAATTCTCATCCTGCCTTTTTCCAGTCAGACCCGGGTCCCTGGCGGCTCCCAGTAGGGGTGGTGACATTTCTATCATGACTGGTCGGAGCTTAAAACAGTGGTATAAAAGAAGATAAACAAAAAAGGCCAAGATTGAAAAAGGGAGTCATGTTCAAGATAAAACATCAAACATATTCTGTCTGTTCCCATGTTGCATTTATATCAAAGTGAAAGCCACCATCGTTGAAAGGAAAGCACAAAACTAAGAGGCTGCATCCACTTCTTCTCTTTGATTATTTGCACATTTCCCAGTAAAACGAAAATAGAGTTTCTATAAAAAGGCATATGTGTTTGGTCTATGGAAACTGATCCTGAAATTAGATACCCAATGTATTCAAAGTAGGATAGCTGATCTAAAACTGTGTCTCAGGTCATTTGGAGGCACATTCACCCATCACAGAACTAGCGTAGTGAAGTTTAGTTCTTATGGGGGGACTTTGTTGACACGTCTTTCACTCTGATGTCTTAAACAGCAGGTTTTGACATCTCTGCATCATTCTGACCTCCTGCTGTGACCCTGTCAGATGACTCATGCTCTGCAGCGGCTTCTCCTTGCAGCCTGCGTTGTGTGTTTGGGGACCTAGTTGCTGCAGGATTTCAAAGTTTACTTTCACAGATATATGCCCTCGTTTGTCCTCTCCGCAGAAAACACACTCTGCCAAAGAACCGTCAACGCAGCAGCTGGTTGACTGAACTCTGCTGGCAGCGAGCCCCTCTCACACACAATCACACTCAAACACGTCCATATATTTCCTGCTCACAGACATAATTTATGGTGCGGACTTGGCGTAGCTTGAAGGTGTTTCATGTGAGGCTCAATATTTCTTATGTCTCTGATTTTATTCCAACATGGTATGAAAAATGAGTAGTAGTATTTGTGTGATTTAATCTTTACTTTGATTCAGGATCAGGTGTGAAGGTGAATGCACGTGTTTGTATTTCTGTGTTTGTACAGTTAAAATAGAGTGTAAAGTGTCAAAGCTTACTTAATCCTTAATGTCATTTATAATTTTTAGAAGTCCATAAACACATCACTTGTGCTCTGGCATCAAACCATCAAATTTAGCATGTGGTAAAAAAGAAAAATCATACTAACGCTTGAAAATGTTTGACTCTCCCATCTTTCATGAAATATTTCTCCTCTAAAATCAATGTCCTGCACATTGTGACTCACAGACCTATTTCTTTACTCAGGTGCTGTTGCTATGGTAACATCTCAGCTCTTGAGATGTGGTCTTACACAAATGTGCTGTTTGAAAGGATAAATGAAGCAAACAAGAGAGTGACCTTAAAGCTGTATGCGGTACACTTTGAACAAGGACACAACGGGAGAGACAGGGATGTGTCGAGTGAACAATGAAAAAGAAAAATAATGAATCCTTCAAAATGATCCACCTCCTCCCTTTAATGAGCTTGTCTGTTTACACCCTAAAACAAAGAATTAAAAAAAAATCTTGATTCCTCAAACACAGTCATATTTTATTCACAGTAAAACAGAATTTGTTGGCATTAATGGTTTCATGATCAGCTGAGAAATTTATTTAATTTATTTTCTATTTGAAATTTGGATGCTTTACCATCCCTTTATTACCATTACCATGTGCGATCTCTGTCCTTTTATGACCTTAATGCTCCTTTAATCACTTTTATTTCTTTTATGCTTCTGTGTTTTTATTTCATTTATTTTATTTCATTTATTTTTTTTTTTACCTGCTTTTATTGATTTCATCTTGATGTTCTCTGCATTGTCTGTTCTTTTAATTCTATTGTGCAGCACTTTGGTAAACTTGAATGTTTTTTTTTTTTAAATGTGCTATATAAATAAAGCGGATTGGAGTGGATAAGATCCCTAGCCTGCACATATAATGATGCACCCAAAGTGCTCTGCTTGTGGGGTATTGACTCCGGGAAGCTATACCTGACCAGGAAGACAGATCATTCAGTTCTTTCTCTTTAAATGTGCCCCATTATGAAGCATCTTCAAACAATGAAACCAGTCTGCTCGTGTAGGGCACCTGGTGGTGGCTGAAAGTCACACAGGAGCAGCTGGTCAATTACTGAGAGAGAAACAGGTGAGAGATTCACACCTGAGGAGAGGGATCCGGCTAATGAGGCTGGGGGTTATGGAGTCCTGTTTTAAGAGAGCTGCAGAGAGAGCTGTCTGTGTGTGAAGATGTGGTCTCTACAGCTTTTTCTCTTCAGCTTCCTGCTCGCATTTTTCAGGCTTAGTGACACTCGATTCCTCAGTGTGAGAAGGTCAGCACAGCGGGGGATCAAGGAGCACAAGTCTGCAGAGGTGGAAGCTGAGTTTGGAGCAGAACCTGAGAGGGGGAACTCCAGGGTTTCTGCACAACAAGTTGACCAGGTCCTTCAGAGGAGGATGTGGCCTGAGTTTGAACCGCTTTCCTGGAAGTTTCCAGAAGATCCAGGGGAGCTGGAAAACAAAAGGCCTCCCATTGGGACTGAACCTCCGTTGCTGAAGATGAAAGAAAGAGTAGCTGTGAGGTGTGGGGAGAGTAGGATCCAAGTGGAGGTGAGCCAGGACCTGCTGGGTCGCGGCAGGAGGATCAAACCAGAGGAGCTCACACTCGGTGGTTGTTCAGCCACAGAGATCGATGACTCCTCTCATGTGTTGGCGTTTGAGAGTGAACTGCACGGCTGTGGAAGCAAACTAGTGGTAAGAGGTTAAAATGAAATTTTGGGAGCAAATAAAAGTCAATCAGATTGATTTAAGAAATGTTTCTTTTTTATGCAGATGACCGATAAAGCCTTCATTTACGCCTTCATGCTGGTCTACAAACCCAGAGCATTGGGCAGAGGAGGCATCGTCAGGAGTCAGAGTGCTGTCATTGGTGTGGAGTGTCATTATCCAAGATGAACCAAAACCTGGACACCTATTGGGCAATAAGAAAAAAAAACAGATTTAAGTGTTATATGAAATTAAAATAAAAGTTTTTACATTCTAATCTGAGCTGCTCCATCTATTAAAGTAAATATTGCCCTCATGAGACAGAGTTGAACTGATAACAATAGACTGCACACACTCCACAGATCACAAAAAATATGTCAAGTCTAAGGGCTCCAAGATAAAAATCAATACTGTATCCACAATCATTGAAAATTCTTCATTTCAAGTTTAGTTGTGGGATTTTATTAAAGTCTGGTGTGAAGTTTGTGTGATGATTTGGGGTGTCATGTCATCTGTTGGTGTTGCTCTTCTATGTTTTATCAAGTCTAAAGTCAACACAGCCTAAAGTCTACCAGGAGATTTTAAAGAACTTCATGCTTCTGTCTGCTGAGAAGCTTCACAGAGATACTGATTTCCTCTGTCTTCACACCAAGTAGTTCACTTTTCTAAAACCTAAAATAAGTTCTGTAAACACAATTGCTGTATAGGTCTATCTGGTCTGAAATCCTGCCTGTAGCGTGTGAAGACAGACCCATGCTCACAGTGACCTCTTTTCTGTTCCTCACCCGTCTCACTCTGATGCCTGTCCAGACATGCTGATGATCCTCAGCAGGTTTTGAAAACTCCAGGGTCAGTCTGACTTCAGTAAAAGTGGTAATCCTCCCTCCTCCCTGCTGCTGAGGATGGTAAATACTCTGATCCAGCAGAAATGAACAATAAACAATCCTGGTTTTAATTCTGTGTGGGCTGAGCTGTGATTGTAATTTAACCTCCTGGAACATTTCTGTTGATGTTTGAATACTATTTAAGTTCAAATCTTGTCAAATTATTTCAGGATTTCTGCGAAATCTCACTCATGCTAGAGCCCACATTGTTGACAAAGTGAGTCACGATGAGATATTTTCATGTTCTGTTTGTGTTTCGTAAGTTTTTCTTGGAAACACTTCAGTGTAAATCATCAAGCAGCTGTTTTGCATCCTGCCGGATCAGAACCTGAAGAAAGATTTTCTTCTGGAGCTGCAATTTGCTCCTTTCGGTCATGTCTCTACTATAGTTCTACACTGTGATGTTCTTCACTGCTTCAGCTGACCAGTTCAAATGAAAACTCAAGTTTAAAACACAACCAGCTAGATTTCCCTGTTGCTTCTCAGTGTTTATAGAGCAGCATCTGTTATGTGTGCATGTGTGTGATCTGTCTTTCATCTCCCCCACAGTTCATCACCATCCCTCCTCCTGCTCTTCCTCCTCCTTCTCACAGCTGGAGGGGGCTTGTCCACAGCAACACATGTGGCTCACAACCTGCTGTGATGCCTCTAGTGTCTTCATACTTTTTATAGCTGTGCTGTTAAAAAATAAAAAAAAAAACAGAGAGGCCTCTATCTACACAGAGGCACACATCTTGGTGTCTCTGCTAGTCTGATGATTAAAAAAAGAAAATCCTACTTGGATGTTAAAACCTTGTTTTTTCCCCCATTTATCCTCAAGAAGGATTTATGTTAAAGGCGAGCGGAAACAAACAGGTCTAAAAAGAAAATCTACAGCACTGGAAACAGAAACTGCAGTTCCCATAATGGCCACTTGAGGCTGATTACAAAAGTGCGCCATTCTCCATTAGGCTTCATAATAAAATTACAAAATTGCAAATACTCTAAACATGATAACATAATAACAGCCTGGCTGAGGTGAAATGTAAAAAAAAGTAAAATCCCTTTTTACACTCAGTACTGAAGTGTGTTCACAGAGTATCTGAGCAGGAATTCTTAATTTTCTATCAGGCCTCAGGTCAGGTCTTTTCATGAGAAGGGTGTTACTTGTAAAAGGTAACACCCATAGACTGTATATAAAATGGACAATGTCTGCCTCCTTACTGTGTGAAGCCACCCCGAGAACAGCACCCTCTGGTGATGGGCTGCAGTATAGGTCATAAATCCCGCCTCCGCCAGCAATCCTTATGGAGCTGTGGACAAACTTTAGAAATTTATTACACAGACTATAATTTTTTTCTCCCCACTGCTTGAAATGTTGATATGTATTTATTATAAGACTGGTTTGTGCTCAAGTCCTCTTTTTTCTGTACAGCTCTGTTTTTAAAATTTATTAGGGGGTTTATGTTTTCTATGATTGACACTTGATACAGCCCATGGGCGTACGATGATTGCGTATCTCACCCGGGGGATACGTTATTTGAGCTGTCATCACAGCGACTCTTGCGTACAATGCGTACAATGCTACTGCGCAATGTCGGTTTCAGGAAGTGAGGAAAAAACACAGAATTACCGAGAGTTTTTCGGCTTAAAATCCATAAACTGGCAGAAGGCGGATCCAAGTTGTCTGTAGTATATAACAGTCTATGGTAACACCAATAAACTGTGTCTCACTTTATATTACTTGCAAACCAAAATGAAGCTGAAATTAGGGTTTTTGTATCAATATAGGATACATTTAGAGTTTTTGGGTGTCCTTTTGATTGGGAATAATGATTTAAATGCAGATTAATGGTAAACAATGTCAGCGTAATAAAAAGCATACCCTTCTCACTAACTTGAAAACATGATCCACTCACCATTAGCTCCCCTTTCTTCAGACTGCCATAAAACATCTTTGCACACATGTATTAAAGGTGGTTTATCTATGTATGCTGATAGTTTGTCAATATTAGAATGTTCCATGTGTGTACTGAAGAGGCGTTTCAGCCTGCAGTATTGATTGGTTTGTAAGTTCCTCATTGTTTACCATTCATCAGAGCTGTTGGTCATCACCAGCTACGCACACAGACACAGCCTCCGCTCGTCATTTGTTCTCATTAAAGCATCGACTCTCTGAGATTACAGTTGTGCAAACAGTAAAACGTCTGTGATTTCCCGAGGAAGGAAACTTCTGTTCCCATTAGCGGCTCTGATGACGCTGACATGGTCAATATATTTGTCTTTCTGTATTTACAGAGACATGTTTTCAGTAGTCAGGATGATTCAGCCTACCCTGCTTCAATAAGGGCTAAAGGAAAATCAAAGCTTCACCTGTTCTCTATTTTCATACTATTGTATACAAACTGTGCACAGCCTGTATCTTTTTATGCCACCAAGGATTTAAAGGTTAAAATCTTAAATCTTAAATATCATCAGTGAGCAACAGTCAGCTCTTCCTGATCCTCCTCCCTGCTGCTCCAGACTTCACACAGGGGTAGCGATTGGAGTTGTGATTCAGGTTTACAAATCAGAAAACTGGAAAAACATCAAATATTTCCTGCTCGACTGGATTTACGTGGCAGTTTGGGGGTTATTTTTGTGACAGAAGCTGTTTTCATCTGCTATCACTACACACCCACCGGCAGTGACTCACAGCAACATTTCATGCTTAATTAGTTTCTTTGTTTCCCGTATTTGAGACATTTGTGAGCGTGCAGACGCTTGAATTCTGAGTCCACTGGTCTGCACTGAATCATCATACTGTTGTCATATTTCTGCAGCTCTTTGTCTGTTCTTCGTGCCTCATTTGATCCTTGTAGAGGAATAGTTGTGACAGTTTGTAAAGCCTCTGCATCATTTACTAATCCCTTCACTATCTCTTTTTTATGGGAGTTCAGTCCAAGTTCGGATGAGCAGGAAGCTTGTATAGACAGTTTTGTGGTTAGATATCATAACAACCTCCAGGGCTTGTTTGGCTTGCTTTTATTATTTTGTCACTGATAGAAGGAATATGAATACTTTTTCATAGTCCACCTGTCTATTCCCTATAAGCTTTAATTTTGTATCTCTGTATCTTTTCCTGGTTGTCTCCATGTACGACCGATTTTGGACATGCAGCAGCTTGAATCAGTACCATGTGTAGGCCCAATTGAGCCCAAAGCAATATGAATGCAGGCCAGTAGGGGACTAGGGAGGGAGGACAGTCAGTACATTCACATGCACAGTTAAGTCCAGCTACAGTTAAGACCTGACAAGGTGATTTAACTGGATATTTGTCCTTGTCCCAGTTTACATTCTCTAGGCAATAACATAATTACTCACAAAACAGTCAGCCAAAAGTGTGAGCAAGAGGCTAATATGATGTACGTCGACTGATGAAAATGCGTCACTTTTATGGCACCATGCTGTTCAGTTTGCATGACAGGAAAGTTTACTCTTTTCTACGTCATTTCTCTGTCTGTTAAAGTTTTCTTACAGCCTTGCTTCCTAGCAACACATCTGTGCTTCAACTTTTGTGCGAACACTGGAGCAAGAGCATTATGCTGCTCGGGTTGGTTTCACTTGAGTTGAGCCTCATCCATGAGAGAGAAAATCAATCCCTATCTGTTTTATCCTGGTATGTTAGTCCAACTAGGAGCAGTTCAGTTTTAGCTGGACTAATGTGTTAACATGTTTCCTTAAAGACCATTTTTAGTTGGACTAAGGTAGTACATGAATTTTTTTAAAAACAGCATGTCAACGTTCCCAATTGGGCCAGGCTTTTTAGCCCAGTTCAATAAGATTTAGATAAAATATTACAATATGAGCAGTTACGAGATGAACCGTCAACAACTCTGATCAAAATTTGATCTGTTTGTTTCATGTATCAAACCTCTTTTGCTCTCAGTGTTGTCCATGCAGTGGTGCATGAAGAGATGTCCCTGGTCTAATGCACCATAGAGCAGAATCTTTATACCTACCCACTCCTGCCTTATTATCTCACTGATTGTCTCCTCATTATGTTTGCTTTAAGTGCAAAACCCCCAAAAGCAAATATGATCAGTTTAATAGGATGGCAGAGCTTCACATGCAAATGACCTGGTTTCTGGATCAATCTGGACAAATTTAACGGTCAAAACTTGACAAACTGAGCAGCATTCTGATCATAGGCTAAAAAGAAACACAACATGGGGGTGACTTTTAAATTATATCTTTCATAAAAGCTTAAATCCTTACAATCTCAAAATGAAGTAACTGTTCAGAGCCACAGTTGAAAACATGCTACACTTGATAGTATAGAAAGCAGCACACAGTGTTTTCAGTTACAGCAAATAACCAAAATAATTGGTTGTAACAGAAGTCCCATCTATGATAAGACAAATAGCTGATCATAGTTTAGGATTTTAAGGTGTATAATAAAATTTCAGGGAGGAAGGGACTCCTCTGGACATGGGCCATCCCTTGATAAACCCTAAAAGGCAAGACATTTCTTGATTTCAATCTTATTTAGACAAAAGTAAACCATAAAACCTTTCATTTATTGAAAGCAATTCATTCTTATTTTGGTGTGTGATGACTTAAAAAAGACATTTTTCAGCTTTTTCTACCATAAATAAGACAAGCACACCTACTAAAATCTTCTACAAGTTTGGAGTCTTATTTTGTAATATGTGTCTGAAAAAGTCCTATTTGTCAACATAAAAATGCTCAATAATATGTGCAGTTTTCATACAAGGGTATGGTTGTCTTCTTCAGTGAAGGTTTAACAGAAACCTTGATTTCTAACTTACAGAGTTTTTGACTTTTTGAATCTGAATATTCACATTTTTACCTGAATTCATTTTGTGATCACTATTAACAATCAATGATCTATTAATTTTATTTATTTTCACCACATTTTTACAGCATTTTATTTTATTTTTTACCTTAGTGAGAGCTTATTCAGTATTCACCCTAAACTTGTCTTACTCTCTGCATAACAAAAACTTTTTCATTTGGATGGGTTGGAAGAATAACTCACAAAGGTTGACCCGTACCTTGTAAATGAGCTGAGTTGGCTAATCAAAATCAAAAATCAATCAAAAAAGTGAAAAAGTGTTAGATTTTTGTTCAACTGACCACAATGATTGTCTGGAGCTGTGAACATTTTCATATCTTAGACATGAAAGATTTATGAGACTAAGAGTGTAAGGACCAGATCTGTGGCCATGGAAACCAATGATTTAGTTCCTCAGAACTTTATTGTTGCTTTTTACATTTTAACAACACAACAAAGAAAGAGTAAAGGAAAAGGGGAAGGAAAGAAGAGAAGGAAAGTTGGGTAGGAAAGTAGGTGGAAAAGTGGGTAGGAAAGTAGGTGGGTAGGAAGGTGGGTAGAAAACTAGGTGGGTAGGAAAGTTGGTAGGAAAGAAGGTGGGTAGGAAGGTGGATAGGAGGGTAGGTGGGTAGGAGAGTGGATAAGAGAGTAGGTAGGTAGGAATGTGGGTAGGGAAGTAGGTAGGTAGGTAGGTGGGTAGGTGGGAAGGTGGGTAGAAAGGTATAGTCAGGGTTAAAAGATGGAGGGAAGGGGGGTTAAGGGGGTTGCTCAGTACGTGAACAGTTATCTTTTTTTCTGTCCCTTGTTTCTTCTTCTCGTCATGTTTTTCTTTGCTCATTTTTTCCCCTTCACTCCATTTTTCTTCGTTGTCCTTTTTTGACCCCTTCTCTCCTGGAGACAACTTTTTCCCTGTCTGCTCCACTTTGAGTTTCTCTTTCTCCCCCTTTTTTCTCTCTTCCTTCTCATCTTCTTTCAACATGTTCTCTGCCTCCTCTTCTTGTTTACTCTTCTCCTTCTCCTCCTCTTGTTTACTCTCCTCCTTCTCCTCCTCTTGTTTTGTCTCCCACTGCTCTCTGTGTTAAATTCAGAGCAAGTTATATGTGATGCTGAGTACATACTTTGACTACACTATGGACTTTCCCAAGTTACAACTCCTGTGAGGAACCTTCAACAGACACTGCTGAGGCTTTTACACACTCGAAGCCAGAGGTGGTGAGCTCTGTTCATGGTGATTAGTCAAATTGTGATCAGTATGGTTATTCAGTCCAGAATATGTTCCTTCATGCATGTGCACAGAAACCTCTCTACTACCAACATGGTGACCATGCTGACACCTGACTAGCCAATGCAATGCCTGTAAACATTTGTCTATGTTCTGCATAACTTAATGCAGAACTGAGTATATCCGTGGTTTCTCTCCCTCTCTGGCACAATGCTGTTTATACATATGTGTGTGGACTGAATCCATGTCGTGAAGTAGAAGTTGAAAAAAATAATACATTTTTGACCCATCTATGTACACTGTTTCATCATCCTCACAAGGGAAAAATGTGCTCACTGGAATAGCTGTATTGTCACAGATGCTCCAGCTCTGTGTCAGCACAACTTCGCACTCTTGTTGCACAACGTTCTGACATGCTGCTTCTTGTTTGTGAGCTATGTATGTTCCGCTGCGGGGCACAGCGATGGAAATATTCACACTTGGCAGGGGCTGGGTTGTTTCCAGATATCTGAGTCATTTTTTAGTCATGGTGTGTTGTAATTTTGGTTCCTGTTTGAGCTCCACAACAATCCATTTTAAAAATTTGTGTGTGAATTTAGGAATTCACACACAAATTCAGGTAATAAGTCAGCACAATACTGAAAACAGATGTATCTAGAGATATAAAAAAAAGACAATACACAAACGATAAAATATACTGAGTCGAGTAGGATTACCAAGGATGAGTGGTTAAGACACCAATGATGTTTACAAATGTTAAAATCATTTACAGCTTCAGGGTTAAAAGGGCACAGAATATTTTCTCTATTGTTGTTTCACTTATAAAAACCGAGAAAATGGTTTTCAGTTGTGTTACTCATTTAAAGGATGTGCTGCAATTAAGGGTTTCTCAGATGGGGAAATTGCGACACTGGTCAACGGTTTTCATTGTGTGCAGCAAAGTCCCAAGAGTGCAGTTTCTTTGCAGTTGTTCTTAATTGTATCATTTTTGGAGTTACCAAAGCAAATGGCAACCACAGGAGTGAGGAAACAATGCAAAAAAGCGAAAAGCTGCAGGAGACCGGGTCCTATTCAATAGAGGATGCCATCTTGCAATGTTGTGATTTTCCTGTAGATGAAACAAACTAGTTCCATGGATGTTTTTGTATTCACTGAGTGGCCTTTCAAAATGTTGTGGTTGGAAAAATAGGAAGAAGAAGAAGAAGAAGAAGAAGAAGAAGAAGAAGAAGAAGCTATTATTGTGTTCAATAGAATTTGAGAGTAAACTTGACAAATGGATGATGTAAAATACAATGTGACCACAGGAACTGGATCAAATGACCCCTGTTGATTATATCACAGGCTTGTTGAATAAGGGTGGCGGTAGCTCAGGAGGTAGAGCGGTCGGCCAATAACTGGAGGGTTGGCGGTTTGAGCCCCGTAGTATCCCTAGTCTGTCCGTTGTGTCCTTGGGCAAGACACTTAACCCACCTTGCTCCCAGTGTGTGTGTCTTACACTGGTGTATGATTGTGAGTGTTGTGTGGTGGTGGTCGGAGCCACGTTTCCGTCAGTCTGCCCCAGGGCAGCTGTGACTACGAAGGTAGTTTACCACCACCAGGGTGTGACTGTGTGAGCAAATGAATGATGTATCCAATGTAAAGCGCTTTGAGGATCTCTGATAAGTCACTATAAAAATCTGATGCATTATTATTTTTAAGTTGCCATAGGCAAAGCTCAACTACAATGCTATACAAAATGGATGCTGCCATTGGTTTGTAAGATCTGTTAGAGCTCAACAGTGAGGGCCACCATATTGGAAATACCTACCCAACCTTACTTCTACTACAAGCAAAGAGGTGGAATTTAAACAATTATGAATTACTAATTGATTAATCAACCCAGCCAGGCCTCAAATACTCTCAAGGATAGGTATAACTCCTATTCTTTGTATAATCTCAACAGACATAATAGAAGAATTCTTCTCTTTCAGTGTTTGCACTTCGACAAATGAGCTGCATATTTTTGACATTTAAACACAGCCATACGTGGTACATTTGATCTCTACCGAGTCCCTTCTGATATATACTCCTAATTGCTGCCAACTGTACCTTTAAAAGTTCATCTAAAACATGATGTTTTCCAGAAGTGACAAAAGTCTTCCTGAAAACATCAATCGTAGTTTTAATAATAAGTCCATAAAAACAGCAGTTAGTGCACCCTTTCTTTGCTTTGGCAAGGTTTTTCAGGGAAACACTGAGAAAACTTGGAAATAGATTTTTTTTTCTGTTGTCTGTTTGATATCAGATCAGGAGGAGAAGGTCCAAACTTTTTTCCTATTGGAAATATTTTCATGGTGATGATATGTTTTGGAGTGAGGGGTGGATATGGGGGCTCCAAAATATGTCATGTGCTGTAATGGAAACTAACAGATAAACTAGCATTATAGTTCCTCTTGGGTGTATTAATATTTACACTTCAGCTGTATTTGGCATTAACACAGGGCTGAATCAGCCTACACAAACAGTATCTAAGTACCACAGAGGAAGATGTCTGAGCTGTTGTAAAATCAGCTTTTCTCGCTCAGGCTATCAGTTACTGCAGCGTCAACTGAAGATGTGATTAGCGGTGGCCATGTCAAACTTAATGAGCACGTCAGGACGACATATCGGACTTTCTCTCCCACTCAGAGAGCGGACTTTGAGGAGGAATCTCTGACATGGCACAATCAGGAGGTCCTTATTGAAGCAGTCTATCGTCTTGATTGAGCTCAAGTTTCGCCAGTGAGGCACCAGCCGGGGCCAGAGCTCCCAGGGGCATTAGCAAAGTGGTAAGAAAATACAATAAAGTGTCAGGGCCGATTAAACTATAAATGTATTAAGTCCAGTTTGCCCATTGCTGGGTTATTTGCAGGTAAAAGATTCTTCAGAAGTTGCTGCTACCCTTTTTTGCATAATGTGAATTTGCTGTAACATATGCAGGACATAAATTGTGTTGTGTCAGGCTCCACCCCGACCATTATAGCCATTAATCCAGCTCTGAGATGCAGGAAAGATGAGTGATGGTTTAATGGACAGAAGAATTGGCTCGGTTCTTAGACCATCAGCTATTACTGAAACGTTTTTTGAATTAAACACCCGGGTAAACACTCAGGCACGTCATAAACGACTGATAGAAATATGGCATCCAACACCGTCCTTGAATGGTGATGGATCAATGATTAGCCTGTGTGTTTGCTGACTGATAGATGACATTGTTGGCTGTCTTTTGTTGTTGCAGTAACAGGATATGAAAGCAAACATCCTGATGTTGTGAAAGGTTGTATAATGTACCTATTACACCAATGCTTTCATCACAAAATTTACTGTAAAATACAAGGACAGGTGTATCCATGATGATGTTATTCATGTCTAAATACAAGAGTTGAAGGAGAAATTATTAATCTGTATATTAATGATTTATAATAGACTGAGATGGCTTTGCTTCCACAGCCTCACATCTGTGAGGTTGTGTCAGCAAGCTGTTTTGCAAGAGCTTGAACTTACCTCAATCTCCATTACAATAGATTTTCATAATACACTTCCCTGTCATAGTTCCCTATTTAAGATGCAGTTATTTAGGATGAAAAAACTATTACATGGGCCTTCTGAATCCTGATTCTATGCTAGATACTTCAGAATGCAATATTCGTCCCACTTAATCAGCCAACCACAATAAATCAGTCAAACTCTAATGACAGAGTGCATCTGCTGCCTGACAGGAGCATTATTAATTTCTTAAACAGTGGCTAGATCATTAAAGAGTTTTTTTAGAGTCTTGACTGACAACCTTGTTCAAATCATTTAAAGCATTGCCTACATTTTGTTTGACCATGCCCAGTGACCTATTTCTGTTTTCAAAATGAAGGGATCAATAACAACAAATGAAAGAGAGCAACCCCTTTGCAGTGCTTTCAATGCACCGTTGTATCATTGACAGTATGAAACACTGGTTTAGTCTCAGTGACGCTTTCTTAAGTGGAGTTTGGAAGCCTATCGACGGAGACACCATGCTGTCTCAACTTGACTTTCTGTCCGTCCAACAACAGGCGGAGAGATGTAGATGAGGTGGCCTTTCGCCTCCTGCCTGTCTTTCAAACCAACTGTGCCCTTAGTCTTGCAAAATTCACAACATTAACATCTTTTAAACTAGTGAGTTGGAATTAAAAAAAACTTTTATAGGGTGTGAGGATAGGAAAATGGGTGATTCAGACTAAAATTGTTTTTTGTACCCAGCCATAAATGTGTTCATTTTTTCCGTCCTCTCCCTTTAACACCTTTGTTACTACCTCAGAGGAAGGATCAGAAGTGGAAAACATCATCACCTCTCTGTCTTTCATAACAGTTCAGTCAGTTTTGGAAATGTCAATGTCTGAAAGATATCTTGTGAATCAAGTGAACAAGTTTGTTCACATGGTATTGTACTGTGGTAAAGTGAAATCTGGCGTAAGATTAGGTAACTAAACTTGGACAAGAAGTTAAGGCTGACCATACTTATGGTTAAAGAAGGGCAACAATAATTGTTAGTCTGACTGCTGGATTTGCTACACACCCATTCACCATTGCAACATCCAAAAGCTCACTTCTCTCCCAGTAAAAAATAGCACACTGCTTAAAATACAGCATAAACAACCAAACTCTAAAACATAATCCAACCTTCAGTTTTCCTATTGTGGGGTCCTCTATACTGATTTAACATTAGAAACCTGTGGTTTATTCAACTAGTGTTATAAAAGACTTTTATACTTGCAAGACATTCAGAGTTAGACAGCTTTGCAACCTACAAAACCCAAAGAAAAGCTTTATGAGCTTATTTTTGTTTTTAATTAGGCCAATAAACAAAGTGGATTAAAGAGCTAAAAGTTATTCATGCATTCAAAAAGACTCAAGGCCAAAACTAGGGACACTGAAACCCGACAATGTCATAGTGTTGGTGAAATGAACTTGAGATTATTATTATTTTTAATACTTTATTTACAGTTTTTAACTTTCAAAAACTGTTCAACACATGCAAGAACAAAGAAACAGACTAAATTTGGGATTATTGATGAATCAATGCAAAGAAGAATCTTTTGAATGGGGGTCAAAATCCTCAGTTGATTTATACAGAGTTTTGGTTACAAATTCAGAACTTTGGCTTTTGTGTCCAAAAAGATTTACACACATTTATAAACTCCTAAAGCATTGTCTGTAACATACAGCACCAGCCATTGAGATTCAGCTCAACTGTCAACTAAAACTGATGAATTTTCAAGGTTAAATGCTGGCGAACAGCAGACCACAAGCCATATCTATTAATGCTGCATATGCATCAAACTATAACCACATTGAAACTATAAAGTGGAAAAAATGACCAAAGTTTTTCATTTTCAAGACTAAGAACAAGGCTAAATGTGAAAAAGCAAATATTTCAAATTGGGCAAAAGTGCACTTGGGTCAGGGTCTCTCAAAATTAGCTAATGTATGTGACAGACTTGACTCCACCTGCAGAAAATTAAAGCATAGCCAGCATGTCCGTATCTATGGCAGTTTCTCATTGAAAAGGGATGAGATGACCGACATCCACGGTGGCTTGTACACTTACCTATGATGTGTAACACCTACAACCCCATTTAAAAAATACTGAAATATCCCTTTAAGCATTGCATCATTCAAAGTGTCGGATACACTTTCAAACAAATAAACTATAATAAAATAAATGAATGAAACAAAACGAATAAAAGAGGAAGAATGAGGTCAAGAAACCTGTCCCATTGAGACCTTATCCCAACATCTATACAGTATGATCCTAAATGTCCCCCAACACTAAAGCATGAGGACAGTTTGGTGTAGAGGTACAACAAAAGTCTGCATATAACAAGAGTTTTATAGTGGGTACTACCCTTCACTGCTGTCTCATTGATTTTGGCCCACAACACCTCAGGAAAGTTTATACTTAGCTTGTTATCCCCGAACTTGTAACCACCATGCCACTACTGTTAATCAAAGTGGCAACTGAACCTTGCTCAAAATTATGGACGTTAAAAAAAACAACAAAAAATTACTGTCACTTTGCATGACTTTGGGAGTACCAAATATGGGGGAGTGAATATGTATTACAAACTTAGACGAGTTGAAGTTCACTTTTAAGGTCAACAAGACCATGCCATTACAATAAAGGCATTTTATATAATCAAGAGAGTGCCTTGAAGTTTTTTTTCTCTTTTTGCATCAATTTCATCATGTGTATTGTTCTGTAAGCAGTTTTAGAAGTTTAAAAGCTCTCTGGAAGCACATGAACGCTTGATGCCCAAAATAGAGATGAGCTGGGGTTAATGTGTGACGGATGCATTACAGAGAAATAAGCTCTTATCACAGTTATGGAGAGGAGTATCACTACCATGGACTGACAAGCTAATTAGCAGAAGCATTAGTGTGCTCTCAGTGATGAATAGTACTGTGCAAGGAAGGCAAATAACCCCACCAAACAATGTCAACTTAACAAGCAACGCAAGAGGAAGCTGACTACTTTCTCATGCATTCATTAAGAGGGTTGAGATTATTGCAGGATCAAAATAGCACCTCAGCTTCACGGTATGCAGACTTACTTGATCTCTACAGAGTGATTGTTATTGACCTCAGGGCATGCACAGTGTTTATAAGAGAGTGTCCATCAGAGGCTGGCAGAGTGGTTCAGACCGGGATTTGAAAGTTCAAAGGATGGTGCTGTTGTGAAAGAGTGCGTCAGCCCCAGTTAGTTATATAACACTACTCATTAATAATGCATCATCAGGGGCTGCTTGACACATATTTCAGAAAAGACACGTCAGCATCCAAACAAGAAACAATCAGGCTCTTGACAGTGATGTGTCTGAGATGGAGGAGGAGGTTTATTACAAGAAATCTTTTCTAAAAACATGACTCACGTTGTAAAGATTACTTGTTAACGCACGTCTTTACTGACAAATTTTCTTGTAGATCATCCTGTTGTTTGTTTTAGTTCATCTGTCTTATCTTCTGTTTTTTGAAAAAATGAGGCTTACTTTGTCATTTCTTTGTTTATCATATTCTTTCATTCTTTCTTTTGCATCCTCAGTTTGTTAAAATGCAGTTGACTGATGCAAACATGAAGTATACAGAGTATTTTAAACAGACATTATGATCTCTACTGTAGGGAAGCAGAAGTGCTGCAGGACAGCATTGTTATAACCTAGCAACAGTAAAAACCAGTGAGATTTGCCTGTTGCGGGTTCTGTCAGTGCAAAAAAACGTGTCATTAGACTCGGCTCCTTGAACTGATGCTCCAGTGTGTGATTGGAAATATGGATAGATGTGCTTTATTGAACCTGAGATGCGAAACAACAGTACTGCAGAAGCAGGTTATTGTTACACTAAATCACTAAGGAAACATAAAAACATTGCTATCTTTATTTCTATTAGCAATGTTTTAATAATTGATTCTGTTTTGTTCCTTGGTTTTTGTCCTCTTGCAACACATCCTCTTTAAAGACAAAGTCAGTGTGTCTGAAAACTGTGTCACTTGGCTTACTTACAGTACAGTGTGTGAATTCATAAACTCCAACTGAATCATACTGTAGCTCAGTTTATCTATGTCTTTTACTGGGGTCTTTTACTCCCACTGCACCCCTCCCCCAAACTCACCATCTGCCAACAGAACAGACAGACCCCTGACCATCGGCTTACTGTGGGACAAAACCTGACCAGACTGACAAGCCTCCCACAACCCTCCAGGGCGGCCTGCTAGTTCACTTTCTGTGTGTTTGTGATCATTTCAGCATACTTGTGAGGACCAACAACTTATGAACAACTGTTTTGCAAATGACTTTCCTGCTTTTCAAAAGTCTTCAGAAATCAAATTCTTGGATGAGCTCTTGACTTATGAATGTTTAACTCTCTTCCTCCTGATGGTTGGCTCATATCTTGCACTATCACAGCAACTCTGGAGATGGTCGTCCCCACGGAGAACTTACAGAATGTTGTCGTTATAAAGTATTACAGACATGCGTGTGTGTGTATGAGTCTACAAGAACTGGGTAAAGACAGTAGACAGTAAAGTCTTTGCCTTTAAAGACTGGAGTTAATTCAGTTAATTTCGGGGATTTATTTTAAAGAGGACCACTGAGAGTTTGCGTTGACTTGAAGTTTCTTTCACAAGTCTGTTAGCCATCAAATACACAGTTATAGTTCAATTGCTTAAAAGAAAAACACTGAACAAGAAGAAACCTTCAGGCTGAAAAAAAAAAAGAAAAAAGAAAACAGAAGCGCCAAAAACTGCAGTTTCTCTTATGGCCACTTGGGGCTGACTCAAAAAGTAAGTCAGTTCCCATGGGGCCTATGTTAAAATGTCTGATTTTACTGCAGAATAAAATGTGTTTCCAGTCTGGTACTATTGTGAATATGGTTTCTGAAATTAATTTAACTATTCCTAACAACTCAATTTTGGTCTCTAAACTTTATTCATTCAGCTACCTTTGTGATGTTGGTGCCTGAGGAATAATCCCATTATTAAAAATGGTTATCTTACGGAGGGTTCAAAACGTGTGTAAGACATGTTGTTGTCAATTCAAGGAACTGTGTTAGTTAAATGTTAAGAAATAGGTGATGTTCAGTCAGTGGGTGGTTATGCAGATATTCTGTCATGCATTTGCTATATATCACTGTTTTCCACTTATTGCTCAGCTGCAGATTTTTTTTAAAGAAGTCCTATTGCTTGCAAGTATTTTAGCGGTATAAGTACAAGCAAAACAACAGTTAAGTTTAAGTTAAAGGAAAGTGACTCATCTAACCTAACTGGTTAAACTGGTCGTCTGTCAAATCACTGCCAGCAGCTACAGTAATGGTCCAAAGCAATGCCCACCTGGGACTAACTCAGTCCTTTTGTCCAGCAAATAAATGAGAGAGGAAGTAGTGCAGATTGAATCTTTTTGTCTCCCCGCTCTGTCACATAGAGGGCAAACACATTTTGTCTTTGTACGTTATGCATGCCACTTCACCTTGTTAGGGCCCTGAATAGTTGGGTATCTAGGCCAAGAGCTCCTTCGCCCATTTCTTGGCTTCCTTTGCTGGCAGGGGTTGAAAAGCTGTTGACTAATCAGCACAGATGCAGAGCTGCTAATTGGGACAGAAAAGCCTCAGGGGCTCCAGAGGAAGGAACCACAACTTTAGACATGCAACTCTGGTTGAACAGCTCAGACAGTGCACGGCCTCTCCTTGTTTCTTTTCATTGTCTCTATTTAGTTCATGTTGAGTCAAGTAAATATTTGGGTTTTGCATTTCACTGTGCAGAAAGATGATGAGAGTATAACACAGCCATTGAAAGTGATTGACTGTAACTGAGGTTTCACTGAGAAGTGAAACCAACAGGAGAGAACAGCATCTGTTTCTGTTTGTCCCTTTTGGTAATAAATACAAACCATGATTAGTCAGTCGCTGACTGGCCATCACTTTGTGGTCCAGCCTGGATAGATATAGATGCACAGTCTCTCAAGATGTGTTGTTCAGTGTAACCTGAACCGGTTATGGGTGCTTACACACCTGCTGCTTTTTTGCTTTGTTTGGATTCAGACGATGCACTTGGTTGCAATATTTTTCACGAGTCATTGACCATTTTGTCAAAAAATGGAAACCACTCTCAAAAATACAGATGTAAAACTAACTTGTGAGTAAGCGCTTTTACAAGGGGGACTTCCACCTTATTGCTGAACAGTGATGCATGAAAGCTGAGGAATTCTGACAGAAGTATGTAGGTTGTTGAACCAGTTGATGTTGTCAAGTACTGAACTGCTGCTATGCCTACTGCAGCTATTTTACTCATGTTTAATATCATAGAAATGGTGAGTACGTTGACTGTAAGCTTAAGTAAGCTTTTTTTACAGTTCCGCTTGTTAGCAGTTGTTAGGTTGATACTTACTGCAAACAAGCTGCTCCACAAGTCAAGACCACTTGATGATGGTCTCAGCTTGCTTGTATTGTTCCCCATCAGAGTACGACTGCAGTGTTCACAGATGTCCAAACAGCTCAGGCTGGCAAACAAAACTTCTTTATCTGACTATTTCTTTACATAAAAAACAAACAAACAAAAAAACCTATTCCTGCTCTTTCCACTGTCCTGTCCTCCCTGAACAAAGGCATAAAAACCCCAACATGTAACGTAACCTGTTGTGGTGCAGTGAAGTAGGGGTGTGCGAACAGAGACTCAAACTCAGAGTTTTGGCTGTTTAAGTTGTTTCAGAGCTGGAAGCAAAAACATGTCATGATGTCTTTATAAAGACCTGAAACTGAAAATTGAGACGATAACATCGTGTGTTTTTAAGTATGGTTTCAGATAACTGAATTTCCTCTTGTTAGCTCTTAAGTCTCCCCTCCACAAGCCAACAGAAAGAAACTCATGCTACAGGCACTTCTACGTTGACTTCATATTTGAAACTGAAGCTCAGATCAGCTTCTTCAATCTTTGGTTAAGGCGGCAGTTTCTCTGTATTTCTATTGTTTCACAAGCCAAAGATTCACAGAAGGTTCATCAGTTTTTGGAAGTCCCAGCTAGAGACTTCTTTAAGGCAGCTGAGGTAATTATTTTGGATTCCCTCAGTAGTCATAACTTCTCTTGGGACAGCTGGTTGGACAGTGTCTTGACTGTTGTCTCACTCTGAGCTAATGTTGTCTGGGCGAGCTGGCTTCATTATTCTCAGATTTAAGATTGTGCTGCAGCTCAGGATCAGCGCGGTCTGTTCAGTGTTCTGCCAGGCAGACATGTGGAGACAGGTGATAGCACTGATAACAGATGAATCTTAGGATCAAAGGCTTTGTCCATGTTGAGGACTCTACCTCTGTTCAGCCTCTGTTCTGTACTTCCTGACAACTTTATTGGCTCTTCAAACTACACATGGAGGAAAGTAAGTTAAGAACATTTTATTCTGCACAATTTTGAGGCCCTGGTCCAAAGTGAAAAGGAACTTATAGACCTGGAAAAGTTTTGACCTGTATCTCCACTGTTAACCATCTCCTCTCACAACTCTTCTCATAAGTCCTTGTTGCGTGTTCTGTGTTATGTACACATATATGCATTTGGTTAGCCCAAGTAATGTAGTCAGGAGAACTTAATATCTTCGCTCTCAGACAAGAGCCCAAAATGTTGATGTTTTCTTCACGATTTTTTACATCATGGTGTTATACAGTAGAATGTTTGACCCCGCAATTGCTTATTTCAAGATGTTTAATTTACCTCTGCATGTTTCCTGTCACAATAGCTTGGTTGTCTCCTGAAGTTTTATCCTCTAATATTGTGTTTTGTGTCTTTGGCTGTTTCCTTATGGTGGGTTATGTTATGTTGTGGTCCACTGCACGGTAGTGTCTTATTACTGTACATCTCATTACTTTGTGTCCTGTCATATTGTTACTCACTGTGCTGTGTTGAACTCTATTATGGAATGTATGTTGTGTTAGGTTAAATTGTCTTAAGTCAGTGTTTATGTTGCAGTGTATTGTGTTGAACTAATTTACATTATGTTTTTTATGTCTGCAAACCACAGATATCTGTGTGCTCAAAAGACAACTTTGATATTCATTCTGACGCAGAACTCAAAACTTTCATGAAGTCCTGTTTGCTTGACCTTTAACCTCTTCCCATCTCTTCACTTTCATGTCCTTCAGCTTTATATTATGTCATCTGCCTCTGTAATGATTTTCCTTCCACCAAAAGAAAAAACCTGACAGGCTTATTTGAACAGTTCCCATGGTAACTGCATTTATATTTCAAGTTTTAGTCTTGTACAATGTTTATTCCTTTCTTTTAGAAATATTTTGTCAATGTGTAACTGCATTATTCCAGCATGACCTTAGCTCAAGCTGGGTAGAAAATTCTTTAATAAGATGGATAAGTTTCCTGTTCTGCTCCATTGTACAGTCCTCATACCGTACATTTGGCTTTGGTATACCTTCAGATTACAAGGCTGCTGCTGTGAAGTTCTATATGTGAAGTCTTACCTCAACCCCTTGACCTTTGCACCTCCCGGGATCTCCCAGGAGATGGGCATTGTTGGCAACATATTTCCTCCTTTTTTGTCATGACTCTCATCCGCTCTCACACCCCTGTATACTCCTGGGTAAAAAGTCCTCAGGGAAGGCATTGTGGAAGGGTTTTTTTCTGTCGTCATCTATAGACCTTTAATTCATCATGAGGTATCCCTCCTTAAATGAGGGAAACGTCAAATTCAAGAGCAGAAACTCACATGACAAAGGTCTGAGGTCAGCACTTATTTCCTGTCTATGTATTGTTTCTGTTTTGCTGTTAATGAGCCTCATGGGAAACATGAATGTTCACAAAATGTTTTCTTTTGTTGTAATCAACACAATATGATACTGACTTTCTTATTTAGTGGCTCAAATGTGTCAACTGTTCATGAGCTCTCAAGACATTTGATCAGGATGAATCAATATATGTTTAAATATTAAAGTTAATATCCAATATCCAGTCATATGATATGGAGGAGGCTCCTATGTGACCACAGCTGCACAACCCTGTGTTTTTATTGGCTTCAGTCTATGTCTTAGTGTTTTATATTGTTGTAAAGATCTGTTTTGCGAGATGCATCCAAGACAGAAAAAATGTAACGTCTGCACTTTCAAATGTACTGTACAATAATGTATTGGCCTAAGTATACTGAAAATTAAAATAGTGATTGTGGTAAACTATTGATGAGGAACCTCAATGTAAAGCAGCTATAACTATTGATGATAACATAAAAAGTACACTTAATGAAAATAAATCAATGTGTTCACTGAAATACAAAGATGATCGATGCACATATTTTATGCTGATCCACAAAGCATAAAAAACATGATTGGATATATCTTAACAAATTATTGATGAAAATGCCAAATTTTGCAAATCCAGAAGAATGGACAACTGCTGTCTTTAGGTAACTCAAAGTTGTTGTGGAAAAGTAACTTTAAAGGAAAAGCATAAACTCTGTTTAGCATTTCTTACAGTTTGTTTAAAATACAAGCCTTAAAACCCTCCGTATTGTTCAAATGCCTCTGTTTTCACTCTGTTTCCTCTGTGTGTGCTCGTATCAGTTATCAGCACTTTTGAACTCTGCAGGAGATGCTGAGTGCTTGTCTCTGCTGACCGTTCACTGTGACTGAAACCAGAGCGGCCACCATAATGGCATCATTGATCACTGGCAATCCCCCCCCAAAGCTTTCACTACCATGAGAAGTATTTCAGCAGCAGAAAAAAAGCAGTCTTTATCTTGGTGAGAAGCTTGATCTGCACTGGATTTACCCCCCGGGCCTGATGTGCATTTAGTCCTGTTCATGACTGAGTTTTCTCTCAGACCTTCAGGGAAAAGAAAATGTGTATTTTTCTGCCTAAGGGCATTCGCCTTGTTTTTAAAAACCAGTGTAAATGCTTCTTCACTTTCATGAAGAGCTGTTATTTTTCACTGGATAATTTAATCATTTGGCTGTCATTTTTTTCAAGGTCCCAAATTTGCTTTTACAAGGGAAACTAATCACATATAGAATAAGAGTAACAGAAGCACATTGGATAACATCTTTTAAAGGCAACCCATGTTTCATTCATTCCATAACATTTCTTCAGACTATGTCAGGAGAACAGATTTTATTAATGTTCTATTTGTAGAACTTAGCAATTGAATAAAAACATTTTGATCAGAAGATGTGAGACTAGTTTTTTCAGGCATTTTTCTAGATTTGCTTCCACCCTCATCCTCAGTACAGCATCTTCTCATCAAACTGACACATAATTACACTCATGAATTAATAAAGTAGCTACTCCTGGTTCGAGTATTTACCAATTATGCCTTCAAAATTGAAATAACCTGTAAATTATTGATTGTTTGGCAACCCACCTCAATCACAAACTAATATTTAGCCTTTACAGGGATTTTCCTCAGCTCTCAGCAGTATGACAGCATCTGTGTTTTAGTAACAAACTCATATCTTCCTTGATTTACAGCAGCCACTTTGAAATCTGATTATTATGATTAGATTATCTGTTGGCCTTTTTAAGATGGTCTGCAGCACCATGTGCCATTTAAGTTGCAGTTGTTAAGTGTCTCTGCTGCTTTCATGACCATTGTCTCAGAATAAGGGGTGCTGCAGGTCTAGCTGTCTAAGTACATGGTCCATATGCAAAGATTATTCCTCAGGCCTATAGCCCAGGTTCAACTAGCCTGTGGCTCCTTGCCCACTTGTCACTCCCTGCTTTTTTTCCCCAATTCTTGCTCGGTCCTTGGATGTATCCTGTATATAAAGGCGTGAAAAAAGCTAAAAGAAAAAAATATAAAAAGATATATCTTAAAATTAGCATCCCAACTTGGCCCTGGTCGATGAATAACTTAGCATTAAGCGCCATTATTGGTCTGGTTGATCACTGTGTCTCTCCATCTTTTGTCCTTCTGCTTCTGTAGTTGTGAGTGACAGCTGGCCTCAGTCATTAAAGTTACACATGCTTTATAAATAACTTGTACCAGCTACTGTTGTAAATTAATTTTTCCATTTAAAAATCTAGATCATAAATATAAGATCACTGTGCTTTTACAATTGTACTTCAAGGAAAAAACCTACTTCAGATTAATAGGAGTACTTGTTGGCCTACTTTGAACATTTTTAGTTGTGATTACACTCCACAACATGAAATTGCTCCTTGAAGATCTGATTCTATCATTGCCATGTACAAATTAAATTTACACTCTTTAAATCTGAGCACTCTGGGCCTTTTAGAAAGGTTTATTAATAGGCTTAATTAATATTTCATAAAACGTTATACATAAAAGGAAAAGGTAATGGGTATTATTTTAAAACCAGCATAATACCCTGGAAAAAAAGCCAACACTACAGTGACAGAAACTATTTTGAGGCTGTATGATGAAATACCAAGAAGCAAACAAGAGCACAGTTGCCTCCTTCAAATAAAAACTGAGACAAATGCAGTTGCAGCAGCATAAGTTAGTATTTTAAGCATTATTCATTAAAGATGTTTCAAAATCGATTCATTGCAGCTTGATTTATTAGCTTTAATTGATCTTTGCTTTCTCGCTCAACCTGGTATTGAAGTAGACATTAATGTACTGTGCGTTTAAATCTAAAATAGTCCCGCCCTCCACTGTATGGACCAATCAGCGGCTCCGACACACAACCCCTCTCTGAATTCGCCACCAATCAGAGTGTGTCTTTTACCACCAGTAGTGCGGTGCAGTTACTTTAGCAGTCTGGTGAAATTCATCTTCAGTCGAGCAGGGCAGTAAGGCTGTTCATAGTGCGGGTGTAGCGGTGTATGTGAACAGAAAATGCCCGGAAAGTGACACCATAGGCCGGCAGCACTGTCCGGATATTAACGCTGGATTCTGTGGAGATATCCTGACCGACAAACCATAGTCTCCTGCGACGTATCCGCAGCATTAGGTAGGTTTTTGGCGTCGTAACGTCCCCCTCTTCTTTCCTTAAGCCCAGGAGCTACGACAATTAAACGCACACTTTAAAAAGGGGGTTTTGACTTACAGAAATGCGCCGTCTTATTAGCTTTTACGAGGCTATCATTCTTGTTTTAATGTGTGTTACATAATTGCTAGTGTGTTGTCAGTACTGGAAAATCGTACCCAATCAACATAAATACGATACAGATTAATAAAATTAGCCGGAGGTGCATGTTGACAGACAGCGCTGTTACGTGCCTCGCCGAACTGCACACAAATCTGTCATGATTTTGGACAAATGTTTTCAGGTTACACGCATTGAACACTGACGCAGATACTTTCAACAGCAGACAATTTTTCCCAGCTATTCGGCTGGCTTTTTAATCATATAAAACTTGGGACACGTCCTCAATCACTCTGCTTCTGTAACCGCATGTCTACAGCCCTTTTCTAACCAAAACAGACCCTGCTGGGTGCGCAGGGGCGGATCCTGACTTTTTTGACTGGGGTGGCCAGATTAGGGCTTTGACTCATGCAGGGGGTGGCATGGAGTATGTGGACACTCAACCAAATAAGTAATATTTTTTATCCGTGAGTCTCTGTTGATCATACTTTGACCACTATACATCAAAGAAATGTTAAATTCCTGTATAGAGTTTTTCGAATGTAAAAAGTTACATGACAGAATGGCAACAGAAAAATCTACAAAGCTCAAATCTTGCTGGACTTAAAATAAGATTCTTGTCCAAAGCCATTAAAGTTAGTCGGAAACTTGCAAATAGTCTACATGCTGTCTAAACAGCAGTAAATAAATTTATTGGTTCAGTTTCGGAGACATTGTGCAGGAATGTGCACAGATATGTTGATGAAGAAATTTCTCTCCATCGAGGCCAAGACTCTTAACATTCCCTTGTGAGTGTCACAATAGAGACTGTAACCAGAACCAGAGCAGAACAACAGGTTTATGTGTGGGATAACTTTAGTGGTTAAATGCCAGCCAAAAAACATAAAGGTGGTAATGTTTAATAAGCTCTACTTTGGCTTTCTGTAGATTATAACATCATTTAATTGCAAATTATAAATAAATTTGTGGTGGTATACAAAGCAGCCTTCTAGTAAATTTTATTTGATGTGGCTTTTTACTTAGCATGTGTTTGATGCCTTTTAAATACTGCTTTTGTATCCTGTGTTACACTGGAGAGATGTGGCCTCTGATGTCTGCAAAAATTGATTATTCATGTTGAACTGGACAAACAGTACTGTGTTTGTTACTGCTGTAACCAGGCATTACTTTGTTGTCTTTTAATCAGTACATTATTAACTGGAATAATAAAAAAAAATCCACCAGCCCACTTTCCCAGAGCTCAAGGTAATTTTTTTATATGGCTTTATTTTATCAGTCTGAAACCCAAACATGATCGGTTTAATTTGGATTGAAACCAAAAGAAGCAGGAAACAGAATATCTGATGCATTAAAAACAGCATTTTCTGCCCTTTTGCATGCATGTCATTTATAATATTAGTACATTAACATCAGTATCTATCAGCATAGAAGGCCTCTGTTCTCATGCGTTCCAGTAAATTAATCCAGCTGTACTTGTTTTCCTCTTAAATCTGACCAAGTTGTTGTTTTTTGACCAGAACAGATTTTAGACAAACTTCACAGATTACCAAGATGACAACAAACTTTAAGTCTGTAATGAAAAGTCCTTGTCTAATGTGGATGCAGTATCACTTTTGCAACAAAATAGGGACACTAAGAAACCAGGAAAGTTGCTTTTTTGTCATTTAAAAGATAGTAATCGATATTGGCAACTTGTCCTCTTGCTGTGCATCTTGCTCTCTAATGCAAAGATTTCTAATGTACAGCAAACTGTGTAGGGAGTATCAGAAAACTATGAAGATGGACTTCATTTTTCCTAAACTTCCTGGGGTCATTTTTTGCATTTATTAGGTGAAATAGCTGAAAAGAAACAAGTACAAAGTAGTGGATAATGTGACACAGGCCAGGAGTGGGTCCATTTGCTGCAACAAGGACTAAAGTCTCTGTATATGGGGCATGTCATTTGACCCCTGTGCTAAACAGGAGATACTGATTATAAATCATATGTAGCATTTTTTTCTGCTATATTTTCTTTGTAAATAAGCAGTCACCAGAGAAAAAAAGAACATTATTATCAAAGTGTATTCAACATTATGAAACTGCTGCATTGTTGTGCAACTTGCACATAGCTGTAATACCTTGTTACAGTTGCAGCAGAAGGAAAAATCATGCAGGCGCCTTTCCCAAATGTAACCGAAAAAAGGCTCCAAACAGGGACACACATAACTAAATCTGATAATATTCAACATTGTCAATCAATTGCTGAAAGTTTGAAATGTGCAGCAGATAGCGCTTGGAATATCAGAAACTGAAAGGACATCATTTTCAACTAACCCACATTTTTCTCTGCAAGTTGTCATAAAAACAAACAAACAAACATAACGTTATTTTAGAGGTTTATTTTCATTTTCATTCTTGTGCATTGCTGGGATATTCTATTTGATGCACTTTACAGTTCTGACAGCATGAGTAACTCTGAGAAGACACTAATTCTATGCAACCCAAAGACAAAGAAGCTCCAAGATGCAGAAAAACACAACTTCATCAAAACATCTTTAATGCTCTTGGCCGGTTTCATAGCTTTTCAACTGGTGTGAAACACTGATGCTTTGCATGTGCAGTAGACAGAGTCAAAAGTACCTGCAAACTGTTCAGACACCATTTCTCTGTCACCCAGTCATTATTGTCTTTTGCTCAATAAGTGCTCTATGCAGCAGACAGTGCTAAAAGTATGAGAAAACTCTGGAGAAACAATTTGAAAACCACCACAAGTAATTTATGTGCTTTATTTTTGTATTAGGGAGCACACCCATTGAAGTCCTTTGTGATAGGCCCATGCACGCCCGATAATATCATCCCTCTGTCAGAGTGTACTGAATTGAACATTTCTGCTCTTTTGTACAGAAAATTCACCCATAATCCAAAACCCGAATAATCCGTATATTTGCCAACAACAGCTTAATTTAATGACTTTTCACTTCTTGTTGTTTCCCATGTTATAGCCCAGGCTTGTGGGTAAAAAGATCATTGGCAGCTTCCCGTTTTCTCTGCAATGCTTATTGAGGATACCACAACAGAGAAAAGAAATAAAGGAAATACTTGCCTGTCAGAGTTTTGTTCAGTGGATTTAGAAACTAGAAATTGTAGCCCGCAGGCTAACAATGATGAATGTTCATGAAGATATACTGTAGCAGCCTCAGAGAGCTAAGAAAGAAAAACAATTTGCATTGGCCTTCAAGGGGCACAGACTACCAGTGTCTGGGTTGCAGGGAGCACATCTGCTGTGTGCAGGTGGTCTGAGGGGAAAAAAGACTAGAGTCCAGTTGAGTTTTTCCTCGGTGCTGGCTGCTCTCTGTGGGTCAGCCTCCACAGCTGCAGAGCGGGATCAGTTGGACTCCAGCTCACTTATACCCTCATTTCCTCGTCTGAAAGGGACACCCACTGCTGCATCACAATTATTACATTCAGTGAAGCAGCTGTCTGATCACTGAGCCCTGAAAGCTGCAGAGAAGGCCCACGTCTATTACAATTCTCCAAAATAAAAGCTGGCTGCTCAAGGGCGTGAGAGCACGTATTCATTCAGCCGACCAGAATAGTTGTGCTCAAGGCCAGAGATGTCAGTCGCTGTCCTTAGTTTGGCCTCAGTAACAAACTCTTGATTGATGGCTCACTGTTTGTTTGCTGTTAGTGACTGAAGATAGAGAGTAATTCTCTAATGCAATTTGCAGCTAACACAACACAACGTTATTGAAGTTTTTCCAGCCTTTCTTTGGGTTTGCCATCAAAAAAAACATTGTAGAATTGCTCCAGTGGATTGCGTCAGTTTGTAAAGAGAGAGATTGCAATGGCTGCAACATTATCCACGGGGACGAATACAGCTGATCAAGGAACCATTTCTGCTGAAGTTATTGTTTTTGTCTGACAGTGTCATATTTTTATTCTGTTATTGCCTCGAGACAATCCTTAAAGAGAGAAATATTGTCATGGCCAAAGTCCTTTTTCTAAACAAGAAACAGCTGTTACATTACTCGCTTAAAAACCACCAGACAATAATTATTTTTCCTTACCAAACACTGGAATTGCTGGAAAATTTCTGCACCTACTGGCAGGTTCTTTTGGGATGCACAGGTATTGAGTTGTATCTAAAGTAACAGTTTAAAACACTAGAACATGTATTTTCTAAGATATTATATGAATTTTTGTTTTCATGATGTGACATAAAACCCAGCATGTCACTTACTCTGCAAAATACAGCCAACACACGCCAGGAGAATTCACACATGCTCACTAAATATGATCAAGCTGTACTCGACTGCACATGCATATTGAAAACACATGTAGTGTTCCCCTTCACAACAAGCTAGCATAGCTGCCTACATGTTTTAAGTTAAAAATGAGTCAACAAACAGCACCGGGAGACAACACACAAACACCACCAGCCTCAGAATTGACATATCTTACTGCTGCATGGGGATTGTCCTCAGTCGCATTGAGGTGATTTGGCTTTGAAAGTTGAATACTGCTAAAAAGAAAACATCTGCGGACTGTGATGGATAGCAGTTGCCAATAAAGACAGCCTGATGAGTAACTTGTTTCCCTTAAATAAGTCTGACAATGCTCTTGTTTTCTCTGGAGTAGAAAAACCACTACATGTTACAGAAACACAAAGATTATTATGGAAAGCTGCTGGTCTCACAAAACGAGTGGATTTTACAGTGAGTTGGTATGTCACACTGTTTTATGTTTAGAGCTAATGTCGTAAACACAACCATTTTTGTGTCATGTTCAATAGTAGTTTCAACTGCAACTGTCTCCTGTCTGCTTTGACTACTTCATTTGCTCTGACTGCCTCTCGTGCGTCATGTCAGTTGCGTGCAGAACCAAGTAAATGTCATCAATAAGGGAACCATTACGTGGAAAGGCAAATGCCATTTATATCTCAAACTGGTTAGGACCGGCTTTCATCTAAAAACTCATACAATACAATAACAATGGAAACAAAATACTGTTGATTATCTGCGTAAACTAAGTTCCCAAAAATGTTAAGAGATATTCGTATACTTTTATCATCAAAGCAGTTGTGTACATACAACGGTTTAGGGATAGTTTGGGTAGTAAGACAGCTGCTTTTTTTCTGGAGTGGAAACTTTGAGTATGATAAAATGGTTAAAAACCACAACCTTTCTCAGTGGCAACCCTTTTTGTTAGGCTTTTGCACACTGATAGTTACAGTCTCTTAGTGACAGGGAAATCTTATATTTCACATATTTTCACAAGTGTAGAAATAACCCCGGATTAACACAAGATTAAGATTACATCTTTTTAAGATGCAATCTTAAGCTTCAGTTTGAACAAGTCAACCAAAACAGTTTCGTCACCTTTCTAAACCAGCAGTTCTCAGTTTTAGAAATTTACAGTAAAGGAGCATTTACACAACTTTATAGGAGAAAAAAAGAAAACATGTTTGTTCTTGACAAGTGTTACACTTGCGCTCTGAGCCAACATGTTGTGTGACCACCCACACAGTGGTCAGGCTCCTCACACTACACACCACATCTCAGTGGGAAATGAATGGGCACACTAACTGTGTTTCTTGTCATATAAACTGCATGCATGCAGCGCTCAAAGTAGGACATGTTTTGAGATTGCATGATGGAGACCTGATGTTAACACCTTGTTGGAGTAATGCAACAATTCCTCAGTGAATCTAGAAATGCTTGCTAAAACTTTAAAATAACATGAAAAGGTTAAAAGGCAGTATAATCATTTCATTTCTAGTTTGATGAATATATGAATTGTAGGCTTGGCGTTTCCCAGTTTACAGGAAGCACTAACAAGCTGGCGTTCGCCGCTTAAGTGGCACTTTCTGAGGGTTGCTGATTTCTAGCTTTAGCTTTATCTGTTGTACACAGGCTTTTGTGGTGTAACCTCTTGCTGGTTTTACATAAATGGTGAATTAGCAGTTTATTGTGCAGGCTAAAAGCATGCAAATGAATTCTCCTGAATGGCTCCAGATATTAACAGTCTCCAGAGCAACACTCCCACACTGATGGCTCTGACAGCACAGGTTTATTTACTGCTTCACAAATTGTATTCTGACTAGTTTGCTACTCAGTACCCCCCCCTTAAACCGTCACACACTGCGGTGTTACTCCAGATTTCCTCTGTGAGTTCCTCTGCCAGTCACTTCCCTGATTACCCATGTGTCAGTCAGTGTTTATGACCCTGCTTGGTGTGCATCTGCTGCACTGTGAAGGTGAAGCTGAATTAACCTAAGTGTTGCGTTGCTTTCAAAGAGGTCACTGAAATTGATTGTGCTAAATGCACTGAACCACACACGCACACTCAGACCCACACAGGCAGTGGTGCCGTGGTTAAAAGTGTGACTTTGTGCGAGCTGCATGCGAAGTCTAATCTGATGTAGAAAAATTATTGACAGTGAGTGGGTTTTCGCAGTGTGGGAGTGACATTTGAGTTTGCACATGTCATGATAGAGGAAGCTGAGCGTTTGCAGCTGTGCTCAGTCAAAAAGCTATTGTCAGTCTTACTGTTTCATGTCACTTGAACTGCTAATCCAGGGTTTGATTTGGTTTTAAATAAGAAAACCTTTAAAGCCTTACAAATGAAGTCGGCTGAATTGGACTATTTCAGGAATCCGAAAACAAACACACTTACTAAAACAAAAACACACTGCCACAGCATGTGGGAGGAAGGTCATCTGAAATGAAAGACCGCAGCAAAGAGTCACTGCTAGAGGAGGCAACACTTCAAATATCATTTTGTGTTCACAGGAGCACCATCCATCACTCTTTGTCAAATTCGAGGTTATACTGGCATAAAATAGACATATCTTTATTATGTCACAATAATACAATTAGAGCTGCAGCTATTGAATATTTTAGTAATCGAGTATTCTACTGAATATTCTGTCAATTACTCAAGTAATTGGACCCAAACGGCAGACTCACATAAAGTTAGCTTTCCTATAGCCCCACAATGAAGGCCAGACTCGGAGAAATAGAGGACAATCACGGAACAAGCATATGCGTTAGAAGATTGCAATGCTCGTAAGAAAGCCAATCATGATATTAGTTTTCATCGTGTCACTAAAGACATTGGTGTCCGAGAGATGAATAGCTCTGCTACGACACCAGCAATGTTAGGCTTCAAGCTAGCGTTAAGAGAAGTGTGCAGAGCAGTGCTGTCTCCACCCACAACTCAGAGGCTAAGTGCAACTGAGCTACTAGTGCGCTGCACAAGAAAACAATGTTGCCAACTCCCCAGTAAGGAAAGTTGCTAGTGGCTGTCGTAAAAGTAGCTAGAAGTCGCTAGATGACGTCATTGCCTAATTTGCATAATTTCTCAGTCAAACTCACTACCCCCCTTCTCCCCCCTTTCCCTGGAGGATTAGAAGGAGGAGGAGAAGTCTTCTTTGGGGTGTCTGTCAGTTTCTGTGTTTTAGAAGAGTAATAATGATACCTGCTTTCATGTTAGAGTCTTTAAATTTCAGAAAAAGTTGCTAGATTTGTAGCTCGGCACTTTTTGAAAGTAAACGCCACGGGGGTCTGAAAAGTTGCTAAAGTTGCTAGGTTGGCAACACTGCAAGAAAAGCCCCTCTCATCATTTATTTTTTCCGCTCTGCAAAACCTAAACAGCGCTTACTCCTCCTTCTACCGTGGTGACGTAAGCGCATTGTGTCATCTTCTAAAGAATCTGTGCGAAACAGTGAAGATTTGAGCTTATAAATGAGTACTCGAGGCAGAGAAATTCCTCGATCATTATTTGTAATCGAGGTACTTGAGGTATTTGAGGAATCGTTTCAGCCCTGAATACAATATCATTTAGCAGACACTTGTATTCAAAGTGATGTACATATGAGTACAAGAACAACACAAGCAAAGATCTAGATAAGCAGAAAAAAAGATCAGTAAGAGCAACAAAGTGCATCTGGGCACAGGTGCTGCCAAGCAGTGTAAAAGGTAATGCACAACAGTGATTAGAGAATTTTATTTTATTTTTATGAATAAGGGACATCAACAATGAAGCAATCACTCAATATAAAAGCTTTCATTGTGGCTGTAAACAGTCAGCATGTTTTGCTCTGGTGGAAGAAATAATATAAGCTTGGTACCAAGGCAGGTGATGTGACTAGTTCACCAGAGCCCCCTGACTTGACTTTACACCAGTGGACACACTTGTGCTCCCTCTCCTTTATGTAACAGAAGAAATGTGGTGTTATTTCAGATGAATCCTAATAATAGTCTTTACAAAACCATTACTGTTACAAATAACACACGTTGAAGATTTTGACAGTTTAAACCCAGCACCATGGAGCCACATTTAAAAAAACCTGCTGCTGCTGTTCCCTCCCTTTCAGACGAAGCTCTGTAATGTGTTTTCACAGCCAACATAAGTCATGCTCACCCGATGAAATGAGAAATGAGTTTTCATGTGGATCATTTGCAGCTCATTGTTAATGAGGGGGTTTTCTTGTCGAGACAGTTTGTTTAATGCTCTCTACACTCATGAACAAGGTGATCTAATGCTGTTAGAAAGTCATAGTGAAGCCACCACTCCCTGTGTTATTCAACCCTCCCTCATCTAGGCCTTGTGCTCTCATTGTCGTGTGTGTGCGTATGTGTTATCTTTTAATGTGGAAAAAGAAAAGAGTCATAACATTACCCTTCAAACTGCTCATTAAATTGGTAGAAACAGTGAAGCAGACTATAGATTGTACATAACTGAAATACTATGAATATTTTCCACCAGGTTGAGTGATTAAACAAACATTTAATAAGACGGGTGTTTCCAGAAGGGGAGATTATTTTCTGCAGGAGGAACTGTCAGAGTGTGTCGGCTTTAATTGGACTCTGTCCATTCTGAACACGCAGGCCAGGTCCCTGCAGGTCATAAACTGTGCGACAGGTGCATAAGCAAATGAAATCCCCGCAGATCCCAAGGTTGACTCAAGGTTTGTACAGTTAATGGAGGGAGGAGGGCGGCAGTCTTCACCTTCATGTTTGATTTTTTTTCTGTCTCGTAAACCCTGCAGACAAGTTTGCATGCAGGAGAAATGTGTGTTTGTGTGGAGAGGTGTTCAGTTGCTCTGTTGGATTAGTTTGCACATGCAGAAAAAAGGCTTCTTTCCATACTGTAGCTGGAGGTTGATTGGGTTTGCCCTAAGTGTGTGATTTATGTCAGAGCCTGAGGGGCAGAGGTTGTGGACAGGCTAATGGGCCACAGTTTCTGCTGATTGATCTTGCAGGAATTTAAAAGATCCCAGTTCTGATTGGAAACTTAATAAAGGCTGAATGATTAGTCAGGCAGAGGATGACAGCTGTAAAACAAGCCTGCACAAGCATGGCCACTGGGATCACTGAGGTTTCTCTGACAGCTTCCTTCTTTTTTTACTTATGGGTTCTTTGTTCTTGTCCTCAGATTCCACTCTTTTCTTTTTATTCTTTTTTTATTGCTTTTCTTTTTCTTGTTGTCCTTTACTTGTTCACTGCTTTTACCTCTGTCCTCCTTTCACATATGGCTGCATGATAGTTTGTATTACTGCAGCTCAATATGTTGAAGATACAGCAGTCCACTATTGAGTCTGCGACTTCCTCATGCAAAAACTTTGATGCTTACCAATCTAAGTTTATGATGATGAAAGGAAACGAAGACCTGTTTGGGGCTTTAACTCTATGGCTACTTAATTCTGTCTTGTACAGACACAACTCTTGAAACTGAGGTTTTGCTCTTTCAGCCATGCCCTTTCACCCTGATCTTTGTGCTGCAGGCAGAGATACATACTGTATGTGTATGTTGTGTGACTTAAAGCAGCGAGCATCTACTTCCTTAAAGTGAAGTGGTGAACTTGTTGTTTACACAGAGCTCAATCTCATGGCATTGCTGACCCTCCCTGTAACAGCTGATAAGACCAACTCGGTTCGCTGATCCCAGTCCCTAAAATATGAATAAATGCTGCTTTCCATTTCTCCGATCCTGTAATGTGGAATAATAGCAGACTGGAGCATGTTACTGTTGACCTTTCTTTGGCTTAATTTCGTCCATTTCCAAAAAACACGTGTACAGAGTTAAATATAGAGCATTACAAGTACTGCCGTACTTTTGATCACATTCATGATAACACTGTGAGATAGAATCTCTGTGATTTATTACAATTACAGCTGAGCTGCCATGTGCAACAGCAAAAACACAGGTCATAACACATCAAACTTTTGCACAAAGCTGCCAGAAGGTAAGCATGATCCCTTCAGAAGGTTTTGGCTAATGTAAATTATAGAACATCATCGTCTACATACTTTATCAGATTTAATTTGTGTCTCAATGTCAGGGACAGGCCTGCAGCAGAGCAGCAATTATGTAAACAAATGTACGAACAGTGTCGCCATCATGGATGGATGTTTGGAGCTGTCTCAAGAGTAAGTACACAGTGTAAGAGATTTCAAACTCAGTGCTTTAGGCAATTAAAAGCTAAAAAGTACTTTCTCATTGGTTAGTTATGACTGTTTTTCTGCCAGCATTCAACTGGCCTGCCAGGACAGCTGGCATCAAACACCGGATCATCAAAAAGATGGAAATGGAAATGAATTCAGTGTTCTTTGCAGATGGTTGTTTGGTCAGAGAGCTTGTTTTGAATATCAGAGGACTGTTAATGAGAGCTTTTCAGACGGACTCTGGACACTCAGTAAAGTATGAGGTTGCTTGAGCCGGAATCAAGCAATTTGGTCTGATCTTAAACTGAAACCTTTGGGTTACTCAAAACCAAAGTTCAGACATTTTTTACCAGACTGTTCTTCCTTTAGTTTTAATATCATAGTGATGTTGGTTTGGTCACGTCTGTCAAACTTAACTTAACCTCTCAGTTATTTTAGGGAACAAGATGCAGTCTGGTCTGGGTTTATAACAAGCTAAGAGGGTGAGGAAGAGGACAGTGGTTAAATTAGGCAGCACTACATTGCCAATTTGTTATTTTGAGTTCTTCATATCATCACAAAAAGATACTCTTCAAGCCTTCATGAGAGCAAACATGAACCGCATCAGTTACTTGATGGTAAAGCAGAAGTTTTAAAAAGGACAGCAAACTGCTGTAGAGTCTGTATTTTGGCTGTTGTCAGTCTCACTTATGTCTCACTGCTGAGCTTCAGGACTTCAAGAGTCATCCCTATTAAGTGTTGAGGTGTCGATGAGGTTTGGTTTCACTGTTGCTCCGCTGAGAGCAGCCTCTGCTTCCCCTAACAGATCAATGGGAAAAATCTCCTGCCAGAAGGATACAATATCAGTAACAGGAGAGAGGAGTCTCAATTAATTTAACACAAACACATTTCAGCGCCGGTGCGAGGTGTAACACGAAACGGCAGTGAATCTCAACCGCAGTTTGTTATCAGTCGGCCAGTCAGTGCGCTTTAACAGGACTCAGATCTTTTTCTTCTTTCCTGGATTTTCATAGTTGTATTCATGAGACCCCCCATCAGCCTCCTCTACAGAATGATGTGTCAATATTACATGATCAGAGAACAAAACTTCTTGATAGGTCATAGTTTCTAAATTCAGGTATCCAAAAATGTAAATTTGTCAAAGATTGCATTTGATGTTTTGTTCCAGTCTTTGCAAATATTGCCCTAGATTTGAATAAAACTAATTTGGACTTAACTTGTTCAGAGTTTGTACATAGAACACTGAAATCAAATTTCAATATCTCACAGCTTTTGTTTTTGCTGGTACTGGTAGTATTGCTCATTACACACGACTAAACAAAACTGTGAAATCTGTCATTTTTAGTCATCATGTGTGAGGTGTCTCACATTTTCAATATCTGTTATTACTCCCTGAAAAGAGAGGTCAGATTATTTATTATTATTATTATTGTTGTTGTTGTTGTTATTAACATAATATATAAGTATTCTGATCCACTTTCATCTGACTTATCTGAGTTGTCCCTGAGTTTCTCTTCAGCGATAAATAAAGTTCTTGTTCTTGCTCTTCTTCTAGTGCTTGTTCTTCTTCTGCCTCTTCTGCGTCTTCTTCTGCTTCTTCCTCTCCTTCTTCTTGTTGTTGTTCTTGGTTTTTCTTCCTCTGATGTGTACAGCTTTTCAGCTTGTGAGGTAATGTTACATCCCTGCACTTCTGACATTTCTTCTTGCTTCCTGAATACCACTATGTAAAACCAGCTTTTGAACAGTACACTGATTAAAAGAGGTGGTCCCTCTCCTCTTTGAAGAAGATGCAGTATCCATGATTTCCAAAAAGAGCTTCAGTTTTTAATTTCTTAGAGCACTTGATGGTTTTTAGCCTCAGTCCATCTTAACGAGTCTGAGAAGTCATTGGCATTTCCTGATCATGTTGACATATGGTTTCTTATTTGACCAGATTTATAACAGTTGTAACTTGCATTCGTAGATGCAGCAGGGATTGCTTTCCACTGCAGAGGTTTTAATGCATCAGCTGCTCGAGGGCTGCAAAGATCACGCCCATGCAGTATCAGTTTGTAGCCTTGGCCCTGTTGTTCAATAATGCTTGACTCTTTCAGTGATATGTTGAAATATGCTGAAGATGAGGTTCCCAGACCTCTTGCAACTTTACATCTGTGTTGAACAACTGAAACCATTATACTGTATGTTATGTAGAGTTAAAATAACCTGAAAACCATCAAAGTCTGTTTGTATAAACGTTTTACACTGCTCTTTAATCTGTCTGGGACTGTGGTTGTAAATGGCCCATAAATCTAAAGTGTTTCAGAGGAGAGCTGTACAGAGCCTTGACTGTGATGATACTAGTGACTCATCTGTTGTTTTCTTTCTCACCTTACACCTCTTTACTTCTTCTTTTCTCACCTCCTATGTCTTCCCCCTCCCACCATCTGTGTCACCTAATTTCATTTCCTCTAAAACTCAATCTCGTCTCTTTACTCTTACTAATCACTGTACTAGTGATTGTCACTTAATTGTTTATTCCATGTTGCTAATTGATAAAGATTTACAGAAGAACCTGCAGATTAATCTCAGAACCAAATAGCTGAAATGCACCGAACCTCTCAGTCTGATAGCTGCTGGAGTGAATCCTGAGGTGGACTTTCTGTGTTAGGGCAGTTTCAGCCGCCTGTAGAGTATCAGACCCCTCTCGTACTCTCTCTAACAGACTAAAGGTGTTGGCATGCTGCATGCTTTGTAACCCCCTCTCTTCGGTGCTGATTCACTGAGCTGAAGACACAAAGATATGAGGTTGTGTGTGTGTGTGTGTGTGTGTGTGTGTGTGTTTGTTTGTGTGTGTGTGGGCTTGGAGAGAATACAAAGCCTGACGACAGGAAGAGAAAGAAACAAACACTGAGAGTGAGAAGTGTTGAACAGTCTTCACACATTTTCTACATTCCTCAGTCACACTGCAGATGAAACACTCCGTGTTTATCTCCAGATTAGTCCTGCATGAGCTGCTCTCACAAGGAGGCTAATGTTGGGAATTAGCTGTAATGTTTTGTTGTGAAATGCTTCTCACTTGTGTAATGAAGAGTTAACAAAAGAGGATTCTAGCTTGAAAGCAACAGTCGCTTGGCTCATTAGGAGCGAGTGATCCACTGAGAAGTTAACATGGTGTAATGAAGGCCAGGGTCTACTCTTGTGCATCTTGACCTGGCTAAAAATTCAGTTGTATAAAACAGCACATATGGACTTATTCCTCAAGAGCACCGTAAATGAATAATCAAGCATACTTCTCATTTCTTACTGCAATTTCAGGAGCCTTTATTTTCTAGAAGCAGCATTTGTAGGATGCATCATCAGCTGAGTCACACACGTACACATGGCGGTTTCTGCAACGTTGCAGGAAACTTGAAGAGGGGGTTTGAAAGGTCACATATAAGGAGTTTGATACAGTATGGTTTTAACATCAAATGAAAGCGAGCTCGAGAGGAGTAATACAGAAATCAATCGTACAGATATATTTCAAATACAGAAGATCCATTGCATTCAGTATGTGTAAATGTTGTTTATTTGTCGTATGAGTCCCTCTGAAACTGGACTTTTAAAATACATTTTAGTCTCTCATAGTGGGACGAACATACCTAGTTAATAGTGTTGGGGATCGATTTATTCACTTCCATTGCACTTCAACTAGCCTAAGCGTTCTGGGCATGCTCCAGAGTTTGCTCACTGGGCTTGGATCCAGAGGTTGAAGAGCATAAATACGCTGCAGGGAAGCCGGATAATAAACCAAATCTTAAATGATGGTTTAAGGATGTAAAATAGATGAAGATGTCCAATCAAAACAAACAAAAAGGTCAAAGTTGCAACAGTGATGGTGTTTACATTGCTTCATCTACATCCCATTAGTTACTTGTTGGTGCATTTGTTTTAGGTATGTAACAGGCCAAGCAGTAGAAGATCCAGTAGTACAGGGGCCAAAGGGGGCATGTTTCCACCTTCAGGAACAGGCAGACACGCTTCTGTTAATGATTCACTTCTTGCCTGGTGCTTGTAGATTTAAAATCACTTCACACAATACCTGTAGCTTGACTAAACTGTGCATATAAACAAGCTTAGAGTCCATTTAATACTCAGCTAAACACCCGGCAGATAAGGACAAGCTGACTCAGGATATTAATCTAAATAGAGGAGTTTTGATTGGAAAGATTTAATACAGCTCACACAGTTTCATTTCTTCTCAGCATCATTCCTGGAGAAATTAACATTGATCGAACATTTCACTCCACAATTAAGTGACCAGACTTCTGCTGCCATATTTACAGTGTGTTCGCATTTCTGTTCCCATTCAGCTCTCCTCGGGTTTTTGCAGTTGACACACCTGTAAACATAAATGAGGCAAATGTCACAACTTTTTACATTGTCGCTATTATCACTACTGCCTATGATTTGACTTCCGTGGAACAATTTTGAAACATAAAGATACTGTCAATGGTTATGCTGCTGTTGCCTGGATTGCAGGACAGGGTGTTGCTGTTTTCCCTTCTCAGAGATGGTTCAGGTACACTTGCTCTTTAGTCGTCTTTCACACCTGCCATTATTTTCTGATTTTGCTATGTTATCATTATCTGTGATTAGTTTATGTATGTTAGCTAAAACTAAGGGTTTAAAAAGGGATGTTGTTTATTAGCTTGTTTACACATGCAGAGGAAAAAGGAGGAGATCTCATGATGTCTGGCTGTAAGAGAAGAGAGAGATAATGGCTGTACGGAAAAATCCTTTCCGTGGTACCGTCACTATCAAAACTGTCAGATATTTTCAGAAAGTCTTCCTCCCTTTTATATATCATCCTCCCCCGTGTTCTGTGCATGTTTTTTTTTTTTTTTTGTCAGCTCTGTGCACAGATGGAGGTTGTTGATTTCTGCTGCTGTCAGCAGTCAACGTTGCCAGCATTTCTAAACATAGATGTGTGTGAAGACTGTGAGATCTTCATGGCTTCAGACGGTTTAATTCTCCCAGGATATTAAATGCCAGTCAGCGGTTGTTTATCTGCTGAGAAAGGAGAAAAATGATAATGATTAAAATTCCAAGCAGATGATGGAGGGAGCCTTACATCACTCTGTTGTTCTCAGCCAAGCAAAGATGCATCCAAACAGGCCCTCAGTTTCCATGGAGCAGGGGTCGCCTGCACCAGGGTTATTATTCTGTAGTCCATTACTCAGTGAAGTCAGAGCCCCCTCAGAAAGCCTGTTAACCATCATCATATATAACAACTCTTTCTTGTGCTGTGTATGTAGTCCAACTTTCTTTCTAAACAAGTCTGTGAGAGGATGTTTTTAGCATAATGTACAATGCTAAGTAGGTGATATTGACCTCAAATCAATGTCACGATATATTGAGCAGTTCACCTCGATAATGATAAACGGACAATAACTAGCTGCTGACTTAAAGGGACATGAGACCATAGCCTACCTACACGCATCCAAAACCAACTTTTAATTAATTTATTTTTTTGACACAGAATATATTGACATAGGCAAAATGATGTCGGTTATTGTTGTAAATCTCGGTATCAATAATTTTTTGGTTTATCGTCCAGCCCTAATGCCAAATGTTAACTTAATGCAATGTTTCCCATTTTTTTTGATTTTCTGTTGTAGCTTACAGCCTACAGTTTTTGTTGTCACTCCTCTGCCTTTTTTGAGTTTTTGTCTTGCTTCTTGTTTGTCCCACTGCGAACAAACTGACATCAACTTGACTGCTTTCTTTCAGTGCAGTGATATGACTACAGGTAGTCAACTACAGTCTGTGATACACCTGTATTCCTGTGTGCACTTTATAAAAACAGACTTTTGCTAATTAACCCCCTTCTATGCTATCATACATGAAATATATGTGTAATTTGAATCAGCACTAAAATAGATTGGTGGTAACTATACAATGCTGGTTGAGGTAAGCAAGTAGCCAGCTATTTTGCAGACAGCCTTTGTTTGTGAAAATAACTGAGATGTGAGACTAAATAGCAGGATGGGTAAGCTAAAATGACATCGATGTCGGGGGTCTGAAAAGTGCCAGGCTGGGGATGGAGCTCTGAAGCAGCCTTGTCATAAAAAGTGACTGTTTGCGTCACTATTTGCGTCTTCAATACATCCTAGTTTGGAGCTGTGGGCAGTTGAGCAGATGGATTTATAGATTTGATCTACAATGTAGTAACATTGTTATCAGCCTGAGGTTTAGTTTGTTGTTGTTGAATCGTGATGAAGAAGCATTGTTAATCAGGATAAAAGAAAGCACATGGTCACTTACAGTACATGCAAATGCACTCTAAATGATTGCCTGGCTTGTTGATTAGGTTTGCTCTGTTGTTCGTCCTTTGGTTTGCTCCTTTTATCTCTCAGTTGATAGTAAACATGTGACTAACATGTGAGTGTGAGAGCGCCATATCTGTAGTTTGAGTGGTGGGCGCAACATTCCAGTCTTTCATAATTTGAGACACTTTCTGTCAGTGTTCCCGCTCACGCTGTTTGTCAGTGATCAAAGGTTGACTGACTGTTACTCCTGTTTACAATTCTTTCCATTCAGGTAGGCTCACTTATTTTAAATCCCCATGTAGTGGTTTGCTCTCATCCTGCTCTACCTCCTCTTCCAAATAAGTCAAAGCTTTCAGTTTACTTCCCAACAGCAGCAGAGGAAAAGCTGTCAGCCTGACCACTGTGGTGTGTAGAAATTATAGGAGAATGTTTCTGCATTTTTAAACCTGCAGGTACACACTTTCCTCGCCAAACAGATGGTTTGTATACTTGCATTTGTGAAAATAAGGCTACATAGATGATGCAGAGAAGACAGTGATGTTAAGTTAGACAGAGGATGTAAGCTTTCATTGGCAAATTGTGAAAATTCGCTGGTTTCTATCTTCTGTCTCTTGTCAACAAAGGCTTTCAGTCAAATCTCTCTTGGTGTGCATGTGTTTTTTTTCTTCTAACTCCCTTAAAAGCCTCTGTGAGACACTACATTTAGTTTCCTTGTGACACCTCCTCTGTCATAATGGTGTTTGAAGCAGCTCTGTGTCAACTTTGTAATTCATGGCTCTCTGCAGAGTTAAAATTGTACAGTGATGTTGGCCTGAGATCTACCAGCCTGCCAGATGAAGAGAAGGTGGTGATCAGTCTTTGTGACAGATGTCTCCTCTGTAGATTGTATTTCTGTTCTGAGATGTGTTTGATGCTCATGCAGTGACGACAGTGGACTCTGATGGTGTCTGACATACAGCCGGAGTTATTCTGTAATCTGGGACAAGAAGTTTTACACAGCATATGTCACTATCATAAAAATTCTAATTTTTGTAATATTTTTATAGAGCTACAATTTGTGACTGCAAAAATCAATCCATTCAATGATCGTGAGATTATTAGAAAACATTTCTATTAATACAGATTTTTTTTCTGTCTTTTCTTTGGTTGAACTTGATGTTTTGTTTTGCTTGATGCTTCAATGTGTTGTTCTTTGGTTTGCTCGACTACAACCAGCATGAAATACCTCCAGACTAAGCTAATAACCTGATAAGGACATAGAGTCTGCCTTCAAAAGGATAAATCTTTTTAGTTTGCTTGAGGAATGTTTTCTTGGTGTAAAAACGTCACTCACTTTATCTTCTGTGTCTCTGCTTCGATCCAGGCCTCATGGAGCTGGGGACTCAACGTCCACCGTGCACCAGGGAGCTCGACCCATGCCCGGTTCCTAGCAAACAACCATAAAGGGTGGGAACCTTGATTACCCTTCAGTCCCTCTTTCCCACCCCTCCCCCTGAATTCCCCCTTGGTGATATAGTCCTCTCCCACCTGTGGGCTGTAACATGATTGGCAAGCTGAAACAGAACCTGCTGGTGGCCTGTTTGGTCATCAGCTCGGTAACAGTCTTCTACCTAGGCCGCCATGCCATGGAGTGCCACCACCGCATTGAGGAGCGCAGCCACCCGGGTGGGATCCTTCCTGTGTCAGCTCTAGGGGGCAGCATGCGGACCACCTTACGAACAGGCCAGAACCTCAGTACGCCTTTTGTTTACAACAAAGACATGCCACTCGTCTTCATCGGAGGAGTGCCACGCAGTGGGACCACATTGATGCGGGCCATGCTTGACGCCCACCCGGAGGTTCGCTGTGGAGAGGAAACCCGCGTCATCCCACGTATTCTAGCCATGAAGCAGATGTGGAGCCGCTCAGGCCGGGAGAAGATGCGTCTGGATGAAGCGGGTGTGACGGATGAGGTGCTGGACGCCGCCATGCAGGCCTTCCTGCTGGAAATTATCGTCAAACATGGAGAGCCTGCCAATTTCCTCTGCAACAAGGACCCATTTGCGCTGAAGTCGCTCGCCTACCTGGCTAAGATCTTCCCCCGTGCCAAGTTTGTGCTCATGATCCGTGACGGCCGGGCTTCGGTCCACTCCATGATCTCACGGAAGGTGACTATTGCAGGATTTGACCTAGGCAGCTACCGGGACTGCCTGACCAAGTGGAACCGGGCCATAGAGACCATGTACACTCAGTGCCTGGAGGCAGCAGATAAATGTTTGCCTGTGCACTATGAACAGTTGGTCCTACATCCTGAGAAATGGATGAGGACACTGCTAAAATTCCTCGACATTCCTTGGAATGATGCCGTCCTCCACCACGAGGAGCTCATCGGGAAAGCTGGAGGAGTTTCTCTCTCCAAGTAAGTAACGCTGACAGTTCCAAAACATTTCCTCTTTCTTTCCTTAATTGGGAAAAGTTGCTCTGTAGTTTACTTGGAAAGGTTTTAGTCTCATTAGTTACAAAAAGCCAAATTCTTATTTTTGTTAAAAGTATCATGGAGAGCCAACACGGAAGTTTATTGCATTTACCCAAAAAAAAAAAGCTCTGTTTCCAGAGTAATTTTTTTTTTCTTTTCTGTTTTTCAGACTAATTTTTTTTTTTTTTTAGAACAGACACTTTCATCGTCCTTTGCTCGATCTATTGGAAGCAAACATGGCCCACTTGTTTAGTTAAATCAAGTTTTACTTTCTTTTGGGTTTGAGACACCAGGAGAAACTCCTTTCTTTAAGTCAGATGGATGGAATCGTCATTAGTTTGTTTACTTTGCGCAGGCGCATCAAGATTTGCATACCCTATGTTTAACTAATAATATGCTTTACTCTCATTGACCCGTAGTTGAAGTTATCTAGGAGCTGGAGAATCAGCAGATTTGGAGCAGCTGCAGTGGTTAACATTATCTGATTGTATGAGATTCTTGCAGCATTTTGAAGTATCTAGCTCAATTAGGAAAAAAAAAAGTCCTAAAAATAGAGAAAAAAAGTAGTATGAGAAACAGAATAAAGATTTGTCTGAAAAACAGAAAGAGGGGAAAAAATATTGGTACAAAGGAAAACAGAAAGAAGAAAAAAACAGCAAAGACAAAAGTTACTCAAAAAACACTTTCCTTTTTTTATTTTATTTTATTTATTTATTTTTTAGTAAGTGAATGCAATACGCCTCCGTAAGCTAATGTATCTTCAGAACCCCTCTCCTTTCCCAAACAAACACAGCTGGTGTTATATAATAAAAAGAAGAGAGGGGCTGTCCTTCAGGTAAAACGGAAGACTTGTGTAGGTTGCTGTAGGAATTCAAGTTGAGACTGAACCGTTGAACAAAAGCCCAGTGATTCTAGTAGTTGTCAGGACAGATTGAAAATGTTCAGCCTACTGTCACTTCTTCTTTGATCCCTCCTGTTTGTAGCCCTGAGAGGAACTTGTCCTTGTAGTTAGGTTGCTGAACTCTCTAATTTCAGAGCAATTACCACTCAGGCCCTCCTAAAGCCTCTCAATAATAGATTTTCTCTTTAAGCTGCTCTTTTAAGCTGAATTACCTCTACTGTTGTCTTGCTGTTTGCTGTGTGAGAAAAAGGTGTAGTACTTTGTGAAATGTGAGGTCAACAGCCTCTTGAAAAAAACCCTGAACAGACATCTGAACTAAACTTAGGGGGTTTATTCCGGGGCGTTCAGCACTCTGAAGTGGTCACGACCAGTGAGCTCAAACTGAATCACCATCTATAAAAGTTTCATGCTGTGACTCGTGTTCATTTCTTTTTTTATTTAGAGCTTTAAGTTTGGTGGACATGTTTAGATGGGTTCCATGAAGCTGTGTGCTATCTCTGTAATGTTCATGTTAAGGCTGATCCTAAAAAGGGGTATCTGCTTTTCATTTTTACAAGATGTTCCTTCCTCTGCATCTGCAGATTTACGACATTGCTCGCTGCTGACATAATGATGGTTAAAAAAATCGTAGCTTTTGTTAGAACTGTGCTTTGTGCCACATTAAAGGCTTGAGCTGGGACTTTCAACATGGACATAACTCTTTTTCATATATCAGGGTGTAGATAACAAACTACACACAAAGTTTTGTCATTGCCCCAAGCGGTTGCTTCAGCCGGCAGCTGTTAAATGGATTTGGCTGCAGTTTAATCCTTTCGGGGCAAATGAACTCTGTCAAAGTAGTGTCAGTAAAAAGGTATTGTTTTTGGCACAGATAGGCTCTTTTCTTCAATATTAAAAAGAAATACATATATGATCCCAACAGTGATAGACTATTTGTGGCAAGTTACTCTCATATTTTCCAGTAATTTCTGCTACTGTAAAAAAAAACTAGACACTTCTAATGAAAGCTGCAAGAATCCGTAGATGGAAACTCATAATGTAACCTACAGCTGCTTTTCACAGCTGAATTAAAATAGAAGTGTAGAAGTGTAGGTGACAGTATTTGACTAACCTGCGGTGACAAACACCAAATATATCTAGGCATGAGTGGACCAGCATATCCGGATGTCTGCAGCGTTAATATCTGATAGTTTGATCTCAGTTGTTCTTTGAAGGACTCACCAACGTGTCAACATTTTTGCATAACAAAGTTCCCCTATATACTTCCTGTCAGTGTTAAAGAAAAGAAAGTCGGTGTATGTCTCTTTCCCTGCAGCTTTGCTCAGAGAGAAAATGTGGACAGGCTGTTTAACCTAAAGACAAATGACATGTAGGTAGCTGAGGGTCAAGTCATAGGTATCACTTTCTCCTTAATCTCAGTTTCTGCAGGCCTTCAAAATAATCACACATCCCTGGCCTTGAAACATATCCCTCCCATGTTTTCACAAGTCCTTTAGACTTTCCGTCATAAGCTTTGGTTATGAAATCAAACATCCTACTTCTGCTCACAGTCAGGAACCTTCTCATTAGTGACTTAAAACATGTGAGATTACATCTGACTGCCATACTGTACGTACTGCACAGGGTTTCTTAATGGCCCTGCCTGCTGTCAGAGCTGTTTTGGTTTCGGTGATTTGGGAGGTTAGCCTCTGAAAGTCATCAAGGAAACACTGAGGGGTCCGACCTCATTCCCTGCTTCTGTCTAACCCCCCTTCCCCAAACTCCCCTTCTGCTACCACCCTTTTCCTGCCACGTAGCACCAGAACACACTCATATCCTCTGGAGATGTTTGAGCCACGTTTTGTTATTGTCTACATATGAGAGCACTTGTGGTTCTTATTAAAAGCTTTGCATCCGTTGCCCTCCTTTTTGCTTCACTACATTTCTTTAAGAACTTATCTCACCTTCTCTGGAGTTAAAACTTACAGCACATTTTTATCCATCCCTCTTGTGTTACCCGTTACATTTTTATAAGTTGTTACATTTCTTTATCCTGCTGTTTACCTTCATGGGCTTGTTAAGTTTAATGTCTTTGACTTTGACAAGAAACAGGAATAAGATTGTAGAAAAGAGGTCAGTGATGAGGTTATTTGTAGGACAGTCTTCTCCAACGCTGTCAAAAATCATGATTAGTGAAAGAATAATGCTAATTTTAAGAAGTCTTTTAGGATGTTAAGTCTAAATCTTTTACAGCAGCTTCTGTCAGCTTTTATTGCAAAAATTGCTGTGACAGAGTATACAGGATGCAGTAAACGATTATATGTAATACATAGGCCTCTTTCAAGTGGTGTAGCTTTGTAGTAGGAATGGGTGTTTTAACAAAGCCCCTTGATCGATTAATCATATGAATTAATGATAAATCATCAATTTAATCATAAATACGCACAAAACGTGTTTTTCCTCATTGAACCAACCCCCCAGCCCCCAAACTGTTGTTCAGCACTCTGTGCTTCATACTTGCTTCCTACCTGCCCGGCTACCGTAATAACTGTTGTTGTTTTCTCAGTCATGAAACGCTAAATTGAGGACATTTACTGGGACAACTTTGGCTGGTGACAGGTCATTCAAAACAGGGACTGTCCTCCAAAATTGGGACATTTGGTCACCCTACAGATCCTCCTTGCTAGCCAGTAGTTGATGGTAGGTTGAGACTGGGAGCACTCGGAGGATTCATTAACTTCAGTCAGATGTATGTGGTTCAAGTGGTCCATTATTTGTGTCGTTGTCGTGTTGTACTTTTACACGGCATTCCAGTGTTTGCAGCAAACTACATATTTTTTCTGCTTGAAATGGTCCCACACAATACTTGGTCTTGCTTTTCTCTCTGCATTTTCATGGAGAGAGAAAAGCAACCCCTCTACCTCAACATGTCCACTTGCTTTCTCCGTCTACTTGCTTTCTCAGTTTTTTTTTCGACTTCTTTGGAAGCCCGCTGACGCTACTTTGTATAGTGAGGTTTAGTACTTTTTTATGCTTTTGTATTCAACTTCAGTATTTTCCATCAAAATATTAATTTCTCAACATCACAAGGAAGGCTTGTCAGACTGTTAATAAATTGGGAGATGTGTGCCTGTCAGTCATTAATCTTAGCACCAGACTCCATTTTCATGGAGAGAGAAAAGCAACCCCTGTGCCTCAACATGTCCACTACCAGCGACAACAGTGAGTCATCTGCACCTTCTGAACTGTTAAACAGAATCAGCTGCTGAGACGACTTTACTCAAAGAGTTGACTCTGATGGTGACACCACTGACCTATCCAACCTGTGTTTGAAAGATACTACAAAACTGTGTCATGCAAGAGAGGAAACACTGAAAGCCTCACCAAGCAGTGACAGACACTCACAGACAAGGATCACCAAACATGACCAATTAGCACATGAGCTGGTGGACTAGCCTGTTAGTGGGATGAGGATGAGCTTTTCAGTTGTATTATCTGTGTTGTGTAACGTCAGCATGTCAGCAGTGTGACAGTGTCAGACTCACTCAGTCACTGTCAGAGGGCTGTACTCAGCCAGAGTAGATAGTATTGTCATTACTCGATTAAATTTTGAATAGTGCACCTAAAAACACGCTACATTTATTCAGTATAAATCTATCTGTTGGTATCGGGATATTTTGATGGCAGGAAGACAAAAAAAGTATTGCAACATATAGTCTAAAGTTCCAACTTGGGAAGTTTCATTTAGGCCATATAAAGTGCTCAGCATAAATGAGTACACCCCTTCAGAAGTGTCAGAAAACCTTTAGTTTCCTTTCAAAATCAACATTTTCTATGTCAGACAATACAACAAAATACTCCCTCAAATGTAGGCCATTGATTGCAAACAAGATTTTTTAAGTTGCATACAAAAAAGATTTCTTTTCAATTTAAAATCAGGATGCAAAAATTAATACACCCCAATTAAAGTTCTGGGAGCTAAATTTAAGTTACCATATCACCCTTATTTTTATCTTACGCTAAATAAAATGTTATGTTTAACTCAACTTTGTCAAAACTTTGGAAATGGAACTTTTGCTCATCTAGATATTGAGTAATACATTTCTTTTAATAGGGGGTGTACTGACTTATGCTGGGCACTGTAAATAGTTGTCCTACATTAGAGATGCTAAAAATCCGCAAACATCCTTTTCTGAAATGTGCCAAACAAACATTTTGGTTTCACAGAATAAAGAAACTAATGTGATCAGAGTTAACCTGAATACCAGAGCTAAAGGGATAAATAATTCACTGCAGTAGAGGAAAGTTATTTTTTCCGTCTTTGGCGACGTCAAGCTTCTCTCTTTCAAGGACTCTTGATGCACTACAGATTCTGCTGACGCATGCGTCTGAACCTCTGTGCCGTGGTTGAACAGTGAAGGATGGCCTCTTAAGTCCACACTACCAAACCCAGAGCCATAAACCTGTTCCTGACACCCACATTCAGACAGTAAGGGCAGAGCACATTTTTTGGTGACCTTTAACCTAGAAACTGTTAACACGACCTAGTTTAGTCTGCAAAGATGACGTCAAGGGAGAGGAGGGAACCGAAGAGAGTTGGACTGAAAGACTGAATCTAGATCCACTGCAGGGCTACAACAGAACTAGAAAGAAAAAACCTGGAAAATGACACAGAGTGTATCAAACTGAGCATGCTTGGCTCATTCCTCTTCATGACTTCATCTCTTTTCTTCACCACACTTGAGGTCACATTAGTCTTCGAGTGTGTTTCTCTCTGTCACGGCCCAACTCACAGACAGAAAGCTGCGGCTTCATGTTTATAATAACTTAAACCAATAATATTCAAAGTGGGCATGAGCCCTCATGAAAAGTAGAATTATATCATACCATTAATAACATCCTGGTTATCCCCCATAAAAACATAACCAGTTAATTTTCAAAGCTTAGATATAAAAAATGTATCTACATCTTCTGAGGTTTATCCCTTGAGTGACCAGAATAAACATCTTCAGTGCACACAGCTCTCTGAGTGGGAGGTACATTCTGTAAATCAAGACAAAAACACTCGAAAACTGATCTTTAAAGTTATTCGGGGTGTTGACTTTTCAAGCCTCTGTAACATGGAGACTCTGAAGTGCTCTTCAGTCGTGTTAGAACAACATCAGACCTCTGAGGCTCAAACTGAAGAGCTCTGGAGTTCTGAGAAAACCTAAAATGTCCTTGACTCTCATAACACTCCATCAGCCTCACTCGTGTCCAGACACGGGAGGGAGGCTAATCTTTGTTTGTCGTGTTTTTAGACGGGGTGTGGGTGTTGTGCATCATTTGGAATAGAAAGACGAACAAAGCCAAATGTCAGCTCATGCGGAGGGAGTTTGATAAGAGCTCTTTGGATCCAGATGTAGATGTGTGCTCATTTAGAGCACACGTCACCCCTCCACAAATTGATTCTCTTTAAATATTGATGAACACAGACTTTAACCAGGGCCCTCCGAGCTGAAGATCTTAGACACTCACTGCTCTGTCCTGCAGGTTGAAAATCAGTCGACCACAAAGGAAAAGGAGTTTAACACTGTCGTATCGTTCAAATTAAAATGTCCAGCGTGTTTTAAAATAAACATTTTTCTAGTTTTTTCTAGTTGTTGTGGTGATCAGAAAAGTTTGCAAATCTGCAGACAAAGTAACAAGTTAAATACCCGCACTTCATTTCAGAGGCAAATGTTCCTTTTGCTGAATGTTCCCTTTCTCAAATGTCTCAGCTGAATATTTGTTGACTATCAGGGATCAAACTTTGTTAGCACACACTGTGGTTTTATACCCTACATGTCCCCTTATTAATCACATGATACAGTGTGTATGTATGCACACAGACAGCATGGATACATCACAAACATGAATTTTTAGATTCTGTGTCATCAATGAGGATACTGCACTCAAGGGTAACTTAGCCAACAAAGACAGATAATCTGGAACAACATGAACAATCTTCATTAGGAGAAACATACTGCAAATGCTCCAGTGATGCAACTTCAGTAAAATAACAGAGGTCCCAAACAAATGCAAGAGCTGAAATGTGCTACAAATGAAGAAAACATGACAGAAAACACGCTGCAAGTACAGAAATGATGCAAAGCCAAAAACATACAAAAGCAGAAAAGTGGTGTTTTAAAAAATCTCCATTTGCAGCAATTTACTTTGCAGAAGTGGCCTGTGGAGGCGCTAACTAAGACAGCTTTACCATTGACAGATTAAAGAAGAAGACCAGACACTGAACATATGATTGACATGGTAAAGCAGCAAAGTTTGTAATCAGGGAGTTATCCTTACTCTGACATTGGTAATGGGGAAGATTGGGGTCCTTTGAGGCTGTTCAAGGATGTTTGGAGAAAGTGCTAACTGCACAGGTAACTGAGCTTGAAAGCCAACAACTCCATATTCTCTGAGCCCAACATTACTTTCTCCACAACTAACTGAGGATTGTAGCTGAAGAAAGCCAGCAGTTCAGTGGATTTTTGCCAAGTTTGGCTCCAAGTACACCAGGGTGTTACCACTAAAGCCCTGCTCAGGTCCTTGTGGATGGTAAGATTACCGTGCTTAAACCATCCTGTACCATGGTTGGCTACCTTTCCCTGTTAGAGGCTTAAAGCTTGGAACTTTAAGGAGTTCATCTCCTTGGTTCAAAATAAAAATCTGCCATGGCTCGTAAAAACTTGATGGCCATATTACTGCGCAGTACACCGTCTACATGTCTGCTTTGCCCCAGCGTCATACCGCTCCCTAAATGGCTCCTGATACAATTTGAAGTAAGAAGATTGCAGCCACAAGTAGCCTTCAGGGCAGCACAACTACCTCTTACCATCATAAACATATTGCCCCACCTCCTTTCAACTACTCTACCCACAGTGCATTAAAGTCAACCCCCCTGACACCCTGCAGAGATCACCTCCCGCCCTCTGCAACCACCAGCACTCTCCTCTCTCTCCACCATCCCGCAGCCTCAGGTCTCTATCTTCATGAAAATCTCAATCAGCGGGCAGCCAGGCCCCTGAGCGGGACCTCGCCTTAGCATTAACATCAATTACACGTCCTTGATTTAGTGGAGCTCTGCCTCGCCGAGCCACTCGCTCCATTACTCCTCCCAGAGCAGGGAGCTGCTCCATCCCTCCTCCCTAACCTGGCTCTCCATCCTTTTTGTGATCCTGAAGTCTCTATCTGATTCTTCGCGATCAGCCGCTGGTGATACAGAACACCACCTTGGGTAAAGGAGGCCCTGCCATGAATAATTGACAAGCTGGAGGCCATTAAGAGCATCAGCCTGAAGGGAAGTGGTCATGTGACGAGCCGAAAGGTTTTTTGTCACATCACATTTGGAGCTGACAATAGGAGTGTGTGTGTGTGTGTGTGCTTCACTTGAGCTCTCTGGGTGCAAATGATTTCAGACTGATGTCAGGAAATAAACAGACAGGATATTTATATCTGTGTATTGTCTCCCTTGTTTTTTTATCATTGTGTTGATGGTCTGTGTCTGGAGTTAAATCTCAGGGCTGCACCAAACATGCCCCAAAAATGTTAACTATAATTGCACTTTTTGTTATAATTGCAATATGAGCTACCAAATAAACACACCAAAGACGTTCAAAATAATGTATGCTTAATAAACTTTTCTTCTCATCATCTGCACATTTTACCTGTTTGAAGGATATCTGGGTATAATGATCTGAAAGCACTTTGATGCAGTCAGATAAAGCTGAAATAACTGTTTTGCTGCACGCGTTCTAGCATGCATGAAAACAACAAGAGTCGGTCAAAGAAAAGTCCTAAACTGCCGTGCCTGCTGTCTTGACATGTCACCCATTAAAAACATTTGGTGCAACACAATGATGGCTTGACATTAAAACCTGCCAAAAAGGTCATACTAGAGTCCGTTTTCATCTTTTAAAATTCAACTCCAACAAAGAAATTGAGAGAAGTAAGTGAGCTCACATCAAGGAGACCCCAAACTACTGAGCAGCCTAAAGCCCATGTGGGGCAACAATAGGGCAATCTTTTGTCTGTAAACTTTTAAAAGGTGAACAGAGTTTTATTAAAACAAAGTAAACAAAACAAATATAAACATGTCCGTATCCCAGTTGTTTTGAAATGTGGTGGTAATGAATTCAAAATATACTTTTTCATAGAATAATGAGATTTTTCATTTTTAGAAACGTTAAAATATTGTCTTTGCGCTTTTTTCCGTCAAATAAAGGGTTTAAATGATTTGCAAAACATCAAATTCGCACCAGCTGCACCTCATTTTTAAATACTAAAGAAAAAGGTTTGAGAAGGTTCATATTTGATGCATAATGCATTAACAGGAGGGATGCACTGAGGGACCTTTTTATCTCTGTAATAGCTGTAAAGCATGTGACAGGTGCTGCAGGATATTAGACGTGAGGAGCAATGACAGTCACATCTTAGAATCACCAAAAGAGGAGCTCAGTTCATGCATTTAGATTAGAAGGAAAACCTGCGTTTCTCAAGCAGTCGAGATTTCGAAAAAACCGTGACCACCCTCGCACGAGAATGACTCATTTGTTTTCTCTTGCTTGTTGTTCTCGTCTATAAAATAAACCATATGGTCGTCTGCTTGAATCTAACCTGACAGTAAAGCTGAGCTGTGTTCACTACACCCAGTCCTTGTCTTTATCAGTTTATGTTCTACGTCAACACTTAGCAGCCTCTTGGGTCTTGATGGAGTTACCTAAAGTGATTCCCTGCCCATTTGTTGCAGAGTGGATGTTTGGATCAGGGCCCATCTCCATCAGAGAGCATCTCCAGCGTCCTCCTGAGAAGACAAAACCAGCTCACTCTATTAATCATGCAGGAGACTATACTCGTACAGTGTAAAGACTCGATCGCAAAGTAAATGGATTAGAGGAAAGTGAATTGCTATATTGAGGTATAGAGTCAGACAGGAAACATACAGGAGGGTTGGAGTAGCTGGACGGCAGACGGTAAACAGATCGTAGTGTGTGCAGAGTGAGTGAACTGAAGGAATAAGAAATGGGGGTCAAAATGTGATTTCCTTGTGTTTTATTTTGACATTAAGGAAATGTTTTTCTTACTCGCGGTGCACATAGCACTTAGTTTCTTCTTCCTCCCAAAAATCTGCCTGAAAACAAGAGTCCAGATGTTTGAAGCTGATGCGATCACAGTTTGGATTGGATTAAATCCTAGAAACAGGTTGTTCAAAATATAAAAAACACTTTTTATCCAGTTAAAACCCCGATTTTCTGCTGTTAGAAACTGTTGAGTAGGATTTAGAAATCTTTGATCCAGTGACTTAAGATGATCCTGATCTGAACAGAGGGCTGGATTCAGGCTGGATTACAGGACCTAAATAAGATACATATTCAAAGTTTCCATACAGATTTTTTACTGTGATTTTGATAGAAAAAATGTAAATGATTTAATATTTACCTTATGTATTTATACCAGGGCTGCAGTTTGTGATACACAAAGTCAGGATGAAAAATCGAGTCATTTACATCCACTAATCGAGCTCATCCTGATGACGCTGAGTGAGCTGAAATACTTCAAAATAAACAAATCCATGTGGAGCTGATCCTGTAACGTTTTTCTCTTCCTCTCAGGGTGGAGAGGTCCACAGACCAGGTCATCAAGCCGGTCAATGTAGAGGCCTTGTCCAAGTGGGTGGGGAAGATCCCAGCTGACGTGGTGAGGGACATGGCCGTCATCGCCCCCATGCTGTCCAGGCTGGGCTATGACCCCCACGCCAACCCTCCTAACTACGGCCGGCCGGACCCCAAAGTCCTGGACAACACTAGAAGAGTGAGTACAAACCAGAGCATGAACCAGATGGTTTCACTAAAGCTTCTTTTCATTTTTTTACTTAATAACCTCAAATCAAATTCAATGATCTCACCCGGCTAATGACGAGATGGTAACAGGGAAAAATTCCATAATGCCGAAGTATTAATTTAAGGAGACCACAATAATGGGATGTTGTGTATGAGCTCATTCAAAACAAATGACACATTTGTTCTGCTGAGTTTATTGTAGTTTGTGCGTAGTATAGCACTGTCTACAACATGACTTTGATTCTGCACTGATATACACAATGGTACGGGCTCTCTGAGAAAGGCCCATTCAGCATTACAGTAATAACATAATACACTGATAAATGTAAAGAAACACTTCAGGAACAACAGTCACCTGTCACTGGCATGTTAGTTTCACTACTAACTATATATGTTCATGTGGATGAGGCCCCTATGTCTACTGTTATCATCAAACAAAGAAGCCAGATTTTGTCAGCTATGGGCACTGGGAGTGTATTGAACAGCTCTTGTTCGAGCACACGTAACCTAGCAGTTGAAGCTATGGGGTTGATGTCCCATCTGCAACCCAAAACAACAATATCCATAGTAGGGCTTGGTAATAAACCGAAAATTTACAGATACCGAAATTTATGACAATAACCAACGTCATTTTGCCCATATTGGTATTTTTTGGTATCAAAATAAATAAATAAATAAAAGTTGGTTTTGGATGTGTGTAGGTAGGCTATGGTCTCATATGGTCTCCCCTTTAAAACGCTGTCCTACGTCAGAGACGTGACTCCACCCCATCCAGCCTGTAACAAAGACAGGAAAGACAGGTGAGGGGATGGAGGACGGTTCAAAAGTTGTAGCGGCTGGAGCGGCCATATCGCCCAGCCCTAATCCATGGGTTGGTACAGTCCACAGAACAAATTCTGATTTTGATCTGAAGCAGATACTCACAGATTCATAAAGTTCATTGAATCTTGTGTGAGTGTTGGTCACGTTTTCTCACACCTTTTTTCTACTAACTGGATAATTAAGCACAGGTTGCTGCAGGAGCCTCATTTGTCAGCAGGAAAAAAAAAAAAAGATATGAATTTTGATTTTCTCACAGTACTTTTTATATACCACTTTTAAATCTCAACTTTAGAAGGTGGTTTTTGATACCTGCGAAGATCACAGCCCAGAAAAGAGATTTTCTTGCATTAATGTAATCAGATATTTGAGCAGAGATGGATCCTGAGATTGAAGCACCAGCCTTATTATGAGAGGCTCAGCAGCTCTGTATGTTATATAAACTTGGTGCATGAGCAGACCTTACCAGACCCCAAAATCTTTATATATTAAAAAACGTCTGTCATTTTTGGAGCAGAATGTGTTTTATTAAATCATTTTCCTCAAGCTTGACGTATCGGGTGACTTTCTTCACAGCCCATCACTCTCTGTCTAAGCTAAGGGATATTTTATTTTTATCTCTGAAGGTCTTCTGAGGCCGAGGTTCCTGGCGTTAGTGTTCCTGAATTTTCATTGTGTTAAATTAAGCAGGGAAAGAGGTTCGAACATGAATAAATGAAGGTGACCTTAAATCTGAGGCATTTATAAGTGACTGTAAATCATTGAAACCACTGGGAACAACATGATTCACGTTACTCACTGTCTCCGGAGACAAAAGCAGAGGATCGAGGAAAAGAGCAGCTGTAGTTTCCATTAAACTGAAGTTACCTTCTGTGATGACTTAGTGGTACATTTTTAGCTTTCCAGGCCCCCTAAACTGAAACTTTACTGCACTGCAGTCAACAAGGAGAAGAGGGAGGTTGTGAAATGGTGAAGAAGTGTAGTTTATGTTTGTATCAGCAGTTTAGCAGTGATAATGAGAGACCCAAAGACTGTAGTGTGTTTTCTCAATGTGACCTTTCCCCCATCTGACTTCCAGTCAAACTTTTCTGGCTGATCTGTCGCTCCCAAGCACAAAGTCTGGAACTCTTTCCAGGTATCGGAACATTTTCCCGAAACATCTTGCCTAAAGCCTGAAAAGTGCCCCATAGTGCTTATAATTCCAGGACCGCAGACATAAAATATAATAAAAGTGTAGCATAAAGAGAGAACCTAAGTATTTATATTATCCTACATCACTGCCGGACCTCCCTGCAGACAGATTCAACATCTGGTGGAAAGGCTGAAATCAGACGAGAGGGGCTGTTGGAGCAGCAGATCGATAGCTAAACCAAATCTATAGAGGCTTTTGGACTTGTTGGATAAGATGCTAAATCCTAAGATTAGGTCATGCAGTCTTTAGACACAACACAAATGAATAAACCAAGAACAGAGAAAATAGCTAGTGATGAAGTTTAACCACAAATGTAGGACTACAATTAAAAGTCATTGTGTCCTACACTGTTATATCTGTTTTTTTGTTGTGTGCTGTTTCATGTGTTTTCAAGGCATGCCGTACATTGTGTATTTTCTCAGACTGTACATGCTGTTTTATGCTCTTCCCTCACAAATTAACACCAAACACTAAACAACTAGGTAAGAGAAAAAAGGCATTTGTTTCTGCTTTTAAAGTTTGACTTTAATCACACCCGCCCAAACAGACTATCATAGAAAAACTGAGTAATGCTGTGCTAATGAGCAGCTCTGGGCTCTTTTTATTTGCCCGGCTGTCACCGTGTCTCAGCAGAGCTGCATCAATGTCATGGTGTAAGTCACTATAAATGAAGCCAGTTATCTCATCAGCTCTGTTTGTGTGTTTACTGGCCTGTAATTTATCATGCGGCAGTGAAAGCATCAACGCTGTTTCCAGCGGGAAGAGTCGCCCTGGTCTGAAAAAAGCAGTGACATGAACTCTACATCAGCACAACTGCACAACACCCAAGGGCGGGAAACTGCAGAGTCAGTGAAACTGAAATATCCAAGACAGACTGTTTGCAGTGAGAGGAGAACTGAAGGCAAACTGAATGCAGAGGCTCTATTGCTGTGATGTGATTTAGAAAGTATGTTACTATAACTGCACAGCTTCACGTTATTAATGTCCCAGTTTCAAATGTTTCTTTGCACGTTATTGTACCTGAGGACTGAATTGGTCCACAGAAAACATTGTCATGCCGTTATCACTGAGAGAATTTTCAGCTTTTCAGCTGTTTTAAAACTGAAACTGTGAATATCACAGTCTCAGCAGGTGACTGTCTATCATAAGTCTGTTTCTGCTGAAGTTTCTGCCTGATAATAGGATGTTTTCCCTTACCACTGTGACTTTCTGAATGCTGCAAACTGCAAAGTGTGATGCTCATGGTAGATAAAGATTGGACAAAGGTGGGTCTGATCTTACATGGTTCCTCATGAACAGGCACACACACAGATAGAGCTGATTCAGGAAGGAATATAATTTAGGGAAAGTAGTTGTAGAGAAAAGCTGAAAATACTGTAGTTTGCAAGTGATTATTGAAATGTGCCCACTGGGTGTTATCCATCCATTTCGTGGACTCTCTTTGTTGCCTCAAGTTTGGTGTTTTTATCTTTTTGGTGTGTCAGCTGGAAAAACTTTTGCGTTATCTTGTTCAAAGTAATCTGAAATTACTTTGAATGCTACAGCCTGTATTTCCTGAGAGGGGGGGACAGCAAAGACATCTCTCTCTCACATGATTATGTATTCATGGGAGACTTTAATGGGTTACATGCTGTTGGGTCAATTGACTCCTAGCAGGCACTCTGTAGGTCCCTTTTGTCACCAAGTATATTAGTAGCCAAGCTCCTGATTATGAACAACTACAAGCTTTAGTATTGTTGAACTAGAATGGGTGATTCTGAAGATAATATTCATTTGTCAAAAATTTCCAAATCTTTCTAAAATTCACTTCAGAGTTTCATCTTTTAGTATTTCGCTCTTATCTTACTTTTGGTGCTAGAGTATGCAGCACATCTCTCTCGGCCTCTTTTTTCAGCCTTGGAGTTTCCTGCTCGGTTTTGATTCCATTCCTGGTTCCTGGTGTGTTTGAATAATGTGAGTTTGAGTGTGTGAGGTCCTCAAACTGATGGGTTGATACCAGATGTTGCTCAGTGGGCTGTGTGGTTTGCGGAAAAGTTGAGAATCAGTTCTTGGTTGGTTTGTCCTTAACCCAGTTTTGAGTTTGAGTCATTAGACTGTTCTGAAGCTTTTGGTTGCTTTTCAGTTTGTTTGAGGGGAACCAAAGAGGGGGTATGAGGACAGAAAGACAGAATGTATTTGGTTTAATTCATCATGTCAGAGCTGTTGTGAGTCAAACGGAAAACATTAGGGAGAGGAAACTATGTTTTTTTTTTTTTTTTTTCAGTTCGGGTATTCATTGGAAGAATGTGTCTGACCACAAACAGAGATGGAAACTACAGACAAAGTGGCTGAGTTGCAAAATGCCGCTCATACAGCGCTCTCTCCTTAAGATTTAACCCTTAATGTGAAAGTTACTCTCCCTCATGATGTTGTATTTGGTAGATTTTACTCTGTCCTCAGTCAAAGATAAAAATTTTTACTATATTATTTTAAAAGATATGATATATTAAGTAACTGTCGGGTGAAAAAAGAAAAAGAAAACATGAGAGTAAAGTCACCAAAAGGACAAACAAGAAAATTACAAGATGTAAAGTAGTAATTATGACAAGTAAAAGAGTCATATGAGAAAGACAATGATCATGTCAGAAAATAATCAACTGTCTCAGTTATAAAGTCATACTTTTGAGGTATTAAGTCAAGAAAATGAGATAAAAAAAATCTACATGAGATAAAAAAGTTGAAGTTATGTCAACCAGTGTAAGCTAATAAGCAGTCGGTGCAAAGATTTTAGGATAGTAACGTGTGCTTGACTAAAATACAATGAAAAAAGCGACTCAATTGGCCCGGTGTCACCAGGAGACACATCCACGTAGAGTCATCAGCATAACTGTGCAAAGAGATGCTGTGTCTCCTGATGACAACGCCCTGGAGTAGCATTTACAAATTAAAAAGTAACAGTCCTAAAACTGATCTTTGCTGTACCCCATATGTCACTATGTAAAGTCAGGAGGAGTTGTCATTTTTGGATTAGAAAAACTTTCTCTCAATAGGACAAGAGATATTTTAACACATTTGCTCTAATGTAATTGACTACTTTTAACAGGGCTGTTTCTGCGCTGAGGTTTGCCTTTAAACCTGATGGGAAGATTTTAACTCAGTATTTGAGTTTGAAAATGTATTTAACTGACTAAAAACTAGTTTCTCTAAAATCTGTCTTAGATTGAATTTTTGTTTGGCAGACTCCAGTGATCCGTACACTTGATCACCTGGACAGGAAAGTGTCAGAAATAGATGAGCCTTGTGGTATGAATATAAATCAGTCATTGCCACTGTGGCCTCTCAGCTGCATGTGCCAGAGGTCTGAACAGAAAAGTGAACTTTAAAGAGGATGTTGTTTTTGTCCATTTGTGTGTATAAAGATTTATTTGGGGATCTACGCAGGGCTTTATGCATCTGGTCCCATTTGTTACATGATGCAGCTCACAGTCATTGCAGACAGCTGTTGCTCATCAGTCTGGTTTAAACACAGTGTCTCATTGTGCGATGATGAGTGCTCAGAAACATATTTCTCAAGTGCTGGAATGTTACTGTAAATCTGAGTCCACAAACTGTGTGTAAGCAGTTTACCTCAGTCCTGCAGTTGATCAGAAATCAAATCCTCAAACTGGCCCGTCCATGTTTGCAACACAGCGTTCACGTTAATGGCTTTCACATGTGTCTGAGGTTCTGTTGACAGGTTTTGGATGCAGTAAAAAATCTCCATGTCTGTGTGTGTGCAGGTTGTTTCTCTGAGGTAAATAACCTCACAGGCCTCATGGTGGACTTGCGTGTCTTGATGACAACATGTGCGTGTTCTTGTTAATTAGCTCAGATTTATGTTGAACACATCTGCAGGTTATTAGTGGGATTCCCCTGCATTGAACCCGACTGCAGGGTTTGTATTATTGTTTTTTCAGATTTCCTCCTCCCTTCCTCCAGGGCTGAAGTCCTTCACACAGAGGAGGATGGTCTCCTACTAGCCATGTCCAAGTGAAAACTACCTCACTCGTCAGCTTGCTTAATCATGTTGGACAATGTTACTTTTTAGATCAGTGAAGTCATTTATCTTCATGCTCAGTGCAGGTTTTTAGTAATGGCTGAAATTTTACTGTCACATTGGGGTTTGAGGAGTAATTATGAGTGCAGTTCTGTAGTGTCCAAGATAACAGAGTTTCTGCTGTTAGAGGGTGGCAGGCTGAGATGTTCAGAGCCTTCAGTGGCTAAATAAACACATGAAAAACAACACATTTCGAAAATAGTGCTGGATGCAGTGGATGCCCTCTACTGCTGCTGATGCTCTCCCCCCAGTGTGAACAGCTCTGCAAAAAGCTCATGGACGTAGGTACTGTGCAAGCTAAACAGTGGCTTATGTTGGCCTGCTTTTAATCCAGGGTCACTCTATCTTCTCTCTGCTGTGAGCACATTCACTAACCTGAAACAAATGTCTGCAGAACACTGAAATGCTGCAGTTCAGTGCAGATGGTGGATGACTTAGTGAGTTCTTGCCTTAAAAAAGTGACAGTAGGTTAACCTCAGTGAGTTAGGATGCAACACAGATGGTAGTTTTTCCCCTACATTAGTAAGACTGTGTTTCTTCCTGGAGGGGGGATCTTTCTAAGAAGTGCTTTGAATCAGTCATACCTGCCTGATCCTGATATCTAAAAATAAGGAAGCAGAAGGAACAAGATGAAGCATTGGGACCATTAAATGCCAAGCCTTCTCAGTAAACAAGCTCCTTAAAAATAACGGTCTAATGCTGCATTCCAGTTTCCTTGGAAGTCGGATGTCGGAGCTGGGAATGATGTCACACCCGAGTTGACGGCGTTCCAGTAAACAAGTTGGAAAACCAAGATGGATGCCTACTATTAGCTGTTGTTAGCTGTTGTTAACAATTGTCAGCTGTCATTAGCCGTTGTCAGTTGTTGTTAATTGTTGTTAATTGTTGTTAGCTATACCAGTTGTAAACAACGCATAACACATTATTTTAGCACTGTGTTCACAGTTAGACGTTGGGCAGTACAACATATACCACCTATTTAATTTCACAAAAACAAAAGAGAAGTGCTAATAAATAATACATTATGAGAGCTTTTGCTGTTAGTCCTTACTGCTGATGCACTGAGCTGCCATCTTGGATCAAGTCAGGGGTGGTGAGGATCGTCCGACTTTATGAGTTTGAAGTCCAACTTCAGGGGGGCATTCTAGATGAATTTCCGACTTCTGAGTACAACTGGAATGAAGCATAATTCCTCCCTCTGTCATTTGAATATTTCAAGATTTTTGTATCCAGCTCATCAAGTATAAGCTCTTTAACTCTCAGCTTCTCCTTGCAAAGATCTCCCTTCAAACAGAGTAATCGTCAAAACCTGGCTGAGTTTTCTTCCAGCGTTTTGTTGATAGCTCTCTCTGTGACTCCAGCTTCAAACCTTTTCCAGTTTAGTTAGCAGATATGTTACGTTAATGATTTTTATTTGAAATATTGATTGCAGTATAGAAATTATGATATTTATAAATGCCCCCCAAAGTTTCCAGATACTTGGATGTATTGATTGGGTCCAAACTGGAGCTTTAGTTTAGTTTAATTTTTAAGGACTAGGAAACTACCTCTGTCAGAGCATCCATAGCCCCTGCCCCTAATTAGTGGTTGGACATTGTGCGGGCACGTCTGTGTGTCTGTGGTCGAGGCTGTCATATTTTTAATGTAAAATAATGTGAGAAATCTTGAGTATAAGAGTATTGGAAAATTTTACTTCATTTATTTGCATGATCCTACAGAGGAGTGGAGTTCCAATGCTGCAGCCTGTTGTTTTTGTATACTGGAAGTGTTATCTTACCAAATTCAAGGCTGTTACATTTTCCGTTAAGATATTGTCTCCCCGCCCCCTCCCACCACTCAAATATTCAGTTGCATTACATAACACATCTGGCAACCAGCCCTGAACTGAGCGGCTGTGTGATGAAGCCACATGTGGAAATGCTCTCTCTGCTGTCTTGAATTTTCACCCAGCCCCATCCAAATATTTACCCTCCGCTTCATCTCTTCCCCCTGCACAGATTTCACCGCAGAGAACAATACAGGCTGGATCCGAACAAAGAAACAGTTAGGAAGTGTTCACTGAACCCAGCGTTGGTTTGTGTTGTGCAGACAGAGTGATGTGGATGATAAAAGAAGCAAAGCGGCCTTGTCTCTCTGCTGCAGTGTTGTTTTTTACTGTGAGTGAGGACCCTTCTCAGAGGTAATCCTCCTGAGCAGCGTGTCTGCCCTGTGGTCAAAACAGAGTCAGTGAATGTCCTCAAATCTCTATCTTTGTATTGATTTAACGCAGAAACTCCCGTGGTTCATTTTTAGACATGTAGAGATAAAGAAGAGGCCAGAGCTCGTGTCATGTTACTACTCTTTTTATGTAGCTGCAGATAAAGGCTCTTGATCTCTATCTGCTGTGAAGGAGGAGAGTTTCTAAACCAAAGAGTCAGAAGGAGGCATCCGATTTCAGGTTTGCTGAAAGCTTCAGACAAAGAAAACTGGAATGTGCCGCATTAACCGAACTGTAGCTTTTGCTATTATTTTACTGTGACATCTTTATGTCTAACCATTATATTGACCACACCTGGACGTCTGCTGTTCCTCCAGGCTTCACCTCTGACTGCTGGTCCGCAGAGGTTTCTGCAGTTTGCTGTAAATGAGGCTCATCGGGCTCCTGAAGCCGCAATCAATAGCTTTTAAGTGGCTTTGCAGTTGTTCTCTCCCTGGTGAGAAATGGATATTGGGATCAATAAGTTCTCGGTTTCTGCACAATAACAATAATCAGATGAGTTAGTAGAGAAATAAGACATTGATGTCTGCAGAGCTCCTCGTCTTCTGTGTCCGCGGCTGAACCTTTCCTGTATATCAATCTGAAGAGAGTTAATGATGAGCAGACTAATCAGAACATATTGATCAGGAGCTGTCGTCAGTGCTCGGCCATCACGGCGCTCTTCGTATCTTAGACTTCGACAGAAGCTTGCATTCATAAACTACAATGAGCTGGAGAGAGAGAGAGGAGAAAGTGGCTAAAAGATTTATTATTGAAGACCACTCATGAGGTGATTATTGATCCAAGTCTTTTGATCTTGAAGCTCAGATCAAGAGGGAACTGAGGTGAACTGATTTGATATGTAGTGGTAGTCTTATTTTCTCTGTTATGTTTGACTTTGAATGTATTTAAGCAGCTGCAAATGGGGCTGATGGTGTATCAGAGGATCGATTTATAGCTTATTTATACAAAAAAAGACTCGTTTTAGCCACAGTGTTAAGAAACAACATATATGTAACAATAGTTTCTAACCAGGGGAAAATCTGGGATCCCCTTTTCAGAGCTGGAAACTTTGCTTTGAGAGGAAAGGTCTGGAATGGCTTCCTCAGCATGCTGCTACCGTGACCCCAACCTCTGATGTGTGAGGAGGAACTAACGGGTGGCTGGACTTCAGACACTTGTTCAAGAGTTCATCAAACTCGGACTCTGTCTGAGGGTTTGGTTTTTAAAGAAAGTATAGCTGTAGCCATGACACATACACACACACACAGCCTCCTGGAGAGTCTCAGTGTGTAGTTCAAATAAAAGCATTTTGTTTGAGGTAACAAAATCTCTGGAAACTTTCCCTCAGTCCGGGTCGAAGTAGCTGAGACTCTCCCCAGCCCCCCTTTCCTTTCCCCCGCTGATTGAAGCTCCACGCTGGCAGCTTTTCAAACTCACTGGGCTGTTTCACTGAACCCCCTGGGACCGGGGGACTTAGTCACAGAGAGCTGCAGCTATAATACTGAGTCTGAACCACTGCAGGGTTTACTTTGGTTCTGCTGTTCTGGACTGACCTGCTGCTTGTTCCAGCGGGCACCTTGGCTGACCCGGCTGTGCTGCTCCCTCCCATAGCAGAGCTCAGCTCGACTCTGCAGGTTTTCTGAGTTTCTAAACACACAAAGTTGTCCTGTAACTTCAGGGAATTCTTTCTCTGTTATGGTCCGTGGAGGCAGATGACGGGTTGAAATATGTGTGACCTGAAAAACTGCTCTAAGTTGTCTTTTAAATATCAAAATGGAAACAAACCCTGAGAAGTTCCTGAATAGATACTAAGAAAACAAAGAATGAAGACTCTGGAATTGGGTTTGAATCTATTTATCCTAAACCAAGAACATATCACGCCTTTCAATCTGTCAGTTGTTAATGTCTCTGATTTGTTGATTAGCTGTGCACACCTTTGCTGCAACATGTCTTGGCATACTTATAAAAATTGCTCTTTCTTTGTCAGTGACAGACTTGGACTGTGATTTAGATTCTTTTACTTTTCTGAAGAATGCATCGGGGAATAGTTTTGCTACTGCGCACCAGACCCTGTTGATAAAATCAGTCATTTTACTCTGCAGGTCAGAGGAGTTGCTGATCTACTGCTGAACGGAGCAGCAAGTTTGTTTCTGTTCTTGCATGAGCGTGGTGTTTTTAAACAGCTGTAACAATAAACTATAACTCAAATAAACTTACTTTATGAGGCATTAGAAGACGAGTTGCTACGATGATCCATGGAGTTAAATTCCTGTTTTTAACAATGGAGTCTGCTCTCATTGAAAAGAGCAACACAACAGCTGTTTCTAGTTAACGGAGAGGATCTTACTCAATGAAACAAACGTTCATTTCTCTAGTTATCCTCTCTGTCATGTTTTCAGACTCTCTTAACAGCATTTTGAGCCTGTTGGAGGCAAATCAAGCACATTCAATGGACATGATTTTACGTTCTCCCTGAAATGTTGTTTCTGCTGTTACAGATGGTTTGGCAGCTGCAAACTAAAGCTTTCTACTGGAGCGATCCCAAAATATTTTTGTACCCATCATTCATTTTAACATAGGGCCCAAGAATAATGATGCCAGAATTAGCCTCCAGCTCTGCTAAGGATCTTTTCTGGCAGCCAGCTGATTGGGGACCAAGCCTTGTATTGGCGGGCAACAGTCCCACTGATCTTTTAGCTCAATTTCAACTTGTTTTATCAGACTCAGGGGTCATAAATCTTCCACATTATGAATACTCCTCCTTTCAATAGCATTTTAACAGATCCTCTAGTGGTAATGGGCCTTGGGGTCAGAGTCTGCTGGACACGAGCAGTCTGGCTTCATGTTACCGCAGTGATCCCATCATCACGCAGACGTGCAGTCTCTGTCTGTCTCCTCTCTGAAGGACAGATTGATCTGTAGCGTGCAAAGCAGAAAGTCCAGCCTCTTTTTCGAATTTACTAATCATACACTGCTTGAATTTATTCCAGGAGTGTGTTACCAAGCTTACAGCCACCATTCAGCTCTGCTTCTCCTCTTTCTATTCGAGCAGGAGGTTTGGCTCGGAGCAGTCTGGACAGCAGTCTCTGTTCGCTGAGAAAAACTTCAAAATGGCACCCTGGAGGAAATCAGAAACATGCGCTTGCCTCTTTGTCTTTGGTATTGAAAATAATTTGGGATTTTAGTTCAGTGTCTGGCCCCTCTTCTGATTTCAGGCTAACATGCAAGCATGCATAAAGGCTCGCGGGGGATTAAAGAATGAGAGTTGTGTTTTGGAGAAGTTTTAATCAGTGAAGCATAGACGACGAGGAGGAGGCAGAGGACTTTGACCCACTACTGGAGATCCAAAGTTATGATTTCCAGAGATCATCTGCTTATACTAAATCAAACTGACAAGTTCTGTCTGTTGGTTAAATTAAGGAAACCTGTAACCAGTGGAAATAAAGCAAGGAAAGCTACTTTTGGGATTAAAATCTTCATTACCTACTCTGCATTTTAAGGTGATCCTTTGCTGTTCTGCTCAGATCGTCTTCTTGTCTGTGGTTGTTTTTGATGTGAGGGATTTTTTTGGATGCAGTTGTGGTTTGTGGTAAATAAAAGAGGAAGTCAAAGCAGCAGCAGGGGCAGCAAACAAGCTGTGAGAAACCACTTAAGTCACAAATCACACAGCATGCAAAACTAAACCTCTTTTAACTGAATATCTATAATTTTTTTATTTTTAATGTGTGCCTCTGGTGTAATACTTAATTCATTTTAATGACGAGTCTGTCTAGACAGATCACCTAACCCTGAGCAAAAGCTCCAATGGGGTTGTTTATTCAGCTTAACAGAAAGCTTTAAGAATACAGCTTGTTAGTCACCTGTCTTTTTCTCAATCAGATAATTTCTCATTTTAGGTTCGAGGCTGTTATTTTCAGTTTTATGGAGTCCAGTTTCAGCTTTTCTTTCTGCCATTGTGCCATAGGGATGAAAGAGTATGAAGAATGGCCCCATTGGTAACAGGAAGGGGAAATATGTTGGTCCTGACAGAAATACATATTGTAGAGGAGATAAAATATTCTGCACAAAGGTTGATGTTAATTTTATTGCTGATAACTAATTTTGGATGAAGTACACCACACAGAATCGTGAAACATGGGACGTGATGTAATACTGTCCGTTGTGCCAATGGAGTGCCGGGAGATTTGCCTTGATGTTGAGAGAGGCATGGGAGATGTATCTCAGGCATGAGAAGGATGCAGATTTTGGGACACATCATTAGTAGTGCACCAGTGAATCTTGGAGTGTTTCTGCCTTTAAACACTAGACACCCTCATCAAAGGTGGCCAGCTACAGAGAGATCAACCCTGAGCTTGTGTCCTATGCTCAATCATGAGAGTTGCCTTAATGGACAGAAAGTAATCTAACACAAACACTGTAGATGATGAATTTTGCAGTATATAATACATGAAACAATGTGTATAAAGTATATCACACTATAGATAGTGAATTTTACCATGCACAGTGGATAATGTATATTGCACTGTGTATAAAGTATAATGAACTATAGATAATATACAGTGTGGATATACAGTGAATAATGAAGCATTGTGTGAGGTTTATTGTACTCCAGGTAAAGTAATGTGTATTGCACTGTGGATTAAGTACATCGCTCCAAAGATGATGTATTTTGCATGATAAAGGCATAAAATACAGAATACTTCACCACAGATAATGCACAACAAACAGTGAATAATTACACAGCGAATGTTATGTATTCTCCTTTGGAAAGTGTAGTTCACACAGTAAAATTGTATACTACACAGTCAGTACTCAGATCAAGTATTTCTCACAGTAGGGAAGATATACCGCATAACAGATATTGAGTATTTCACAGATACTTGTGTGAATTTCGCTGGTAAAATTGAACATTGCACCATAGTGAGTATTTACATTCATGTATTTATTTATTTTGCTGTAAAGTATCATACAGCAGAAATATTATACTTTTCAAGTTAAGTATTAATTATGAAACGCATAAGCCACCATTTTAAGGCCACAAGCTTCTCTAACAGTGAGCCACTGACATGTTACCTCCTGTTTCAGAAACATGGTGTGCACAGTACATAACATATAAAACACATTGAATAATAAATACTATATCACAGTAGATAATGAATAATGCAGGACAGATAAAGCTTTTTACTCACACAGTAAATAATGTGTCTTGCAACAGAAAATACATATAGCATTAATCCAGTTTTATTGCATCATGTTTAATATTCAAAGAAGCTCATTCCTGTATGCTCTGTTTTGACCGAAACATGAACCAACTTATAACAGTTCACTACACTTGCTTCAGTTTCCGGGACAACCGATTTCTTGAGAAGGGTGGGGAAGTTTGTGCAACAGGTTTTGAGGTTTGTTTCTCTTCTTTGGAAGTTGTTTGGCAATTGTCCACGTCTACAGCAATTTGCATATAAACTCTTCTGTAAAAGTTAAACACTCTAAATTTAGTTTGAAGGGAGTGTTTTGCTGTGCTTTGTTATTACTGTGGGATGCGGTTGTTTGAAAGACATGCTAATACTGATCAGGGATTTGGATTTGGTTATGAAAACATTGAAGAAACCATGAGCCGTCAGTGTCTCACTGCTGCCCTCTGCTGCTCAGGAGTACCTCCTCAGTACACTGCAGCTGTCTGCTCCTGTTTCTTGTCTTTATCTGACTGATTCCTCTGTTATTCAGCTTCCCCTCGTCATCACAGTGTTACTCACAGCCTTAGCAGTCTTCTTTATCTCTGTCTGAAAGGATGACCTCATGCTCCAGGCTTGTTTTCATTCAACATGAGGGGGATGAATTCCTGAGTAGATACTGTTGGTTTTTCTGGAAATGAGACACATGTTTGTGATAATCCTGAAGGAGCCAGGAGCAGTGTGTGGACTGTGTGGCTGAGGCCAGCAGGAGAAAGAGAGCGAGCGAGGGTGAGAGACAGAGAGAGAGAGAGAGAGAAAGAGAGATGGATAGAGGAGAGACTGAAAGAGGGAAAGAGAGAGAGAGAGATTCGTGCTCATTAGGCACTCTGATTTGTCCTCCAGGATATTGACCTTCTGTCCTCCTCCCTCTCCCATATGACCTTTGTTTTGACACCATATCAACTGTCTGCCTATCAGCCCCCTGTCCTCCCCCACCCTCTTCCTTTTTCCCATTCTTTCCGCTGCTCTTTTCACCTCTGAGTCAGATCCCCCCTTCAAAGATAACTATTACCAGGAGCAGAGCAGAGTCTCAGGCTTGTGATTAGTGGCTTTTCTACTGTGGGATAAAAAGATCTTTTGTGAAAAGTTTTTGAATAGCTGTCATCAAAGTGATAATAATAATGTATTTCTTTAGTGTTATAAATGATTGAAAAGCCCATTGAGTGGTGGGAATTCACTTGATAGCAGACAGTTATTCTTCAGTTTGTAGCCTGAGTGGAATATTCAGATATATCCACTAAACTCAACTCAATTGTACCATCAGCCCGCCCCTTCAGGAGGGCTGCACTCCCCTGACTTTTACAGGCTGCATCCAGCTCTGCCTCTTCATATTTTTTAGGGGGCTTGAGGAAGAAAATCCTCATGAAGTCAGGAAATTTTTCTGACACACCTTGATGATGCCAAGAAATTTGCAGACAGTCTGTTGGTTTACATTTATGGCAGCTCAGCTCACAGCCTTGGAGCCCCACAAACAACCATCTAACGAACACCAAGTAAAATGTGAAGTCTTAGTCAGTGTTAATACCAGTCAAGATTACAGGTCGTTAAAAAGCTTCATCAGCCATGATCACGTGGCCACAATCCTGATTCAGTAACATAAGCAGCAGCTCAGCTCGCAACCCTCTCCTGAGGTTCTCTTCTGGAGCTGAATTGGCTAAATTTTTTATGATTAATTGAATGTTTTGGTTATTTTTAAGCTGAGATTTTAAACACTGCTGATTGTGGCTCATTACTTGAGAGGATTTACTGCTTTTCTTTGTCAATTTGATGGTTAACATTGTTTGGTTTGGGTTAGATCAATTGTCTGCTTGCGTTAGGTTTCATCAAAATTATTGGCAAACTGGCAGCTATTAAAATGTACTATAATTGATAATAAAACTGATCAAGATAGAGGTAAACTTTTGAAATAACCAGGTTCAAATTAAAGAGTGATAATCAAGCTTTTGCAACTTAATTGTAATCTATTTAATGCTTTGTCCAGATATTTCCATGTCAGAGTGGTCTGATGATCCAGTGAATCTTCACTTTGGTTTCCAGATGATGATTTTTTTTTAAAGATTAATGACCATTAACCTGGTCCTTTGTTTTTCCAGGTGTTTAAAGGTGAATTTCAGCTACCAGATTTCCTAAAAGAACAATCACAGGTACAGTAACATTTCTGCCTGTTGCTGAGCTTTGTCTTCTTTTTTTTTTTTTTTTTTTTCTAAAATCAGCTTTTTTGATTTAAGCCATCTGCAGCTCAGTGAAAAATCTCGCCTCAGTCCTCATCTCATGTTTTTAAACTTGAGTTTCTCGCCATGTAACACAACCTTTTTTTTTTCTGGTCTCAGCTTCATGTTTTTGGTCTCTAGTTTGTTTGTTGGTCTCTTTGTGTCATCCTATTGTGTCTCGGTCCAAGAGCCTGATGTTGGCTGAGGAGCACGTCTGCCCCCTTCTGGTAGTTAGACCAATCTACATGTTGCTTTCTCCATGTTTTTGAAATGCACCTTTTGCTTTTGATTTCCTCATTTAACCTTTTTTTTCAGCATAATCAGACTCTTTTTTTGGTTTGGTTTGGGAAATTAAACTCTGAATGTTACAGTCAGTGTGTCAGCTGACTGTGGACATCACCTTGGTGTTGCCTTAATGCAGTTTATTGCACTTTGCAGCTCTTTAATATGCTGTCAGTCAGCCTTTAACATGTGCTTGTTGTCTTGCAGATTCAGAAGTCTGCAGAGGGACCAAACCCCAGTTAGGAGCAGAGGAAACGCGGTCACCACAACACACAGGTACACAAGAGGAAAAGTAAACACACTTTTTACTTCAAAACATGTATCTGGGACTTTTAATAGTGACTGACATGAGCAAAGACTGACAACGCAAGATAAGCAGCAGGCTCTTAGTGAAACTATGGTGTAAGGTATCAGTAAATTTAATCTAATTATATGAATATGTAAATGTATGCTTCATTTATTATTAATAAAAGAAATAAACCATTATCTCTTCTAAACATGTGGCACATTTCACCCCGTCTGAAAATCACAAAATCAGACTTGACAAACAACATTTGACAGTTGAAGGTAGCCATCAGAAAAATCACCAATTAGAGAAAATAAATAAATAACAATTTACAAATCAAAAGTGGTCATTTTCAAATCCATCAAGAACATCAATCGAGTATTCTTTAATGAAAAAATCTTGAAAAGGCACCTGCAGCCACCTTTTGAAATGATGTTGAAAACATGATTAAATGGAGGTTTTCCTATGTTTATATAAAGATGTAAATCAGATGTTTGCAAGAAACGGTACATATGTGTCTGTGGCACGGGTAGTTTACACATCTGACTCACTATAAGCGCTGAATAATATAAACAGAGCAACATATGCTGCCATCCAGATGAAACCTTTTACAGGAACGAATCTGTATTTTTTAGCAGGAAAACACCAGATATGTTTATGTTTCACTGTTTTCAATTCAACTTGTGATTTGCAAACCAGCAAAATAAGTTTTCATTGACATTTTACACAACTTTCTAATTTTCTTTGATCTGTGGGTGAATTTTTTAGGGCAGTAATGTTTAATATCCTTGAAAATAATACAGAGGAAACAGCTGTGTGCATGACGGATCTTAATATATGGACACATTTAATATTTAATGTACATTTACACAGAAATAAAACATGCCTTGCTGTAAGAAAAGTGTGAAATTCTGAAGGATTGATTTTGTGACCAAAAGATTTTAAAGTGATATTGCAAAATCTCTCATCAAAATTTCTATATCTTTGTTAGTATTTAAAAAATTGGTTTGTAAGCTTAAAAAAAAAGAAAATTTTGAATAACTTGAATTGGTGAATCATATCTAGTCAGAGGGAGAACTCTGCTCTGATCTGTAACTTCTCATGTTTCAGAAAAGGACTCACTCAGTAGAACAGAAAATCATGAAGATCATCTCACCGTCTGTGTCGGAGGTCACATGACCGTTGGAGGACAGAGACCTGACCATCAGCACCTCCACCTGCGGGCTGCTACCACTCCTCACGTGCTGAGGACTCTTGGCCTTGGATGTTGTACTGTACAGAAAAATAATACTAATATTCTCACACTCACAGAATGTCTGCTGATTGTTATTTTTGTGTCACATCACGCTCATCCGTTTTTTTTAGAAATGATTTCAGGCTTTTTAGAGAAAAAACAAAACTATATGATTCTGTTGTAAGAAACTGCAGTGAACAGAAAGAAAACGCAAAGAAGTATTTATGAATGGAAACTTAGCTTTTGGAAGATGCAATACCTATTTTAATGTTACTTTTTTTTCATGCCTTTGTATTGTGCAATGTCATGGGTACTGATCAGTTTGAAGTATCGACCGTGATAAACAATGCTTTTTCTAAACGTGTCGTCTGTCTGTGTCTTTTTTTCTTTCTTTAAACTTATTGAAAGTGAAAACTCTGCAGAACCACATTCAAAAACAACACCGACTACTGTGGAAGAAAGGAAACAAGTGACCCACAATATGTGAATGCTTCACCAACAACACCATTAACTTTGATTGTTCTTTCTGAATCCATTTTGAAAAGTCCAAACTAGGGTAGCAAGAATTTACAAAGTTGGAAAGTTTTCATGGGAATTAACAGGAATTTACAAAATTGAAGGTTGGCCCTCAACAGGGAACTTAAATATATAGCATGATCTTGGCTAAAACAACCAGATTTAATGCAGGTACACTCCTAAATCACATGCACACTGCGTATTGCAGGGCTATTGAGGCCACACCCCCTACATGCACTGTGCATTCCTCCATCACATGCACAGGGGATTTCTTGAACCCTGGAGGCCACACTTTTGAGCCCAAAGCACAAGACATTTCAGTTCACGGACTACATAAAGTCAAGTAAATTTTGATAGTATTATGGGGTAGATCTATAATAGTATAAATATTTAACTTGCAAAAATTAAATACAAATAGGTGCTAAATGTAAGCTATTTTTCATTTCACTGACCATTTAAGGGGCTAGCTTATTATGGTGGTGGTAGCTACCTCAAATGTGATGCTGCTTCTTCTGTCTCCTGCAAGATGGTTTTCATTTTCCAGTTACTTTCCATGAATTCCTAGTAATTCCCGTAATCATTCATCATTCCCATGGAAAGTTTCCAATTTGGAATATTTCCAAAAACAAACACTTCCTACTGAAAGTTTCTGGAAATTTACCGGAAATTTTCCGCCCCTTGCAAACCCTAGTCCAAACTATGTAGGAACATAGACTGTGTATATCTTATATACTGTCTATGTGTAGGAATGGGACTATTGATACTTGTGTAGTCTACTTACAAAGTACGTCTTTGTCATGGCTGCAGAGTGTTGTTGCAGAGTGTTCTCTCATCCCTGGCAGTGGTCTTGCATACCAACGTGAATAATTTTGAGGAAAAATCATCAAAAGTCTTAAACAGATGAAAAGGAAGACGAGCAGCCCACTATTGAACAAACTGTTATTTAATAATACATTACATTCAAGGCAAATGATACATCCTTACCAATACATATCAGCAATGCAATCAATCAGTCAGTCTGCTCTTTCAAATAAATAGAAATTTGAAGTCAGTGCACAACATTGAGAAAGAACACTTAACAGTCAACGTGTAACAATGCCTGCACACATTCTGCATCTCCGACTAGTGCTGCTAAAACCAACATAAAAAATAGATCTCAAAATAAGTTATATTTATGTTCCCACGGTCTTCATAGAAATATTGGGCTTTCTGTTCCGTATTTACAGCAATATAGACTTTAATGGATCTTCTCAAACGACAGAAATTGCACAGTAGATAAAGAATCACAAAATTCAAAAATATTTTACACACATAGTAAACAGTCAGTCTTCAAGATGCGGTATGAAATTGCACATTGTCGTCATGCCACAGAGGGGACTGTTTCAAGGCTTTGGTACATCATGTCCTGATTGGAAGAAGAAGCTCTGCTATCGGAGCTCTGTGCTGGATGACCAATCAGATGCAGCCGTGTTGGATGTTTTTAAGGAGGTGAGGAGATAAAGGGTCACACTGATGAGCAGGATCAGAAACAGTATCAAAAATTGTCCTCTAGATACAAACATGAATGGACTCTGTGCTGAAACTGTGAAGCCCGAAACCGACTGAATGCTGACTCATAGAATACTAAAGAGTTTGGCATCAAAAAGCAGCTTCTTTTTAAAATTCAGGACCAAACGAAATCTTGTTTTCAGACAAACCTGGTCCAAGTACTTCTACTTTCAAAGGCTGGACATCAGAAAGGATTACAGCCACTTTTCCTGACAATAAAGCTCAGTGCTTCAGATCAGTGAGCATGTTTGATTCCAGTATTAAACAGAAAAAAAGGAATTGAGGCTCTAATGTTTCCCTAATGTTGAACAAATCTCAAACAGCAACAACATGGTCCCACAACTACACAGTGTGTGTGTTCCCCAAACTGCTAGCTAAAAACTGTTTGTGTTAAAGCGGCACTTTATGTATAAGCTGTGTAGTAAAAATGGGACATGGTCACTCAAACCAGATAAATAGAAAAAGCTACTAAAGTCCCACAGAAGTGACACAAATCATCTCATGCACACATTGTTTTCTTGTGCACAACTTATTTTGTGTTGATAGATTTTTTTGTGCACAGTATGACATTTTGGAATCTGTGTGTGCTCACAAGTGAATAACTAGTTCACACTTTACAATAACTAGTATGCATAAGTTGTTATATTCTATGCACAAGAAATTCTCTGGTGGGCACTTGATAACAACTGTTATACACAAGTCTGTATTAAGTGCGTACAGGTTATTTTCTTATGTGGATAAGACACCAACCTTGTGCGCAGGTAAATTTTTGTGCACAGATATTATCTTGTGCACACATGGAAAACTCTGATAACATAATGTGCGCTTAGAAATGACATGTATGCACCACAGTGTACAAAAAAATCTGCAGTGCACTCTTGATCATAATTGTTATGTTCACGTGTGGATGAGAAAATAACCAGTGCTCTTGATTATGGCAGGAATAGTCTTTTTTTAATCATCTGAAGAACAGCAGATGTTAAGTAAAAGTCATCTATTTTAATATTTTCTGCAATAAATAATTTGTTTTTCAGAAATTTTCCAAAAGATATGAGCTGACTGAAATCAACAGCCCTGAATTAAACACATGGTATTTCAAAATAAAGGTACTTTAGTTACTTTCAAAAAGGGAAAGGCCTGTGTGCTTTGATATGTGCTTTTGTGCTCTGCTGCTCTTTTTTCTAATGTTGCAACCAGGATCAAAAACTCACTCACATGCCAGGGAAAGGTGGCTGCAATCCTTTAATAGACTGGTCTCCTATGGCGCCTCCAAACCCCATAGACTGGCATTTTTCACTGGCACCGCGAAGGAAACTCCACTCAAAAAGTGCAACTCAGTACCTTGGGCTGTCACTGATGAAGGCAACATTTGTGTGATAATGAACACTCCGACAAAAATAAAGAGAAGAGAGGAAGAAGACAGGTTGAAAACTCACATGCTTGTCATAGAAAACACTCATGAAAAGGTAGTTGGCACAGTCCATTTGGTCACTAATGAAAACTTCGTGGCGTAGTCTTCTGCTCCTCTGTGTGTAAATCCTGCACTCTGGTGGCCTCCGCTGGAACTGCACGGAGGGACACTAGCAACACTTCCTGACAGGCATCAAACATGTTCTGGTTCAGAGTCAGGAAAAGGGAACACTTGAAGAAACTGCAGTGTTAGAGCCAATGTTGTGTGTGTGAATGTGTGTGTGTGTGTTTGTTTTCATGCACGCACACAAGCTCTTGTCAGACTAGGGAGACTCGAGAATGCGTTCACAGTGTGATCAAACTCACAAGCATGCAGACAAATCCACATGTCTGAACGGACACCATGGGCATTCCATGTGAAGGTTAAATGTAAACAGACTGAGGCCGAGCTCTAGAGCTGGGCCCCCACAGCAGCACTCCTGCCCCACTCACAGGGCCTTCACCTGGGCAGAGAGGAGACCAAGACCCCTGGACCAGCTCCAGATGGGTGGAAGCCTGGAAACACTCTGAGTCTGTGAGAGATGGGAGGAGGAGAAGAGTCTCCTGTAGATTTTCTCCCCCTCTGCACCCTCTTCCTCCTCCTCCTCCTCCCCCTCCTCTTCCTTTACAGTCACTTGTTATCCATCAGAGACTGGACTCTGTGCACCAGCTCACGTGCTATCTTCAGGATATGATGGACGTCATGACGTTCAGCCATCTCTGCAGATCAGATATAGTGTTAGAAGGCAGCTACTGATTCAGACAGTGAATCTGCAAACTGCAACACCTGCACCGACAGTGCCTTCTTTTAGGCATTAATAAACACACCGTATCCACCACTTTGACTTACCTTTGACCATTTCTTTAGCCTTACTTTTGGCACATCACTTCATTTCCTTAACTTAAAGCATTATCACAGTCTTGATGATTATTCAGCGTTTACTTACACAGTTTTGCAGTTTTCAACTAGGCTATTGAAACCATTTTATCCACTCAACAAAACTCTAAGCCAAAATTTTTACCACATATCCTTTAAGACCAGAATTCTTCTCATTTTATCCCATTCCAGTCAACTATTTTACTATTCTAGAAACACATTTTTAATTTTTAGTCGACATTTCCAAAAGACTACCCATTGATTTATTTATCTAATAAATTCACTGATTTATTCGTACTTTGTATTTAAAAAATTAACCACTCATCTTTCCCTGTGAATCTCATTTTTAACCACATTTTCATACCAGATGGACAGAATATAAGACGACCCTGTTAATCAAATGACATCCCTTTTAAGGATAATTTAAAGAAATAGATGATTTCAGGTCCAAATTCTAGAAAAATGAACTTGAAATTATGACAAATGAACCAAGGAGGCTATTTTTTAACACATTTTGAATAAAGTCACTTGTTTCTGCCTTTAAAAATGAAATTGTAATGTTTAAATGAACTGTATGACTGTCATTTACTTAAATACCATAAATATTGAAATATTTTGCTGTTTATCAGATGGAAGGTAGTTCAAGTGATGGACTCTTGTTTTTTAAAATGATCTTTTTGTGCTCACCATTATTACTCCCTGATGACACCATATCTCTTGGTTGTTTGACAACTGTATAATATCTCTGCTGCATTCAAAACCATTTTTCATAAATGGGTCTGTCCTCTGTTGTAATGGATCTTGACATTTTCTTATTATTACTAAATCCTGAATCTAAGACAAGCGCATTTTCTAGCTGTAGTATGATGGAAAAACAAATTCTTATATTTGGTCAAAATGATATTTTTCTCCACAGTCTTGTGAATTTTTTTAAAAATAACAAATCGAAAACTTTGGCAAGATAATAGTCAATAATCAACCATTGATTACTCAGTTTGTGTTTGTCTCTCTCTCTCTCTCTCTCTCTCTCTCACCGTTAAAGAACTTGATAATGTCAGTGAAATCCATATTGTTGTCCACGATGATCTCACGGTACACTGTGACCAGGGCCAAGGCCAGAAAGAGAACAAAGTGCTTGGAGGAAATCTTGGGAGCCACCCAGATCACCTCCCACACCGCGAACACGTCCTCGTACAGAAGCTCTGCACACAAACACACACACAAAAAAAACCCAAACTTTTTGAGTCTGTTGTTTTTTAATAACTGAAAGTTTTTAATCTTTTTTGAGCTTAGAAACTCTCATGTAGACTTTCAAAAAGAGTTCAAGGATTAATTTAGATGGTCTCTGGTGTAAAAAAAAATAGGTAGAAATTAAGCAATTCACTCATGAGACAAATCAAAGTAATTTTTTTTACATGTTTTTGGGTTGAAATCACACAAAATCTGTTGTGTGTCAGAAACCGCATTTACTATTCACAGTTAAACTAAAACTTACCGAAAACAGACAAACATTTTTACTATCATGGATATAATGAACCAAGGAATGACATCATTTAACTTGCAGACAAATCTTTGGCTTCGCTTCTGATTTGGAGGTTTCCTGACTGTCCCAGAGGCACACATTGTCAGACAATAATCAGTGGGCTCAGAGATGCGAACTGAGTTTGGTGTTTTAACACAGGGCTCACTTCCCACTGGAGGAACTGCAGTTTCAAGCTGCAGGAGTACAATGACAATCAAACCCAGAGAGAGTCAAAGATCAGTCATTCACCTCTCTTGAAGTCCAGCAGGAACCAACGGTAACAGAAGTAGAAGTGAGTGTAATCTCCGTTCTGCTGCATCAGTTCAAACAGCTCAGAGTCCAAGATCTGACATCAGAGAAAGAGAGAGAGAGAGAGAGAGAGCACAGAGATCATTAATTAAAACACACACACACACACACACACACACACACACACACACACACACACACACACACACACACACACACACACACACACACACACACACACACGCAAGAGAAGTGAGAGTTATTCGTCACCTGAATCAGTGACCTCATATTGGCAAAGTGTGTGTCCATGGCTCCACCATTAGGGAAGTTCTGACTCATCCTCTTCATTAGCTGAGTGAAACAACTGTATGCCAGGCACTCTGAAACCCACACAGAAACACTAAGTAACCCAGTGAGGAGCCGCCGTTTGTCTTATCTCCACCCTGTACATTATCATGAATTAAATAACAACACAAACAGATACCCCAACTGTGGAATATGAAAAGAGAACCTCTCTAGAGCCGGATTTTAAACCTTGAAACTTTTTGGTCACTATTAAATTCATAAGGGCCTGTGTCCACTCACAACATTTTTAAAACATTGCTGCGCTACAGATAATCACTTCTCCATCACCAGATAGTTGAAACAAAGGAGGGGTGGGATCTCAGGGTTTCAGAAACTGCACTTGACAACAACAATGGCAGAGGAAAAGCGAACATTTTTCGATGTTGCAGTTTCAAGGTCTGCAGCTGCTTCTTTTTGTCCTTAATAGTTTGATTTATAAAATATCCGTTGGCAGAATCAAATGTCCTGTACACAGAACAACTATACCACGCTTAATGGTCAAGTAGGCAGAATTGCCATGAGACAACTTTGTAACCTAGCAACAGTGAGTGCATTTTGAGTGTTGTGAGGGCTACTGCCTGGTACAGAAAATGTTGACAGTGGACAGAGGCCCTAAAATGAGCTTAATGCACAAAATCCTGATTTAATGATGCGCATAACCTTGGTAAAGGCTTTTATGACTAAGTTGGTGTTTCTTTTAAAAAGAGTAAGTCAGGAGTTAGTCATAATGATCCTTTGTTCTCACCATCGTCCAGGATGACCATGAGTGGAGCGAGGAGATCGCACATGCCCTGAACATAGCCGACCTCTAAATGCTCCCACACGTAGCTGGGAGGAAGAAGGAGAGACACAAAAGCGAATAAATTAAATGCAGCTTCATGGATTTCATGTTACTGCGGGTGTGGGTGTTCAGATGATGACTGCTGACAGATTTAGATGTAAATAACCTTAGTGGTAATTTTGCCAGGTATAAAAAACTGGCTACTCTTAACAATACACTGTCAGATTTAGTCATTTTATTTCAAACTCTATTCCCAGGCAGACAGGGAGTCGGTGTGAATTGCTCTTGAAGCACTTAGTGCCTTTTGAATGCAGCCGTTGCTCTTGAGATAAAAAATATTTCATAATTTCGTTACTGCCACTTGGAGGCAGCACTAACAAACCACACAGCTCTGACATCACTTTTAAAGCTGGTCTGATCAACATAAGCATTTATCCCAAGTCATGATACTATCCCCCTTTGATATGCACACTATGAGAAACAACTTACTGTTTTTAAACATTATCTTTGCCCTGTATAATCTGTGTAAAAAACTCAGTAAAAAATCAGTGCCCCTTTTTCATACCTGCACATGATGTTTCGTAGTTTCTCCAGGTTCCCTGTGGTAAAGTAATAATAGTTGCGGTCGCAGCGCTGTACGTCTTTGTCTATCCTGTGGAGGTTTAGAGCTACAGTGTCCAACAGCTCAATCTGCAGGAAGAAAATTGTGTTGTTTATGTGAGAGTGTGAAATGTAAATGAAGTCCTCTTTTCAGGGGCGCCACCGAGGATTTTTAGCTCTGTGGATAGACATTATATTGGGCCTGAACACTTCACTGCAACAATTGTTCTTATTCTGGGGCTATCGGCAAGCATGAATGCCAAAGATTGTCCTAAATTTTCTCCCTCATAAGTCACCTTTGCTTTTATTTCTCTCTTTCCAATAGCAGCTTGAATCTGCCCATGTGTGACTTTGGTTCATAGCAAAGAATCTCAAATATTCTCCGATATTCATTCAGGCTTTGAGTCACATTTTAAGCCCTCAGGTAAGCGAGTTTTAATAAAGACTTATGAAAACCCACCGTATAGGAAGAGAGTGAAGGTAAGATCTCCTCTGCAGCAGCTCCATTGGTCACCAGTTTGTCCAGCTCACTGCACAGTTTGTCCTCAGTCAGAGACTCCTGACCACCCCCCAGCACACCTGGAGTCCTGACCTCCTCCCCGCCCCCCCCTTCCTCCTCCGTACTCTGCCCGTCGTCTATGCTGGACAGGATCTGGGAATGAGCAGAGGTCACTGAGTAGTTTCTGGAGGAGGGGAGGCCCGAGTCGGGGGAGTCAAACTCCACCAGAGGGCGCTCCTCTTGAGGCAGGGCTGCAGGGGGAACCAGGGTGGTCATGGTGGGGGTACTGTCTTCTCCGCTGGGGGTCTCCTGGCTCCCTGCGTCTGGCTCATCCACCGACATAAACACCTGAAGAAGGATGCAACTTGAAACTTATTTTCTGCCAAGAAAGTTTTAAAGCTTTTTGGACCAATATATGAGCAGCATAACGTTAACATTTTACTTTTAGTTTTATAAAACCACAATTTCAAAACAAAGTATAAAAACACAAGACCGAAATTATTACTAAATGCTTGTTAATAATTCAAACTTAAATGAGTAAAGACAGGAAAGCAGTTGTCCATTTTAGGCAATATGTAACTTTGATTGAAAAGTTTTTTCCAAAATTGAAAAAACTGATTATGAATATGAAATAGTGTCATTTGAGCACAAATTAGGATCTCAGCCACCTTCACAGGTGACTTAGTTAGAATATGCATGACTGCATCATGAGCATAAAGCCTGAAGCTGCCCTCAGGACAGGTCATGAATAAACACACTGAAAAACAGAGGGCCGATTACTGAACCCTGGGGAACACCATATCTGTTGTTTTAAAAAGGGGGACTTGCCTTTATTTACTTTCACACATTGCTCTCTCTCCTGGAAATATAACATGAATCAATTATCTGCCTGTTTGGAATACATATAACTTTTACTGTTTATAATTCTCATGTTAGCTGTGTTGAACATCTAAACTAGATCAAGAAACGTGGGATCTATATTGTTGGTGACTTATTTTTAAATCTTTTAGCACAACTGATCAACAGCTAAACACGGGATCACTGAGTCTCTGAGCTAAACTCGCCAAGTTAGCTTTTCAAGTGTGGCTAACAACAGAGCTAGTACCAACTTTTGGTCCACTGATTATACATATAGAATAATAAAGGTAATATTTTGCAAGGGTGATACTCTTAAACTCTTGTCTTAAAATATGGGAAAGAGAAATTATGGCAATGTTTGCATGCAAAAGATGGTCAACTTTATTGGTCTCTGGTTGTCCCAGTAGCTTCCCTGCTAGAAAAAAAAAACTCACTTTCCCTTCTAACGAAATAAAGAGATGGTTACTCAACAGGCCCCCCTGCTGTTAAGACTGGTGCAGCGACATAACTTTAGTTATTTGGAACAAAAAAAATAACTCACCCTCTGAATGCAGATGAAGTTGAAATGTAAAGCACAGAGTTATGGGGAAACATGTCAAACAGAGACATGTTTTCTTGAACAATGAAATGTGTAAATATTAAGAAAAGCAGATTTACATTATTAATATCATGCACAGCGTTAATAATGTTAATAACCTGCTGAAAGCAGAACACCATGCAGTTACAGGGAAAAGACATTTGCTGAATGGAGGAATATTACGTCAGGCTTCTTCACCTCATTGCTAAGCGTAGAGTCTCTGTGAACGAGTCTCAGGACGTGGCTGTCAATGCTACTGCCTGAGGAGAGCTTGGCAAAGATGGCCGACTGCATCTCCTTCTCCCTCTGCTTGACGATCACCTCACAAGCCTTCCACTCCCTCATCACCTGCTGGTAGCGCTCACTGATCTTCACATCAATCTGGAAGAGAAACAGCCCTCTAGCAAATTAACAGGGGAATCTGGTGTAGTTAAACCTGAGCCATGTGTTCGCCCATTTTGGGGTCTGAATTACTTAAAAGTGCCAAATATGAGATTTTCACCAGTGGATTGCTTCAGCTCACAGCAATGAAATGGGCCAAACTTACGGTGTATTCACCAATTTTACAAAAAAGCTCAAGTTATTATTTCATGTTCTCCTGTGAAAACAGGAGAGGAAGGATCCATACAAAAGAAGAACTTCTGGTTCATTATTATATTAAGCTCAATATCTTCAGAGGAAAAAGCCTTTATGTAGTTCTCTTCAAAGCCACCAGACTCTATTGCCAAAAACAGGTAGTTTACGTCTTTGCACAAGTTGCTGGTATGTTGCTGCTATGGTCTGTACTATCTCAGTTATTGTGTTTTGAATGTTAAGTCTGAATTAACCACAATATTAGTGTTTTACAGATACTTCAGGAAGCTTGACCACTCCCAGCATAAGTAGATCAGCAACTCATGAGATGCAAAACAATTCATAGTTTACCCCAAATATAATTGTTATTCACAAATGCATATCAGAAAAAACCTTCCTAGATTAGGGAAATACAGATTTTGTTTGAAGAAACTTTTCAAGGCCATTTTGCTTGTTGCGCTGGCAGCCATTTCTCCCTATTAAAATCAACAAAGTCCTCATTTTGACCTGTGGTGTCTTGAGACAAGACTAGACTAGTTAGGTCAGTGTGATTTAAATTGAGTGTAATGACATATTTTGAAAAGTAATAAGAGAAAATCACCTTAAAACTTGAGTTCTTGCAATCAAGACCTTTTTCATTTTCTCTCTTCCAAGTCAGCAGACTAAACTGATTAAAAACAGCAACTTTAAAATGCAGACTACTGACTAAAACAGTTAGTTTTCTAACTTTTCAATATCTGAGTGACCCACAATGACACAGAAATGTAAAGTTCCTTTAAACTTTAACTTTTATGAAACAGACTTAAATTCAAATCACTCCCTTTTTAATGAAAAGAAAGGGGAGGTACCAGCCTTGCAGCTGAGGAAACAGCCCTCTTTTCACAACTTCAACGTGAAATATTCACGATAAATGATGAAAAAACTGATAATATTTGAGGTACCTGACTCATGTCCTTTTTGCCCATGCCAAATTTGTAGTGTCCCAGCAAGAAAGGCCAGACCTCCTTCCTGATTTCATGCTGCACTCCACCATAATACACCAGCCGCAGCAGCTCCAGCTCTTTGTAGTTCTACCAACACAGAGAGAGAGAGAGACAGGTTTTTATGCATATGAAGCAAAAAAGAAGACCAAAGCTGACAGATAGGAGATACCCACTGTGAGGAGTGGGAGGACAAGGGTACGAGAAAATGCATAAATAATGAGGAAAGAGACAGAATGACAGGGATCTGTTCAGAGGAAGACATGACCGAGTGCGGATAATAAAGGACACAGATATGAATAGAGTGTGAATTAGTTATGATGATTTTATCAGAGCAGGTGAATGATTACAGAGGACGCTTAAATAGCACTCTGTAATGAGACCTCATCTCAGTAAAACTCATTAAAATTTCATTAAAGTCAAAATGAGAGCAGAGAGGCTGAGGACCAGTATCTGTTCCATAACTTACATTAAATATACACCTACAGAGAAGAGGAGAAGGTGACTCCTATATGAGGGAGGATAGAGCAGAAACTCTTGACTTCATTATAAACGTATAAAATCTTTATTCAGGTAATAACTCCATAGCAGTTTGATTTGACATTTAAAGACCTCCAAAAAAGTGATAGAAAAGTTTGTGCTCCATATCTTTGAAACACCAAACGCCAAAGAGAAATATCATCCTGTTTTACTTTCCTACAAAAGTAGAAAATAATTTAGTGACAGATTAAAGTTTTCAGACAGCGTTGAAGGGTAAAATTATGTCATATTGTCTAACGTCTGGCTAGAGTAGTTTGCTCATTGTGACTCACAGGCTGTCTTACCATATCTCCTTTTAAAATTATTACCGTGATTAATACCTGTACTGCAGCATCAATTACAAAGATTTGTCACTTGGCTTGATCAATACAAACACTTACTCAATGATGACTCTGCAATCTGCTGTGATTTGTAGCTTTTTAACTCACTTGCTCACTGATGAAGAGGTTTTGATGTTGTCAGTCAGTGACAGAAGAAAAATTAAAATACTTTTGACGCTGTCACTTGTCGATCACACTCCTGTTAAAATTGATGTGTTTGTTTCGGTCCTCCCCGCTTTACACCCACCTTGCAGTCTTTCTGGTACTTGCTCCACACTTCCTTGCTGAGACCTCCAGAGGCCTCACAGGGTCTATCAGGAGGGACGATGTTGTGATTGACCAGAGCTGACAGGTGAGTCCTCACAGTGGACAGATGTCGGCAGTAAGCCAGCCCTGATGGACAGGTGAGACATGGACAGAGACGTGCAAGGGACACCAAACATCAGTAACGTCAGGTCAGGACAGATAATATTACACAAAGTTCAAAATCACAAAACAAACAACTTCTGTGAGGCTTACTATGGGGACAGGTTTCATAAATGTCACAGAAACAAATAAACACAAAAGAATATATTAAGAATGACAAGTACAATTTTTCTGTGTTTTCTTTATTCTTGTTTCACTCGAGCTCCTTTGAGGAACTTTTGGCTTATGCTGATGACGGTTCAAAAGCACATCACATTCAGCTTCTGTTTCTGCAGATGTAATATTATTATAACATGAGTTCTAATCTTATAACGTATAACATGACTGTCTGGTCACTGTGCAGAGGAACATGATGCACTTACATCCATAAAAGGCTCGGGACACTATCTGCCTCTTCATGTTCTGGCAGAGCATCTTAAGAGGAACACTGCAGGAGACAAAGAAAGCAGTTATTATGACTGAGCCACCGAAAAACATCAAAACCTTTGAAATATTAGTTTTTAATGGAGGAATCAACAACATAGGTAAAAGTCAAAGCAAAAAGCGATTTCTTTATTGAATAGATGGACCTGGTGTTGTCTCAGACTTTTTAATAAATAATATGTAGATGCATATTAACTTTTATTCAGCAGAAAAAATATATGAGGCAGTTTTTGTACATTACTCATGCATGAGATATCTAATGATAAAGGATAGTCTAGAATTTTTGACGCGGGGTTGTCTAAGTCTATTACCCACAGGGGATCCTCTTTGTTCAGAAACTGTCTGACCCTAAGCTCAACTCCCACAGATCGGTTTAACTCTGAGTGAAAAGATTTAGGAAAATCTACAACCCCAAGACCAAAAAGGACAGGATGCTGGGTAAAACGTCAAGGAGTTCAGTGTTTGCAAAACACTTCATGTACAGATGGTGCACAAACAACATGTCAAATGTAGATGGTGCACAAACAACATGTCAAATGTCTGACTTTTTGTTGCATTGAAAATATATTCTCAGATTTTTATTTTCTATTTTTACAATGCTTATAAATGGTTTTAAAACATGTGGGGAACTTTTCTAAATGAAAAATGTTGGTGTGCAACAGGTTTATGACGTGAATAGATATAAAAAGAGGATGCTACAGAGGCTGAGTCTCTCAGAAGTGAAAGTAGGAAGTAGTTTACCACTCTGTGAGAGACTGTGTAAGCAAGCACATTTGATTTTTCAATTCAGAATCATAAATTTGAAGATATCTCTGAATAACATCAGTGAAATCATGGAAATAATGGACATGGATAAATGTAGAGTTGATCTCTACCATGTTAAGAGGAAACTGTGTACAAACATGATCCAGAATCACTGGTGAGTCTGTGAAAGATTTGGCATTTTTTGGAGAGTGTAGATGCTCCATCCCCTGCTCTAGGGAGGAAAGGCATAGATATGTATAGTAGATACGACATGCCTCTTTGAGCTGCGCGTCTATGTGGCAGCCATTTTGGTGAAGGCATGATTCCCATTAAAGGCAATGCATGTACAATGAAAAAAAATCACAACTTGCTCATTTCTCAACTAATTTTCCAGCAGTTTACTTTATTGCCAACACCAAAATGTGCTCTTAATACATAACATTTGATTTTAAAAGGGTAAATAAAACAAATGTTTAATCAAATGCTCTGCATGAAAAGCACATATTTTGGCGTTGAAAATAAAATGAAATGAGGAAGTTATGATGAATTTTTCATGTAAATCTAATGCCTTTTATGGAAATGTTGCCCCCGCCAACATGGCTGCCACGTAGGCACGTCGCTTGGCGGGCTGCTAGAGCATGCTGGCGTATTAAGTCTTCTACATATATCTGTGAGGACAGGGAACACCCAGCTTTCTATCAAGTGAACACTTTTTAAAGCCAGCACCCCCTAGTGCTTTGGGGTTGCAATGATGGGGATAGCGTAAAACATCTGGGAAGGCTCCACTATTGCCAAATCCAAATTTTGGTGCAACATCTACTGCAGTCTAGACAATGACTCTTCAGAAGAAAACCTCGAGCAATACAACAAAAAGACGGCAACATATTTTTTCATATTTTACAACAGTATGGCTCTGTAGTTGGAGCCTTTAAATATGGAAAAGATTCAGTGCAACCTTGACTATTTTCCAAGTTTAAAGCAACTGGTGATTGCTTTTCATCACGAAATACACCTCGCTGCACTTTTTCACAGGTTAAGAAGTTTGTTATGAAGACGTACGTGTGAATGTCGGACGGGTCATGTATGCAGGTACAGCCTGACTGGAGGTCGAATGAGAGGTTGGTCCCAGCTGTGGTGCAAGACTGACACGACGGATCGTGAGCGGTCACTTCGGTCTGTTGCCACAACGACGGGCTGCCTCCGAAACCTTGCATCTCCATCATCTCCCCGTGGTCTGAAAACCAGAGAGAAGTGAAGAGGTGAGAAGACAGAGAGAGTCTCTGTGATCGGAGACAAACTGGGCGCTCACACTGTCTGTGTTCTCTGCTCTTACATATTATGACATCGGCCCCTCAGCTCAACCATAAATACATCTTTCCATGTATTCTTCTTCATAACATCAAGAGATGAGGAGATGGATGGAAAGTTTTACACTCATGTTACATGTGAGAGCTGGTAAAACAAGCCAAGAAGAGAGGAAACCAAAAGTGGAGAGGGGAGGAGGGGAGACAGGCAGAGAGGATGCTGGGAAGCCATGCTGGTTTCAGCTCATTCAGAGGGGGGAGCAGAGGAGACAGCAGAGCTCAGGGACGCTCTAGACAAACAGGAGAAGAGGAAGAGGAGGAGGAGGAGGAGGAGGAGAGAAGAGGAGAGACTGAAAGAAGAAAAGGAGGCGGGGACGAGGCTGACGCTCAGGCCATGCAGGATGCAAAAAGCCAGAACAAGACACCAGAAGAAAATATCTCAAACACAGCAAAAAGAAATGGACACCAGCAAAGAACACACAAAGAGGAGGAAAATCATAAAACTTCAACATCAAACAAATGCTCTTCACCTTAATTCTTCAGGTTGGAGCTGATGACCTGTCATAAATATGAAGCTGCGCTTTGCTCGTTCAATACCCCCAAAACCAAAAATACTTAGAACAAAACAGAAAAATGCTCCTGGAGCGAGACCGACATGTTGCCTCCCCCTTTTTACTTAAGGACTAGATGTGATCAACAAGTGTTTTTGCCTGCTCACACAAGGACTCCACGTCTCTACTACTGCGGAACCCCACAGGACCGTAATGAGAGGGGTGAGGAGGGGGGCGAGGAGATTAGGGAGGGGAAGGAGGTGACAGGGGGGTTAGTGAAGAATTACAGTGAACAGCATCGCAGCAAACGACTGCACAAACATGAGGAGAAACAACTTAAGGTAAGAGAGAGAGAGAGAGAAAACCAAAAAGAACAGAAGAGGAGAGTGGGAGAGAGTATTTTCCATCACAAATACGAAGAAACACAGAGTTGTTCTCTTGAAAAACAAAGAAACAGGTGCATATTTCCCATGCAAAAACTGTCAAGCATGTTGCAAGTGTGAAATGAACGTACAAAAAGGAGGAAACAGAGTTAAGTCAAATTAAAGGAGTGCAGAAACAGAGAGAATTATCAAAGCGATTCTTTGCCACAACAGCGGAAACCCAACACTGCAGAGTCATGCTAAACTCCAGCTTAACTCCATGAGGCAGTCAGCACTGTAAATCCCAGAATGCACAGCAGCCCCAAGGGCCGTGAAGAAGCCTGAGGAGGTTCGGTGATGAAACCCGGTGACAGAGGGAGCAGTCAGTCTGAATTAAACAAGTCTGATGTTTATGCAGCATGTGTTTGTGTCTCACAGGCTCGAGTCAGGATTCCCACTAAGCATGTGGATTAAAGTGTTGTGAGGGGCTGGAAGAGGGAAAAGAGACAGAGTGTGAGATGGGATTAAGCAGAAAGAGTGTAAGTGGAGTGTGTCAACAGCTGCTGGGGCTTCAATGGATGACTCACAGTGTCTATGACAAATTCATTTTATCATGAAACAAAAGAGGGGACATAATTTTCAAGATTACAGCGCAAAGTGAAGGGACTCCCAATCTTAACTAATGTTTGATGTGATCAGTTTAAAAGGAGCTACGCAAAAGATCTTCAAACTTACTGAAAACAGGTGATGTGTTTTTTTTCTCTTTACTGTGTTATGAGCATAAAGCTGTAAACTTTTGGTCTTTATCAATTTGGCACAAAAAAGTTGGTTAAGTGAACCCAAACTGTTGAAAAAGTTTTGAAATGCTAAAATAAAAACACACCAGGAGAAGCATCTCCCAGTTGATGCGGTTAACCTGTGACAGGTTAGTAACAAGATAGTGTAAAAAAAAAAAAAAAATCTAGAGAGGCTGAGTCTCTGGAAAGTTAAAATAGGAAGAGTTTCACCCATAGTCTGTATAAACTATGGACAACTTGGCTCCGCCTTTCACCAGTATATGGATTTAAAGCCGAAAAGCTCTCAGTATTTCAGTTTTTTTCTCGCCACTTCCTGAAGCCAACATTGCGCAGTAGCCTTGTACGCAATCCACTACTTGTGCAGAGGCATTGTGCGCATTCTGCGGGAGAGTCGCCGAGAGTCGCTGTAATGACACTCAGCTCAAACAGCGTATCCCCTGGGTGAGCTACGCAATCTTTGTACACCCATAGGCTGTATCAAGTGTCAATCATAGAAAACATGAACCCTCTAATAACTTTTAAAAAATGAGCTGCACAGAAAAAAAGAGGACCTAAGCACAAACTAGTCTTACTGTAACTACATGTCAACATCGCAAGCAGGGGGGAGAAAAAATTATGTTCTGTGTAACAAATTTCTAAAGTTTGTCCACGGCTCCATAGGGATTGTTGGAGGAGGCGGGATTTATGACCTATACTGCAGCCTACAGCCCGTCACCAGAGGGTGCTGTTCTTGCAGTGGCTTCACCCAGCAGACGACGTCTATTCTATATACAGTCTATGGGTTCACTACTCAGTGAGACTGTGTGAGCAAATAGTTCAACAATTTGGCTCAATGTTCCTCAGCCTAAAATTAAGAGACAGCAGGTCATGATGCTCAGGCCCTCAGGTCCTACCGCATTATTAACAGAAATGACTCGATAGTTAAAATCACTACAATGGCTAAAATCCCTCCCAACTCTGTTAACAGAGAATGTGGCTGCATTAAAAAATGCAGGTTAAAACTGGATAGGACATTATAAAGAGAAGGAACATGATCTAGAAACGCCTGTGACTCCTCTGGGCACAAGAATACGGCACAGGCAGCTTAGACATCTGGAGGAAATATATACAAGTGTTGGAGTGTTACATGTTGACATCTACACAAGGCCTTCTCCAAGAAAGACCTTGCATGAACTTTGGTTTGCATGCACTACAGCAGCACGGCTTCATTGTAGAGGAGTCTGGGTGCGAAACATTTAAAAAGTGTGCTGTGACACATTGGTTAACATGCTCCTGTCCCAAAAGTGCTGCTGACATGAAATTTAAATGTGTACATTTTTCAGAAAACAATAAAATGGTTCAGTTCCAACAACTGATTTGCTTTCTGTGCAGTATTGTTGATTAAGTGTAGAGTTTAAATGATTTTCAAACCATCAAATTCTGTTTTTATGAACATTAACTCTCCATTATTCTGAAATTGGGATTGTACACAGAATAATAAATCTTCATGCAGGTGGTCTGATTTGCTTTTGAAGCTCAAATAAACACATCAATAACAACTTCATTGTGTTTGGAGCTCCAGCATTGGTTGATAGGTTGAATCTTGGATGGCTTGGTGTGTTTTTGTCAGTCATATAGAGGCATCGATGTTAATTTTAGTTTGTTTCACTGCCAGATTCAAAGTCCCCACAGGAGCTTCACAGGTGAAATAATGTATTGGAAAATGAAAAAAAACTTTTTTGGGGGAGGAGTGTTTTTGTCTGACATTACTATCGTGCCAGTACATGTGGTTGTTGTTGATTTGTTTGAATATCATTGATTGAAAAAATAGTTTTTCACTGAGTTGGATACTTAATTCTGATTGGTCTAACCTCTGTCACAAAATTGTCAAAGTATTCTCAGAGGACATTAAATCAAACTGCAAAAAAGGATTTTAGCTCTGTCTGTTGACACTGTGGCAGAAATGAAGGCTTCTGCTAGCATCCAAACTCAGGAAACAACATGGATGACATTTCAAACAATTTTAAAACTTAAGTGTCATGGCTGATCAATAACCAGCGGAGAAAAGAAGAGGAGGAAAAAGAAAAAGCAGCTCAGAAACAGCAGGTGAAAAGAGGAGAGAAGGTGAAAAGACTTAAGGAGCTGACTGACAGAGACGTCGACTAAAGTGAAGAAAACAGGTCTGAAGTAACCACATCACAAAACACGGTATGAACTTCGACGGTGTTAAAAAACTGGCTGAGTAGAAATATGGTTGTTGTTTTGTTCACACACAACATAAAGTAAGCAGCTATGCCATGTTTGGAGCATCTTAAGAAATTAATGTAGCTCATGAATGCTTGAAGTTTTATTTCAGAATAGATGGCAGCAAGCATCTCAGCCCCTTTTGACCACAATGAGCACCGCAACACTTGCTAATGTCTGCCCTGGGCAAAATGATCTCCCCTGTGTCTATGAACACAGAGCAAACTCCCCCCAACTCCGCAATGTTGGGCTCCACCTCAGGCAGCAAACACACAGGCAGACCAAGCTGGGCAGAGGGAGGGAAAAGGAAAGCAGTCAGGGGGCCAAAGGGAAGGAGGTTACAGATAAGGATGCAAGGGGATGTCTGAAGCCGGGGTGATTTCTCAGGACAGGAGTGGGAGGGGGTTGGGTGGGTGTGTTAAGGTGATAAAAACCTTTCATGACATTAGGGTCTGTGAGGTTCCGCGAGCAGATCATTGAGATCATTGCATGGAGCCTATCTTCCTCTTCCTCGTCATCGTCCAGCGACGGAGCGCGACTGCCCGTGGTGTGGTGGTAGTTTATGGTGACTGCTCGCACCAGGAGGACGACAGAGAACACAGTTAGAACAGAGCCACCCTGCACATCCCGGGGATTAGGGGGAAAACGGGTACACCCACACTTTCAAAATATATCAGGGAAGAACATACTCAAGCAAAAACGCTCAACATGAACTTGTGTTAACCATAGAGGGAAGACAAGATTTGTGAAAATGTCTTTTTGTACAATTTATACGCCTGACTTACTGGCATCATATCTGTATCCAGGGTAGACGATACGAAACACATAGTCTGCTGCTGTCTCCTCCTCGCTGTTCCTATCTTGGTCAATAAGTCGGGCGCTGCTGTTCCTCTTCCTCAGTTTAGGGAACACTTTTCCCTACAAACAAAACACAGAGTAGAAAAGAGTTTTCCTTCTATGTTCAGGTGACTCAAAACATGACTTCAGCATGAATGATACATGGCAAAAAGATCGGATGTGTTGTTATCTGATTCACAAAGCAAAAGTACTACTGCTGAATCTCAGCACTTACATACCTTGCCTTTCTGGGACCAGAGCGGGGGCTCCAGCTGACCCCGTGGTAAAAGGCCTGTTTCCAAACAAGAGAGGAAAGCCAGGAGGTGACCACCAGGGGGGAAGTGGAGGGGTGGCCGCTGGATCCCATCCTGACTGACCAGAACCAGCGTCCCACCACAATCAGCTGGGACAGGGTGAGAAAACATGAAGACTTGTTAACTTGGATGACATTATAAAGGTAGTAAGTACAGTATGAAATGACTTTGTATGCCACAACTGGGACTTTGTGTAGTGGGGAAGAAGCAGTGGACTTACGGCGTTGGTGACAGTGGATGCAGACTATTTGGCGTAGAGGGACAGTCAGGGCGTAGTCCCAGTAGATACTGAAAGAGAAGGGAGGATGTAGGGGGAAATTATGACATGAAACAGAACAATATTAAAATATATGATACGGTACAATACAATGTGATAGATTACGCCCCAGTATTACACAATACACTCTACAGTCTCTTTAGAAGAGTTTGTCTGGGGCACATTTTTAATACCAATCAACTTATTTTATTCACTAAATGACTTTAATAACAGTCTGGACATGTCATTCAACTATTATGCAGTTGTTGCAGCGGTAAACCAACAACTCCCACCTCAGTCTGTAGGGTAAATTACTGTTTTTGTCAGTGGAGTCTGATGGGTTTAAGGAGACCAATGCATATAATTGTCTTGATCTTGAAAATTTCTCTACAGGGATCTTTTCTGTAATGTTGCTAGACACTGAAAATGAAGATAGGAGCCTGTCAGTCATAAAAACCAGAACACCTGGCAAACATACTGAAACCTTACATGGCCAGCCAAACAATCTAATGGAGAATCATTAAAACAGGGTGAACCTACAGATTGTTATTACATTATATCTTTAAATATAATAATATATAGCAGATTGTCAATGTTACCTCTTTTCCAGGTCACAGTCTCCCAGTGTGCCATTGATGAGCTGATTGGGTGTCCACTTCAGGGTGAGGTTTTCCCCAGCCTGGTGAAGTGATAAATAGCCCCGCAACACCTCCATGTCCTTCTTCTGTGACACCAGGGAGAAAAGAAAGAGGAGTGATGAGGACTTATTTCAGCCAGTTTTAGCAAAGAAAACAGAAAAGTGCAGAAAGGCTTCCCCAAAAACCTGGTTTTAAATGTTAGACCATGTTAAATTTCTGTTGTTTGTGATCATTTGATTGAATTTAAGAGCTACATGAGAATTCTGATAGTCATTTGGTCTCAGCATGTTGTACCCTTTAAATGTGTTAGAAATAGGACAAAGGTTTGAAAAATAATCTTGACACTGTTACGGCTGTATGTTTCTTGTTGGTCTTTCCCTCTTTTTTGTCTTCCCTTGCTCTGCTCAGGTGAAATCACTAAATGACAATCAGCTTAACCTATTCCTGAGCGTTTAGAGGCCAAAGGATGCCTGCAGTAGAGAGAGACATTTGGACGGGAACTGCTGCCCTGCTGCCTCTCATTCTCCTGCGTTGTTCTTTAGTTTATCTTTGGGAATTATTTTTTTTGTCTTTGGTTAATAAATCCCATGTTCAAGTTTTTAAGGTGTTTTCTTTTACTTTTAATAAGTCACTGTGTGAATAGATGTTTGGCCCATAGGGCTGCTTTTGGTGCATTTGTTCTGTGGAAACTGGAAACTGAAAGTGGAAACTGTAGTGGTATTAAGTATTGTGCCAAGAGTACAATTATATGAAGAGACATTTAGCATGCAGAGCATTCAGTCAGGGCTGAGCCCATGCGTGTATGTGTGTGCTCAGTCATGTGTGTTCACATGTTTCTGTCAGAGGCTGAGCTCAGTGGGAGGCAGATTTATGCTCGTTATAGGCTCAGGGTCAAGCATGCTGCAGCTTCTGAGCAGAGCTCGATCATAACAGGCAGGAGGAAGACAGCTTTTATTTTAAAAGATCACACAAACAAAGCGCTGTCAGTCCGTGTGTGCAGCACAATAATCTATGATATAACAGTCATTTGCAATTCATGTATGTACCAGCTGAGTGGGTGCAGGGCGCTCCTTTGTGAATTTGAAGGTTTTAGAGTTAGATTTCTACTTCAGGGCTTCAGCAGCAACACATGGAAATGTGTCTAAAATTCAAGAATCTACCGATAAAGTCAAAGTGGAAAGCTGAGGGTAAAAAATGGCGCTTTTTCTGTAAGATTCTGTCTTATTTTGTTGTAGTGCAAATAAAGTGCAGTATTGATTTGGATTAACTTCAAAGAGAATCAAGAATACTTCAATTAGTAACTTTGCCTCTAACTGAGTGACCTGTAGACTGCAGGAAATCAATGAAACAGTCTTGTGGATAGCGTTCCTCTTCTTGCTGGCATGCTAATTAAGAAGCTGCACGTAATCGTGATGGGCGATGGTGGTAGCAAGAATATAAAAAATGATGAAATGATGAAAATTTTTAATAAATATCTATTAAAAAGCCTGTTTGCTGATGTAACTAGTCTCTGATGAGTACATGCAGCTGTAAACTGATTTAGTTCAAACTGGGTTAGAATGATGAGACTGGGAGAGCCTGCCTGGAATAGCTCCTCTTTACTTTGCCTCTCTTCTTCAATGCAAGACTGAGTTTCCTTTACACTGCCAAACTATAAATGCCTCCCCATTGTGAGACACTGATAGATGGGTACACGGCTGGTGTGAAGCCTGCTTTCTGTAAGTAGAGATACGAAGTCGACAACACATAGTGAATAACTTCAATACTGTAGACGCCATAAAATGAGAAGAATATCTTCCTGTTTTGTCCTCGTAGATTTTCAAACACATACAGCTCAGGTTTTTGGGGTGAGGAGTCGTACCGGCTGCACAAGGACATTATTTTTGCCGTAGAGAAGGTGAGTTCTGGAGTTTTGGTGAAGAGACTCGACATACTCCCTCGCTGATGCTGCAAACCGATCCTCTGACATGCTGCCACTCGACTGCCTCTTACGAATCTGTGCAAATAAGAAAAAAAATGAACAGCCTTCTTATCTCATATCAAAAAGCTTCCAGACTAGACCTCCAAAGTAAACATGAAGCGGCTGATTTATACCCTTCTCCTCACTCACCCCTAGAGCAGGCCGACGCCCGGCTACAGCATCTTGGCCCCGGTGAGCTCCGTGGATTCTGTGGCGTTGAACGAGCTCATTGGCTGACGGGTCAGTCCAGAAATGATCTGATGTCTTCAGTTTGGTGTACTCCAGAGCACAGGGCCCCACTGAAAACACAGCACAGAAATTCAGACAAGTTAATGGACACAGTATTCAAATAACCCCCAAAGCTTTTGAAAGTTTGCCTGGAGAGAAATTATATGAAAAAAAAGTGTGTCAGTGGATATAATGAACAAGGTTCCACCCAAACCAGACTTTGGCTCACAACAGACGAGCTTTTTAGGAGGAAACATTTCAGATTTTTGTTCCAGTCTGTTCCTTGTTGGTTTGTTTTTCCGGGGGAGGTTGAATAAAATGTGTGTTTCTGTTTCTCAGCTCATTAAAAGGTGTGTCTCCTGTCTGACTGTCTGACTGCTGGAGAAGTGGACTGTAAACTGTTTTTTTCCTACAAACAGCTCAGCTAGTGCTTCAATCTGGGGTCATTTTCTGACAGGAATCCCCTGAGCAGCTGCTACATTTATTTACCTGATGGTTGATATCTCATAAACACCAGAACATGAGCTGTGGTGCTGTTGGCAGTGTGAAATACTCACCCAGCAGGGCCGCCAGGATGGGCCCGAACACTGAGTCATGCATTAGAGCTTCCCTCTCATAGTATTTACTGCAGAGATAAACACACAGACAGAAACAGTGAATCACAGGAATATTAAATGTCAGCTGTTTTTAATGAGGGGTCTTGCTGAGCTATAGATTTCCCAGAATGCTTTTCAATCTCTGAACAAGCCAAGAGTGACTTTTGTAGTTAAGAAAACACCGATAAAGCAGTTTGGTGCAAGAAAAAAAAAGGCTACCACTGGTCTGATTTTTTGTTTCTGGTCTAAGTTAAGTTTTAGAAATGGTTTGGTTGTGTCACTCTTAAGTTAAAGAGAAAAGAAGAGTGAGCTTTGTGAAGAAAGGCTACTTTGATTTAACTGAAAAATACAAGTCCAGTCAGGAACAGTCCTGTTGGAAATATTTGGAAGTACAAAACAAAACAAACAAATAAAAAATACTTAAACTTTGGACTAGCTACTAGCAGACATTTTACCGCAGAAATGACATATGCGAGTCCTAAACTTGCTTCATTGTTCAGGTCAGATAAGGTTACATTCAGAGTTAAAGCTGAGTGTGTGACAAACTTCCTGCGTGACTCTTGAGCACTTCATTTTGAAATGTCTGCCTCTGAATTTGAAGTACATCGTAGGTGTTTTTATTTGGATACAAAGCCAAGTTTTCTACATTTACCCAGTTACCAAAAAGGACAACAACAATACAACCTCACAAAAGCACAAAAACAGCACTCCAGCTGGCTCTTTCTCTGTTTAGAGAGTCTGAATCACGCCGTCATGTCTGTGAACTCTGCTGACCCACTTCATGTGTGAGCCTTTGATCACTGAAGTACTACGAGTGCATCATTTCAGTGTGTGTGACGCAGCGAGTGTGGACGGCGAGTTATTATCCAGAACAAAGCAGGCAGACAGCGAGCAGAGTAGTAACAGGTGATTCAACAGGCTGTTTGCTACTCAGCTGCTGCACAGCCTCCAGAGGAGCCGTGAGTCACTGCTGTGGAGAAGAAAACACTTCACCTGGAGTTATCCACGATGTACTGCACTATCTTGTCCAGGACTTTTTCAAACAGAGCTGTGCGGACCCAGATGTGTTTGATGGCCTGTGCAGAGAGCGGCTGAGGGGGGCGGCTGGTGGTGGAGGAGCCCTGTCTCCTCAGGGGCTCGTGGCCCACACTCTGTGTTCTCCTGCGGGAAGAGACAGTAAAATATTCAGACAACAGCAACAATAGTCATCAGAAAGTTAGAGGGCGGGTCTTGAACTAACTCAGATTTGCTCCAGTATGTGATAACCCAGACTTCCCACCTAGAATAATTGATAGTAGTTTTCAGATAAAGGTCTTTTGACCAACTAATTGAAAACTACACAATTCAAATGTCAGACCTTTTCAAATAACTATTATGTATAGCTGAGAGTTTATGTAATGAAGTGAAATACTATTCTTGACATTTAAAACATTTCAATTTCGGAGAGACCTTTTTTTCATCACAGCAGGGCAGCTTTAAGAGCAGAGCCCATTTAACACCGAGAACCATGGGAAAGATAGCTCAATGTTGAGATCAGGGTTGCTTGGAAGAGTGTTAAAACATTGAACACTATCATTACTCATGATAGTGCACAGGGCCCACAGATCCCAGACTCTACATCATAAATGTAAAAGTAACTTATCCCTCAAGAGTCCCAGAGGCAGGCAAATTAGAAACAAATTTGGCTGCAAGAAATGAACAAGATTCTGTATATTAACATACATAGATGAGGACCCTTATCATGACTTGACGGAAAAGTAGAAACATAAGCACTTCCAATGCAGTCATCTATCAAATCATGGATATGCAAGTGCAAACATTTTAATTTTACAGTCAATTACAAGTAAAGCCCAACTTTCAACTGGGCTCTGCAGCCAGGTCCTTCCCAAATAGTGACTGACAGCAATACATGACGCCACAAGAAGATGGGAATATGGTCGGTTCAGTGCAAAGAAATAACCAATCCTTTCTCTTTTATTCTTACTTTACTATGTATGTGTAACTGTGAGATTATTTCAGAGGGGGACATGAAAAACCAGCCGAGAGAAGAGGAATATAAGACGTCATTAGAGTACAGACGACAGAGCACAGCTTGACCTTTTCCCCAAACATCCATCAAGTGAAGCGCTATAGTTTTGCAGAGACATTCCCAAATGTCAGGTATTTAGGTACAGTAAAAGCAACAAGGAGGTTCAAATAGGTAATTTAATTCTGTTTGACCATCAGGAGGCAGCGTTTAACAGCATAATGAGCTGTTACAAACTCATTCATTAAACTCATTATTATTTTTAATAGCTGATCACAGCTGTGCTTCCACTGAACCAACACTGCGTCAGACAGAAGGTGTCCGACATCAGCCGGCTGGAGTGTGGACTGGATAAAAGGAGGAGAGGTGCTGGACTCAGTTTGATCCCCGACACCTCTGCAGAAATCAGACAAAACCCATTCATACACACACTCACACTTCAATGAGCTAATGAGTGTGTGTTTGTGTGTCCACGCAGAGGGGGCGGGATGCTCGGCTGCCACAGTCACGATGCTACAAATCCCCCTGCATGTGTGTGAGTGAGTGTCTGTGTGTGTTTGTGTGTGTGTAAAGGGGTTTCGGCTAAGTCACGATTTCTGCAGTCTCCTGGGGGTTGGGGAGGAATAAGGATGATGTCAGGGAGGAACAACAGATCCAGAGAGACAGGGTCTTCCTCTGCTGAAGAATCCTGCAGGGTGTAGCAGGGCTTTTTTGACACATAACAAAGGGCATCTTGTCTCCTACACTTCCTGATCAAGCTTATAACACCTGTCACTTTTGTTTAGAGTGAGGTTTTGTTTCAGGTTTATCAATTTCTAGTTCTGGTTCTGCTTCTCCAATCCCGTTCTCATTGGTTTTTAATTTAGATTTTAGTATTTTAGGAGGGTAAAATAGATAATGAATATTTCACAAACAACAACAAGCCTGCCTTGGCTGGTGTGACAGTTTAGCTCTCAAAACTGAAAAGCCAGCTGTGACAAGGATTTATCCTATTCCTTCATTTACTGATGTCAACATTATTCTTTTATAACTAAGGGAAGATAAAGAAGGAAAAAGAAAACGAAGCAAAACTATTTAGATTAATAATAAAATTTAACAATTTCAGGATACAAGGTCGGCGAATCAGAGGCAAAGCTGACTTGACTGACAGGTAGGGACACTGACAAATTGCGTGGATATTGTGTAAATATTTGAGGGCATGATTATTTTTGACCTCAATAAGAATGCAACGCGATTTTAATACAGTAACTATACTATAATACAGTCCATTCTTTTAAATTCAAGCCAAACTGAAGTAAATGTTTATTCATACTGGAATTGTTTCCTTCTTTTTGTTGGGAGCCCAAAAGCAGAACTGAAATTAACAGGGTTTAATGAATTCACAAATCTCAGTAAGATAAATCTTTACTCATCCCACGGTAGGGAAATTTGCAAATGGGGACCAGTTTCATCAACACCCAAATGTTACTTTGACATTATTTTGAGGACACTTGTTTTTCATATCAACATGAATGTTATAGTGTTTGATATCCATAATGAACCACTGAAGAGTCTCAGCATGAGATACGCAGATAGTGGCGTAATCCCCGGGTATGTTTCGAGGCATGACCTCAATCTGATGTCAGGTGGTACAGCACCCTTGTCCCAGTGTAGAGGTCCTTTTTGCCTTTCTGCAGGCTGATCAGAAAGGTTTGACACTCAGTCCATGTAACCTCAGGGACCTCTGTTCATTGTGATGACATACACGTACCCTCCAAACTAACAGGACCAGATAATGACGTCACCAGTGTGCTGGAGCCCTGACTTGACTCCAGGTCGAAACTCAGCCGGGCAAACAAGACGGCTCATTATCTGACGGAGAAGCAGACCGCTCTGACATTTGCTGAACAGATTCATGCTCTCATATGAATACACTCCTTTGACTCAGATGACCCCATGACATTTTTTAAGGACTGAAACTTTATGTTGTACAAGACAATCAATTTCTCCTTCTGTCATTTGCAAACTTTAAAACACATGAGGTCAGCTTAAATTCATACACATATATATCTTTTTATTTATCAACAAAACACAACTAATTGTAGTCTGAAAACAAATCACATGACTTGCTATGATTTAATATGCAAATAAGGACTGAAATGTGAAAAAAAAAACGCCTTTAAGAGTTGAAAACAAGAGATTAATGCATGTCCAATATTATTTTGTTCTGTGTCTCAAAAAGAGGAAAATCTCATCAGCTCAAAGTCCAGATTACCAAAAAGGTTGATTTTTGATCTATTTGAACAGATGAAATGTAAAGGACAACCCCAAAAAATAAAATGAGGTGAAAAAATGGGGCAATAAGTTTGCAAGTTGTAGGGTTAAGAAAACTCCAAACCAATACTTTCATAGTTTTTAAAACTGTTCAGAAAATGGTGCAAGAAGTTTGTTTAAACCAAAGTATAAACCATCTAATTTTTACTAATATAGCTGTTACAGCTATAGCAGAGTAGTCCCTATGAAGGGCTTTATTATTGCCATTTAACTCCAGTGAATGACTGATCCTGAAACCCCATAAATATGACCATTAACTGTTACAAGAGCTGCTACCCTGAGTCAAACTAATCAATGGAAATGAGTTTAGCACATAACACTCCTCGCCTGTTAACACTGTGGCAAAAAAAGTGTTTCCATCTTAGGCTAGTCTTGAAAGTATTTAATGACATTTAGCGAAAACAGATATGAGAGCATCCAGAGGAGCTACTCAGCTCTGACCATCTCTGATAGGGAAAAGTGGGACAACCCAGGAAACGACAGGTGAGCGAGTTCAGATGATCTCAGTTGCTGATCTCTACAAAGTATCTTACAGCAGGTGGTAGTGATGATAGCAGCAGTATTGCCTCATTTATCTTTAAAGGCGTGTCAGCAGCGCGGCTTTGAAAATAGGCAGAGCTGATTAAGAACAGAAATGTCAACATAAATATTCCTGGATGTTACCTTCAAAGCTGTGCTTCAAATGGGCCTCGATATTTTTAGCAGACTGGGTCTTTTCAACAGTTGCTTATGTCCTTTCCTGTCTTCTCTAAGGAGAACATAAAAGTGACCTATGGTTTACTTTGTGACACTTAAGTCCTTTACGGATGTTACATTATGCTCGCTTTTTTGCATGTTTTTGATATCTAACACTAATGATCCATTGATACTGGCCATATCAAACACATGCAAACAACTTCTCAGTCTCTTTGTTATCATTTTTTTGTTTTTGTTTTCGGTCTTTAGTGCACCTTTTAACACATCAGCTTTAAAGGGATTTCTTCTTCCTGTTTTCTTGAAGAAAAAGTGATGAGGACTCACCTTCATGAAATATTCAGTCATTGGAAAGCTTTACAAAGTCTTCAATGCTGGTGAGCCAGGACTACTCTGAATCTCAATTAGGTGTATGCTTGAAGGGATAGGGTCTGGCAGGAACTGGCACTTGGTCTTTATTTATGTTTTTGATCCTACAGGGTGGCTTTAACCTCCTCGTTGGGAACAGCATTTCATATGTCATGCTGTCTCTCCATCATCGGTCTTTATGAATTCAAAATGTCAACAAATGTCAACATGGAGCTAACAGATTTGACTGCAATGATTACAAACAGATTGCATTTGGAGCTGACAAATGGAGGGAATATATCAGCGCAAGTTAACTGGCATCTGGATTCCCTTCTTGTGCAGAGCTTGATCATTACAAAGAAAAATGTGTGAGCTGAGTGTTTTCGGGTGTCATAAACAATTATACTGTAGATTTTTATACTTGATAGATTATACTGTTCAGACTTGACTCTTTAGTGATTCAGTAAGTGCTTAGTTAGATGCATAATGTTGTCTCACATATTGTTTTTCTCTATGTGAAACCCAAGGCTCAGCCTGATGGGCTATTCCTAAAGGTACTGGGTGTTAACATTAATAACGGGAGGTGATGTATTGACATTGAGCTGTTAAGTGATCAGAATAATCAGGCCTTTTCATTGTTAACACTATAGTGAAGAAGTTTTGATAATATTAAGCTAGCAATAACAGGACTACTGCAAAAAAAGTAGGATAACTGCAAGGAAGTCTGGGGAAGACTCTTTATGGACAACAGAGTCCTGCAGAGCAACCCGGTAAGCTTTTTTTGGTAATGGTTTGCATTAAAGGCACATGTTTTTTAGTGAATCAATGCATAATTGATGTTGAAGTAATGCTCGACTCGTGATGAATTCTGTCTGACTTCATGTGGGATGCATCGTTAATTTTTGTTGCTGAAGTTATCATGACTTTAGGTGATTAGTATGTGTTGAGTGTACAAATCCAGTTCTCATTACATTAGCATTTTATCACAGCATAAATACAGACGTAACCTCATACTCCTGGTCAAGGGCCAAAATCATGATCATGATTAAATATTCGATTTATTGTGCAGTCAAATGTTAAGGCACAGTTAATGATCCCATCTAGATTTGTGGCATATGGCTTCAGACAGGTGGACGGTTGATCTGAGCTGTTAGATCAGAGATCTCAAAAAACGATTATAAAATAGCTACTGGGATGCAGCCCAAGATTTAAGAGGTTGAATCATCCGTCAGTGTTTTTGGGAGCTGTGCCTCAGCAGGTCTCAGTGCTTGGAGCCCTGCAGGGTAGGCAATGAATGCAGATGATATGCTAGTTTGCTCTTTACCCCAAGAGTCTGCGAGGGATGGAGAGGAATAGAGGAGAGGGTGGTCCGCTGGTAATTCTTTATGGTGCTTTCTCACCGAGGAAAATGTTGAAAAGAGGAATATTGTAAAGTTTATACATCACACAGACAAGAACCTGAGGCTGAGCGTCTACCAGCAGGCTTCTGTAAACAGCAGCAAAAACACAAACCCTTCACCCAATCTGCCCCTGGTGCGTGTGCGCGCGAACACACACACACACACACACACACACACACACACACACACACACACACACAGCCCTGCTCTGCTGTAATTACCATTCACTTCACCGTGCAACTCTGCTGTTGATGTCTGCTCATACTCTCGCTCTCCATCTCTCTAATGTTTCCCATCATGCTCTTCTGCCTCTTTTGCTGCCATTGGCACACACCATGTTGCCATGACAACCAGGGTGAATGAGAGATGGGGCCCTGAGGTTGGGTGGTAGGTGGAGAAAGTTAGGGGAGGGGGCAGGGTGAGAGCGCCCTGTGTAAATGTGTATGTTTATGTGAATGTATGTATTATTAGGGGAACAGACCTAAACACAATATTGGGTTGTAGTGTTGTGTGTATGCTGTGTATCTGGGGAAATAAAGGCCAATGAGACGTGACGGATGAATGAGAGGAAGAGGCTGATATGAAGACGGAGAGCGGAGTGCAGAGTGTGTGCTGATTTACATTGCATAATATCCCTGCAACAATGATACACAATGTGTCTGTGTCTCATTGTGTGTGCACCATATAAGCAGACATGTCTGTGTGTGCCTGTCGCACAGCACTTTCTTCTCTTTTTTAAAAGCGTCTCCACAGCCCTGGAGAGACGTTGTAGCCATGCGGCTTAGGCTAATGGACAATTAATGGGCTTGCAAACAGCTTTGCTTGTACCTAAGAGCCTGCAGATAAAGCACTTTATCATCCTTTGTGTGCACACTTATACACACAAAAATGCACACACTTATTGTAGGCACACCTTGACACAGACCTAAGGCTTATCACAGTGTAAGCACTGATAGCTTAGCTTTAGCAAATACTTAACTCACCAGAGAGAGAGAGAGAGAGAGAGAGAGAGAGAGAGAGAGAGAGAGAGAGAGAGAGAGAGGGATGGCCTGCAGGTGTGTGTTTTACACAATTCTAATAACCATCATAAGGGTGCACCAGCTTCATATGAGTTCAAACATCGACTAGTTTGAATGTAATTTGGGGTTTCACAAGAAAATTTCAGACGACATGCTTTTTAAAGAATGCATCGGCTAACTTAAGGTTTAGTCATCGTATCGTATCGTGTCATGTATGCAAAACATAATCTCTAGTCCATAGAATTTATAACTTTGAATTACAAAACAAAAACAACAAAAAAAAAAGAAAATTGCACTACATGCCGTCTTACTTATTTTACCAAGACACAGACACATACAGCCGAGCAACCAACACATCCTAGCAACAGGCTGCCTTTACCATTACAGACAATCAGCAGAAACGACATTGAAGGGAACACACTGCAATTATTTATAAAAAAAAAATCTTACCTTTAAAAAAATGTTTGTTAAAAAAGGAAAGTCGTTAATATAGTGGCATAGATTGTCATGAGAAAATATGTAATTTTTACTAGTGAAGAACGTAGAAAGCCCATTATCGTCATAGCTGGGTTATTCTGGGCATGCACCTGCAGTGCCATGAAAAGAATGAGACCAAAAAGAAAAGAGGATTCACAAGCCAGTAAGTTTTAAGTAATACATAACCAACAATTCTGCTCACTCATACAGGCTTGGTGGCATTAGTATAGAGCAGTAAGTGCCATGCCCATAACAACAGCAGAGTCAGCTACCCCGTAAAAAAGCCTCAGGCACCACAAACATTTTTACTCCATCTTAACATTCAAGGGCCTGATCAGTTAGATTTTGACTCTGAAGTTCAGCAGCCTAAACAAAGATTATCAACCATCATCACAAAGTCACGCTGTAGTGCAGACACTTCCGTCCTAACTAAAACACGAGTTTCATAAATTTATCACAAACTACATCCTCAAGTTTGTTTCAGGTGCTCTCTCCCCAGAAACTCTAATCAGAGAAATAATAACTGAAGAGGTTTGAGGACTTGAAAGTTGGTTAATCTTCTGGATAGACTCAGTTTAGCAGAAAGCAATAACAAAGAGGGAGAAAGGAGCGACGTGACCCACCTGCTGAGATCAGCCTGCTGCTGGAGCTGCTCCTGCACTTTACGACAAACCTCGCCGGCTGTCTCGTAGACTTTGCCGACTTTGGTAAAGAGGGCGGCGATCTTGTCGCTGCGGAGGAAGCCAGCTGCCCGTCTCTTCAGGAGGTGACCCAGACAGGCCTCGATGGCAGCTGAAGAGAGAGGAGACCGAGAGTTAATACTGATTCCTTCATCTACAAGTCCATTCAAGCCCTTCATGCCAACAAGCCTTTGATTGACATGTGTGGAGCTTTACTTGCTGTTGTTCATCACAGTTTTAACTTTTTGATTTAGGGGTATGACATTTTATGATAGTATAAATGTGAAAGTGTAAACAAAGTTCCATAAAGACCACTTTAGTCCAGAAAAACTAATCTCATCATGTACTTATTTTTATTTGAAAGATTTAAAGCGGTGCTCAGTTCTGTTTTTGCAGCGTTTAAGTTAGCAGGCTTTAAAACTAATGATCTTATTTGCTCATAAAGAAGTAATAGCACCAGTCAGTTTTGAAGCCTGTTTTTAAAGACCATTTGTTTCATTTTCAGACAAGCAGATGAACAATTTGAATTTGCAATATGTAATTTGTGCAGAAGAGCTGAAGTTAATAGTACTGAGAGCAGTGATGTGAATACATCTCATGCGCGTGTCTCTTCTGTATATATTAACATGTTGCTGCAGCCTAGCTCTTCTCTCCACCTCCAGCCTTCTCAGAGTTTTGCTAATGGACTTGTGGGTGCAGATAATGTCATTAGAGAACACTTTCTTCTGGTTCTGTTGTTGTAGGGGGGAGATGACGGCTGCTTATGGAATTAGAGGTGGCTCAGTCACCTGAAATATGATTTTCAGAGGTGAGTTACGATTGCTGGCCGCCCCCAACATCTTTAAATATTTAGAGGGTTGGAGGTGGTATAGCCTGAGTACAGCTGCTCCCTGAACGTGCCCTTTCCACTGGAGGGACTCTGATGTCTGGTCATTAGCACCAAGATCATACATAATTTAATAGTTTCTGTGGTGGGTAATTGTCTACCAACAGCAGAAATTTGGTGTTAGAAGGAAAAAAAGATGGTATGAAGTATTTATGAGGCAGACTTTAAAATGACCTCCAGGGAAGCAGCAAAAATAGATTATCTCAAAGTTTACATCCTAGATATGGAAACATTTACAACATGCTCTCTCTAAATCACTGTAAATACAAACTTCATTATGGCTTATGATGAATTACGGAAAAGTAACGAAGCAACTTGGAACTTGTGCTTAAAGTTTTCTGATCAGATAAAAAAACACAGGTTGTTTGTAGGGCTGTTGCGGTAAACCAGTACTAGAAAATAACTGTCATTAAAAAAATAAAAAATGATTTAGTGTTTAAAGTAAGCATACAGTAAAACTGCAACTTCTTGGTAGTGGTGCTTTCCACTGGTTGCAACATGAAGTCGTATGTCAGCTGCTGGATGTGTTTATACGGTCAACAGTTTCCAGTTGTGTTATAGCCTGAGGACTATCAAGCTCTAAGATCTCTAAATTCTCATTAGATTAAAAACTTGACTGGAGTTCCTACATTCAAAGCCAATAAAAAACTATTAAAACCCCATTCTTGGAATATATTGACTCTCCTCCTGCTGTGAAAGCTTACACTGGATGGTTCTTAACATAAAACTTTCTGACTCAGGATATTTCAAGCAGAGAAAAAACTAGTTATATGAATAAGTGTGATATTGTGTATGCAAATAAACAGCTACATAAACCCAAATCTTTCACAGGATTGCAGAATATATGCTGATCCATGACTGTGCAGAGGTGAAAATGCAAATCAGCGTATTAGCTGTAGTAGAAATCCCGACATCGCCTGAAGGACTGCATCGACTCATATGCAGAAAACAGCCTCTTTCACACTGTGACTCATCCATTAGCCGCCCCTAACCCCTCTTCCATTATTGTTGTATTAACGCTCGGCCCTAATGAGCTCCTAAGAAGTGATGGTAAAAGCATAAAAGCAATGCTGGGACGTGGTTACTCAAAAATGTTTCACACTTACTGCAATGTGTTTAGTTTCGTGTAATGTGCAGGCTTATTCGTAAACAAGAATTGAATGACGACTTTCTGAGAGAGTATTGTATTGATGCAAATGGATCTCTGAAAACAAACCACAGAGAAAAGTATGGACTCATCATCTTGGAGCTTTTGCTGCTGTGTGCAGATGCACTGTCTTTATGTGGTGGATATTACGGCAGGATATTATGACCAAAAACAACATCATTCTCTCTGACACTGGGAGAAACTCTTGCTTTATGAGTGTAATAGTCTGCTTTTATTGCTAAGAGGCTTGAGGGTTTAAGCTCTGTACAGTATATTCACAGCAGCTTTGCTCTGGCAGATTAACACGTTAACCTGCCGAGAAGTATTGTGGGTATCTAATAAGACTTAAGGGATAGTAAGGATTAGCAGCTGTAAAGTTGGAGCTGGAGTGGAGCTTTCTAGGGAGCGTGTAATAGACTTGGAGGGAACATTAATACTCGCTTGTTTCTGTGGAAACACAAAAATCGAGCAGAGGATGCGAGCAGCTCTCACAGGGAGCAGACAACGCCCCTCTCCCCTTTCTCTGCAGCTTCCCTCGCTGCCAGCCTGCTAATTCATGTTTTTAGTGTCGGTGGAGCTCTGATGAATCATCAAATCTTTTCTATTATGTGTGTAATTGACTGCATATTGAGACTGAGGACATAAGTATGTTAATTTTCACATCTGTGGGACTACAAGAACAGAGCAGGTCAGGCCAACACTGTTACCTGAAACCTGAATTCATTACAAAATAAGCACTGTGATGAACCAAACATTGCAATGTCAAAGCATTTTGCCAGTGATACATGATATGGAGAGAAAGGTGCATCATCAAGTGCTGCAAATTCAAGGATTTTATTATTGATTGCTTTAGCTTTGCCTCATTAACTTTCTGCAGCTCTGGCTGTTAAATCAGCATTGCAGGCAGCAGCTACGGACGCTCAATTATGGCCAAATTCATAAATGCAATTATTTTTTAATGATATTGATTTCATGGTTATTAAACACATTTATTTGTGAATTGGCATCCCATGCATTCATGGAACCTATAAAGTCTTGAAAACATAAACTCTCTGAGCTCAACATTGGGACCATGCCTCTTCTCTCCATTTTACCAAACCTTTTCTAGCCTCCATCCTCATAATACCAAGATATAGGAATAAATTTCATTACTTCATGACTTATGATGGCAAATGTTAGCTTGTAAAGGTTTGGGGTTTGGGTTAGGGTTTCTTCATGTTCCTGAGCACCACAGCCTCACTTGTCGTCATGCTTCTGCTGTCCCTCCATTTTCAGACACACACACACAGACAGACACACACCTACATACCTCTTGCCTCTTTCCCTGTCCTCTCCCAGGGGCAACATGGGAGTTTGTACTACTGTAGCAGCAGAAAGAGCCCGAAACCCCCAGACCCTCTTTGCAAATAAACCCACTGAGCAACAGACAGCTATTAGACGTCTGATTTTTTTAAGCCCTAATTTCAACCGTCTAGATTCTGTATATTTTTAGACAGAATTTAGATGTTGGACTTTAACCCATTATTCGATAACTATTTATTTCAAAAATCAACTGTGAGTTGCATAACTGATCTCCAAGTTCTTAACCAAAATAATTATGATATAGTATGAATATAATAATTATATTATCATGATTGAGCAATATACAGTGTAGACCTGTTAGCCGGCTGGTCTAGATTTAGAAGTCTAAAAAACTTCAATTTTTAGACCTGTGGTTGTCTGAGTTTAGACCAGTCATCTAGGCTACATTAAGACATCTATTCGACCTCTTTTAAACCAAAAGATGCTCAGTGGAAAGGTTTTGACATTATTTCAGGGGCAAAGTAAGATGTATCATTTTGTTACATCGTCATGACATTATCTCTACCTACTACTGTGGGGACCAGTAATATCAATGGGCAAAAAATCGGAGGTCGTTTTTTCTGTCACTCAAGGAACAGGCAATGACATGCTGGGCTATAACACATGCATGCATGCAGCTACATAACCTCATATGTCTGGTATTGATGGTACAGGCTATTAGTAAGTCTTTCTTTCACTCTCTTAGTGCAGCAGGTTGGCATTGACACGCCGTCTCATAGCATGTGATCGAATTCATTAATTGACTAAATAATTTTTAAAATGTCGTTTAATTTCTTGAATGAAAGTGTTGGTGTCAGGGGCTTTGCTGTAAAGTTACCGCAGAAAAAAAGACATACGGTAAACTGTGATGGAGATCATGCTGATCACATTGAACACTGATGTCAAGAAGTAATTCACTATTTACAGACAGTCCCCTTAAAAGATTAACTGAAGTACTATTCACATGGGATTACTTCCTCTTCTTCATAGTGATTTTTCCTCAAAAGATTGTATCGTATCGTATCATATCATAGTGTAGTGTCTCATAAGATTTCGATCTCACTATGTTCCCTTAGCCTAATGTGGCCGCCTTTGCTCTTGTCTGGATGTACTAGCAGATGAACTATTACCACCTACTGTATTAAAGTGTGTTGGTTTGTTAAGTAAAGGAAAGTAACTTGAATAAGTTGAGTTTTTGAAGCAATTACAAATAATATCAGAATCTTCCCATTATTGGGCCAATATCATATCATCTGCTTAGATATATGCCATGCATTCCTAATTTTCAACATGTTTTAAAGACGTTATGACATAATGTGATGATGGGATCAAATCAAAGACAGCATGACAGGAGCTGACTGAAGTCATAGCTGAAAAAGGAGGATCCATTTATAAGCTTTTGTAGATTTTACTAGAAAGAAATCCCCTTCTCATTGGACGTAGTAACCAGAGGGTGCTGTCAAACATCTTAAATTATTAAAAAAACACTTGGATGTAATGGCGATGCAAATCACCATGAGATTCTTCACCTCCAGTTATTGCTGTGGTTAATCACAGTAGTTTATATCTGGCTGTTAAAGTACACAACCCTGTAATACACACTCAAATTACATTTAAAAGCCCTCTGTTAAGGATTTATGTACACACGATGGGTGGGGAATCACAGACATGCTGTGGTGACACTGACATCCATCCAGTGTGTGTGTCAGCTTGTTAAGCCTGAAGTTAACCGGTTTATTAAAGCCATCAATCAGAGCTCTTACATAGAGCCCCCCGTGTCTTTGCAACCTCTGTTGCAGAAAAATGAAGCCACTGCAGATGTGCAGAAAAAGGCAAAACCCTTCTGTGAGTGTCCAACAGAGTCAGAATTATATCTTTGGGCTTAAATGAATGTCACTCCTACTTGTGAGGAAGCAGTTTAACATTGAAGTCTTTGGAGCTTTTGTCTTTAAGAGTGGCAACAACCACCTCCACCATTCAAAGTCGGTTTTCAATTTTTACCAGGTATTTGTGCGAGAGAATTCTTTCAAGCTTTTCAAGGACACACTTTTCAGATATACGTCATCAGAGTATTGCAGGAGTTGGTGGATAGGCTAGTCTCCTGCAGTGATTCATGAGGCAGAGACAGCGTTGTGGACACTGGGATAAGACTGGAGCTGTTTAATTAGAAAAGGTAAGACAGTCTGAGACACTGACAGCAGCAGAAAACCTGAGCTCGCGTTTTTAGACCGACAGACAGACAGGTACAGGGAGACAAGTGCTGTTGCTTAATTAGCTTTGTCTTTATTAGATCTGCTAATGATGCCAGTGGGGACAGTTCAGGATCTACCTGTCACTATCTCCAAGACCCTCTGTGGTTTATTCCTTCCATCAGCAGAAAAACTATCCAAGAACAGGCGTCCAATTTCAACAAAGACAGTCAGCTCATAATTGGATATTAAGTCATTAATCCACCTGCTGTCTCACTGGTTGTCTTTTCATCAGCAATAATCAGTGATTTTAATACAAACAGCAGTAAAAATGACTACATGTTGTTTTAGGAAGTCAATTGTTCTGTGTTCTGTGTCAAAATCACCAACAAAATTATAGGCTAATACCTTTTTACTTTTATATCAGATCATTTTCAGACTGTGTATTCACTTATTTTTGTCTGCCTCAGTAACCACATCAAGCAGATGTGTCCATCAGGGATGATTTAAAACAACCTGCTACTGTTGCCATGGACACATATGCATCCTCCATACCACAATAGATGCTAGCTTTTGAACTGTGTATGAATAAGCACAGAAGCAGAGCATGTATGATTCCCCAAAACAATGACCATGATGAGCTGTCAGAGCGGGGGATGGTTTCCTCTTTACCTCAGTCCATCCATAAAGGGCTCCAGTGAGGTCGCTGGTGTTTCTGGATCATGTCTCTACATGGTTTCTCCTTTGCATGGCCCAGTTTTATCCTCCATTTGTAAATGCAGTGAGAGTCGATTTTAGAAACGACTCCTGGTCTATGCAGTGATTTCCACTACAGAGTCCTGTCTGTTTGTAATGCAGTGCCACCTGAGGGCTTGAGGATCCGCAAATTCTTTGCAAATTTATACAAAGGGAGAGTTTTCTGAAACTGCTGAGGTACTTGCTCATGAAGTCTCTCACAAAGAGGTGAAATTCAAATAAGGCCTTTTTTTCATTAAGTATTTATCAGTTTCCTCATCAGATATGTTGTGTTTGTACTAATTTCAAAAAGTAATTATAGTGTTTAAATGAATCTTTAAAATTGTATTTCATCAACATTTTAGACACCATCTTAACTTTGCTCTCTGCTCCTTTTTGCTGAAGACCATGGAAACGTTTTTGAAATGCAGTTTCAATTTTTATTATTTACTGATTCATCCACAAGTTTTAGTCTAACATGTGCAAAGATATCTTTTGAACTTGCAGACTGATTTCCATAATACATACAAAGTGATTTTTAAAGAAAAAAGTCACCACAAATGATGTCTATTCAGAACAAATGTACTGTAAAATCCTTGGCTGTCGTTCTTTCCTGCTCTGGCTGAACCGAGGAACACAAGGTTATATCACACATATTTTGAGTGCAGATAAGGACGGATCCATGCTCATAGCGGGCTTTTAATAGCCTATAACGTTATGTACGGTACACGCACTACTGAATAAAGGACCTCACAGCCACAAAGGATTTGACAGGAAGAGTCATCTATTCAGAGTCATGAAGGAAGTACTTCTGAAAGTGATAACAGCTCTGAGTCTCCTCAATGAACAAAATCTCTCAAAGCAGCAGAATAGTTTGATTTAGACTTAAAGCAGGATAGCTTTCATTTTTACAGAGAGGACAGGCAGCCCCTCGACCCCTGAAGCTCCATATTCTTTCACCAGCCAATGAACCGAGGGTATTAAAGAAGATTTTCTTTTGACCTAGGCTACTTTTATTGAAGTTTTGGGGTGTATATGACTTATTGGTGCAAAAAAGGTTTTGAATAGCAAAGTGCCTGTCAGTGATGAAAAGCAGCACTGTGACATGGCTGTACTTAAAGTTCGATTTTTGGTTTGTATTGATTGTGGTGCTCTTGATGGATGAAAAAGTGCTGAGTTTGTCTTGTACATATGTAGTTAGTTATTCGACATTACTTCGCACCCTGCCGTCTTTTGTAAGTATAATATATCAGGGGTCTCTGCACTAGACCATGTGAAAAAAGGCTGTCTCAGCAGCGTATAGCTAATCACTTGGTCTGAAACCTACCCCTCACAGTTGTTAAAAAATGAAATATAACTGTTTGTCAGTCGTCTTGTGAATGGGCTTGTTTGCTATTTTCAAGATGACGCATCAGTTTTCATTTCAGTCAGTTTCATGGCCAGATAAAGAAAACTCCTCATAGGAGCTTTAATGAAAATAACCAAAGTATATCCCAGGGTGGGGTTAAGGACAAATTAAATTTCAATTTTAATTAAAATCATAGCCCCTCATAATCATGAAAATATGATCCTCTACACTGAACCATTAATGTGCTATCTACCATAGTGCACTCATTTGATCCTCTGAGGTGAATGAAGCCCAAACCCCCCTTTCTTCTACAGCAGAGTATGAAAGATCTCCCTTTTACTCTCATTATATCCAGCTTAGATCTCTGAACTCGACGCCTGAGGGCACAAGGAAGATGCTGCCAAAGTTAACTGTGGCTTGCTGTATCTGCAATGTGCTGTTCTGCAGCAGAATGACCAGGTGAAGAGAGGAGCGCAGGGAGAGGGACAGGAGGAGGCAGGTGAGCAAGACGGCAGAATAGCTATTCAAGAACATGATACAAGCTATCAACCGCCAGGCAAAGAACTGAGGGATGTCTATTCATATCATAATAAAATATAAGCCTGCTATTGAAGTAATAGTTGCTACTTCTTAATGAGCAATCTGCAGAATATTTATTAATGAAAATGAAAAATGATTAAACCATGTTTAGGACGGCCAGCTGCATACAGCCTTGGCAATAAATCTGAAGTTCATAAGAATTTAAAAACAGCTTCATCACAAGCCTTTCCCTGCACAATGTCTAACTATTTTTATTCACTTATGAGAGACAGACTTTATGAGTCATGCTGCTGCTCCTGAACCAGGTGCAGACAGAAAAAGAAAAGCAGAGACAGAGGGGGGACACTGACAGCTCCAATGGAAAGAGAGTCCTGAGACAGATGGAGGAGATTGTGAGGGAAAAAATAACACAGAAGGGAGAGATTAAAACAGCAGAGGTGATATTGGTTTTAGCAGTGAAGATGGGAAACACTCGCTCTTTCCTCCCACTTTGTCCTCAAGCTGCCCAACTCCCACAAGGAAATAACAGAGCCGACTGCCAAACAGGTGACAAAGCGGTGTTTATCCAGCAATCTCTGCAGCAATTCTGTGAAGAAAGCAAGTCAAACAACCCGCCTGGAAAAAGTCCACTGTTTGCTTGTCAGACATTGTTTGGTACAACGAAACAGAAGGCAGACGCTGAAAAAATAATATCCTCTCTTCAGTAACAAGATCTGTCATTATCTTTACATTGATACAAAACGCATGAAGACATAATGCTGCAAATCTTAAAGTGCATGTGAAATTTTATGCATGAACTTTTTCCTGTTATTTTCCAGGCTTGTGTTTTCAACTTTGCGGGGTTTATTTTATCTGCAGTGTGAATGCTGTCAGTGCAGTTGTTTCTCATCTGCAGCACATTTCTGTCTTTTCAGTAGTTTCGGAGATGTGTTCGAGTTTGCATCATTTCAGAACTTCTGGTCTGTTTGTCTTAATGGAAATCATTTGGGCAGTTGCAGCATGATTTCCCTTGTCAGTCACCATCGACTTGGATAGAATGAAAATCAACCTGAAAAGTTCAAGCTGGTGCATAATCTTCTAAAACCCACAGCGAGAGAACTGCCTACGGCCAATAAGTTTAACACTTCCATCAATCCCCTCATTAATTTTTTACATTATATCTGGTTAAACAATCAGAAAAAGGTAAAGCGGTGAGTACCTACAGAAGAACTGTGTTAATATTTAAGTAGTTTTGACTCATTGTATTTCTATTCATGTAATCTGAACACCACTGAAAGCAAAAAGACAAATATTAATTTCACACCTTGAGAGGTAAAATCAATCAGACACAGAGAGCTGACTCACTTCTTGCAGCCTTGCTGCGATGCTGCAAACCAAAGCAAAGCAAATATACAGGCCAAAGATCCTACTCTGTAGACAGCGCACTGGGTCTGAGTCATATTTCTATTCAATTTCCTCTTTTGGGTGAAGGCTCTCCAACAGTAATCACCACTATTAACTTCTTGAACTCTGCAATAAAAGTATGTAAGCAAAAGCCACAAATCTACCAGCTCTACTGGATCAATACCTTCATAACTGATAAGTAAAAAAAAAAAAACACCTCTCCAACAACATTAATGCACAAAGAACTGAGGTAGTAAGACTGAGAGGGCCCAGCTCTAAATGTCTCAATATGTGAAAAATACCTCTCTGAGGCTTATTGTTCAGTGGTGCTATGCAATGGGTTTGAAATGCATTTTTTTTCTTAGCACCATGAGGCACTGTTTATTTTTTTAATGTAAATGAGCAAATACACAAGTTCAGCCATGAGGTTAAACTTGAGGTTGGAAACGCATCTAACATCACTCTCAGAGATATCATACAAAAAGGACACTTTTAATCTACACATTTCTCACAATTTAGCCATAAGCTTACAAACTATTTAATATTTAAATCACTTTATTTTCATTTGTCTGAAGATTACAAGTTAGTCTAAAAAATCTAATACACCAAAGGTTTTTGTAAAGACAACATCGACTGCACTGTTAGTGGCTAGAATGGTTTTAACAAGTTTTTACAGCAAATTAAATGACACACTGTAATTCGACAAAATTTCACATTAATATAACGTAAAAAAGTGAAGGGTCACCGCTCAATCTGGAGAGAAGGTGCAGGATTAGCAGAAACTTTAAAGTAAAAAGAATGCCTTGATGAAGGTCTAACAGACCGAAAGCTTGCTTCAGTAAAGCTCTTTTTGAAACAGACCAGAAGTGTGCGGATTGTTTCTCTCTTTTTACATTAATATAACGTACCATAACATTACATAATGTAACATGACTAATGTAACATAACTCGACTATCATTACATAACCTAATGTAATAAGATGTTACTCGGAATATGTCATATTATGTGATTCAACTATGTAACGTAACTTTACGAAATGTAACATAACATGATGCATTATAATGTTATGTTACTTTATGTAATATAGTGTAACAGATTAAAGCTTATTGCTACATGATGTAATGCAAAATAACATAACATTACAAAGCAATGTAATCTGATATAGTGCAACTTAATGTACATAATGTAACTTACTGGGATATAAAGTGAGGTGATGTAACCTAATCTAACAGTAAGCAAAGTAATGTGATTGAAATTAAATATAATGTTATTGATTTTTTATAACATGTCATGCCACCTCACGTCAAACTAAGTAATGTAATAATTTCATCGAATATTATACAACAGGATGATGCAAAAGACTTTGGCCCATACTGTCTGCCTATAAAACAACCAATGCTACACCTTGGTTTTTTTTAACAAATGATGGGAAAAAAACAAGAGTAAACACAGCTTGAGGATGGTTCAAAAAAGGTAACATTAAAACAGGGGAGATGTGAGACAGTTTTGTTGCAGCTTCCTCCTCTTTGAGATTTTTCATCAGGGCCCAGCACAGCTTTAATTGGCAGTCTGCTGAGTCATGAAATGTGTCACTGATTTTTATTAATAGTAGCTTTTAAAAGAGGACAGCTTTCACTAACCAGTGACTGCTGTTTGTCAACAAGGATGACAGCTGCAGGTGGGAGGCTGGCATGTCATTTTTTTCCTGCCAAACAGGAATTAAGGATGCACAACTAACTAATCAAGTAGAGATATTCAGAACTTTTCAAAGCTTGTTTTCAGTTTTCAGAGATCAGAGGAGAAATAAAGACAAAATCAGGAGGGACGGAGATGACTCTTTATAGTGTCTACTTTCTGGAGGGCAGTGGTGTTCAAGGGGTCAACAAGGTTTCCATAGCTACTCATCTGTGGTTGCTATTGGTAATAAACAATTGCAGCACAGTGCAGAGAGCTTTAACCAGTTTAGCTTTGGGTCTCTGCAGTGTGCTGAGCTGCAGCTGTTTCAGTTGGGGCTGCGATGGAAGTTTTTCAGAGATGCTGCGCCTGCTATGACTAAGACTGCAGCAGCCTCTCTGGTCACATGAGACAGCAGATATTGAGGGATTGGTGGGTTAAGGGCAGGGTTCAGTGAATCGTAATTATAAGTGAGGTGAGTCAGAGGAGGAGATAAAGGAGCTTGAAATGAAGTGAAGGAAAACAAAAGAAGATGAATGAGAGTTATGGGATAAAGGTAGGATTACGCTTTCTTTGACTACCTTTAGTAGATACAGACCACTGCAAACACCCCACAAGGGTTGCAGGCTTAAAGATGCTCTGACACAGTCCTCTGACTGTTAAGGTTTGGCCTTCGTCAAAGATATTCACATTCTTCCACCTGCAACATATTCTTCCATCCAACACAGCAAAAGAAAGGACAAAGGTTGAGTGTAGAGTTAGTTCAGGCAGGCCACAAAGTCAAGCTTAGCCCACAGTATGTTAGCTGATCGATGTCTGAGATTGGAAAATGGCAAAATAGGTGCTCTATTTTCAGTCCATTACAATGCAGAGTTGGCCAAGACTCCCGGAGAAGACTGCCCACCTGAGCCGCTTCACTTGTTTTTTTAGATTTAGAAGTCTTCCCAATAAAACCCACACTCCACAACATTTTATTATTTTACAGTACACCAAAGTGAGCTGTAAATGTGTGATTTTGACATGATAAAGGAGAAAAGTCAAAGAAGTGAAGTTGTTAGCTATCATCAATGATGCCTGCTCTGTTCTGTACCTTGGGCGTCTTTGCTGCTGCTCTCCCTGCCTTAGCTTTCCATTAGTGACCATAAACAACAGGGAGATGTGCTCTTCCTGCCACAGGCTTTGACAAACCAGGAATGCATATGGAAGGGCAGGGAGCTGTCAGAACAGAGCATTTCTGCAAATCAACTTCCATCATGAAAGCTAAAGACATGAAAGCTCTTAAGAGAACACTCAGTCAGACTATTCTCCGTTGTTGTCCCCAGTGGTTGAATGAGTCTTCCAGCCAGTTGACTTGCACTGTTTTGTTTTCTCTTGTCTAGATCTTTGCTTGTGTTCTTGTTCTCATATGTACCTTACTTTGGAAAGAGCATCTGCTAAATGACATTGTAACATTTTAACATTGTAATGTAATTCATCCTCTTTGGTGCAACTGGCCCTGACTGAGTTTTACTAGTTGCCAGACCTCCCCTATTGACAAGTGTTATTATGATGAGATGTTATCAAGGGGCCTTTCTCTCCCAAAGTCCGCTTAGAAGAACCGGATCGGGGACCAAATGTTTACAGTGTTGCAATTTGCATTTGGTCCGGTTAGCTTTCACATGGGATTTGCTAAGCAAACCAAATGGTTAAAAAAAAGAGGGATAATTATAAGGGAAAATCACTGTGTGTCACCTGCTCACCTGAGGCACAATCTTCATTGTCCCACAACGTACAAAAAGTAGCCGACCAGAGAGAACATTAGACGTCTTGCTTCACGCAACTCACCAGCGGAGATGTTGTGCGAGGAGATGTCCGACATTAATGCAAAGGAATGCCTATTACACATTGTCAGCATGTTTGTTGAACAGAAGAACACCAAGGTGTTTAATATCACCCGACTATTTTATTAGAGCACAGACCCTCTGCCATTCATCAAGTTTACACACAGTCCGGTGTTTTGACCGGCTGTTCTCCACTTGCTGCAGCCTCCGGACAGGCATAATTTCCCGGCTTCATTACATTGTAAGTGTGTTATTGGTTTACATTGACATATTAAAAGTTCAGCTACATTAGCTCTGGAGGACCATGGTCCGTTTGTTTGATCTGGACCATGGTTTGCTTGTGCGTTCATACCACCCAGACCAAAGGAGTAAGGGTACCATGGTCCTTTTAAAACGAACCAAACAGTCCTGGTATGAATGTCCCCTAAATCACCTGTCATTGGTTGGTACAGCAGTGGTCACGATGTTATCACTGATTTGTCTTGCTTACACATGACAAACGGTTCATCTTTCAGACCTTTTTTTAGACTCATGATTGCTGCAATCACATATTTTCCGGCCTTTATCCGATACCCTGAGTTTTCACAGGAGTGACGAACTCTCATTTCATCTTTAGGCCTCATATCACACACATACAGGCACACTTTATTATGTGTATTGCCTCGTGATTCACACCTTTATCTTTACACCTCTTCCTCCATGCTCTCACGCTTCCTCTGTTCACGCCCGTCACTTCTAACACCTCCTTCTCTCGGTTAGTGTTTTCCCACCCTCTTATTGTCACACAGAGCTTTTCAGTTACTGTTGTAATGTTGCTATTATCAGGGAAACACCATCAGAGTCAAAACCATTAAAGCAATGAAACATTTTTATGTCCTCTTAGTGGTTTTAGATGAGACATCTAGAAACCATGTGGCTGGGCTTTAATGCCATGCTTGGAAGTGTTAGGACAACATTTCATAAAAGCATTTTGTTGTAGTTATTAATCACGGCTACAACCTTAAATAATGTTTGATAATGCATTTACTTTTTGATATTAGCAGCTTTCGTTTGCCAGGCTTCCAAATCCTCTTCGTTAAATTCTAAGGCTGATACAGAAAACCAAACTGAGCTTTGAAGACCTTAATGAATTCATCAAAGAACATTTTATTCATTTGGACTGCCAACTTACAAACTTTTATTCTTGGCCTTGTAGATCATTAAGTCTACTCTGCAGCAGAGATGAGCAGAAAGCTACAGAGATCTATTAAGCTCACTCCTTCAGCCGCCCACAGATTTTTTTCATTTTCAAACTTCTTTAGCGTTAACTATCATTGACTGACATCCCTGGAGGACATTTATCAGACCTCACACAGCATCCTCTGGAGACACAAAAGGGTTTATACACTCAACACCTGTAAACAGACTTTGATGTGTAAAATCAATGGCTCCCCTCCAGCACCAAAAGCCGATTGAAAATTTTCTGCAGTTTCAAAGAAAATGGTTTCAAACCATGCTGCTTATAGTAAATAGACAATACAGGACTTTCATTTTGCAGTCTTGTTCCTATGTGAAAGTGATAAACCATTTTGCAGCAATGTGATATTAAAAACTTGAGAAATGAAGGATTATATTCCTGAGGCATCATAGGCATTTCTTTTCTTTAAAGGTCACTGTTTCGTCACTGTCTAGTGTATCAGTCTACAATCTGACCACTTGATATTGTTTAGTGTTCTTATCTCTGCACACGATACTATTATCTTTTCTAAACCCAACTTGAAGGATCTTAAAAATATAGAAAATAATGCATATCTTTTTACTGAGACATTATTTTTTGAAACCGGCCCCTATGGCATACATTAAAAATTAATGTAGAGAGGACGGAGGACAGAACCCTGTGGAGTTCCTGTTATACAATGTAAAAAGAAACACTTTATTCCACTTGGAGAAATTTGTGTTGGACTCAAGTGCCGCACACACTCAACTGCATCTACAATAGTACCAATAAATAAAACAAACTGTCAAATGATGCACTAGAGAGAACCTGAAGCAAATTGCATCAAGATAGACAATGTTAAATACAAATGTGACTTTTTTTTTATTTTTATTTTTTAACAATCTGGCAACCTGAAATGTTTTGGAAATTACTTTCTACTTTCTACACAGTTTAACTTTTTTTAGTAGCTCAGGAGGTAGAGTGGTCATCAAACAACTGGAAGATTGGTAGTTCAATTCCCCCTATCCCTGGTCTGTCTATTGTGTCCTTGGGCAAGACACTTAACCCACCTTGCTCCCAGTGTGTGTCCTCCATTGGTGTATGATTATGAGTGTTGTGTGGTAGTAGTCGGAGAGGCCGTAAGCACAAACTGGCAGCCATGTTTCCGTCAATGTGCCCCAGGGCAGCTGTGAGTACCAAGGTAGTTTATCACCACTAGGATGTGACTGTGTGAGTGAATGTATGATGTATCCAATGTAAAGTGCTATGATGGTCTCCAATAAAGCGCTCTAAAATCTGATGCATTATCATTATTTGACCTATAGCAAACCAGTTTGTAAAAATACTTACAAACTCTGTTTTAAGTTTTTTTTTTTTTATAATTGATAGCAAAGGGTTTGGTGTAGAAATGAGGTTGATAGATAGACAGACAGACAGACAGATAGATAGACTTTATTGCCCCCAAACTGAGAAATTCCCATGTTACAGCAGCAAAAAACACAAAATAAAATTAAATATAAAAAGAAGTATGTACAATAAGACCTTTGTAGGGGAGGTTCTCTTGGGTTTTTTTTTTTTGACTTGAGGATTCTTTTGATTGTTCTAAACTACACTCAGCATCCTGTTGATTGGGGATTCTAATAGGATTCTTATACAAAACACCTGATAGCACGTGAGCAAAGAGCAGAGATCTACCAAATATCACCACCAAATTCACCAGCAAGCATTAACAGCATGAGAGACAGAGAGAACTGGAGTGACCAATGATTTTACAGGCTGTTTGCATTTAGTCAGAGCCAGTATTATAAGGTTTCAGTCCTGGGTTTTACTCTAGTCTGTCTTGAGCTCTAAATTTTCAGGACTTGAGCACTGGTTACATTCAGACCTGAAGATAGAAAAGCAGACTCTGACTGTATTCTGCTGGATCAGTCTAGACAATTTTTAAAGGCCTGGGGCCTCATTTATAAAACCTGGCGTAGGATCCATACTAAAAGTGTACGTAAGTTGAAAAGCTGAAAAGTGCGTAGGCAAAAAAAAAATCTGATTTATAAAACCCTGCCTACGCACACCTGCACGCACTTTCCCTTTATAAATCACAGACCAGCTGGAAAGTTGCTCAGCAGGGATTTGATTCTTCCCCGCCCTCTCCACACCCAAAATTCACCATGTATGGTCATGCAAATTACCTCATGAATGTGATTTGCATGTAGATAAGCCTGGTGGATCCACGGCATTTCACGCTTAACCATGGCATCAGCAAGTCGTAGAAAAAGAAGCTTTTCAGAGATCGAGGTGGAGGTTCTTGTAAATGAGGTGGCGGCGAGACGGGAGACCTTATTCGGCGGCCATTCGAGTGGCATCACCAATAAAAACGCCGTTGCCGTGGTGGCAATTGCGGCTGGCACTGAGCGCAGCGTTGCCGAAACAGTGTTGTTTTCGTCATATTTCGTCAAATATTTTCGTCAACACCAGCGTCAAAAAGAAATATTTTCATCAACGAGAACAACACTGGTTGTTTTTGTTGACGGAAATATTTCCCTTTTCTTCCACGACGAAGACGTAACGTTGACGAGCTAAACATAAGTCGGAGATGACTAAAATGTGACGAGACGAAAGTGCGTTTACGTTGATGGGACGAGACGAAAATGACGAACAGAGTTGCAAAACTCAGTCAGTTAAACGCTAAACATATAGGAGCAGCTTCTGTCCGCTCTGATAGCTCTCATCAGCCTGCTGTGCTCCTCCAACACACAGACACACACGCACGCGCACGCGCAAACACGTGGAGTTTTGTTTTCGTTGACGATGACGTAGACGAAAACAAAACTGTGCCGAAATCAAGAAGAAGTGGTCTGATCTAAAGGTGGAGGCAAAGAAAAAAGTGGCTTTGCACCATCAGATCGTGGCGGCGACAGGTGAGAATAAAAAAAAACATGCACGTGTGACACTCGTGCATGTGTTCAAAAAAAAAACCGCTCCGTTAACCACCGCTGCTTATGTGGTGAAAGTTCGTAAACCAAAAAGATTTAGTCATATTAATCTTAAAACAAATGCATGTAAATGGAATTTGTTTTTTTGCACATTTGTAAATTCAAATTGGCAAACTATCTACACCGCCACAGTGGGGTCTGTGCTTTCTGCGAGCATCACTGCCTGGTACGGCAGCTGCAGCTCTCAGGACAGAAAGGCTGCATCGAGTCATCCGTTGTGCTGAACGCATCACCCGGACTATTCTCACCTTGCTCCGATTGTCTCCAAAAAGTGCGTAAGCAAGGTGTGGAGTTTGCTTAAAGTTGCGCACATTCCTACACTAGTTTTTCTTTTATAAATCCCAACTCTTGCGTAAGAAGTGGCGTAAGCAATTTCTAGCCAGGTTTTGTGCGTAAGCAAGCTTTATAAATGAGGCCCCTGATCATTTATTCAGTTTGGAGTAGCTGCTGTGTGTTCATCTGTGTGCACATTCACTAGTGTTTTGTTCAGCAACACTTCTGCCAGGATGCTTGAGGAAATGCCACATGCTGCGCATTTTTGCTGTCAAAGATTTGAAACTGCTGCAAACAAGAGCAGAGCACAATGCTGTTGTTTGCAACACTGGCCTCTCAAGTGACTCAACCACAGAGTCCAACAGGTTTGGTCAGTTAAAATGCTGATCCATAGCAGGGGTTGTGGGTATTTTGGAGTTTATTGGACTCATGTAGTGATCCCACCAGAAGGGAATCAATACCTGCCCCCCTACTCCCTGATCAAGAGAGGCACAGAGCTTATTTACTCACAACACAGAGCACTGCAAATGCATTGATAAGTTAAACCAGAAGCTGCATTAACATTAATAACTGAAATGTGTTTCTACACATCCAAAGGTTTCACACTGTCAGCCCAGGTCCATAAAAATTAAAATTTGCAATGAAACAACAGATCCAAACCAGCAAACAGGCTGTGCTGCAAGTTACAGCTGGCAGTGCTACATGTGGTTGTAAATATTCAGTTTGAGTACATACTGGGAGTAAATTCAAGCCTAAGTCTATTTGAGTAAATTTTTGCAGAATTTGACAGTGAAATTAAAAACTGAAAGTAAACATGAAAAGGAGGCTCCTTTCGAGCTGCTGTAATTCATCAGCTGTCTTATGTTTCTCCACTTCACATCTAACATGAACAACTTCCAGCGGTGCCATAGCAGCAGCCGCCGGCTGGCATTTTTCACAGCCGTCCTTCTCTTAACTGGCATCGTGTCACATTACAGAGAATCAATGCTGTCACTGCCAGAAGACAGATGTGCTCATTATGAGTGAAGTGGAGCACTAATCATGGAGATTGTCAGAGAGAGATGAGGCTGATTCAGCACAGGAGAGAGAGGCAGGCTGCTGTGACAGATGATGTGTGGAGAGTGTAACACAAACACCCATCAATACTGATATCAAGTCTCTACTCGTGATATTCAGCTGGAGCTGTGGTGTTTGATACATAGGCTCATAGAAATACATTTGCCTATGCCAACATTGATGTGCTTTCTTCAGGTATCTTCAAATATTCTGCATTTCTTACATTAGGGACTGACCAAGATTGGTTTTCAGGGATGGATACCATAGGAGAGAGGAGGGAAATCAGAGGGGTGCTGCTGTCTGCTGATTCAAAACTACAGACTCAAAACTTTGGGACTTTAGATTGGGAAGTCTTTGCACAGCAGGGACAAAGAAGGTAACGTTAGCATCGGGATGACCACATAACTAGCAACATGGCTACATACTTGATCAAGATTATAAATTGCTCTGAAACAATCCTTCAACGTACCTTTCCAACAGAAAATGAGCAACCATGGCATCACTTTTAAAAACCTTAACCTAACCTCTTTCAGTTCTCTCCATCACTGAAAAGCTGTCCCGATGTTGACTTTCATTGTCGCCCTTGCTTTCTCCGAACTCTGTCTTGCTTCGGCCTTCTCTGCCTCCATCTTTCTTTTCTTGCTCTATTTTTAGAGGAGGAGCGGTCACCATTAACCTGGGTCTAGGTAGTTTCTCTGCCATTCTACAGCGTAGCTGTACCCCGCTCAGCTCGGCTATGCACATTGAATCAGGGCCAGTGCACACTGGCGACACGTACACGCAGGAGGAGAGCACGGGATTTGATTGGTTTAAAAATGTGGAACCCACACGATGTGATTGGTTGGTGTTTTCCCAGTTTTACTCCTGCTGTAGATAGCAGCTATGTTTCGCTCTTTTTAAAGAACACATCATGTATTGATTGCTATCGGAACATAAAGATCATTTTAACGAGAATAACAAAAAGTTTATCTAAATCAGATTAATAACCCTACCTTTAAATCAACAGATAAATTAAGCTTTGGTCCTTTAGCGACACCTGTTTCATGATAATAATAAACAAGTGATCAAAAATTAAAATAACAAATACTTAAAACCATCACAGTGATAATATGCAAAACCTCAAAAAGCAAAAATGATCATAAAACTAGTAAGAAAAAAAAATTGAAATAGAGAATCAAAAGTAAACAAGTATCAAACAATATTGACATCATTTAAATTATGAAATAAACAACCCTACGTGGCAGATGGACTGAATAAATAAGGCTGGTTTACTTTTAAAAATATCAGTATTTCCTCTCAGATCTGCTGGCATACTGTTTCAGCGTCTGGGAGAATAGCAGCTAAAAGCAGCATCACCAAGTGTTTTTGTTTCACTCAGCCAACAGAGAGGAGCAGAGGATCTGAGGAGCTTTGTATAGTTTATATCAAAGCATCTCAGACTAGATTAGGTCTAGTAAGAAGCTAAACTAATAAAATAATTTTGATAATACTATAAAAACTAACTAGCAGCCAGTGAATACATTTATATGAACAGTTTAGTGGCACAAGACTTAATGGTTGGTTTGGCGACTTGTTGGTATTACTGTCCTTGACCCAGTCTACAAGCATCAGCATAAAAACAACTGATTTAAAACTCTTAAGGTGACAAAATTCCCCCTCAAATTATTACGATCCTGGTTGACCACTGAGATCACTAACCAAAAACAATTGGGCCAAGCAGTAAATGACACGGCAACTTTACAGCTTTGCATACCATAACAGCTCAGCTCCTTCATCTCTGCTTTCCTACTTCTCCTTCTGTTGAGGTTTTGTTGACTACTCAGCTTCTTTTCACACAGTTGTGCTGTTCAACTTCTGGGTCTAAGTCTAATGTGCAAAAGTCTGATTAAGGTGTATAACGTGATAGTCTGTTAGAAACTGGACTTGGTGTAACCTCTCTACTTTAAAAGTTTAGACTACATAAAACCTGTTGCTCTGCATGAACAAAGTTTTCCCCCACAGTGAAGTATTCAAACTCTGAAGTGTTTTGTTTATGTGATATTTCCATTCGCCCCACGCAGAGCGCAAAGGTGTTTTATGAATTAAAATAACTGAGGTGTGGTTGTTCACACTAAAACATGGTGTTGAATAAATTAACTATCTATTGCCTACAAATAGACCATGCAAATGAGAGATAATGAGCCACATTTATTCATAGAAAACGAACAGTTGTTCAGCTCTGAGCTCAGCTGTGTTTTTGTCCTCCACCATGAATGAGCAGAATCCAAATCTCTGCTCCAACAGGCACAACAGTTTAAATTTAATCCCTCCCACTTCCTGATATCTATTTTTGTAGATATGTGGTTTTTATTTTTCCTTTTTCACTGAGCATTAATGCTTCTACAGCACTGCGGTGAAGCTTGAACAGTTCAGTGACAAAGAGACATTGCTTTAAACGTGGATGGGGAAACAGCTAAATTACCAACTGGCTCATACTTCTTAACACAAAAGCTCCTAATTGCAGGTTGTCCTTCCACATGTACTGCTGCTGATAGGTGTTTGAATGGGTTTTCTGAATGGCAACCTGGCCATAAATAGCAGCTGTGCAAAGCTGATGAAGTCTTTTTTCTTTAAGCATCTACAAATCTGTGCCAAACAGCTCTGCTCTGTATCAAGAAAGTCTGTCTCTGTTTGATAAACGCTGCCAGGATTTGTCGAACTTTGATTCAGACACTGATTCTAAATCCACTGGTGCATGGGGAGTACAATAGATCCATAACATATTCTTTATTTTTCAATTAAACTAACCAAAAGACTTTACTGCTCAAATGCAAATTCAACACTGAAAAATACAATGTAGATTCAGGGTAGAAAAGGTGAAATTTAAGCTTGTGTAACTGAGTGGCACTCAGTAACTGAGTAGGTCATTATGGACCACTGCGCTGACATTATTTATTAGCTCAGTTTGATTAAGAAGACTAAACTTTCTTCACAGCTCTGTGGATTAACATGGAAATATAACAAGTACATTGCAGGCTCCAGTCTGTCAGATCCCGACTGGTTTCCTGCATTGACTCTGCTCTGGCTGTGACACAGTGGTCTACAGTGTGAGCACTACATACTTGTGCATCGGTGTCATTGCACTGCAGTACTCTGCCCAAACACCACGTGGTGGTGCAGTGTCAATGCTTGTCATATCGCCATAGACCATAGACCATAGACTGTATATAGAATGGACGCCGTCACCCCAAGAACAGCACCCTCCTGTTTGCGATGTTGACATGTAGTTATTATAAGACTGGTTTGTGCTCAAGTCCTCTTTTTTTCTGTTCAGCTCCATTTTTATAAGTTATTAGAGGGTTCATCTTTTCTATGATTGACACTTGATACAGCCTATGGGTGTACAAAGATTGTGTAGCTCACCCTGGGGATACGCTGTTTGAGCCGAGCGCCATCACAGCGACTCTCGGCGACTCTCCCGCCAAATGCGTACAATGCTACTGTGCTATGTTGGTTTCAGGAACGTGAAGAAAGATTGCGGAAATAATGGAAATACCAAGAGCTATCAGCTTTAAATCCATATACTGGTGGAAGGCGGAACCAAGTTGTCCATAGTATATACAGTGTATGGTCACAACTCCTGATTTAGTCATTCACAGCAGGTGGGGAGTTTGTTTAAGCATCACAAAGCTGCAAATGAACTCCAGAACTGTCACTTAAAGAGATCGTGAGCTTCTGTCCCTGTTGGATAAAGGCGATCCGCTCAGGTTCACAGAAGAGAAAATTTAACATCAAAATGCATATGCAATGCAAATGTGTGTGTCTGTGTGTGTGTGTGTGTGTGTGGGGGGGGGGGGGGTAAGACTTTTTAAAACAGTAAAAAAAAAAAACACAGCTGTCTGGTTTTTGCTTACTTTTCCCATTACACGGCTACCAGTAGTAGAACTTTACTGCATTATATTTAAGGTTTGAGAGTGAGACCAAAGCGTGGCACAACTCCTGCGAAACCATCATGATCTTTAACCCTTATGCTGGAAGTTTTTCTAAAGCACATAGGAACAAGGAGACTATCAGAGTCTGCTAATATCACACTCTTTCAAATCTGATAATAATAACCTCAGTTCTTTGTTTTGTTGTCTTTGTTCCTTCAAGGTTTCCTCCATTGTCAAACGGCACCTACGGAGTGTGTTGTTTACGTGGGAGTGAGAGAGGTTGCACCCGGCTGCCAGCAGAGAAGAAGAAGAAAGGAGAAGGGGATGTAGGGATTAAAACCAGCGAGGGAGAGGTGAGAGCTAGCATCAGTTCCCACAACCCCTCCCTCTCTCTGGGCCTCCTCCCTGGAACCTGCTGCTCCTCGCCGGGCGGTCAGGACTCCTGGTGCCAGTCTGCCTAACATCACAGCTCTGAGTAAAGGCTGTAAAGCCTGAATGTGAGCTGTAGGGAGCTGGAAATTAAAGTCAAGCTGGATCTGAGGTCTGCTAAGAGGCTTCAGATTTTAAATGAGACGCATTCAGCTTACTGTAATCGTCGTTGAAGATCAAAGTTGTACCTTTGAAAAGGTGTTAATAATGTATTTTTGAATTATTTATTTCAGTAACAGACATGTGACAGGGCCATGTTACTGAAGATGAGTAGAAATTTGAGTGTAAGGAGTTATGGTGCAAAATCATCAAATGCAAGTTGTGGAATCACAAGACTAAAAACAAAATGATGTTGAACAAGTGTTAATTTATGAAAGTTAAGTCAGCTTGGAAAAAAAAGTGCAATTTTACAAAATAAAAGTATACATTTATTCGGAGTGAGACATGAAATTAAAGCTCCTGTGAAGAATTTTTGGTTTGTGTTGGTTTTGGCGCCACCTGTGGACAAAGCAGTCTTTGCTTATCAAGTCTGCTACATAGTTGAGTAGTGAGTTTTGACCGTCCAATGTATCATTCATAGTAAATATTTTAGGGGAAAATTGTAAAGAGGGGTTGTACCTACAGCTGCAAGGCCTGTACCTATCCCCTCCTAGGAGTTTTAGACAATAAATATAAGGACATTAAAATCTAAAGTCTTATTGATTACAGTTTGTTGGCTTCTGTATATTATTATAAGGCATTACCAGGAATTCCAGTCAATTTCATAAAGGTCAAAATTACAGGGAAAAGGGACATTATTGCAACAATCACACACCATATTTATGAAACAAAAAGCCAAGAGTGGGTGTTATATTAGCACAATAAAGATTTTATGAATGATGAAAATTAAGATGCACATCATTTTATGTATGTATGTATGTATGTATGTATGTATGTATGTATGTATGTATGTATGTACGTATGTATGAATGAATGTATGAATGTATCAAGGATCCCTATTAGTTTTTATCATAATTACAACTACTCTCTGTGGGGTCCAGACATTTAAAGAAAATACAATCAAAGATGAAGTTATAAATCAATGAAAAAAATTCACATTTATAAAAAAAATAATGCTTTAAGTTTACAAGAAGTGTGCTGTAAATTTTGGGGGAAAAAAAGTCATAAATTAAACTTTTGTTTTATTTTGGCGAGAAGAGGCAGCCAGCTAACAACCCTAGAACCAGAAGTTTTGTGAGGTTATTCTTGAAAATAAGTTTCATAAATAACTTGATTCTCAGTATTTCTTAACACTAGGTTTACACTGCAAAAATTACATGGTTCTGAGAAGATTGTGCAGTAAATCGAGTTTAATCTGAGGAGAAAGTTAAAAGGCAGCCTGAGTACATTTATCAACCACTGTTTATTCCTCACCTTTTTTACAACAGGAGCCAAGATAAGAATCTCAATGTGGAAATTATTTACTTTTCAAAGAAACATTTCCAGAGGCTCTAAGTGCAGAATCATTTTCAAAGAAGTGAACCAGCTTTGTATCTCCCCCATGGAGGGAATGATTTCTCTCCAGCAAAGTAAGGTGTTCTGCTGTTAATAATTCGTCTGCTCTCTGTTCCAGGAAACGTCTCTCTGTGCAGAGAGTGTGACTGAGCTGAACACCCTGTCACTCCATTAAAATGATATCTGAGGTCAACCATGTCCTGTTGTCACCGGCACACAGGTACATGTTGGTGTTATTGCACTTACAAGAACCTTTTTCTTCACCTGTGACCCTCATATGAACCTTTACAGGCATCCTCACCATTCTCAGCCTCAGGCTTTAAGGTTCAGTGTTTTTACACAAAAATCAAATACAAACCCCAAAACTCATTTCTTCTATTACACCGGTGCTTATAAATGATTAAACATAGAATAGAGGCTTTATCTCTTTTTATGTATATTTCTTGTGGTTAAACATTTTGGCTTTTTAAAGATCTACTGACTAGAATAAAGACGTTTAGTGACTCTTCACTGTTAGGGCATTAAATGTACTGTGCACCTTTATTAACTTTTTTGTTGCTTTGAGACATCTTTAATGTAAAAACTAATGCCGAGAGGCACTATCAGACAAGGTTTGTTTGCGACCATTAAATACCTAACTAACAACCATAAAAGTCTCACTCGGTTTTTTAATTTTCTTACTAGCTAAAGCGTTTTCAGTGGTCTTAAAACTGTGATTATGAAGTTTTTAGCCAAAATCTCGCTACCTGAGTCGTTTTTGAGGACTTTTCTTCTGCAGAGCTCCAGTAGCTCATTAGCAATTCGCCTCTGAGTGATGGTCGGAGACAGCGCTGCTCTGCACATTTCTCTGTGAGTTAGCTTGCAGTCTAACATTGCCAGTGTAGTAGAAGAAACAGGTAACATAGGAGCTATGCAGCTCTCTGACACTATTTTATTTAGGGGCATAATGAAAGCTAGTATTATAATTAGCTTTCTTTCAAGCATTTCAATCAGCTAACGCACATGCTTGTTCTGCGATCATTCTTTGTATTTCCTGGCCTGCATAGTGGGGCTCCGGCGGCAGAGCTTGGATTGGTTACATAGGAAATCTCACTGTATCTGATCCATACACTCTAAATACTATGGACAACTTGGCTCTCACTATTTCTGTGATTTTTCTTTATTTTCTGAAATCAAAATTGCACAGTAGTGTTGTACGCACTTCACCACTTGCGCAGTAGCATTGTATGCATTTGGTGGGGGAGTCGCAGAGAGTCGCTGTGATGATGCTCTGCTCAAAAAGCGTATCCCCTGGTAAGCTACGCAATCTTCGTACACCCATAGGCTGTATCAAGTGTCAATCATAGAAAACATGAACCCCCTAATAACTATTAAAAAGGAGCTGCACAGAAAAAAGAGGACTTGAGCACAAACCAGTCTTACAACAACTACATGTCAACATCACAAGGAGGGGGGGATTTATATTGTGTGTAATAAATTTTTAAAGTTTGTCCACAGCTCCATAAGCTTTGCTGCAGGATTTATGACCTATACTGCACCCCGTCACAAGAGGGTGCTGTTCTCAGAGTGGCTTCACCCAGTGAGGAGGCAGACGGCGTCCATTCTATATACAGTCTTTGATCTGAACCTGCTGTTTGGGTCTGCCAGAGTTTCACAGCAATTTGAATGCAGAAATACTCAGATATGCAATTTCGCACTTCTTTTTTCTCATGATATGTCCTGTAGTATTAGAAAAATATGAACCTGTAGACAGCAAGAAAAAGGTGAATTTCATTGGAGTGAGTCTTTAAGTTAGTTTTTCTCATGACTGTTAATAGCTGCTACTAGATCAAACAAAATTATTTGACAATAAAACTAACAAATCACAGGTCATGTCAAAGTAAGTTCAAAAATATTGAATGTATTGCCCCTTCTTGAATAACCGTACACCATTTGTTCCATTTTCTTTTTGCTGGTTCAATTCAGTATTTAATCTAATGGGTGCCTCTAGTAGCAACATGCTTGTTTATGTACTTAAGGGTTGTTAAGACCACTTTTTAACAAGCATCCTTGCTGATTGGATGAAAACATTCATAATTTGCAAAAATGCATGTCCCAGAATACCAGTGACCTCTTGCAATCAAATCTCTCCTTCCTGCTAAGTATGTGGGCTTTGCTCACCTTCATTAGAGTCTGAAATAATCATATAGGGAAAAAAAAGGATCCAGATACAAGGAGGAGGAGGTAATTGCAGCTGTATGTGGAGCAGGAGGGACAGAAGGTCAAGTGATCGTGGAGTGAAGTTAAACATAAAGTAAAACTATCATAAACTCTGATGAACCAATCAGAAACATCATTCCCATATCCTGTCACTCAAAGCATGGAGGGACAGAGATCACGTGTTAAATTATTTACTAAAGTGGGCTAGATGGGGGCCATGAACAGAGCTGTTTAACATTTTTAGCTTGTTTTTTAATGATGCACATCAAAATATCCAATATATACAGTGGATATAAAAAGTCTACACACCCCTGTTCAACCGCCAGGTTTTTGTCATGTAAAAAAATTAAATCAAGATAAAATATCTCACAACTTCTTCCACCTTTAATGTGCCCTGTAACCTGTACAACACCAATTGAAAAACAAACAGAAATCTTTCAGGGAGTCGAAGTAAAAATAAACAACTGAGATCATGTGGTTGCAAAAGTGTGCACACCTTTTAATAACTGGGGATGTGTCTGTGTTCAGATTTAACCAATAAAATTCAAACTCAGGTTAAATTGGACTCAGCACACACCTGTCACTAATTAAAGTGCCTCTGATCAACCCCAAATAAAGTTCAGCTGTTCTAGTTGCTTTTCCTGACATTTTTGTAGCCACATCTTCCAGCACAAGCCATGGTCTGCAGAGAGCTTCCAAAGCATCAGAGGGATCTCATTATTCAAAGACATCAGTCAGGTGAGGGCTCCAAAAGAACTTCCAAGGAATTAAATATACTATGGTATCAGTGGCGATTGCTCTAAGACTGCAAGGGAAGCTCGGCTTCCCTTAAAATGTCACCCCCCAAAAAAAAGAAAAAGTGGTAAAATACGTACGGCTGTGTGTACATTTTAATAACTAAATACGCACTAGAAAACCTTCATCTTTTGTTCAGACACTGTGATAAGAAGCTGATAATCACAGGTAACCGGCATAACTTTGTTCTCTTTCATCCTCGCAGCGCCTCAGCGCTTTAAACAGCCGGACGCTGGGCTTCTGCTGACTTCAATGTGGAAGCTTAAAGTGGGTTGTTCCAGCAGCGAAACTAGACGCTCATTGGATAAATGCTGGGCTTTGTCCCGCCCATCGGAAGCCCAGCTTCACTGGAGTTCTATGGCGAGAGGGCGGTCCCGACTTTCTCCCGGACTCCGAGCTTCTGCATCCATGATTGGATGAGCTGTCTGAGGCGAAATCCTTTTTTGATTGACAGCTAAACAAGCGAATCAGTGATCTTGAAGAATAAAACATCTACCAGAGCGTTTTCCAAGTCATTCATTCCGTTGTTCTTAACTGCTCCGGAGACTTTACCGATCCTCAGCGACTTTTGTCTTTGTTAAAAACGACTGCCGTTGTGTTTGGCGACTCTGTTCTGTTACATACTAATAAACAAATACAATTATGATGTAGGCCAGAAAAATGAGCTTCCCCTCCTTGAAAGACCAGCAGCCGCCACTGTATGGTATATACCATGGACCGTCATCATCATGTGGAAAAAATATGGCACAACGGTGACATTACCAAGAACAGGACGTTCGTCCAAAATTGATGACAAGACGATAAGAAAACTGGTCAGGGAGGCTGCCAAGAGGCCAACAGTAACACTGAAGGAGCTGCAGGAATTTCTGGCAAGTCCTGGCTGTGTATTACATGTGAGAACTACACATTTATGCAACCAGGTTATTTCAACTTTTCTATTTTTTATTTTTCCCCTTAAAGGTTTCAGTTTGTTTTTCAATTGCATTGTACAGGTTATAGGTCACATTAAAAGGTGGAAAAAGTTGTGAAAATATTTATCTTGCCGTCATTTTCTTACATCACTAAAACCTGGCAGTTGAACAGGGGTGTGTAGACTTTTTATATCCACTGTAGATTACCAACCAAAACATGTTGAACCATAAGCTTTGGCTGTGGTCTGTTTCTTTCTCCTCCTACCTGTTAATGTTTGCCATAAACTGGCAACTTGAAGTCGTGACAGCCTCAGTGTGTATGTGCGTTTTGAACACTCTGTGACAGTGAGATAAAGTTCCTCTATACATGCTCTTTGGTGCTCAGACATTGATTTCCACTAGCTCGTGTTGTTTCAGCTCCTGAAGTCCCATCAGTTGGAGGAGATAAACCTCGGTGTGTTTTTTTTCTTTTCTTATATATTTGATGAGTAGCTGAAGAGGTGATGGGCTGACTGACTGAATCAATATTTAATCACCTTGTGTGCACGGCTGACCTGAGACCAGAAGGAGTGGACATGAGTGGAGAGGGCAATAAGAGGGGAACATGAAAACACTTATTATTTTCAGACTTGAAAACTTGTTAGGAGCAGGAAAACTTTTGAAAAAGTTCACTGAGAATCACAGCTCTGCAGCAAGTGGATACAAAGTGGAAAAACTCAAACCTCAGATGAACTGAAAGGATGACATACAGGCTGATACTAAATGAAGGTACGAAGAATCCAGCAGTTGTGTGTTTAGAGATGGTCATCAACGCCAACATTTGGAGCTGCAGTCAGCTGGTGGAAGCCCCTGCAGATGGTGAGTGGTCCCCACCATTGTGCCCTCCATAATTTCAGTTGTACTGTATCAGTCATAGCGCTCAAGCAACTGTCAGTCGGCTAAGATCACCTTGTGGTTTATATCAGCCATCACAATGTGTGAATGCAGACATAAAAAAGTCCTCATGGTTTGTAGCTCTCTGGGACTCTGCAGTGAATAGTTCCAAGAACTGAAGAACTGTTTGGTCTGAAAATACCTTATGTGTTTTGGTTTTGAACTTTGAATGTAATGTCCAACGTGACATGACAGTCACACAGAAGTAGGATTATTATCTGGGTTCAGAATCATGAAATATGAGTGGAGCCTCTGAATAACTTATAATTTCCTGTGAAACTGAGACTCATTGGATAAGGATGATAGGCAGCCACTCTTTTGAAGAAATATGATAGTGTTATTTTTGTAGACATATCTAAGGAGACAATTCCATGTGGTTTCACAAGTTATTGCTACATCAGAAATGGCACCACTGTTGGAAAAAAAAGGATGTTCTCCTTCCTCTGTCAACTTGTGAAACAAGCACACAAACACTTCTGCATACCCTGCTTCTAAACTCTGCTGATTGTTTTTGTGCTGTAACAAAGCCCCTCAAGCATTATTACAGCACAGCACACACCTGATTAAATCTGCTTTAAAGCTCTCAGATCAATAAAACAAAGGCGAGCTGTGATGATGTGAGAAGAGTTCCTCATTAAATCTGTAATAAATCTAAGCTGTGCAGTCACCACGGCACAAAGCTCATAACAAACTAGTTTAAATAGAGCAGGCATAAATGCTAATGCACTGTTTCCCTTTGTTAACTCTGAGTCTGATTTTAATATGTCTGCAGGCTGACTCAATAAAGAGTGGGCAGTTTGAATTAAACACCGCACCACAGCTGTTACACACAACACTCTGTCCTACTATAGATTACAATCACTTTGGGAAAATATCAAAGTCAGACTGTGAAGCTCTTTCACATCTGCACGCCTGAACATTTTCAGAAAATACCAGGATAGCTCACCCCTGAAATTTTTCAAAGTTGCATGCGACACGTTGTTCATATCAGCAATCTGGACACTGATTTCTAACAGAAGTGAGGCTGTTCCACGACAACCTTGTTTTAGCCTAAGAACCTTGTGATGAGTTGTTTTTAACCTTTATATATTATTAAAAAGAGCATTTTCTACTTTTTTCCCCATGTTTGTGAATATTTTTCTGGCTCAAAAGTTCACAGTATATTGGAGCTGTCAGAGTTCATGCATCAATCATGATGTGTTAAAAGGCCTGAAATTAACACATCATGATTAATTTTGGTTCATGTGCTTTTATTTCTCATCTTCTTGCCGCTGCCATGATGAAAATTATCAACCCAACTGCGCTCTAGGCACACATTTTACTTAAAAAGAAGAACCTCAGAGAGCCAGTTGACGACTCAAAAGTGATATACACTTGTACAAAATTAGAATATCACCAAAGTGCCCAGAGTTTGAGCTACAAGCAAAGCATACAGGTGCAGCTAATCAAACTGCATCACAAAGCAGAAAAAAAAAAAATCAATAAATATAATAAACTGAAATAAAACAATACTAAGCATCACAAAAAGAATAATACAGACAATTTTCTCAATTTTTTAAAATGGGATTGTCGCTATTAACTTCAAAAATTTCCTAATAAATCATGGCTAAATCAGCTCATCTGATAGCCTTTCCATCAATAAAACACAGTTATGAGGATCTTAAAAAAAGAGGTTTTTGCTCTTTGAGCGTGCTCATGTTTTAAAATGTATGCTTTCCTTTAAACTCAAATTCACCCATTCATCCCATACAAGTAGATACCAGTGTTGTGAATTATTCTTAGTAACTTGGAAGGTAATTGGTTAGGGTTAGGTTTTTTTGGGTTAGTTATGTTGGATTTTTGAGTATCTAAAATTTATGCCAAATATTTAGTTTCTATTTAATAACAATAAAAGAATAGTCAATAATGGGTTGTTATTGTAAAATATCTCTTTGAAACTAATTTCACCTGTTCCTGGTCAAATTGGTGAACTATTGCTGATCAGTGATTGTATCTCATGTAAGAACCTAATGCTTACCGCCTTGATAATAGAAGAAAAAGAAAGAAGACATGCCAGTTGCTGATAAAATAGAAGACTCATGTGAGGAGGTCAAAGTGAGATTAAGTGCAAATGTTTCCAAGGAGAACTTGCATACCCAGATCATATCTAACCAGCATATCTACAGTGACTATGTCTGTGTTTGCAGGAGTAAGAGAACTGTTCAAATGACCGTCCATCAGTCTTCAGTCAATAAGCAGGAATAGTTTTGCTCCTGTCACTTACGCTTGAAGTTTCAAATGAACCCAACAGCAGAGTTTACTGTAAACTTCAACAATCACTTTTTAAAAAGACAGAAAACAATATAAGCATCAATTATAACCCAGAGCAGTGCCATCTGTAAACACACAGAGTGCAACCACTCACAACAGCAGCAATTAAAAACCAATCTCCTGAACACACTCAGACAAACAGAAACCAAGCATAATGCTTCTCAAGTTGCTCACAGACAGTAATTAAAGGAAGATATAAGATTCAAATGTCTTTGCTAGGAATAAAAAATTATGATTGCTTTTTTTTTCTTCAAAAGAAAAAAAAAACTAAAATATTAGATATGTTTTTTCAATCAGGACCCAATTTATAACGTACAAAGGCCTACTACAGAAAGCAGAGAGAAAGCATCTGTCATTTTCACACACATAAAGTTTATATTTGTTCTTTTTATTTCTGGCCCTAGATATCAGGCAGTTTATGTAAACAGGACTAACAAGATGAGTGCTATGTGATCTGACAAAACACAACAGCCTTTAAAAAGGAAACAAGTGTTTGATTTTCACATCCTTTCCACACCTCTGATTTTCTCAAAATACCACCACAAACTTCATAGCAGGCGTCATGTTTTAAAGTCCTAAGGCCTGATTCTGTCTGTGGTGCAGCTGTGTTTGACAGAACAGAGACCAAAAACAAAACGAAGCATGTTTGTATGGATATCTGCATCAAACCTCTCTGACTTTATTGAATTCCTCACAGCAGCAGAATTGAAGGTGTATAATCAAATTTCAATTTCCCCAAAACAGCTCTTACTTCAAGTAGCATTGACAGTGAAAGGAGAAACGGCCATGTTCAGGGCAGGACTGTTTAGTATACCAAGTGTTGTCTGAGTGAGCTGGAACCAACTGGCCAGAGGCATTGTGTACAGCAGACGTTCAATGAAGGGCTGCAGCCATGCACCAGTTGTCCATGAGGTCACTTTTTCTGACAGACTGGTGATAGCCAGATTGGCCAGGACACCAGCGTCTCCTGAGTTTATGTTTTCTGCTGCCAAAGTGATTGTGATGCGCTTTCAGCTGACACTTGTGTGAACGTGCTTATTTTATCAATAAGAACAAGTATGACCCTTAAGTATATTTCTGTTCAGTCACATGTTGCAGCAATTTCACATTTTAGTTGTCTGAATCTCACTTTATATGACAAGATCAATTTTAAAAGCCCCTGTATTTCCTGTAGCTATGCAATACCATCATTTGTCTTCAGTGTGCTTCTGTGAAAAGTATAAGATTCAGGGAAAAATGCTTTAATAATTGTATTTGTCAGAAACAAAAATCAACATTTTTAATTCCAAAGATTGTTCACATATTAAATTTTGAATGCCCATCCTTATTCTATTGAAATGATCAGTTATTTTAGCTGACACAGTCTGTCCTTAGCACAATAGAAATGTTGTCTGGGATCTGACTGAGCCATTTTGAAAAACAATGACACAAACAGACTTGAAGATTTGGTCCCATAGACCAGCGACTCACCTTCTATACTAAACAAAATTGCCAAAAATAGTTAATTTAACGAGTAAAGAGAAGTGAAACAACAGTTTCAAGTCCAAAATAGGGTCAAATTTGAACAAAAAAGGCCATAAATGTAGGTATCTTTTCTGTAATTCTGTCTATAACCTCAAAAATCAATCAAGGGTACCAATAATCCATGTATACTGCTTTTATTGGTTGCACTTGCTTGCAGGGATGAAGTTACAGCTACTACAGCAGCTACTTGATGAAATCTAATGTGACAAGTCCATAACCCATTTTACCTTTAAATCACTGAAACCCTAAAATTTGTAAAATAGTGCCTAAATGATACAATCAACCCCTCACTGAGGTTATGAAAGACATTGTTTACAGCGGATGTTTTGTTGTTTCCAGACAGATCACAGCTGAATCCAGCTGTTTTCAAGCCCGACAACAGATCAAATATCTCCCTGAATAATCGTCAAAAAGGCTGCAAGCAGAGAAATCCTATAAATATAGCAATAAAGCATGTGTATGAGTCTGAATGTATTTCGGTGAGTTGCATTCCCTGATACAAGGTACAAACATTTATCTGTGGGAGGCGGAGTTGTCATGGCAACGAGTTCTCTCATCAGTGGAACACCTAACGCTTCACTGTGGTCCCTGTAGACCTCCGATTCCTGTCATTTTCTATTAGCTTGGAGGAAAAGTGTAAAGAGGGACAAGGAGAAGTGGCAGATGGAAGTAGTAAATGATAAACTGACATCTTTTCTATCATTTGAGAGCGATCGTACAGATTTAGCAGTTTAAATTACCCGCACATAACAGAGCAGTTTCCAATGTGCTCCCTTATCACATGCAGTTATCCAGCTGCAGCTATGTTTCACACATGGAAAGTAGCAACATCTACTTTATTCACAGACACCACATATAAACAGACTGTGGCAGACTGAGTTTTGAAATGTTTTGGTTTCTGTCTGCATTATTATAGTACTCTGAGTTGTTCTGACCAATCACAAAACAGCTGGCGGTCCACAGTGATGTCTCAAGCCGTTAATCCAATGATCAAATTGACCCTAACAGTAGATACCAGAAGTACCAGAACTCCAGTTACAATCTGTTTGATAGAAAACATTTCTAAAACCAATTTTGTGAAAGCATTTAGTTTCCCAGCTTCCTCCAATGTATCAGGAATAAATAATCAAACCTCCATTCAACAAACAAAACATTTTAAAAGTTGTTATCTCCTCTACGGAAGGACAGGCTGGACAAAGCTCATTATTCAAACTGAAGACCTCTTACTTACACTAAAAAATTAAAATAAAATTGGTTTCATTTTGGTTTTTTTTTTTACCAATGAAGTCCTACAAAGTCCGACTACACACAGTGACACTGAGAGTCACCAGAAATAAATGAATGGACCCAAGGATACAACCAGCCAAGATAATGAAAGGCTTGGTGTTTGAGTGGCATCGGCTGACGTTAATCAAACTATGTTGTCCAAACTGCACCCTCACCATTGGTAGCCAGTTAAGCCCCCAACTACAGACCCCATCAGTAATATAATACATTGCAATTATTTGAAACTGGATTCCATGGACATCGCCATTTCTTAAATCTTCAGACGACACATCCCAACTTGTCAACTCAAAGTTTTCAGAAACCTTTGCCTTATGATGACATGTACAGGACAAGAGCAGGGTGTTTGTACAGTCTCCTCTTGGAAACCGTGTGAGCACAGCCCAATTTAAAGGTACCAGAACTTTCACACTTGTCTGAAGAGACATTTTTTGTCCAACCAATATGTTTTTTTTTAACAGCCAATACTGGTGCTGATATTTACAGAGCAGATCAACTGGTGGCCGATATATAATGCTGATATTACTTTGTTCTTGCCAATTATAAAATACAAAAATTTAATAATAATCCAGGCCTGTATTCCATACACATAACAGTATCTTATACTTGTTTTGGATGGAGCGTGTAGATGTCCTGAACATCTGAAACCAGACATGATTGATCTGACCTCCAATCAACAAACATTTGAAAAGTAGTTTTCCTGTCCTTCAGGGTTCATACTGCTGGGTTAAACCAGAGAAAAGCCTCTGAGTTACTCACTCCTAACAGCAAAACTGAGTCTAATGTCTAGGAGACATTAACACAGCCATTCCAGTCACACATACTAATCTGTTGGCTGTATTTCTGATGCTGGTGAGGTTTTGTTTTATATTGAAATTGGATTTTTTGCCACCTACTACCAGAGAACAAATGCAAACATTGTTCCTGTGATAGGGAATTTTCAGTTTATTTATTGTAGCGTTTTCATTCTATTGTGTTACGTGTGTTTAAGGCGGTTGTTTGAATTTATTGTGCTACTATACGGGGTTACAACAACAGCCTGCAGCGTTTCTGACCAATAAAATTATACAGGCAGGAGGTCTAACAGCCTGAAATCAATCCACCTGCCTGCATGTGGGTTCATGCGTGGAGATTTCCCTGCAGGGGGAATACTGAGTCTGAGTTTAGGGGGCATTTTGGGTGGACGGCTGAGAATTGGATTATTCCACAGTAGTGCTTTGAAAAGTTTTCATGGACATTTAGATGCATTTTTCTGCTTTCTGAAAACCTCTCCCCTGTCTGCTGTGAGAGGAAAAAGACTAAAAAATAAAGTTTAGAAGCTGCCTTTCATGTCTGCTGGGGGTGAGTGAAGGTTTGGGATGAAGTAATAATGTGAGACTAATGCTAAGCTGGGTAATGTTTCCTCCCAGGCTTTGGCTTCTGTATTTTCTCTCCTGTATTGAAGAAGTGAATACTTTTATATGTTTGTAACAACTGGTTTGCACTTGATGTTATTCACCCTTGTAACACATTAACCAACTAGAAGAACCAGTGAATTTAATGATGTCTGCAGTGGATACTAATCTCTGAGGTACACAGGCCTGATCCAGGGGTGCAAGGAGACAAAGACACCTGAACTACACCTGAGATGTCACAAAGGCATATTGTGCATGAACTCACTATTACATGTGAAGACAAACACATAACACAGGGATCATTTTTAACAATCCTCCAGCATGAGTCTTAGTTCCACTCTTAGTTACTGATGCAGACTGAAAGTATGCATTGTAATTATAAGGATGACAGTTTTTCAGCATGATTGTTTTCTAGTTTGCAAGCCAAAATTTCATAAATCTGCAGCTCCAGTGAGGTCAAACAAAGTCCGCTGTATGTGTTTCTGTATGTGTTTGCAGCTGCAGTGTTAGCATCGTGTTGAGTGTCGAGTTGAAAGAATAATATGCAGAGCAGGATGTCACGACTCTGATGTGGCTCTGAAGAGTGGTCTGGACTGCTCTCACCACTCTCTGCTCTCCATCAGTCACCTTGTGAAGATGCAAATAATTTAAATTCAGCTCTATTTTCCTTAAGCACTGGAAAAACCACCTTGTTTTTGGAAACAGCAGTCAAATAATCAACTATAATGGAGGCAACAGATGAAAATAATATGAGGGGGGTTTAGCTATGTCAGAATCCTTTTGCTCCATAATCTCCAATGTAACATGGTCTACCAGCACGACAAAAACAAACAAAAAAAAAAGACAAAACATTAAAGGCATGGTTGACGAATGGAGAGATTGGTAATCATTATGCGTTTATGTAGCGATCATGGTCCTATTGTGCGCTCTCCACAAAGTGAACAAAAAGAATTAGCAGCCTATTAGGTGCAGGGCTGCAAAAACATGGACCAATCAGAGCCATCCGTCCCGGACAGCTCCTATTGGTAAATCTCCTACTCTACCTCTCCACCCAATCACCTCGCTGAATCCGACACACCCCTCTCCTGTAGTTCCGACTCCCCCCCCCCATTCTCTAGGTAGCAACTTAGCTACGGAAGCTGAGATGGAGAAGGACACACACAAAAAAAAAAAAAACACTTCAGCTTGCCCCACCGCCAAAAGTGAAATGTGACCAAGTGATGAATCTAACTTGAATAAACATTGGGTCATCGGGCCTGAAAACAGATGCAGAGACAGCAGAGTTTTGTTGAACAGGTACTTTTTGCCTTTTATCGTGGCACATGCTACATAATTAACTCTTATTAATCTCTGCAATGTCAACATGGTAGCTGTCCAGGCAGCTGCAGACGGTGCTTGCTAGCAGAGCTGGCGTTCACTGCCGCTAGTCACTAGCAATCTGACATGGTGAAATTTGAAGCAAGCATAGGATTGTCTGCCGGCCGGCTTCTTGCTTTGCCAGAGGGGGTGTGTCGTTGGGGGGGGGGGGGGGGGGGGGGGCGACGCTTTTTTTCAAATCTGCCTCAATGGGTAATTTTTTTTTCCAACTGCTTTTTAGATTGTCAATCATGCCTTTAAATGTTACAGGTCCTCATACATATACAGTCCCTGTTTTGAGATTTCAAAACATAACTGAAATAAGAATTAAGAATATACAGCATGCAGTCATCAAACAACTTATAAAAAGCTCTAAAACCTAACAATCATTTTCAATAATCGAGTTAGATCTGTCTGAACATTAACAAGGATGAATATAACCATGGTCAAATGCCCTTTCATTTTTTCCATTGTTAAATATATCTCTTTTTCGTCATTACTATCCTCCTAAATCTCTGTAGCACTTCATCTTTCTATTTCCGTCTGTTCATCTGTCTGCAGAGCGTGCAGCCCCAGATGTCGTTCAGTGGCAGGTCATTACATGACCATGAGCCTCCCAATGAGCCCATTAGACGCTACAGGCCTTTCCTCCCTCTCTTACTCACCGACCTCTCCTTCCCTCTCTGCTTCACTCCTCTGTTCTTTACCAGTTAATCACATTATGTCCCCCTGCTAGCCCCCAATCACCCAGATCAATTATCACCTCGATTTCATCTTCCTTTACATCTCTCATCCCGCACTGTGCCCATGGGGAATGACAGCTTCAATGACTTCAACACAAAGTTTCTCTTTTCTCCATTTCCAGTACACACATTGTTTTTGAAAAACGGCTCTTTTGAAGGCTAAAATTCCACAATAAAAGGATGCATACTCAATATCTTATACTTATATACACAGTTACACAGCTGTAAACAAAAGTAAGCCTGCTAATCATGCCGGAGGAAGGAATCCTGCCCTAGCAACACTCAGAAAAAAAATATTTAAAGATAAGAAACCAAGCCACAAGATACAGCCAGAGAGCCTCATTAATGATGTGTTCAAAGTTTTCCATCCACTTCAGCAATCGATTCCTCTGAAAAACTTTGATTAGGAATATCAAACTGACTCAGTAATACATCTCTTTTCCTTTTTTTGTCATATAATATCAAGTGTGAAAATTGCAAAATGAAAGTGCTGAGCACGAATAATATATTCCCATGACTGAGACGAAGAGGGAAACAGTCTTGTGGTCCAACAAATCTAAATTTGATGTTCTTTTTCTTTTGGACACAGAATCCTCTGCTCAAAAGAGGGGAGGAACCACCCAGCTTGTTAGTGTGATACACAATTTCAAAGTCATCATCTGCGATGGTACAGGCTTTAGTGCCCAGGCTTGATTGGCCTAATCTGGGAAGGCTCCATTCAAGCATTTTAAGCAACACTAGCTGCCATCAAAACAACACCTTTTTCATGGAGGACCTTGCCTAAAACAGCAAGAACATGCCAAACTAAATTTTACATGTTTCATTTTCAACGACTGAATTGTTGGTTTTGAGCCATTTTCCTTTAAATATTGGCTGTAAATGGTAAGTAAACCATCAAATTCTGTCTTATAAACATTTTACATCCTCCCAGCTCTCAAGGAATCAGGCTTGTTGGTTTCCTTTACGTTAACCTCTTTTTTATTCCTAAAATGGCGGCTGGTAAAAAGTCCCTCATTAGCCTACTCTAACGCTGTGACATAATGACAACTTAATGGGCTTTGGCGCTTCGATGTCATCTATAATTACCCATTAGTCTTTTAATTACAGGCTGTACAGTTAATTGAAGAGTGAATATTTTCAGGGCAGCTCGTATGTAGCAGATGGATGACTGTTCTCATTTCACATGAATATTTTAGTTCTTCGTTTTTGGCTCGACATGAAGGAAAAATGAAGCCAATGAAGGTGGTGGCAGTTATTTAATGACTGTATTTGGGTGCTCTTTTAATAACACATGCACCAGCAGTTCATTCGAGGGCAGAGGATATTTTAGGACACAGCTTTAAGGCAGTGAAATTGTCTTTCTTTCAAAGTCTCGATTGCACACAAAGTAAGACAACGTGCAAGAAACCAGATTACAGAAAAGATAAATCTAACATTGCACAACGTGACTCCCCCATTTGAGAGGTTAATGAGGGTGAGTTATGTGATCAGTTTAAATGTCGTGGTGAAGTTTTGGACTCCTACACATGGACACAGTTACGCAACAGTCGAGTCCAACCACGCAGAGAGACAGGCCAGCAAACATCCTGCAGGTTCCTATCTATAACTGGGGTGCCACCTTCGCCCACTGACACCTTACTGGCTGTCCAAGGTAACAGGCTCATTATTATTAATAAAAAGATTTTAAATAACGGCTAGCACGATGAGAAAAGCCCTTTTACCATCTGGAACATTGTTTTATCTTCTTAACAGGAGGTGTTATGTAGGAGCACAGATAGAAAACAGCAACCAGGAGAGTTTCTATGGGGCTTTAGTTAATTGATGAAACTCTAAATCGGTGATCAAACCTGACTTTACCTCTCAACTCTTACTGTACATTAAACAAGGACACAAAAATATCGGTGCTTTACAAGATGGTGAAACATTTGTATTCATAACAGATGATATCCTCTGTCACATGACCATTAGGGGGCTATCTGATGATGATACCAGCCTCTGTTAGTCTAGTGATAATGATTATACAGCTGCCAGGAAGTCTGGTAATTCTGTTTGTCTGATATAAAATCTTTGCAATACAAATACATCAATAATGGATCCTACTGGATATATTATACTGATCATATGTTGACTATAGGGCTGGGTAATTCATCGAGTTTCAACTTCTATTAGGATTATGGCTCCCCACAATCCCAAATATATAGAGACCGAATTAAATTTTGCTGCCTGCTGAGTCGCTCATTTTGTTCTTTATGGTTTCACAAAAGCAGAGTGTGTGCTCTTCCTCTTCCCCTTCTCTTCTTTTCCACTATACGTTGTTTGGTTTGATCATTTTTGCGCTCCATCCTTTTTGCACTTGACTGCTTTGTGCACCTTGGGCAATCAGTACAGAAATCAAGAAGTCCAAGTGAGAATGAGAGTGTTACAGATGGATCAAAATCCAAAAACCAACTCAGCGTTCCAGCCTCATTTGGAAAAGATGAAACCACATCTATCACTCCAAATTACGACCCAACGAAGCTCAGTAAGCAAGTGGTGTGTGAAAGTCATCTTCCACATTGATGGCAGCTAGAGTGTAAAGCCAGAGGATGAAATTGGCTATTGACACATATGATCATACAGCAGATAAATCATCTGATTCCTGATCAACTCAGCTGCTGAAATTTCAGTCTGAAGAAGAGCGAGAAAGATAGAGCAGTAAATTCAGCAGATATTAGTGATTTTGTTCATGGCTCTGCTAATTTTTTGTAGTACCTACAGACTGTGTAAGTAAGAAGTCGAGTCAGTGTACCCGTTGGTCTGTGGTTTGCTGCTCTAAAGCTTTTGCATTTTAGACCATTATTATCATGATGTTTAGAGCTGGAGTGCACAAAAGACAGTGGAGATGGAGAGGGATGAGCAGTTGGCAAAACACACCTTTGCCATCACAGAGGGACTGTCCTTACATCATTACACTCTAAAAAGTAATACTGCATATTGCTTTAAGTGAAACAGTTTTACCGCCATAAATATTGAGCTGGGTTTAAAGCTTTGAAATTGAGTAAAACAAACTATCAGTAATGAGAAGAGATAAGTAAAAATTTTCTCTTGTGTCTGAATAAATGGTTTCAGTTGAATAATGGCCGAATAAACTGAGTAAATGCATCTGAAATATTTAGTATTGAGTAGAAACCTCAAAAATTCTGAGTGGAATAAAACCGTGTATATTAGTAAAAGAGTTATCTGAACTGATTTCTTTTTTTTTTTTTTTTTACTTCATGTCAAAGGAACGTTTTACTTGAGGAAGTCCATAATCTGAATGTAATGTGTTTGTCATTGTCTCATTTTCTTGCAACACCTAAGAAACAGCCGAAACATCCTTTTACAGTCTCAGTTTCAGCTTACTTACTGAGAAAATATTTCTGTAGTACTCTGTCATTTCTTTGAACCCATAAGAACCGGTTTGAGTTGATTGTATGTAAAAGAGAGTTATCTATTACAGAGTACAGTATATGGTTACATCCTGGTAATACCCCCAGGAAACAACCACAGATTTCTTTTACAGCACAGTTTACATCAGCTGACCTACATAGTAAATATTCATGTAGTACTCAGATATGCCATGGAAAATAGGGTACATATTTATGTTGACTTTACTATGTAAGTTCTATTGTCAGTTTTCATAGTTTTTAAGGTGGTAAAGCGAAAAGAGTTTTTAGAGAGCTGTTAAAAAACGAAGTCATTTACTGGAAAGCACCATCTAAATTCCTAGATGATTTATAATAATATTATTCATGCAGTTTACATATAAACTGAAGCCTCCTTTACAGGAAGTTTACAATTATATCAGTAATTTTACCATACTAAACCAATTAGTATTTCTCCTGTAGTTTTTCTGTAATAACATTCCTATCCTTGTTAATCATGCCTTGACCACGTATTTACCAGGTCATAACAGAGGTGCTGAGGGAGTAATGGTCGTCGCCATTACAGGTCATAACTTCTCTGTATTTAGTCGAACTGATAGGTAGTTATGGAGGTTTTTAGAAGTACTTAAGCTTGATGGTTTCTCCATAACTGCCCATTATTACATTTGTAATAACACAGTCATGCATTTCTAGTTACATGTATTACCAGGTATAATAACTGAAAATTAGGTGGCTGCAAAAATAGGGGGTTGCTGTCTTATGAAGGTAGAAACACCAAAGACACTGAATGTGTCTGTTTAGGTTTATGTTATTCAGTTGTTTAGTTACTCTCATCCTAAGTGTTCACCTTCCAGCTGTGGTACCTGATACGAGTCTCCTGTGTTGACACACAGGATTTACTGTGACCCTTACTGGCCAAAGACGAAGAAACACACTGACCAAGTGTTAGAGTAAAAATGGACCAGCAGGGACTCATTCCTGCTCTGACATCACTGGTTATCATCAGCATCTGACCTTTAACCTTTTGCACCTAGATAAAGCGCTCAGAGGCAGATGTTAGCTGCAGCACAATGACGTCATGATGTTAGCCTGAAGAGTCTCTAGACAGGACTGATACTGTATAATACCATGTGGTGACATTAACATGCTACGTGGCATTTACAGGGCTTATTTTATTCATGATAAGACAGGATATAACCAAACCTGATGAATGTCAAGTTATTACATAATCTTGAAGTGTAACAGGAAGCCTGTGAAAACCATGTGTACTTGGACTGCACAAGTATCAAGAAAAACAATTGACATGATTATTTTGACGAATGTTGAGATCACCTTTATTGAATATAGAAAATTATGTTTGGGAACTTCTAAAAGACATCCAATGTCTCACCTGTTGACAAAGCTGGACAAAAAAAAAATCTATATATAGAATAAATCGCATGAAAAAGCATTCAATAAGTGCTTAGAGTTAATTTTGTTTTAATTCACCTGAGCCTGCATGAATTCACTGTTTTTTAGCCAGTCAAGAATTCTTGTGGACTTCATCTTTAACGATAGATGGCTCGGACACATTAATGTATTTATATACCGTAAATCATCAATTAATGACCAGTATTTAATCTGCTGCCAGGATCCTAATAATAACGAGATTATGAGCTTGAAGTGTGATTAAAGGTCTTCATTTAGTTAGCTACCATGACAGATTCATTTTTCTGATATGAAACACATTAATATAGAATATTTTTAACCAGGAAATTCAGAATAATCACCCACAACCATCCTGAATAATTAAGATATAACCCACATCAGATCAGTGGTGAACCAAACCACAGGCCATCTCTGTGTCCTTTTTTACAGTTTTTTTCTTTTGTTGTGACTAAGTTTACCCCGTCAGTATCTGCATGTCTGACAAGACGAGATTTTGGTATCAATTGCTGCATTCCAGTTGTCCTGAGAAGTAAGAATTTCAGAGTTCCTAGTGGGAATTTTATCTGGAACGCCCCCCTGAAGTCTGAAAAAAATTGACCCTCACCAACCCTGACTTGACCACGAGTGTCCACTTGAGACTGGTTGCAGAAGCCTCAAAAAGCTATATGCAGACCCATTTAAAAAAGCAAAACCACATGTTTACAGCCTGGTTCAAATATGCAGGGTGGGCACATTGTAGCAAAGCTTTAAAGATATCAAGGTTATGAGTTAGGATAAGTAGTTAGCATTATTAGGGACACAGCTGATTTGACTGACAGGATGTATAAGAGCTGTTAGCTTTACGTCACTCTAACTGGTATCATTCTGGCACCACCACAGCTCACATAGAGATAAAAATCATTGATAATGAACCCAATCCTCTTGAAATATTAATCTTTTTATTGCCAGTTTCTTGTAGGTTTTCAACAGTCCTGCGTGTTACACCTATGAAACAACGCTCTGTTGACGTATCAACGGTGATCTAGCCGATGGGATGCTGCAGGCAGAGTCCACCCTGTGACTGGCTGGAAGCTGTGACTCACCCACAGCAAGACCAAGCATCCAGTCAGGAGAGGCAACCCCTCTGCTGCCACACACACACCCACACACACATGCACAGGCCTACACACACAGACGTGTCTGGAGCTCAGAAAGCCTGGTTTCTGTACAGCCTATCTCTGAAATTGGTTTCCATTAGCTCCACTGTGATTATTAACTTTCCATTGATGCAGCAGCTCAGTGACGTCAAGCTGAGTCCTTGACGGAGACACAGCACCCAGGCACCTGCTGGGGGAGCTCAACAAGTGTGTATGTGTGAGTGAGTGTGAGTGTGTGTATGCGTGTGCAGGATACGGAGGAGATGGAACGAAGGCAGTCTGTTTTTCTCAGTGTATTGACAAAAATCAGTACTTACTGCACAATGCGATGATGTGGCTGCTGTCTTCGTGGACAAATTTCTTCGTCACTGCTTCTTCCATGATCTGTTTCACCTGAACGAGACAGACAGACACAGTGTGTGTCAGTGTGTTTGAAATCATTTAGAGGATATTCACAGAGCTGTCAGCACAATTAATTTCAACAAGAAAAATGACAGAAAATATCATAAAATCAATATTCAAACAGTTACTTGTCAGTAACAGGATAGTAACAACAATAACTAGAAAATCTCCCCTGGAATATTTTAAAAGGGCCACAGGGGCTACTGCAGGGTTGAGTACATTACAATGAGATTTTTCAGAGATTTTAAATAATTCATACGATTAATACTATTGTGATATTTTAAACAAGGAGCACACCTACAAAAATAAACATTCCTTTTCAAAGATTTATTTTGACAACAAAAGAAACGGGACCAGATGAGTAGACATTTAAAAAACTCCAGTGATTGTTCCTTTTTTTTTTTTTGGCTTGTCCCATTGACTTCAGTGCAAAAATTTTTAGCAGTTTTACATGATTTGTGCTTACACAAGCATAAAATTCCTCACAGTAGCTTTAAGCTGTAATCATGCAGCTTTGTTTTTTCAAAAGCACAAAAGTTATGCATATGTACTTTGTTTATAAAGTTTCTTAGTGAAACAGCTGTCTTGAAAATAAACCACACTGTTATAAAAATCTGCCATAACTGAAATATGTACAACTGAAGGAGAATCATAAAAACAACTCATAAACTCGACACAGTCACTGCAATAATAATCTGCATTGTTTTCATATTTATAAACCTTTGTTTTTGTTCCTTCCTGGGCTGACTTGTTGAATATTAGTCTGTGCTGACAGAAAATCCTCAGAGACCTCACAGTGTTGCCCACACTGTTTAACTGACAACTGATTTCTGGGAAGTGCAGTGCAGAAACACCACAGTAATTAGCACTTTACAGAGAGGAAATGTTGGAAAGCTTATATCAAACGCCCTCGGCTTCAGGCCTCCAGCCACCCTGAGAAACCAAGCTTATCAATACTTATTAAAAAATCAGTAAAATACTTGATGACACGCAGGTCTCCAGCAAATGAGGGATATGTCTTGGTACTTGGTACAGCATCACAGTTTGAAGGTGGCGATAAAATGAACAAAGTTATGACTGTGTTTAAATAGGACCTGGAGATTAGAAAGATGAAGTGTAGAATGAGGCATTAGCAGGTGATGGTGCTCAAAGAAGTCCAGGGAGAATCGAATGTACAAAGAAGTTCCTGTGTTTAGAGAATCAATTTTTATCTGTAGTCATCAGCTACCCATTAAAATAATTTATATTTTTCTAAAGTCAGAAAAAAATTCACACAAATCCATGGAAGAGCAGATATTTCCAGGGAACTTGTTGCCTTCATCTTAAGCTCTTAGTATGTCAGCAAGTAATGCTCAGTACATACTGAGAAAACACTACATAAGTTGAAGCACAGGCTTCTCTGTACATTAAACCCAAAGCACCAAAATAAAAAAAAAATAAAAAAAATGACCCAGGCAAGGTGTAGTAACTGATTTAACTTCAGTGACACCTAGTGGTAACCTCCAGCAGTGAACACTGGAGATTATGCAAAAGTGCAGTTCACCAAGTGTCCACTGGAGGCTGACTTAAAAAAATCATTTTTTTCATACAGCAGGGTTAAACAAAATCACAGTTTTAAGTGAACACTTGTGGAACTGCAGTTTTCAGCACTTTCTCATTGGCTTTATTTATTAGCCTTGTTGATTGTTTCCTACTGCTACTTCTACTACAGCATGTTCATTAGCTTCAATCAGTCAGACTGTACAGTAAGAACTTTAGCAACAGATTCATGGGCATTTAAAGGGAACTTCACGTTTTTTTTAATGAGCCTTCATTGCACAGAACTTGTCAAAATGTGTGTGTATATTATCACTGCACATACCCACAGCTGATGGAAAACCAATGGTGTGGAAAGATCCTGATTAAATAAACATAAATGTAAAAGAATTATGCCGCTCCCTCTTGACACTATGACAGCTCCTAATAACAGCTCCAATGGTGTCGCCCAAACATCCGCACCACTGACTTCCAATTAATACCCCAACACCCGGAAACCTTCAGACGAGTGTTTGTGCTGCGTCCCTGAGGAGGAGAGGCGGAGTGAGTTCAATAACACTGACTCAGTCTGTGCTCGCTCCTCTAACTCTGCTCTCTCTGCAGAATTAATGTCGTCAGTAATTAAAGCCAGGCCTGTCTGACACCTCCGCCTTGTTTGGGTCTAATTGATAAACAGGATGAATTTAATTGCTCAGTTGTGTGATAATAAAAGTCAGACTGCAGGAGCACTCAGTTCAAACTTTTCCCTCCTACATCATAAAACAGTGGGTGGGAAAAGTTGTCATTTCTGTAACCATGGCAGGGCTGTCCAGAAGGGGGGAAGAGGGGCCTGTGAAGACCTGCAATGAGCTAGATCATCCTATGAACATGCCATAACCAACAGTTTACTCAAATCACTATTCTCCATTCAAAGCAATGACACACTAAATTTCACGACTTCAATTCGACAAGAGTTTAGAAACTGTGTAAAATGTTGAGGGATGGCTGTGATCTTCAGGCCCTTAAGTAGCATTTCAGATTCAGACAACTTTATGTATCCCCAAAGGGCAGTTTTCATTGAATGAAAAACAGACATGACTCTGCAGTGGAAATCACTGCATAGGTTTAACAAAATCACAACTAAATAGCATTGTGTGAGCATTGTCACTGCATCTACAGATGGAGTTGGAGATGGAAGTAGTGTTATATTTTAACACTAACGTGTTACAACCACATGGCTCCATAGTAGAATGTTGAGCTCATAGGACTACAATCCCTTATATCAGCACTTGGAATTGAGTGGGGGGGGGGGTGTAAAAGCTTCACTGGGGTCTTCAGGTGGGCACCCCCCTTCACTGGTGTTTCATTGATAGGCCCACGACACCTCCAGGGGGCTCAACGGCGACACCTGGCGTCCCAGGTGTGCCCCCCTCTGCTTTTACCCCTAGGTGGTCATTTTGCAGCCCAGGTGCAGTCCTTTCTCTTGATCCAGAGCCATCTGCTGCTTCGTTCGGCAGCCTCTGATATTGATTTGATGGCTCGTCGGAAGGCCTGTCCTCGTACTCCCAATCTCTTCAGAAGCTTGGTTGTGGATGTTGCAACGAAGCCTCTGCACCCAACCTCCACCGGAAGCACCTGGGCCCTCCAGCCGCGCTTCTCTGCCTCGGCTGCTATGTCCGCATACTTCAGTCGTTTGCGCTCATATGCTTCACCAACTGCTGCCTCCCACGGTACAGTTAATTCAATGATGAACGCAACCTTCTGGGTGGTTGACCACAAGACCAGGTCCGGCCTGAGGCTAGTTGGAAGGATCTCAGGCGGAAAGATGAGTTTTTGGTCTAGGTCAACCTGCATCCTCCAGTCCCGGGCAGAGTCTAGAAGGGTTGCCTCCACTCTTGCAGATGGTTTTGCCGGTGGTTGTCCTGCTCTTACAAATGGGGTGGTGTTTGGGCGTCTAGGCATTGGTGGAGGGAGGGCATTGATGGTTGTTCTCCTTCCTTCCAGAGTGATCGCCAGTTGTCTTAGGACCTGGTTGTGTCTCCAGGTGTAGCGGCCTTGGGACAGACTGGTTTTACAGCCGGTGAGGATGTGACTCAGTGTTGCAGGTGTTTGACAGAGTGCACAAGAAGGATCTTCTCCAAACCATTGGTTTAGGTTTTTGGGTGTGGGAAGAACATCATAGGTGGCTCTGATGATGAAGCTGATTTGGCTTCCTTCCATTTCCCAAAGATCCTTCCATGTGAGCTTACGATGCTCCAGGTTTTCCCAGCTGGTCCACTGTCCCTGTTTGGACTGTGCTACTGCTGTCGCGCATCTGTTTGCCTCCTCTTGTTGCCGAACCTGAGCAACCACCAGCTTTCTCCTCTGGGTTGATGTTGCTTTGTGCCATGTGGGTCGACTTGTTCCGAGTCCAAACCCGCCTCTTCCATGCTGCACCTGTCCCACAATGTCTCCATGCCTGAGAGCAGATTTGGCTTGCTGTACCGCCTCAGATGGGTTCCATTTCCTCCCAGTTGCCAGTCTGGGAGCAGCTGCACGGATCACCTCATCTTGCCACTCAGTCAGGGTCATGTTCAGCCTCACCTTGGTGCACTTAAACTCCTCTGTGAGGCTAGAGATGGGCAGTTCCAGGGCACCATGTCCATACAAGCCGATGTTGCTGAGGCAACGCGGGAGGCCAAGCCACTTCTTGATGTATGAGCTCACTGTTCTTTCCAGCTTCTCGACTTTGGTCATGGGGATCTCATAGACTGTTAGAGGCCACATCAGGCGGGGGAGCAATCCAAACTGCAGGCACCACAGTTTCAACTTGCCAGGAAGCAAGGTCTTGTCTATGCTGACGAGGCCTTTGATGGTTTCTTCCCTCAGCTGATCACTCTGGTCCGAGTCTTTGAGATGTGCGTTGTATAGTCGCCCTAGGCTCTTGACTGGCAGTTCAGACACCAATGGGATGGGTGTGTCCTTGATGTGGAACCTCTGGTCTGTGAGTCTCCCCCTGACGATGGATATGCTCCTGGATTTGCTTGGTTTGAACTTCATCCGTGCCCTAGTAGAAGAGTCCAGGTGCTGAGCCAGCCTTCCTGTAGTCCTGATTTGGAATCTAGATATGTATAAGGTAAGAATAAAACCAATTTCTATTGAGCCAACTGGGATGCCAGTTCATCTGCATCACAAGATGAGCTTAATTTAAGGTAAGATTTTGATTTAAAGCTTTACGTGTGCAGCAAAGAACCATGCTACTGACATCTGTGCTTTGCTGGCTGTTTAAGGAATAGCTGCATTGTGGTTATGGATTTTGGCTGTTTATTGATTTGACATCAATACTAATATGTTTACAAGGCTTTTTCAGTTATCTGCATTAATGCTTATAATGAGCTCTGGCTCTGACAGGAAAAGCTTGTTTAATGTTGGTTAAAAAAAAATAGATGAAAAATTAACATACAGAGAGGTGACTTATTGCTTAAAAGGACATTCTAATAAGAAATTTATTAAAATCGTGACTTTGAAACATTGATTTAATTTCACTTTTTATTTTGAGAAGCACGACCCCCTGATCGCTCCTCAAGCAATATTTGCAGGGGATTAGTTTCACCTGGGGGCCTCTGGTAACTTGTGAATAGCCCCCTGATGTCAGTCTTTAGTGATCTAAAGATCTGTTTTCGACAACAACTCACTGCTTAATATTCTTTTACATCTGGGCAACACGCAAATGCATGGAAATAAAGCAATACTGTACATTTAATTTTGCATTTTCCATGTGACAATTGAGTTTTATATTTTGATATTAGTGGTCTTTTGGAAAATACACGCTGTTTTCCAGATTGGACTGCAGAACTGTAGCAAAGGTAGAGTATGATTGACTCCAACTCTCCATCATCTCTGTGCTGCTGTTGTGCTGTAACCCTGACCTCTGACCCCTGCATCATAAAGGGGGCAGAGGTGAAGTAGAATTTAGTGTCATCTATTCTGTACAGTTTTTTTTAGATGTTGCACAGCTTGTGACTACAACAAACATGCAGCTGCAAACTTATCTTGGGTGAGCTGTAACAGAAACTATAGGAAAGAAAAATCAATACACCAGCTAGAGAGTGACTGACAGATCCATAATAAAGGCAATTAAATGCTTCAATAAATCCAGCCTGTAATTGTGAAACGGCAGAACGAGAATAAAACAACTCGATGAAGCGTTTCTTGCTTCAATTGGGTCAAAGGTCACTCTCTTTTTAGCTGAAGATCTATATTTTTCTCTCATTATGTGAGTATTCTAGACAGCAATTATGTTCTTACACCCAGGATGATTCAAATTACACCATCTGCCATTAACTACTGAATAAAACTGCTTGAAATCACAACTTTGTGCATCACCTTGTTGAACTGATTGTCCAGTTGGAGGATCTGGTCTTTCTGGATGTTTTACTTTTTCTTTGCCAACATACCAGACACCTCTACGTGCACCAGGAACTACATTTAAGAGCACTGATAAGAGAAACGAGGAAATGATGTTTTAGTTTTAGCCCAGTGAGTCTGTCTACAGATATGCCTACAACAGATTCATGGCTGTTGAATGTAATAGTGAGCACGTAGAAATGTCAAACCTCCCTCAGCTGATTTTCTTCTCATCCCTGTTTTGGAGTTTTGACCAATCAGAATATACAGTGTTAGCTGCTGACACATTTTTCATTGAGGTTAGTTTTAGTTGCAGTTCTTCACACACTCATGCACAGACATGGAAAACAGCATACCAGCATCTTAACACAAAAACACACTGGCTTGTTTTCATTTGACCCATATAGGCCTTTTATAAACAGTTTATCCAGCAGTAAACACAGCATCTACTACCAGGAAATCCCTAGGATAGCTTTGAAACACTTCTGAGAAGCTGCTAAGGGAAACCGAGAGGAGAAAGCTCTTTAACAAACTATCAGTTATATTACATGCTTTTACTCTCATCTGTCGTCAACAGAGTGATTTCTCTTGAGGAAAATCTTAAAGATGAGCACGCAACAGACTTGTTTCTGATTCCGACTGTTTCCCTGGATGAGTTTACAGAATTTGGCTTGATGTAAAATTTAATTCAAGGAAAAATTAGCCAGATGTACATGCCTGAAGTGTGAATTTAATCTAAGCAATTTTGAGGATAAACTCTTGATTGTTTTGTTGAGAGGTAAAAAGCTTGAACTGAATATTTTGAAAGCGCCATAGTGACAGTCAATCTGAAAACATACAGGGTCCATATTAAGTGCGTTCTGTATTTGCTCCCTAAAGCAGCATTGGGTATTGCATACAGGATGTGTATTTGGAGCGTGAAAGCAGCAGCGTAGTGCAGCCCCGGTCAGCTGGGCTCAGTACAGAGGAAACAACATGTTCACAACAGGTCGTTTTGCCTTTCTGTGGTCTATTTCCTGCCAGTGTGGATATAATTCAGTGACCATTGAGCCTCTACTATATTTGAATGAGCAACGTGATTTGACTTTTTTACAGTTTCAGTTTTTGCAGGTTTACTCGTGTTTACTTAAGTAAACTATGTTCCTTAACGCTGTGCTGTTACCTTCAGACAGAGTTAGCAGTTACAAGTCCTGTTGGGGTCCACATGGATCATGGATTGACCATCGGATTGTTCTGTGTTACTGATAAATCCATAAACAGGAAGTATTTCTCATCTACACAAACTCATACACAGTCGGGAGTTCGCATGTGGTGTTTTATTTTGAAATACCAGATGACATGCATGGTTTTTGTGCTTGACTTCCTGTCTAGGACGATCTTCTCTGTGTAGATCGACGCGCATTGGAAGCATAGAGCAGCAAAAATAGACTTGCCAGGTATCTTTAGCAGTGCTGCTCTCGATACGCGGCTGCGACAGAGCTGATACACGTCCTGTATGCTTTGCTGCATTGATTAGAATGGCAACCGATTTGCTGCGCAATATGCGATGCTGCTGCCACACTCCAAATATGCATCCTCTATGTTTTAGCCTTCAATGTAAGGTGCACTGCAAGTAGAGGACATAAACGTTGCATATTCAGAAACACACAAACATTGTCAACACATGAGAAAGAAAGAAATATGCTACGGATCAGGACCTGACAGAAGAACTTCTGATTACATCTTCTGTACATGGGTCATGTGATCCAACAGGGAAAGGCAAAGAGGCATCCTTCACCATACTTTTCTGAAATATTCATGTTATTAGAAGTACACAAGTTATTGGCTTTGGCCAATTAACAGGGCTGATATTTAGTATTTCGCTAACTATCTCTCTGTACCGGCCATTTATTTTATAGACGGCCAATAAAATGAATTAACCAAAAAGTGCCCTACTTCGAACCTAGTGTGTCATTCCCTACGGTATCTGTATCAGCCCTGAAAAACCAATGTCAGATGACCAATATCAATATCTATAGGACCTTGAACCTCATAAATATATATAGGGACCGATGGTCCAAAAGTATTCTTCACTGGGATCAACATAATCTCATACCGACAAGATAATCACATCTCTTGTCATATACTCTGTATTAGTGTCTTTATGATTGGATGTCTTTCCAACCCTTCAGTCTGACAGGCTGGGATATGATGTGTTTCCATCCTTATCAGTCGTTGTTAGGCCACAGCAGGGACTCAGTCATTATTGAGGTAATTATTCATGCTTTAGTGAGGAGGAGGAAGAGGAGGTGGGGGTCTGTGGTGACAGCAGACTGGGGAAAGAGATAGTGAATCAATTTGTCATTACTTGTTGATCTTCTGCACCTTTCACATGAATTATTCTCCCCTTAACATTTAGCGAACCTGAAACCATTTCTTTCCTTTTAAAGATGCAAAATATTGCTTAAAATTAACTTCTCCCCTTTCTCCTCACAGAGAATACTGCAGAAAACAATATTTAACCTCAGAGTGAAAAATATCAAGAGGGTAAAATATCAGTCCCAGTCAGATAGTCCCAGTCATAAAATAAGATTGTGTCTGTGGCAGCAGTTATCAAACACTCTGCTGAATAATGACAGGAGATTTCTGCACAGCAGAGGCAGCCTAATGCTGTTAAGATGGGAGAAGTGCGAAATATGGTGACCAAAGCACTTTTGTGTAGCCAGCAAATGGTGTTGGAAAAATATAAGATTGGGGCAATAGTTTTTGATAAACTGGTCAGAGTGTTGGTGCAGGAACAGAGGAGAACTTTAAGAACTTCAAGTCTGCTTTTGTATTTCTTTAAGATTCTGCATCAGGTGTCTGAAAGTAAATATGTACAAGATTAAATTATCCATTACATAAAACTTGAAAAATCATCTTTGTGTACTATTTGGCACATGCATCCTTGAACTATTATGCATGAATTTAAAGCACTAATTGCCCCTTTCCATGCAAATGCACTTTGCTGCAAAAAACACCTTGCCCACAAAAGCTGGCGCCAACAGCCACGTAGATTTAAAGTGAAATATTTACTGTCTCCTGAAAGTAAACAGCAACTACACCTGAGTATTCATAAGCATCATAACACTTAAAGTATTCAGTGTTTACACAACATCCACCACGGTCACTTTGACATGACTATTTTTACAGTAATAGAAAGGCTACAAAGAGGCTATGCCATTACAGATGGCAGAGTCCTTTTGTATCTGAATGAGTTGTTTTTTTTCTAGTGTGGTCCAGGCATAAAACAGAATAAAAGACGTGAAATTTCTGTCATAGCTGTCATGTATCAACTCGACAATAAAAAGATAAGAGCGTCCCTCTCTTTCAGGTTTATCAAACATATGGATAGAATTCAGCACCATCAGGAAGAGAGTGAACAGCGCAGCCCCCCGCAGTAGAGCATGTAGATTCTTACAGCTCATTTCAGCTACAAAAGCATCTGAAATCACATTTATTCACTGAGGCCTATGGTCCTTTACCACCCCGCCCCCCACCCCCACTTCTACCCCCTCCCCCCCTCTATCCCCTAGCCCCATCTCCTTTTGTAAAGCGACCTTGGGTCACTTGAAAGGCGCTGTATAAAACTAAGTTATTATTATTATTATTACAATAAAACAACTGTGGAGCAAACTGCACAGAGCTGCAGAACCCAGCCCATACAGGTAGGTCAACTTTAGAAACTTCTTTTTCATTTCAAGTCAACATGGTGGATTCCAGAGGGGCTGAGCGGTGCATTTCCTTGGATTTCCAAACATTTATTATTGTTTACTCATTGTGAGCTTCCTGAAGTAAAGTGCAAGGCCAACTAGTACCACCATTAATCTTTCAAAAGGCAAAAGGTCAACATTGAAGTCTTGCAAGATTAAAGAAGCAGAGGTAAGCATGAAGAAGAAAGAGCACAACCTTTGTGAGCCAGATCATGACATTAGGATCGAGCCGCTGTCTGTTTCATATCACATTTTTAACAATGCAAGACAGTTAAGACACGACTGATTGATGCACACTGATCTTTAGAGTTAAGAAACGCTACAGTTGGTAAAAATTGTAAACTCACTTCAGTTAAGAAAAAGGTTTTATTTGCTGATAGTGTTGCAGACAGATCTAGATCATATGAAATGAAGCTGCAGACACCTGCTGTCTGATTGGACCAGTCTGATTTAACTGTAACTGTGGACAAACGCTCTTTTCAACTCTAAAACGCCTGCCAAACATAATCAAATCTGCTCTTCGAAAATCCCACATTGTTTGAAGGAAACACCTCTGCAGAACAGACTGTAACTACATAAATTGGATGGTGATTTTCAGGCACTTGGAGTTCATCTTCTCATCCTGTCATTTAAATTCCAGCCTGTCAGTTTTTTCAAACTACAGCCCAGACTGCAGGCTCACTGCGGTCCCTGCTTTCTTCCCATCATCTGCCATTATCACGTTTGTCATAAGAGTTTCGGGCACCAGACTCCTTGTGCTGGCTAAAACACAGCACACCTGCAGGTAAAGGAGCTTTCTTAACACCTACAGGGTATGAGTGACAGCTTGATAGGAGTGCATTTAAGTCAAAGTGACTGAGGAAATTGAATTGGAATTTTTAAACAAAGTTTGTAATGCGATAAGAGAGGTGTCAAAGAGAAAATGTTGAAACTGGCAAAGAAAAGACTTCATTTACATCTTTAAAGCAGCAATAAACTTTAAGCTATAACTCTTGATATTTTATTTTCACTATTTAATTTCTCTCCTCCTGTCAAGATATTGAACACTGCTCTCTTAAGAAATATAGTCAAAGGATTCTCATAATGAAGGAATGGGACACAACTCTTTTTAACTGATTGGGGGGGGGGGGGCACTCTTGCATGACTTTCTTCAAAATGATGAGGAATCAATTTTATTCCAACTAGGACTGCATTTCTTGTGACTTAGACACGTTCAAGACAATATCAGCAAAGATATAAGAGGTATCACTTTGTCCACAGGTGGCGCCAAAATCAACACAAACAGGAATTTCCTCACTGGAGCTTAAACAATAATGGCATCTATTACTCCCTTCCTGCTGTGTTAGCTAAAAAAACCCTTTTTAGTCACAATGATCAGGCTGCCTATTGTGTCTGTAGATGCATTAGTTTATTTCTTTTGGTTTTATCAATTTTGGTGCCCCCTGTGGACAAAGTAGTCCTAGCTTATCTTGCCCCATATATGCTTAAGTATCATCTTCTGATGCACGTCTTGCTAGCTTTTGACCATCAACTGCATCATTTACTGTGAATGTTTGAGTGGAAGAACTAAACACAGGGCTGTTTCTTCTGCTGCTTCAATGACACCTCCTTGCGCTAGTTTCAAGCTTTAAAAAACTGACAAATTTCATAAACGTAAGAAAGTCTTAACGAGTTGGCTAATGCTTCTTTTTTTTGTAAACGGAGAACACTTCTGGTGCATGTTCATCAAAAAGCTGACATATATGTCACAAACACTGAGAGAGCCATGCTGCAGCAGGTGAACACACATGAGGCCCCTTTTGTTTTAGTCAGAGAAAACCACCTGACAGAGCGCCTCACTGCTGTGATATTAATCGCCAACTGATGCAATTTAACTTCTCAGTGTGCTGCTAAAGCTTTTGGTTGCCAAGCAGCACTGAGACAGCCGAGAGCTGCTTAAAGAGACAGAGCGCCCCAAACCAGAGCTGATGGGCTTGAAACAGACCAGTCTGTGTGTCTGTCTGTCTCACAGTCCAGCCCGATCAAAAAGGTCAGAGGAGATATGGAGGAGCTTCTTGTGGTTTAAATGATTTTTCTCACATGTACACTTGCAGCCAAAGAACAAACCGCCTGTAAAAGGAGCAAATTATTGCACTTTTTTTGGACAGCATACAACAGTTGCAAAACAACGGATCAATGTTTCTCAGGCAACAACTCATTCACATGAATGTGGTTCATTGATCTAAGACCAATTACCAACAAATAGGCAAGCTTTTATTTCATCATGTCGTGACTCAAAGTCTCCAAAAGAAACAATCTTACTCTGCACTACAGTGACGGAAAAGGGCAACATATCACAACATGTAATTGGATAAACACCAGACGTAACAAATACACTCTGTGCATTATTTGATATCAACCACACTGATTGATATTGAGATTTCAAACACAGCTCTGAGTTGATGTTGCCATCTTTTATAAGAATTGGATCAACAAGTAAAAGAGTTTGTGGCAAACAAATTGACAAAGTGTAGCAGGCATGACAAAAAAAGATGGCGATGGAACAATCTTGATACAGAATGATGATGAATTTTATGCTGGTGACGACATTAAACTTTGTCTCGTGTTGTTACAGCCTGTCACTTTGCACAAATAAAATGAAACAGCAGAAAGACAGTCTGCAGTACCCTACCGTGATATGAAAGTGGGTGCACTCCAGAGTAGAGGGGAAAAAAACATGAGCAGCTGATAAGATCCAACAAGTATGGAACAGCAGTTCAAAAATCTCAAAGGTGGTGAAGCACAGATTGAGAAACGAGTCTTGTTCAAAAATTCAATGGGAAGCACACCAAAGAATAAATTTATCATGACGCTAGTTCAGTCATGTCACTGCAAACTTAATTTCTTTGGTTGTTTGCTGTCAAACCTCCAACCAACAATTACAGATTTGATGATTAGATCAGGCACAACTGGTCTATTTTTCTGCAATAGAGCTACAATGAAGTACAAAATATCCAAATGGTTTATATAATTAAGTTAAAAGGCCCTCATTTCAAAAGAATGGAGGTTATGCTAAATGAGCATTATTATTTGTGTCTAAGGTCAGTGACCAAAGCGTAAATTGAGAGTACGTATAGAAACAATATCCAGGCTATAACACACAGCAATAAGAGTGATCACAACACACCTGTCCTTGCTTGAAAATACCACTTTCTCCTCCTGTGGTCTTCTGTCATGTGCGATTCCTTCTTGGGATCCCTATTATTCACTGTTTCCTGCATAGGTACAGTATAGACTTCCATTGCTATGCAGATGACACTCAGCTTGGTACTCCATCAGTACCTTGCACCACTGATGTGTCTGAAATTCTGTCCTGTCTGACTGAAAACAAGAATTAGGTGTCTAAAAATGTGTATGACGTAAAATAACACCAGTATTTTCTACCCTTCACTGGCTTCCTGTTAGTTTTAATTGTTTTAAAGATTTTACTGCTGGTTATTCAAGTCTTAGATAGTTCCAGTCTATATCTGTGAGTTGCAAACTATCTCTGAGCCTGATCACAGCCAGTCTCTTTCACCTGATTTAACAAGGTAAGAAGGAAAGCAAACTTAAGAATCAATCCGGCTATTTGAATCATCTCTTGACCTCTATGAATGGACCATTCTCAAAAACCCTATGAAAGACTAACATCATACACAAAACAACTTTAGAAACTTCTAAAAAAACCCACTGATTTTCAACATGTTTTTTGAATCTAGAGTTCAATTATTTTTTCTTGAAAAATAATGAAATTAAGTCTCCAGAATGCACTCTTGATGAATCAAGTAATTCTGAATAACCTATGGTTTCATTTTTTGTTAAAGAAGGCCCTGTTAAAGCTTCTGCTTTGAGGTTTTATATGAGGTTTTGCCCTCATATAACCCACCATTCTTCCTGTCCACATACATGTGTCCATGTAAATTTAATAATATTCAGCCAAATACAAAGCTGCGGGGGAGCTTTAGAAACATCCTGCAGACAAACAAAGCACTCTTTTTTTCTTCATATGTTAACAAGCAGGAAACATTAAGAATTGATGCCAACACAGCATGAGTCACAATAACCCCAGGTTGTTTGAAGATCCAGCTCAGAGCATCAACACACGACTTCCAATAGCACAGTGACCCAAGAAGACAATGTTTTAGTTATTTCCCTGCAGATTCCTGCTTCCTGCAGACATCCAGAAACAGACGCAATTTTCTACCTCACAGACATCATGATGCCATTTTTAAGAACTGAGCCAATGAGAGAATAAGTTGGATATTTATAGTACATCTGTACAGCAACATATGCAATGTGTGGTGCAGACTTAAATTTTAAAAGAGTAACAAAAATCTGTTTCATATTATCATGCCCAACACTGGTCACCACACTTGCAGTGTCTCCATTTAGTTTGGATTGACTGCAACCCTGTTGACAAAGTGGGTGGTCACAAATGAGCAGATTTTGTCAGCTAAAAGAGGTCAAATGTGCACTCAGAAACACAGAAACGTTTTAAAGCAAAATAACTGCAATACTCAAACTGCAGCTGTATCTGTGGAAAATCATCATTTTAACATAAAAAGGGGGATTGATGCAAAGTCCAAGTCAGACCACAGTCAGTAATTGCCTTTGAGAGTGTGCAGCAGTTGGCCAGCGGGGCATAGAAAAAGCTAGCAATACCCTGCTTTCCATTTAAGGAGCAAATACCGTAGGTGTGTACACACCCTGACACGTGTTAATGTAGGTCTGACATAAGATCGACAAAAAAATGAAAGAGTTGGTGACATTTCTAAATAGATTCATGATCACACCTTTGGTGTATCAAGTTTTACAGATGCTGACATTTAGAGACTGATGCATCTAGATTTTATTCCAAAACTAGACCCTAACATGGCTTTTCTACCAATGAGACCTCACATCAAAGCGCCCTTGACAAACTGTATAAACTAACATCATTCACCCACTGTCTCAATGATCTTGTGTTTAGTCCTGTTGAATAAATTGTGACTGTTTTCTGAGTTTATTCTTATCAGACTGGTCAATAAATAAGGAAATTACATTTCTGGTTCGAAAACTAGAAAATCCCCAATTGATAAGGATACCTGTATTTTGCCTCCATGATGAGCCTCGCCTTAAGTGCTTTCACTATCTCTGCTTTTCTATCATGTTGTGGAGAGATGAGACAACCGAGCTTGCGTGTGATTTGAGCTGAGGAGGAGGATGACTGTCCCACAGCTGCCAGATTTGACAGTATTTCCAACCTGCGGGGAGTTAAAGATGCTGCATTTTGGTTTAATTTGATGCACATTGTTGATGTGCTTGGCAACAGCACAGGTTGTTTCCAAACCAAGATATTGTTTTGAAACATGAATTGCATTTCCTCCTTATCTCCAGCTTTGGTGGAATACAAACTTCACCCCACTGTGCTCCTTCCTATGCTTGTGTATCAGTGATTGGATTTAAATGACATACTCCACTTCAGATAGCAGGTTCAAGATGCTCAAATATTGGGTCTTCGTTGCAAAAAAATGCGGAATGAGATCCTTGAATCAGGTTTTAAGCCTTATCCCTAAATCTTATTGGACGATTCTCCATAACAACAGTCTGTTATTTATCAAGAGCAACTGTTGCTATGAAGAGTAGGCTGTTGCCTCAGATACAGCTCAAAGCAATACTCTGGAGGACTAACTGTAAGCATTTCAATAAGCAGGGAGAAGTCTGATCATTTGACTTTGGTTTGTTTACAGTGGGAAAAAAGAAAAGAGGCGGAAATGGAGAAAAGACAGAAGAGGTTTGAGACAAAAACTGTAGGCTACCACAGAGAAACCTATAAACTGTTGCCATGGATGCAGTACAGACTTTGAGTCTATTTTCAACAGAGGAAATAAAATCATTGTCTGATCAATATTTGGTATAAACGTCTTGATTTGTTGAGCGAGCAGACGTGTAATAAGGCCGATATTGCACAGTGAGTGGAGGGACCCAAGCCTGTCCACAACAGGGTTTCATTTTCCCCTTCATGTCATCCTCTATATAATCCTGATAATTTGCAGCCTGTCCTGAGGCTAAAGTGAAGAAATAAGCTATTATTGGTAAAACTGACTCTTTATTCCTCCAGCAGCCATCCTTCTTCTCCTGTTTGACTGTTGGCTAGATTTCTGTCTTGATATTTTTAGCGTGACCTTTCCTCTTCATTAAAATGATGAAACGACCAGCTCACATGTACACTCAGTCTCACATTGAAGCAGTGAGCCACACCTTGCCACATTCAGCTGATTTACTCTGACATTTCAGCTCAAGGAGATCTCTCTCTGGTTGTGGATCTTTAGGTAAAGTCGGCAGGAGGATTACAGTGGTGGAGTGGGCAGAGAGGTTAAAGGAGTAATGATTTATCCCTCACTGGTGGGAGGTAAGACATTTATCAGCTGGAACAAAAAGCCTGTGGCTCTGTTGAGCTGCTGTTGGAAACAAACGGATACAACCTGTGCAGAAAAGACGCTTTGCTGTTACAATTCAGACAGGCGCTTAAAGCTAAATTGTCTGCCTGCAGGACAGGATTATTCATGGATGAATTCATGGATCAAGAGGGGGGGAAATGGCCAAATATCTGAGTTATAAATAAACTCTTTGGAGATTTTGTCAAGCAAAAACAATAAGATTTGCCAATGTTAGAATCAAATACTTCTTTTTTTTCCCTCCACAAAACTTCTTGATGTTTTAATAACTGAGTAAATAATTATAAAGGTACGAGCAGCTTAAAGATGCTGAATTTAATCAATAATTGCAGCCCCACTTAGATATCTTGGAAATATCACAGTAAGCATGCATGGAGAATAATAACAGAATTTTGTAAGAAAGTGTAGGTACAATGGCAAAGTGAAATACCTCAAACTCATTTAATACTCATGCGAATCTGATTCCAACAGTAAAGGGATATCTTTGTGGTAAATTTGGGCAGAAATAAAGCAGCTAAATACTGAATAAAGTCTGGTCAAAGGAAGCAGACGCTGCAAAAGCTGCAAGCAGGTGGAGTTTTTGGCTTCTGTGGTGGTTTTTTTAAGATTCGTTGGGGTAAACTTAGGTGAAAATATAGGAAATCAGGTCCAGCAATGCACAAACGAGGTTAAATATTAATGCAACAGCCTGCTGCCCGAGTTTGCATTGAAAACAGGAGATATACAAACAGCAAGTATACAAATCTGCAGCTCGACAGGCCGTCCAAACAGCGCCTACCTCTCGTTTGACGTTCCATAATAATTTCTCTTTGTGGTCTTCCTCCGTGGAGCCCTCCATGTCTGTCCGTCACTGTGTGTATGTGTATGTGTGTGTTCAATTTGTGTGTGTGTAAGTGTGTGCGAGTGCCTGTCCGCGATGAGCACGACACAGCCCGTCCGCTCCCTCTCAACCTGCCTTTTCCCTTTTATTCCTCGTTTCCTTCTTCCTTGGCTCAGCTGGACTCTGACGCAGCCGAGCAGCCTGGCGGTGACATCACAGGCCCCGCCCCCTCACCGTCCTGATCAATGAAGAGAATCTGAGAGAGAGAGAGAGAGAGAAAGCGAGAGAGAGAGAGCAGCATCCAGCCCCGCCCAGACCTGCAGCCCGCAGCCTCCCAACATCCAGCACTCCAACCTGTGGAGCCTGCAGGTTATTTTTAGCAGCGTCTTCATCTTCCTCTGGTAAGAAACGGGTGACAACAGGAGGGCTCATGATCTACAGAGAGAGAGAGAGGGAGAGGGAGAGAGAGAGAGAGAGAGAGGGGTGAAATGATGCGACAACCCAGGTAAGAGTAGGGGAGACCAGGGTGGTCACATCTCTAAAAACAGGGGTGAAAAGTAATGAAGTCGCTTCTTTGAGTAAGCTTCTTTTACATTTTTAAGTACTTTTGAAATAAGAAATCTTTTTTTTACCCATGCATTTTCTCACTGTAAACATTTCACAGTAAAAGCTCTGGGAAAGGATTGAATAGCCGCCTGTGATAGATTATCAATCAATCAATCAATCAGTCTTTATTACACAACAATGTAGCACAAAGTGCCATGCACAGAAAAAAGAATAAAAGAAACAAAGAATACCCTAATCTACCTCAACCCAGGAAAAAAAGAATACCCTAATCTACCCCAGCTCAACCCCTCATTCCCACCCCACAATCTAAATGCAATAGAAACAGTCTGCAATGCATAAACTTAAAAAGGGCTTGATTTCGTGAAAACAGGAGTGTGCGCACTAAGGAAATGTCATATTAAAACTTAAGATAAGGAAACTCAGGAGGATTAGGTTAAAATCTAAAAACAAAGTAACAAATAATGAAGTTTAAGAAATAACAAATAAAAACAACATTAAAAGATACTAAAATAAGAACAGCAAAATAGCTCAATATAAGACAATCCTCTCATTAAAACTAGAAAGGTATAAATGCTGAAGATTAGATGTTCATTTGTGGTATTTAAGCGCTAATCAGAGCTATTTTAAACAGCCAAATCAACCAGAGAATGATTTTTTCATATCTAAAAGAGGGCTGCATTCAGAAGCCTGCTATAAAGCAGAGAGAGTTTTTCATTGTGCTCGGTATTTTTACCCCAAAGACAGAGTCACATACTGTATATGCACCAGTGCAGCTGCCACTATCACCTGCTGCACATTACCTGACACCAACACTAATTCTCACCCTAATGTTACAAAGAAAGGCTGTTTTTTTCTGTGTGCTGTCACTTGTCTGGTCTGACAGCAGTCTTAGGTGTTAAAAATTACAATATTTAATTGTCAGTCAAAAACAGGCATCAGTATCAGTTTCAATCTGTGCCACAACCAGTGTAGACCAAGTAAATAAAAAGTAGTTACCCGTCAAATTTACTCGTTACAACTTTTGTAAAGTACCTAAACTATTAACTAAGTTACTGCACTATTTTTGAAGTATTTCACATGGAAATTATACACTATTCTAAACAGGGGATTTTAAAAAAAGACTGGTACACCATTGAGTGAACCTTGAACTGTGGAGCGCTGCTTTGAGTGAAAAAGACTCTTTGGCACCAACTTCCAAGTGACCAGTGGAGGTAGGTGGCTCAACTCCAGGTGACTCAGACATGAGTGGATGGTGCATACTTCTCAACTGTCAAAGTTGAGCAGGCTGAGATCAACTAGAGCAGCTGTGGCTCAGTGGCAGAGCAGGTCGTCTCTAAATCAAAAGGCTGGCAATTCAATCCCAGCTTCAGTAGACACATGCTGGTATATCCTCAGGCAAGATGTTGAACTCCAAAGCTGCCCCCAGTGACTTAGTCAGCAATGTGTGAATGTATATGAATGATGTTAGCTGATACTGATGGTTCCCAATCACAGCATCTTCTGCCATCAGTGTATAAATGTGGTGAGAATGGCTGAATGTACATGCTGCTTTGAGTTTTGGGGTGGACTAAAAAAGCATCATGTAGGTGAAGGCCCATTAACCATTCGACTACGTACCAGTATTTTGTGGGATTGCAAACCCCACGTGGTGAAAACAGATGGTAACGAGCTACACAGCTGTGCGAAATCTGCAACCGTGCTTAACACAATGAAAGGCAGTTGGAGATGATGTTTTCAATATCTGCTGAGATTCATAAAGTCTTCTTGAGTAGGCCTGCCTGGAGAGCTGACAAAAATGTTTATGAATTAATAATCCAGCGAGGTGGGCCAGTTTATGACGGACAGTTTCAATCTATCTTCAATATTCAAGCATGCCAGCATGTATAGAACCACATCCAGCTGAATATATTTTGTACAATGTGTAGATGACAAGTGTAGCAGTAATAAGTGTGACAACCATCCCAGGTCTCCCCTATTTTTAGAGCAGACAGCTCTTCTGTGCATTCATACAGAGGGGAATGTGATGCATTTAATGAGCTCATTATAAAGTAGCTCCATCAATGACTTCATTCACAAGTCTGCATCTCAGTGGCATCGGCACTCAGGAGAGGCTGCAGCTGATCTGTCACGGTTCTATAAATAGTGTTGGTGAAGCACACTATCCTCACTGATGACACCAGGCTGGCCAGCTGCAAATAAATGACGTCAGATAACGTGATGTACAGAAGAAACTCTGGTTTGGCGAGTCCTTTCTTTACAAATGCTGCGGGGGCCTCCCTGTGGACTGTAGCTGTAACTGCAGGTATCAGGTATGTTTATCTGCAAAGCTTCCTTTACTACTTTTGTGTTGTTACCTAGAAATGACATCTACTGAGTCATAAGTGTGCTGCAAAACTTTTTAAAGAAGAAATGGAAAAATAGACTGTATAACAGAATAGAAAAGAAATATTACAGTTATTATTACAGTTATTTGACTTTATGGCAGTTTTTTTACTCAAGTCCATCATAAACACAAAGAGTTTGTTTTTGGGGGTTAAAGAAAGATCAGAGGCAGAAAGTAGTTGAATAAGAAGAACTTTTATCCTCAAAACTTGAAAAAAGGCATTTTGGTAAACTGCAAAACATGTTGAAGGCACACTAATTCCAAAAACCTCAGACAGGCTCATCTTTAGAAAACTGACATGTTGTTATACATGTTGTGAATAAAAAATACAATTTATAAATATCAAACATGCTCTCCAGCTGATTTAAAATCTAAGTGCTTTGATTGTAACATTATTCCACCTGTACATGATAGTGATTTACCCTTTACTACTAGTCTACATTTAATGAGTTTCTGTAAGATGCTCTGAATTTTCTGATAATTCATAAATTAGATGGACTTAGCAGATGACATCAAGGCTACCTGCTGTTAAAACATCAGAAATGGAAACTATAAGGCAACAGTTGAGCTGTAAAGACAGTGGTACAGAGAGTAAAATAATAAAATGATTCACAGGAGAAACTTAACACATCTTCAGGTTTCAGGTTTGATTGTTTGTCCTTGACTTGAAAAGCTGAAGTCTGTGCAGTGATTCCAGTCTCAGTGTCCGAGTGGCCGGTCGTCGTAGGTGCTGTACCTCTTGACGTGGATTCGACGGACGCGCTCTCGAAGCTCAGACCCCCCTGGCCCTTCCTCTTCTTCGCTGAGGGAGCCGCAGTTGTTGTAGCTCCGGCGTGTGGCCTCAAGCAGGGTGTTATCGGGCAGTGGCATTGTTTCATAAAGCAACGTGTTCAGAGTTTCCTCGTAGATCCGAGCTTCAGGGAACTCCACCTGAGGGAAGAGAGGACAGATATCTGTTTACATGCTCTGCTCTGTGATAGTTTTATTAAATCAGACTTTTCAATCTGATATTTATATCCTATAAAGACCCACTCCTCCAACTTTTACTTTCTTTTGATCTGGCTGTTTAAAAGTTTCTGAGTAAAGTGCTTGAAGTGTATACACAAGAGCTTCTTTGCTGCAAGCTATTCACTCCTGAGAATTTCCCCACATTGTCTGGATGGGGTGGGGATGCAGACGTTTCCTGCCAGCTCCCTTGTTAAACATTGACAAGAAACCAGAGTGAGTCGATGTCTGAAAACAGCAGGTAACATTCAGGGAAATGCACTGTGAACCAGTAAACAAAGTGGTAACACTGTTGAAAGTGAGCAGAGTCTCTCTCCTTATTCTTTGAACTGCTCACCTTGCTTACACACCTCTCCAGCCCTGCATGCTCTACTAAACACAGCTTTGTCGAACACACAACACTGACTGTACATTAAAATGGACACCCTAAGTGCTCACTGACTGTGAAGCAAAAGGATTTGGAGCTCCCTCTGCTGGCTGGCTGTAGTAACTGTCACAAACCCAGTCTGCTCCAAATTCACAGAAGGCACAGTGGCCGAACAATGCAATTTTTTCTCAAACATGGTTTATGTCACTAAATGTACTTCTTTTTAACTTGATTTATGTTCAAGTGCTTATGCTCTAAAGAAATTAGTTATTATAGATATTTAATTCTTAAAAAGAGGGGATGTGGCATCATGACTGACAGCTCTGTTGATAGATGTGGCCTGCTGCAGTGTTTTGTGATAAATAAACAGAGCATAGGAGGAAAAATGAAACCAGCACCGAAACAAAAGTTATTGAACTTTTCAAATCTTCAAGTGTCTGTTTCAAATCAACAGAGAAATCTGGCTCTGCTTTGGCCTGTACCCATCTGAGAGATCGTCAGCTCTTGATCAGTAACTTTAATGTGTGATTTGTTCAGTGGGAAGGATGTGACGTCAGCCCAGCAGCTACCCATTAAGGTGGTCTTTTGACTTTATATCCCCCAATGTAATCAACTAAAGTGACTGGTCCATTCTAATGGAAAAATAAAATACTTTACTGTCAAGAGTTTTGCTAAATCTTGAATTTTGATGCTGGTTATTCAAAGAAAACTGCACCATACTTGTCCACAAAGCAGACTTGAGGTTGCTACATCTGCACTACACACCTAACAAACTAACCAATCAAGGCAGTGGTACCCAGCACACCCTTTATTCTGCAAAGTAAGACCGCTCTGAATGCAAATAGAGTCCGGTGGCTTTTGTGAGTGCTGTTTTACAACCGTTTCTGCTACATCAAGGTTTTTTTTTTTACACAAATTTAGTCTATTAATAAATTGAACTTTTTCTAGTATTGATAGATACTTACAACAGAAATCTGAGCCTGTCAGTGGCATAAAAAGCACTGTTGGGGAAGAACTCCCACAGCAATGTTATACTGCACCTACTTTTACTGAACATTAACAGTTATTGCACCCCAAAATTAAAAAAAGGAGGGCCCCAGGTTTTACCTTGGTCTGCTTCTTTTCTGTGGCATAGACGATGGAGGTGCAGCAGACCTCAGCCAACTTGCGTCCCTGACCATAAAACGACCAGCAGCAGATCTCGTCCCCGATCACGTCTTTGATGAAGAGGACACGGCCGTTGAAGCTGAGAGACAGCCTGTCGAACAGTTCGATGTTCTTCAGCAGGTTGTCGTCTGAGTTACTGTGAAGAGGTGGAGGAGAAGCTCTTTAATGATTAACTCCGTGCTGTAGCCTGAGGCTCTTCTCTCTTATCCTCTGGAAAAATCTCTTTTGCCCTCAGTGAGCACTTTGAAGAAGAAATGAACGATTTTCCTCAAATCTCTAGAGAGAGCGTCTCTTACCTGGTGTAGGAGTACTTATTGTTGCTTCTGTTGTACAGCAGTTTCACCACAGGCTAACAGAGGAGAAAGCAGATGTTTAAACATTTGAATTTTATTATTATAATACTTCAAAGTGACAACAATGATCTCCATCCAATAATGCACTATTCATCTTTGACAGGGGGAAGTAGGGAAAATTAAGTTCTAGACATATTCAGGTAGATTTCTAAGAATATAAGAGTCTTGATCCTTTCTCACAGGTAACTATAGCACTGGAACAAGATCTAACATTGACATCCTTTGTTTAAATGCTGATTTGTTTTTCTCCTGTGACATAATATGTGGTCATCATAAAGGAATAAATTCTCGCCATGGTCTGTGTTTACCTTTGAAGAAGACTGGATGAGTCTGTCCTCTTCCTTCCTTGAGGTGATCACAGGTATAACACACACAGGCTGCTCTTTATTGTCCTGTCAACCATAAACAACAGACAGATATCAGCCTAAAGTGCCACCACTGCCTGGTGGGCCCATACCAGCTTAGTCCTCCGCATGTTTAAAGAGCACAGGGGCCAGACGGAGAAGCAGACATCCAAACAACCTGTTGATACAGCTTCATGCACCTTTCTCTCTATGCGTTACATGACAGTATTGCTCATTCACAAACTTTTGAACACAGTGAGTTTAGAATTTAAATTTTTACAAATTCCAATTTAAAACTTAGAAACATGAACACGACAAACTGAAAGTTAGTAGTTAATCCGCTACACTTACAGTGGAAGGGATATTAGGTTAGACAAAGTGGTTGAAGAAAACAGACGTAGAGGGAAATACACAATAACAGTGTAGCCACAAGAACACACTTTTAATCAGTTAAAAGTACTGGACGTCTTAAAATAAAAGGCCAACATAGATAACTGGCTGAACACAATACAGGAAGATAATTGGTCTCCCCCTTAAATTCATTCAAACTAGTATTTGGAGAATTTTTGTGATGGTGGTTGGATATATTTTGCAAATTTAGATGAACATTATAAACCACAACAGTTCTGCTGGTAGATAGTGATGCACAATATCACAAGTATAATTTCAGTATCTGCAGATAGTAGCTTATAATTCATTATGAGTATCAGCAGGTATAAAAATGTGTGCAGATTTAATCATCAGCCAAAAAAGTGGCACATTAATTATGCACACAGCTTATGCATACCAACATGTGGACTGTCTCGAGTATTTTGAAGTATTATAAACAGATAGCAGGTGCATCACTGAAAGACTCTATTTGTAAAAGAAATAATTTATCAATTATGGGTAATCTTGTTATAAGTCTGGTTTCACAACAGACTGTACAACATCTGTACAAATATCTGTCTGTGTATTTCTATGCATAGAGCTCATGGTATCATTATGGCTCTGTTTAAAAAATAACTTATTAATATATATTGTTTAGGGGCCGCCAGAAATCGTTTTTTAGGGCTGATACTGATCATGGGACCAATAATCTATACTTGGAAGCAATATCCATTAACAGTAAAAATTAAAAAACTTTGTGTGAAAGTTTGGATTTAAAACTTCACAAATTCCTACACAACAAGGAGAAACTTTCGTTCATTAAAAAAGATGTGAGTACTTCAGTATGTGTATTAGCCAAAAAGAGTTTGAAAAAAATCAGCATCCTTACTTAATAAACAAAATGTTAAATCCTTCATATTTAAACCATCAGCACAGCTGTCTGTGAGACACTGACCTGCAGGGTGTTCTGACAAAGCTCCACCAGACCCCTGATGAGGTAATACTTTGCCTCAGCCAGCAGCTCCTGAACAGCCTGACGGCCTTTAGGCAAAGTGACCGTGCTGTCACGCAGATAACATAGGATGCTGCCAAAGTGTTTCCCACTGCGGTCAATCAGGATCCAACCTGAGCAAAAAAAAACAAACACAACATGAATATGCCAAAACCTGAAGTGGAGTTTGGTGACATGCAAAGTCTCAGAGCCCCAAACAAAACAGGAAAAAAAAAGGAAACAACGATTTTATTGAGGAACCCACTCAGTTTTCCAAGGACCAGCTCAAATCATCACCAGTGGGTTCTCACTACATTCCAATTACATTAACGACACTGGCGTAATATAATGACCCAAAAGACAGACTCCGGTGATTCTGAGGGACAGCTGTTGTAGTGTTTGTTTTACATCAGTGTGAATGGACTTGAACAGAACTGGCTCTACCTTCTTTGTCAGTGAACACTTCCTTCTTCCCGCTGAACATGGCCCTCAGCATGGAGTTCTGCCTGGTCAGCACCTGCAGCGTGGTGTAAAACAGCGTCCCGCCCACATTGAGCCGCACATACTTGTTACCCAAGCCCACTGCTCCTTGATAGCTGCAGGTCTTGGTCTTGGGACAGGCCAGAGAAGGAGCTGGGGAGGTGCAGAGGGACTGGGTATGAGGCTGGGGCAGGCAGCTGTCCCCAGACATGTCCCTTTGGAGGTAGATGACCACCCTGCAGACGGAGGTCCGGAGGTCCCCCGCCGTGATGACAGCTACTGATGAAGCCGCCACAAACTCTCACTGCTCCAGATCATTCCTAAAACAACACACAGATGTGTAAATGTAAAGAGGGGCTGGAAAAGTGTGTAAAGAACTACAGAGTAAGGATGCAGCAATGAACTTATTAACTGTGCTCCAAAAGGTCACACTCATATAACTGTAAAGCCTCTGCTTCACAGACTGTTTCTGTGGTCACGCTCAGAAAGGGGCGTGACAATACAGAGCAAAAACAAAGTGATTCCCGGAGTGCACAAGCTTAACGTGCCATGCTTTTCAGGAGCCATAGAGAGGCCGTGCTATATCAGCTTTACATCAGTAGAGGCGCCAAAGGTTGACATAATCCAAGACAGCAAATCAAAGCAATGTGACCAAGTAGGATGCCAAAAAGGCTGGGCAGGGGGCACATCAGTGTTTAAAGGAACCAATTAGGGCTCAATCAGGAAACATAGGTGGTTTATTTATTTCACTTATATATCTTGCTTTGTTCTGACCTTAAAAACAGTGACACAACAAAGATTCAATTTCTGCCACTGATGTCCAAATGTACTTCATTTCTTTTATTTTCTAACTCTGATGACTTAATATAATTTCCCTTCTTGTTTGTGTCAAACTTGTATCTTAATATCAATTCTGGGGTGGAAGAAAACTAAAATATTCCACTTTGGTAAAGGTACTGTGGATCATGACATTCTGCTAGTGTGGAAGTAGAAATACATGTCTGTTAATCCACACAAGTAGAAGTAGAAAAAATGGTTTGGAATGTACTGAAATACTACTAATATATTTAACAGTATTAATGTGGGACGTGATTCTGACTCTGCACCTACTCTGAATGAATACACTCAATATTTTTGCAGTGTCTTTTGTCAGTATTACAGTTATTACACTAAGATTTAACCCTGTTATAGATGTACAGTGGATATAAAAAGTCTACACACCCCTGTTCAACTGCCAGGTTTTTGTCATGTAAAAAAGTTACATCAGGATAAATAAATTCACAACTTCTTCCACCTTTAATGTGACCTGTAACCTGTACAACACCATTGAAAAACAAACCGAAATCTCTCAGGGAGTCGAATTAAAAATAAACAACTGAGATCATGTGGTTGCATTAGTGTGCACACCTTTCAATAACTGGGGATGTGGCTGTGTTCAGATTTAACCAATAAAATTCAAACTCAGGTTAAATTGGAGTCAGCACACACCTGTCACCAATTAAAGTTCCTCTGATCAACCCCAAATAAAGTTCAGCTGTTCTAGTTGCTTTTCCTGACATTTTTGTAGCCACATCTTCCAGCACAAGCTATGGTCCCCAGATAGCTTCCAAAGCATCAGAGGGATCTCATTATTCAAAGACATCAGTCAGGTGAGGGCTACAAAAGAACTTCCAAGGAATTAAATATACCATGGAACACAGTGAAGACCGTCATCATCAAGTGGAGAAAATATGGCACAACGGTGATATTATCAAGAACAGAACAAAAAAATTGATGATAAGACAAGAAGAAAACTGGTCAGGGAGGCTGCCAAGAGGCCAACAGCAACACTGAAGGAGCTGCAGGAATTTCTGGCAAGTACTGGCTGTGTAGTAGATGAGACAACAATCTCCTGCTGTCTTCTTCATATGTCTGGGCTATGGGGTAGGGTGGAAAAACATCAAAGCCTGGCTTAATTTTGCAACAAGACATCTGAAATCTCCTAAACGCATGTGGGAAAATGTGTTATGGTCTGATGAAACCAAAGTTGAACTTTTTGGGCGTCATTGCAAAAGGTATATTTGGCTCAAAATCAACACTGCTCATTACCAAAAGAACACCACACCCACAGTGAAGCATGGTGGTGGCAGCATCATGCTTTGGGGCTGTTTTTCTTCAGCTGGAACTGGTGCCTTAGTCAGGGTGGAGGGAATTATGAACAGTTCTAAATAACAGTCAGTGTTGGCACAAAACCTGCGGCCTTCTGCTAGAAAGATGAAGATGAAGAGGAACTTAATCTTTCAGCACGACAATGACCCAAAGCACACATCTAAATCAACAAAAGAATGGCTTCACCGGAATAAGATTGAGACTTTGGAATGGCCCAGCCAGAGCCCAGACCTGAATCCCATTGAACATTTTTGTGGGGTGATCTAAAGAGGGCTGTGCATAGGAGATGCCCTCACAATCTGTCAGATTTGGAGCAGTTTTGCAAAGAAGAGTGTGCAAATATTGCCACATTAAGATGTGCCTCGCTGATAGACTCCTACCCAAAAAGACTGAGTGCTGTAATAAAAGCCAAAGGTGCTGCAACAAAGTATTAGTTTAAGGGTGTGCATATTTATGCAACCAGGTTATTTTAACTTTTCTATTTTTCCCCTTAAAGGTTTCAGTTTGTTTTTCAATTGCATTGTACAGGTTATAGGTCACATTAAAGGTGGAAAAAGTTGTGAAAATATTTATATTGCCGTCATTTTCTTACATCACTACAACCTGGCAGTTGAACAGGGGTGTGTAGACTTTTTATAGCCACTGTATTCACTGTTCGATAAAATCTTCAACTATCTAAGAGCCTGGACCGACATGTAAATGATACACTCGGCTTCCTATTTATTCTAAAACAGACATGACTAAACCCCTTTTTAAAAATGCCTGATTTTAATGTTTCTCTTGCTGTCGACAGTGGCCGTGAAGTTTGAAGAGAAGGTTCCCCTTAAATACATTTTTATACTTTTCTAACCAATTCGTCTTGATAAAACACTACTTTAAGTTGAGTGAAACCAAAAGAGTTAAGTTAGTTTACAGTTTTTCTTCAGTGGGTGTGTTCTCCAAAGTTAGCGAAATGAGCGAAACTTTCATATCACTCAACGCACACATTTGAGAAGAATAACAACATCCAAACAGTAAATATTGTGTGGATCGAGGTCTGTTGAGTTTCTCGACACATCTGTATTTCGTTAAAACGTCAACTACATAGTTAATCAATTCCTCCTGAACTTTACGCAAAAGCGCAGAAAGTTTTCAATGGACTGCGCAACTGTATCCACCCTAGCTACAAAGCTTTAGCAGCAGTCAACACGTAACTTTGACGTTTACTTACTGACCTCTGTATAGTGTATTTCTGTTCTGTCAAATCGCCTCACGATGTCCGATTCGTTTTTCTAGCTTAAATCGCAGTGAAATCCACTGAGGGGTAAAATTTGAGGCTTAAATAGTGTCCAAAGTTTCACTCTCGCCCAGTTTTTGTCTTCTTCTTCGAACGATTATTTTTGGGAATAGGCCTTACGTCACCAATGACTATACTGCCCCCAGCAGTCAGTATCAGGAATTTCATGCTGATACCAGGACAAGGGGGACTCTCCCAATACCCAATAATTAATCTTAAAAATCACTTTATTTCTCTTCAGTTATGGTCAAAAGGTGCTGGCTAATTAGTGAGTTATCACATTAGTATAAAACTTTGTATTTTGAAGAATGATTTGAGGTTTCTTTTTTTGGTCTAGGTACCATTCAAGTATTTTAAATGATTTTTAGCAGGTAGTCTCTAATATGTGGCAGTTTGGTGAGAAGTGCTTAAATTTATTGTTGGGGAATATCAGTGGTATAAAGAAAACTGGCAATATGGTTTGGTGCTTGTATTTTGGACAGGGATTGGCTCTATGGAAAAATCAAGGTAGTGTGGCTATCTGAATAAAATAGCTTGGCAATCTAGAGCGAAACAGATCATGTGGACTATGAACGAAAAATAAAACAAGTAAAATATTTTATTTATGGGTGTCTGAATAGAACTAGAATAAAATAAAAGTTTTAAAAAACCCTAAAATCAGCTAAAACCATGGTAAATGAACAAAATAAGGAAAAAAATGAACGTGTGTCATGACTTAACATTTTTTCCTGGACAATAAGTGGATTTAAAGACTCACTTTAATCCTAAAAAACACTAAAAACCTCACTGTAACCTCGCAGACGGCAGCATTCGGTTTCCCTAGCAGCGGTGAGGGGGAGGAGCTCCATATATTCAAGTACATTCGGAATAATCGGAAAACTAAGATTCCGAAACTACATGCCTCAGTGTTGACTCCATTTGATCCAAACTGCAACTAAGAAAGTCAAGCAGAATATAAATATTCTTATTTAATTATTTATTACTTGTTTACTTATCAAGACTCAAATTTATCAAATACGGCTTCAGTGATTTCGTATCAACGACTTTGAAATATCAGATCTCCGAGCATCCCAGTAACACCTGAATACACCTTTAATGGCTTACTTTGCAATGCCACATAGCCACACAACAGAGAGCCTTCAAAGTTAACGACACAGCGGGTAAAACAGGTAATAGAGGAATATTTCTGCCTTAAACAGAGTTAGACACGAACGAAAATGAAGCCAGCCTCGTATGGACGCTAGCAAAGGCTGTATGCGTTTGTGAATAGCTGGGAAATGTGTTGGCTAGCGAATTGAGCTAACGTTAGCTGACTTAATTTGACTAATTTTAGGTTTTACGGGGTCTTACACTAGAATTTCCTCTGTGTCAAAGCCAGACATATGCTAACCTTTGTGCGATTTGAATCAGTGTCATTACTTTAATACCTCCTGTAGTGGTGTTTCTATAAGTTAAATAAACTAACTAGATTGTTTAAACTCGGTGTATGTGAAGCCAGCGCTGACTGCATATGTTAAAATCCATGGACTGTCTTAGCTGTATTTAAGACATATTTCACAAATATTATGTCTTGTTTTACCATATGGTTGTCTCATACAGTGTCAAAGTCCAGCTTAAAGTTAACTTTGCATCAACAAGCAGTGCTTATGTTAACATCAGACCACCCAGACTGTCTGTGACTCTGGAGTGTCTGTAAACTATTGGTCCAGATAACAAGCATGTTGTCAGCACTTGGTTATCGAGCTGTAAAGCCTGTTCATTTGGTTTCAAATGCTTCACAGATAGGGTTGCCACAACAATACTCATTTTGTCACCACAGCAACATGTGTACCAAACAATTGGTTTATTTTCTTTTTTAGTTACACTACATACAGTCCATGGTACAGCACTGCAAACAGTGCCAGTGAAGAAAAACCAGACCAACATTTGACCTGTTTAAGCGCAATATTTTCATTACTTTAAGAGATATTCTGTCGTAAACTTAATTCAAACACACCGTAACACCGAGTTAGACACCCCCTTCGGGAGATGAATGTTGCCGACCGCTTGCTCCTTTAGTTATACCAACTTTAGTAACGACCGCACAATAGCAATACACAGCGGTCTGAGGAGCCATAAAACAAACCTCAACCAAAACGCCACTCTGTAGCCACAAATAATGCTCAGAACAGCACCTAACTTCATCAACAGTACATACAGGGTCCCAGCCATAGCAATAGCCACCAAACATCTTTTTAACTTTGCCTAATTTCTTCAGCAAAGAGACTAAACACAACTCACCTACTCACTTCCAGCAACCGCTTGTTTGTAGCGAGACCTCAGGCCAGTCCAGTATAGACTGCTGCGAGGTGATGCAGCTCAAGGAAGAACATTTATGATCATTTCTTTATCATTTCCTTAAAGTAATAATCATCATATTAATCATTTTGCACTGCAGACGCGGTAGTTCTTCTGCCTTTGTGTCTTGGTGTGATTGCATTTCCATGAAGAAATGATCATAAATGTTCTTCCTTGAGCTGCATCACCTCGCAGCAGTCCGTAATGGACTGGCCTAAGGTCTCGCAACAAACAAGCGGCTGTTGGAAGAGAGTAGGTGAGTTGTGTTTAGTCTCTTACATTAAACAGCCACTCAGATGAAGATGAGTTAAAAAGATGTTTGGTAGCTAGTGCTGTGGCTAGGACCCTATATGTACTGTTGATGAAGTTAGGTGCTGTTCTGAGCGCTATTTGTGGCTAAAGAGTGTCGTTTTGGTCGAGGTTTGTTTATGGCTCCTCAGACTGCTGTGTATTGCTATCTGCGTTCGTTACTAAAGTTGGTAGAACTAGAGAAGCAAGTGGTCGGCAACATTCATCTCTCAAGGGGATGTCTAACTCGGTGTTAAGGTGTGTTTGATCCTAGATTAATTTTACGCCAGAATATCCCTTTAACTAATTGTTACTAATGGCTATGGACCAACAAAGGCTGTCCAGACTGATAACCCTGTTGTCCTGATCTTGATTTTTTACAGGCCCTGTGGCCATGGCCAAAGACCCATTAGCCGAGGCAGGCTTTTATTTTGATGAACTCAACAAGTTACGGGTCCTTGAGCCTGATGTCAGCCAGAAGACCTCAGAGCTGAAGGAGGAATGTAAAGAGTTTGTGGACAGTAAGCACTGAATCTTGTGTTAAGTTTATTCAACTGAGCGTACCTTCCCGTTCATCGTCAACATCAGACCCTACAGGCTGTGTAAATATGAATGTTCTTTTGCAGAAATTGGCCAGTTTCAAAAGAAAGTGGGAGGTCTGATTGAGCTAGTGGATGAGCTAGCAAAAGAAGCAGAGACAGAAAAGATGAAGGTAAGCTCAATGCAAAGGGGCAAACATACGTATTCTTCTGCCCCATTATGAAAACACAAGTTTCATTAATAGTCCCGTTTTGTTCTCTTTAGGCGATTGGCGCTAGAAATTTGCTGAAGTCAGTGGCGAAGCAAAGAGAGGCTCAACAGCAGCAGCTCCAGGCTCTCATAGCTGAGAAGAAAATGCAGCTGGAGAGGTAAACAGTGAGTGGGTTGATTCAATAGCTAAACCCACACAAAGCTTGATTGTGCTGCATGCAATTTAGAAAAATTTGTGGTTGCTTGAATGAATGGCTTAACCAAGTAAACAAAATGCCGCAGTTGCAACATATCTTCCAAGTGAATGCTCAAAATTTTCTCTAAAAGATGGTTGCATAAATGGTTGGTAGTGGATTTTAACACCTCTACCCTGTTAGACATTTATCAGACCCTCTCAATCAGTACATTTCATTGAAGTATATTTGATCAGGGTGCACACAATTAGGTAACTAGGCAAATTTAGGACCCAATCCCCTACTTCCAACAAAAGTCAGAAAAGTCCAGATTTGACTCTTTTGGTTCTAATGATGATTTTCCTGTGGTGTGAGGTGAGTCACACTCATTTGAAATTGTAAATGTTTATAATGAGATATTGTGGTACATGGAGGGAAAAGTAGAGCACACACTCTGTGGATAGTCGTAAGGAGTGGTAGGTGGCCAATTAGGAGGCAGGCTGACTAAAGAAGGAAGCACAACAAACACAGCCATGGTAAAATTGGTAAAAGTGATTTCTCCTTTGTTGAAAGGACCAACTTGTTGATTTTGTGGCAACACCACAAGTCACCTGCAAAACATCAAAGTGAGGAAGAGAGGAGTTGGACAGAAACTGCTACTGCGATAGATGTACCAAGTAGCTAGAATCATTTAGCTTAGCGACCGTAATTGTTGGCGATGTTTGTGTATTCTTAAGTCATGTTTGACTGCAAGAAGTTAAGAGAAATTTCAGTTATGAGAATGGGCACTGAGTTTTGATGAATAAAAACTGTTGTGTGTTTTGTACTCTCTTTATGATATGGTTCTTCTACCTCACACATGAGAACAAAACTATTAACTCAACTGTTATTGATGTCACGTGTGGTATCATTTGGACTTCTACAAATCTTTGTCTGCGCTACGCATTTGGGTGAGACATGTTTCTCCAAAGAATTTCAGGGGATTGTGAGATGCTGATCTTTAAAAATTCATAGTTGCACTTCAATGTATAAAGCAGTACAAATAATTGTGAAAATGACGTATTGGTGTGGGACCGCCTCAAAGTAGAACTTATTCTGTTTTGTTTTCTTTGTTTTAGATATCGCATTGAGTACGATGCCTTGTCCAAAATTGAATCAGAGCAGAATGAGTTTATCGACCAGTTTATCCTGCAGAAGTGACGATGGACTGAAACAACAGAAAGAGTTAAACGCCTGCGACCGTGTTCCCAGAGTGCCTATCCTGTCTTCTCTGAGAGAAACCCTTCCTCAGAGAACAACTCTGCTGCAGCTCCTTTTTTCTGAAGCAGTTCCAAAGCTCCAACATCATTTGAAAACATCTGCACCTCACGCTAAACGTCTCAACATCTCAGACCAACATTCAAGAAGATGGAGCTATTTATACAAAGGAATATTATTTATACTATTTATACTGAAGAATTACTATGTATATCTAGTTTTACTACTTTTTGTATTACTTGAAATACTGCATGTGCATGCATCTGTAAACGAGATGGAGGAATGTGGACATCCTGACTTGATCTTTGTGTGGCCATGTTTGTTTTTTAATCCATTCCTCTGGTACAGACAGTCTGTGGGCACAACACCGGACCAGTACAGTCTCCTGTTTTCAGATCTTCTTCTTCCCCTTATCTGTTATGTGTATTTTATGCGTTAATTTAGTCGACAAAGGATTATACTTGAATAAATAGTGGATTTTGTTGCACAACAAAGTGTGTTGTCATTGAAGATCTCTGAGTTCCTTAAGTAGAAAAGCACTTCTTGTCATCAAAATATGCTTGCTTCTGGTTCACAAGATCCACAAAACATTGAGAAAAACAAATGGGAATCCAAAAATAGTGACCTCACAGCCTCAAAACAGGTTGCTGTGAAACCTTTGGTTGAATTAAAATGTGCTACAGCTCAGGGGTGTGGTGATCCTGAGAAATCAAGGTTGATATTTGTGACTGTCTTAAATACAACTGATTCTGCAAATATGCATTTATTTATTGAATAGAAATACAATACATAATCATAAACCCACCTCAGTCTGATAACTGTATTTACAGTAGTTGAACTTCTAGGCACACATCCACACAACAGTAAGAACAAATAACACACAAACAACACATCCTGTGAGCCATTTCCTGTGGCGGCGAGGATGATTTCACGCTCTGCAGGGTTCACTTCTTCTTGGTGTACTGCGAATGACAGAAACAGGAGAATTCAGCATTTCTGTGGCTATCAAAAGCTGATCACGCTGCCCTGACTAAGGCAAAGAGCAGTAACAACACAAACACTGGAACAGAGACTTTGCCTCAATAGTTTTTGGACTGGATTATGCTGTAGGTAGTGTGAATGAATTCATGTGATGTGAGCTATGACCCTCAGCTGGAATAATTTCACAGCTTTATAGATAATTGTAAAGACAGAGTGGATTATCTCTGATGTAAATGTGGTCATTTGTTTCACCTGCTTTTTTGGTTCATTTCAGAACAAAACTGTTGTTACCAAATTTTGATAGTTTCCAATATTTTTAATGCAACATTTACTCAAGGACTAAATCCAGCTGAACTCAACGTTGACCAAAATGGTTTTAGACCATGCGTGTACTATCGCCTTTGAAGGGCAGCTTACTTTATCAAGAATCCAGTCTGCATCTGTAATCGCCCTTTGGATGATCATTTGGATCCTCTCCTGGTCATCTTCATCTGAATGGCTGTTGTAACCCTGACAAGAAAAGAAAAACACGTAAAAACAAAGGTTTATGAATCATTAGTTTTTATATTTAAACTCTCACAAAGGGAAAACATCGAACACAAGGGGCTCAGAAAAGTGAAGGCCTGGGGTTATTTGTCATACTTTCACACTATTTTGAAGCAGTCAGACAAAGCTAAGTCAGTTATCAGCTACCCTCTGATTAGATGGTTAAAATAAAATGATGAAAAAATACCTGTTGGATTTAAAACACAGGCAGAGTGTAAAACATTAAGTATGGCAGAGAAACAGAAGCTGACTTAAAGCAAACAGACAGTCTTTCAATTTTGTGTTGTTATCCTTCATTGCATCTTTGTTGTACTGTGAGGGCTATTTCTGGTTTAGTCAAAAATCACATCTGTATCAACAGAATACAAGAAAAGTTTTGTCTGTTCATGAAGAAAAGGTCAGCGCCAGGATGTCCGAAGAGACATCTTATGTATTTTCAACACTCAACCCATGTTTAGGTGTTTTTAAATCATTGTAGTGTGAATTCTCTGAGTCAGACAAAAATATTAAAGGAATTTCCCCCTCAATAAAATGCGTGAAAACCCTGTTTGAACATTTTCATACTGAACAGATCCATCCTTCTGGTCTCTTTTAAAAAGTACTCTTTTTTTATCATGCGACATACCTCCTATATCAGTGCTAATATGATTGGATACTGTTGCTGGTTTTACTGATTTCAATCATCCCAACATTAGCCAAAATTCACGCCAGAACCAAGACAAGAATGAAAGGTTATTACTTCATTTTTTTTTATACTCACATTCTTGTTTTTGGTCCGTCAATTTAAAGTCAGACCCCAATATTTCAAGTCTGCATAAACCCAATTATTCTAGTTTGAGTTATCAAATAATCAATTAAAAATCTGAAATCACTAAGAACTGATACAAATCAAGAAATTATGTAACTGCATCAGAATGGATATGTAATCTTCGAAAACGTGGATGTATTTCACTCTTCATCTCTCTTTCTTCTTGAGCATAAAGGCCCTTCTTGTCATTGTGCGTACATACAAGTATATCATTGTAAATATATAATCTAAGGTCCACGATTATTCAAAAACACATTAAGCTTTTCGACAGCTACTTTTGTTGACCTCACCTGTCTGATGGCATGTCTGTAATGTTGCTGCATTGTTGTGGTTGGTAACAGTCGGCAGCATCTGAGCAGATATCGATAGAGCTGCAGCGGATTCTGGACCAACTCAGCTCCGACTAAAGGTGGCATCCCTCCAGTCTTTGGTTACACTACTGCTGGTAAACAGGCCGCAGACCTGGTAAGGTGAAAAAGTTATTTGGTTCGTAGTTCAAACCAAAAACAAGACAAAAGAAGATGAAATAAGCTGTCAGTAAAAGCATACAACAATAAAAACAAAGCAGACATGAAACTGTTAGAAATCATGAAAGTGTGGTATATATAGGCAGCTTCAAATATCTTACATGTAAAAATATTAGGTGGGAGTGTTGTGATATTTTGGCATGCTACTCTGTGTCCTGCATTCAACTCACAAGTTTTGTCATCAATATTGCTGTTTGGACTTTCCTTAAACAAAGTTCCTAAACATGCCTTGGCTTTAAATAAATATATAAGGATAAATTTGCTCTTATCACTCATGCAATAAGCATTAAACTCTGCCTTTTTGTTAACAAGTTTACCCTTTTCTTTGCAATTTTCAGTCGTAATTTAACGTTTTGCATCATGTGGACAATGTGTCACCTGATTGACTATCAACCTTGTTGATTTATTACAGCTGTTCACACTAAATTTTCAAAATGCAGTGTTAACAGGGGTTTGCTCATTTGTATCCTTTATTCATCTGTTTAACTGACAGGAACAACACATCTCGGTATCATTACATCCAACTTTAGAGCGACCAATGCAAACTTTAATGAACTTCTAGCTATGGTTATTTTGCAGTCCTTGTCCCTGATTTGGCTTTTGGGAAATGAGACACATGATACAACACTTTAAAATCGACAGAAAACAACAACTACAAAGATACATTTTAACAGTGCTGTCGGCTTCACGTGTTAAAGTGCTACTACACAGTTGTTTGCTTCTTGGTTCTAGTTCAGCACATAATTGGTTCAGTGTGAAGAGGACCTGGAGCAACCCCCCTTTTCACTGGTTATTTGTATAATCTACCAAAACGTGGCAGAGGGACGGCTATCAAAAAGCATATTGACCTTGTTTCATATTGATGTTGAGGGAAATTATTTTCGACATATATCGTTATGGTTTCATCGCCCAGCCCTAGTTGTAGGGTAGAAGTTAAATTTCATGTATTATCCTCCACTGAGACTACACTAAAAGTTACCAAATCTACTGAGTTTGCAAACACTAGGTGGAAGACATTAAGACAAAATATAAAAGTCCATGTGTGGGTGTGGTATAAGCCTGGAAACTTTTTAATCAGCAATACTCTTAAAGTTACAGTAAGTGACCAAGGTCGATGAGAGACAAAATTACATAGTCTGTTTTAGTAATGTCTGCTGCTCAAAGGCAGAGGTCCCAAAAGACAAACAGTTTTTAACGTTGTCATGTTTGCCAGAAGCCAAACAAAAACACGTGTTCTCATCATTTCATGTTATCTTATTAATTTGCTCCAAATGTGTTTCCTTTATCCTCATTTGACCTGAGCTGTTAGCTAACTATAGACTTTCATTGGACAAACAGAGCTGCTCTGAGGAATATGAAGCCAACTTTGAAATTAACAGAGTAAATTTGGATAATTTGCTGCACTGTTACCATTAATGAGCACAAAACAAAGCTTACTGATGCTGCGAGGTGGAAAGAGAGCTCACCTGTCAGTAGACTCTCAGCATGTCAACATACCCTGCTGTTGGCGGAAGCGTCCTGCCACAAGACCGTCTTCTTCGTGGGTTTATAGGTTGGCACCACGGCACAGTAAAACTCTCTCGCCCTCTGCCGGCCGAGATTAGGCGTTGCAGCTTTATTCGCTTTCTCGTCCCTGTTGATGTACGGCTGGATTGTTTTTTTTTTCTTGAATTATACATTTTATTATACAGTTTTTTAGGCACATTTTAGACATTTTTGCCCTTAAAGTGTAAGTTTAGTTTTAGTTGACAAAAAATGATTTCATTTCATTTCAATCAATCAATCTTGGAAAAAGAATTTAGCTTTCTCCACTCCTATAATATCCATATTCCCATATTCCCATATGTCCCTGCTGGTTGATTTTAGGCAAAGGGTATGTGACACACTGATAAGAGTGGTATTAAACAGGAATGATCCATGCTTTTGCACTTTTGCACTGCACCTTTCAACCAAGTCTGTCTGTTACAAAGATGCATTAAATTAAAAGTGAATGATTATTGCTCTATCTGCCAGCTCACCACTAACATTTCTACCTTTTGTTCTGTGAATGTAAACAAGACATATGCTTGTCTCATACTCATCAATGAAGAATGTGTTTTAGGGACTTTTTGTCATAATGTCATCATGGGATTTACACTTAACCACAGTGAAACCTCTTTGCAACTCTTGCAGTGAGTGAGACTTAAGGCTTACAGTGAAACTGAGACCAACCAGAAACTGTACGTTTAAGTATGTTGAATTACACACCTGATATGCACATGATAATCTCTCCTCAGATGGTTTATCTAACAGTTAATGAAGTAGTTCACTGAAAAAGAAGGCCTCATTGGAGATCATTTTTTCTAACTGTTGGCGACAGCAGAAAAAGTTTACAGCTGTTGCCAGAGGCAAATATCACCATCAGATGATTTCCTCTTCTACATTTAGAACATCTGTGGCTTGACTTAAAGCTATTTTTTTAGATGTATTTTAATTTTAAAAAATATCATTATTGTGCCAATAGATCTTCTTTAGCTGTTAGGGGAATTCTTTGGCCACCCAGCAGCCGGTGACTTAATAACATTAATTGACCTCTTTTATAATGAGCTCAGGGTTTATCAGCTGCAACAAAAAAAGTGATGGACAGTGTTGTGTCAAAAGCGCAGTTAAATAATTCAATAACAAACACCCCCAAATAGGTCATTTTATTTGATTGTCAAAAATAAAGTTTAATACCTGTGTACTTTTTCTTCAGCAACTTTCAGTGCAGTGTAAAACTATTCATCATATTTGTGCACTGTGCTATCACTACTTTCAGGACTCTGAAAGATCTGAGTAATTCCACCATCCTTTTACTCTCAAAATGCTCTTAAAGGTATGTTTGCATGCCATTAGATTTACTGAAGCATTTGAATTATTAAGATTTCCCATTGGGGATCAATAAAGTTCTTTTACAGTTCTTCTCAGACTAATATGTCTGAGCTTGAGACTCATTTTGTCTGATTAAGAAGAAGAAGGGGGGTGGGGGAACCTCCAACGCAGTATTGCACCATCTGCGCTGGTGCTGATTAAGGTTCTGTTGTTGCAGCAGAGCTTGATGCTGGTGATACTACCACCATGACCTATCCCGACATGGGTAACTTCCCCTTCAAGGTAATCCCACACCTTCACCATCTTGTCATCTCCACCTGTTGGGAAAAGGAGACAAATATCTATGAGGGGGAGGGGGAATTAGGGAGGAGTTTGAGGTGAGCATGCATTGTGGTGTCAGCAGAGGAACTGAAAAGAAAGGCTCTGAATAGATTATAAAACAATGCAGCAAAAACCAGGGTAAAAAAAAAAACCCAAGCAAAAACTGAACTGGAGCAATGTTTTAAAAAGCCAATTTTTGATCAATACATGAACAAAGAAGCTGTCAGTAACAATTTTGGTCAAGTGTAAAATGAACTTAATTATTTTCAGTAAAAGAGTTTCAGGAGAAAATGACCAAAAATAGCAAAGCAACAACACAACAAGTGGAAAATGTGTCTAATGGACCTTACCTGTCACAAAGTGTCTCCCATCCTGTGAAATATGCATTGCATTGATGGCACCAGACTGAGAGCCCTCCCGGTCTCTGATGGCCGAACCATCAAACACTTCCCAGTAGCTAATCTGAGGAAGAAATGAACACACAGACAGCAGCTTTTAACAAACATCATGTTGCAGTCATTTATCACAGGCATTTGTTAACACAGAAATTAATCATGGTGGATATAAAACACTGACTGTCTAAGAAATGGACAATGCATCTCCACTTATTCCTCTTGCACAAAAGCAAAGCCAAAGTTTCCTGAGCAACAGCTGCTTAAATATTGCTCCAGTCATGTCATTTAAGGGTCACATTCCTTGCAGTATGAATCGTCTGCTACTGAAAATTCAGCGACTCGTGTTTCCTCCCTGCTCAGCTAACCAAAAGCACAAGAACTGGATTTGTCAATGAAATTGTTAACTATGATACTAGACCAAGTTTTATGGCAGCAAATAACTAATTAAAATTTTACAGCAGAAGAAAAACAAACACCACAACACTCCCTCTTTTTTCACTGAATTCTTTCTCTTTTTCTCTTTGGTCTCACTCAGCACATCCGTAGTGCTCTGTTACAGTAATAAGCACTACTTGTTCCTACTTCTCAGCATGCGAGTGTGGCGACAGTATGAGTGTAGAGTGTGGCCAGGGTTCAAGAGGTGTGCATGAGGAGTACAATCAAGGAAACAACTGTTTCATTCATCAGCTGTGAACTTCTGACTTTATGTAAATAAGTCGAGCCACCAATCAAAATTATCCTCTAAATAACAGACTCACAGGGCTAAATGTTTTTGCCATTGTAGCCCCCACTGTGGTTTTATTATGTTGAGCTGAAGGAAAAAAAGACTTTCAACAAATCTTTGAACATGAAGTGTGCATTGAATCTGCAAGTATTTACTGTATTCCTGCATGCTGATCTTATCTGATAGGCAGGCCCTTCTGTCACACCCACCGAGGGGGGATTATTATCACAACAATAACAGCACAGTGACACATCTAGATAGTGTCAACAGTAAAGTGTCAATCTTTGAACAGCCTGAGGAACTGCGCTTTAAAATTCTAGGGATTGTCCTAGTCCTAGGAATTGCTTTGTGAACCAATCTATCCTGTTATGGATATATTGCTTGATTCCCAAGACTGCAGTGGTAAGATAGTGGGAGTGATGAGAAAAGCTACACCCAGTTGTGTTAAATACTTAATTCCTATTGATTAAAATCCAACAACAACAGGGATTAATTATCAAAAGTAAAACCTAATCATACATGTCATCAACATCAGCCTGGTCTAAATCTGCTGAAAGGACCCCACCCCGTTGCATGTCTGCCTGCTGACACAAGACAAAAACATTATTTTAGCATCTATTTAGCTTCTAATAGCAACTTCAATTGGTCAAAATTGTGCCAAACAGACATTTTCTGATTCACAGCGCAAATAGGGTCATTGTGCACCGCCACTAAAAACCATGCACAATTACTGTGACATTTTCTAAAATTTCAGTGCAATATTTACAAGTGTAGTCGCACTTCAACTCCTCAATCAAGACAATTCAGCCTTTGAATGACTTAGAAATTATGTATCTATACAGAAAGTCTATAAACATTCCCTTGACTATTTTTATGATAGCAAGGGGCTAAATGAGGCTGAGGCTGTCTGTGGCTCAACCCTCCACATACAGGCTGGGCCATAATGGGCACAAGAGTATTTCTTTTTTTGACTGCTTTTTCAAACAGGCTGCTTCTTATCAACTCGCTCCAGGCAGATGGATGTAAATTATGAAATTTGTCCCACCTCTCATGAATTGACTCTACTACTCTCCTATTTCAGTGTAGCTCTGAGCAGAGCTGATGACAGTTATCTGCAACCTCAGTCACAATAACACAAAAAGCTGGTCTGGACTGCACACCTGACTGGCTGCAGTTTGCATACCCCTGTTCATTTGATAATTTACAGGAAGCAAATGGTTTTTAAATCAATAAGATCAAATTGAAGCAAGATGCCTCCACTTGACATCCAAGTCTTGCTTATCCTCTTGAGATTTGAATTCCCATAACCACTTTCTCACTCTGCAGTATCCTTTATTTATTAACTAGTATCTGGTTTGAGGTTGCTTGGTACCCAAAACATACCTTTCGGTTGGTGCCACTGGTGATGATTTGGTATTCCTCTGGGTGGTAGCACACACTGCGAAACAAGGTATTCGAGATGACCATATTGAGACTGGTAAACCTCCTACAGAAGAAAAAATTGGAGCGAGAAAGTGACTTTCACAAGTAAGGCAATAAATAATTGCATGTGGTTTAGGTCCTTATGAAATACCAGTGACTGTTAAATGTGATTAAATGTTTAGTTTGATTTAATGTGTTACCTATAAAAGAATAAAGCTGAAAACTGGACACACACTGCATGTCCTAGATTTGTGTTGCTGTGTGGCTACTCACACCAAGTCCCAGATGATGCAGGCACCGTCAGCACTGGCAGTGACACACTCTTTGTCATTGCTCTTGATCGTGACACAGGTGACCATGGCTTGGTGCATTTTCATGGTCTCTAGAAGCTTATGACCATGTGGCAGGAGCTCCCAAACACGCACCTACAATAGATGAACCCAAAAGAAACTTAGAAATGGCATCAGACATTACTCAAATGGATAGGACAGTGAGTACATTATAATCCTAAATGTGTGTCCCGCATGAAAAATGGATTAAATCCTGTTACCATATGCATTAAGAAACTATCTTCCTCTGAAGCTGTACAAATTTTGAAGGAATTCAGAAATGATTCTTTTATAGTCTGTTTAATTCTATTGTGGAAAAATGGATAACAGCTACTCGAATTCTATCATATCACAATTTCATGATGCTTGTGCAGAATTTCACTTGGTTGCTTTGAGCTGTAATTTGGTGAGTTTGCAAGGCATCATCTATCTTTCATCACTGTTTCCTACTGACCTGCCCCTCCCCTCCTCCGCTGACAATCCTCTTGCAGTCCCTGGTGCCTGCTATTGCTGTCACACCCATTCTGTGTGCGTCATGAATGATGATCATGAGCCGTCCACTTTGAGGTGCGAACACACGAATCTTACCATCATTCCATGCTAAAAGACAGTGGCAAATAAATAACACATAAATAAGATGAATTTATTTCAGTTTGTGAAATAGTTACATTTTACTTAGTATGTAGCAGATATCTAGCAAGTTTCTCCACACAAGAACCAGCACATTGGCTGTGTGTAATCATGAACAGCCCAAACGAGGGGCAAAATGATCATATCATATTGGATTAGATTCAGTTTATGGCTTTTGCACAAGTACAAGTTCTGGTTAACAAAGTAGAGTTAAGTGATTAACCAGAAGTGCACACAAGCTTTAAGGTGTTGAAAAAGGAAAGCAAGGCCAGGAGAAAAATGAGGATTCAACGAAGCAATCAGTCGTAAATAACAAGAAATGCCACATCAGCTGTTATTTCCCCCTGATTCTTACCACTGATGATGCTATGTCCGTCAATCATAACATCCACACAATTGCAGGTCATGTTGGGTACAGTGATATGCAGCAGTTCTTTGGGCTTGTTTATGTGCCATAATCGGATGTCTTCTAAAGAGCATGTTACGAATAATTCAGATACTCCACTGGAGGGGAAAAAAGAGAGTAGGAGTTTAGACTTGTGGTTATTCCTAGCTTCTAGTTAAAGGCATTCATGTTAAACACTGGATTCACAAAATTGCATGGCACAGATCAATACACAAGCCCGGGATTTGCTTAAATAACTAAAACCAGTATAGGTATGAGAAGCACATAAAAAGGAGGAAAGCATATGTCGCCCTCTAGTGAGAGTAATTAAGTACTGAATTCTGGCATTACAAAAGAAACATGGGATTGAAGCTGTCCACTGAGAAAGAGCAGTGACCGCTTGTGATGTCCAGTTAATCTCTAAAAAAATCACAAAAACACACCTTCTTCATGACCCCCGGGTTTTTTTTTTTTCTTAACTATCTTTTAGATTCTGTTTTTTTCTGTCATATTTTGGCACAAGGGAACATATTTAACTGAAGTTCTTGTCAAGCCTAAAGCTGAAAAAAGTCCACTTCTGTGTGAAATGTCTATCTGGCACTTACAAACATATGGCGACATCATTGACAGCACTGCTGTGGCTGGTGGAAATGAGTTCTGGATTGAAGTCGTCGTAACTGAAGCGGTACATCTGACTAGCCTCTGTACCAACAAAGAACTGCTGGCCCTCTCCTCTCAGAGCAATGGAAGTCACCCCCTTTTCAAGCTCCACTGTCCTGATGAGGGACAAGACGAAGAAAGAAAAAAAAGTCTTAACACTGTAAGTATTATGTTTGTACTCAAGATATCTTGTTGGTAAAAGGTGTGGATTCTGTATACAATGCACTATCACCAAATATCAGTATTTTATCACTGGGTATTATTGAAATAATACAGATGCAGGACTTACTTGTGAGTTGCAAAGCTTGTGCTGGAACACAGAGAGAAGGTGCCCGATCCAGAGCCCACAAGCAGGTCCCCAGACTTCAATACCCTCAGAACATTAACACCCTGCACAGAGAAGAATAATTGCTGATCATGAAGATAAAGCTCTGAAATCAAATTATTTTTGGCAACTATTTTCCAGTTTGCCTTTTCAGTATAATGTCTACAAAGGCAGGTTGGTTGGTCCTCCTGAGTTGGTTCAAGGTGGTGTAATGCACAAGTGCCCACATTTATAACAGCAGTTAAGGTGACCTTATAAATGTTGCAATAAAATGAAAAAAACAAACCTTACACAGAGTCAATTTTGAGGTGCAACAGCTCGTTTATGTTGACCTACCAGGTTGTATTTTTTTTTTACTGGACCACAGTCTGTCAGAAGCCCCTGCTTCATGTTGATCTTCATTATGTCTCCACTGGTGGTGCCACAGAACATGAACTGATCATCCTCCGAAATCTGTGTAATAAAATCATATTCATGAATGATAGAACATCAGTTTACCATGCACTGTGTGTTTTTGGTCAAGTCAAAAAGAACTGATCATTGTGTAACGCTAAATTGGACTGTGGCCTTGGGTCACATTTAACACACAATTAGTGGTCATTGTTACACACGTTTAGCTGTTCACCTCCCTAAATGAATCAAGTGACTCACTAATTATCTACTTACTCTTGGAAAGTCTTATCATTATTGCTATGAGATTGATATAAAATGGGATCAAACCTCAACACATTTCACAGTCCTCCTCAGCTTGCTCGTCTGACACTCTTTGGGCCTGACTTTCCTGTTTGGGAGGTCCAGCTCCCAGACTCGATATGTCTCCCTGTCAAAAAAAACAAACAAACAAAAAAAAAACAATGATATTAAGAAACTTCTAGACTTGTGATGGCCATAAAGCTCTAGATTATCTCGATGGAGTTCACATGACATGAAAAAGATGTCTTAAAACTCTGTCAGAAAAGCAGGTAAAGCTTACCTCCCTGCAGATACAAACACATTGTCATTTGTGTTGGAGAACTGTACAGTGAGGCAGTGACCAGAGCTGTTGGCTGAAGCGGGGCTTCCACAAATGGCCTGTTTGGTCTCAATATTCCATACCACTATGCTGAAAACACAGAGAAAAGAAACTACACTCATGGCATTGTGTTGGGATTATGTGATTAGTTATGCACTGGGTAAGACACAATTATAATTGAAACAAGTTTCTGTCCGCACCACACAAACTTTACCTGTCATCATCCACACCACCAAGAGACACCAGGTACTTTTCACCTGGAGAGAAGGCCAGTGCTTCCACTTTTGCCTTGTGAAGCTCAAGCTGGGCATATTCTTTTCGCTGTTCATAGTCCCAGATAATAATAGGAGCCTGAGAAAACATGTTTTCATTGAAACATATGCAAGAACACTTTTGATATCATTTCTTACCACAGAAGAATTCAAAAACATATTGTTTCAATAGCTACCTTAAAACCCATAGAGTTGACTTGTCCAGAGGCGATATAAGATCCACTTTTGGACACTGAAATACAGGATATATTGTTTGTGTGTCCATGAAGGAACTCCTGCTTGCCATCTTTGATTGTCTTTAAAATGATTGTGCTTCCCAGTGGATAGATCAGGTGCTCTCTGTGAGGATGGACTCTCAGGCCAGAAATCACATGTCCTAAAAAGACAAGATTAAATGAAACATGAGCCCCAACGAACTAAAACACACAGCATTAACGAGAAGATCCATACCCCGACATTTTGACGTTTTAGTCCACTTGTATAATTATCAGGGTAGAAACCAAAGAAAGCTCACTATAACTCCTTTTAGCCATATTCTTAAATTGTCAATTTATATCTTATTCTTATGAGAAAAATAGCGGGCAACCTAGCAACTTGAATTGGCACAAATTGACCGTTTAGCCGCAGCGGTCGAGCGAAAATTTACCGTTAAATCCAATAACAGCTTCCAACTGAAGTTGAGATGCGTCCTGTCTTTCAAGAGCCATGGTGGGATAACAAGAGAGTTTTAAATCTCAAAGCTGGTTAGAAAAAGCTACTTTCCTATATGCTGTTTAAGTTAGCTACCAGTATAACGCTTAGGCAGTTTCTCAAACGAGGACTAACAAACAACCGTTACCTAGCAACAACTGGGAATCTTTAGGCTCCTTTGATTGGTCAATGACCGTCCTTGTTGCCTTTACGTGCTGTCGGTATTTTTTGAACTCCAAAATGGATTTTTTTTCTTTTCAACAACACTTTAAAAGATGTCTCAAAACATAGTATTTTATCGACTAAGAATTTCCCCGTTTCTTACCGAAAATCATCTTAGTCATGTTGAGTAAAATGAAGAGGTTTATATGGGCTGAGATTTGTGCCACAAGAAACTGAAGTTAATGTTTTGAAACGGAATTTTTTTCATTTACTTGATTTACCATGTTAATAACCAATCCCAAATGAATTGAATTTTAAACTGAAATTGCTTTTTTTTTTAATCCAAGTAATATAGAGTCGAAATTTCAAGTAGGTTACAATTTCAAATCGAATAAATCCAGTTTTAAAACATTGATTTCAATTTCAAATCATGCTGTTCTTCTGCCATTTTCTTTCTCTTCTCATTTCTCTCTGTCTTTTTGTAGTTGTTTGATTTCTTCCTTTCTCCAGGGTCGAGTTAGATTTGAAAGTTTGTCAAGAGAAGTTAATAGTTTTTGTCATCTAAAATGTGGCTGAACTGCGTAGCCAAGTCTCAGTTAAAAACATGCAGTCATGCAGTATTGTTGTCTAAGATCAAATCATTGATAAGAAATGCTTTGTTTGAAAGAGATCTCACACATTAAAAAGTACTGTGTCCAATGTCCTTTGGGGCAGATTTTCAGGGGTAATTTCTGTGCGTGAATTGGTGTAAGATTATTTAAATTCATAGATGATGGTATTGTTTCGTTGCATATCCCATGTTGTCTCCTTTGAGTGATAAAGTTTAGGATAGAATAGATGTGGTGGTCCAAGTCCGGTAATGCATGTAATACCATTAACAGTGGAACTACAATCACAGTAATTTGGGCCAAGGGGACATCAGTCAGTGACGGACTTATTAGTAGGATCAGGCTCGAAGGAGGTGGATGAAGGTTGTTGCTTGTCATATGCCATATTGAAGGACAGTAGATGGCTACTAGCTCTGTTGATAAGAAGCCCATCGGCCCCAAACAGATGCCTCCTATCCCAAAAGACATTAAAATCTATGAAGCCCATATTGTGGGCACCAAAACCAGAAGACGGCCAGGTGTTGAGGCTCTGAATCACCCCACCCTATCGCCTCGTCACAGGTGGGAGTGGGACCAGTGGTGTAAACTTGTATTAGTGTTGAACTATTTGACATTCTTAACATCACAGCCTACCTTAATAGCCTTTACAACCAATCAGAGATGAAAGCAGAAATAGAAGAAGAAGACGAAGAAGGCTGTGTCCGACATGAATCAGTCAATCCCTAACCCCTAACCCCCATATGGGGTTTCACTACATAGTTGACTATGTAGTGAACTCAATCACCGGAGGTTTCGGACACTACATGGCGAGACGCAATGCATGACGGAATGCCCACCACCGTTGAGTGACCATCTGATGGTCACTACATTTTACAATGCTTTATGGGAAATTGTGAGTCGCCTATATGGGACACTGGAATTAATCGATCAGGTTTTGGACACCCCTCAAAATGGCGCTAACCCCCACATAGTCGTCTATAAAGGGGATAGGGATCCATTTTGGACAATAATAATAATAATAATAATAATAATAATAATAATAATAATAATAAGACGAAGAAGAAGAGGACAAAGAAGAAGATGAAGAAGAAGAAGACGAAGAAGAAGAAGAAGAAGAAGAAGAAGAAGAAGAAGAAGAAGAAGAAGAAGAAGAAGAAGAAGAAGAGCACCACCACCCGGTCAAATTCGTGGTTGTCGTTTCTATACAGTATTTCAATTTCAACAATGAAATAATCACATTCATTCAGGTCTTTTATAACTACGTTGTAATTTTACAATTAAGCTAGTTGTAGGAACCTTTAATCGTGAAACTGGGCGCCATTATCTTTCCGGGGCTCTGCTTCAGTTGGGGGACGCACTCCGTTCAGGAGAAAAGTGTGTGGCTGTTTTTAACTGAAGCATTCATTCGGACTGAAGCGAGCTTGCTGATGCTGAAGCTGTCCAACAAGTATCGAAGCTGTCACAAACAGCAAGGGGCAAAGAATCATAGATATCTTTAAGAAACTCTCCCTCCCGTCTAGAGAGCATAATACTGCATCTGACTTGCAGACAGCTGAGAAGAACGACAGAGATAGTGGACTTCTTTTTCTTAGATATCTTTTACTTGCAAGGAGTCAGCAGCTTACAACAAAGACAGCTTCCTCTGACTGAGGAATTCAGATTTTTACACATCCTTTATGCAGTCAAGAAACAGACAACCCCGCCCTCTAACATCATCTCACAAGTGGCATGACATTACAACAGTATCCAAATAGGGAACAGGTTGCAGCTGTGGTCTGTACTGGGAGAACAAAGACAGCTTAGTTCATCATCAGGTTCCTTCTTATCAGTTCACCCTCACACTGCTTGGGAAACAACCTGTGAGTAAAATTATAGCATTCATCTAGTTGCATGGCTTCAGTGGAAAAGTATCAGTCCCAACTCCTAGGCCATACTTCTCCTTTCCCATGCTCATTATAAAGAAACAGATATGACTCTGCAAGCATTCACACTGAGTGATTTTCAGTAAATGATGATTAACATACTTGTATAATGATAAAATACACGTGATAGCATACACATACAATTTTTCTTTCAATTGACAACATCATTGTTTCGGATTACTTTATCAATGTGTCAAGAAGTTCAAGTTGTTGTCATTAGCAATTTGTTGCACCCACATGACCATTTTGACATGTAGTTCAGACAACAATAAATACAGTTGACTTTATCTTGTATGTTGCCTTTTGACCTGTTTAATTTGGCCCTAAAAACTGACTTTTACCCTGATTTCAAGGGTAAAAGTAAATATTTCTACAAGAAAATAGATAGGTGTGGACTGTTTTTCAAACACCCTGTTGCACCCTGTGGGCAGAGATAGCAGTCGTACTTTCAATCTCCACATAAGCAAAATAAATGAATTAAAGAATCTTTAGAAATGCAAAATAATATAATTTTTTCAAGATGCAATTATGAATGCAGTTGGTGGCAAATAAATATCAAAGTGGAAATTCAGTAGATGGAGGAAAGAATAAATACATATATACAAAATTTAACAGAATGTATAATTTTCCAAGGGTGTACACAATTTAATGGTTGATAATATGCTACAGAAATATGGCCTCTGAAAAACAACACAGTTGTACATTTCCCCTAAATTCCTCAAAACAAGTCAGGGTGGGTTTGCTATTCCGGAAAGGGGGCGGACTCTTTTGCAGGGACTATAAAAACAAAGACTCTGGTTTTCATGTAGCACAGTCATGGGTCTTTCAGGGATTAGGAGGTGGACATGGACTCTGTTTGTCTTCCTGAGCTGGATCTTTGTGGGTCAGGTGGTGGCAGACCCGTAAGTTTGTCTATCTGTCTAAGAAAGTTTATTTTAACTTACTCACTTTAACTTTCTTGCAGAGTTTGACAGTGTTAGTGTTGGAGGACAACACTTCACCTGATTATCTTTCAGGATTTCTTCCTTAGGTGCTAACTAAAGTTTGGCATTTCATTCTAGCATTATCATGTGGGTATAAGATCCTTCTTTACAGGGGTATTCTTGATAGCCATGGGCTGTAAGATGAATATGCTATAAGATGAATATTTTTGTGTCTGCAGACAGTATTTAGTTGCTGTCCCTAAAGTACTTGAAGCTGGAGCTGAAAGCAAGTACTGTGTGAGTCTCCTGCAGCCTGATGAGCCCCTGAATATCACCATCACACTGACCTCTGAGGAAGAGGAGACCGTCCTCTTGAAGACCACAGCCAGCATGGAATTTCACCAGTGCTATATCTTTCAGGTCAGCTCTTTAAACCGGTTTATTCTGTCGTCATAATAAAAACAAATCAACAAACAACCCAGTGAGAGGCGAAATGCTGGTCAAGTATTTATCCAACTTTACCTATCCATGAACTACATGGAAACTGGTTGCATTAATTTTTTTGCTCTGATTGATCTAAGCCACATTGCAAGAGTCCACTATTTCCCGTCTGCATGTAGTTTCTATGGATACAACTTTGATCACAGACTCTGGCAGAGTAGAGCTGATCTGTTATCATATCAATGCGCAGAAAGAAGCCCGGCTAGTTTGAAGCTCGTTTGAGAGGATGGTATGAAAACAGCATAGAGACAAAGCAGGAGAGGTTCAAGACATAAAAACTGTATGATATGACAGAGATTATTAAAAATTGTGCATGAAGAAAACACTTTGTGGGACACAGTTGAGGATACAGCGATTCTGCTAATATTAGGTGATATGACGGTGAAGTTAGTGGTAGACTTTCACCATGAAACCAGCTGGACAGTGGTCTCACCCAGAGAGGGTTTAGGAAGGACAGTTAGCTCAACAGAGAGCAACAACCTTTGAACAATCAATAAATCACTCTCATGGCAAATAAATAATATAATTTGCATGATCTCAGTGAGGACTTCCTCCTGCACAAATAAGGAGTAAAAATATAATAGTTGAATGAATTGATGTCTCATGATTTATTTGCTTTCAATACTAGGTGGTTTTTCTTGTAAGGATAAATAAAATAGACACACCTCAATAGTTTGACATTTGATCGTTATATATGTTTTCAAATCAAAATTGGAAAGAAGTATAAAATATGAAACAATAACTTATTTGTAATCCCTAAGTTGGTCTTAGATAGTGACTTGCAAATCCTAGTAGTTGAGGTTCCTCCTGCTATGCTACCACACCTTAGTGAGACTGGTGAAAGAACATGGCTTCAGGGTGAACGTCTGTCAGATAGGCTATCCTTCTCACTACAAGTACAAGTACTCTAAAATGAGTTTTCTGGTGGATGAACAACTTAAAAATAAGATGCTTTGTGTAAAATCCCTTCTCACCCATCTGGGTCACATACTGTTGCACGTAATCCCTTGCTTGGTTCACTCCTTTGTTTCTATGTTCCTGCTACAGGCACCTATGGAGGATGATGAAAAGATCCTGAACTTCAAGGTGGTGGTTGATGGAAACAAATTCAAGTCAGAGGAAGTCAGGAGGGTCATGGTTAAGGGCTACCAACAGTTGACCTTCATCCAGACAGATAGACCACTTTACCTGCCAGGCCAAACAGGTAACAAGAACATGAACTTCTGATACTTATTGAATACACAGATAATCAATATGGAAATTTTTGAGCTGAAAAGACACAAACACAGGTTTAATGTAGATAAAGCATCAGGTTAAGGGTAAATTGTATTTAGTAGTTTCAACTTACAACATGTAGCCATACTATGACAGGTGCCAATACAGCCAAGATGTTTGAAGATTGAAGGAGATCTAAAAAATGTGTTGTTATTCATCATTATTGTTTCTGGTAGCAGCCCACATCTGTGGCTAGAGGCCTTGAAGGATTTGAATGTGCTGTAATCAAAACAATCTCTTTGTATTCTTGTCAGTTCATTTCAGAGTCGTCACCCTGGACAGTATGTTTCGACCTGTCAGTCAGCTGGTGAGTTGTTGAACTGTCCCTTTGTGACCTTGTGAATCACTCTGTATAAATAACTTTTCCTGTTGAAACTCGGGGTCAGTCAGTGGTGAAATCCAGTCCACCCAAAGGTAAACATGAATGAGGTTGAAGTCTATCACTAATTTGCTGATTCAGCTCCTTTATTATCTGGAGATATCAGTAATGCCAACTTTTCACAAAGGAAATCCAATTTGAAAAATGTAGACCCTGCTATTTTTATATACAATTCATTTTCAAAGTGAGAAAGTAGCAAAAAAAAAGGGCCATAATTAGAAAAACATAAGGATTAAGGGCTTCTTCAGATAACTTTGCAAGAATAATCTCAAATGTTGTTAAAAATGTACAAACTTCTTTTAGCTCTGATTATTTTTTTGATGCTGACACTTTACTAAAAGTCAGATCTTATTCTTTAATGTTGTTATAATTATTATAATAGATTTATTCTCATCTTTTAAGGTTTAACACAAAGGTTGGCATAATTCTGAATTTTTTAAATCAGACAACTGGAGAATTGATTTCTCATTTAACCCTAGCAGCAGTTTTTAAAGTTTAAATACTTCCATATCTAAGTAAAATGTGTACATATTTACAGTTGTTGCATATTTAGAAGTCTTTTCCTAATCCTCAATATTTTGATGTGCTGCTTGGCATTTGAGCTTTATTTTCTCAAAAACAGTAGGGGAAAAAGTCCCCATCCCCTTTTGTTTTATGGCTGGCTTCTAAAGCTGTATTTGTACTTATTTTCAAAAATCTCACTACAGTCTATCATTTTGACTTTTTTTCTCCACATGGTAATTTTTTTGTTGCCATAAGAACCTCATTTCCAAGAAAAACTTATTGAAAAACCTGCCTCCAATTTAGTATTTCTGACATTTGTCTTAAAACTCTGTTGTACAACAGACAGGTAAGGATGTGACTTTTGATTTTGAACACTAAATCTTTGAGAGGACAGTATTTGAAGGCTTGTACCATCAGTAACTGTGCTGAGAGGTAACCCAATAATTATTTCCAATTGAGTCCCAAAAGCAGAAATAAACAAGAGTGTAATTCAGTATTTATTCATCTTGAAATGTGTTAAATCATTGTAGTGTCACTTTAAACCCCAAATTTTGTAATCACATCAGAATAAACAACAATGAAGTCTTTGATTTTGGGCAGCTGTCCTCAGGGTTTTTATTTTGATGGCTGTTAAATCAGCTCTTTTATTAATCCTGATTATTGTTTTGTCTTTGGCAGTATGACACCATTGTAATCAAGGTAAGACTAAATCAAACCTTAACTAAAGATATTTTTATACATTTCGAGATTGGCAAATTCTCAAGCTACCAAGCACTTGGCATAAATGTTTCATGAATACACACGCTCTCCTGTATTTTATTCAACAGGATCCAAATAATTACTGGACCGGCCTGTGGCTGAACGCCACATCTGATAGAAAAATATTGCAGCTGTCCTTCCCTTTGAGCTCTGAGGCTCGTGAAGGATATTACCATATTGATGTTTTGGCCAATGGAAGGAGAACAGGACGCGGCTTCAAGGTGGAAAAATATGGTAAGCGTCATCATCCCCACTCACAAAGTTAAGACCAAGGCTATAACAAATGGAGGATGCTAACAACCATTCTTTGCTCTCAGTTTTGCCAAAATTCAAAGTCACCATAAAAGTATCTGATGAATTAAGCATTGGAGAGAAGGAGTTTGCAGTAGAAGTCTGTGCACAGTAAGTTTGACTTGACTTATTTAATGTTGTGATTTTAAAACTGGTGAAATCTTTTTAACAGTATAATAATCTTTTTTTTTTTCTTCAAAATTTCTGTCCAATCAGATACACATTTGGTCAATCTGTGCCAGGCAGTTTTGAACTTGAGCTGTGCCGACCTCTGATACGAGACGCTGAACTCAATACCACAGCTCCATGCCACATGGAGACAAAGCAGGTACACAAAGACACAGAAACACACAAAGCATATAAAAACAAACACATTGAATAAAAATATACTCTGAACAGAGTCCAAACTTTTACCCTATGTCAATCTTTCAAATGTTGTGTAAGGTCTCACCCCCACTCCTGTGGCCTCATGTCTCTACATTACTTTGTCTCAAACACATCACTCTTTACAAACCACCTTATTTCAGTAAAAATGCACCAAAATATGGAATTTTTCTAGTCAAGATCCCCCCAGCCATCAGTCATATCCTTTGCATAATTGTTTATGATTGGTGGGTGAGCACTGGTAGTAAACTTCTTTTCACGCAGCATATTGGGATACAACAGGTGCACTTAAATGGCCATGAGAAATCATACATTGTATTGTGGTTGTATCTAGATAGAAAAGAATGGTTGTGCCAGGTTTGATTGTGAGATGTCCATCTTCACAAAACTGGAGCCAGGGGTGATGCAGAATAAACTGGAAATCCAAGTCAACGTGAAAGAGGAGGGGACAGGTAAGCTTCAGATATTCAGTTTTCAAAAGACATATCAGGACATACAGTTGTAATATGACTGCTTTTGTTACAGATTTCTCACTTGCACAGTGGAAAGACACAAAGCTTACTTATGCAGTTGGAAAACTTCTCTTTATTGACACACCAAAGTTTTATAACCAAGGATCAATTTTAGAAGGAAAAGTAAGAAAATCAAGTATGTAGACTCTCATTAATTTGAATAATGAATACAGGACAACTGCATTCTCAGTAGTCAATCCTCTTGCTTCCAGGTTAAAGTCGTTAACTTCAATAATGAACCTGTGCCTGACATGCTGGTCTATTTGTTTCATGATGGATTCAGGGCACTCCCAATACACAGCCTTACAACTGACAGCAATGGTATCGCTACTTTCACATTGAATACAACTGACTATGATGGTAACATCCGACTAAAAGTAAGTCAGTGGTTACAGTGTTTATAATAATAATGATGACATAGACATGATGGTGTAACAAATTCTACATCACAATGTTGATGTTCATTTGTGGTTTAGGGGTAATGCTAACATTTATTTGTGTTTATTTGTGTGCATCTGAAGTGAAACTGGTTTGAGCCAGACACTACAAATAGCTTCAAGATTCTTGTATGTGTGGGAGAGTGGGGTAAGATGAGCCATTTTTCATATTTCAGATCACTACATCAAGACAATCATAGTTTTATCTCTAACTAGTGTATCTGCATATATTTCAAGATGTCATGCATCCCTGCAAACCAACAGAATGAGTGTAAACATTACTTGATAATATAGCATGCCAAAAAAAGTTCCCCATGCATGGGGTCAGTTGACCATAGGGGTGGGGTAAGTTGAGCCGCATCCCTACTACCCCCCACTCTCCTCCCAACCTCCTCCCTCTCTCACCTTCTCTCTCCCTAAATAACAGTCTCCTCTTCATATTCATGTGTATTTTTATTTATTAAATGCTATTCAACTGGTACAATAATTCTTTTTATTATTATTGCATATAACTGCTAAAAGGCTGTTTTGTAGAAAAAATATTTTATCATGAGAATGCCTTTAAGTAATTCAACACATTCACAGCTGTATTTTTAAAAAGAAAAAGTAACACATCTCAACAATGTGAACTGAAACTCTGATCCTCTCATCAGACTCCTTTAATTTCTCAGTTGAGCCACTGTCTCAACTTACCCCAGAACTACCATTATGACTTTATTTGTCCTGTAAGCTAAAATGGTGGACTTGAATGCTAGGTTTTTGACCTCATGTTGTAGCTCATAGATACCACAGTTGATGTATAAAACAAATTTAAAATGATCTTTTTTGGTCTGAACACAATTCTAATAAAACTTCTGACAGACTAAATTCACTTTCAAGAGTGAAATGCGTGTTTTGGAAATAAATGTCTAACCCCTTCACTCATGTGCTTCTAACCTTCATAGACTCCATGAATTGATGCCCATCTCCTAAATATTTGGTCACATGATCAATTTCTTTTACCATTTCCAAGCAACAGGGGGTGGCTCAACTTAACCTTTGGCTCAACTTACCCCACTCTACCCTACTTGTACCATTGTTAAGAGGGTAATCTCACTTCTTCTCTACAATCCAGGCAGACCTCAAACAAGACCAAGGGCCATTCCACCACCTACAAGTTCCATACTATCATAATGCACATCATACAGTTTCCTTTGTGCGGCCGCCTCCTCCTGGTGTTAAATCATTCAGCTCGCTGGAGGTGAAGAAAGGGTTGGAAAAACTTCTCTGTGACACAGAGGAGAATTTTTCAATTGTCTATACTTTGGTGGAAGAGACCAGAGCTGCAGTGGATGTGGTGTATCTGGTGAGCAGTGGCAGAGTTAGAAGATGGGCAAATACAGATGTGTCAGTGTGGAGAACACTATCATCAAGTTTGCTGCGGTGTCTTGCAGAACAACAGCAATGGCTCCTATAAAGCTTATGCTTTCTAAGGCATTAATTTGCCACATTTATCTCATTCAATTTGGCACCTGTCTAGATTTTGAGTTTCTGCAAATTTTAACAAAAAAATGGAAAGGTCTTAATTGCTGCCTTGCAATTTTGTGGTGTTGGAAGAATATTGAGAAAATATCTGAACTCAAGGATGATGATTAATTTGAACAATTTTATGATTATTTGTCCAGATCTTATCGAGAGGAAATATCCTCATGCAAGGACATCAAAAGGTGGAAGTGAACAACAAGAGTGGTGGGTAAAGACAGCTCATTACAAGTAGGAACTGAAGCGCTAATTTCATCCAAGAATGGGAAGACAGAAGAAAGTGAACCATGATTAGTTTCTTAAAAATCAGATTCTAGGTGCAAATTTTGTTCTTTTTTTGAATCATGGAATTTAATCTTGCAAAACTGCAACTCACTTACTGTATGTCCCATTACTGTATTCTTTTCTTCTCTTTTGCTTACCGTTTTCAGTGACTGAAGGCGAGATCTCATTTGCATTGAAAGTGACCTCAGATTTAGCACCTGAGTTCCAGATTGTGGCTTACACTGTCCTCCCAAATGAGATTGTGATTGCTGACAGTGCAGAGTTTCCCACTGAAAAATGCTTCAACAACAAGGTCAGTGTTAAAATATAAAGATGTCAAAACATTCATTTGGGCTTCACGACTTAGCTGTGGTGAGACTTTGGCCTTTTACTCGGGGGTTTGGTGCTGCCGAAGTATGGCACAAAAAAGTTTGTATTCCAAAGTGCACGTTTTAAACTCAGGCAAACTTTTTTCTTGCATGCACAATATATTAAGGTAAGATATGACAAGTTAAGATATTACTTTATTTATTCCTCGTGGGAAATTTACAGCAGCAATAAATACAAAAGAGAAATAAAAGGATGAAAATGTTTGGGGTTAAAATGAGATACACTTTACATACTTTAGATATACTTTACATATTAGTGATTTCAAGTTTTTATTTGTATTATTTTTGGTGTGCACAACAGATGATCGAGATAAACTGTGTGGGAAGAAGTTGTGCACACTCTCTTCCAATGTGTGATAAACCGGACATTAGCAAACGTTTTGACTCCAACATGTCACGGGATAATTGGCCAACCATGTATTAGTGTTGCTAAAGGACAGATGTTGATGATGATGAAGCTATTATCTTGCTGGCGTTGAGTATACTCACATCACAAAAGTGTTTATATTATAGATTTAGAGGTTCCTTCTGTTTCTCAAAAAAAAAAAAAAACTGTCTTCAAGTTGTCCTTGGCCAGAAATAATAATCAGTGAGCATGTGACTATGCGAGAAAGTATCTTGACAGGGGGAGCAGGGCACCTCAAGGAGATGGATCCATGGTAAGGGCCTGATGTGATATGATAAGTATAATTAGGTTGTTCCTCACATGGCTCTTACTGTGTAGGAGTAATAGCAGTTATTATAGGGTTTTGTATGGTGGCTCTGAAGTGCAAAACCAAAGACAAATTCCAAAACACATCAACAAGTTATGAAATATAACAACAAATCACAATATACTGAAAATAATAAAATACAATGAATAAAAAACAAAATGACAAAGAACAACAAGCAAAAATCAACAATAAATTAAACACACACAAAAAACAAAACAACAAATTACAAAAACAACTACATATCAGAAAACACTACAATTAATAGGAAAACAAAACTATGAATCACAAAACACAAAATAGGAAAAACAGCAAAAATCTTAGAAAACTGAACCATAAGTAAAAAACACAATAAATCACTAGTTACAGCAACAACCTAAAAACACAACAACAAATCACTAGTACCAGCAACAACCTAAAAAACACTAGTTACAGCAACAACCTAAAAAATACAACCAGGATTGAGATTAAAAGTTGAACTTTTTAAAGAGTTCCAAATATGAAGTAAATTACAGTTTTGATCTACATTTGTAAAAGCAATAATTTTTTTTAACATACAGTACAGGCCAAAAGTTTGGACACACCTTCTCATTCAATGTCTTTTCTATATTTTTTATATGACTATTTACATTGTAGATTATCACTGAAGGCATTAAAACTATGAATGAACACATGTAGAATTTTGTATTTATAAAAAAAGTGTGAAATAACCGAAAACTTGTTTTATATTCTAGTTTCTTTAAAATAGCCACCCTTTGCTCTTGATGACAGAACTACCTTGTCAGGGTTACTTCAGGCACTCCTGTGAAGTAAAAAACATTTCAGGTGACTACCTCATGAAGCTCATTGAGAGAACAGCTCAAGTTTGCAGCGCTATCAAAAAAGCAAAGAGTGGCTACTTTGAGAAATCTAAAATATAAAACATGTTTTCAGTTATTTCACACTTTTTTCTTAAGCACATGATTCCACATGTGTTCATTCATAGTTTTGAGAATCTACAATTTAAATAGTAATGAAAACAAAGAAAATGCATTGAATGAGAAGGTGTGTCCAAACTTTTGGCCTGTACTGTATATAACAACTTGCATTTGGCATCCTGGTTGTCTATGTGTGTGTGTGTGTGTGTGTGTGTGTGTGTGTGTGTGTGTGTGTGTGTGTGTGTGTGTGTGTGTGTGTGTGTGTGTGTGTTATTTCAGGTTTCCTTAGAGTTTTCTCCAACTTCAGCTGTTCCAGGAGAGGAGTCCATCCTGCATGTTTCAGCTGATCCAGGCTCTCTGTGTGGCGTGAGCGCTGTTGACCAGAGCGTCCTTATTGAGATGCCTGGTGAAACTCTGGTAGCAGAAGAGGTAACTGGTTGTTGGAACCGTCTCAGTTTAACAGCGAAATAGGCAAAAAACATGACTCTGCAGACAGTAAATCAAACTCTCTATATTCCCAATCCTTGTAAATTAACTGTGTGTGATTAGAACAGAGCCAACACTGCAGATATACTTTCATTTTTATTTAAACCATGTTGCATTTCAAAACTCTTATTTGTATCATGCTGTGTATAAGTATAGTTGAAATGTCCTTACAGATTCTTAAATATTTCTTATCTATATTTATATCTATATCTATATCTATATTCTATGCATATCATTGTTGTATATAAAAGCATAATGCATGCATTAAAATACTCAGGGCCCTTATCTTTTTTTTCAGATATTTCAATTATTGCCTAACAAAAAGTATTTTGCCAGGCATGTTGAAGACGATGAAGAGTGCTTAGAATTGACACATAAAAGATTTTTGCGCAGACACAGGAGGAGCAGTACTGAAATCGGTGGTTTTCCAGTTTTCAAGGTAATTTCCATGGATTTTTTTAAATAAATCTGTGCTTCACATTTGTCTTACATTTGTATAAAACCTGAAAACTGATGGTTATTTCTCAGCTTCACTAGATAAGAAAATTCATTAGGAACACCTGGCCGAATGTGGAGTGTAACAACATTCCTGATAAGCGATTGGCCACTGTGAAAACACAGCTTGATCAGTGCAAGCCATGCCAGGCATATTAGCATAAACAGCCCCCCTTCAACAACAGCCAATATACTTGGTGCAGTTAATTTATTTGACAAGAGAGGTGTACTGCACCAGAGAGCATATTTTTACAGATTCATTAGGTCATGCAGTTCACACAAGCTAACATCAGCATTCAGAAATTATTAGGCAAAGTTAGCTCCACGTTTTAAGAATATTCACACTTGAGACACAGCAGTACAACATCAAAACAGCATTTCAGCTGCCAATGCCAAGAATAATCTCAAACCAAATAGCCATCATACAAATGTTGTTAGTGAGTACTGTGCACTGATATCTGTATATATTGATTGTTTTCCCAGGAATTGGGCCTTAAGATTGTGACAAACATGTTCACCAAGCTGCCATCATGTGTAAGCTTCAAGGGGAAACGATTCTACGATATTCATTGTAAGCATTTTTATTGGCTCAGCCAAATGAAGCATGCCGAATTTGTGCAAGTTACCGGGTTCCAAGTTCCACCTGTGATTTAGGTTTTATGATCTATGTCCTCAGATTTTCAACATGTTAGCCATGGTGAAAGAGGAGTACTTGGTTCTATAGGTCCTTCATGGAGGAAAAGGATCCGCACTTTTTTTCCAGAGACTTGGATATGGAACCTTGTGGAAGTCGGGTGAGTTCCTGTTGGGGCATCTTTGCTTGGCAGCCATGTTTCTTTATATTTACATCAAAGAAGGCAAATCAAAGGACAACAGTGTAATGTTAGATCTCTACCTTTTAAAATGGCATGATGTGGGGCTGTGGAGTACCCAAAGGCCATAAATTGTAGATGACAAATTCAAGAGTGTAAAACTGGCACACTTGAAGTTTTTTTATCATGATGTATTTGGATGAAAGGGAGACTATGGGCTCTATTTTCGTGCCACGCCAGAGACATGGCGGACCTGACTTACGCCTCCGCCATGTCTCTGGTGTGGCACGAAAATAGAGCCCATTGTGTTGTTATGTCTAAATAGCCACATCGAACTGACCAGATTCATAGTAATTTGCAGTTAGTTTCGCCTCTGACCCAGCTTTGATGTATCTCAAGCAAGTCATTGTAGCTCAGAAAGTTCACTGAATGTATGTATGTATGAATAAACAGACCTTGCAAGAAATCCTCAGGAAAAATGTATCTTTAGTATCTCACAAAGATTACCATAATTCTTGGATCCCATTTGGTATAAATTTGCTCGTCCAACTCACACTATTTATTTTTGTGTCTCTGCTCCTCCAGAGAGTCTGGGTCGACAGACTTGTCCCTCACTGTCCCAGACACCATCACAACCTGGGAGACGGAGGCTTTCTGTTTGTCCCCTCAGGGTTTTGGCTTGGCTCCTAGGAAGACACTCAGAGCCTTCCAGCCCTTCTTCCTTGAGCTCAGCCTGCCTTACTCCATCATCCGAGGGGAGCAGTTTGATCTAAAAGCTACAGTCTTTAACTACTTGTCCAGCTGCATCATGGTAATCAGTGTCTTCACTTCATTAGGGCTCCAAATGAGGTGCAGAGAAACAGCAACTGTTTTTAGCTGAGTATTCTGTTTGTTTTTGTTTTTGATGAGAACACATGAAACTTATGAAATCAGTGAAAAAGCAGTTTCACCTTAAAATCCAGTTTCTCTGATGCACTTTGAGAGGCTGCAAGCAAATTAAGGGCCTGATGTACTAAGATCCCAATTAAGGGGTGCTAAATTGCATGTGCAAACCAAAAAACTGCACATGCTATTAGTGGGCTTGTTGTGGGTGATCTACTATCATTGTGTGCACAATTGATAACAGGCGCAAAAGTGGTGCAGACCACCCTCTTTAAACGAGGATTTGCATGTGCAATCAGCTGTCACCGTGAAGAGTCTGGGAGAGCAGAGTGGTGGTAGCTGAAAAATGAAGATTTAAGCCATGGAGCTGCACATATGGTTTTAGGGAACTGCATAAAAGGCAAGCGAGGCAAGTTTATTTGTACAGCACCATTCATACACAAGGCAATTCAAAGTGCTTTACAGATGCAAGAAGATATACTAGATCAATAAGACAAACAGATTTTCTTTTCGTCTGTTCCGCGTTTGACCTTATTTTTTATGAAAACCGTCATATACCAGAAAAACAAAATAAATCACAAGCGTTCAGACAAGGAGCTCCACAACACTCAGCCACTCTCCAAGACTTGACTGTCCCCAAGACCTGCAGTGTCTCTGTTATTTACTGTGTCTTGAGTGCGTGGGAACTGGGCATACCTGCCCATCCTGCATGACATAGCATTTAACACTTGGGACAGCACACCAGAAAAACTATTCTGCGAGACGCACTAACTGCAATGGTGCGCTGGAATGATCCAGACACAGGAAAATGCAGTGTTACAAGGAGTTTTCAGTTGGAGATGTGGCATGGATCATTTTTGTGACTGACTCCAAATCAGCCCCTAGGTCACCCAGCAGCTCAAAAATGGCATTACTATTACTGTACTATTTTTATTTCTGACAGTCCAAATATGTTGACACGAGCACGGAAGACTCTCTCTCTCTATTGACTATCATTGCACTTTTGCCTCCTTCTCCCCACAATGACCGCAGTCTTTTATGCGGAACAGTTTGCATGTGCCTTTCAAACATGCTAAATATAGCCTCAAAACATCGACCACTATCAGTTTCAGGTTTTGATAAACCACTTTCCGGGTGCTTAATTATTCCATTTGCATCTGCTCCTCCCAGTATTTTGCACGTTCTGATGATCTACATACATTCTGAATATTCATAAAGGCAAACACGTGAAATGGATTGTGCATGCTGTTTTGCTCATTTGACAGACGTAATCCTCATTGCACCCAGTTAGTAGATTAGCTTTGTGCACGCTATCAAGTTTGTACACGCAAAACTTTGGTAGATCAGGCCCTAAGTGTTTAGTTTTCTTAAACTGTAGCTAGATTTCAATATAGTTTATGGTCTTTTACAGGTCACTGTTAATCCAGCTCCCTCAGCGGACTACACCCTCACCCCTCTCTCCGGTGAACAGTACACTTCCTGTATGTGTGCTCATGAACGAAAAACTTTCAGCTGGACTTTATCCCCCTCAGTCATTGGTAGGAAATATGTTGTTGTTTCCAGAGTTTATGATTCTAATTCCAGATATTTCTGAACAGTTGTTGCAAAAATGACGATCACATTTATTTTTATCAATATTGAGAATATTTTGTCAAATATAATAGATTTATCATTCTCTCTTTCATGGTTACAGGAAGTTTCTATTAGGTTTCGAAGTCAAGAAATGCACTTGCTATGTTAGACATTAAAGGTGTATCACCTCTTGATTTAAAGGTTCATGGGCACCAGTCACAAACATAAATAGAAACATGGTAAAGACACTGGAAAATTACTGTAAACCACTTTTCTAACCTCTAGGGGTTGTCAATGTGTCGATATCTGCTGAGGCTGTGGCGTCCCAGGTTTTATGTAACAATAAGATTGTGAATGTGCCAGAAAGAGGTCACATTGATGTGGTCACAAGATCCCTTATAGTCAAGGTGAGTAAGTCCAATGAGACTGAAAAGACTCAAAACAAAGAGCTTAAAGTTTGATGACAAATAAAGCAAAAATATATTTGTGACTTTTCCTCCTTTCCTTTCAGGCTGAGGGAACAGAGACGACAAAGACATACAACTGGCTGCTCTGTCCAAACGGTCAGTACTTTTTAGAAGTGTTAATGTTTGTCTAATGTTTTAAAGTGTTTTTCATGACTTTTGAATGAGGACATCTTTCTCTGCGTCAGCTATCAAACTTGTGTTTTTGGTCTAATTTTGATCCCAGGAGAGTCTCTGACAGAGGAAGTGGAGGTGGAGCTCCCAGAGGATGTGGTCCCTGGATCTGCTCGAGCTTCACTCTCTGTGCTAGGTAAGCTGATTTTAAGTCACAACTACATGCTCAGAAAATGATGTCATGAGAGATAGAAAAAAAAAAAAACTGTTTTCAAGAGTTTCAGGATCATACAATGTGCATCCAAAAATGACTTACATATAACATATTTGTGCAGATATGAAACATTGATTCTTTATAAGCATGAACAACATCTTCACCTCTGTTTGCTGTAAAGGAGTGAAGATGCAGTATTGCTGCAATCTCCTGCAACTGAATTGTATTTCGAGTTTTCAGATGAGGCATGTGAAAGTCAGTGTTTCTGTGCAGGTGACATCCTGGGCCGAGTCTTGAAGAACCCAGATGGACTACTGAAGATGCCAAATGGATGTGGGGAACAAAACATGGCTCTCTTAGCTTCGAACATCTACACCCTTGAATACCTGGAGAACACTCGGCAGCTGACCCCAGCCATCAAGGAAAAGGCTGCAAACTTCCTGACCAGCGGTAAGATAACCTGAATGATACATCTCTGTTCTTTTTTCATATTGGAAAAAGATTGAGCAAAAACTGAGACAACTGGTAAATACTACACACTACAAAAACAAAAAAAAAGCCCCAGGTGTACAGGTTAGATGGATTTGGAAGGACATTGTAAACCCCTTGGATCAAAAACTTGATCCTCTGGGAGTTCCATGTGCCAGATGTTCTTCAAGGTGAGGTGCCACTCCATGGCCTGCTTCCACTTCATCCAGGCTTCTTGCTGCTTTATGGCCACTGCTCTACCAATTCCCTCTTCCTTCACTGAAGCTCGCACCCCCTCCTGCACTAGCCTCTGCCTCTCCCTCCTGCTGGCAGATTCAAACTGGGTTGATGTTGAGATCCCAAGTCCAGCTCTGCCTTGCACCATGGTGTCAAGGATGGCCTTGTGCTACAGCCGAGATTCTGCTTGCTGGACTGCATCAGCTGCTCTCCACTTCCTTCCTTTTCCTCACCACGATTCCTGCCCTGGACACTTTGGCGTCTCTGGAACCTGAGCACTGCAGATGTTCCTGTGTCTGCACCACAATAAACTCCTCCCTGACTGAGCTGAAAGGGAGCCTGAGCTTGTTGGTGTTCCCATACAGCGTGATGTTGCTTAAGCTGCATGGCAGCCCCAGCCATCTGCAAAGATAGCTGCTCACCCTTTGCTCAAAACCTTCTACCACAGTCTTGGTAACCTTGTAAATGAGGAGAGACCAGAAGATTCTTGGGAGGGTTCCATGCAGGTACATCCAGGCCTGGAATCTATCAGGGAGCCCAGACTTGTCCACTGTTCTCAGCCAGCTGTCTATGTCAGCAATGGTTGCCTTGATGGAGTATCTATCATTCAGGCTGCAGTTATAGACCTTCCCAAGGCTCTTCACTGGCGGAATCAGGTGCTCACCAAACCTGAAGCAGAACTTGTCTGTGACCTTCCCTTTCTTTAGAACCAAGGACCTGGACTTTGCTGATCATGCGTGCCCATAATCCTCTCCAATCCCTGAAGAATTCATCTGGCTCATGGTGCAGCTGTTGTCGTCGTCACTGTGAGGTTGTCCATGAAGGCTCTGATTGGCGGTTGCCTTATTCCAGACTTTCTGAGTGGATCTCTGCATTCTGTTTCAGCTTCCTTGACCAGCACGTTCATTGCCAGCATGAAGAGGGTCACTGATATGATGCAACCAGTGATTATGCCCACTTCCAACTGGTGCCAGTCAGATGTTGGTTGCATACAGTTGCATTTTATTTCATTTTATACAGAAGTGTATTTATTATTGTTCTGTATGAGGAAACTTTGTACAATATGTCATGGTTCTTTATCTCATTTTAATAGTATTGTACAGTATTACAGTGGACTGTAAGAAAATCAATTAAAACGGTTGAGTTTCAAGAAATGATCAATGTAACATCTGGGATCAACTGGCATGTGAGAAATAAAAATCAACAAAGAACTCATCTGCTGATAAGCAAAAGTCTCTAATGCACCTTGATGATATTTAAAAATGATCTAAATCAAAAACTGAATGACAGCTTTTCATGTTATCACTGTTGAACAGGCTACCAGAGACAGCTGAAGTACAGGCACAGTGGTGGTGCTTACAGTACATTTGGGACAGGAGATGGGAACACTTGGTGAGTACATTTCTGGCTCACAGTAAGGTCTATTCGACAACAAACACACAAATCTACTCCTTCACTAGCTTGCAGTTGACTTAAGTTAAGGACTGTTTCTTTTACTTTTTTAAATAGCCCCTCATATCAGGCTCCAAGTGAGGAGGTGTGAGACTGTTGAGTCAAACCATACTAGGTGGTGGAAAGGCTGCTTCATTGCATCATAAATTCAAATATATGTGCAGCTTTACGGTAAAAGTCTGCCCTTGTTCAATCAACGACAGGTTGACTGCTTTTGTGCTGAGGTCCTTTGCTAAAGCACGTGCGTTTGTCTTCACTGAACCATTGGGGATGGAAGAAACCAAAACTTGGTTGCAAAGTAAACAGATGGAAAATGGCTGTTTCAAACTATTTAACACTATAAATGAGGTAATTCAAGTCATTTAAAGTTGAAATGATGTGCACGACACTGTTTGTAGGGGTATTTTTCTTCTCTGTTCTCCTGACTTTAGTGCCTCCTGGTTGCCCCTCTTTTCAGGGCGGTGTGTCTGATGACGTGACCCTCAGCGCATACGTCACTGCAGCCTTTTTGGAGATGAACATGCCAGTGAATGTGAGTAAAATCTTGTGTTTCTACACACATGAATGTCACTCAGGGTGCATGAGTATGTGTCCAGCTGGAATGAGTCTTAGTTTTTGATTCATCATCAAACAGTTTCTTGTGAATATTGAATAGTAATCTTGTTTGAAATTCCCACTCTGTTTGTCTTAAGTCTTCAATGCTGTTGCTGAGATATTAACATCTGCCCAGTTTTCTAGACTGTGTCTTTTAAACTGCAGACTGTCTCTGCAGGTATTGGTTTAACCTGCAGTAGCTGTGTATTTCTAAACTTACAAAGCACTGCGTCTACTCTTTTTGGATCACAGACTACTGGAAATAGATGTAGTTAATCCACATGCAAAGCCACTGATTGTTGACTGCTTTTTGAAACCTCCATCTCGGCATTCAGCTGGTCAGTCTTCTTTTTTAATAGCACCTCATATTGCAGTCAGCAGAGTAAATGGGAATTAGTCATGATGGAGTCATACACTTATTGCAAAGTCCTTCAAACTATCAAACTTTTTGAGAAGTTATTGGTTGCAAAGACCGTAACAAAAATTGGAGGATTAAAGCACACATTGAATATAATTCCATTTTTGTATGAACTACTGTATGATGAAAACTTTTATGATAAAACATCTTCCTAGTTCTGTTTATTTATTTATTTTTAATCTCAGCACCCTGTAGCACAAAGAAGCTTGTCCTGCCTCAAGGAGTCCATTGCTGACCTGAGCAGCAACTACACCACAGCTCTGCTAGCGTACGTCTTCACCCTAGCAGGGGACACACACACCCGTGCTCGCCTCCTGAATTACCTGGACACAATTGCTATGAAGCAGGGTGAGCCACCAACGTAAAATACAGATCATTATTTTATCCCTCCAGTATGTGGCAAAAACATTATGTGTCAAAATGAAGTTTTACCAAAGTCTTTTCCTGTGTGTATGAAGCCCTTAACATATGAGCAACAAAAACTAGGTTACAGATTTTCACTGTGGTCATGTCAATTAATTTTCCTTCTTTTTATTTACAATAATAACTTCCTCCAGTCTGTAGTGATGGAGATACATGAAAAGGTATGGTTCACTTTTCTTTTATACCTCTAGAGGCTGCATGTCTGAGACCCCCTTTTCTCTAGTTTCGAGGGTTAAATACTCCATAAACTGAGCTGAAAGAGGGTCTATGTGCACAGATTTAAATGAGTCAATATAAATTTATTTGAGGCAAAATATGCTTGCTCTGTGCAAATTAGTCTCTTAGCAAAAACACCCAATTCATAATCACCTATACTACCAGCCACATACAGTTAGTGTGACATATTTACCCCCAGCTAAGAGTTGTTGGGTTTTGTGCTGAAGTACTCATAAATAAAGATTTTGTACATTAAGTCTGTTAAAATGACCTCGACACAGCTGTTATTGTAATAACCAGTGGTTAAATAGGTCTGGGCTTAATTCCTGCACATTGTGCACAAGCAATTTTTGCCACTACACACAACACAGTGTTGTTTTCCTATCTGATCAAGCTGCTTTATGTTGGCTTTTCAGGAAGTAAGCTGGATATAAACTTTGAAATTTGTGTCATGAATCCATTGTGAATCAACTTCATGAGAAAATGGTCGGGACTCATATCCACTCTCCACCCTGTAACTTTTTGAATAAACTGTCGTGAAATTAAGGTCTTTTTTCACAGCGATCTTTATATTTATTACTGTTCAAAGGAGACTCCCTCTACTGGTCTCAAGAAGGGGCATACACATCAACCTCTCTGTCTGTGGAGATCAGCTCATATGTACTGTTGGCCAAACTCAGCGCGTCCCCTACGGCTGAAGACCTGGGATACTCCAGCCGCATCGTCAAATGGCTCACAGGGCAGCAGAACGAGAATGGAGGCTTCTCCACTACAAGGGTATGTCAGAAACAGCCCAGGGAGACTGCCACACTGACAACTTCATCAAGGTTATTGCAGATCATTGTCTTGACCAATTACACTTTAGTCTTTGGTCATTTATGCTTTTCAAAAAGTTGTCAAAAGAGTTTTTAAAGTTTTCATCAAAGCCTTTTTCCACATACAGAGACAGACTAGACTGTCATGTGAGGTTATGATACAGAGGGAGGGGATTTGCTGATGACCACTGCACCAGTCCGTCTTGTTCCCCTTGCGTTAGCGTCCTGTGTGTTCCCTCATGTGTCCTATTAAGTGTATGACCAGCTTTGATAGTTTTGACCCTGCCTTTTAGTCCTTTGTTTTTGGCTACCTCTGCCTGATTTCATGGACCTTCTGTGTACCAACCCTATCAAATGGCTTTGAACTTTGATTGGGTTCTTAGTCTTGCATTCAAGTCCTCTTCTATAGTCCAGTCTACATTTTAATTTAGCAGGGCTCAACCAAACTGGTAATACTCCCAAACTCCATACTCTTTTGTCTATTGTTATTGATTCCTGTTTGTTTTCTTTAACTTGGTTGTGCTTCTGTTTTGAAGGACACAGTGGCGGCTCTCCAGGCTCTGGCTCTCTACTCCACTAAGGCTTTCAGTCCAGATGGTTCCAGTACAGTGACAGTTCAGTCTTTCAGCAGCCACCTTACGCTTGATGTGAACCCTGACAACAAACTGCTCTATCAGGAAGAGTCGCTGAAGGATGTGACAGGGAAATACAACCTAAGGGTGAAGGGAACTGCATGTGCTTCAATACAGGTCAGAGAAGACTGGCGCTCTACATTACCTCTGTTGTGTCTATATTACTTCTGTTGTGGTTATGGAGATCTCTATTACTGTAGCATACAGTCCAACCCAAGCACTTGAGATGGGCACTTTGGCTGGAGTCTTACAAAACTAGCTAAAATGTGGCAGACTCTACCCCTCCTGCAGAATAGCTTGCATACTGGTACTCTTTGCAGTTTCACATAAAAGGGAACAGAGCTAACCAGCACACAGTACTGGAGATGTGTAACTGAAATGAACTCACTTCAAAATGACCAAACTATTCCTTCAAGGAGGATTTGAGTCTGGTGGTACAAGACTTTTTGAAACCAATCAAACCATCAGCTGTCGCACTGCTTGCTGAAAGCCACCAGACTCTTGAAAAAACCAGAACAACTTTAACTTTACCATACACAACATGAGAGTTGATGGTTTACCTTTGCCTTAGACAGTTAACTGTTTTTCCTCATGGGTGACTTTGGTGTTTAAATGATTTGTTAAGGTTTTTGTTATCCACGAAAGCTGAAGTCTAACCCTTTGTTAGTGTAGGTGAAGGTAGGGTGAAATGACCAATAGATGACCAATTCCTGTGTTCTGCAAAATAAAACATAACTTTTTTTTTCTCAATGGAGTCTGAGGGAATTGAAAAAGACAGAATTCATTTATAGGAATTCAAGCTGCTGGCTGAGGCAGTCTGTAGGACCAGTATTGTAAATGTTTGAATTCTGTTATCATTCAAACCACAAACCATGTTAGAAACATTTTCTGTAATTTTAAAACCTCCTCTGTTCACTGTTTCTAGATTTCTCTTCACTATAATGTCCCGATTTCAACACAAGTCTCAACTCTCAGTGTGGAGGCTGAATCTCATGCAGAGTGCATAAGCACCTCCTCCAGAATTGATCTAAGGCTGAAGTCACTGTAAGTAATTAGCAAGGACATACACAATCCAGAGTACTGCAATTCTTTAAAACTTTTTAAAAATAAGAGGAAACTTTTGTCCTTCACGCAGACATTTTGGGAATGAGATCACTTCAAACTTGGTGGTCATGGAAATCAAAGTGCTCTCTGGATTTCGTCCAGATTCAGAGTCTTTAAGAGAGGTGAGTTACTACAGCAGCTTTAATATGAGTGTTGTTGGTAATTCAAGTTTTGAAAATGAGCTAATGATGAAATAACCAGTTTTTCAAGGAGCCATTCGCCACTGATTTCACACTGAGCTTAAATTCTGGAAACCTCCCTTCACAGATCAAAGACTCCCCCCTGGTGAACCATGTTGAACACAAGGACGATCTCGTTGTGGTGCACTTAAGAGAGGTGAGAGGAACTGCTGAGTTATACCTGATGCTTTCCGATCTAGATTTGTCACTAATCTTTTTCTGTCCACAGTTATTTAAGGGCTTAGTCTTCGCCTACTATGTACCACTTATACAAGAGGTCCCAGTTCAAAACCTGAGGCCAGCTGTGGTGAGGATATATGACTTTTACCGGCCAAGTAAGTCTGAATTTCAGTCATGGGGTTGAGATAAGATTGATATATTTGTGGATTTCATTGATAAATGAATGAAGTCAATCAGTTTTGTGCAGCAGTGGATACTGGTTAATTTGTTTAGATGAACAACCCTGTAAGCAACAAAAACGAAGGAATTCTTTTTTAAAGAAAATAAACTGTGTTTAAAATTAAGCTTAAAATGGGTTTTAGAAATTTTCATCCACTATATTAATGCTTAAAGGAATCAACAAGTGGTATCTAAGCTGTGCTGTGCAAATTCTCACTTTTCCTTTTAGGCTGCAAAGCTGAGTTGGAGTACATGGATCCCTGTGCTGCAGGCAAAGAGGATCATTCACAGTGAGCAGGTTGTCGGAAAAGATCGGATTCTCGACAGGGTGAACAGCATCCTGATGCAGAATAAACTGTCAAAGTTTAAACATACTCAATTTTAAAAACACAAAACAATGTAAACTTTCTGTTCAATTCCATAAGTATTTGATATTTTAAAAAAGATAATTCAAACCAAATCCAATATTTTAGATCTTGAATCATGTGAAATGTGTTCATTTTGACTCAAATAATCTTGAATCTCTTTTTATGCATCTTGAAGAGTAAAGGTCCATCACCCACAAAATTTCATGGCTCTGTCAAACAAGAATCAAATGTGGATATGCTGTATATTTCAATAAAACTCTATTCTGTGCAGTTTGGTTAAGTCAACAACATATAAAATCAACAAACAGTGAATTTATGATTGAAGTATATTTGTGACAATAAAAAGTTTTACAAACAGACCTAAAGTACCTCATGGTTTGAAGAAGTGAGTATTTTTCTCAATTTCTCAGATTTCCTCAGTGGACCGAACACCTGCCCATGGTGCCAAAACTACTACCAAATAGTTTGCTGATGATACCCCTATGTACTTGAAACACATAGTAATTTTTATAGACATTCTTATTCATGATTGTTCTTTCTCTTGGCTCCTCACCTGTGAAAAACCTGACTGTTTCTCTCTGTCTGATCTTTTCTCTGCTATTGACTGCTCAGCCATTAAGTATGAGTATTCTGTTTTGTGCAGTCCTTTTGAACTGATCGTAACATTAAAATGATCCATGTTTCCCACTGATACTATCAGAAAGAAAGATTTTGCCACATTGTCAACAGGAAGAGTTCAAACCATGAACTTATTACGCCATACTGCTTTCAGTGGATTGATTTCATATGCAGGTGATGTGGTTGTCATTGACGTTGCTCAGGCTAAATAGAATACCGGTAAATCATGGCTCATGGCTTATATATATTTTAACAGATAAGACAGTAAAAATGACTGTTTTTTGGAGTTACGACCAATCAGACTTAATTATCGAACACATCTGGGTGAAAAGTAATAAAGAGAATTCATTTGAATCAGTTTGATCAGTGTTTATTGAAATTTCAGACTCTTTACATAGCTGTACAGTACAGTTAAACTGTAATTCAACTGTTAGTTATAACTTACTGCCAAACAGCAAAAACATTTCATTGTTAATAAAGTGTGAGAATATTTCCAGATAAAATAACTTCTCTTTGGTTGTTCTCCAAGTGCGCTGTATCCTTAAACTGTGCAGTCCAAAGGCATAATTTTCATTTTGTTGTTCAAATAAAACATGAAAAGTCAAATAGCACCAACCAAGACTGACTGCATGGGCATTAATGGATATAATGTGGACACAAAAAAGAACAATACAGTACTATTCAGCTTAAATACCTTTGTATAATACATGTGCATATACACTAAAGATAATACAGTACTGTATGAATTGATTAAGGCTTAAAACTTGTAATGCAGCTAAGATTCTTAAGATTTTAGATACTATTGTGGGAGTACAAAAAGTACCAAATATTGGTAGTCAATCATAATATGCTTAATTTACAACTACAAATATGTTAGAAAATAATCTAGCCAAAAAAATAACATGATTTCCACACAGAAAGTTAATGATTTGGGACAAAAAGTCACCTAGCTGTATGACAAGAAAATAGAATTTCTAACACAAGCTGCTTTTTTTCAGTGTTCACTCTTTTAGGCACAATACATTACACTTCCTCTTCAGTGCAAACGTTTGTCCTCAGGCATCTTTGACCAAGGGCCTGTGTCCATAGACTGCCTTTTTCACTTGATAAAATAGTGTTTTCTATCGGTCCTGCTGCAAGATAAGTAACTGTTGCCACCCAAAAGGGTGAGACAAGACCCGGATTCCTACAGGAAGTGCTTATTATCTCTAAGTTTATCATAAGTGTACAAGTTCCCAGCTCTAATTTGACAGAGAAAAACGCTCTGTGGACACAGGCCCTAGTAGATCAATGTAAACAGTTGTTATTTCTAAAGAGGGCAGTTTTGTGCACCAGAGTCGTCACACTCTGACAGAATGGCAGCGCACAGTGTAGTGTAAGCATGCATGTCCATTCTAGTAAGTGCTACTGTATCACATCTGCCTCGCAGGAATATAGAACATACAGTAAAAGCTGCTGAATGTGGCTCAGTCTCTTTGTCCTCCGTGCTGCTGATCTGGCTTTATGTGCAGGGGGTAAGTCCTGATATCTGAGGTAAAGCAGGTTCATGTTGGTTTATGAGATGACTCATACTGTTCTGCTTCATCAGTCACTGCCCATAACAGCAGCAGAACAGATCTGAGTGCATGTTCTGTCCTTTTAGCAGCAAATGAAGTAAAACCCACGACAAAGAGAGGTTGTTTTTGGTGCGCAAAAAGAAAGACCAGATCTGAAATAACATCAGGGAGGGCCTCGAGTTTTAGGAGATGAGCTAAGTGAAACCTATCGCTCAGATTTGATCTTGTAGCGTAGGACAAGGTATGTAGCCAGTCGAAAAATGACAAAGAAGATGCCAAGGACGATAAAATCCATGTAGAGTTTCGCATCTTCCACATCCAGTAGCTGCAGAACCTCCTCAGGCTGTTGAAATTTGCAGACCTTCCCTGGACACTCCAGCTCTGAGCGGTTCATCCCATAGATGGACAGGATCACTCCCTCAAAGCCATACCTGTGGGAGAGAAATGAACTCTGAAACGGTTTTATAACTGCTCATGGCTGAGTAAATCATCACAAGATCCAACGTTTCATACAGTCTTTAAACGGTACAACTCTATTTACAGCTCTTATAGCTGCTGGAAAACTCACAACATGATCACTCGAGTAATTTTACAAAGAGAGCAGGATTAGTGTTGTGACGGAGATCCATTATTATGATAAGGTTGCCCCATGAAGGGGCTGCTAACTGAGCTGCTGCTGATGTTTATATAAACGGCACCATAGCAACATTTTTTGTTTACAGTTTCTCATTTTTGAGGGCAAATAAGGTATCAGTGTTTTTAAAATGATGCTGCCGATGATGTATGATTATTTCCTCATTACCTGACATAAGACACGTAGGAGCTCCACTGCAGATATTTGGGGATTGTGTCAAAGTTTACAAAGAATCCAGAGAACAACAGCACAGGTATGGCTGTGACCGGGCCAACAAATGTGGCCACCTGCAAAAGGAGACAAAGTTGATATTCTGTCTTGTGTTTATATAATGAGAAAAAAGTGAAAACCTCTACATAAACCTGGAGTACCTGTAGGGAGCTGGAGGCAGCTCCGACCAGCAGACCTAAAGACTGGGCTACCAGAGCAGTGCAGATGGATAGAGCAATGAAGAGCAGGTATCTGCTGGCTTCTGGAGGCTGCTCTGTCATCCAGTACACAATGCTGCAGTACATGATGGGGCAGATCACCTGAAATAAGTAATCATATTTGCATTATGTTTGCAGCTTTTTAATGCAGGGCAAAAAAAAAGAGGACAAGTACTGAGTAATAGAAAATGTCTGACAGATCCAGATAATGACCGTCAGCTAACACTAGAGTGCAGTATCATACGCTGTAGTTTCTACTCAGAGACAAAACCCATCCCTCCAATCAGACTCTGCCAGCTCACCTGGAACGGGATATCAGCCATCGTCTTGGCCAGGTAGTAGGCTTTCAGACTGTACCAGTAGTTCAGGTGCTCTCGCAGGAACACAGACATCTCCAGAGGAACTACACATGGTGCAGAAAAACATTCGAGGTCTCAAACCAGATCTCAATGATTGGCAAAAAGAAGTATTAATACAGAAAGAGTGCATAAATATGAGGCAGTTCCCCTCCGCTGGATCAGACTCACAGGTTAACACAGTCGGCATGAGTGCTCCAAACATGAGGAAGAGCATGGAGAAGAAGAGGAACCCAGTATTATTGAAGACCTTGCTGGCATCATTGCCAATATTTAGGTATAGCAAACCTATCAATACACCGATGGCGATGTGTGAGATCAGTCTGAGGTGGGTCAGAACCTGAGAAACAGAAGGAGGTCTCAGACTTACTGCCTAATTATCTGAGGTCTTTTTTATGTCTTATTCTGTGAGATTCTTTTTATCCTTGTATTAAATCAAACCATCTTTTATGTAAAACCATCTTTTTCTGCAGAACTGTCACTCACCTGGTCACGACATATAGTGATGAACGTTCTCTTGAAGAGGATGTAGAACTGTGTTAGTGTGCTTGTGGCAAAAGTATGGCTCTCTACATGTTCAGCATTCTGAAAAAAAAAATGAAAGCAGATAATCTCACTGTTCTCTTATATTATTGGAAACTGTATATTATATTGTGCAACACACCACAAAACTGCAGCACAACACAAACTTTTGCAGGAAGAAGCCAAGTTGTTGTGCAGCAGGTGTCAACCACTTTTCTAAAACAACAAACTCTACAGATATAACTGTGTTTGCCAGATAACCTTGATCATGTAGGGCTTAAAATGTTGTCAAAATGAGATGCAAAGATGTAAAAATTCACAATAAATTAAATTATCAATTCCTGCATCCTTCACTCGTCCTGCAAAAAGCCGTAGCTTACCTTGTGCACCGGTTCTCCAGGAAGTTTCTTATGTTAGGGGCAGGGCTGACCAGCATCCATTATGGCTTTTATAGTTTCTAGGTACATCTAACTCCTACAACCCCACTTCAAAATGACTGAACTATCCCTTTACACTATGTAAGCCCTTGAGAGTTTAAAGCCTAAACTAATCCTGCAGCACATCACTCACTCCTTACCGCCGGGTACTTAGTTGTGCAGACCGACTGGCCGTTGGTATCACTGTGGTTCTTCTTCTCCTCTATTGCACACATTCCTCCTTGGACAGCCTCAAACAGTACCGGGTTCAAGTCTCCATACTCTCCTGAGGCCACTTCAATAACTGGAGCATAAACGAACATGCATGGATGCAGTTTGTCAAAGAAATGCTTCAGATCTCTCACAGTTACAAGTGTCACAAACAAAACTGAAGCGTACATACTGAAGTCTGCAGGGTTGTGGTAGGTGGGACAGTAAAGGCCGAGAGTCTTTAGGTAGGGGATGAGGTACGTGACTGTGCCTTTGTAGATACACTGACCCTGACTGAGGATGTAAAGCTGTGAAGTCAAAAATCATACAAGTTATTGACTTAAAAAAAGAGGACAGTAATAGGAATGTATGTCCTCTTTTATTAAAAGGGATATCCCGGCGTAAAATTAAGTTAGGGTCAAATCACCATAACACCGAGTTAGACACCCCCTCGAGAGATGAATGTTGACGACTGCTTGCTTCTCTAGTTATACCAACTTTAATAACGACTGCGCGATGGTAATACACAGCGGTCTCAGGAGCCACGCGCTCAACCAAAATGCCACTCTACAGCCACAAATAATGCTCAGAACAACACCTAACTTCATCAACAGTACATATAGGGTCCAAGCCATAACACTAGCCATCAAACATCTTTTAAGCTTTAAGGCATCATAACATTTGTGATCATTTCTTTATCATTTCCTTGAAGTAATAATCACCATATTAATCATTTTGCACTGCAGATGTGGTGGTTCTTCTGCCTTAGCATCTTGGTCTGATTGCATTTCCATGAAGAAATGATCATAAATGTTCTTCCTTGAGCTGTGTCAACCTGCAGCACTTGGTGATCGACTCGTCAGGGCTCCCCCACAAACAAGCGGCTGCTAATAGAGAGTAGGTGAGTTGTGTTTAGTCTCTTTGTTAAAGAAACCAGGCAAAGCTAAAAAGATGTTTGATGGCTAGTACTATGGCTAGGACCCTTTAAGTACTGTTGATGAAGTTAGGTGCTGTTCTGAGCATTATTTGTGGCTATAGAGTGGCATTTTGGTTGAGTGCGTGGCTCTCTGTATTGCGATCATGCAGTTATTACTAAACTAGAGAAGCAAGAAGTCGGCAACATTCATCTCTTGAGGGGGTTTCTAACTTGGTGTTATGGTGTATTTGACCTAAACTTAATTTTTAATATCCCTTTAACACGTGTGCACCTTGTCGAACATCTCAAACAGTTTGGCGCTGGGTTGGTGAATGGTGCAGATGATGGTCCGTCCTCCTAGAGCCAGAGATTGCAGCAGAGAGACCACCTGGTAGCACGATGCACTATCCAGACCACTGAGCAGACAGAGAGAGATGTAGTCAAACGGAGGAACAGGATAAGTGAGCAGCTGGGTAGAAGTTTCAGGAGACGTGTCCAAACTGCACAACCTGATCACACATGTTATATATCAAATCAATCCAGCACGTTTCACCTCTTCCTGTAGACTCTGTGGCAACAATGTTTGTTTCTGTCTCAGGTTGGTCTTGAGTGCCGAGTTATGTTGACAATTAGCTGGCACAGATGTTTGAACAGACTAATCCTAGCCTTCAGGGGGGAGCAAGACCCCACCACTTTGCATCAGGGTCTTGCTCACTCTGCCATGATTCTAATTCACATTACCACCTGTTCAGTTGACCTTGCTATTTAAGTGCACTAAGTGTGTCAACATGGACTGAACTAAAACCACCTTAACCAAGTGATATTGTAGCAAAACCAAATGGCAATGGGAATGACAGCATCTTAGTTCCTGCAGTGTATCTGTGTTTGTATAGATAAGCTCATGTAACTTTCATCTCTTTGTTAGTAAGGCTGGCGTTAGTCATGTTGGCGTGTTCAGAGTCTCGGTCCATCCCAGCTGAGTTAGAATAACAGTACAAACTTTTATGATAGGTTCATGATTTACTTTTTTCAGCAAAATATGTTACTGACAAACTGTGATGGTCATCAACACTGAAACAATTAATTATTCCCTTTGAATGTCAAATTGTATGAATCTAAAGCTTGCTTTTTTTGGCTCAGGCAGACATCTGGCAGCTTTTAATAGGCATTTAAAGATAGGTGGGCATATGGTGTTTGGTTGACTCTTAACCCTGACTAATTACACTCTTAATTACACCAGAACCTTCTGGATGACATGAGCTGTTTGATTTTGAGGGACACACATCCCTGGAAAATGAACTCTCATGTAGAAAAACGTTTAAAAAAAACTATTCGAAAAACTTGACAGAGGTGCACAAGTTTCAATCACAGAAACCCCAAAAACTGACTCCCCAGTCCAGGTGAGGATATAATGCAGGTGTGTTTCTTTTTTTATGAAGAAATGCATGATATAAATTGATAACAGGACGTAATATGGTGTGTTTAAAGCTGCATTTTTTTAACCATTATCTGCCCATCAGCACCACTCTGTCGCACCTGGTTGGTTCATCAAAGAACATGACTGGAGGGTTGTTGACCAGTTCAAGGGCGATGGCCAGACGTTTACACTGACCACCTGAAAGTGAGCTGGTGCGAGTGTGAGCGCAGTCGAGGAGCCCCAAAGCAGTCAGAATCTCATTAACCTGGATAGAGACAGTCACAGAGAAGGATATATCAGTAATAGTAAATGAAATGATGTTATGCACATGCTAAACCTGTGCACACAAGCCAAAGAGATGCTGTCTGATTCATATTCTTGAGCACAAGTCAAGGATTAAATGTCACACAAACTGTGCTGCAGCAGCTCTGTGCACAGGTTTCATTTACAAACACTGAAACAGGTTACAGTGCACAGATCTGGGGCTTACATTTGCCCATATGTGCAAAAACAAAACACAACAAAACATGTAATTCACCACCACCTGCACAACTACCTACATGAAGTAAGAACACAACTTTTACCATCTGCTTAGAGTAGCTGTACCACAGTATTTTTAAATACTCAAGATGTTGTTGTTTAGCTCACCAGTTCTTTCTTCACATCCATACTTTCGTTCAGCTTCAAATTGGCTGAAACCTACAAAAAAAGAGGGATAAACAGTCATGCAAAGTGAGAATGCTAGTGTTTTAGGAATGCACACAGAGAGAAAGCGGGTGACAGTCTCAAATTTAAGGAAACTTCCTGACCAACAATAACAACCAAACAATCCAGTCTTAAAGTTTTATATGAAAACAGACTCAGTGACATGTGTTCCTGCCTCTGCCTCACACTGCTCAGTACCAGCTCACCATCATGGCCTCTCGTGCAGTAAGGTGAGGCAGCAGCATGTCTTCCTGCATGATGTAGCAGGACATTTTCCTGAACGTCCTCAGGTCCCTGGGTTTCCCATTGACAAGGATCTGACCTTTCATCCCTGATTCCCTGCAGGCAGCAGAGGGTCACAGACAATGCAGACAGACAGTCAAGTGGACTGCAGTGGATGAAAACTGAACAGGTGTTTCACAAACAAAGGATACCTTCTTAAACTGTAAGAGCCTCTGAAAAAAAATGCGACTGTGATCTTTTGTAGCCCTTTAATGCCTGACACCACAATTTATGGCCAGAAAATTCGATTTTTTTTGGAGCTGAAATGTTTTTTTCACTTACTACTAAAAACCAAAAACATCTAAATGTCCTCAAAATTTAAAAAATATATTTATTGATCTCATTTGATACATTTTATGTTTTTGGAAACTGATAAACTACAAGAGGACATTTTTATCATTTATCAGACTGTATTCAGGTGTCTGTTTTAGTAATTTTTTGATCATATTGATTTGATAGAAGTATATAAAAGTATGTATTAAATATGGTACAAAAGGCATTAAAGGGTTAAGCATGTTTTATCATCTGAATGGGACAAAAAGTTTTGTTTAAAAAGTAAATCATAGTTTTCAGATAATCTAAAACCTCTATTTGATTGAAAATAGTGATTGCCATGATCTTCAGGCCCTTAAGCACTGTATAAAAAAAAATGGCATGACTGGACTGGAAATCACTGCACAATGCCAAAACCACATCCAAAAAATAATTGTCTATAAGCACATTTTGTTGCCACATCTACTAATGCAGGTGATAACTGTGCCATGAAAAAGAAGAAAACACACTTTAATGCTGGCAACTTTTTTTTAGGATGGACTGAGTCAAAGAGGAAAACTTTCCTGCAGTCTGACAATCAGAGTTTGACATTCTTTTTTTTAAGTCATGGATGCCACATCCTTCTCTCTAAAGAGGGGCGGGACCAACTAGTTAGTTGTCAGCAGACAGTTCTAAAGGTAGCATCAGTGGTGGTTTGCAGATTAGTACAAATAACATATGCAGGTTTTGGATATGCTGCCATCCAGGCAACGTTTTTTTGGGAGTTTCGGCAATCTACTGGGGCATTTTTAAAGTTTTAATATTCCATTAAAACATGAAATTTATCTGAAACTTAAAAAACAAATCATTCATCCATGAGAAAAAAAACAAAAGCATAAATTGCAGTAATGCTTATAATAAAAGTTGAGAAATAGAGGGTAGTTCTCTCTTACCTGTACCCTGCAAGGATGTTCATTAGAGTGGATTTTCCAGCCCCTGAAGGCCCCATGATCCCTATCAGCTCCCGACTGCAGAACCTTCCAGACAGACACTTCAGTAAGGCTTTAAAACCTGTGAAAACATGGAAAACAGTGCCTGCTTAGAACGATTTCAACAACATAAACAAGGAAATATCACTTTTTTCATCATCAATAGACTGTATGCAGTCATTGAGGTAGAAAGCTTCATCTTTACTCTGTCAAAATCAACCATACTCTATCATGTTGTGTCACATGATCTTCCATTACACATCAATTTCAATTACTATGCAATATATTTGAAAAATAAACTTTTTATGCAAAACGGTTCAGGTTTCACTAAACTCAGCAGCAGACATTTCTCTTAGTCAGACAGAAGAGGAACCTCTGCAGCCTGTGAAAATGCATTTTACACCACACAGTATCAGATGTTGCACTTGAGTCTTAACAGCATTAGCACTGAGCACTCACCTGCATCATCTTTCAACAAAGATGCTCTTATAAACCTTTAGAGCTGGAGTATCTGACCTGTGCTGCTACAACTAGATTTAAAAAAAAAAAAGCTTATAAAATTCAGCTTTTAAAATAAGCCATCAGGTGTTGCTAATAGAAGTGCTTTCATCCTGAAAAGTCTGAAAAACTGTGCTTTAAAAAGTAGTTTATTGAACAAATCTTCATCTTAACCCTGAGATTAAGCCACAGGATTGCACAGCCCTGATTCTGGCCACACACAGGTGTTTGTATGTGATCACAGATATTAGAAAATGTTCTCTGATCTTTGTGAATGTAGTGTCGGGGCAGCTGCAGCCAGAGTCTAGAATAGTTAAACCTTTAAAATGACTTTGACCTGACTGTATTTTTCTCAGCATTTGAGATGTCATGACCTGAAAGCACCCCTGCTTGTGCAGTGAGATTTCTCTATGCGGGTGAATTTTGCTGAAAACTGATATGAAAAGCCAGGATCACACAACTGAGAGAGGAGCAGCATTTCTCCATAGCAGCTGGCCATGTCTGCAGGTTCAGAATCCCAAACAGGATCTCTGCACCAGGAGAAAAAGCTGAAATAATGCACTGCTGGAAAAGTAAAATGCTTTTTATTACAATAGAAACACTCATATATGCGGCTAATGGTGCCTTGTGTTTGCATGTCATACAAGAAAGCAGTGAGATGGAAGAAACAAACCCTCTTATTCACTCACTAGCATTTGACGAGCTTACTAAACAGAAAAAAACACATGCCAATACTCAAAACTTCAAATATGAAAAATGCTTGTGGCAGCAGGTAGAGGTTTGAAAAGTGGTGCTCTTCAGAAAAGGAAATGTCTGCAGCCAGAAGCTATACATTCTTGACAGTCATCTTGGCTGGATATGAAAATCATAAGAGCAAAGTATTTGTATAGACATGTGAGCGCTACATTTTTCCTCAGGTTATAAAGTAATTTGTGTCAAAAACAAAGTGTTCGGTGTAATCCGGTCACATTTCTAAGACATCATGCTGCAGTGAGGCTGTGTTCATACAGCTGGGTGTTCAAACATGCCTTATATTCCACCTCACACAGGACTGTTTGTTTCACACAGGTAGAGCAGTTTAAGTTCAGACACACACTGGAGTTTTCTGTCATAGAACTTTTGTATTTATTGTAACTAATATGCATTAACCAATCAATAATGATGAAAAAGTTTAATGATATTTTAGTGTTTATCTTTTCACAGCAAAAAAACAAAAAAAGTTCAAGGCTCATCCTGCACCTGAGATGTTTATTGATGTTGCCTCCACTAAGAGGATTTCTGATTTTGTCATTCACATATTATTACAGCTCCTGTCACCACCTTAGTCATGGCACATGTTAGAGTGTTAACTTCTGATACTTGCTAACCTGTTTGGTTTATACTGCCTTCTTTCCTGATGTTTAAGGTTCTTTTACTTGTTTTTAAATGTCTTAGTGGTCTTGGGCCTTCTTATCTCTCAGAACTGCTCTTGTGAAGCTTCACAGTCCCTGCGCTCCTCTGGCAGCGGTCCCCTAGTCATTCCCAAAGTCCAGACACACACTCACAGCAAGGCATCTTTCCAGTATTATGGCCCTCGTCTATGGAACAGCCAGCCAGAGGACCTCAGGGCCGCAGAGAACGTTCATGTTTTTAAGAGCAGGTTCAAGACCCACCTTTTAAGATCAGCTTTTGATTCAATTTTTTAGTTTCATCTCCATTTATCCTGGTAAGCTTAGGTTTCTGATTTCATATTCATTTGTAGTTATTGTTCTAAGATAGTCTGTGTTTTATTCATATTTTATTACTGATTTTCATCCTTTTACCCCCAAGGTTTCCTCTGGGGGAGCCCTTAGCACCGGCAGCAGTGGTCGGCTGTGGTTGCAGGGGCCGGTCACGGGGTTCCTGGTGGAGGTTGGTGTCTGCCACATCTCTCCTCCTGTGTCGGTGTCCTGTAGCTGTGGGTGGCTCTCTGCTCCTGGTGCTGACGGTTCCTCTGATGGCATTTTCTCGACTGGCTCCACTATCTTAGTGTGTGCATGTGTGGCTGCTATGAGTGTGTGTGTGGCTTTAGGTGAGACTGTGTATGTGACTGTTAACTGTGGGTTGTATTGTTGTGGGTGGAAAAGTAATGGGGTTGCGGGGTGGGGTAAGGTGGGGTGTCCAGGACTATTTTAGGTTCTTTTTAATGGGCTGTAAAACACTTTTTGCTTCACCCTTTTGCATGAAAAGTGCTGTGTAGAGTATCATACCTTACTGAATTATGTTGTATCATATTGTACCATAAGTAAGTGTTTAGTATTGTTTTAAACAAGGCTGCCATAATATTTCTCTTTCAACATGGCCATAAAACATCACAATAATGATATAACCACAACACTTGTGAAAACTTGACATTTTAAACGATACATAAAGATTGTTACTCCCAATTCCTGAATATTGTGACAACCCTGGTTTCAAATTGTATCCATTTAACTTTTATAAATTCCTGTTACACCTGAGTTATCTCCTCTCCTCTTGTTCATGGGGCGAAAGCTACAAACAGACACACAGCGCACTTTGATCCTGGGGTGGGAACAGGGTGTTTGCCTTGCAGCTGTGTAGAAACTCTTTTCCTCTTATTTGTTGGATGTCCAAGGCTGTTGCTATTGTTCGGAGTGCTAAAACTTTGGTTTCAGGCCCTGGAAGAAGTTTTTTTCTTTCCCTTATTTATGGACCCAAACACTCAAAAAAAGAAGAAAACTGTCTACTGTCTACTGAACTGTGTATCCACATCTTCCAAAATAGTTATCTGGCTGACCTGTAGGAACCATAGTTAGACAGTCCTCTCCTCTCCTTTCCTCCTTCTTAGTCATTGAGCTACATTATTGATGATCTGAACTGTCTCAGACAACACATCTCTTACTGGAAACCTCAGAGCATAAACACACACACACACACACACACACACATACACGTGGGTAAACATGTGCGAGTTACTGTTTTGACAGATGCTTCTTTAGAGAGGTTCAATGAATCTTGAACCTTGGTCGCTAAATTACATTTTGTTACAGTGCGTTAAAGATCTGGTTAAAAACTGCAGGCAACAGCTACTGACGAGACGATAAATAAAGAAGCAACAACTATGAATCAGTGTTGACACATCTATCACAGACTGCTGAGAAGGTTTTTCATGAAAACTCATTTGTTAATTAGGTCTCACCCAAAGAGACTGATTTTATTAAACTGGGAATTTAAATTCAGGCTCACCTCCCTTGAAAGGTTCTCCCTCAATATAATACATATGCAGTATTGTACTGTATTATAGTGGATCATTAGTGGATCATATGGTTGGGAATTGCACCACTATGGTCAATGTCATGCATTCCACTTGGGGATTCAGTAAATTCATACCTATCACATAGTAATGTGTTGTATTGTATTGTATTGTATTGTACAGCATCAAATTGTACTGTATTGTACAGTGTGGACAGTATCAAGGCATGTTGTATCATATCTTATTGTGTTTTTTTTTGTACTGTATTTTACAGCATTAAATCAAATTTAATCAAATTGTTGTGTATTATACAAAATCATAAGGCAACATGCCATACCATTATTATTATGTTGTAATTACAGATTGTTGTTTTACCATTTATAGAGACTTTTTTTCTTTTGTGCAAAGTTAACTTGAATTAAACCTCACTGTAATATTATGATCTTTAGTATTTCACAGAATGTGCCCCTGAGGCAGGAGCACATTCAGTTTACTTCAATAAACATCTCTCTGCATACGATGTCTGTGTTGTTGCTCTTCTGTGCATGCAGGTCTGCTCATGATGGTAACTGGTTCATGCAGGAATCTGATAAATGCCACATTTTACATGTCAGATCAAAAAACTGGATCTGAACCATAATTTTGAATCGAGCATTAAAGCTTAAGCTGTGAGCATTGTCCCACTCTGAAGGTGGAATGTTGGGAAGCTTTAAGTTGGAAGTTTTTCAGCTTTTTTATAACCAACTTTTATACCTTGGCTTCTCTACAAGTACATATGCTGTGTCGCAGAGGACTCTTTTACAAATTCAACTAAAAAATCCAGAGAGTAAACTCTGAGCTGTGTTTGCATCAATACATGTTTCAGATCAAAAAGCTGCGAACTTTATCTATATTGTGAAAACTGTAGCCCTTGCACAACCACAGCAGTTCAACAGTAAAGTGCAGGACCCCTCATCGATCATCTGTGTGAATTTATGGACACAGATGGATTGTGGGTAGGGTGGTGTCTTAACATCTATCAGCCCTTCTCATTCTTCCCTGTCTCTCTGTGGGGAAATGATCTTGACCGATCAATACAGATCTGGGTTTTCTACAGTAAGTATGAGCATCAGTTCATCCACTCGCTGCTTGAGGCTTCAGTCAGTCTGTCAAAAGAGCCGTGATGAAGCGAGTCAGAGTGAGAGTGCAGTACAGCCATAACAGAATTTATTTTCTGTTTGGGAGTCACTTTCAGAGGTTGAACAAACAAGAGCCAGAGAAACAAGAGAGGAAAGCTGACATTAAGATCTTACTTTGGACTATTTGGACCACCCTTTTAAAACTTTTGTGAGACTGATTCCTAAAACCTGCCCTGTCTGATCCAAAGATGAATACAATTGAACAGAAACAGAAATTTCAAGCCAAAAAACATGCCAACAACAAAATACGACCCCTCTCTTGTGCAGCCTCGCTTAAAATACCTTTTTTTCCTTCTTTACTCTCCTACTGAAACAAGTTGTATAAAATAAGATGACTGAGTGAGTGTGGTGAAAGCTTGAATATGTCATACCTCTCCTTCTCCAGCATGGTCCATCCTGGATGGTGTAGGAGAGGTCTGTGAACTCCAGGTCCACAGCTGAGCGTTTGGGCAGGTGAGAGAAACGCTGAGCTTCAGTGATCTCGTTCTCGACCTTCTTCAGGTGAGTCAACAGGGACACTTCCTGCTGCGGCTGTGGCTGAGGCTGGCTGCCTCCATTACACATGACAGCCTCCTCCATGGGGATGCTAACAGAGTCCGGTTCCAGCGCCTTGTTGTCCATATTTGGTACCTGTCTGTGGGAGGAAAGAGCACAGAGGTCAGTTGAGACTCATCATCTGCAGACAGGTAATAATTACACACCTGAAACCTGGGGGTTTGGTGCCTTGTAAGCATGTTTGAAGGGGATTTAATTAAAATGAAACGAGAACACAGCTTGAGACAGTCAGCAGTTTGATTTGGGGCCAAAAAAAAAAGAAAAAAAAGGGGAGGGGGGGGGGGGTAGAAAAGTAAGTAATTTATGACCTTATTGTCTTACTCTTAACTGATTGGTTGACTTGATTTTTTTCTGCGTCAATTTACAGTCCATGGTTAATTTCATCAGGAGGAACATACCAAGTGCTAATAGGGGTGTTTTCAGAGCACTCCTGTTCCACAGGTAACAGCCTGTCTCAGAACATCCCCTTGTTTTCGCCATTTTGGATTCACCTAACCCACTTGAGACCGGCTGGAGACAGGAAGATTGAATAGCGTCCATGTTGATCAACGTCCAGTGGTTTGCAAAATATTTGTATTTTAGCTTTTTGTGTTTAATTGCCTTCTTGTGCTAATATCAGTATATTTTCACCCCACTGAGCCCCCTTAAACCTCGTTGATTGATGCTGTGTGACTTAACCTCACTTTACAGCTCCTCAAACCAGACTTTTTCAGGTTACCCTCACAATAAGGAAACATAGTAACACTTCATTTGAACCCAACACTTATAGACAATATTATAAGCACATTAATATAACCTTATTGATGCATTTACCATCTGTACAAATGGTTAAAAGCATTTATACCTTCTTCATACCTTGTATTTTGTGACACCAGAGCTGTTTTGATAATTATTTAGTATTTTTGTCTTCCACTCTCTCTAAACTAATATCTAACTTGTTCAATCAAAGATTAGGAAATTGCTCAAATTGGAAATACATTTTCCCCCATATCACAAAGTCCTGTTGTAAAAACTAGACAAAGAGGAAAAGAAAAAAACAACATTAAACAGGTAAAATGTTAATTTTATTTTTTTCACTGCCTTTGTTTATCATCCTCTAGATTTGTTGCAGTAACAAAAGTCAATGCTGCAGCTCAACCTGCACACAAATAAAGAAAACTCCAGCTGAAAATGTCAGCCTCTTTTTCTACAGGTTTTATGACTTTATGACTTCTGCAAAACAAAGACAATATGGAGACGTCATCTATCGTTTTAAACAGCCAATGGTTCCTGTAACAGGAGGCTGATAAATGGTATTTGTTTTAACAACTGGAGACTCTAGTAAAAAAAGGTACAATTAAATTTGAAAACTTATGTGCTTTAGTGATACACACAAATCAATCAAACAGATCCAGAACATAAAATCCAATGTGGGAAGCTCTGTATAAGTCTGACTCCACTTACATCTGGTGCCTCTGGCATTAAATTTCCATACAGTGAACATGTAATGACATTTCATGACGCTATGGAAAGAATCCAAAAATCAAAACACAAATGAACCAGATAATGATGATGCGATTTATTAACCGAGGCAAGCTCAGGGGAAAGTGAGGTGAGTATTATTCCATTCAGATAAACACCAATAAAGACATGCTGTATCAGCAGCTTTGGATTCATGAATTACTTCAACAGTTTTTGCAACAAGGTAAGATTGATTCCAGTGGGGCGTCCCGTGTCTAAACCTTTATCACGTTCTCTCTTTCCTGTGGAATTTAATCCTTAATGCAGTGCTCTGTTAGTGTGTGAGAGTTGAGGTGTGGTGCATCCTGCAGGTCTGATACAACCCACCTGTGATTTGCCTGAGAGCGTGATTGGTGCACAGCTGCCTACCAAACAGATGGGAAAGCGCCCTACAAACATGTCTGCAACCACCACATTTCACTTTTTGTCCTGATGGCTTGCATGACAGTAAAATTGTTGCCACTTCAGAACAAGAAGGTTTTTGAATTCCCGGCATGAATAGGAAGACTTCCTGTTGGGAGTTGAAATGCTCTCCAGTTAGTCTGGCCTCCCACAGCCTAAGGATGTCCTTGTGTGGTTAATTAGTGACGCCAAATGAGGTCAGCTAGTTAGTAATCAGCTAGTTTACCAGCCGACCTCTTGCACAGACAATACAACTGCATTATATCCATTGTGTACTGATAAATCAATGGTTCTGGCAAACTGGGGTGTCTACATAGATTTTTGGAGTACTGATATGTAGTTTTATCCGCTCCCAGATTTTTATTGTGTTGCCTCCAACAAAGCTATTGTCGTATGATGACTCCTAAACAATAACAGGGCTGCCGTGGGACGAGGTCTTCCCACAAACACAGTTTAATCCCGATCCTGAGCAGAGCTTCACTTTCAGTAGACAGATCTTCAGATAAAGAGACTGAGAGCCATTTCCTCCAAAGTCTGCAAAGTGCTGACAATGCAGAGGCAGTGGTGAGTAACAGCATCTCTGTCGGGTGTGTGTGTGTGTGTGTGTGTGTGTGTGTGTGTGTGTGTGTGTGTGTGTGTGTGTGTGTGTGAGTGAGAGAGAGAGAGAGAGAGAGAGAGAGAGAGAGAGAGAGAGAGAGAGAGAGAGAGAGAGCGCAAGTGTATAAAGAGAAACCCTCAATACGCCTCACTGTATGATAAATACATTAGCAGACAGGCCTCTGTGAACTAATCAGCCATGTCTGATAAAGCAGCCTCCTTTAACCTTAAGAGCTTTTGCCACAATAATAGAGGACACTGCAGACCTTCCTTGAACCTGGTCCTTGTTTAAGGCATTTGATCACATTAATGGCAGTCAGTTCCAAAAAAGGAAAGAAAGACTTCACTAGACAGACTGTAAGAGCTGCAACTGATTACAGAAAAACAATGAATATGCCTGTGCATTATTAATTACACAAACTCTGCTTACGGTCAGAGACAGGTGCGGATTTTGGAAGTAGCTATGAGCATATCAGCACTACTGAAGTTTTGATGAATGGCGGTTTGCTTGGAAATTTTGTTCTGCCAGCCTTTCATGAATAAGACCCACCGTCATTAAGGTTCAAATGTTCACAGCTACAATGCAGTTCAGCAAGTTTAAGCCGAAAAGGGAGTGTTTATCACATAAGAGTCACCAAGAATCAGTTACAGGCTACTGTCAATGCTAAAATAATTGTTTAAGTTTACTTTGCTCAAGTTCTAAACACCTCTGCTTGTGATAATTCCTTTGCAGTCCAGCCTCAGTGGAAGTGTCTATACATTTCTTGGGAACAGATAGGTTAGGTGTGACCAACATCAGACAAAATCCATTTCCATTGACCTCACAGGACTTTAAGCAGCAGAAATATGCAATCACTCCTGTGATCGCAAAAATGATTAATGCTCACCTAAATGGAGATACGTATAATCTACTTTGCTCTGCAGACCACTGTAAAAATGGTTCCCAACTCTGAGGTGGTACAGTAATTTGTCCTTTTTGAGACAGAAGTCTCATTTAATCACTCATGGGGTTCTTAATCCCCCTGGGGATTAAAATCAACTTTCTTTTCCACCCTTGATCTGCTCGTAGCTGGAGGGGCCTGGAAAAAAATCTGGCTTGGGAAAAAATTTGCACACTCAGGTACACTACCAAGCACCAAGCCAAGCTAATGTATGGGAATCAACTGCTCCTTCGCTTGCCCTCCACATCACATCTCGACATGGACACATTTCATTGACAGCTATGAAGAAGAAGCCAAATTAAGGTCTTTTCAGGGCGTCAAATGAGATGATAACAAGACAGCAAGGAAACAGGGAGACGCAATGCGTATGCCAACATGTCACGAGTTAACCTGGATGGGACCGTGCAGCTCAGGCTGAAAAGGAAGGTCCAAGGAGGATAGGCAGAGAACCCGCTGACCTGAGATCATTCTGTTACAGATTATCTACTGTACCACTGTTACACCTGCATCTGACTCTAAGACTTGATACTCAAATCCAGCTGGATTAAAGGCCAATTAGAGTCAAATAAAGTGGGCCTTCCACTCAGCTAAAAGGAGACTTCAAAGTGATGATATAAAACAACACCCCAATTGCCCGGTTTAACCCCAACGAACTCAGACAAAAGATCTGAGCTATAGATCCCTGTTCATAAGGGCCTCATGAAATGTTCTTTGGTTTGATGTTTGTACTCTCTTCTTGGGGATGGCTGTCTACTTATTAAGTTCAACCGTCAGCTTCTCTCGATATTGGGTTTTCAGGGCCAATAAAAATAAGACCAATATCGGATGTTTGCAACTGATATCCATTGACAATAAAAATGAAAAACATTTGTCAAAACTTAGCATTTGCCATTCAACAAACTTCAAAGCTTCAGTGTCTTGAACCAATGTTTGACCAAAATGGAGTCAACAGTTAACCGGCTACATGTGTAGACCAATTACATCACACGGTCATGGGATGTTGAGCCATTTAGACAGTGTTGTGGTTGGAAAATTAATTCTCAATTAACAGCATGATTGATCCAAAATGCTATATACTATAGTGTTGAAAATAAAAATGCTGTTTTGAGCATCACTTCTGACAGGAATCTCTGGTATGCTCTGAAATCTATTTCAAAACAAATTTATTGCAAATAAATACATTTGTATGTTTATATGTGTTTGTAAACATGATACTTAATTCAAAATGAGTATTAGATTGCAAAACGCATGAAATAATGTTTTTTTCTTATGATAAATGTTACTTGAAATTGCTATTTTTCATCAAATGCATTAAAACACACACACACACACACACACACACATGCACACACGCACGCACGCACACACACACACGCACACACACACACACACACACACACACACACACACACACACACACACACACACACACACACACACACCATGATATTGGCATTTTATTTCAGCTGACCTGCTTCCAGGTATTGGTATTGGCTATTGGAAATACCATGTTGGTCAAATCCTCCTCTAGTTAGTGACAATCCTTTGGTTAGTTTGGACATTATGGTCTACTCATTAAGATTAAATGTAAGTCTCTGTGGTGCAACCAAATAAAGGCACAACTTAAGTTGTGAGAAAACTTATGTGTTGTCTAGTGTGGGCTTTGCACCTCAATTCATGACCCAACTAATACAGAACTAATTCAGGTGCAACAGCCTACAGGAGTTTCACACACCACTCAACAGAAAGAAACATTTGCTTCAGAATGTAAAGGGAGGTAGAGATGTCCTTTCCACTCTGGAACACGCAGTACAAGATTTTCAGATAATGGTGCATCACTCACTACAGGACACAGCTGATATTATCACATGTGCCAGTGGGAGCATATACCCCTTCTAATAGGATGCTTAGACTTTGGCATCTCGTAACGCTACAGTAAGATAAAAGGAAAGCTGAAGTTGCACCACTAAATGTACTTTTTTATGTATCCTAAACTCTTGAGTTCGGCTCCTGTCATTTAACAGAGATTTTTCTATCAATGTCTATCTAACTTTATGCTTTGTGTTTACCAGTGCCATTACTATTGCATTTATTGTGCTTCCCTCTCTGGTCTTCTGGTTCCCAGACTGGCCATTGTTTCCGTCCACATGACAATCCTCAAGGGTGTGCTCAGCTGTCCTGCATACCCTCACATTGCAGGATATCTGGCTATAAATATTGACCATATTTAATATTTATGATATTGAATTAGTGCAGCCACAAAGTTCAACTGAGCAAACTGGGGAGAGAAGAAACCACTTTAAATGTATCTCACATTTTGGGATAAACTGGCAAGAAAATCAGCCCTATAATGGGCTCAATAAGGGGCTGTGTCCACTATGCCATTTTCTCTCTTTTTTTACACCCACAATCTCGGATTTGGAGCCTGTCTCACTGGTGTTTAATATTGCTAGGTTACGACAGTTTTCCTGTCACCCTTAGGTCTGTTTTACAATGCTCTGTATTTCTCATATTGTGGCTGTATTCCTATAGTTGAACTGCTTTCAACTGAGGGTGCAGCAAACAAAATCAGCTGACACGTTTTAGGATACTGAGTGCTGAAAACGCCAAACTGCATTTGGTTTTGATACAACTAGATGCTGCCAGTGGAAAAATACAGCGTGTCAGCACAGCTTAATGCTGTGGCGAGTACCCCGGTAAGTACTATGCACATCCCAGGATTAAAACCCTACTATCAAACAATGGCATTACTGGAATCTTTAAGTGGTTCAGGAAGTTTCACACCTGATCTTGCTGTATAGCTTTTAAAATATAGCTTGGACTTAAACCATCAACCAAAACCAATAACCAAAACAACCAACCTGAATCAATGACAATAACCAACAGTGTAACTATAAAATAAACAGTGATGCCATTTAAGCAAAATTTGCTCCATGTTGCACTTTCTGCTTAGTTTGAAGAAAGAGGGACTACTTCTCAGCATATTAGCTTGGTGACAAAAGTCTGAAAGGTGACTGGCAACAAGTGTTCTTCTAAAGTTGTTTTGCTGACAGAAAAATAAATACATTTGAGATATTAATACAGAAATTGTGCAAAATAACACCAAATTTGACTCAATATCCATTACAATGCAATTTCACACCCATTCAATAGACTGCTAAGCTTTACAATGTGCCGTCAAATCTCTATTTCCACAAGGGATAAAGACATATTACACCCCTGATATGTGAATTTTGCTGATGTTGTATTCAGTCTTAGTTGTGTTTTCTCAAATTCTTTTCTCTTAATTCTTGACATATTATCAATATTTGTATGGCTATGAAACAAAGTGTATAACAATAAAAGTGCACAGTTATACATACCAGTGAGTACTGGAATAAGTTGTGTTGTTGTGCAAACTGAATGATAACAGTGAGCAAGCAGAGGCAGAAGAGCTCCTTTCTTCTTTGTCTTTCAGGGAACAGCAGCTTCTTAATAAGTCCCTGTTCTTACATAACAAGAGACGACTGAACATAAGGATATTAAGATCACACTGAGGGAAGTAGGTTAACAGTGCTGCTCTCCCATGACTTTGTAAGAATGAGAGCTAATCACTGAGGAGGCTTTGAAAAAAAATTAAAGCTCACGCACATTCTTCGCCAGAGCCACAGCTAACAGAGGCTCCATAACCTACCACGCCGCTTTAACCCAATGAGACAGATGCTTAAGTAGAGCAAGGGACGGGTTATCATGGCTGTGAAGGTTCAAGAAGGAAAGAATGTACTAAAACCAGCTGAATAGTTAGTAACATCAATATTCAGTGCTTACAAACAAGACTGTGAATGAATTATTACACTCGGTTAACGATGACTTATGTAGACAATGGTTTGTGAAATATTTACAATGGTATATTTACTCCCCCTCATCTTTTTGAATGTCTGCTTAACGTACTTCATTCCAGGTTAATGACAGTAGCAGAACAGTCTTTTGGTGTCTGCCATCCTGATGGCATTTAATTGGTCGGGTGTAAAATCATAAGTCCAGTGAATCTAATGGCGCTAACATACCAAACCCGACTCCAAGCATCTGAAATCTGCCGTAAATGGAACGGTGGTATATTAAAAGGAAATGCACATATCTCTGTGCTGATTTCATTGTTTGAGACCTTTAACTTTGAGACTATATGTGACGCAACTGAGGTGGGTTGGCATCTCTCTAGCATTTTGGGTGCAATCGGTCTGCCAGCACCATGTGAGCTTTCTATCAGGAACTTCCTCTTACACCAAGGAGACTGCTGCTCATGTACCATGTAAAACCAGAAATCATAATTGACACATTATCCTAACTGGAACCAGGATCTCCTCCTAAGCCTAGCCAAAAAAGTTCAGGTGCTCAAACCTCATTAAAAAAGTAAGTTTGGTCATGTTTGGGTATCAAAACTGCTAAGTTTGGCTAAAATAAAGATCATGGTTTTATTAGAAAAGGAACTTAATAAAATCGTTACAAAACTGTCAGATCAATAACTTTAACTTTGACCATTTGGTCATTTGTTTCTAAAGTACAAAAAAAGTAGCAAAACTCACATCTGCACATTTTAAGTTTATTGTTTATTTGACCCAAACATTGACCAACTGGACACATCATTTCCCACTGACATTCGTGTTGCTGTTCACTTCCTGTTAGAGTATAATAGTCAGAGCTGCTTTGTTTTGTCATCGTTGTGGGTATGATATTTTATGATTTTGTCAAAGTAAACTAATTAGGTCATGAAGAATTTCTGACTATTCAAATATTGATTATGAATGTTAACCTTCAGTCTTTGTGCTGTTAGCTATACATCATAATTTAGTGGGACTGAAATTAATGACAGTATTTTTTTTTTTTTTTTTTGGCTGAGATGACAAATAACAGTAACTCATGTTGCGGTTGTGATAATTTAATCTATTTTTAAAGAAGTCCCCTTGAATTAGATTTTACTAGAAATGCTTCAGTCATGCTCTGTTTATATTAAAAAATACATTTCAGTTGATATTTGACTTTTTGAAAAAAACACATGCTTGAAACAACTTGTGAAATGGTTTGATTAAAGACAGCTTCTTGCAATAAATGAGACAGTCAGGAAAATCTGTGCCCCCAAGCCCAAATATAATTTTTGAGGCTTTTACAAAAGTTGAGTCAAATATAAAATCGTTGCAAAGTCCATGTGTTGTTCCATTCATATAGAGTTGGTTCAACTTAAACCAGAACTTTTTCACATCTATGGATCAGCTTGAACCAGATAACCAACACTTTATCCAGTTTTGCCAAATTTGCCAATTTGCCTTGTGTTTCATTTCAACTTTTAGATTTTATGTTTTTTTTAAACAACCAAATTTAACAGAAAAATGAATTAAACTTCTTTGTTGTTGTTTATTTGTTTTTATATATGTAAACTTTGGCTATTGAGAAAACCTTCACAGCTTTCTGTGTTAGTTGTATTTAGTTGACTCCCCCAAGTTGGTAAATGAATTGAGTTTGTATACCACATGTAGCCATAAAAATATGCTAAAATAACAAAATAAGTCAGTGGAGGCTTGATAAAAAAACAAAACAAAACAAAAAAAAAACATAAGGACCTTCATGAATTTAGTCATAATTTCTCTCACCTTACATGCTGTTTGATTGTTTTAAAAGTTTATCATAGAAAACGACAATCCTTTCAAAGTAGTAGTATCATGACTGTTGAATACCATCACCCATCATTGCTTCATACGATTGAATTCAGGCAATAGGCTATGAAATATTTCAAATATATCCTCCTCTGATCGATTTTACTCAAGAAAAAACTGTCTCCTTTGATTCAATTGACTAAAGTTACTCCAGTGACGTTAATCTAGTGGGTAGCTCTGCAAAAGGACAAATGAAATCGACGGAACTTAAAATTACAAAGAGTTGTGTAACTGGACAGGGGACAGCCTGGGCTGTGACACATCCACAACAGGAGAAGATGACTCACTTAAGATAAAAAGTAACATTTGATGGGAGCTGATATCAAAAAGAGAGGACAGAAAAAACACCAAGTGCTTCTCTTACTTTGGCTAGAGTGGTGACAAGTGTTGTTGTTGTGGTCCTCCTCGGTGTCTGTCAGGATGTTGATATCCTCCCCGGCTGCAGCATTCAGTATCAAGCAGTATCTGTTTCAGTCTGCCGCATCTACAGCATCGCTGCACACCGAAACACTGAGCAGGGAATAGTGAGGAGGAGTTCGTGAACGAGTCAGCGAAAAGATCCGGCTCCTTTGAGTGAATGAGGTAATCGGCTCTTTGCTGATTTTTATTTCCATTTCCAGAAAGTTTGGAATTTATCAATAAAAATGTTAATTAAAAACAGAATTTGATGGTTTGCAAAATGACTGGAAACAGCTTAAAAACCACATATCACTGCTGAAATTGACAAATGTGCTTGTATTGAATTCAACACCAGCAACACAATCAAAGGTAGATTTGGGGCAGGAAAAACAGCATTAAAGAGTATATAATGCTGAAAAAGAAAAGATAACTCATTTGCAACAGGTTAGTGACATGACTGCTTAGAAACAGTGCATTTAGGAGAGGCTGACTCGGAGGTAAAGATTGGAGGGGGTTCACAGCTCTGTGAGAGACCGTGTGAGATAATAGTTCAACAACATCAAAATACTGTTCCTCAGTTTAAAATCACATCAAATTTGGGACTCAAATCTTCTATAGTAGATAATATTAAAGAGCTTAAAATCTCTGCACAAGGCAGCATTAAAACAGACATGTAGAGGAAATTACTGCATAGGCCCGAAGCAATTTCAATATCTGCATAAAAAAGTGAACCATGCAAACAAATACCCATAAATTACCATGATCCAAAAACTTCAGCTACTATTCTGGACTTGAGCTCATTTAAGATGGACTGAGGTAAAGTAGTGCTTTGTGTAAGCCTCGTATTGAACTTCTCAAGAAAATATGTCAATTATAGATCAAATATGTCTAAATGTAGCTGAATAATTGATCATGAAACATGACTCTCAGATCTTTAAGGATCTAATTCTTATAGTCAAACTGAGCCAAATGATCTGATCACTGGAGAGGTATTAAATTCCCAACACTAGCCGGCAGGGCGGATCAGGACAGAAGGAGGGGTGAGGTGTAAGGTGGAGGAGTGGATGGAGGAGGGACACCATTCTACTATGCAGACCGTGCTGCTGTCAGTGCCGGGTCACATGGGTAGAGAAATGACTCCTCTGCTCAGTAGAAAAGTGATTTTTTACCTTTTTAATCTTCATCCGGGGTGACAGGTGTGGGCTTATGTTTATGTAACCCACATTTCTGTAACCTATGAACCGCAGCCGATTGGTCTTTTTTCTCACCAGTTCTACCCAGTTATGTAATTCAAACATAGATGTCAGTGTGTGAAAATAGGACCAACATTTTTGAAATATTCACAATCATTCCACTCAAAGAAACAAAATGAATGTGTTATAAAGCATGTCTGGAAGTTGAAGTTTGTTAAAGTGTGATAATTTCTAAATTCACTTTGATGGAATTTCATTTGTCTCACACAAAACAGTAAAAGGTATACATATTTATTTCCAACTTCTGTGAATAGTATGTCCTGAAAATCTATGTTTGATTTACAGGTTTCAACTAAATTACACACGCTGTAGCAGCAGATCTAAATTGCATTGTGAGGGGTGTAGGTGTCAGACCAGATGATTGACAGCAGGCTGTGGATTAGCCTGTTTGTAGTCCCTCCACAGCAAAAATTCACACCGATTGATATATTTCATTATTAAAAGACAACACGATGCAGATTATATCTGAAAACACTACTTTGAAATGTAGGACAAGCGACAAGAGGTATTACTTTGTCCACAGGGGGCACCAAAATTTACACTGAGCAAAGGTTTCTCACCGCAGCTTTATAAAATATGACCAACAGTTGAGACTTAAAAGGTTTTAGGAAGCTTAAGCCTGAAAGACAGAACATTCTTACATATATGATATCAAATGACATCCACCTCATCAATATTTTTAATAATTCTGATTTGTCAAAACCCATAACAAAGACAATGCATTATCATTCGTAAAAGTGAAATTTCCCTTTGCCTGTTGACGCTGTGGCAAAAAGTTAGTTTCAGATAGCTTTCGAAATTGGTTAACATTATGGCAATATAAGTTTATGTCTTAGGCTGGCCTTGAGTGAGTTAGAGTGCACTGATGTAAACAGAGTATGAGGAGCCACTGGACCCAAACCACCTCTGATATACTTAGGAGCAGAACAAAATCCTGTCCTGCAATCCACGCAACAGCAGCAGAGGTGGTGAGAGAGATTCCCTGAGTCACTGATAATAACAGCAAGGATGAGACACTTGCCTCATTTATGTGTGAAGGTGTGTCAACTGCAAATTAGCATTCAGTTAAATGTTATTCCTAAAAAAAAATAAGCAGACCAACTTAACAGTGAATTAACATGCTCAGTTCAACGTTTGATGTTTGTCTGACAAGGAGGCAGGTCACAATCTGTTGCCACTGAAGTGTTATTGACCATAATGTTGGATTTATTTTATTTTTTTCAGCATAAATAGATAATTTCTGAAGCTTTATATGGCATCATCTCACCTTTAGTTGACTGCATACTGTAATAAATGGGGTCCTGCTCATCCTCTCTACACTCCAGTTCACATGACAGGCTGCTCCTTTACATGAACGTTTTTAAAACATCAATATCTGATAGCTTAAAAAAAAGCATAATGAATAGTATAATAGGTCTGTCAGACACATTACTTGGTGAATATACAAAATTTAAAGAAATTCTCTCTAGAATTTAATCATTTAAAAAAAAAAGAAAGAAATGTAATTCTTTATTTTATTTTGTTTTTATTTATGTTTCAACTTAGCCATTACTTCCCTTTTCTCAGGACAACTGCACATGAGTGGCATATTCAGTGGAGGCTTCAAACTGTAGAGAAATAGTAGATACCCATCTTGCATGTGTGTGGAAGCCAACATGTAAGTGTGTATGCTCACATACTTCCACTCTGCTCTGACACATCTTCAGGAAGTGCGAGACACCGTGGGATTCCTGAGAGTCTTTGTGGATGTGACAGAGCCGGCAACAAGCCACGACCCGCTAGCACAAACCACAGATCTCAGTGCAACGAATCTACAGCAGAAACGTGAAGCCGGCAAGTTCAGACGTGTTAAAATCACCACACAATGCACAGGTACGCAGTGGGTCACCACCCCTCCTCTCTTGTCTCTCATCTGTCTTACTGACCTGTCAGCGGCGAACACACCTGGTGCCAAACTGATGACGAGCCACTTGACGCTGTTTGCTTCACACCCAAAGTGACGTTTCTCCTGAAAGGCGGTTTCAGATAGATTAAAAAAAAGTTGTGTTTGCAAATGGACATTCTTCAAGTTCGTGAGAAAAAAGCTCATATTGAAAAGTAGCGCAGCCACACCTTAGAAAGGTGAGGCTTGTTTTTAAAATGGCTTTAAAAGAGGGGCTGACCTTGGACCTTCCATGTATACTTAAAATGCTAACAGAGAAAGGAGGTAGAGTTGGAGTATTTGCACATGAATCCTGTGAAGTTTTTGAATGTGAAAGGCCTTAAATTTGCTTTCTCCCTGGTGGTCACTAGAGGGCGACTTTACTTGTAGAAGAAAAGCAAGCCAAAATATACGAACGTATTAAAACTTGTTAAAACTTCTCAGTTATTTCCTAGCATAGACTAAATTTTCATGACATGGGATGGTTGTAGTTTACTGGGGTAGTAATTAATACGCAAATGAGTTAGCTGTATGACACATCTTTATTATGGGGTGGCAGATAGCAACACACATCCAGCATGGCTGCCTCTAGATTTGGTCCCTAACTCATGTGGTTTCCTCATGTCTTAGCTCCACCCAGCAAAGATTAAGAAGCAAAATGCAAGGGAGAAACACGAGGACAGAGGAGGCATATTTTCCAATTAAAAATCTTTCCTTTAACAGCGTCAGACTGATGCAATGACAGGCACTGATGACCAAATGTGCACCCCTCACCTAACAACACAAATGTCCAAGAAACCCCAGATTATTTCAAAACTTTTGTGTTTGTTCCAAGTTTGTTTAAATAGTTGTATTACCCATCAGTTTTTGCAGTGTTAAAGCATTTTAAGCGATTATTTTCCTTTGGATCAGCAGTGTGATGGTGATGTGTCAAAATAACAACCTGTGCATATCAAGTTGTAGGTTGAAAGACTTTCACAGATGATCTAAGCTCCTCCAAAAGCCTTTTCTCTCCTCCAGGAATGTTAAATGAATTGGAAGATCCCTTATGATGGAGGGGAAACAATGTCTAGGTCAGTTGAGGAGAGAGGAGACAAAAATGTGCGATTTAATGTAATGAGACGGCGCCTTTGTCCAGATGCAAGAGAGCCATTAACTGTGTTGGCCAACCGTAAACTCACATATTATAAGCGATATTGACTATCAACTGAGTTCATTAAAGTAAGGGTCTAATCTAATGAGAAGGTGGATATGTAAGTTAGAATCTGGACAGAGTGAGACAAGACTTCCCGCTATGGTTGGAGAGTGACTATAATTATTCATTGAGCAAATCCTCCAGTCTTTAATACTATGTTCAGTTCAGAAAATTAAACCATGAACTTATCTTTATGTGACAGCAGTTGCCTGTAGGTTTTTTTGTTAGTTGGTTTTCACTTTGTAGTAGAAGTTTCCCCCCGTTTTTCATCACTGCAGACTGGAGGTTTTTCTGCTGTTGTAGCCTAAAGGCATGACCAGACCTGACCCAGGCAGCAGGTCATAAAACAGACCTAATTTGTCAGTAGTTTCTGTTCCTTGAAAGAACCAGTTAAAGAGGAGGGACACCTGAAAGGAGCCTCGAGAGCAGAACCAGGTCACAAAAAATGATTTACTGCTGGATCCCAGTAAGAACTATCTCATTTCTTTTTTAATGCTGACATGTTGGTCTGTGGGGAAACATTCAGTTTTAAAGCACTTGGACTCGATTAAGTCCAACAGTGTCGCTTTGTTTACAGTCCAGTCAACAATCCGAGAAGCTAGTGTGTGTTTGGATGAGAAGTGAAGCAAAATGTAACCCTTTCAAGTATATATACACAGAAAACAGACTGTGTTCTTGATTCATAAATCGGACTGATAAACACCCATCTATCTGTGTCTTCTTATGCATCAAAAAATTTACTAAATCCTCCCCTTGCTTGTTACATCCTACAGTGGACGTGGATCTGGTGGGTCCTAGTTTCACTGTACATATTAAGTCACAGACATAGCCTTGGCTTAGTTCAAGAGTATGAACCCAAACATGATCTCATGTGCACAAAGTTAATACAATCATTTTGTTTTTCATGACATCCTAAGGGAATTGTGTCTGGTTAGTCTCAGTTACACAGGAAATATAAAGACACAGGCTTCACTCTGGCTCACTTGAATATTATAAACCCAGATTGACGCCCTGCACAAGAGCTGTGTCCAGTGAGTCTGTTGAGTCTGGTGAGTCTCACTTTCACTCTCACTGTACATTTGGGAATAAAGCCTTCACTCTGGTATAATTTAGTGGTTTAAACCTAGAAAGAATGAGTCTTTACATTGCCATCATAGTGTAGATTTGTTTAAAGTCAAAATCTGGATGCTGATACCGGACAGGCCATTTCTCAACAAGTCAGATACCCACAAATTCAGTAGATGCGAAATCCCTGATTTACTGTAACAAATTCACAATCACAAATTACATCTCTACAAACTTGCACAGTGTTAGGAACCAAGTTTCTCAGGTCAGTGTGGCTAGTTACTGAAAATAAAACAGTGTTTTTGGCTCATGATGTTTTGTGTACATGCACTATCTTAAGGTCAAGTAGTGACTTAACAAAGGTGAGGTGATAAGAAAAGGGGTGTGAACTGAGAAATGTACTCATAGTGACTTTAACTAATGATCAACTGAGAAAAGGAAGGTGAAGTTTTCAGCAAATAAAAGCTGGAAACAAGTAATAACCTCTGAAACTTAACCTCTTAATCTCTCATCAGTGACAATCATAACAACCTCGAGATCTGTGTCCATCAGCAATGTTGGGTTATGATCAAATGTCCTGGAAGGGAGAGACCCCTGCTGGCCAAAAACCATAATTACAAAACAAGAACAGTTGTTTGTGATTCCAGTGGCAAGTGAATAAGAATTGACCCAACCTGAACTTTTTATATACATTGATACTTTGATAATGCAAAATAAGATGGAATTCTGTGTCACAAAAGAAATCCTAAAGTACCTCAATTTTTCAAGCTGATTAGGCTTTTCACGGTATTCAAAAGTATAAACATGAGAAAGCTTTGAGTGCTTTGTTGTGAAACCTCTGGGTGAGATCAGGTACAGGAGACTTGCACTCAGATTAACATGAGAAACTGACAGATGTCTGCGATTTGGATGGCTTGTGTTTGTTAATCAAAAGGTATGAAGTCCAAAGACGTCTATTTTAAATCCAGGCTGTAACATATGTGTGGAAAAAAAAAGTCACAGCAGGAGAATATTTATGCTCTGGCACTGGATTTTATTCCTCTAAAAGGAGGGGTAAAGAAGGTGAGAAAATTCTTGACACATAATGGACTCTCATTACTCACTGTTCTGTTAAAAACACTTAGTTCAACGCTTAGCAAACATTCCCTTAACCTCTCAGTGACCCCTGGGTGGCTTTAGGGAAACTTGGATTGACAAACTCTCCTTCACTGTGTAAACACTGATGACTGATATAAAAGAGTGAGTGTGAGCGAGCAGTCAGTACAGCCATGATGAAGAAACTCCCTCTGCTCTCTGCAGCCTTCATGCTGCTGCTGCTCCCAGAGACTCTGACTCAAGGTAAGCTGCAGAGTACTTCAGAAATCTGTTTTAAATACTTTTTTTTCTCGAATTGAAATTTTCTCCCTCCTCTTTTTTAATCATGTCATTTTTGTGTCAGAGAGTGAGGTAACTCCCATCGATGTGGTGGTGGAGAACAGCATACATAATTTGGCTCCTGTTACCTTCAGCACTCATGTAGTTTACAGAGGAATCCTGCTGGGAGCTCTGAGGAGACTCATGGCCTCTAATAGCGACTTCAAGTAAGATCACACCATCAAGTATGTTTGCATTAGTTAAAGCTGCTACGAGGAACTTTTGGTTTGTGATATTTTATTGTTGGCTAGCTAAAACAGAGTGAAAACATGCCACAAGTGACTGGATGCTGGTTTTAGCTGTGTTCTGGTGATAGCTAATGGGCTGGCAAATGTTTTTTAACTTGAAATATAACTGGATGTCACTCCTGATGTTCACTGTCTACTGTCTGTGTTGGTGCCTGTTGATAAAAAAATTGCAGAATCACCAAAATTTGTCAGGTTCGGACAAAACACTCGAATAATAAATGATGATTTATTTTATTTCAGAATCAAACCCCTTATATATTTCCATTTCCACACACTGTATTGTAGCTGTGTCTGATCCCTCTGAAGGAGCTCTATGGCGTTAAACCTAATTCACTCCAAAGCAGAGTGAAAGCGGGAAGGGACCAGGTCTGTAGACTCCCCGTTGGGGGGAGCCAGAGAGTCATGTGAAGGCAGTGTGCACCATATCAGGGTGCGGCCTATCCAGATGACCTTTCAACTCTGCTTGCAAATGCATGCACCCGAGCAAAGCACAGATGCAGGCAGGGATGACTGAAAGCCAGGCTATGAAAAACAATGATAGTAGCTGTATCCTGTGGTAAAACTAACTTACTTTTCTCATTTTTGTACCCACTGGAAAAACAGATGTTCATAGAGTTCAGTCATTGCTCTGAATCTTCCTTATGTACACTTTAACAAAGTCATCACTGTCTTCTCTGTTTGGTTAGGTTCACATATACAGAGGATCCAAACTACGGCCCGTCTTTAGAGAGTGTGAACGGCGTGGCAGGAAATGACAAAGACCAAACATACTGGCAGCTGCTGGTTATGAGACCAGATGGCGAGTTCAGACCTGATGTTGGTGAGTCCACAGAAAAAATTCAACCAGCCATCTTTGAGTGAAAAGAATGAGACACAATTTTGACTCTATTTCTTTTGCAGGGATTGGATGTTACATACCCAGCGCCAATGAGAAAATCATCCTGAGATTTTCAAAGTGGTGAAGGTTCATTGGTATTCAGCCATACCAACAAGACACAAGTGTATAAGGGGAAATAATGAAGCAACATGCATCTGTGTTTAATGTTGAGTCAATAAAAAACTTCTCCATGTGTTGCTTTGGTTGATTTACAGAGAGAAAGAGCAGCTGTGAACATTTCTGACAAGGAGAAGGGTAAAGTGTAAGATATCAGACAGGAGGCAATTTAAATATGGAGAGTCACCTTTTAATAGCTAAAATTTTAGATTTGATAACAGTTAACTTGTTCATCCAGATAGCAGCAGAAATCTAACCAAAATATGATAAAACTTGAGGAAATTATTCATCTTTATTTGGAGATGGCAGTTTCAAAAAGACAATACTTGGTTTTCTTTTTCTCAAACAGCTGATGGAAAACACTGACATTTTATCACAACACTTTCTTTTTTGAGATGCACTGTTTATATAAAGTGTAATTCAGAAGTACTGCTATTCTTTGAATATTTGTATCTGTGAAGGCTTCATCAAATCCTTCATTTCTTAGATAAACTGGGATAAAAGAGGCTGAATCACCTGATCAGGAGGATAAAACAGCACAGATGTATTATGAAACAAAACATGTTCATTTAGGAAGGACTTCAAGTGAATCATCAAAAAGCTCATAACTGTCAAAGTGACAAGGAATCCTACTGAGGAAGTAAAAGTCCAAAAATTCAGATCAACGTTGTTCCCTAAGATTTACTATCTAATCATCAACATACCACAAACACAGCAACTCCAAAAACAACAGACTGTTTCCTTGTTGTCATTGATTTTTGCATGTAGAACAATAGGAGCAGTGTTCATAGCTATTTCACCACAAGATTCAAAGTTCAAGCAGAGTAACATCAAGTTATTGTAAGTTGAATCAGACTGATCTTGATGTCCGGCAGATCCTTCAGTATGTCTTATAGCTCAGGATGATTTCATCATTTGCACTTGGGATAGAACATCCAATCCCTGCAAAGACAGAAAAAAAAACATGTAAATTATCTGCATTTTAATAAGACCAGGACAAACTTAATAGATCTTGACAAGTAATTCACCAGCATCAGGTCTTATAATCTTGTTGTTTCCTGTGCCGACCAGTATGCTCCCAGTATGTTGGTTCCTCAGAAAATCCAGACACCCTCAAACACTAGAGAAGAAGTCTTCTGTCAACATAGATAACCCTTTATTGTCAGCCAACTTTGATCTGTTTTATTTTAATATTCCAAGTTATTGTGGGGATCTGGCCTTTAATAAAGATGAACTATGATCTGATGTGAGGCCTTGGTTGGAGTGATACAGTCTCTGCAATCCCCCCAGTAAGTTTCCTCTTACAGGCACAAACATGCTGTAAGTCTTATTGGTAGTATTTGTGAATGACTTTGACACCAGGATAGAAAAATTTGTTTGATCAGACTCTGGAAAAAGTCTCAATGCACAGTGAGAAAAGAAGTGTTAAATCCTGCCACTTATATATTATCAAATACTTTTTTCACAGTTCATCTTTTAAGTATGTTATGTTAAGAGTGAGGGGCTCAAATGCTGTGTTATTGTTATGCTGCTGTGGTCGGTTTTGACCCTTTTACAATTTAGAAGCACATTTCTGTTTTTTCTTTAGTTGATGTTGCACAAAGAACTTGTTAACAGCAAGTGCATTATTGCAGGTGTCCTGGTCGGCCCCCTTTTTTGAGAAAAGAATGGGCACAGAAAGCAATCAACTGCTCTATCACATGTTTTAGTGAACAAACTCTAAATTAGTAAAAGTTTTAATGCCAGTGAAAGAACAAGCTCTCTTTGAAATGTTTTGGTGCTTGATACCTGGTGGTGCAGGTGTGTTATCTTTGAGCTCATACGCTTGTCTAATCAAATCTTTAAGAATCAGATGATACCAGCGGTTTACATGTGGCTGCAGTCTGCATTACTTGAGATTTTCAAAGTGGTGAAGATTCATTGGTATTCAGCCACACCAACAAGACACAAGTGTATAAAAGAAAATAATGAAGCAACATGCATCTGTGTTAGTTAAATGTTGACTCAATACAAAACTTCTCCATGTGTTGCTTTGGTTGATTTACAGAGAGAATGAGCAGCTGTGAACATTTCTGACAAGGAGAAGGGTAAAGTGTAAGATATCAGACAGGAGGCCATTTAAATTTGGAGAGTCACTTTTTAAGAGCTACAATTTTAGGTTTGATTACAGTCAACTTGTTCATCAGGATAGCAGCAAAAATCTTACTAAAATATAATAAAACTTGAAAAAATTAATCATGTTTATTTAGAGCAGAGGTGTGGGGGGAGCACGAGGGGGACATGGGGTTGTTTATAATGTTTATTTGGAGATGGCAGGTTTAAAAAGACAACACTCTTGGTTTTCTTTTTCTCAAACAGCTGATGGAAAAACTTGAACTTTTTCACAATACTGTCTTTTTTGAGATGCACTGGTTATATAAAGTGTAATTCAGATCTACTGCTGTCTTTGAATATTTGCATCTGTGGAGGCTTCATCAAATCCTGCATTTCTTAGATAAACTGGGATTAAGGAGGCTGAATTACCTGATAAGGTGTTTGAAAGAAGCACAGACTTACTACGTAACAAAACATGTTCATTTGGAAGGACTTCAACAAATCTTTTTTAAGTGAATCATCAGACAGCTCATAAATGCCAGTGATGAGGAGTCATACTGAGGAAGTAAAAGCCCAAAAATTCAGATCAAGGATGTCTGTTTCCCTATTGTCACGAAAGAAATCTTACCAAAATATGATCAAACTCGAAGAAATCAATAATGTTAAAGAATAATATTAAAAATAGTTTTGAAAGCACAGGTTTTTTTTTTGCATTTTTCTTCAGTTGATGTTGCACAAAGGACTTGTTAACAACAAGTGCATAATTGCTTTATGGAAACTTGGATTGACAAACTCTCCTCCCCTGTGTAAACACTGATGACTGATATAAAAGGGTGAGTGTGAGCGAGCAGTCAGTACAGCCATGATGAAGAAACTCCCTCTGCTCTCTGCAGCCTTCATGCTGCTGCTGCTCCCAGAGACTCTGACTCAAGGTAAGCTGCAGAGTACTTCAGAAATCTGTTTTAAATACTTTTTTTTCTCGAATTGAAATTTTCTCCCTCCTCTTTTTTAATCATGTCATTTTTGTGTCAGAGAGTAAGGTAACTCCCATCGATGTGGTGGTGGAGAACAGCATACATAATTTGGCTCCTGTTACCTTCAGCACTCATGTAGTTTACAGAGGAATCCTGCTGGGAGCTCTGAGGAGACTCATGGCCTCTAATAGCGACTTCAAGTAAGATCACACCATCAAGTATGTTTGCATTAGTTAAAGCTGCTACGAGGAACTTTTGGTTTGTGATATTTTATTGTTGGCTGGATAAAACAGAGTGAAAACATGCCACAAGTGACTGGATGCTGGTTTTAGCTGTGTTCTGGTGATAGCCAATGGGCTGGCAAATGTTATTTAACTTGAAATATAACTGGATGTCACTCCTGATGTTCACTGTCTACTGTCTGTGTTGGTGCCTGTTGATAAAAAAATTGCAGAATCACCAAAATTTGTCAGGTTCGGACAAAACACTCGAATAATAAATGATGATTTATTTTATTTCAGAATCAAACCCCTTATATATTTCCATTTCCACACACTGTATTGTAGCTATGTCTGATCCCTCTGAAGGAGCTCTATGGCGTTAAACCTAATTCACTCCAAAGCAGAGTGAAAGCGGGAAGGGACCAGGTCTGTAGACTCCCCGTTAGGGGGAGCCAGAGAGTCATGTGAAGGCAGTGTGCACCATATCAGGGTGCGGCCTATCCAGATGACCTTTCAACTCTGCTTGCAAATGCATGCACCCGAGCAAAGCACAGATGCAGGCAGGGATGACTGAAAGCCAGGCTATGAAAAACAATGATAGTAGCTGTATCCTGTGGTAAAACTAACTTACTTTTCTCATTTTTGTACCCACTGGAAAAACAGATGTTCATAGAAGTCAGTCATGGCTCTGAATCTTCCTTATGTACACTTTAACAATGTCATCACTGTCTTCTCTATTTGGTTAGGTTCACATATACAGAGGATCCAAACTACGGCCCGTTTTTAGAGAGTGTGAACGGCGTGGCAGGAAATAGCAAGGACCAAACATACTGGCAGCTGCTGGTTAAGAGACCTGATGGCGAGTTCAGACCTGATGTTGGTGAGTCCACAGGAAAAGTTCAACCATCCATCTTTGATTAAAAAGAATGAGACACGATTTTGACACTTTTTCTTTTGCAGGGATTGGATGTTACATACCCAGCGCCAATGAGAAAATCATCCTGAGATTTTCAAAGTGGTGAAGATTCATTTGTATTCAGCCATACCAACAAGACACAAGTGTATAAGGGGAAATAATGAAGCAACATGCATCTGTGTTTAATGTTGAGTCAATAAAAAACTTCTCCTTGTCAGAAATGTTCTCAGCTGCTCATTCTCTTTGTAAATCAACCAAAGCAACACATGGAGAAGGGTAAAGTGTAAGATATCAGACAGGAAGCCATTTAAATTTGGAGAGTCACTTTTTAAGAGCTACAATTTTAGGTTTGATTACAGTCAACTTGTTCATCCAGATAGCAGCAGAAATCTAACCAAAATATGATAAAACTTGAAGAAATCAATAATGTTTAGTTGGAGATGGCAGTTTTAAAAAGACAATACTTGGTTTTCTTTTTCTCAAACAGCTGATGGAAAACACTGATATTTTATCACAACACTTTCTTTTTTGAGATGCACTGGTTATATAAAGTGTTATTCAGAACTACTGCTGTCTTTGAATATTTGTATCTGTGAAGGCTTCATCAAATCCTTCATTTTTTAGATTAACTGGGATAAAAGAGGCTGAATCACCTGATCAGGAGGATAAAACAGCACAGATGTATTATGTAACAAAACATGTTCAATTAGGAAGGACTTCAACCAATCTTTTTAAAGTGAATCATCAAAAAGCTCATAACTGTCAAAGTGACAAGGAATCCTACTGAGGAAGTAAAAGTCCAAAAATTCAGATCAACGTTGTTCCCTAAGATTTATTATCTAATCATCAACATACCACAAACACAGCAACTCCAAAAACAACAGACTGTTTCCTTGTTGTCATTGATTTTTGCATGTAGAACAATAGGAGCAGTGTTCATAGCTATTTCACCACAAGATTCAAAGTTCAAGCAGAGTAACATCAAGTTATTGTAAGTTGAATCAGACTGATCTTGAGGTCCAGCAGATCCTTCAGTATGTCTTATAGCTCAGGATGATTTCATCATTTGCACTTGGGATAGAACATCCAATCCCTGCAAAGACAGAAAAAAAAACATGTAAATTATCTGCATTTTAATAAGACCAGGACAAACTTAATAGATCTTGACAAGTAATTCACCAGCATCAGGTCTTATAATCGTGTTGTTTCCTGTGCAGACCAGTATGCTTCCAGTATGTTGGTTCCTCAGAAAATCCAGACACCCTCAAACACTAAAGAAGAAGTCTTCTGTCAATATAGATAACCCTTTATTGACAGCCAACTTTGATTTATTTTATTTAATATTGCAATTATTCTGGGGATCTGGCCTTTAATAAAGATGAACTATGATCTGATGTGAGGCCTTGGTTGGAGTGATACAGTCTCTGCAATCCCCCCAGTAAGTTTCCTCTTACAGGCACAAACATGCTGTAAGTGTTATTGGTAGTATTTGTGAATGACTTTGACACCAGGATGGAAAAATAAGTTTGATCAGACTCTGGAAAAAGTCTCAATTCACAGTGAGAAAAGAAGTGTTAAATCCTACCACATATATATAATTAAATACTTTTTTCACAGTTCATCTTTTAAGTATGTTATGTTCAGAGTGAGGGGCTCAAATGCTGTGTTATTGTTATGCTGCTGTGGTCGGTTTTGACCCTTTTGCAATTTAGAAGCACATTTCTGTTTTTTCTTTAGTTGATGTTGCACAAAGAACTTGTTAACAGCAAGTGCATTATTGCAGGTGTCCTGGTCAGCCCCCTTTTTTTGAGAAAAGAACGTGCACAGGAAGCTATCAACTGCTCTATCACATGTTTTAGTGAACAAACTCTAAATTAGTAAAAGTATTAATGCCAGTGAAAGAACAAGCTCTCTTTAAAATGTTTTGGTGCTTCATACCTGGTGGTGCAGGTGTGTTATCTTTGAGCTCATATGCTTGTCTAATCAAATCTTTAAGAATCAGATGATACCAGCGGTTTACATGTGGCTGCAGTCTGCATTACTTGAGATTTTCAAAGTGGTGAAGGTTCATTGGTATTCAGCCATACCAACAAGACACAAGTGTATAAGGGGAAATAATGAAGCAACATGCATCTGTGTTTAATGTTGAGGCAATACAAAACTTCCCCATGTGTTGCTTTGGTTGATTTACAGAGAGAATGAGCAGCTGTGAACATTTCTGGCAAGGAGAAGGGTAAAGTGTAAGATATCAGACAGGAAGCCATTCAGATCTGGAGAGTCACTTTTTAAGAGCTACAATTTTAGGTTTGATTACAGTCAACTTGTTCATCAGGATAGCAGCAAAAATCTTACTAAAATATAATGAAACTTGAAAAAATTAATCATGTTTATTTAGAGCAGAGGTGTGGGGGGCGCACGAGGGGGACATGGGGTTGTTTATAATGTGTTTTGGAGATGGCAGGTTTAAAAAGACAACACAAATGGTTTTCTTTTTTTAAAACAACCGATGGAATAACTTGAACTTTTTCAACATACTGTCTTTTTTGAGATGCACTGGTTATATAAAGTGTAATTCAGATCTACTGCTGTCTATGAATATTTGCATCTGTGGAGGCTTCATCAAATCCTGCATTTCTTAGATAAACTGGGATAAAAGGAGGCTAAATAACCTGATGAGGTGTATGAAGAAGCACAGACTTACTACGTAACAAAACCTGTTCATTTAGGAAGGACTTCAACAAATCTTTCTAAGTGAATCATCAGACAGCTCATAAATGCCAGTGATGAGGAGTCATACTGAGGAAGTAAAAGCCCAAAAATTCAGATCAAGGATGTCTGTTTCCCGGTTGTCACGAAAGAAATCTTACCAAAATATGATCAAACTCGAAGAAATCAATAATGTTAAAGAATAATATTAAAAATAGTTTTAAAAGCACAGTTTTTTTTTTGCATTTTTCTTCAGTTGATGTTGCACAAAGGACTTGTTAACAGCAAGTGCATAATTGCTTTACGGAAACTTGGATTGACAAACTCTCCTCCCCTGTGTAAACACTGATGACTGATATAAAAGAGTGAATGTGAGCGAGCAGTCAGTACAGCCATGATGAAGAAACTCCCTCTGCTCTCTGCAGCCTTCATGCTGCTGCTGCTCCCAGAGACTCTGACTCAAGGTAAGCTGCAGAGTACTTCAGAAATCTGTTTTAAATACTTTTTTTTTTTTTTCTTGTATTGAAATTTTCTCCCTCCTCTTTTTTAATCATGTCATTTTTGTGTCAGAGAGTGAGGTAACTCCCATCGATGTGGTGGTGGAGAACAGCATACATAATTTGGCTCCTGTTACCTTCAGCACTCATGTAGTTTACAGAGGAATCCTGCTGGGAGCTCTGAGGAGACTCATGGCCTCTAATAGCGACTTCAAGTAAGATCACACCATCAAGTATGTTTGCATTAGTTAAAGCTGCTACGAGGAACTTTTGGTTTGTGATATTTTATTGTTGGCTGGCTAAAACAGGGTGAAAACATGCCACAAGGGACTGGATGCTGGTTTTAGCTGTGTTCTGGTGATAGCTAATGGGCTGGCAAATGTTATTTAACTTGAAATATAACCGTACGTCACTCCTGATGTTCACTGTCTATTGTCTGTGTTGTTGCCTCTCAATAAAAAACCTGCAGAATCACCAAAATTTGTCAGGTCTGGACAAAACACTCGAATAATAAATGATGATTTATTTTATTTCAGAATCAAACCCCTTATATATTTCCATTTCCACACACTGTACAGTACACATTAAAAACCGATGCGAATGGAGGTCAGTCATGGCTCTGAATCTTCCTTATGTACACTTTAACAATGTCATCACTGTCCTCTCTATTTGGTTAGGTTCACATATACAGAGGATCCAAACTACGGCCCGTTTTTAGAGAGTGTGAACGGCGTGGCAGGAAATAGCAAGGACCAAACATACTGGGAGCTGCTGGTTAAGAGACCAAATGGCAAAATCATCAGACCTGATGTTGGTGAGTCCACAGGAAAAATTCAACCATCAATTTTTGATTAAAAAAAAAAAAAAAAGGCACAGTTTTGACCTTTTTTTTTTTTCTTTTGCAGGGATTGGATGTTACATACCCAGCGCCAATGAGAAAATCATCCTGAGATTTTCAAAGTGGTGAAGGTTCATTAGTATTCAGCCATACCAACAAGACACAAGTGTATAAAAGAAAATAATGAAGCAGCATGCATCTGTGTTTAATGTTGAGTCAATAAAAAACTTCTCCATGTGTTGCTTTGGTTGATTTACAGAGAGAAAGAGCAGCTGTGAACATTTCTGACAAGGAGAAGGGTAAAGTGTAAGATATCAGACAGGAGGCCCTTCAGATTTAGATGGTTACTTTTTAAGAGCTACAATTTTAGGTTTTATTACAGTCAACTTTTCACCCGGATAGCAGCAGAAATCTAAGTAAAATATGATAAAAGTTGAAGAAATCAATAATGTTTATTTGGAGATGGCAGTTTCAAAAAGACAACACTTGGTTTTCTTTTTCTCAAAAAGCTGATGGAAAACACTGATATTTTATCACAACACTTTCTTTTTTGAGATGCACTGGTTATATAAAGTGTAATTCAGAAGTACTGCTATTCTTTGAATATTTTCATCTGTTAAGGCTTCATCAAATCTTTCATTTCTTAGATGAACTGGGATAAAGGAGGCTAAATAACCTGATAAGGTGTATAAAAGAAGCACAGACTTACTACGTAACAAAACCTGTTCATTTAGGAAGGACTTCAACAAATCTTTTTAAAGTGAATCATCAGATGGCTCATAACTGCCAGTGATGAGGAGTCATACTGAGGAAGTAAAAGCCCAAAAATTCAGATCAAGGATGTCTGTTTCCCTGTTGTCACGAAAGAAGTCATACTAAAATATGATCAAACTCAAAGAAATCAATATTGTTAAAAAATGATATCAAAAATAGAGTTTAAAGCACAGTTTTTTGCATTTTTCTTCAGTTGATGTTGCACAAAGGACTTGTTTACAGCAGGTGCATAATTGCTTTACGGAAGCTTGGATTGACAAACTCTCCTCCACTGTGTAAACACTGATGACTGATATAAAAGAGTGAATGTGAGTGAGCAGTCAGTACAGCCATGATAAACTGGGATAAAAGAGGCTGAATCACCTGATCAGGAGGATAAAAAAGCACAGATTTACTTTGCACCAAGACATGTTCATTTTGGAAGGACTTCAGCAAATCTTTTTAAAGTGAATCATCAGATGGCTCATAACTGTCAAAGTGACAAGGAATCCTACTGAGGAAGTAAAAGTCCAAAAATTCAGATCAAGGTTGTTCCCTAAGATTTATTATCTAATCATCAACATACCACAAACAACAACTCCAAAAACAACAGACTGTTTCCTTGTTGTCATTGATTTTTGCATGTAGAACAATAGGAGCAGTGTTCATGGCTATTTCACCACAAGATTCAAAGTTCAAGCAGAGTAACATCAAGTTATTGTAAGTTAAATCAGACTGATCTTGAGGTCCAGCAGATCCTTCCTTATGTCTTATAGCTCAGGATGATTTCATCATTTGCACTTGGGATAAAACATCCAATCCCTGCAAAGACAGAAAAAAAACATGTAAATTATCTGCATTTTATTAAGACCAGGACCAACTTAATAGATCTTGACAAGTAATTCACCAGCATCAGGTCTTATAATCGTGTTGTTTCCTGTGCTGACCAGTATGCTTCCAGTATGTTGGTTCCTCAGAAAATCCAGACACCCTCAAACACTAAAGAAGAAGTCTTCTGTCAACATAGATAACCCTTTATTGTCAGCCAACTTTGATCTGTTTTATTTTAATATTCCAAGTTTAATATTCCATGCTGTAAGTCTTATTGGTAGTATTTCAGTCAGGTACACTTTGTCAAAATTTTTTAGCTTTATTGTGCAAATTAGATTTGGCGGCATGATTCTGTTCCGGGTCCCTGCCCTTCCACGCGCTTGCGTGGAAGCCCAAGGCAGGAAGCGTCCCTTCCTGCCCTTCACGAGCCATCATGAAAGGCGATAGCAGGGAGCGCACGCGAGGTTCCGTTCATCCCCCCGTTCTCCACGTTGGCAGGGGTGAAAGGCCAGCGGCAGGAAGTGCACCTTCCCGCCCTCCACGAGCCATCATGAAGGAGGAGGCGGCGGGGGTGGAGCAGCAATGAACAGAACCCCCCCAAAACGACCATGCCGTGCAGACTAGGAGCTAGCAGGGGAGGTGAGAGTTGCCGAAAGAGAGACGGGTTAGAGAGACCCGTTGCCCAAGCATGGGTATTTATCTGCGGGGTGTTTATTTATATATTTCATTTAATTAGCATCTATGTGCCAAAGTTATGGGTACTCATAGTTTTTGGGGCTTCTATAATGTCCCGAGCCTCGGGTTGCAGATAGCGTTTATACGCGGCTGACGACCATTGGCCCATGGCTTTGAGGGTGGACACGGGAGCCGTCATAGCTGCGGTTGTAGCTGCACCTATGTGAAAGGAAAGAGCTGTGTAGCGATCTAGAGGATGTGTGGAGGGCGATCAGCTAAGCTGTCATCTGACTGAGGGCTAGCTTAAGATCAGCTGACTCTAACCTTTAGCTTGACTGTACCTTGTGTCCTGCCTGAACTACGGCCATGCTTAATTTCGGTCAGGACTACTTTAGTTAGAATTAATTATTTATTACTAGCAAAAAAAAAAAAAAATTTAACATTGGCGGTATGGCTGTATTCTGAGAGTTCCCTGCTCTGTCATGCACTTGCATAGAATCCCAAGGCAATGAGAGGGAATGCCCTCCCCTCCCTTTCAGGTGCATATGCAAAAAGCCAAGGCAGAAAAGCAGCAGTGAATAAATAAAATTAAGGTAAATTAGGATCCCCCAAAACAACCATACCAGACACCCTTTCGGCTTTCATGTGCTACATTAAAGCCGAGGCAGGGGAAGCAGCGGCAAAAGTTAAGTCCCCCAGAACAACCATACCGGCAAGCTTTCGTGAGCTACATGAAGGCACCTACGGGGAAGGGAGGGCAGCCAGCAGCGAGAAACTATGAAGCAACCTACCCACCTCCAAGCTTGCATAGTATTGGTGACCCTCACGACATGATCATGGATCAGGATTAATTTAATCCATACGCAAATTTATAATTGGGAATATGCTTAATGCAATAGATATGGGACAGAATTAAGGAGCAGCAGCAATTTTTTTTTTTTCCCCAGTAGCTAATTGAGCATAGGAAATTTCTAATAATAATAATAATAATAATAATAATATATTAGCCTTGGGCCATTCAAATGCTGATCAAGACCATCGACCCGTAGCCTTGAGCGTCGAGACGGGGACAATGGAAGATGCAGTTGTAGCTGCGCCTATGCGTGGTGAATGCGTAGAGTTGTACTCAGGTAGGAGCCAGCAGGATTGGCAGAGCAGGCAGAGTTGAGCAAAAAGCTGCAATCTGGATATAGGTTTCCCTTCTTCAGTGGCAAAGAGAGACTCTTGCTGGCTGGCCAGTGGCCGGCCTCTCAGGCAGCGGGACATGGAGGATAAAGAACAAAGACAGAGTTAGTTTGGAAATATAAATAAAAAAAATGCGAGATTCAAAACCGTGGACTATTAAAGCACATACAATGGATATATTTAGGGTGTTGGGGCTACAGAGAAGGTGGTACAAAAGAGGTAAAGTGAGACCACGCAGAACCGTATAAACTTAAATGCTGATTTTGCTTGACCAGCTCTCAAGTAGCTGTCAACAGAGAGCACTAAGGTTTGCAAGGCTGCACTCAGACTTATGCAGTCTGAATGAATGACTTCACTAACAGCGGTTGGGATGCTTTGCCAGTGCCTTCCCCAGCTCAAGGACATTTGACAGAGTAGACAGCTTTGTTCTTTCCCGTTTTACCAGGTGGGTGCGTCTTCTGCATGCTGATTTCAGATGCCCGTCCCTGAAGTAACTTTGGCTTCTCTGAGTAGTAGGCTTTGAGAGGCTTGGGTGGTTGGCCTGTAGCCACAGTTTTAGGGCACCGATTAGAGGTGTGGGCAGGGGTGGACAAGGTAGGATAAGGTTCCTCCAGGTACTGTACCCGTAGACTTTGTACAAGATGAGCACACCCAAGTTAAGCAAGTTGCTGGCTCCGATGCCACAGTATCATCATCTACTGTATCTCTTGCTTGAACATAAAATCAATTATTATTATTATTAATTAATTAATTTATTTTTATTATTATTATTATTATTATTATTATTATTATTATTATTATTATTATTTATTTATTTATTTTTCTGCATTTTGTCTTATTTCTACATTAAGATTGAAGCAGCTGACTCTTTAGTTCCCGCCTTCTGCAAAAGGCGGAAGGCGGGCCCCTGCACCTAGGCAACAAGCGTCCAATCAAAAGTGCGCACTGGTGCTCCCACTACTGGAGTTTATTTGTAAGCAAATACCACTCACTCTCAAGCGGCAAGGTCCTATTGGATTACTTCGGTTATAACGCAGAGTGCAGACTGATGTGCGGCAACACACTAAGCCTAGATACATGGAAGGGGTGAAAACTTTAAACTGCTGATTATGTCTTCCCGAAATGGCGTACTGCTGCATAATGGCTTACTTTCACCTCCAGGTGAGAGAAAGACCCGCAGATTGAGCAGGAAAAGCTTGATGCTCGGTGAAATGTCTACTGATTAGAGCCTGGTCAACTACGGACTGATCAAGTCTTTGGTTGAATCTTTGAATGTACTTAGCAGCTTTGCTGAAAATGATTTTTAATGTTCCTAGAATAATGATCCTCCCTGTGTCATGGCTGAATCAGAAATATTGGCGAGATATGTGTCCAGTTCAGTTCTGCGTGCTGAAAACACTTCACATATGACATCTCCAAATACGAAATTTAAAGCTATGAATTCAGCCAAGGTCGGAGATTTAAACAGCCGGGCATCACGATATTTAAGCATCACAGACTCATCTCAGCAATCCACATGCGTCTATCATTGTAGTCTGAGCACAGCAAGACTAATGTCAGTACCTGCAAGGATTTGGCTCCGCGGATTAGGTGTAATTGCAGCCGCGGAGGGAAATTATTGGACGCCGGTGGAGCCGGGACTGCACTTCCCAGGGTCCTTCGCAGGATGGGGGACACCGTCGCCGGTTGTCGCTGGAGTGACGTCATCGTTCAGCGCGGTGAATGCAGGTAACAGCTGGGATGAAGGGAGACAGCTCAGCACGTGCCGAACCAGATTCTGAGGCTTCGATCCTTGAAGACATGTGGGAGAACGATGGCTGGATGCTGGATAGTACTCTCAGGATGGGATTGTCGTCCAGGTCCGCGGGTCTGATAGCTGGGGTTGGGCTTCGCGCTCTGCGGGCGGCGGCGATGACGCGGCGGCTGAAGTTGGAACTGCCGTGACGCTGCGGGAACAGTTCCCTTTCAGTCGATTCACCCGGTACAACACATATAGTATGGGATATCACGCCCTCGCGTGGCCTGACTGAAGACATCTTTATTCACGCCTTTAAGGCAGATGATCTGTGGTGACGTCTGGGAGGCTCCGCCTGCACATATATACGTGTAACACCACAGTCATCCTTCAGTTCTTACGCTCTTCACCTCGCTGAGAACACCTACACCGAGTCGGGCTAACTAGCTGCTGCTAGCTCAGCCTGGTCTTGTCTGTGGCTATTGCCTGATCGTTTTTAGCTTAACTGCCATTGTTGGTGTTAGCCTACGGCTACCCGCGGAGCGCTAATTTCGTTCAGCTTTTGAGTCTCGTTATGAGCTCTAAGCCCATGAAGGTGAAGGCGAAGTCTTCTGGTCGCCCCTGTCCTCAGGGGTGCGGCTTCTCCCTTCACGAGAAGGATCTCCATGAGGCTTGTCCCGTTTGCCTGGGTATTGTCCATGCCAGGAGGGCGTTGACTGAGCCCGAGTCGTGTGAGTCCTGTCACCGGCTTCGGAGCTTAACCCTGGGAAGGCGGGTCAAGTTTGTGGAGAAAATTCTAGGAAAATCCGCTGTTGCAATGCACGATCCCCTCCTCTCCGAGTCCAGAGACCCGGCTTCGCCCGAGTCCAGTGGTGAGGTCTTTCTGGTCGAAGGCTCAGTTGGAAACTGGGCAGACCATGTGGAGTGTGCTGATGGGTCAGCTGGATTTGAGCCGGGCCCGACCGAGGGCGCTGGCCAGCCGCTATCCGGGCTAGCTTGTTACCAGGAAGACGATGACGTGCTGGACATCGGCTTGGACGTGCAGGGTTTTTCGGAGGATGAGCAGGAGCCGTTGTCTTCGGGTCAGTATGCCGCCGCTGCTGCGCCGGTTGATCTGGACGACACATCCCTCCTCTCACTGTACCGCCGTGCAGCTGAGAAACTGGAAGTAGGATGGCCCTCTCCTCCACCGGCTCAAAAACCGTCGCGGTTCTCGGGGTTTTTTCTCCCACCCGAACCGACGACTGTTAAGAACAGTTTGCCCATGTTCCCGGATTTTGTCGCGGATCTAACCTCAACATGGGACAAGCCGCTGTCCACCCGCGCCACAGTGCCCGGTTGTGGAAAGTTTCTGGACCTGGATGGAGATGAAAAAGCTGGATTGGTGAACCCTCCGCCTATGGAGGCGTCCCTGGCAGCTTATCTGGCCCCGGCCCAGAATCATGGTGTCGGTAGCCCCATCACGCTCCCATCCAAGCACTGCAGGTTTTCAGCGTCACAGCTGGATAGAATTTACAGGACACAGGCAAATACGGCTCGTGTACTGAGCTCCGTCACCATGCTTCAGACATATCAAGCTATGTGTCTGGCGGAACTCGGCTCGCGTATGCGTCCTGACAGTCAGCTTTCTCCTCTCCTCAACGAAGCTAGCGTCGCCACAGATTACATCCTCCGTGTGTCCCGCTGTGCAGCGCTCTCTCTCGGTAGAGGCATGGCTTCCACGGTGGTGGCGCAGAGGCACCTGTGGCTGACTCTCTCCGACGTTCCGGAGAGGGACAAAGCGGTTTATCTCGACGAGCCTGTGTCGGCCAGCGGTTTGTTTGGGCAGTCCCTCGACGACATTCAGGCTAAGTTTGAGCTGAGGAAAAAACAAACCGAAGCTTTGAGCAGCATCATCCCCAGGCGTGATGCGAGGCCCAAACAACAGGGTTATCCGCACAAACCGGCAGAGACGCTGCCGCCCTTCATTTTTTGCCGCCAAAGAGGCCGCGTTTAATGTTTGTTCAGGGGTCCGGTCCCGAGAGGCGCTGCACTCCCTTAACACAGTTTTCCCAAGCACAATCCTCCCTCACACACATGCCCAAGTAATGGCGCCTGTTGTTCACTGAGTGAATGTTACAAATGTGCGTTCGTCGAGTCTGATAGAGGTTCCGTTTTGTTCTCAAAACATCATAAATCAATCAAGTCTGGGCGGGAAAGTACTGCTGTTCCCAGCCGGCACGCTAGAGGGCGACAACCCCTCCCCCACAGTACTGGGGGTCAGTCGACTGACTGTTCGTCTCCCTCGGTGGTGCGCATGCGCAGTCTCACTGTGGGTAGAGAGAACCGTTGCCATGGGCTACCGTATACAGTTCGGGGCCCGGCCGCCTCGCTTTCACACTGTAATACACACAGTTGTAGCAGAGGAAGCAGCAGTGCTGAGGGAAGAAATAAACAACTTGTTGAACAAGAGAGCGATATGAGTTGTCCCCGCTTCGGAAACGAACAAAGGTTGGTACAGCCGCTATTTCGTTGTTCCGAAAAGAGGAGGAGGGCTCCGTCCTATCCTATCCTAGACTTGCGAGTGTTAAACAAATACCTACGAACTTACAGGTGCAAGATGCTAACACTCAGACAGCTACTGGGCGAAATCAGACCGGGAGATTGGTTTACAACTATCGATCTGACAGATGCTTACTTTCATGTAGCGATTCATCCGGACCACAGGCACTTTCTAAGGTTTGCATTCGAGGGCATAGCCTACGAATACCTGGTGCTGCCGTTCGGCTTATCACTCGCCCCCGAACATTCACCAAATGTGTCGAGGTGGCATTGGCTCCACTAAGGGAGAAAGATGTGCGCATCTAAGCCTATCTGGACGACTGGGTGCTAATCGCTGAGCGCGAGCTCCAGAGAGCGAGCAGCGGCTCAGCTGTCATTGACCCTATCGCACAACCAAACACTGGGCTTTTCAGTAAATTTACAGAAAAGTTCACTGACTCCGAGTCAACAGGTATCATTTCTCGGGCTGGAAATATGCTCCGTTTCAAGCCGAGCGTGTCTGTCAGAACGCAGGGTGGCTGCGTTTCACCGCTGCCTTGCACAATTTCAGTTGGGACGCAAACTGTGTTTCCGGACGATTTTACAGCTGACAGGCATGATGGCATCTATGATCGCTGTAGTGCCGCTCGGACTGTTAAAAATGAAAGCGTTTCAACGCTGGACTCAGTCTCACCGGCTGTGCGCGCAGCGTCACCTCCAGAGGAGGCTGACGATAACTCCGTCTTGCATGTCGGCTCTTCTCCCGTGGAGAGAACCCGGTTTTCTACAACGGGGATCTCCGATAGGGAGGGTGTCTTTTCACAAGGTGGTGTCCACAGACTCATCCCTGAGGGGTCGGGGGGCTCTGTGCGAGGGCGCAGCAGTGAGAGGTGTGTGGACGCCAGCATAATGCAAGCTCCACATCAATTACCTGGAGCTATTAGCTATCCTATTAGCTCTGAGGCATTTTCGTCCGGGTCTGACGGGCCATCAGGTTCTGATCGGGACGGAAAAAACACAACCATGGTTTCCTACATAAACAAACAGGGAGGGACATGCTCTCCCCCTGTTAAAACTGTCTCACTCTCAGTTGCTATGGTGCAGTGTTCATTTTCTGTCACTCAGAGCCACACATATTCTGGGTCACTTAAACCTTGGGCCAGACCTTCTCTCCAGGGGGGTCGTCTTGTGAGAGAGTAGAGATTGCATGTCAGGACCGAAATGTACTCCCATTTCAAAGTTCTATTGTGGATGTTTTAACATTCCTTCAGGAGCGGCTGGATAGGGGTCTCTATTTCTCAACAATTAAGGTCTATTTGGCGGCTATATCTGCATGCCATGTTGGCTTAGATGGTGTGTCGCCAGGCGCTCACCCTCTTACTATGCACTTCCTTAAGGGAGTCCGCAGGCTGAGACCTGTGTTTAAACCCAGTGTTCCCTCATGGGATTTAGGGTTGGTGCTTGGGGCTCTTGGTGGACCTCATTTGAGACTGTTGAGTCAGCAGACATGAAATTTCTTTCATACAAAACTGCACTGCTACTTGCTTTGGCGAGTGGGTGACCTTCATGCTTTGTGCATCCCTTTTGTATCCAGTTCACTCTGGATGGATCTAAGGTTACATTGCGCCCAAATGCAGCATATTTGCCTAAGATTATCCTCACAGCCTATAGCTCTATGAGTTTTGAACTACTGAGCTTCTGCCGTCCTCCATTTGCATCTGAGGAGCAGAGGAGGTTGCATTCCTTGTGCCCTGTGCGTGCACTACGCACTTACATAGACCGCACTCAGAGTGTGCGTTTATGTTACCAGTTGTTTGTCTGTTTTGCTAATCCAGCCTAAGGCAAGGCACTGTCTAAACAGCAGCTTTCCTGCTGGATTGTGGAGGCTATCTCCTTAGCATACGGCAGCAGGGGTCTTCCGTTGCCCCAAGGTGTGAGGGCACATTCAACCAGGGGAATGGCAGCCTCTTGGGCCTTGTTTAAAGGGGTTTCTGTGAGTGATATCTGCACTGCAGCCAGTTGATCATCACCGCACAGTTTTGTTCGGTTTTATTGTTTGGATTGGACAGCCCTTTCAGTGGCTCACTCTGTCCTTTCTGCTGGGTCTACAGTGCACTAAAGTTTTGGAGGTTTGACTTCGGTTCGGTGGCTGCTCTGTGGGGCGTGTATATATGTCCCATACTATATGTGTTGTACCGAGTGAATTGACTGAAAGGGAACGAAATGTTATGAATATAACTTCTGTTCCCTGAAGGAGAGGAACGAGGTACAACACTAGGTTGCCCCACTGCGCAGCTAGGCTCGGTGAAGAGCGGCTATCGAACTGAAGGATGACTGTGGTGTTACACGTATATATGTGCAGGCGGAGCCTCCCAGACGTCACCACAGATCATCTGCCTTAAAGGCGTGAATAAAGGTGTCTTCAGTCAGGCCACGCGAGGGCGTGATATCCCATACTATATGTGTTGTACCTCGTTCCTCTCCTTCAAGGAACAGAAGTTATATTCATAACATTTCGTTTTCTTTTCTCGGTCGCTTTTCTGGATACAGAGGAGGAAGAGAGAACTGCGAGTGGAGGATCTATGTGGATATTTTCCATAAACAAGGTGTAAACTCTTGATGTGAGGCACCATCTGGAGCTGTGATGTTATTTTTTAAAGGACTTCCAGGAGCCCGGACTCCGGCCGTTCATTGAAGCTGGGAGAAGTAGAAGTTTTATTTTCCAGAGGAGAGCTCCTACTGAAGGGAATGCAGCTGTAGTTGTAAGGACTGTCTTCCTCGATTTCGCAGTGCTGATGTTGCGTTTCAGAAAACCCTTCATCCATGCCATGGATCTTCGTCGTGGGCAGCGATCGACATGATGAAGCGCAAGGTAGGAAAAAGCAAAAAACGCAGATCTGAGTGTTCTTAAAAGTGGGAGCGTGCAGAGCGGTTGCAGCAGCTTGCTGGTTTGCTGTCAGAGCAGAGGAAGAGGCTGGGTTAGTGCAGTTTTAAATAAGGCGCTCTATAGGCAAAGAACCAATAGGAGCTAGGAGTGAATCAGCTGATAATCATCTGGTTGAGGTGGCTACTAGACATTGGCTGCGGATCAGCGCTTGACGTCGTGTCCTGACAGAACTAACGCTATGCTTCATTTGTGAATGACTTTGACACCAGGATGGAAAAATAAGTTTGATCAAATTCTGGAAAAAGTCTCAATGCACAGTGAGAAAAGAAGTGTTAAATCCTGCCATATATATATAATTAATTACTTTTTTTGGATGGAAAAATAAGTTTGATCAGACTGTTAAATGCCCTTGGGTTTTGTGTGCTGTTTTCTCTGTATTTGTGTGCTGTTTTCTCTGTGTCTGTGTGTTGTTTTCTCTGTGTTTGTGTGCTGTTTTCTCTTTCTCTCTCTCCCTGCAGGTCCACACCTCCACTGCAATAGAGGTGTGGCGGGTGTGACTGATCTGCTGATGAGTAATTGACTATTGGTAGTGTTGTATTGGTGTTTTTTTCAGCCTAGTGCTTGTTTTAAGTTGGTTGTTCAACCTCAAATATAAACTTTTCTGTTTGATTAATTATCTTGGATGCCATAACTTAGGAAGCTATCAACTGCTCTATCACACGTTTTAGTGAACAAACTCTAAATTTTGACAGATATTAATTCCAGTGAAAGAACAAGCTCTCTTTGGAAGGTTTCAGTGCTTGGTACCTGGTGGTGCTGGTGTGTAAACGTTGAGCTCATATGCTTGTCAATTAACCCAGAAAGTTGATGCTGTCATGAGCAGATCTTCAGACCAACAGTTTTAATCAAATCTTTTGGAATCAGATGATACCAGTGACTTACATGTGGCTGCTGTCTGCATCACTTGCAAGCCAGAGTCCCCTGCCTGACTGAACGCCTCTGTTTTATCCACGTTCTTTGAATTTTCTGAGGTCAAATTAACCTTTAACCATACAAGACCCTTGATCTTGTGACTATAAAGATGTCTCCCTCCTTGATTTTGTTTTTTATTGCTTGGAAAAGTACAGCTGTTTGTCAGATTTTTAGATGATAATGACTTATAGGACACCTGGAGCATCACCTGACATCTTCCCTTTTACAAAAACAACAGCTGATCCAACCTGTGGAGAACTGCATGTGTGTCTGCATGCTCTGCATTGTTTCGGACCACAGGACACATAATGTTGGTTCTCTAAAATATGAACATGAAAGAAAGAAGACTGAGCATGGTAAGACAGATGACAGACGACAGAGCAAATGATCCAGAAGAGATGACTTAATGTGGATGAGCTCAGTCCGTGGAGCTCAGAAATAAGAATGCAGACAGAGAGATAAGCGAAAGTGTTCAGGGTGTTGAGAGAAAGATTCTTAAGAGGGAAAATGTCAGACAGTGACCCACTTATTTAAAATTCATGGAGACATGAAAACATAGATGTCAGGTAGGTCTATCCTGTTTTGGCCAGGAAACCACCGTATTTTACCCCCTTCCTGCTGTCTTCAACAACAGCAGAGCTTCAAACATTAACACAGATGGAAGATTTTAGTTTATCCACCAGCCTGATGAGAGTCTGTATCATTCAGGTTGAGGATTAGGACTTCGCTCCGGCAGACGGAGAATCCTCATATTTAGCAGTCTGCTGGTTAGACAGAGAATCAGGTGGATGGTTTTGAACAATACAAGCTTGGAAGTTGTGGTTGTTGGAGACAGGGAGCTTTCTATTCCGGGACCTGAACCATTAAAGACCTTGCGGATGAAGGACTAGTTTCTGGTGCTGATGCGCGGAGCCTGTGGAAAAAAAGATCTACAGACACAGGACAGTCTAGCGTAACAACAGGTTTAGAGCCTGGTAAGGAAGAGAAGCCAAGTCTACGAAGGTCAGAAAAAAAAGATCTGTTTTTAAGTTTCTGACTGCTCTAACTAAACTGTAATAACCTGATGTGACTGAGGGGAAGAGTACAGTGACTCACCAGTGTGTGCACGTTAGGTTCGTGTGTGCGGCACTGAGTGCAGCGCGTGTTCATGTAGTTGTTTTTTAGTATCAGTGTCATGATCAGCCTTGGTTATGTATGTGTGCGTGTCTGTGCAAAGTGTGCAAGTATGTAAAGTGTGTACATGCAGTCGTCATAATCCTGTGGATTGCAGACTGAATCTGTGTAAGACCTCATAATTACCCTGAAGCAGTATATTGCACAAGCACTCCATATATTGTTAAAGACTTTCTATATCAACCAGTGGATTGCTGCTTTCACTGTACCTAACAGCTGGACCGAACTGGTGCAGGTCCATCACATTGTACTGTACATTATCTAAGAAGTGCAGGCTTGGACCCGATTGGCTGTACATTAAAATCAAACAGAAGAAAAGATGAGCCTTTTGAAAAATTTCAGATATTTCCAAGAAAAAGTTCAAACAAACTAAGAAACAAAAAAAAAAAAAAACAAGAGATGATGTGGAATATGTTCATTCAAGTCAGCAAATAAGTGCCTGTGTATCTGTAAACGCACATTGTATAGAAATGTCTATTTTAGATTTAGTTATCCACAGTGACCAAGGTGACCTTCACCTCCTGATTTTGACCCTTGTTATCCCGTCCAAATCAGGTCCACTTGAAAAACATGTTTTTTTCTGAGATTATAATCAAAAGCTTTTGTTTATAGAACAATTCACTAAATTTTCCGGGGGAAAAGAGAAAAAGTTTGACCAATAACCTGAAAGTTTGAACATACCAGAGGGTCTTTTTGCTATGGAAATGCTCCAGCAAGTACAATAAAAATGAGCAAATTGGAAATATTTCTGCTCCACTCATGCTGTAAAGTGCCATTTGCCAATTGGATGCTTGTAAGTCAATGAACTAAGCTATCAGCAGATAGGGCTGGCGATAAGATTGAGGGATTTACTGTAGGCTGAAATGACTTTTGTGGTCTTCAAGAGCTAATTGTGAGCTCAATTCTGTGTACATGTTAAATATGACACCTGAAAATGACATCTGAATTTTCAAATTAATATTTAAAAAATGGACTATAGTCGAGTTTTCTTGGCTTCTTCATCATCACAGGAAAGAAAGGAAAAAAAGCTCACATAAGCCATAAAAGGAGCCTTTAATGAACATCGCTTGTGCTCATAGCTTATATGTGTGGAGCGTAGAGAAGGAAGAACATAGTCATTCAATAAATAAGGGATTGACTGAAGTTAAAACAACTGAGACAGAAAATGGTTTTCTCATCCTTTATTTCTTTTTCTTGTTGCACCTCAAATTCCAGTTTTGTCTAATTCAAACAGCAATAGAGAGGACAGAAAAGGTATTTTTTTGTATTTTTTTGTATTGAAACTGAAAGAAGGGAGACAGAGTAATTTGTAGAGGATGCAATCATTGGAGTGACTCTCAAAAAAACAGGATGGGAGTGAACTGCAGGTACACAATGTCACCCCTGCCAACCTTGTAGTCAAGACCAGGGGAAGGAAATAAACAGGGATAAAAAAAGATGCAATGTGCCAAACATTTCATCATGACATGGATTAAAAAATATGAGTGAAGCACTTTTGCTCTTTTACTGTGCAAAGCTCTGGTTGTAGAGTCTTAAGTCTAATCCTGCTGCAGTACCAGCCGTCAGTGCAAAACATGATGTAGAAAGTAAACCATCTAAATAAAAGTCCTTCTTTTGGCTAACACTGTCCATCTTTACCAGCTGAGTTCTGAAGGTGGACTTTTTCACAGGCACGGAACTTCAAATCTTGTTGCTCAAAATCTCATTTTGCCGTGTTAATCATGAAAAGTTGAGTGAGACTTTTTCCAAATCAGATGCCATCTCCTCACTGTGCCTTTAACTGTGGATTTTATCATCTGACAAGCTGCCACTGGAATAACAAATGGAGCAGGGGTACCCGCCAGAAGAAAGTGTTTATCTTTACTTACTGATAGGTATGATGCCCTCTGAGGGTCTGCTCAGAAGAACTTCCCAGAACTGGGTGCGTTGATTCTTCTCTCCCATCACTTCCATTATGTAGTGGCCAACGTTGGGGGCATTCTTGGTCCGGAAACTGCAGAGACAAACAATTAGGGAGACTGTAAAATTGTTGCTTTGTGTTCGCAGTTTGAGGTTCTTAATCACAGACTTAATTTTCTCACAGTAGCAATGTTATACAAACAGCCTGACATTAAGATCCCTTCACCTCACTGATTAGACATTTGTGAATTGCATCACATTACTTACCTAAAGTTTGTGCTGCCTTCCATAAAAGTCGACAGAGCCTGGAAGAGGGTCTTCCCAGCTGTTGTTGGCACAGTGAACGTTGGGAATCCTGTGGCCACCACGCCATTGACAATGTTCAGTGTGAAGTTGATTGGAATACTTGCTGTAGAATTTGGGGTAAAAAATATGTTAAAAATATCTGATCCTGTCTTGTTGAATGTGCTGTAATGTGCAGTAATCTTTGCCTCACCTGAAGTCATTGTTGTCTTCTTGTATTGACAAGTGGAGCAGAGAGAGATCAGAGTTGGAACATATCACTGTTTTCTCTCACCCCCTTTTATAGTAGACTGGACTCATACTTCTGCATTGTTAATGTGAACAAGGAAGCTGATTAAAACATAGTTTTCAATCCTTTAGAGATGGTGCAGGTGAATTGCTTACACTCCCCTGAAAATATTTAGATTTTATCAGAAAAAAACATCCTGGTATCGGGGAAAAACCCTCTGTGTAAAAGCAGCTCAAGAGGAAGAAAAACGCCTGTAATAATCTGAGGGTTTTTGAGCTGTTGACAGCTAGTGTTTTTCTGATGCATACTAACAGATAAGACCTCATCATTTGATTATTA